GTTCCCTTCCCTTTCCCAGTAACAACCCAAACTTAAAAATTTTGGGGGTTTAAATTTGAATCCCCCCGGGCATATTTTTTTTTATTTTTTCCCCCCCCCCCCCCCCCCCCCCCCCAAAAAAAACAAAATTTCACACCGACCTCAGTAACTAACCACTTCCGATCCAAATACAAAAGCGGCCCTAACAACCTCACGTGCGTGTCCGGGAACTTCGACTCCCCGTTCTGCACCTTCGACCCAGACCACGTCGGCAAGTACTCGCTGATCCACATCCGCTCCGCGGTGCAGTCCGTCCGGGACGTCCGGCGCTTCCTCGAGCAGTGCCGCGACAGCCTCGGCGCGGGCGGCCGCATCGAGATGCACGAGTTCGGCCGCCTCACCGCCGACGACGGCTCTCTGGCGGGGACGGCGATCGAGGAGGTCCTGCGTCGCGAGCGTGAGGCCGCCGCGGGGCCCGGCCCCGGCCCCGGTTCCGGCGTCGGCGTCGGCTCCAGCGGCCGCCTCCCCGGCGACGACCCGCTGCCGGGCCTGGGCCGCCTGCTGGAGGACGTGGGCTTCGTCGACGTCGTCGTGGCCAGGTCGAGGTGCCCCGTCAACCCGGGGACCGTGGCACCCGGGTGGGCGGACGGGGAGCTCAACGGGAGGGACCAGAAGGAGAGGGAGGTCGCGAGGCTGTACCGCCGACAGTTCGACGACGGCCGCCTGCTGGACGCGCAGTGCAAGAGCGGGCTCATGAATGGCCTGGGGTGGAGCGAGGAGAGGGTGGACGCCCTGATTGGGCGGGTCAGGAGGGAGCTGAGAGATCCCGAGATAAGGGCGTACTCTCCGGCGTACGTTTGTCGTTTTCCGCTCTCCCCCTCCTTTCTTTTCTTCTTCTGTTCCTCACACCCCCCCTTTACCACCACCACCTGACTGCAAGTCTCAGACGCGTTGACTAACTACTCCATACTCCGTTAGCTATGTTATTTCGGCACGCAGGCCATCAGTCAGTCCAGTCCCAAAGAAGAGGGTGGAGGCGGAGATTGGCGACAATCAGTGCCCCCCTCGTCTCGCTCAGCCGTGCCCGTCCACACCTTTTCTCAGCCGGCTGCTAGAGGATTCGTCGTCCGGACGCGCCGACAAGTTGAGTGGCTGAAGGTGCATCGCGTTTTACCGGGGGTTCCATGGCAGACTTGCCGTGATCCCAATGTCGGCAATACGACGGAGGGAAATCGCCAAGGAAGGAAGACCAGGGCCTACCTACCCTGTCGCGATATTTTTTCTTTTTCTTTTTTTCGCGATCCTCACCGGTTTGGCGGGTCATTTGATTCTTGTGGAAATGCGGGAAGCCCCCTTGTAGGTAGGGTTGGCCCAGTCACGATTGTATGTTCTCGAGTCGGGCTCTGACCAGGGTTTGCCGTTTTGCAATCTTGATGGGTGTCATGTCATGTACGAGTAGGCGCTCAGGGTGGCGTTGTTGGCTTCGGAAGTTAACCCCTTTCATAGGAATTCTTTGCAACCTCAACTTCAACCTCAACCTTAAAACGCAAACCAGTGCTGCGATACGAAGTGTATATCCAGTGTCTGGTACAAGTATGTACATGGATCTACCACTGGTGTATCGAGTACACCCAGACGCCACGAAGGCCCATGGCAAGGAATCCAAGTCGGGAAGGAGAGGAAGAAGAAGGAAATAGTCTCGTAAAAATAAGATAAAATAAGAAAGGAAAAGGCCAAGCTTACAAGCGTCTCAAATCGCATCACCGCAGCCGGAGCCGCCACCATGCGATGCGGCTTCCTGGGATTGCCTTCCTGTGTGATTGGGTCCTGCACATGCGGCTCGCTGTGGTTACCATGGACCGCCGATGCGGTTAGGGGCAAGGTTCCGGTTGGATGGAGAGGCAGGTGACAGCCGCCGAGGGGAGGAACCGATGATCAATGTGATCAATCAGCCAGCCCTGATCCACCCATCCGGACTCCAGAATCCAGGGTGCGGGGTATCGGTGAGAATCGGATCGGTGAGGCTTTACTGCGCTGATCTCTTGGCACTGTCTGTACCTTATATCGAGCACCTCGAACGACGCAACGACGCAGCTGAGAAGAGTTTAGGTGGAGGGGTGGGTTTTGCCAAGGCCACACACAGACACTGTTGTCAACGTTGTTGAGTAGCCCGTAACCGCTGCAGTACCTAGAACTAGCGCCCACTGGGTGGTAATGCTGGATCAAGGGTGCAGCAGGCCTTGAACCACAACCATGACACACGAACATTTGGAGGAGGCGGCACGGCATTGGGCGCGTCGAGTCTGAAGTGAACGAGCCGAATCCAAAATGCATTGGCTAGGTATGCAAGTATTTCTGAAAAGAGCAGAAACAAGCAGGCCAATCCCCGCTCGAGTCGCAGGAGAGGGCTTCGTCTTGGGCCGGTCTGAACAAAATACCTTGATATATCGACCACTACCAGTACATACTTACACACTATGCCGTGGGCGTGTGGTAGACTGAGCTGAGTGGCTCACCTTTGGGAAATCTTGGTTGAGTGGCTGTCGCGCCAGCGCGAGAGTGGTGTCATATCTCGCTTTTGGCTGAGCTTAATTGCTTTTTCGCAACTTCCTTTTTCCTTTCTTTCCACACTCGATGCCGCAACCGTCAGCGATCTTCCCGTTACTGACCACTTACTTCACCTCCCCTTCGCTTCCTTCATTTTCTTTTTGCTTTTTTTTTTCTCAGTCCCCCTCTTTTTCAGCTCTCGCTAGCTATGTACCTATCTAGGTATCTACCCTGCCCATCTCTGCTGCTGCCGCGGACGATGCAGCTGCTCGGATACAGCACATTCGTAGCACACGCAGGCGGCAGCCTTGCGACTGGATAGTGGCCAGCGTGACAGTAACCCAGGTCATTGGACCGCGACATGTGTCCCCTGCATCCAACGATGAATTTCATTGATCCCCCCTTCCGCCCACTGGGAGTTGCACTCCCCTCTGTGGTCGACGCCGCCCAAAAACCATGACGCCACCCCGGGCAGCATGGGTGGTCTGCTGCAGTTGGTCGCTCCCGCAGTGGATATGTCTTAGACGGGTCTCTCCTGTGGTTCTCCCCCGGCTTATATTAGTACCTACGATCTATACTAGCCGTCTCCTCTCACGACTCCATGCCATCTTTTGCTCCCCCGTCATCGAAATATTACATACACAATCCCAGAGTTTCACAGTTACACACCACATGCAGAGGAAGCCATGATCGTCTCCGCACAGGGCAATCGCAGCACCGGGGTCAGGCAGCCAAGGCCGTCGCTGCCTCGCGATTCGCTGCTTACGATCCATATATCCATGGACCAAGAGTACGGTCAACCGGAGAAAAATAAAACATGGCAGTCTCGGTCAGAATGCAGGGAAGCTGATCTCGTGTGAAGGTATCTAGGGTCGCTTGCCGTCGACGAACCCAACGATGGGCGTAACTGTAAGCCGAGACACCCCCCCCCACCCCCCTGATTGGTCCACATCCCCCTAACTCGACTCCCAGCATTCTCCCTCCTCGAAGAGGGGTTTGTAAGTTATATATACATATATGTATATATATATGTATATGGTGACAACCCATCAATACACCCCATCAGAAAGCTAACAAAGATGGAACAGTCAGACGACAGGAAAGATAGTAAGTCAACCAACTGTAGTTACCCTTAGCTACCTACGCAAAGCCATGCAAGCCGTCACTAACTACTGTTAAGGAATCTATCACAAGCTATGGAATGCCACCCTCGGCGGATGCCTGGTGCTGGCGCCCATGGACAAGCGCCCTACCCGCATCACCGAGCTCGGGCTTGGGAGCCCGGCCTTTGTCTATGATATCGGTTCGTATCTCCCCTTCTTCCACGAGGCCAGCGCTTTGCTGAAACCCCCCCGCTCTCCCCAGCGCGGCGAAATCCCAGAGTCGCTGTCCACACCATCGACTACTTCGGCTCCCGGTCCTCAGCCCCGCTCCCCCCGGACATGGCGGACCCCCCGCGGGTCCTCTCCCACAACCTGGAGCTGGGCGACTGGGGCTTCGACGGACGCATCCGCGGCAAGCAGGGCCTGATCGCGGCGCGCTTCGAGATGGACGGCCTCGACTGGAACTGGCGCCACATCGCGGAGCAGAGCCTTGCGGCCCTCGAGCCGGGCGGCTGGCTGGAGCTCCAGATGGTCGGCCCGCTGACGTCGGACGACGGCTCGGCCGAAGGCACCGCCCTCAAGGACATCCCCCGGCACCTGTCCAAGCACGTCGACGACGCCCGCGCCGCCCCGCGCCACGCCGACATCCTCGCCGCCGCCGGCTTCGACGAGGTCGCGCTCGTGCGCCGCCGCTGGTGGAGCTCGCCCGTGGCCCACCGCGCCGACGTCGACGACCGCGAGGTTGGCCTGTCCAGGATGTACCTCAGCGAGGTCGAGTCCGCCCAGCTGCTCGAGGCCCAGTGCGAGGAGATCAAGACCTACCTCAGGTGGACCCCCGAGCAGGCCGCACTCTTCTTGAGCACCGTCAAGGCCGAGATTACGGATCCCAACATCCAGGCTTACTTCCCCGTGTATGTTCCTTCTTTCCACATAAGGCCTCGGGGGTGTGTGTGTGTGTGGTGAGTGCTAACTACCCTGTGTAGCTATGTTGTGTATGGACGGAAGCCTTTCGTGTAAGCCGATGAACCAACAGGGTTTCCTGTAAGTTGCTCGTTCAGGTCATCAGCCAGAAGCATCTGTTTGGGAAAAATAACTAATGAGATAACCAGAGTCCGAAATCGTCGAGAGGGTTCAGAAGGGGCGTAGTCGGTCTCGACGGTCGGAAATCACTAAGGTCGCAAGGCTGCCTCTATCCGGACTATTGGCGGGAAATGATTTCAGGAGCAAAAGGTCGCTTACGATTTGGGTTCGTCACATTTCAACGGAGATATAGGTGGTTCAGGAGAAGGGAGAGATGGGAAAAGCTATGTTTCGGATATTCGTTCAAGGCTGTTTTTGAATTTCCTTCCGGGTAACTCGATCAGGTGCTCCATTACGAGTCTTCTCCAGGTTCCCTCGCTAATACCTGGGTGTTGATTATTATTCAAGCAAGCAATTCCGCAATACCTCTATTCCCATTTGTCTGGCTCTGGAGTGATAAGTGACATCTGCATGCCCTCGCCTCCGTTGCCTTCCTGTATTCCCGGACGAAACACGCCTTCCGTCTCGAGCAGGGAAAGCAAACATTGGTTGTGACTGACCCTCGTCAATCCCCAGGTGCCTGTAGGGTGGTGGTTTACTCATCCATGACAAATACCCAGCGAGGGTGATGGGAGCTGTCCCATGCAGCCCATCTTCCAACAATTTCTCGCTTGTTGGATATCCCTGTCTGTACTTGGCGGTGGCGCCGGAACCTTGAAGCTCTCTAACATGCCCTTCGAATCCTTGTGGTCCTTGAGTAGCCCTGTGGAAGAACGAAGGACCTCATCATGTCAAGCCCTCCAGCAGTCGCATATTGAGCAGTATCAGAGGACGAGATGGCCCAGCAAATACTGGCTGTGAAATTGTCAGAGGGCATGGATGACCGTCAAGTATTGAAGGCGTAAAAAGAGGAAATAAAAGGGTAAAAAAGGGGGGAAATCGGGCTGTTTCATGGCTCAAACACCTGTCTCCATCGTCATCCAGAGGTGGCTGTCGTAGGTGAGTCTTTCAACACCCATCCGAACCACTGCACCAGCCGGTGTTGTTATAGTACCAGCTCCCTTAATTGATTTATTTACCCATGGTCTGCTCTTCGTGGGCCGGTCCTTCCACTACCTCACTTTACATCGAAGTGATGCACTAGCATCACAAATGGAGCTGATACCCCTGAAGATACGCGTAGGAAAGTCCACGCTCCCTACAGAAAGACACACACTATTCTTAGCCCCCTGCTCTCCAGTTATGATATCTCAGTAGCTGACCATCTGGAGATAGACTCTGCTCGATCTTAAGACGAATGGACTATGTTGCACGCCTTGACAATATCTGACGAACCCCGACGTTTTGGTACGGTGATGGAGGACACATCCGGAAATATCCTTTTCCGCCGTATACTCTACCTACTTCCCGTTACTATCTCCTCTCTCTGAACCTGCCGAAGCAGTCGCCTAGCCATGCTCTACCAGGGCCTCCACTACGATCCATCAGATTCCGAAGTCCCTCTCCATCCAGCAATGCTCGACCCGTCTCTTCCCCAGGGCTGCCGCCGGCCTACCATCTACCAACGACTTGAAGGAACCAGAGACTTAGACACGTAGGCGGCTTAGATATCTTCCAGTCGGACAAGGCAGGAAGGATTGGCCAATATGTCTGGCGGGACTGTGGATCGGCCGATGCGTAGAAGAGCCGCTTCCCCCTCGACTGAAAAATATCAGGCAAGTTGGGCATGAGTCCGACCAGATACGTAGGAGCAGAGACGTAAGGGGCAGTTTTCGTCCTCGACTCGGGCTGTAATGGCGGAGTCTTCATTGCCCGTCGAATGGCTGACTTCCTCGCCAGCCATATTGAGGGGGTGAGGTGGATTAACTCGAGTAGGATACGCTGCGCTGCGCTAGCACCATGAATTCATGGGAAGAAGGGTGAAGTTGAAGAAGAAGGCTCTCGGCCGTCAGAAAAAGGAGTACTTTCCCCCTCGTCCGACACTCCTGTCCCTTCCTCGTCCGCCGCTCTTTCCTCTTCATCGTCTTCGTCGCGATGTACTCAAGACAGTCTGAATCATCGTGGCCCTCTGAGCAGCCGGGCTGGATCAGGTTTTCGTCTTTGCCGTGAGTTACGTCCGGGTTCTCTATCTGCTATAATCTGCCTTTCAAGGCTCACCCTTTCGAAGGAACAGCGGCGCCGTGCCACAGGTCCCGCCAACACGCGGCACGAGCAAAGGTCCAGCCATAACAACTCCGGAGAGCCCGCAGATTACGCCCGCATTCCCGAGTACGCCCTGATGAGACACGCAGGTCCGGGCGACGTGATCTGGGCTTCCGACATCGCCGACCCGGACGCCCCTGACACGGGCAAGGGTTCGAACCGGAGACGCGAGGATCAACGGGGCTACTTGCCCGACCACGGCGGCCAGCTAGGGGGGATATTTTTGCCACGCGACGACCACAACGCTCCCGGGGTGTCTGGAATCCGTCTGAGTACCACTAGATCACCGGCAGGGATACCCATGGTGGGGGTGCTGCCGGCCCCGTGATGGCGGCGGAGGATGACCGTGATGCCGACGATGACGCTGGCGAGAGATTGGAGCTGGCGATTGAGAGGGGAGACATTGGCGGTGTTCGAGGATGTTTAGATATCCAGGAATATCCCTGCACCGGCTAGGGGACGCGGCCAGTTGTGATTTCTACGATGTGCCAGGCCCGCGAGCTGGTGATCGAAGGGCTGCAGGCGCGGAACGAGGGTGCTGACCAGGAGGGACTTGTAGTTCTGTCTTGCGACCATGTCCTCGGCGGAACGTGTTGGAACCAGTGGGCCGCCTCTCAGGGACAGTATTTGAACTGTCCTCTTTGCAGTTGATTGCCCGGCTAAACTACCTATGCCGATGGGGTTCTTGCTATTTCTGGGTACAGAATGTCTTTGGGTCAATATCGGAAGATCTCTTCTCACTGTGCGACTGGGGGGACTAAGCTGGGGGTATCTAAGATGATCAGTAGTGGCATGAGTCAATACACGCCGTCGTCCCCTCTTTATCCAATGCAGTCATGTCGAGCAGTATCGGCGTCTCGTAGTATGGAATGGTGAGGTAAATTGTGCGAAAAGTGAAGCATTAGCTCGCCGTCGTGCATCTCGCCCTCCCCAACCCCTTCCCACCCATTTCGATTCCCCCAACCCCTAGCGAGCAGTGAACAAGCTCATATAGACCCCCCAAGCAACACCAGCCAGGTTGCCCACCAGGTTCCTCGCCTCGACGCCCCTCACAAGCGTGAAGTTGAACAGGCTGACGAGCGGCCAGAACGTCCAGCCAGCAAATATGAGGCCCCAGAAGGAGTCGCGAGTCTTGGCCGCCACAGCGCGCCAGTCGACGCGGCCGTAGTCGAACGCGCCGCCGCTGAGCAGGAACGCAAGGCTGCTGGGGCCACGGTTGCTGTGCGCCGTGGCGGCCGCGGCGGCATTCATAAACACCGAGAACATGAGCGTGTTGGCGGCGGCGCCGACCGTCTGGTCCAGCGCCATCTTGGCCGCCGTGTTGCCGGCGTTGAGGCGCGGCTCGACCAGGTGGCCCTCAGCGGCCGACCGGTCCAGCGCCTTGTCGTCGCCCGCCGCTGCCGACGCGATGGCCTCCTCGGTCGGCGCCGCGTGGTAGGCCGGGAATGTCTGCTCTAGGAATTCTTGCCTGCGGAGGCGTGTTAGTACGCGCGAGGGGCCATTCTGGGTGAGAGAGATGGTGGTGTCCTCTCGGGCGGGTACTCATACTCACCATAAGAAGTTCGGCGGCGTACAAAGGCAGGCGAAGACGAAGAATTGGAAGACCGGTACCCAATCAATGACTAACGGTATCTGGGCAACATCATCAATAACAAGTTCCCAAGCAGTGGAGCAGCTAGCAGTAGGGTTGTTTCCCCTCTATCATCAAACTCGCGGGTGGGGAGGGAGAGGGGGTAAGCATGCGTACATCATTTCGATGAGCCGTGATTGCTTGGGCCAGGATGTTGGAGAGTGCCCCAATGACGGCTGACTGGCCCGTCGCTGAGACGATGGAGGGAAGAGGCATGGTTGAAGGCTCGATGTAGATTTCTAAGAGCTCGAGTTTGTTCACTTGATATGTCGATCTGGCCAGTTCTTCTGGGTACAGCCTTGCAGGAGGCCAAGGTCGCACATGTGGACAGCGAGGCAAAAACCACTTTTAAGCCTCAAAATAATACAAGAGATATATTTCAAAGATAATTGAATGTGGTCGCTTGAGTATACAAGATACAACGTTAATTCTTAAGAAATGTACCCCCAAGGAACTGCTTTCCTTGAGTGTGTCCAAAAATGATGCGACCCAGGTTCCTTGGCTGGGGGGTCTCTAGCTAGCATCGAATTAAGGTTCAACCCAACAAGCGACTCAGGCCAGTATAATATCTTCATTCCAGACCCAGATCACTTGCATCTTCTGGTTGATTTAGTTTTCATTATCAGTTCTAGTGTACAATCACGCCCCTCTATAACATGCTATAACCCCCCAATGTGAAGATTCAGTTCCGCTTCCGCCCCAGCTCCTAACTACAAACGCTCAAGGCCCCTTGAGACTTACTGCCTGCTCAAGATCCACATCAAGAACAGTTGTACAACGTAGGAATAAAAGAACAAGAACTGCGTCCTCTGGTTTCGCTTCGATCGGGAGTCTCCCGTTTGCATCGGCCCTCGATTCTCGCCCGCGCTTTCCGGAAGCAAGACATACTTAAGCGATCTCATCTATCGCCGTGTTAGCAACGACCCCCATGAAAGGAAAGCTCCAAGGGACCTACCAGGAAGAGCGAGTTCGCCAAAAAGGTGTATAGAAATACGGTCCAGCCGACCCAACCACCAGTCCCTTTACCACCATTCACAATCTCCGCAATGGATATGGTGGTGATGATGCCAACAAACTTGTATCCCGAGTACGCAACCAGGTCCAGGAGTTGTGATTGGTTTGAAATGCTGAGGAAGTAGCATCCAAGCTTGAGCCCGAGGATTTCGACTATTACCACAACCATTGCCTTTGACGCCGTATAACCCAAAAGTTCGGGTTCGAACTGCCCTCGGAAACCGGCAATAAGGGTGGACAGAAGAATATATGTTACGAGCGACATGACTGGCCACGACATCAGCGCGACAAGTTTAATACCTCTCGCAGAACTAGGGCGACAAACCTGGAATGTACATATCCGGGCTGTTGACGTCGTCTCTCGGAGGTAGATACCAGCCATCCTGGCCAGTAGGGCTGACCGCCTGCTTGCGCGACCATGGCTTGTGCCTCCACGGGAACAGGACGAGGAATAACTTGCTGATGACGTAGGAATTCGTGACGTTGAAGTAGTGCTTGACAGCCGAGATATTCACGTAGCGGTTGACCTGTCACGTTTGTCAGCCATGGCGTCTTCCAAGGTGAAGGCTAGAGCTGGGCGCTTGCATTGTGCTCAAGATATTCCTGCCCATGCTTGAAAGCTGTCTGGCCGAACTGAGACGCCAGTTGCGCTGCCGGATCGTTCATAAAGTTGCCGTACTGCCCAAACATGTTGCCCTGAGGGGCAGCCCCTTGCTGTTGCGGGTACGGGCTCCCATACCCTTGGGCCTGCGGTTGCGGGACTGGCGGGGGAGGCGACCGCAGCTGAGGGACTGTAGATACATGTTGCGGGACGGGATGGTGTAAAGGAGGAGATTGTCCGTACGATGCACGCTGCATTGTGGCCGGACAGTGGGTTTGTTCGGGTAGCTCGAATCTGGAGAAGCTGTGGAAGGTAGGGGGTCAGACGGGATTCGAGTGTCGAGCTTCTAGGGCGTGCTAGATGACGTCCGGTTATTGGGCAGGTAGGCAGAGTTGGCGAGGCTTATTATTCTGGAAATGTGTTTTCTCGGAATGCGCCTGCCTCCTCCCTGGTTGCTGACGCGCAGTCGACCAGGTTCATGGATAAACTTCGGGGAAATCCACAACCCGCCACCACGACGATGGAGATAAACTCCTATCCCACAGTACCACGTGCCTACCACCTGAAGCTAAGATAGCTTATCACTCCTCCTTCCACGACAATCCTCAGCCCACAGAGTATAGACATTGCTGCATAGAGTGCCAGTCGCTAGATCGCCGCGCTGAGGAGCTATTGTCATGTTGGACACATTCGAGATATTGACGACCTCAGGGGTCGTCCTCTGGTCGAGGAGTTATGCGACAGTCAGCCCCGCCATCATCAACAGCTTCATCGCCGACGTCTTCATAGAGGAGAAAAGCACCGCTGGCCTCAAGGGTGGCCAATCCGCCTCAAGCAATGCCCCTTACAAGTACGACCAACACACTTTACGATGGACGTTTGTCAAGGAGCTCGGCGTTATATTTGTGGTAAGTTTTCCTTGCAGTAGTGTCCATCCAGTCACGAAACTAAACGGGATATATCTCTAGGCCGTTTACAGATCACTGCTCCATCTCTCCTGGATTGACAAGCTTGTCGACAACATCAAGACCATCTTTGTCAAGCTGTACGGCGACCAGTTGACGAAGCCGAACACGACCATCGTGGAATGCCTCAACTTTGACGAGTACTTCGACCAGCAATTGCAGGAGCTGGAGAATGCGGGGTCCAAGGGTGACACGAAGGAACTCCGCACTTTGGAGGAAGGGGCAATAATATCTGGCAACCTGGGTGACGAGCCTCCTGCTCCGGGGCTGATATACAGAGGCGCAAGGCACAATGGCGCCGAGGAGGACCTGCCAGCCGAGGCGGCGCCGATAGTGACGCCCGATATGTCCCGGCCGTCCACGCCGGGCCGTAATCACTTGCTAGTTGCCAAGGCTCACCCCTTGGCAAAAATGTCGAGGAAGGCGCGGAAGGCCCAGCACAACGTCTCTGCACCAGCATCTTCGGGGGACGAATCGCCGGCGCGGAAGGCCAAGACTGCCAAAGCGGCGAAGAAAGGTCGGAAGTGGGACGCGGACGGGCTCGCCGACGAAGACGACGGTGTTCAGTTGGACTACTCGGGTGCGAACGCCGGGGTGGGCGACAGCGATGTCGAGCCAACGGGCCGCGCGGCCTTGGAAGAAGTAGACTCTTCCACGTGGGGCTCTAAGTCGAAGGGAAAGTTCGTGCTGAAGGATTTGGACGACGAAGTCCACTCCATTCTGGCTTGCGCAGCAGCCAAGAGCACCGCTAACAAGGCAGAGTCTTCTGGCGGTCTTGTTGGCTCCGGCCTAAGTGCGATCGGCAGCCTTTTCAGAAACGTCGTCGGCGGCAAGGTTCTAACCAGAGAGGACCTGGACAAGGCTATGAAGGGGATGGAAGACCACTTGTTGAGAAAGAACGTGGCCCGGGAGGCTGCGGTACGGCTATGCGAGGGTGTAGAGAAGGAACTTGTTGGAGTTAAGACGGGGAGCTTTGAGAGCACCAGTTCGAGGATACAAGCTGCGATGGAAGCATCCCTCACCAAGATGCTCACCCCCACATCCTCCCTCGATCTCCTGCGCGATATCGACTCCATCACAGCCCCGCCAGCAACATCACTACGCAAGCGCCGACCGTACGTCATGTCGATTGTGGGAGTCAATGGCGTGGGCAAGTCCACCAACCTTTCGAAGATCTGCTTCTTCCTCCTGCAAAACAAGTACAAAGTCTTGATTGCCGCGGGGGATACTTTCCGCTCCGGGGCTGTCGAGCAGCTGGCGGTCCACGTGCGAAACCTGAAGGAGCTGACGGTCCGGGAAGGCGGCCAGGTCGACTTGTATCAGAAAGGCTACGGCAAGGATGCAGCGACGGTGGCTAAGGATGCCGTTACCTTTGCCACTCAGGAAGGCTACGATGTAGTCCTCATTGACACCGCTGGCCGGCGGCATAACGACCAGAGGCTCATGTCGTCGCTCGAGAAATTCGCCAAGTTCGCTCAGCCGGACAAGATCCTCATGGTTGGCGAGGTATGTCTTTGCCCCTCCAGCTGACACGATCTACATAATTTATCTGACATGTACTGACTCTCCTCCAGGCGCTTGTGGGCACTGATTCGGTTGCCCAGGCAAGGAACTTCAACGCCGCCTTTGGATCTGGCCGTTCCCTGGATGGTTTTATCATCTCCAAGTGTGATACGGTAGGGAACATGGTCGGCACTCTCGTGAGCCTTGTCCACGCCACGAATGTTCCTGTACTCTTTGTTGGTGTAGGGCAGCATTACTCGGACTTGAGGAACTTCTCTGTCAAATGGGCGGTTGAGAAGCTCTTGAGTAATAACTAATAAGATATCCATTGGTCGATGGATGCATCTATTTTGTACCTCACCTGCTAGTGACTTGGATCCAAGTCCACACCCTGTACTAAAATCTTAAATGAAGTTACAGCTGTAAGATCGGTGATTGTGTTGAACCCTCCTTCAACCTCTCCTCTGATACTGAGAGCAAGAATTGAGTTTCGCGGTTAAAGCCCGCCAGCTCGTCGGTTAAATGGATTCCCACCTGTGAGATAGAACTACCAGTGCTGCTAGTCAACCACTAGTCACTGCAACGGATTCGACTACCGCAGTACATAGCACAGGTAGATATATAAGGCCTCACTATGGCCGTTGCCAAGACTAAGAACCAACCATACCTCCTGTGCCAACCTGAGACGACCTCCCGTATATCACGAATTCGAGTCCGGTCTACGGGCTCACCCTTCCCTTCCACCCATGGACCCCCTCTACCTCAAGACCGCACCCCCCCTTGACCCAGAATGGCTCAAATACGAACAAGAGGCGGGCCTCAACAAGCCCCGCCCGGCGTACGCCTCGCCGCTAGACCGCCAGCCCGCCTACGCGGCCGAGTGCCGCGCCCTATCCGCCAACGCCATGGCCCCCGGCTCGCGCGACCACCACCTGTCCGCGGCCGTCAAAACGACCGCCCTGACCGTCCCTTCCTCGGCCGACGGCTTCCCCATCCCCGTGCTGAGGTACGAAGGCGCTGACTCCCCAGCCCCGGCAGAGGGGCTGGGCGCGTCAGTCGCCGTCGTCGTCGTCTACATCCACGGCGGCGGCCTCGTCGTCGGCGAGGCCGACAGCGAGGACCTGACCTGCCGGCGCATCGTCGCCGAGTTGTCCTCGTCATCCCCAGAGCTGGGTTCCGTCGTCGTCTTCTCGGTGGGCTACCGCCTCATGCCGGCGCACCCGGCCGCCACGTGCGTGTCCGACTGCGCCGACGCGCTCGCCCACGTCGTAGCCGTCGCCCGCCACTCCGACTGCGGCGGTGGCGATGATGGCGCCAGACCATCCGCCAAGGTGATCCTGGTGGGCAGCTCGAGCGGCGGCCAGCTCGCGGCGCTGGTGTCGCAGCAGCAGGCGGCCGGGACGGTGAACGGCGTGGTGCTGCGGTGCCCCGTGACGAGCGACGCATTCCGCGGGGTGGACGGCTACGTGCCGCGGGGCTTGCGGGCGCTGCACACGAGCGCCTCGGAGCCGTCGTTCCGGAACTCGCTGCTGGGGCGCATGGATAGGGCGGTTGCGCGCGACGGGCTGGAGCGCATGCCGCTGGAGGCGCCGGCGGGGTTGCTCGCGGGGCTGCCGCGGACGTGGGTGCAGGTCTGCACCAACGACGTGCTGTACTCGGACGGGGTGTGCTATGCCAGGGCGCTGAGGGATGCTGGCGTGGAGGTCAGGGTCGACGTGGTGCGCGGGTGGCCTCATACCTTTTGGCTGAAGGCGCCGCACCTCCCGAGGGCACTCGAGGCGGAGAGGGCTATGCTGGAGGGCCTTGCTTGGGTTGCCGGGTGAACGTACCCCCGGCAGCAACTGGAAGAACTCGAGCGTAATAAATTCAAGAATGGGAACAATATGCATAGCACTGAACTGGTCTGACGTAAGGGTTAACGTGCATGCAATTCTACCGCCCTGCCTTGACGGGGTTCTGCTATCTACATCGCTAGAGTACACAAAGGGGACGGAACGGTCAGGTTGTCTATAGGATGGAGAGATCGCCGAATTTTTCCTGTCATTGCAATTAGTCTCTGCGAGGTCTCGAGATGCTCGTAGAAGACGTACCTTGTATCCTGGCACCGACCAGCGTCCCTTGGAAACGAGCTTGGCGGTCTTCTCGTCGATCGACGGCTCGGCAGCAGCGACTTCGTCCTATTCTCCGTGATCAGTAACGTGACCTCTTCCAAACAATTCGAGCGGTTCATCAGCCCGTGACATACCACAGTGAGGTCCTCGAACGGCCGGGCCTCCTCAATGTTCTTGAGCGTGTTCTCCAAATCCTTCAGCTCCAGGTCGACCTTCTCCTTGGTAGCCTCGGCGTTCCGGACGGCCTCGACCTCGAAGGCCTCGATGGCCTTGAGCTGGCGGTTGAGGTCGTAGGTGGCGGGCTTGAAGGCGGTGAACCGCTTCTGGATCTCGTCGACGACGGCCTGGTTCTTGAGCACGCCGCGGTACTGCGCGAAGTCAACCGAGGTCGGGAGCTCGGCTAGCATCTGCACCTTCCGGCGGGCGTCGTCATTGCGCTTCTTGAAGGCCTGCAGCCCCGACACCGTCTGGCCGCGGAGGCCAAGGGATGTGGTGACCTTAGCCCAGTCGAGCTTGAGCGCGGCGGATCGCTGCGAGGGGGACGGAAAATTAGCTCATCGTCAAAAGTTCATCCGCGGGTCTTGGGGCGGGAATTGGCGTGGTAGAGACCGGGTGGTGAACGGATAGTCATAACAGATGACAAGGGTCTCAATTGGCATGATTTTACTTACTGCGGCCATGATTGTGGTTGTTCTGGTGTCTTGGAACAGTGGAGGTTGAACTGGAGTTAGATCTTCTCAGCTTTGCCGAACTTGAAGCACGGTCGGTCGGGGAAGGGAGATCACGTGATTTTACACGAGGCGCGCACCTTGGGTTAATGATTGATGATGAAGCGGGTATGGGGTATAACGATATAATTAATATGGGAGTGTCCATTTCACAGGATTTTTATAACTACGTGGTGCAGTCACTCATCGACCCAAGGTGGTCAACAATTCAAGATGTCGAAAAAAGTGAACGACAGCTCCCAGCGGAATAGCATGCATGGGGGTTTGAAGATGCGCACAAAGAGGCTCCCCTCAGGATAATATCATTATTCATGGAGAGAAACTTGAGGCGCATTGTTTTACAGTTAGAAAACCATTCCTCCTTTCCGGGCCCACGAGCACGAATCTGCCGCAGACAGTGGATGAGCTTATAGTGCTATTGAAGATCGGGATGTTGTCGAGGAAAAAGGACGATCTCGTCAGATACTCAAAGCCATGATCGAGTTGACTATGTCGTTGTCATTCTCTTTCAATGCTTTGATCGCCTTATTGCGAGATACTCCGGCCTGGGTCATGACGAGTTCGATATCCTTGTCCTCGATACCCTCGGCATCAACCTCTTCGCCGTCATCCTCTTCCTCCTCTTCCTTCTTCTCGCCCTCTTCCTTGCTGGACTCGCCGTGGGTGTGGCCAGCGTGGTCGTGGTCGTGGCCTTGGCTGGCTAGCTGCTGAGCAGCGGCTGCCTGGGCGCTCGCATTGAGGTCCTCGATCTTGGCCTCACCAAAGACACTATAGTAGACGTGGTCAGGTTACCGTTCTAGCGTCCGCCTGTAAGGTCGACCCAACTTACATGTAGGTGTTGCTGTTGGGAGACTTGTAGACCTCGGGGTTGTTGATGACGAAGAGGATCTGAAATCATGTGTAAGTTTCCCAAGCTCAAATGGTTGATATAGACTGGTCTACAGCCCTCGAGGGTCTGCGATGGCCCTACTCACGTTCTTGGGTCGGCGGAGGGTGACACGAGTGATGCCGGTGACGCGGGTGAGGTGAACCTTCTCCAACGCCTTGCGGGCCTTCTTCTCGTTACGGGAGTGGATCACAGCGGTAGAGCCGGCGGGGAGGCTCGAGTCGCCAGCCTCGATCTCCGAGTCGGAGCTGCTATCATCCTCGAGCTCCTCGACCGTCGTCTTCTTGGGCTCGTCATCAGAGAGCTCCTCAACTCGTGGGTTCGACATCTTTGGAAGCTGTGGTTAACGAGATTGCGCCGTCAGCTAAGCCGCACAAAAAAGGCAGTGAACCAAGAAGCATCGCCAGGAAAGGCTAGTAAAACAGGGCCCTGGAGAAATGGCCAAAGCCAGCAACTGTCGAATTATGGATGTCTCGACTCACATTGATGTGTTTGGTCCTGGGCGACTATTCCTGGACAACGTGGGAAGTTTCACAGCGGTTGTGGGCAAAATGTTGGCTTGCCAGACCGAAAGAGCAAATTCTGGGAGGTACCTTTCCCGAGGTAGCTAGGGCTGCGGAGGACAAACGCTAAACTGTATTAGGTAATCATTCAAGACAATTACTCAAAAGTTGGATCTGGCGGTTGAATGTCTTTTAACGACTTGTGATAGCAATTCTAGCCCTCAAGGCTGATTAAAGTGACCGTAGAAGCATTAGGATTGTAAAATACTATCATGGTCCGGTCCAGGATGGCGTGTAGTCGTTCTACGAAGAGCGCTGTCACACAGACAAGCAGAGCCACAGACCGATTTGTCTTGATTTCGCATTTTCCATATCATTGACGCCGTCACCTTGATGATGTGACATACAGGTGCCCCGAAAACGAATCAAAGGAATCCAGCAACCCGAATGCTGATGTTCATGCAGACCGTTCCAGGATACCATCCTCCCCTCTGAACCATGCTAGCCCAACGTGTCCCCTCTATAAGCAGCGGCTCTATGCCGAAGCCTTAACCTTCGCCAGCGCCTTCCGCTGCTCGAACCGGCGCTGCTTCTTGAGCCGCATGACCTTGAACCGGTCGAAGTCCGTGAGCGCCTTCCGTCGGTCCTGCTGGACACGCTTCTTGGCCCAGTTGCTCTCCTTCCACTTCGCGTCGATGCCGGCCTTCTCCCACGCCGCCTTGACGGTTGCTGTGCGCGCACCACGGGGAAGGTTCTCGATAACGAATGCCGAAAGAAGGAGGTTGGAGAAGGAGAATGGCTGACGGGGAACGGCGAGCGCGGCGTCTGAGGACGGGCCGTCGATGAGTCCCTGTTTCCAAGTCAATTATTCAGCTCTGCTAGAAATGCGTCGCTCCGCGTATGCCGCTGCATACCCGCTTGTGGTCAATGATCTCGACGATCGTAGCGAGGCGGCCGGCGTAGGGGCCGTCGCCCTGGAGGAGGACTACCCTGCCGACCTCGACCTGCTTCCAGTTCGACGCGATAATTTCTGCCGCCATCGTGAAGGGATTCCGACTGTATTCGAGGAGATGCGTTAGTCCGATTGCTCAAGAGGGCTCCCGATGCAGGAAAAAGTCGAGGTGGAGGTATTGCGAACCTGATATGGCGTCCGAGAAATTTTGTGGTTGATATGATTCCTGTCACTGCTCTGGATTCGAAGTGGGTTGCTATTTGGTGCGCAGGCGAAATTCGCCATGGCAATTCAGAGCCCTAAGACTCGCGGAAGCACATTCAACCGGTCCGAAGAGCCCCACCTCAGATTTTCCCAAGATCTTAGCAGGGCCTGGCAGCTGGCAAGACAGTGTTTGAATGCAGTGTACATATTCCGTACTCATCAACAATTTTGTAATTCCAGGGGCGTCGGAACTGAGACCGAGGCAGTATATCATTATTCGGAATGCAGATGGCCACACCAGCGAACCATGCGAGTCCATTCTTCGTCCTTGGAGAAGCCACGGCTTGTCCGTTTTATGACCAAACTGACATCCCGGCGAGCATGGGAACATGGAGGCTCAGTATTGTATGCCAGAGCTTCTGCCCTGGGATTTTTCTGACAAGGTGGCCGCGGTTCGTCCCCCTTGGCTTACCCTGCCCTCACCGGTGTTTACCATCCGCTACTGTGGAATATGCCGTGATGCTTGAGGACAACAAGTTACGGGGAGATGGTGTTGTTGGATGGAGCGAAGTAGGAGAGAAAGCACGAAGGATTACATGTAAAGAAAGGCACAGGTTGTTCCTCGACAAGAGAGGCCTTAGACTGGATGAGAATGGTACGTCAGGCCAAAACTACAGTAGATTGGAGACTCTCCACAGCAGCTCAAAGAGAGCCACGACCCATTACCGCCCCTGAATATCCAGTGCTCCATCTTGTGTTGTCGACTCCCAGGCTAGGAGACAATGAAGCTGGCCCCTAGAGCGCGCTTTTTCCATGTGCACACCATACAACAGAGTGTTGGCGAAAATATCCTTAGCTCCGCCATTTATAATCCCAAGCCCGAGGCTCGAGCCAGCAACGTCGAGCCAGCAGCAGGGCGTAATCCACGCCGCAGTTTTCCCCATGGCTGGCTGGGTATTGAAAATGGAGTAGCTCAACTACCCCTAGTGCTGAATGGAATTGTCATTGGCAGGCGACCAGGTCCACCAGGGACGATGCCTATCAATGTGCATGTGGAGCCTCATGGTCCTCGTCTCTTTTGGTCGGCAAATTCGGAGACGCAGCAGCAAAGACCTTCCTGATTTGGTTGGAATAGTGTTCCTGTTGCTTTACCTTGGACGAGATGAAGTTGGGGGTGTCGCGGTCCCAGTAAGGCATGACCACTTGGCTAAACTCGTCGAGAGCTGTGTTGCTGAGGTCTGCGAACTTTGGTTGGATATGGAACATGAATATGGCGTAAAGTGCGCTTGGACAATCCAAAGCTTGAGAGTACCAGAAGCTCCCGGTCTCCCAGCATGTTTGGAGGATATTTGTGTATTCGTCGGACTTGTACAGTGCCAGTTCTTCTGTTTCAAATGCATCCATGAATTCCTTGTGTGCCCTGGCGTATTTGTCGAGATCATCACCTATGAGTTCGTCAATGCCTGGAGCGGATTTGCCAATACCTGGACTTGAAAGCCAGTATGGCGGGCTGAGCATCTCAATAGGATGGACGCATGCCCACTCAAGGTCGATTAGGCAGGTGATATGCCAGTCATCGTCGACGAAGATATTGCTCTGGTGCAGGTCGGTAGAAGGTAAGGATAAAAGGACCCCCGCGGAGATGTCGGCTGGTGAACTTCGGAAGCAGAGCTCGCATGGTCGTTAAGGCAGCCATCTGCGCCTCACCATCGGTTTGGTGATGAATCGAGTTTGGCTGGTGCCGAATACGATTGTCGTGGCATGCGAATATGTCCAAGCAGTATGGGTCTACTGACATGTATGTAAAATCCCGTGGTATGTCTGTCGAAATCTGGAGGTTTTCCAACTGATGAAGTTGGAAGGTAAGTGGACGGTTGGTTAGAGAGGGGACGCCTTGATCATTCATTGTCCATGAGCCTATTCGTGGAAGCCGGAGTTTTGCAAGGGAGAGAATTATCCGAGATAGATCCTGGAAGTGGTTGGCCCTCCGGGCCTGATCGCCCTGGCACTCCTTCCATGACTGGGAAAGCATCTTGCCCTCGTCCACATGTTCTATGACCAGGTACCCGACCTCAAGGAGACTCCGACGAGAGTGTGCAAAGTAAGGGGAAAGAGTATGTCCAGACATCCATGATGTAACACTACGGAAGTACCATATCATGCGGTTGTAGAATGGTTCATTTTCAAGCGCTGTAAACTGTACATACTGGTTAGCGTGTGGTATGCCAAGGGTCAGGATTAAATACCGATTGTGTTCCAGGGAAGCCAAAGCCATAGAGGCGGGGTATAGGAACAGCAGGACAGTTGCTCTGCAACCAGATGTAGGTGGCTGCTTCGCAGCGTAGCTTCTCATCAACATTGCCAGGGAAGTATTCTTCCCCAGTCTTGTATGGCAGGGGAAATCGAATAATGACTCGTCGGGGAAGATTTGGCCGGGGCGGATGGGTGATATGGATGGGGATGCATGCATTGAAACTGCCGTGAATCCACTCTCCGAGTTCTCCAAGCTGAAAGGCTGCTAGGGGAATGTTCAGGTGGCGGGAAACGATTTCGGCGATTTGGGAACGCCGGCGGTCGAGATAGAGCCAAAAGATAGCCCGCTTCTCAGGGTAGGACAGATTCTTGATGACATCTTCGTCTTCTTCTAGCGCCTCTTGAAGAGTGATTCTCCCTTTAAGGAGTGGCAAAGTGGTCTCCATTGGCACGAGGACTGGCGATGATGCTTCATCGCAGTGAAAGACCTTCTCGTAGCCCAATGATTGGAACACGCAGCCTCTTGGGTAACAGTACAATATCGTTCACAAGTAGTGATAACTGGCAGCAATCACCAATGAAAGGCAAATCCTTGCCAGTAGCAGACCGCAACGGAAGAAGGTGCGGAGCCTGCTCATCTCGCCTCGTCCCGAGCCGAGCGGATTGCTCATTGGTTGGTGGACAGAGACAATGGTCTCTCACACCTAACCTAATGGGAACATCGGACACATCGTTTTCAGTATCTAACATGATTATGTTCGATGATATATTACTGGGGAAGTCAGGGACGGTATACGCGTGAAGTTAGTCAATGATGCAATTCGAAAACTTCATAAGCGAAAGCAAAGTCTCATACCATCCCAGTTTGTGATCATTGGTTGACAAAAAGAAAGAATAAGGTAGTCCGGGCGAATTCTATTTGATCCTTGTCTAGTTCATCTCTATCAAACCCCTGGCTCCTCGACTTATGGCCAACTCTAACTCGGGAAGAGACTCACCGGCCTCGACAGCTCTCGGGCGCCCCGAGCAGGCATGCTCTGGATGTATCAAGACCCTACATTGAGTTGGGCGTGGGATAAGCGTAGGAAGGATGAGCGTGCGTCCGGCGGCGCAGATGCTGGTCAAATATCCTTCGACAGAGAAGGGCTCACCACTCTGCGGAATCGAGTTCCAGCTATCGGTCCGCCAATCTTCTGAAACTGAAGCCTTGGCGGACGGACCTCCGTCGTCAACGGCTCGACCTGCAACCCGGAATGCTCAGGGATTCCGGAAGGGACCGGATCAAGCCCCAGCTGCGGATCGGTTCCGTGTGGAGAGCCTGTTATTGACAGGTTGGCCACCGCCTCGGCCGAAGGGCTGAGGTGCGACGGCCCTTTCTCTAGTACGGCTGAGTACTTCACTGCTATGGGAGACGCCGCAGTTATCAAGCTGGATATGTCGGATGCGGATTCGAATGGCGTGTTGTCCTTCACCACGCTTGGTGCCTTTGTCTTTCGCGACATCATACAAAACACTACCCTATTCGACGATAGTGACGCTGAGGGGCAATTCCCTCTGAATCACATGGATCTTGGCACACAGAACATCCTTGTCGACGACGAATTCAACTTCCAGGCGATCATCGACTGGGAGTTCACCCAAACCGCGCCGTGGCAGGTCTACCACTACCCGATGCCCTTTCCGCTGCTGGGGTCGGACGCGGAGATCAAAGACATCCTCCAAATCCCGATCACCGTGCGTATAGGAACGTGTTGCGGCAGGAGCCTGCTCAAAAAATGTACGCCCAGAAGTTCCGAGACGCCGAGATAGAACTTCGGAAGAAGGGGCGGTCTCTCGGAGGCTCAATCGCCGAAGTGCTAGATAGCCCGGCGTCGAGGATATGTGCCTGCTTCACGAAGCTTGGCGGCTTGCCAGAGGCAGATGGGGGCCTGGTCCACCAGATGGTGCGGCTCGCCTTTGACTTGGGCGCTGAAGGGACAGAACGGTATCTCTGTGAGATGGAGGGTAAGCTGAAACGACTAGACAAGGTGGGAGGTATCTGGGCAGGTCACGGGTGCCTCGATAATGCCAGGCCACCTAGCGCTGCTTAGAAGAAGAGAAGTAAATCTTCAGATCTTCGTCGAGGTTAGCTTCGCAAAGATGATGCCAAAGCTCCCGGGAGGTTCACCAAAGAGGACCGCGCAAATCTTGAGCTCTAAGTCCTGAAGGAACTGAGCTATGCGTAGATGTGGTGATGTTTGAGAGGGGCAACCAGCGGTGCCTCCCCATCAACCAGCGCATCGCTTTCGTGGGTTTGGGAATTCAGGTCCCCTATTTGTTGGCACCAAAGCCCCTGAAGCACAGTCAACGTGGGGCTTTACAATGGAATAGCCAGCTCGCACCACCAGAGCTCTCCCCAGTGCGACAAGGCAGACAAGACAATACAGGGGCCGGAAGAGGCAGGCAGGCAGCACTGACGGGCGCCAGGCCGTCCCTGTACATCTCCCAACTCAACCAGCAGGCATCCTAAAAGGGCTGCCTGTCCCGCTCTCAGTCTTCCCTTCTAAGTTAACCACCCGCAACGTATCTTACCACATCTGTCTCTGCTCCAAAAGGAGGACGGCTGTTGTAACCCATTCTGCAAAAACGTATCATGATCTTTCTGTACCACATCATTAGCATGGGATCTTTAACGTGTCACCACCTACTTACCTCCGTGAATATCTCTAAAAGCCATTATATCTCTAAAACCACTAAGAAAAACAAGCTTCTCATGCGCAGCGCTTGGAGCTGTGCCGCCCGCTAATGTGTGCGCTAAGCATACGTTTGTGGGGTGGGTGTTTTGAACTTTTGGAGAAAATGGTTGGTCAAGGCTGCCATTTTCAGCAGGCCAAAAACCCCTCTGTACTTTGACTGAAATAGGATCTGCTCTCGGTGATTTGGGTTTCGACAACTCCAAGGCCGCACCTCATTATCGACCTCTTGCGAAACCTCAAAGTTGTAGCCCCGGGATCTTGCCTGGATATATATATCCCTCACTGCCTTCTCTCAAGTATAGCAGCTCCTTGTAAAAGCTCAACAGCCAAGTCCTCTGCGAAACGCTCACGAGCGATTCTCAAGCTCATTTTCCCAGGTCCATCAAGACCAGGAACTTTCAGATACCATGACGCTGAGCCCATCGGATGTCGTGTTCGCCGAGGCGACCCCGGAACAGCAGAGACGGGCCTGGGAACTCAACGGCGTGTCGTGGGCGCCGCCGCTGTCCCTCCCCGACTATCTCGAGCGGGAGAAGCACCTCTCGCAGCAGGAGCTCGCGCGGGACGGCGGGTGCAAGTACTGGGTCCTTCACCTCAAGTCCGACCCGTCCACCATCGTCGCCAGCTGCGAGACGACGCGCAAGCCCGTCCTGATCGCGGGCGCCCCGGGCGAGCCCGTCCGGCGCGGCGTCGGCTACGGCATCGCGAGCGTCTACACGGACCCAGCCTACCGGCGTCAGGGGATGGCGACCCTCATGCTGGCCAAGGTGCAGGAGTTCCTCGACCGCGAGGCCGACTGCAGCGCCCTGTACAGCGACATCGGCAGGCACTACTACGGCAACCTCGGCTGGCCCGCCTTCCCCAGCGACCAGGCCACCCTGCACCTGGAGCCGCCCTCGCCCGCCGAGCCCGGCCCCGACTCGGGCCTCCAGCCCTTCGTCCCCTCCGACCCGCCTGCCACCCGCCCGCTCGCCCGCTCGGACCTGCCGCCGCTCTGCGCCGCCGACGAGGCGCTGCTGGAGTCGCGGCTCGGCGCGCCCCTCCCGGCCGGCGGCGGCGGCGCCGGGATGGCGCGTGTGGCGTTCGTGCCCAGCTTCGCGCAGATCTCGTGGCAGCTTGCGCGCGAGGACTTCATGGCGCGCAAGCTCTTCGGGGTGTCTGTGGAGCGGCGCGGGGCGGTGACGGCGGACGGAAAGGCGTGGGTGGTGTGGGACCACGACTGGCGGGAGAAGAAACTCAAAGTGATGCGCCTGGTGGCGACGCACGACGGCGGCGGGGAGGCCGGGGAGCGGATCGCGGCCCTCAAGGCGCTGCTGGAGGCGGCGCTGGCCGAGGCGAGCGCCTGGGGCCTGCAGAAGGTGCTCGTGTGGAACCCCGACGGGGAGGTCACGGTCGCGTGCAAGGCGGTCGGAAATGCCCACGAGGATAGCGTGAAGCTTGTGCTGGACGAGAGGCTTGACGGGAGCATACCGAGCTTTAGGTGGAGGGGGGAGGATAAGCGGGATACCATCTGGGAAGACAATTACTACTATTGTTGGTGTTGATGTATTTGGACGAGAACTACCTATTTAACTCCGGGCACCACGCTGTTCCACTGATACCTGCCTACCTGCTCTATCCAGAGACCTAAACGCCTAGCATCGTACCCGTGCAATGACTTGCCCGAACTCAACTAACTCTGCTCGAAATCAAAGGTTCGCCATGATAGCGTCGACCACTTCCACGAAGCCAGCATCGATGGAAGCGACTATGCCCTCTACAATGGGCTCTTTGGTATCCAGAAATGATGTCTTCCACTTGCCGTTCCAACCAAACTGGGCTCTGTGAAGTTCCTGTAACGAGTTCCTGGCCTCGCTCTGCGTCTCGGGCGGATCATCGAGGTAGTCGGTGAGAACCCCGTCCATCAGACCCCGGATCGAATGCGAAAACATTTGGAATGTGGCCGGTTTGATGGCGTCCTGGATGTTCTTCCAGATGCCACTCCGCTGGTCCTCAAGCAGAGGCTTCGACTTCCCATCTCTCAGAGCTTTCGACAGCTCTGCCACCTCGCCGTTTCCGCCGATCCCATCCGAGACGGCGCCCTCCACCATCCGCACCATCCGCATCCGGACCTCGGACGGGAGGTGGAGGTCGACGAGATCCAGATGTCGCTGGATCTGCTCCCTGATGGTGTTGACCACCCTTTTATTCTTGGCCCATTTCGAGACCGTCGACATCCACAAGCTCCCGACTCGCTCGTCGCATCCCTTCTCCCCCATCAAGATCTCCGCGCTCGTCGTGATCTCCTCGATCGCCTGCGTGACGGCAATCCCAATGACGGCGTAACGCACCTCGCGCCACAGCGCCTCCCACAAGACCACCTGCACCGTGTCCGATAGCTCGTCGTGCACGTTCAGCTTCAGGAGCACGACGTGGTGCAGGGCATCCGTCGTGGTCAGGGAGGGGTGCACGTCGTACTTCTCGTCTAGGTCGACGCAGTCTTCGACTTTCGCAAAGTTCTCGTCAAACGGGTGGATCAAGATCACGTTTATCGGCGGCCCGTCCCACTTCGAGCACAGGTCCACGAACTTCTGCACGATGCCAAACTCCTCCTGGCCCACCGACCCAATCGAGATGTAGACCATGAGGCCGCCGAGGGATCGGACCAGGTGGAGGAAGAGCGACCACAGCTTCGGCAGGGACGAGTTGGCCGAGTGGAACGACTTCATGGTCAGCCCGGCGGTCGAGAGGACCTGCGGGCGTTGCTGGAGCATCTGGAAGAGGATGGAGGCGATGGCGGACTGGGCCGTCATGCCGCGGGCCCAGAGCAGGTAGGCCGAGACCACGTGCGGACATTCGGACCTTACCTGGGCGACCCATTGGAGACACGTTCCGGCGTCAGGCGCGTCGCATTCGGCCTGCACTATGGTCGTCTCGTGCGAGAATCGCGACGGGACATATTGCTGCTCGATGCTCAGCCAATGTGCCCACGCCGGCGAAGATGTAAACTTGAAGGTGGCCGCTAATTGTTCATGATATCCAGCCTCGATTTCGAAACCGTGGAAAAGCGTCCTCTTGATTTCTAAAAACAGGGGCGTGGTGTGTCCTTCGTGAATGTCTATATAGGCCTGTCAGTACTAGGAGCGAAGAGAACAGACAACCATAGATCTCCCACCTCTCAGCGTGGTTTCGTAGTCTGCCAACAGTGACGCAAGTCAGTTGTGTCCCAGTCCCATTTGCAAGCGGGAAGAAAAAATGGCTGCTCACGATCTCTGCGAAGAGATAGATCCACTCTGTGTCTTGCTAGGCTCTTGGTCTGGATGAGCTGCAGGACCAAAGCACCAGCTCGGGCGTCGTCTTCGATGCACTGCTGTAACCTTCGTATCCTCTCCACCACTCGGCCATGCTGGAGGTCGAAGGGCTTCGAGAAAGAGGAGAAGTATTTCTCTATTGGCGACATCAGGAGTTAGTCAACAACTTTGGTCAGGGGCGCATGGAACTCACTGATGGTCTTCTTCTGGGCATACACAATAGTCTCGTGCAGGAACTCTATCACTGCAGCGTACAGCTCCGACACTAGCTCCATCATGCGCCCAGTCGGGAAGATATGCCTGTACAGCTCGACTCGTGACAAGTTGAGACCGATCTCGACCATCATGTCTGTAAACTTATAGAGCATATCGTGATGGTTCTTCGCCATGATGAGACCAAACTTCAGGACGCCCCAGATCAGAGTCATGTAGGAAAAGTCGCATTGCGAAAGCACGTCAAAACAGCCCGAGTAGTGGTCCAGGACGTCCACAAACTTGGCAATCTTCCGCCTGTCCAGGACATCGTTCTGGTCTTTTTGTATGCTCAGAGCCACCTTGTATAATTCGGGTTTCGTCGAGGCGGATACGGACAAGATGGTGTCGACATCTGCCTTCTTCAGAGTCTGGCGCAACTTGGCCACGGCATCGCTGTATGCATCTGCGGCGCGTCTAGGCAATCGTCAGTGTCACTGTGTTCGCCAGGTGCCAAACCGTCAAAGCCAACCAAACGGACATGCCCATACTTGATATATCTGTCGGTCTTAAGTATGTCGGAGGGAGCTGCAGGCTCGGAAAATCGTCGGACAACCTCATCCCGGCTGTTCCAGCTGTTGCTCCGGGATCCCAGAGATGCGGGGGAAGTAGGAGAGTCCCGGACGTCTGGGAGTCCAAAGGGCCGCCGCCAGATCACCGAATTCGGGGAATCGCCGGCCGTTTGAACCATGGTGTCCTCCGAAACAACCAATGGCAGCAGCTCTAATTATGTCCAGCGACGGACGTGGCCTTGGGCTTGAGAGGGGACATGGAGCCAGTAGTGCAGTGTTTGATGGCATGAACTTCGAATCTCCGAGATTCCCACAGGTTTCAGCTGAGTCCTGGTGAGCCTGGCGTCTTGTCTGCTGCACACACACCTCATTGCTGCCCCCCCGCTCCGGAGTTTGCCAATAAAACCGAAAAGAGATACCTAACCCTGCAGGGTAGTAAGGCTGTTCTGGATGGCCATTTGTTCGTTGAACTTCCGCTGCCTACCCATATTCACAATATATATCGTCTAGATATTTTATCGCAAGACACATCTTGGCGTCACAAGTATTTACTATGGTACCTACACATTAAAGCTGTTGCGGCCGCGGAATATGCTTGGCGTGTGCGTTGCCCTTCTCGGCGCATCGATAGCCAAGGCGTCCAATTGACAGGGGAGCCAAGAATCCACCAGTCCCGGCTTTCCAGCGCCAAGGCCGCCTGTCATCTAGTCTCCCGGGCCCGGCCCTTTCCACCAGAGCCAAACTAACTCATTCGTGGAATCGTCACTTTCTCTCATGGCGTTTAACTATCTCAAGCTCAACATTGTCGGGATACAGTGGGAACAACAACGGTCGATGGGATCCTTGAAAGGTGGTGTGGCTAGGCAGGCTGGGTGGCTTGACTGAATCCTTTTGCACGGATCATGCAACGCCTTTCCATCCATGTCTGATACATCAAACCTCGGTGGCTTTTTCGATCCACTAACCCCAACGATGGCTCCTCAGACGGTGGACTGTTATCCACCGACCGCCCAGCAAAAAGAGGACAAAGTAAAGGCCTTCGTTGACTCAACTGATCCAATTGCCGTCTGCGGTTTGGCATCCCGACATAACAACTCGAAGCCTTGCTGAATATTTCAAGATGCCGCGAGCGGGAGCTACAACGTCTGTTTCTTTGTCGAGTTTGTCGATGAGAATACGAAATGGGTGGTGAGAATTCCCTTGGAGCCTTCCATTCACAATGTCTGGGGACAAAATCCAGAGCGAAGTCGCTACCATGCGGTGAGTTATGTCCAATGTTTTCTCAACCTGTACCCCACTGGTGGGAGCTAATTGGTTGGTTGCTAGATATCTCGAAAGCAAGACCACTATCCCCCTACCTCATGTCTGTGGTTTTGGACGAGGGGGGACTGTGGACAAACTTAACCCTACAGGACTTGCCTATATTATCCTTGAGTATATCCCTGGCCATTCTCTTGATATTTTGGCTTTCGTGAAAGAGTCCCGAGAACGGAAGGCACACTTCTACTCGCAGCTTATCGACATCCTGGCCCAGTTGCGCCAGCAGGAGTTTGACTACGCCGGCTCCCTGCTTCCGGACCCAGATGGCGGGCTTGCTCCCATCTTGGGGCCCTCGCTCTCCATGCAGCTCAATGAGCTACAGATCGACCAAGGCAACTCAGCTGTCCCAACCGCAAGGTTCGCTTCCGCGGTCGACTTTGCCTTCCATCAGTACCACATTCTAGATCAGAAATACCGGCTACCTGCGAGCGACATGTCTGAACTGAATACGCAGCTCGAAGTGTTTGGACTTGAGGACTTGAAGGGGAGGATATTTGGCCATATCGAGCCCTGCTAGAACCACGGTCCTTTTGTGCTGGCCCATACGGATTTGCGTTGGTCCAATATCATTGTGGACGAGGATCTTAACATTCAAGGGGTTATCGACTGGGAGTGGGCAAGCACAGTGCCTCGGCAGTTTTTCATGCCACCTACCTGGATCGCCCGGCGCCCTCCCGATTCAATGGCAGGAGTTCACTACCGGATTGAGTACCGTTGGTTCTACGACATCCTTGAGGCAAAGGCCGCTACGTCCGAACCTTGTCACCAGCTGGCTGAGGAATGGGGAAGGAACCTGATGAAAAGGGTTGACTTGCCTCTGGCTGTTACGCTTCGACATCACAACCGTTTTCTCAACATATACTACCGTGGAGTCTATCCCGTGTTTTACAAAACTCCTCGAACCGACACAGTAAACCAATTCTTTGAGCGCGACGGGAAGGGCGGCCCGTCTACCCTTGAAGTTAAGCGGCGGCTGGAGAACTCGGAACGATACACTCAATACCTCACGGATAACAACTTATTCGTCCCTCGCGAGGCCACTAAAAGGGTCCAAGAGTCTCCTGGGAAACGGCAAGAACCCGATGAGAAGCTAGGCATGCTGACAGACACTGAGAAGGACCAGCCGATGCTAGAAAAATACATCACACAACCTTCACATAGTCTTCCAGGGCCTGCTCCTCCTCCTCCAGCTCCACCGGCTCTGGCTCCGCGTCCTCTATTGCCTCATTAAGTTCATCGATGATTTCCTCGTCTCTCGTAGCTCATTCATCGATATCAAGAGCGTCACCCCGGCCTCTGTTCTCAGTCGGCTGCGACGCACTTTTCGACATTGGGTCCTTCAGATCTTGGGGAACATCGGCGATAGTAGCACTTTTCTCCTCCAGCCCATCCTTCTTCTTTTGAATCCAGGTGATCTTGTCCTCGATCTTCTCCTCGATCTCTGCAATATGCGGCTCAGCGAACATGTGTCGAACTTCACTAGCAAGCGTGATGCCCTAAGAAGATTTTAATGGGGAAGAGCGAAGTCATCGCCATTAAATGAAGGCAGCATCCCTATCATCACTACATGGACAACGAAACACGCCAGTCATATGGACCTCTCCCTTAAGGCGTCTCCCCCGCTCTCCCTCGTGATGTATCGGTGCATGCAAGCGACCATATATTTGCCAATCTTGATGCAGCCTCATCCTGCCATGTCAAATTGGGTGTTGGCATCCTGAAGGTAGGTACCTCTACAATACCTATGTATGGATGTAGGTACCCATCTTTGTAGTAAGTAGCTGACGTTGGACAGAACGGTCCAGCTGGAATTTTAGCGCGGAAAGATCCCTGCTTTGGTCAGGTGGTGAAAGGTGCATCCCAGCAGGGGGGTGCATTCTTTTGCCCAAGGGTAGGGGTAAATGGATCAATTTCTTGGGGAAACTGTCAGATTGCCTCAACTCCAGACAGGACAGAGGGAGCAGCCAGCCCTGTCATTCCATGGACTCCGTCCATTGCGTCCCTCATCCGTGAAAATTCCAACTCGACGACGGGATCAAAAGGGCCTGCCTAACTAGATGGCAACCTAAGTCTTCGAGACGAAATGCCGCTCCAGCCGCTAAACACCAGGGTCGACGGCGGCGAGCCCTCGCTCCTCTCGCCGTCCGACTACGACGCCGACGCGGCCTCCATCCGAAGCGACCAAGACAGCGACAGCGACGATGACGAGCGCCAGCTTCGGGCAAGGAACAGCAGCGAGCTCCGGGCACACGATCGGCTTGTGCTGATGCAAGAGGAGGAGACCGACCAGTTGGTCACCGAAACGCGAAGACGTCAGGAGCGCCTGACTCTGGGGTCTGGATTGCCCATTCCCAACCCCCTACGCCTACTCTCCCGAAGGTTGAGTGATTCCCGGTCCAGGTCGAGGAGTCCGGTCGGCTTGGTCACCTCATCTGCCGAAACCCTAGTCTTGGAGAAGCGCAAGCAACGTCGGGCGAGGAGGCAGGCGAAAAAGGATAGGCTGATGACCGACGCTAAGGATGGCGAAGACGGCGAGCTCATGTACGAGATGGAAGCAGGTGGAATCAAGGATGGGAGCTCGACCGGCGAAAGCAGTGACAGAGAAGACAGTGATGAGGTTGACAGGAGAGGCCTCCTCAATTTGACAGACGCCAAGGCAAAGAAGAGTCGGAGCTGGCGGAAATGGCTCTTCATCTACACACTGATTGCTGTTGTTTTCGCGATTCTGGCCCTGGTTGCATGGAAGTTGTCGATTGAGCGCAAGAAGTCGGCCAACGCCCAACAATATGTGAGCAACGGCACGGCCCTGTTCGCACCGACCACCATCATTATCAGCCTGGACGGATTTCGCGCCGACTTCCTTCGGCGCGGGCTGACACCGAGGCTCAACGCCTTCGTCAGGGAAGGCATCTCGCCGCTTTACATGCTTCCCTCGTTCCCAAGCGTCACATTCCCGAACCACTACACCCTGGCAACTGGTCTGTATCCAGAGAGCCACGGGATCGTCGGGAACACGTTCTGGGATCCCGCTTTGAAATCAGAGTTTTTCTACACCGACCCCGAACGCAGCCTGGACCCCAAATGGTGGATGGGAGAGCCCTTCTGGGTAACTGCAGAGAAGCAGGGTATCCGGACGGCCATCCACATGTGGCCCGGCAGCGAAGCACATATCCTCGGAATCGAACCAAGCTTTGTGGACAAGTATGACGGGAAGGAGAAGCTGCCCAATAAGGTCAAGAGGATCTTGGAATTCTTAGACAAGCCCGGTCGGGAGGATCCCAACGCAGAAGTCGCGGAAATGAGGCCGCAGATCGTGGCGGCTTACGTCCCGAACGTTGACTCTGACGGGCACAAGTACGGTCCGAACAGCACGGAAATACGGTCGACGATAAAAATGGCTGACGACATGCTCGACCAGCTCTTTAAGGGGCTTGAGGAGCGAAACCTTACCCAAATTGTCAACGTGATTGTGGTCTCGGATCACGGAATGGCTACTACCGACACGTCGCGAATCATACAGTTAGAGGATCTTGTCGACTTGAACAAGGTCGAGCATACGGATGGGTGGCCCCTTGTCGGGCTCAGACCGAAGAACCCCGCTGATCTTAAGGATATGTATGATGGTCTAATCGAGAAGACCAAGACAAACCCCAACATCGATGTCTATCTGCGCGACGTCGACATGCCGGAGAGGTGGCACTTCTCGAAGAACGATCGAATCGCACCTCTATGGATCGTCCCCAAGACTGGCTGGGCCCTTGTCAAGATGGAGGAGATGGATGCAACGGCAGCCAAGGCCAACGGAGAGGTGTATCACCCTCGGGGGCTACATGGTTACGACCACGAGCATCCCCTAATGAGGGCCATCTTCGTCGCCCGCGGGCCAGCGTTTCCCCATCATCCTAACAGCCAGGTCGAAGTGTTCCGTAAGTGATGCCATGGACCATAATAATTCTGACCCAGAGTACCTAACTAACGCCGGAATAGAAAATATCGAGGTCTACAACATCCTCTGCGATTCCGTCGGCTTGACGCCTATGCCGAATAACGGCACGCTCCGTCTGCCTCTTGACCCGATCGGGGTGCACAAGTCTCCGGACACGGGGCTAGAAACACCTCCGGATCCAGTGGATGCGACTAGCTCTCCTGCCCCAGCATCCTCGGTAACATCCATTACCAAATCAACCAAGCCAATTCTTGTAAACCCCATTTCAACTACAACTCCAGCAGCAACGACAAGCACATCTTCATCCAAGTCTGTCGCTGTGGACCTTCCGGGCCCGTCGCCGACAGAGGAGCCGGGGAATGGGGACGAGGATGAGGACGATGGTGATGTGGTACATAATTTTTGGGACTGGCTCACCGGCAAGATAGACCAGTTGTGGGATAAGATTACCAGCTCCGAGAAGGGCCCGGCATGATGCGGTTTGGATTTTGAGTTTAATGGATAGATAGCATAGGATCCTATATATACCCTCCTTTCCGTTTTTCAATCTGTAATCCGTATTCGGGGCTTACATAGGTAGGTAGGTGTGCCTGAGAGCCGGGGGGCGGCAATACAGATACCTTCCATATTAGGTATTCCCGTCTGTATTTTAGGTACCTAGATACTGTACCTACAGTAGGTAGGTACGGATACGATCTCCAGGCACCAGGTAGTGGCGAGGAGCCAAGCTGAAAAGGTCTGAGCCCCACTCGCCCCGCCAGAGCGGCTGGTGACAGGTACAGTGGAGCAACGCGTGACGCGTTGCCCAACTCGGATCCAGCACGTCGGTAGTTTCGCCAATTGACAAGGTAGGATCTGAAGAGGGCAATATTCATTCAAGTCCTTCATTCACTCTGCCTGGGGCCCAATAATGTCTCTTTCAGTCTCTCTCTGCCTCTCTGCATCACTTTAAACCCACCGGAACACCGAATCAAAAAGAATAGGTCGATTCACCTTTGGCACCCCTTATTAGTTCCCCTCACTGGCTGGATCCACCTAGATAAAGACAAGTACCCCAGAGATTTATCGCCAACAGCGCCGCAACTTTTGTTTGTCCAAGCCTCCTTTTGTACCCTGCAACAGCGAAGCCCTCGGCGTCTTGCAGTTGCAAATTGCGAGTTGTTACGCCTACCTCTTCTCCTTGTCGGATGCCCACTGTAATAATCCCACAGCCGCCCGGGCTCTGAAGCCAGCCTATTCTCAGCCTTGCCACCCCTGACCAAGGAGGGAAATTCCTACCATCGCGGACTACCGTTTGCCATGAGGCTGCAACCATGGCGTCCACTGAAACCAACTCTGACCCGGTCATGGCCGGCCAGGTTCCTCCAATCGACATCGAGAGCAAAATCGAGCAAATAAGCGACGATCTGATAATTCAGCAAACTATTCTTGCCTCCCTGCTCGATGTGCCCCTCAACTCAGTCACCAGCCAGCAAATCACAGAGACCGAGGCCGAGATTGGCAGCCTTAAGAAGCAGCTTGCCGAAGCCCACCGTGCCCGGCAGCATCGAGGTACCTACCACCCTTTGTTGCCTTGGTTACACCACCTTTACTGACTTTCCAGCTCTACCAGCTTCGTCCGCCGGCAGGAGTGCCACCATGAACGGTGCCCAGGTACCGCATTTGCCTGGAGGTACGCTCATGCCTTCTTCCTCTGCGAAACCTTATATCTGGCTAACGCGCCTCCCAGGACCCAGCTTCTTCTCCGGAGCATCGACCCCTTCCAACATGTCTACGCCAAGCACTGCCAACTCCGGTTGGGCCGACTCTGCCCAACCCGGTGGACCATCTCGAAAGCGATCTTTCGGAAGCAGCCATCTCGAGCCTACACTGCCTGGCCAGCCAGGCATCAAATCCCGTCGAACCACTCCCAGCCCGGCTGCCACGGCGTTTACCAGTCCATCGCCGAGCACCGATAGTCAGTTCGGCGACGACGTAGAGGTTATCGACCTTACGGGGTGAGCCCCTTTCCCTTCCCCAGCCCTTTGGCACAAGATAGGCCGGGTAACAGACAGTATATGCGACGACGCCTTGCAGCCAATTACGTGCCACTTATCTTCGTATATGATCCATTATTGACCAGTTTTTAAAATGCAGGGACGTTGAACCTACTCGGCTCCTTAAGCGGGAGGAAGAGCGACTGGAACGGAACAAGAAGATTGCGGACAGTGATGCAAAGGTAGCCCGACAGCTACAAGAACGTGGCTACCTGTCACACTCTCCGTCGCCGACTCTCGGTCCCTTTGGCCTGCCGGGACAGTCTAGCCTCAACCGATTTGAACGAGCGTTCCCTCGATTTCCGCAGACATCACGCCCGCGAAACCCTCCTTCCTCGTCCTCCCAACTAAGCCAATCCACTATAAAGCGCGAGCCTGGGCCTTTTGGCTTTGCAGCAACGGGCCTTGGCCCCTCGCTAGGACGATCAGATCTATCCGCGACGCAGAATGCGATCAAGCGCGAAACCTCGGGCTTGGCTCAGCGTTACAGGGTCCCCGGAGCATTTGAGGAGTCGGACGAGGAGGACGATCTCGCCGCTCTCAGCCGCCCCCTTCCTTTGTCATATGGTTCCTATCCGATGCCAGCACGAGCCAAGGCAGTACCCGGATGGGTCAAGACAGAATCCGGATGGGTCAAGGCAGAACCAGGCCAATCTGCCTCTAGCTCGAGCTCACTGAACTCCGTGCCCGGCGCCTCAGCCATGCAGCTCGGTCAGCGAGCTGCGATGATCAAGCCAGAGGGCGGTTTCAGTACTCTTGAGGGTCAAGCATTGAGCCGTCCCTCCCCGGGCTCGGCCTACGGCGCAACGCTCGGCAATGGTCGATGGCCCGTGTTGCCATCCAACACTGGCCCCCCGGGACTGTATATTTCCCCCCGCCCAGGATATTTAGCGAATGGGGCGCCTGGTGTGAGTGCGAGTCGGGACTGGAACAGCAGTCCGTTCGACGCCGGGATGACGAATCTGCCAGGCAACAACCCGCTCACTGACATCATTAACCGGACGAACAGTTATGACCTCGTCACCATGACTGATGGGTTGGGCAACCCACTCAATCCGCAGCTGGCGAACTATCTCGCCGACTTCGTCGACGATCCACGGAAGACGGCCGAGGAAATCAAGGATCTCCTATCTAACATCCGGCCCGACATGGACATACCGGAAGAAGAGCGAGGCCAGACCCCAGAGGCTCTCAAGTATGCGCTCTATCCACACCAACAGCTTGCTCTGAAATGGATGACGGACATGGAAGTGGGGTCCAACAAAGGTGGCATCCTTGCCGATGATATGGGCCTCGGCAAAACGATTTCGACCATCGCCCTGATGACGACGAGGAAGTCGTCGGATAATGTCAAGACGAACCTCATCATCGGCCCGGTGGCCCTCATCAAGCAGTGGGAGGGCGAGATCAGCAAGAAGGTCAAACGAGAACACCGCTTGACCGTTTGTCTCATGCACGGCAAGAAGGTCTCGTATTCCGAGCTGAAGAAATACGACGTCGTCCTGGCTACGTATGGAATGCTTGCCCAAGAGTGGAAGAGATTCAACGAGCATGTCATGATCCGACAAGACGGTGATGGGTACGATGCACGCAATGACGTTGAGCTTCAGCGGAAGTGTCCGCTCCTCCATCCTGGGAGCAAGTTCTATCGGGTCATCTTGGACGAGGCTCAGTGCATCAAGAATAAGGACGCCCAGTCGTCGAAGGGGGCCACCATGATCACGTCCACCTACCGTTGGTGCCTCACTGGGACTCCCATGATGAACGGCGTCAACGAGCTGTTCCCGCTCATCCGCTTCTTGAGAGTCCGGCCGTACAATGACTTCAAGCGGTTCCAGAGGGTTCGTGTGTCCCCACCGAGCGTATCCAGAACGACTAAGCTGACACTTTGACTAGTCATTTTCCAGCCTCACGACGAAGATGAACCGCACGACGGAGCATGCCAGGGGCAGTGCAATGCAGCAGCTTCGGATAGTTCTGAAGGCCATCATGTTGAGACGGATGAAGGACTCGGAGATTGATGGCAAGCCCATCTTGACGCTACCGCCCAAGACAGAAACCTCTGAGCAGGTAACTTTCTCTGACGACGAGTTGAGCTACTATCGGGATCTGGAATCCAAGTCGCAGGTCCAATTCAACAAATATCTGCGCCAAGGGACGGTTGGGAAGAATTATTCCAACATCCTTGTCCTCCTCCTGCGTCTGCGCCAGGCTTGCTGCCATCCCCACCTCAACATGGACGTCGAGTATGTCGGCAACGGCGATGTGTCGATGGACAAGATGATGGAGCTTGCAAAGACTTTGGATCCCACCGTCGTCGAGCGAATCAAGGCCATTGAAGCCTTCGAATGCCCAATCTGCTACGATGCCGTCGATGATCCCACCCTGGTCATTCCCTGCGGCCACGACACCTGTTCCGAATGTTTCGCCTCTCTGACCGACAATACCGTCCAGAACAATATCCGATCGGGGCAGGAGTCTGGCAATGGCAAATGCCCACAGTGTCGAGGCCCGATCTCTAACACCAAGGTGATCAATTATACAACCTTCAAGAGAGTCCACATGCCCGAGACCGTCGTCGAGGAGGATAAGGCCGAGGTGGCCGAAGTTGAGGTTGACTCGGAGGACGAGTGGACTGGAAGTGATTCTGAGACTGCCTCCGAACCCGAGCCCGAGGACGACGACGACGATGCCGATGAACATGGCAATCTAAGAAATTTCATCGTCGCAGATGATGAGGTCGAGGAGGATGACGCCGCCGAGGGAGGAGGAGAGGGAGATGACGCTGATGATGATAGCGATTTTCCGGATATCGAGACCATCCCGCATCGCCAGACTCCAAGGAAGCCCACGGAGCCCACGGAGCCCACGGAGCCCACGGAGCCCACGGAGCCCACGGAACCCAAGGAGCCCAAGAAGTCCAACAAGTCCAAGAAGGTCAGAAGGAGTAAGAAGAAGGGTAAAGGCAAGGCCAAGCTCGAGGAGGTCAAACCCCACATGCTGAAGACGCTTCGTATCGAGGCCTCCAAGAATAAGGAGGCACGTCGTCGGTATATGAGCTATTTAAAGAAGAACTGGGAGCCGTCGGCAAAGGTCACGAAGATCACGGAGCTTTTGGGAGAGATTGGGCCCTCGGACGAGAAGACCATCATCTTTTCTCAGTGGACTTCGTTGCTCGACCTCCTTGAGATTCCTATAAAATATGAGCTCAACCTGAAGTACTGCCGCTATGACGGAGGCATGTCTCGACCCCAGCGCGACACTGCAGTTAAAGACTTCATCGAGGACCCCCGCACCACAGTCATGCTCGTCTCTCTGCGGGCCGGAAATGCCGGTCTCAATCTCACGGCGGCATCCCACATCATCATATGCGACCCCTTCTGGAATCCTTACATCGAGATGCAAGCCGTCGACCGCGCCCACCGCATCGGCCAACAAAAGGAGGTGAAGGTTCATCGCGTCCTGGTCAAGGAGACGGTGGAGGACCGCATCGTTGAACTGCAGGAGAAGAAGCGCGCCCTGGTCGACGCGGCTCTCGACGAGGGAGAGAGCAAGAACCTGGGCAGGCTCAGCGTCCAGGAACTCAGTTACCTGTTCGGGTCTTCGCCTCATTGAGTGGACGGATCCTGCGATAGCACTTGACCCGGGCACAGCCCCGGCAAAAGTCCCCGTTTACGTTTGTAGTATACCCTTTCCTTTCTCTTTCTTTTCTTTTCCTTTCTACATGGCTTTGTACAAACATCTTGCTGGCCGTTACGGCCACTTCGATCGCATAGGGGTAAGGTTAGAGGGGCTTGTTGGTATTACGACCCATTACATACATGACTTTCTTTTTGCTTCGCAGCAACTCGGGGCATTTGGGGTCAAGGAACACGGTTGGGCACCATCACACACGGTCGATGTGCGGAATGGGAACTGGCGTTTAGGGTGCTTTACTACATGTATCTGAACACGAGAACTGCACACCGGAGATGGTGGATGTGTATCAAGTAGCATTGATGTCAGGAGCTAGACTCGGGTCTTTAGACATTACAATATACCTGAATTGCGATGCTGGATGGTTGGCTCTTGGGCTTCTCGTGAGCCCCTATCAAGTAACATAGCCGTGGTTTCCGCAACCATTCTAAAGCTGACAGACTGAATATCCCTTACCCCCTTACTTCGCTTCGCCTCTTTCTAGTTGCGACTCCTCTCCCAGCCTAACCTCCTTACTTCAAGTCGAGATTGATTATAAAAAAGAAGGAAGGGAGAAAAAAAAAAGGGGGAAGGCACAACATCAGGGATTCGCTGGTCGTCACTGACCCAACTACTAATCTGGTCCTCATTGGTTTATCCATGGGAGAGCGGACGGGATCCCGAGTTTTCCTATGAGACTTTGTCGTATGCGCAAAGGATGCCGAACATGGAAGCTTGGGAGCCCGGAAAACGGGATGCAACTGAGGCCAGTGACCTTTTACAACCATAAAATGTACCTCAAGACCTATGGATTGTTCCCAGGTGTAAGGATTAGTCCATACTGTGGTATAGTAACTTTTGTGCATAATGAGTTCATGCTCTTCAAGACGATCAGAGGTATTTTTCCCCCCTTTACTGGCGTTGATAAAGCTTGAGAATATTGTGTTAGACGTTAGCTGTGCGGCATCAACAGCTATCTTGCTGTCAAGACAGAGCCAGAGACCACAGGTCTGTTAGCTGACGGCCTGTTCTTGCATCCAACCAGGTCGCTGAAGGGTCCGAGCCCTTGCGCTCGATGCGAACTCCGTCACGGTACGAGGAAGCTCGTGTGCCCGGCTCCGGTAGCATCCTCCAGAGGGTTCGTTCAGCCGTGAGCTCCGTCTCGTAGCAGGGGAGAGCAAGACGAAGGTACTCCTCCCAGTCTTGACCCGGGAAGTAGTTATAGTGCGCCTTGGTGAACTCCCAGTATTCCGGATACCATCCCGAAAACCCCCAATCAATGATGGCAGCGACACGCCCGCCCCCCACGATGATGTTTCTCGGGGCCAGGTCCGCATGGGTAAAGTGAGTCCGATAACGAGTCGTGTGTACTTTGTGAACTTCCCGGCCAAGGAAAGGTGCGACGTCTTCCATGCGCAGGTGCCCTCGCGCCAATGAATGGAACTCGTCATGATTCAGAGGGCCGTAGAACCGAGCTCCGATACGGCAGTCATAGGCGGGATTCTGAAGAGCCGAGGACACCATATCCTGCGTTGGAGGTTGGAGCTCACGGAGACAAGACACGTGCTGCTTGATGTCGGCAAAAATGGTATTCCTCTGGTCTGTCGACAAGCCGCTCCAGGCGCTAGCTAGGGTGTCGCCCTGGACGTACGCCATTTCAATGTAAATAGAGCCGTTTTCTTCGGCGTGAACAGCGTAGAGCTTAGGCACTGGAATCGTTGTATGCGAGGCAACGTATTGCATGGCCTCCACCTCGGGGGGGTCGCATGGTCCCTTGATGACGCGATGCCAGCTTACTCTTACTGTGGAAGGCCCAAGGGGATGGAAGAGCAGGTTGCCGAGCCAAAGCCGCAGTCGCAGTGGGAATAGAGTCCCGATGGATTGACCCATGGATGTGGAATCTTTGGACGGCCGAGAACGGTATTGGAAAAGAACGATAATAAGAATGTGTCGTAAGCTTCATCCTCCAGTGAAGTACCAAATTGTTGGCCTGGGTGCATGAGCATTTTTGTGCAATCAATGCACACACCATCAACTCCATCCTACAAGCCCTGCAAAAGTGCAGGCACGACCACGGGTTTTCCAGTGGGTATGGTCGTACGTGAAAGGTTCCTGCGTTAAACTGGCATATCTAGTAGTAGTATCTGGCGAGGAGACGGCGATGGAAGCACGTGTCAACTACCAGGGGAGACAACAAAACTGCCAACCTGCAAACCGTTATGCTCGAATCTGCAACGCACAGGCAAAAGGGTATATTGATATTGCCATTTCTATTGCTATTACCATCGCTATTGCCTTGTTTGTTGCTATCGCTGTTGCCCTCCCTATCGCCATCCCCCATTGCTTTGCTGTGGCTGTTGCCATCGTTGTCCTTGTCGCCTGTCAACTATTTCAACACCAGCTGCCAGAAAAAACCCCTGGCCCGATACCACCTGTAGCCCCCACGCAACAAAGCCATACGACATAGCTGTGGCTAGAACGGTTCCCCACCCATTGGACCCAGCCACAGCGGGCTACTATCTCAATGTACTCGGAGCTGTAGTTCGCAGCTTTCCTCGAAGATATATGAGCCTGTCTCGGCCACCACATTAGTCCACGAGGATCTACCTATTTCATGACGGGAAGCACTTGCTATACTGCCATGCGAATATACGCGTTCCCTGACACACCGTGAACCTCTCTCGGCCTCGATCGCATCAGCTGCTTCGCTCTGGTTCCCTCCAAAGGAAGCCGACACAATGGCATCAGGTGCGGGCTCGCCCTTCTCCCTGCGGCCAATGCCGGCAGGTGACAGGAAACCGAAGAATCTCGCCGAATTCATTGCCCGTATGAATGTCCATAGCGATGGATTCCGTAATGTGCGCGAGGACGATCTTCACAAGGAGATCGAGGCCCAGAAACATGGCGCTGGGGACTCGACCAACCTCGATAGCACCGATGGCTCCGATACCGAGAACGACGCAGAGTCCTCCGTGGACCTTAGAGCTGCGCGAGACGAGATCCTCAGGAATATCGAGTACGACCTGTTGTCCGCGTGACCTTCCAGCAGCAGCAGCAACAGCAGCGCTAACACACACTGTCCCTCAGGATTGCCCACCGCAACGCGATGCTGACTCTCGATTTCGTGTCGCTCCTGTTATCCAAGGAAACTCCTGTACAGGCCGGAATGACCCTCTCCCCGGAGCTTCGCGAGATGGTGGGCATCGGGACACTTGGCGCGACGAACCTGTCTGCATCGAACCTCACCAAAGCGAGGGTGCAGGAGAACAAGCTGGTGGCGACAGGGAGGAAGCTATTGGACATCAACAACACGGCTGACTCCATCCTTTCCGCGGCCGCGAGACTGCAGAAGGAGATCAGCTTGGAGACCAAGTATTGGGCTGAAGTGCTGGCCGTCAGCGATAGCGGCTGGTCCGTGTCTCGTCTGCCACAAGAACCACAGACCATGGGAGTCAAGTTCGGTTTCTCTGAATGTAGGTTGCTCTCAAATATTCCGGAAAGACAAGAGGTATAGGCAGGCTGACATGACCCAGCTGGCGCTGAGTTCAGGGCCAACAGCCTTGCGCCCATGAGGAGGGCTGATGATGGTTCCGTTAATCTTGACACGGGTGGATTGGGTGGGGACTCAAAGCGGCTCCTGGTTAGCATCGAGAAGGATGGCAAGGTTGTCGGCAGGTCTTCTCTTCCTGAGGTCTTGTCTGAGGATGCGCCGTTGGAAAGCCGCGTTCTCGAGGCACGCAACTCAATCTTTGCGCAAGAACTGTGGCACGAGATCAACCGCGAAGGCCGTACACTGCTATCATACAATGTGCGACTGGAATCATCAGCAGTGACTTACGGTCTTGACGCCAACACCAACATTGTTTTCAAGCTCGTCACCCTCGGCGATGAGGCAGACTTGGGCGGCCCTCCGGACTCCAATTCAGAAGACGGTAACGCCGAAACTATTTGTACCGTTCTCTATCTCTTACTCAGTTACGGGCACCGGCAGAATGGCCGCAAACGGTCCCAGCAACCACTGCTTAGTGCCGCCCAGGGCCGACAGGCACACCCGCCACATTATCTCCTCCGGCCTATCCTCGCCTACCTGCATTTCGAGGGCTTGGTCCAGCGCTGCATTCGCTTTCTCTCCGACCTGACTGCGATACTGCAGTCCGCCGGCATTACTACAGCTGCCTACACGATAAGTGAGTCGCCTGTTACTCTCAGGTCTCTCTTGCCCGCCTCAGAGTCGCTGCTCGCCGTCTTGCTCGACCCGCTAAGCTTCCGAGCCGAACTTACCATCACTCCGGAGGCACGTCTGGAGATTGTGGGCCACACCTTCACGGCCCAGTACGTCACGGGCCAATTTCGTGTCGGTCTTCTCCCACCGGCCGGAATCCCCAGCGGACAGGGCGGGGACGCACCGGCCGCGGGCGACGGGAACACGCCGCCAGACAACACCACGGCGAACCCTCTCTTCCGCGCCTTCCCCCCCGGCGATGGCTACCCCAGCCTGGACGAGGTGCTCATCTACGTCCGCCAGGCAATCCCCCGCGTCCTAGCCGACCGGTACGAGGGCCTGGCCGCGGAGTGGACGGCAGCGGCAGCGGCAGCGGCGGAGCGAGGCGGCCAACACGAGTCCCCGGAGTGGATCGTCTCTATCGACGGCAAGGCGGTGCGGGACCACGACACGGAGGACCGCGGGGTGCGGTTCGAGCTGTACGGGACGGCAGCGGCAGACGGGGACGACGACGACGACGGCGACGGGAATTACGGCGACGACGGGAGCGACGGTGGTGGTGGCGACCCGTCCCGCCTGCGCGAGCTGCGGGTCACGGGCGACCTCTTCGCCGATGGCAAGCCTGCCCGGAGGTCGTGGGTGTGGACCGCGGCTGGGGAGGAGGCGGAGGAGGCACCGGGGGGGAGGCTGGACGACGTCGTCAGGCAGGTGCTGCTCTGCCCCTGACCATGGTATGGCCCGCCGGGTTTGTATAGCTAGGATTGTCAGTCGGCAGCCGCCCCGGGGGGCTGTTGGCGCGGAGGAGAAGGGCCGGCGAGCCGCGCAGCCCAGTCTTTGGGCGACTTCGCCGTTGGTGAGATCGCCGGGTCCAGGTTAGAGTGACCTCTAGTCAGGGGAGAACCTCACATAGATATATTAAAGCTGACAGCGACGTATTTAAATGCAGAACAGCCGGACGGGAAGTAATCACTCTATAATTAATGAGACATCTCGATCTGTTTGCAGTCGGACCGCATGTACAGTACATGTACATTCATTCGGGCGTAAGAGTCATGAATTGTTCCTGGTATCTCTGTGTCTACAAATTGGATCCCCGCAACCCTCCTTTTGGTCGTCAAGTCATTATGATGATGGTGATGATGAAAGTAGAGAGAAAACAAAAACAAAGCAAAAAATGGAAGATGCTTGGAAAAGAACAAATCCAGAAAGCGCGAAAACAAAAACAAAAACGGGAGGTCTCGTCCCCTGGTCGTTTGCCGGACGAAGGGAACGAGAGAGCAGGGGCGGCTCCTTCCTCCGTTAAAAGAAGTGCTAAGCTAGAACCGCAACATGGCAAATTGTAAAGTGTAAACTAGATAGGTATCGAATTCGTCGCCCCAAGAACCCAACCGCAAGAAGGGGGCGGGAAAGAAACAGACCAAAAGATGCAGCGAAGGCAGGTCTAGATGGATATGGGCGTAATGTCAGACAGAAAATTGCTCCTGAACCGCTGCGTAAACACGTCACATCACACGTCTTCGATATATTCTGCGGGGGGGAGTGGAGGTAATCGTCTTCCTCTCATCCATCCTCTCAAGCCTGGCCCGTTTCGTTCCAGGTCTATCAGGGCCGGGGAGGCATAAGTATGGGCAAAGGGGAGAGGAGGGGAGGTTCGTCTCGGCTCCGGGGGCTCTCTTCAGCGGAGATAGCCCCTCACCTGCGGCCCGCTGTCGTAGACGACCTCGCGCTCGACGACGCGCTCCCGATCGTCCACGTAGCGGCTGCTGGAGTGCGAGTGCCCGTGCCGGCTGTGGCGATGCCCGTGGCCGTGCCGGTGGTGGTGGTGGTGGTGCTCCCATTCGTCCTCGCGCACTAGGTCGTGCTCCCACTGGATCTCGCGGAGGCGGTCCTTGCGGGCGCGGCGAATCGAGTCGGAGAGCTGGACGATCTGGAGGACGTCTTCCTGTTTTGTGGGAAGGGTGGGTCAGTGTGTGAACATTTGGGAGGGGTGAGGGAATTTGGGGAAGGGGGGGAGCTCAACTTACATATCGCAGATACTGCATGATGTAGAAAAAGTACTCCGTCTCCTCGTACTCGTAACCCATCTGGTCAAGGGCCTCCCGCACGACGAGATCCTTGGTGATCTCGGTCCACATCTCGCTCCTCCTCGGATGTGCGGGACCCCGTCCGCAGCCAATCCTCCTGTCCGTCACCTTCTCGACGTCGACCTCCCTCTCGCGATCCCTGCCGCTGTCGTAGATCTGCACGCTCAGCCGGCTCTCCCTCTCGCGGTCCCTGTCGCGGTCCCGCCCCTCCCTGCCGTCAGACACGGTGCTGCTGCTCGCGCGGCCCTCCTCCCGCTCGGGGATGAACCTGGACCTGCGCACGCCGTTGTACTTCTGCCACGTGACCTCTGCGCCGCCGCCGCCCGCGCCATCCATGAGCACGCGCTCCGTGCCGGGTGGGACGTCGACGATTTCCCAGTCCTTGGTTGCGCCGTGCCACGCCTCGCCCACGCGGCCGCGGGCGTCGATCCTCGACGTGATGTACTCGCCCTCGTCCCAGCGGTCGGCCGCGGCCGCCCGCGGCGGCGGCACCGCGCTGTGGGCCCGCGGCCGGCCGCTGCGGTGCCGCTCCTCGATGTCGACGTGCAGGTGGTTCCTGTCGCTGTGGACGATGACCTCGTCGTCGTAGACGGCCCGGGCCGGGGGCGGCCTCCTGTGGGAGACGCGCTCGCGGCTGCGGCTGGGCGAGCGGCCCCGGCTGTGGGAGCGCGTGTGCTTGTGGATGTCCACCTCGGTCGCGTTGCGGGAGGTGTAGATGTCGATCTCCGAGTTTCGTTCTGTGGTACGAACACGCGGAGGGGGTGCCGGCGACGGGGCCCGGATAGCAACGACGCCTGTGATGGTGGTGGTTAGTTAGAGAAAAAATGGCCTCATGTTCCCCCTTGAGACCGGAGGAATGTATTCAAAAGTACTCACCGTGGTCGATATCGCGGTAATGCGTAATCACCTCCCTCTCGACCGTCGGTCCCCTGATGACCGGCGGGGCTCGCACCGGCGACGGGCTGGGACTGGGGCTGGGCGATCGTTGCCTCTCCCTGCGAATAATGCGGATGTGTTCGCTCTCCCTCTCGATCGAAGGCGAGCGTTCTCTCTCCACGAAGCGCGGCCGCCTCCGCTCGACGGGTATAGGCAGCGGGCTCGGCGACCTCTCCCGCGACCTCTCCCTCTCGACGATCCTCGTCCGGAACCTCTCGACGGACGGCCCGCGGGACGGGGACCTGACCCTCTCCCGCTCCACAGCGCGGACCCTCACCTCGTCCCTCTCGACAAACTCCCTCCTCGGCGGCGGGCTGACGCTCCGCGCCCGTTCCATGGTCCTCGTCTCCCGCACTCGGACGGGGTCCGGCGACCTCCGCCTCTGCCGCTCCATGGTCTCGACATCTCGCTGTCGCAGCACCAGTGGCCCGGTCTCGGTGCGGCGGGCGTCTTCTCTCAAGAAGGTCGGGACACGGGACTCGCGGTCGCCCTCGTACTCTCGCCCTCGCTCTCGCTCTCGCACCTGGGTCTGGGCTCGGGGTGGGTTGCTGTAGTAGGCATCGTGCTCTTCGAACTCGTTTACGCGAGAGCCGCTGCTGCGGTATGCCATGGCAACTGTGGTTGTGGGATATTTGGATCCCGATGTCTGGTTCTCTCGTCCCGGCTGTGGTCTTAAAAACGGAAATTGATTAGTTATGGAACTGGCTGCTACAGGCGGTGCGGCTCGTCTTCTGAGAGGTGTGGGTGAAGGGCAGGAATCCGGGTTTCAGAGACCTGCTCGTTTAATCCAAGGCTGAGGGAGCCAAGGTACGAGCTCCGGTCAGGTGGGACAAGTCGGAAGTTGTGGGTCGTAGGACTTGGGGAGAAACTGACCAAGATCCTGGCGTTTAGGAGAAGCCAAAGGGGGGGGAGGGGGGCAGTGTGACCGGCGGGACGCTTGGGCAGGAGGTACTGCGTAAGTTGGCGGGGTAATTGTTCAGTCAGACAAGAAAAGGCAGCAGCAGCGGGTCATGCCTGGGTCTAAAGATCTACAAGCGGTCTTAGCAGCTTTATATTGTGGTGTGCAACTCCGGTACTAACATGTACATAGGAGCCGCCCAAAATCCCAATCGATAAAAATAAGGATGAGGGAGGGACGAGCCGAGAAGCGACGTCGGTTGACTGGCGCTGCGGACAATCAGGGAGCCTGTTTGGTGCTTCGACTGCGTAATTTGGGAGCGGGACCAACGTCATCAGCCGCAGCCAAGATGCTACCCTCATTTTTCTCACTTGTTCCCAGGCACTTTGGGTTGCTGCAACAGGAATAGACTCGCGCGGTAACTAATATAGGGGGGTTGGTTGGCAGCGGTGCGGACCTAGTGCACCAACTAGATGCCTACTATGCTAAGCCTTAATAATAAGTTCAGGAACCGGGAATATCCGCTCTATTTTTTTATGTGTCTGTATTGAAATCATAACTAGAGAAAGGGCTGTAGGATATGAGATGGGAGACTTCTGGCCGTGGGAAGTGAAGAGTGGCTCGAAAGAGTCTGTTGGATGGAGCTCCTTCTCCAGCGGGCCAAAAGCAGAGGCTGTATGCAGGCGGTGTGTCACAGGATTCGTGCGTGGGATGGCTGCGAGAAGAACCCCCTACGTTACACTTCTGCCCGACAGTCTCAGTCCGGGCTAGAACAGATAAGACCAGAACGAAAAGCTGGGCTACCCAGATCCGAACTTGCAAACAAAATTTACCTTGTGCTGGGCGAGCCTTCTCTTCGCAATCATGGTCAGGCAGAGGGGCAGGGTTGTCATCTGCACCATTGCGTCAGGCATCATCCCGTGCCAGCCTGTTAGCTCTCGACCTCCAACTTGTGATGAACCTATAGGGCGAGTCGTCCGTCTAGAATGCGAGGGAAAGCAACCGCGATTACTGCATGTAGGGCGGCACAAAGAGGATCGAAAATCTCAAATTTCTTGGGACTAACGAAAACCCTCCATCCCGAGCAGAATCAGGTATTCTCAGGACTAACACGCAAATTTCCCAGCCAAGTCCATGCTCTTCTACAAATGTAGGTACCTAATAATCTTCCAGCAAGAAACAGCAGAAGTGTCGGGTACAAAGACAAGAGACATCCGGCTCCAAAATAACAAGGGATGTTACACCCTTCGTTACTCGCCCAACTTCCTTCTTGAGGCAATCATAAGTTACGCGGTTCGGCCGCGGCGCCGTTTGGGCGCCAAAGCAGGTGCGGCGACTTCCTCGTCAACATTGGCAGCTGCCTTGCCCTTGGCTCCACGCTTCGGTCTCGTCGTCGTAGTCGGGGCGGGCTTCTCCTCCTCCTCGGACTCGGCGGCTGGCTCGGGCTCTGGGGCTGCTTTCTTGGCACCTCTCTTGGGCTTGCCACGGGCGGCCTTCTTTGGCGCTTCGTGCTCGGATTCTTCCTCGTCCTCGTCGGATTGCTTGGGCGGCTCAGGAGCAGCAGCTTTCTTGCCTCTAGAGGCCCTCTTCTTCCGGGGCTCCGGAGAGGCAGCTTCCTCTTCCTCGTCGGCCTGCTGGCGTCCGCGCTTGGTGCCGCCGGATTTCTTGGCAGCATTGCCTTTGCCTTTGCCTTTGCCTGGTTTGGCGTCGGCTTCGGCTTCGGCGCCTTCCTTTAATGATATTAGACCACCGAGAGCAAGAACGGGCCGGGGCATTACCATGGCGCTACTTACCTCGTCGCCATCATTATCAGCCACCTTCTTCTTCCGGCCCCGAATGCCTCGGGAGCCGAGCTTGTTGAACTCGGGGTCCTTGGGTCGGGTTAGCAAGCCGGGCGCAGCTGCACTGGCGTTCAATTGTCCACGCTTACGCCGTTGAAATCTTCAGGGTCAATATGGCCCTGCGTCACTACGCGACGGACCTTTTCCTGAATCTCGGGATCTCTGCTCGCATGTGTCAATAGAAGGAAACGCTGCCATGTATGAGTTAGGGAAGCTCACTCCAGTTCGTCAAAGCCATCAATGGCGTCGAAATCGTAGTCATCCTCTCCCTTGGCAATCTTATCACGTATATTCTCGATCACGAGGCCAGAGACGCAACCCCTACATGATGATTGTTAGCGAGGATGGTCCAACTTATGCCCGCGGAGGGCTGCGGTGGGTGAAGCATACCAGTGCCGCCATTTCCAGCCACCATGGTCGTTCACCTCGACCCAAGAGCCGAGGCGGATTTCGCCCTTCGTAATCTTGACACCTTGGGCTTTGCAGAGCGTGTCTGTGCAGCCAGCACGGTTATTCTTAGACACCTCTGCGAAGCATGATCAGCACTCGATTCGCACCTAATGGGAGCAGCAAACAGAGCTCTAGTTAAAGACGCGGTCGGCTTCAAAAAAAAAAAAAAAAGGTGCGAGTTCTCCTTGCAAGAAGAAACCGGGGGCAATAATCTTCATGAGAGATAGGTACTTACCAATACGATACGACATGTTGAGAGAGAGGTCCGAAATGGGAACGTGCCTAGGCGCTGTGATTGAGGAAAGAGAGGACGTTTGGTTTCTCCACCAGATGTCCTGGTATTTAAGCTTGGGCCAAACGTAAGAACTAGAGATGAGATGAAAAGGATACACGTCGAAGATACAAGTCAACTCAGGATACCTCAGGATACTAAGAAACGATTCACAAGCCCTGAGACAAGTCTGGAGTGAATTTTGTTCAAGCTGTAAGAAAGCACGCGAACAAGTGGCGAGTTATTGGAGGGGGCTGGTCCAAGCTTTGCCTTGGGAGTCTCGGCAGGACCCCAAACTGCTCTTTCCATTCCTCCTTCCCATTCGATCCAATAACAATCAAATGGCATAGAAGGGGGTGACTTGTGTACCTAGGTAGATGACGGGGGACAAGAAAGAAGGAGTTCTTTTATTGGTATGGTTGGAAGATCTATTCTACGCATCCGCAGCTGTATTAATTCAGGGGTAAGGTACTGTACAAAGCTGAAATCCAGCGTTACAAAGATTTGTGTCTACAACCATCCAGCCCGCACCATAATCGGTCGGTCCTTGCCGGGCTCACAAAAACGGGCACCAGCCAATGTACATGGCCGCCAGGTTCTTCGGGTTGACGGCCTGCTTGATCAGCTCCTCGACCTGGCCCTCCACCCCGAGCGGGATGCTCTCGTCCGGCAACAGGCCCCTTACCTTGCGCCTGATGCTCTCGACCACGCTCGTCGGGTTCAGCTTCACCACGTCGCTCTTCCGCTTCTTGTCCCGCTGCAGATCGAGCGTGGGGTCGTAGATGAAGGCCTCCAGGATCGTCATCAGCGTCTCCTCCTGCTGCCTCAGGATCCGGAGCGTGAGCTCGCTGCACTGCCGGAAGGGGCCCTCGCAGCCGTAGATGCCCATGGCCGCCACCATGTTGTGCGTCAGCCGGAACGGCACCCGCTCGGGCTGCGCGAACGTCAGGCCCTTGTCGAACAGGCAGTTGAAGTCGACGTGGAACACGCCGCCGTTGCCCTCCTCGAGCAGCACGTTCTCGCCGTGCCGGTCGCCGAGGCCCAGGATCGTCCCCACCATGGACATGACGGCGCACGACCGCGTGTACCTCAGGCGCGCCGCGAACCACGCCGACGGGTTGGGGAATTGGCTGATGAACCAGTCCGGGAGCACCGGCGGGAACATGCCCAGCACCGTCTCGGTGAAGAGGTGCATGTTATCGTCGGAAGTGATGGCCTCCTTCATCAGCTGCGCGAGGTTCCCGTAGCTGGGCACGATGCCGCGGGTTTTGTATTTTGCCAGGAGGATGTCCCGGATGGTCTTGAGCCCGTCGACCCATTCGATGATGCCGCACTCCTCGCTGAGCGGCGTGACGGCGTACGTCTTGATATACAGCTGCCGCCTGCTTGATTCGGCATCTCGCTTCAGAGACCGGTTGATCATGCTGTTGAACTCCATCAGCCGCTGGTCGGTCCTCAGATCGTCCTTCGGCTTGATGAGGAGCCCGTAGAGCTTCCCGTTCGATCCTCGAGCGGTGAGCTTCCTTGGCTTAGCGAGCGAGCCCAGGACAAGAACGTCGTCGAGGAACGAACCTATGGTGACCACGTCCTGGGAGAAAGCCTCATGTGTCATGACATTATCGGTCAACGTCGGCAGAGTTGCCGTCAGGCAGCTCTCGATGGGGACAACCAACGGACAAGGCGTGCAGTTGTGGTTGAAGTTGAGGTCCCGCGTGATGCTCGCCATGGTCGTCCTGTTGCTCTGGAAGTCGCCGTTGTTGCAGGCTAACAGAAGCTGCTCGGAAAGTTTGTCACACATCCTCAGCAGCGCCTTCAACTTGTACTTCTTGGTATCTGGGTCTTTTATGCTTGATAAGCTCTTGATGATCTGCAGACCTCGCGTCCTTCGTACTGATTGCTGCTTGTTCGTCATGCACGCGAACAAGCTCCACAGCGCCTGTCGAGGATGGGCTGCCACGACCTTGACGATGATCTTCTCCAACAGCGAGAACACTTCTGGGTGAGGGTGCGCGATCCTCGCCACTATTTGAGCCAGAGCAGTATAGAAGATATAGGCCGGCAGTTTCTTCAGGTACTTGGCGAAGTAGTCGTGTATTTGTTCCAGTATCTCCTTTCTTCGTATGTAGAGCTCTCGAGAGAGCGACACCTTCCCTTCTGGTGCCTTGTTAAGCTGTGCCCCGAGGTCCAGCCACAACGTCAAGATTCGCGGAAGGGTTTGATAGAGATATTTGGTGCCGAATAGGAGGGATCGCAGGTAGTTCTCAATCACAAGCCTCGCCGTCTCGCCCGTGAGATATTCATCGCTCTGGTCATCGGGCTTCAGAGTCTGCTCCGACTCCAAAAGCTTCTTGTAATGCCGGCCCAGGTAATAGTGCCCTTTCTCCCAGCTGGAATGAGTCAACGCGGCAAGTTGGTACTGCGAACGGAGGGCACTAGCATGAGTCTGCCCCGCGGAATCTTGCCATTTAGCAAGTAGAAGATGTGCCCTGGCTGTGAGTAGGCTTCGCTGGGAATCGATATTCTTGGACGACGTCGGCGCAGATGTGGCAAAGCTCTGGCCAATGAAGGTGTTGTTGGCGATGGCACCCTGCAGAACTTGGATTGCCTTTCGATGATGCCCGTCTCTCCACAAGAGCCTCGCATTCTCGATCGTTGCCGATCCGTCCCCGAGCTGCAAGGCGTGCAGTACGGCGTTGAATGACTGATGCATCGACCCTGACTTTCTTGCCAGGCGAGCGGTCGACAGCCAAAGAGATGAGATGTCTCCGTCAACGAATTTAGGCCTAGAACAGGCAGTCAGCAGAACATTCACACCGGGGAATCGAGCCGGAGTTGTGTGTCTGCACATACCGCATGGTCTCCATTGCTGCTCTCCTGATGCCGAGTAGGTATTGTTTATCGCTAACATAAGCCCCGAGTACCTCGAGGCGGCGTTCGAGGGCGGTAAGTAGCGCTTGTTGGTCGTGCTCCTCCTTTTGGCCCGCGATCATCTCTAGATCCGTGAGGACATGGCACTTGAGCATCGCATCGTGGCTTGCTTCGAGAGACGTGGTGGCAGAATACGACAATGTCGAAGCGACTTTGTCCCTCACCGTTTGGATGTAGCCCCCGAAGCCGCTCAAGTCGCCTTGTTTAAGGCACAACAGGGCTTGTGCAACTCCGAGGTTGAACACTTCGGTAATGTCGCCCGCATTGTAAAGTTGCAGGTACTTCTCGAGCGTCTGCCATCTTCCAGTCGCCCACGACGCTTCGACTGCAAAGGGGACGACCTTGTTCGCACTGGAGGTTATGTTCATGCCTTCCACATAATTCAGGAGGACGTCTAGCGATCGAACGTTAGTCAATCAGTCAGCCCAGCCTGAGGTCTCCGCTGCTGAACAACTTACCATGCTGGCCAGATTCTTTGAGGCACGTTAAAAGGTCCAGCTGGACATCGACATTGTCTGGGCACTCGGCCAAGCGGATCTCATACCAGGTCTGGGTTGCCGTCCACCGTCCGGCCTTCTTGTGGCTGAGGATCTGCTCGCTGAGGTTCACAACGGGGAAGTTTGCAAATATGCCCTCGAGGCCGTCGGGATCATCGATCTCAGCATAAATTTCCTGCAGCGACTTCATAAGCCTATTGTCTTCGCCCGTATCCTTCTTGTCCTCCTGTTGCTTGCGCCAGATATAGGGCTCCAAGTGGAAGAGGGCGCGCGCGTATTGCTTGCAATCGACTGCTCTTCGCGATATCAATTCTGGATGGATGGCGTCGAGGACTTCCTGGATCCGTGCAAACTGCCCCTCTGTCCGTGGGGTCGATCCGTGTTTTGCCCTGGTCACCTGCAGCCATCTCATACAATAGTCTAGGGTGCGGAAGACAGCCTGGTGAGGGTTAGTTAGATATGGACCCCCAACGTCAATGTGAAAGTCTGAATACCTACCTCGTAACAAAGCTTCATATCTTCTCGCTCAACATAGGTGGCATCCTCGGCAGGCTCATAATTCAGAATCGCAAGCAGTTCGCCCAGGATCTTGGTCCTGAACTCGGACGTACGATCTTGGCCAACGACAACGTGGACCACAACATAGGGGAGGAGGAACTCGGCAATTGACACGTCCTTGACTCGGATGACGCGACAGAGCGGCTCGAATATGGTCAGGGAGAAGGGGTTCTGGCCATTGCGGAGAAGATCAAGGACGAATGCCCGGAGCCAATTGACGTATCCCCTGCCAGGGCGAAAGATGGGATACTCGACTGGCTGGTGGGCCATTGGAGCCAGGTTGTACCCCGAGGTCAATAACGGCGCCAGTACCTCCCTAGCAGTATCTCCTAGGGCAAGCCATTTTCTGTAAATACCGGCGCTGGTCCCCTTTCCCTGCTCAAAGTACGCTAGCTTGAAGTCGCATCGGTTCAGGAGTTCCTGCATTGCGAAAGAGAGGAAGCCTATATATCGCGTATCCGTTGCTGATAGGAAGGACTTTACCAGAACCGTCTCCAACATGAAGCCAATAAAGTCGGTCGTTTCGGCGGCATCGTCAAAGTTATCAGTGACGACGAACTGCTTCTCTTCCCGGTTCGATTCAAGTCGGTTCGAGTCCAGGCAGCCGACGAGGCCGATACACTCGGCGCACAGCCGGGCAATGTCTGGCTGCATTCCATTATACTTGGCCGAGCAGTCAAGGAGAGCCCGGGTTAATATCAAGATGACGGAATCGGGCTGCTCACTCAGGGCGGACGTTTGCAGGTAGCTCTGATTCTTTTCCAGGTAGCCCGTCAGTTGGCTCAAGGTCTGCAACACCACGCCCGAGTTCTCGTGAGTCAGTCGCTCAGCGAAGATTACAAAAGCCTCTCTCTTATCGACGGGCTTTCGCATCGACTCCAGCCGCTTGTGCAACCCAGCAAGCTCCTTGATGTGCCCTAACGACGGGAGCTTTCTGATGGACTTGCCGCGGTCGGCTGCGTCACATTTGTGTTCGGCTATATCTCTCTCACGCTTAATTTCGATTCTCTCACAAATATCAAGCAAAAAGGTGATTAAGGCGATGCTCCTGTCCCTGGTTGCTTGGTCGAAGGACTGCCAGTAATGATCAATGATGAAGAAGGTCGTTTCGAGCAAGACCTGAACGTCCTCGTCTTCCATATGCATGAGCAAGACACTCCAACAAGAGAAGGCTGCGGATCTTAATTCATCATAGGCAAGAGCGGACAAGATGGACGCAGATATCTAACGGGATATTGTCAAACAATGTGCACCTACTTCAATGGCAACGGGCAGAGCATACCTGTGGTCGAGCTATGCGAACGTAAGACTCGCAGACCCGTATCATTTCTTCCATGGCCATGATGCAGAGCCTCTGTTCTTGGACCGGCGGTTGGATTGGCGCAGTGTTGTTGATAACTTCGCTGAGTCTCGCGGTGAGACCCAGGGCATGGTGCTGGAAATATCGACCAATGTGATGCCCCCTTTTCGGCCGTTTCTCTTTGTCTGTCAAAAGCATGTTGGCCATTAGACTAAGAGCATTCCGTATCTAGTCGAGGTAAGTCTCCGGCCCCAGCCCAAGCATTAGGTATATATATATATTACTTACACGATGCTTACGAGCCTCATCGGCTGCTGCACTGGCCTTGAACAGCTCCAGTCCTGTCAGCAGGGGTTCCGACTGAAGGAGTTCGACTAAAGTAAAGCGATCGAAGTGCGGCGATATGCACCGGAACAAGGTCATGGCGTGATCTTCAATATCCGGTACATCCTGGACCAGTAACAGAGAGAGGATGGCGCTCAAGTTGGAGCTGTCGCAGCAAGTCTCCCAAATATCGCTGTCGCCCCGAGCCTCTCCAATCTTCTGAATGACCTCCCGTTTCTTGGTCAGGACAAGCCACGGTATGGCATGGGTCTGCAGAAGACAGAGGAGATCCGGAACGCTCATCTGCAGCAATTCAGCCACCATCCTAGTCGTCTGGGGCTTCGAAACCAGATCTTTGACGGCTGAAAACGCAAGGTTTCTCCAGAATGGCGCGAATAGTCGCCTAGGGTTTGTCCGTCGAAAATGGGCGAGACTGAGAACCTCGTTGAAGGCAAAGGCGGAGACTATCATATTCCGATGTCCCAGATAGTCGAGCAGCTTAACAAGTACGAGATTGAGCTCCTCATCTGGAACTACGCGCCCTACTTGTCCCCAAGCAGAGATGCACGTTTCGTGGAGATGAGAAATGTTCTTGTCCGAAAGGGATTTGAGGACGGCCAGGGCATTTGCTCTGTTCCGTTGCAATATGTCTTCGCCTATTTCGGGTCGATTGACGCCTCCCAGGAACACACCCAAGGCTCGTCCAGCCGCAAGGCGCAGCTCCCTTATGGAGCTTTGGAGTGACTGCAGACACCAGTGGCCAGGCCCTGACCTCTCCAAATCCCACAGCTCGGGGTCCTTTGAATGGCGTAGGATTCGCCGAAGGGATACCATTGCGACAACGCGTGGTCGCCTCGATTCAAGGAAGCTAGGAAGCCTGAGGATCCTGTCGAAGATTGAAGACACAGCCGACTTCGTTCCCTCGTCTAAACATTGGGGTGGAGCACGACTGCCCGTTGTATTACTACAGAAAGAGCATCGCAAACTGTGTGAGGGATCGGAATTCGGTTGAATCCTCAATGTATTATCAGCCGCACAGGAGAGGCGCGAGAGCGCGTCAATCAATGCGCATCGACCCCTATCATGCAGCCGAGGGAAACTATCACTGTGCAACTGTCAGCCTCAGGTCGTCAGGGAAATGGACGTAAGCGTACGTACATCACGCAGTCATCTAGACTTGATAACATTCCCGGCGGGTTACTGGGGAGCAGACAACGGAGACTTTCAAGCAATTCTGCAAGGGCTGCCGGCTCCACGGCTAACCTCCTTCGTTTGGCCAGCGACGGGCCAGGGGCTGGCTGATCAGGTGGAGATTCAAGACCTAGAGCCACAACCTGACGTGCTAGGCCAACATCTTTGAAGTCGCTTGACTTGATATGTTGCTTGGATGACTTCAGACCAGGACTTGCCGCAACTTGTTCCAGCAACAGCGCCGAACGCTGAATGACGTTAGCTTCGCAGATTACATGTCGCCATGAGCACCTACCGAGAAGTCTGTCCCAGGCCCAAGCGCGACATTCTCGGCCGTGAGGGTTCTCAAAGGAGCAAGGAGCTGGCCCTTGATGAGCCTTGCGATAGGTTTGTGTTTGATTGCCGCCTGGGCGAGCCGAATAAAGGCAACACAGAGGTGTTGTCTTGCCTTCGAACTACCCTCGTTCTCGCCAAGTATGTCCCGTGGATTCTCGACTGCCCCGGCGCAAAAGAGCACTAGAGTGGCATATAATTTCTGGCAAGCGATGGCGTCGAAGCCGCAACTGTCGTTGCTCGTGTTGGAAATATCTAGAGCAAATTCAACAAAAGTTGCTGTTGGGATGTCGACAGCTGGCCTCCAATGAACGCGTAACTCAAACAGGGAGAAGAGAGAGTCCAGAAGCCACACTACATGCTGTGACACGAGACCAGAGGATCCCAAGCCTTCGCTTGGTAACGTGGCGTTCCTAATTATGGATAGAAGACTCATCGCGTGGTGGACAGCCTGGGGAATGCCGTGGATGGTATAATAGCAATCTTGAGGGAAGGGATCGGTTGGCAAGGGCATGAAAACCTCGGACGCGTTATTCGACGGTAGCTGTAGCTCGAAGGCATTGGTTTCTTCAGACGAGCATTTTTCCTTTAGAAGAGCCAGGATTGCTGTGAAATGTCAGCCTGGCCCGATATTAATTGCCCTACTAGACTAACCACTGATGCTCCCCTGGAAGTAGCTCGTTACAGTTGGTCGCAGGTCCCAGAGAAAGCCATTCCGATGGATGCTGATTATGACAGAACGACAGAAGTCTTCTATCACCGGGGACATGTCTAGACATGGACCGAGGCCAAGCATACGGAGCACCCTCGGGAAGAGCCACAACCACAATGGCCCCTGGCCGCGAAAGAGGAAGGACGTTCCATCGGTACTGTACTTCAGAACGGCCGGTGTCTCCCTTATGGTGACCTGAATAAAGTCCATCGCCTTCAGAGCGTCGGCGCGCAGTTTTGCATGGTTTGCAAACGGTTCATCCCACTTCAAGCCATCCAAAGCCACATGTGTGCAGACATATATGAGCATATGATTATGTTCAATGTGTTCTTGGTTCGTCTTCAGCGCCTCGGGCTTGTTCTTGATCCGCTCTATGACGGCGATAAGCCGCTTCAGCTCGCTGGTTTCATCAGGTCGCGTGCTGGATCGGGCGGAAGTCGTGATGGTCTGGACAAGTTGAGCTGCTAGAGTGGAGGGGGGTGGCCGGCCATCAGGACCTCCATTCGCAAGGCCGTGATGTCCCTGATGGCCGGGATTGCCTTGGGATCCCGGAGCCATGCTTCTTCACCCATCTCCCGCGGTCGGTGCTGGACACAGGGGCGGATCAACGCGTAAGAGCCAAGACGAAGTCGGTGATGTAGAGATCTCGCCCTGACGCGTTTAGTGGGGGAATTTTCAGGCGCGAGATCATGTGACGTCTGAATTAACTAGGCAGGCTGCTTAGTCATCGGATTACAGCTGTCGATCTGGCTGCAGCTGGTGTTATTTTTGACTTCGCATGGTCCGATAAATCACCCAAAGTGCCCCTACTGCCCTTAACTTGGCTGCTTTCTTTCTATGGCGGTACTGACAACCTCCCACGCCCCCAATCACCAATAGAGGTCATCTCTTTACGAGTAAGACAATCAAGATGGCCGTTTTCCCGAAGCGCAAGTTCGTTGGCGCAGCGGACGCGAACAAGTTTGGCGTTCGCTATAGGGCATTGATGGCGAAGCACCCATTCCTGCTCTTTGGGTTGCCATTCATGACGGTCATAATTGGCGGTTCCTTTGTCCTGACGCCTGCGGCCGCCATACGGTACGAGAGACAGGACAGGAAGGTTCGGCAGATGACTCGGGAAGAAGAGCTTGGTGTCGGGAAGACTGGGCGCAAGGTCGATATTCGTGAGGAATACTACGTAAGCTGAGCTGCCCCTTGAGTCCGCCCTAAGGTCTGCAGCATACTGATCTAACCTGTTTGCTCCTCAGCGCCTAGCATCCAAGGACCTCGACGATTGGGAGCAGAAACGGGTCAAGAGGCTTCGGGGAGAAAGCGATGGCGTGTTATGAACGGGGAGTTGGTTAATCACGTGCTTCATCCTGAATGGAGGATATCTCGCGGCCGCTTCTGAATCGCCGTTGTCCAGTCGAATATCATTCGCGCCTTCGTCCTTCGCCCTTCGAAGCTCTCGAACGTCCGAGTGTCCCTGATAATCCCGGGCCCTAGGTTACGGGTGACCAGCATGCGGCGTCATTCTGCCGCTCGTGACGGTATGGAAGGTTGTCACCGGTACGGTTCTGTGAGGCGGCAACCTCTTCGCCCCCGTGTCTGGAATCTGGAATCTGGAATCTGGAACCTGGAACCTGGAACCAAGCCACATGCTCCGATGCGCACACGTACACCCTGCTCTTGCGAAATCACAAGCCAGTGACGCGATCCTCGAGCTGTGGGTTGCCATTGGCGGGGTGGTTGGTGGGTGCCAAAAAGCTTCTTCATGACGGCCCACAATTCAGACTCCCGCCTAAGACTTGGGCGCATCGCCGTGGCGAAATTTATACAAATACATATGGAGATATGAAGTTTCGTGGATACATCCAGACCAGCAGCGACCTCAGGTTCAAATAACCCCTGGCACCAGGTACCGGTGTGGGGGGCTAGGTACCGGCAGTGATGTTGACTTTGATAAGACGCCGGGGAGTTTTAAGTTTGACCAATCAGCAGAATGTTCCGGCCCTTATCACGGATGTTGAGTGAGGTGGCGTCCATCTCGGGATGCTTGGTTGGAACTTGCGGGGTAAACCGGCTCTTATGAGTCTCGCTTTCACTCTCGGTGCTAGCTGATCGAAGTGTTAGCGCTTTGAACCGCTCTGTCTAGCGTAAGTCGTCTCGTCGATGCAAACTCTATTTGGCGCTTCGAGTCCTTATCAACTGTTGTCTTCTTCGATCCATGTTGGCCACGCCCCTACAGTGGACAAATTCATTCGTTCGGACGAAACTCCCGCCCCCAATAGACCTGCGGATGCGGAGTTAGCGTACTGTGTATATCAACCACACCATGAAGTGATGAAGTGATGAAGTGGCGGGTGAGCAGAGCCTGGCATGATCAAAGTTGCCACCCCCTGTCCAGAAGGGTTCAGGATGTTTCCCTGTTTCCTGGACCTTTTTGTGATGGTGATGGTTCGGGTGTCAGCCCTGAAACTTGTTGCTCGGTGTAGTGGTGATAGTCGTGTCGACAGTGTACGAATACTGTACGGATCCGCACTCACCCCACGTTACCCGAGAAAAAACATCGCCTCACCTTGCTACCTCACACCATCACACTGTGTCACACTGTGCCACTCTGGGATATGACGTACGTCCTGATCTAGTCAGTAGGGCCGATGGGCGAGGATAGTTAGCGATGTTCAGCAATCGACGTTGTGTGGTCTACTGGAATGGACGATCGGCTCCGGGGGCCATCTGGGTGGTTTCCACCCACACTTGGCGTCTGCTTCCTAATCAGTGATACGACCCAGAGTCTCGACCCGAGTCTCGCCCAAATATCCGCCCCGTCATAGTCCAAGGCACGCACTTCAGCTAAACCATAAAGCTGCAATTTCGACCCTACATGAGCCTCTTGCCCCCTTCCTGCATTGCATGGCTGCAAGGCACAATCTGCAATGCAAGATCTTCAGGAACCATCTTAAAAAGGCCCTTCAACCCCGGCCTGATATTGCCATCCCACCCTATTATTCCCTTCTCGCTGTGCAAGCTGGACTCTGCCAAGCATCACCTGAAGGTTGAATCGTTGGACCGGACCATTCATCGCAGAGGTCTACCTTGTCTTTGATACAACCATCTCCATCACACACCCCTACTCATCTTTCCATATTCCCCCATGCCCATCTTCTCCATGAACAGGCAGAGTGTGTTCCGGAGTTTCCGGGAACATAAAGCCCTCAAGGCCGAGGAACAACGCCAAGAAGAAGCTCTTCACCTCCATCAGAGAAAGCCAAGCGAGGCAAGTTCTGTTGCGAGCACGTCGTCAGACGCATCACAGCCATCAATATACCAGACGGATAGGTCGTCAGACTGGGATCCCCTAAGGCTGCATCCGCCATTGGGTAGGGCCCGACCGCCATGCATACCACCAGCACATACACCGGTCCGGTACCGGTACGAGGACGACGATAGCAGTCATACTAGCTCGCACCATCAACACACACGCAGTTACCGTGAGCTGCAGGCACAGTCCGACTCATCGACCGAAATCCACGACGGCTTCGACTTTGGCTTCAAAAACGGGCTAGAGTCGAGACCTGAAGCCGACGGGAGGGATCCAGGAGCCACTTGGCCGTCACCAACACGGAGAGACCGCGGAGGGTCAGATTCCCACTCGCCCGGGTCAGAGACCACGCCGACAGAGTGGGGCGAGGCCGTCACGCCCAGAAGGCGTCCCCCGGGCCACGATGAGGCAGATTATTTCATGAGGAGGGGCGGCTGGAAAAGGCAAGGCGTTGTCTTCGCTCCAGGGGTTCTAATCGCCGGCGAGGACGAGACATTCGACCTTCCGTGAAGGTCAATCTGTGTTACATTTATCCTTACCTTCTTGTTACCTTCTCTCTCTTTCTTCCACTTTGTTAGGGATCCGGAATTTCGGTTTTGCTGGACGAACCGGCAGAATGTACAACACAAATCAGGGTGGTTACATGGGGAACAGGCATCGGAGCCTGCCGGGTACTGGGAATTGGCTTTTGGCGAACAGCGGTTTTGTAAATTATGTCGAGGAAGGAAGGCAAGAATGTGCCAAAGACATGCAGCTCATATATGCATAGTGAATGCAGAAGTTATCTTGGGCGAATCTCAACTTGGTCAAGTTGGCGACAAAGATTCAGTCAACCTGTCATCCCATCCCATCCCATCCCAACCTATTCACAGTCCCTTTCCTACCAAAATTCTCCCTCTGTTCTGCTACATACCCATCGCACCTTGGCCACATATTCTCATAGGTTCCAGGTTTCGAAAACGTGCGAGTCCTAAGAGTCAGAAAGTCAAGGCAAACAAGAGCAAAAGATTACGACAACAAACCCAACGTCCCTTCAGTTCGCCGTCATACCCCCAAGTTTCCACCATGCCCAGCAACAAAAGCAAAGCAGTCACTGGTAGCTCTATCTCCGGATCTACCCCGACCCCCACCTCTACCTCTACCTCTACCTCTACCTCTACCGCTGCTTCCGCGTCATCGTCCACCTCCGGCTCCGCCAAAGACAAGCAGGGAATGACAGACTACGAGTTCATCAAGGGTGGATGGGGCAGCAAGAGCAACTTCATGCGCTCCTACGGGCTGAAGTTGTCGGACCCTGATGACCAGGCGATGGCTCGCCAGATCATCGACGAGATGCGCGACCAGGCAGGTCTTGGCCGGAGCCCGTTTCGAGCTCCCGAGCCGGGCTCATCCGGTCGCAAGTGAAGGCCCCTAGTCCCCTGGCAGGTTGTTGAAAGGAGCTGCTGCTCTCAAAGGCCTTGACATCAGTAGGGCAGTCGCTGGCTGGTCCATCTCAGTCGTATGATGGGTGGCATGGCAGGATGACGAAATACTGGAGCTAAGTCGACTTTTTTTCCCGAGTCAGGTTATGACGCGGCATCAACCACCTGGACCGCTGTGGAACCAAGAGAGAGCAGCTGTCGATAGCACATCAGAATTGGCAGCCATGCATTGAAAGTCGGGGCCTCGGGTGAATAACAATCTGGGCTTCCTAGGCGACAGGCCTTGCAGCTAGCAGTGCCGGTGACTGTGTAGAATAAGTGTGCCTCAGTTAACTGGTACCTGAATTGCCCAGCACTCGGTCACGTTCATCCCTAGTAAACATCGCTCATTTCAAGATGCAAGTCACCCCTGGGTGTGATTCTGTCTATTGCAATGTCTCAGGCCTTCAACGTCTGTTCCTATCGAGCAGCTTGCAAGTTTTCAACTGAGGTTGGAGTTTGGCAAGGGGTTTGGTACAAAAATAGAAGCGAAGTACCTACCTTAGCTACATGAGGGGCGATATGTCACGTGACTGAAAGTGCCTCAACCCTCGAATTCAAAACAAAAGGCCCCTCTGCCTCCATCCAAACCCTATCCCTAACCCAAATTCAACGGCTCATCAAAACATTCCTCCTCTTCGAAATCAATATCAAGATTGATCAAGGTTAAGCAATAATATGTCTGAGCGCGCCCGGAAAGATCGCGCTGGTTCTCGCCAGTCGAGGACACCGGCATCGCCGCCGGCTCGGCGTTCGGCGCGTCGAACGGTAGACATAGACCCCCAGCTCGCGCCAGAGAGCTCGATGCCTCCGCCACCTACACGAGGGGGAAGGGCTCTCCGCAGCCAGAGCAAAGAAGAGGAGACCCAGGCAGCGATTCCTCGTCGCGGAACTCGCCGCGATTTGCGGGAACGAAGCGTGGGCAGTGTTACCAGCAACTTTACTAAAGTCACTGGCACCGAAATCTACTCGGACTATCTCAAGCCTCACAGTCAGCCTATTGCCCCCTTTCTTATTCTGCCCGTGACCTAGGCTTACGAGCAAACAACAGACCTTTCAACGGTTGTTGAGGGCGATTCTGACCACCTCCAAGTGGAGACTGGCTCTCATCGCCAGAGTTCCGTCGCCCGCTCCGAGGAGAATGAGACGCCAGCAAAGAGACTAGCTCGTTCGAGACTCATGAAGACACTTCTTCAACGCCTCTTCAGTGCCTCAGATGATCTGCGGAATCATCTCCTCAACGCCCGAGGTGGTGACGAAACCTGGGAGGTCGAGCTGGAGTCGTACCGGCAAGCCTTCGCCACCTACCAGGCTAACTATGCTGACGCCGACAACTTCATCGACCCAACGTATGTGTTATCCAGGCTCGGCGCTCCCGAGGGCTCTCCGGTGTGGTACACTGCGTCGAAAGTTGTCTCGGCCGCGAACATCGCCGTTTTGCTTGATGACCTTACGACTCTTCACCCAGACGCAGAAGACATCCTGAACTGCTTGCAACGCTGGGATCAGATATTCCCCCTGTATTTCTTCCCCGAGAAAGAATCAGGCCAGCCCGATTGGATGACGAGCCAAGATAGTTTCGACTATGCGTTGCAGATTCGCACTCAGTTGTTGATTTCGACCCTCCGCAAATTTGACGGGCCAGAGTACGACCCATTCACTCTCGTTGCCAACATTTTCTGTAGCCACGGGACCAGGCCTGATGAGGTGCGGAAGTTCCTAAACGGCGATGATGGGTCCCTGCAGCTCAAGAGCCTGGCTGGAATCGATCTCAATGGCGAAGAGGACGACTGGTTGCGAGAGCGCTATGTCTCTCAGCTGCAGAGTTTGTGCTTCCTGCTAGCGGACGAGAAGGGCGTGCCGAACAATCTGGCACAGCTGAGAGAGGATCACCCGTTCAATCCCTTTGCTGATGGACTCGGACACTGGGCGCATACCTGCTTTGAAGAGATCAAAGCCGCCATGCAAGCTGCGCATTCTTCGACATTGTTTGGATCAGCTGGGCAAGGTTCGGTAGGAGGATCTCAGTTTGATTCACAAGGCATTTCCCAACCAATTGTTCGGGCACCTCCGGGCCAAGCCGCGTATGTTCTACCCTTCCGGTTGCTGAGGCATACATAACTAACGTGGTTCCGATCCAGGGCTGCTCCAGGTCTATCTCAGATTCAGTTGCTGAAACAAATGGAACATCAGCTCGCGGGCACCCCTCCGTCTGCACAGGGGGACCAGGCCATTACCACCGATGACGTTCTCCGTCGGAAGCAAGAAATCCAGTCGAGCAACTACCCGCCATCTTCGAGGGATATTGCATTTTCGCAGGCTGGTGTTCCACACAACGATGTGTCGGCATACGCCGGCCCAATTCTTGGGGGTGATGCTTCGGACAGCGGCATCATGTATGCTGAGTCTGCTGCCAGTCTCTCCGGTGGCACGAAGAGACGTCGTGCCGCGGATGACGACGACGATTTTGAGACCGATTCTCGCATTCCGGACAACCAGCGAAGAGTGGGAGGCGAACCGAGTACCAAACGTGCTCGCTTTGACAGACCGGCATCTGATTCAGCAGCCCTTGGCAACGCCGGTTCTCAAGCACCCGATGAGGATCAGTTGATTAAGAATCCGCCATCCTCGTACATGGACCCCGATCTCGGTGCCTTATCCCAGAAATCAAGGGAGATGTCGATGGCCGCCCGGAAACCCAAAGAGCCCCAGATGCGAACACCGTGGTCCCGCCATGACTGCAGATTGCTGATTAGGGCGGTTGACGCCTACAAATGTAGGTGGAGTACGATCGAGAAGGAGATCCAAAATGGCACCATTCCCTTCGAGCATCCACGGGACCAGCAGGCCCTTCGGGATAAAGCCCGGCTGTTAAAACAAGACTTCTTGAAGTAAGTGCCTTTTTTCCTCTCGAACTCGAAAAATGAACACACTGCTAACAAAGCAACTCATCAGAGCGGACGGTGTGCTCCCTCCAGGCTTCGACCTTGTTGTTCTGGGGAGAAAGGAGAAAACTTCCGTCATGCTTTGTGGGAAGAACCCCGACCGCAAGGAGGCTGATTTGGACGAGGATAACATGCCGACTAATACAGCTTTCCAAGGTTAAAGTTGAGCCCCTTTTTGTAAGATAGGAGTTGAGCGGATGTTTCGGCAAGTTCCTAGGTAATGGGTTCTGTGTTAGTAGCGAGCTGCGAAGGGGTATTGCCTACGATGGACAGGGGTTGTCAAATGTCTATCTCAGAGCCAGGGTTTCACTTCTTAACAGCACCTTCATGTCCTATTATTGCCACGGAGGAAATATAAATCTGGGACAGGATTCAGGAATGGAGTTTCCTGGTGATCCCTATCGATATTCCGTAATTAATCAAAAAATACTAGGTTCTGGAGGTAGGTGGCATGTGACTAAGCATGTGACTTCTCTTCGCACAACAACAACCTCTTTCTGGGCCCCCACATTCCCCTGTGCGCGTTGGTCCGTGCTCGTAACTTCCAACTGGAAACGTCGCCGACTTGTTGGTCAAGCTGATTTCCCACATGCTGGACTCGAGCGGCCGTCTTCACCTTTCCCAGTGCACGAAATCGTCATATTGCCCAAGATGAACTACGGCAAGAAGGACGAGGATGCCGATACCGGCCTCGTGAAGGTCGATCGTACTCAGGTCTTCCAGGAAGGTGAGTCCGCACAAATCTGGCCCAATATCATCACCCCGTATCGCGAGCTAAACGGCAGCAACCAGCACGACTGTTCAATAGCTCCCCAATCCAGCCTCGAAGATGCCGCATCCTCCTTACCAAGATTGCCCTCCTGCTCTATACGGGTGACAAGTTCCCCACCAATGAGGCCACCACCCTGTTCTTCGGTATCTCGAGACTCTTCCAGAACAAAGATGCCAGCTTGCGGCAGATGGTCCACCTGGTCATCAAGGAGCTGGCCAGCTCCGCCGAAGACATAATTATGGTGACCAGCACAATTATGAAGGATACCGGAGGCAGCACAGACGTTATCTACAGGCCAAACGCCATTCGGGCGCTCTGCCGCATCATTGATGTACCCTCACCACAACTCCTTGCCGAGCATGCTCGAGTCCTAACTATATCTCCAGGCCACGACTGTCCAATCGATCGAGCGTGTCATGAAGACGGCAATCGTTGACAAGAACCCCTCGGTATCATCGGCCGCACTCGTTTCCTCGTATCATCTTCTTCCCGTTGCCAGGGATGTAGTCCGGCGGTGGCAGAGCGAAACCCAGGAGGCCGCCGCCAGCACCAAGTCGTCTGGAGGGTTCTCTCTCGGCTTCTCGTCTTCGTCGGGCAATCTCCCTGTAAACAACTCGACAATGACACAATACCACGCGATCGGCCTGCTCTATCAGATGCGAATGCATGACAGGATGGCATTGGTTAAGATGGTGCAGCAGTTTGGCACTGCCGGCGCAATCAAGAACCCTGCCGCCATCGTTCTGCTCGTCCGCCTAGCCGCTCAGCTGGCCGAGGAGGATCCGCATCTCCGGAAGCCGATGATGCAGCTGCTGGACAACTGGCTACGGCATAAGAGCGAGATGGTCAACTTCGAGGCCGCCAAGGCCATCTGCGACATGAGGGACGTTACCGATGCCGAGGTTTCTCAAGCCGTCCATGTCCTGCAGCTCTTCCTCACCTCCCCGAGAGCCGTGACGAAATTTGCTGCCCTCCGTATCCTCCACAACTTCGCCTCGTTCAAGCCGCAAGCTGTGAATGTCTGCAACCCTGACATCGAACTCCTGATCTCGAATAGCAACCGCTCAATCGCAACCTTTGCGATCACCACTCTGCTCAAGACGGGTAACGAGGCCAGCGTGGATCGACTGATGAAGCAAATATCCGGGTTCATGGCCGAGATCACGGACGAGTTTAAGATTACCATCGTTGAGGCGATCCGGACCCTCTGCCTCAAGTTCCCCAGCAAGCAGGCTGGCATGCTTCAGTTCCTCAGTGGTGTTCTGCGCGACGAGGGTGGCTACGAGTTCAAGCGAGCCGTCGTGGAGAGCATGTTCGACCTGATCAAGTTCGTCCCGGATTCCAAGGAAGATGCTCTCGCCCACCTCTGCGAGTTCATTGAAGACTGCGAATTCACAAAATTGGCCGTGCGAGTCCTCCACCTTCTGGGTCTCGAGGGACCCAAGACCTCTCAACCCACCAAGTACATCCGATACATATACAATCGGGTCGTCTTGGAGAACGCAATCGTCCGGGCCGCGGCTGTGACCGCCTTGGCCAAGTTCGGTGTCGGCCAGAAAGATCCTGAGGTCAAGCGTAGTGTGCAGGTGCTTCTCACCCGCTGCCTAGACGATGTCGATGACGAAGTCCGGGACCGAGCTGCTCTTAACCTCCGACTCATGGCCGAGGAAGATGAAATGGCAACCAGATTTGTCAGGAACGGTAAGTTTTAACTGTTTTACCCTCCCTAGAAACAACCCCTTGTTGATCATTGTCGATTAGATACCATGTTCGCCCTTCCCTATTTCGAACATCAACTCGTCATGTATGTCACATCAGATGACAAGTCGACATTCTCCGAGCCTTTCGACATCTCCCAGATCCCGGTTGTGACCCGGGAACAAGCAGACGCAGAGGACAGGACGAAAAAGCTCACAGCAACGACTCCATCACTCAAACCACCGAAGGTTGGCCCTACCAAGGTTGGCCCTACTGGCGCAGATGCTGCTGCTTCGGCAACTGCGGTCGCACAGCAACACGCTCAGGAGTTGCTACAAATTCCGGAAATGAAGGAGTTCGGTGCTGTCCTGAAATCATCACCCGTCGTGGAGCTCACAGAAGCCGAGACCGAATACGTCGTCTCGGTGGTCAAGCATATCTTCAAGGAGCACGTTGTGCTCCAGTACGAGGTCAAGAACACATTGCCAGCGACGGTATTGGAAAATGTCTCCGTCGTAGCTACGCCGTCGGATGACGAAGAGCTAGAAGAGGTGTACATCATCCAAGCCGAGAAGCTTGAGACCGACGTGGCAGGCAAGGTATACGTCGCGTTCAAGAAAGTCAACGGCGAGGGATCAATGCCCGCCTCCACGTTTTCCAACGTGCTCAAGTTCACCAGCAAGGAGATCGACCCGACGACGAACGAGCCGGAGGAGACCGGCTACGATGACGAATACGAAGTTGCCGAGTTCGACCTGGCCGGCAGCGATTATGTCATCCCGGTATTTGCGAGCAACTTTGCGCATATCTGGGAGCAAGTTGGCGCCGCAGGAGAGGAGGCCGAGGAGACATTGCAGTTGAGCGGAATGAAGAGCATAGCAGGTACGTGGCGTGGCGACTGGAGCTTGAGCATGTCTGATCGGGAGCTAACACACACGCAATAGAAGCTACAGAGCAGCTGGCCAAGACGCTGTCATTACAGCCCCTGGAAGGCACAGATGTCCCGGTCAACCAGACGACGCACACGCTCAAACTCCTGGGCAAGACGGTCCACGGCGGCAGGGTGGTTGCCAATGTCCGGATGGCCTTTTCGTCCAAGTCGGGAGTGACAACTAAGATCACCGTCCGAAGCGAGGAGGAGGGGGTAGCGGCACTGGTGATCGGGTCGGTTGCTTAATGAAGTTGATGCCTGGCGTTTTTCCCCTCTCCCAAAAATTGATATTTGGCAAGACTTTGAACAGTACCAGGGAGGACCATCGTCAATCCCCCTATAGATTAGGTAGAGTACCTAGGTAGGGTGAACAAGGCCCTGGAAGAGTTTAAACAGATTATCCTCCCAGACCTGGCAGCGTGTTGCAACACCCGGGCTTGGCCGTACCGAGCGTATTCTGTCAATACAAGCACGGAGGGATTCATTCATGGTTCGTAGGAGTCAAGTGTTACTCAGACAAGAAGGCTCTCGACGACGACACATGTATGCGCGTGGTCTGTTGACCCGTTTACTTGCTCTTCCACCTCTATACTAGCCACTAAATTATCAGAAACACCGCCCGCTATCTATTGTATACCTAAACTTTAACCGAGCAGTTGCAAACAGGTACCATGGTACTTGTCCAGCAACCTTCCATATCGTCAACGTCAAGAGGATAATTCCAATGCATTACGTAGTTCGCCAGGTACGTACTTTGATGATGCACAGGGGCGCCTGACAGGGGGTCTGATAGGCTCTTGACCCAGACTGGCCCCAGAATCCACATGGCAAGACGCGACGAGCAGGGTTCCAACATTTTTAATTGTCTCCCAAGTAATAATTCTTCACACTCCGTCGAATTCTCGATCTGGAATTTCGCGCTCGTCTCCAAATCGCGACCACCCGTCGGCTCGCCTCCAAATAGCGAAGAAGAGGGAGAAAAGGGACAAGCGACAAGGGGCACAAAATGTACGTTCGACAGGACAGGCTACCTGCGCTCCGGCAGTACAAGTACTCTGGTGTCGACCACTCGCTGCTCTCGAAATATGTCCTCAAGCCGTTCTACACAAATGTGGTCATCAAGTGCTTCCCCATGTCCATGGCCCCGAACGCCATCACCCTCACTGGCTTCATGTTCGTCGTCGCCAACTTCCTGACTTTGCTATGGTACAACCCAACCTTGGACCAGGACTGCCCCTCCTGGGTCTACTACACCTGGGCCGCCGGCCTATTCTTGTACCAGACCTTTGACGCCGTGGACGGAACACAGGCGTAAGTACTTGGTCCCCCTTTACCTCCCTTCTTATACGCAGCCCCCCTTCCCCCTCCCTCTCCCCCCGCAAAGAAAAAAAAAGAACCGTTGCCAACTCAAATCCGGAACCCGCAGTCGCAGGACCCACCAGTCTGGACCCCTCGGCGAGCTCTTCGACCATGGCGTCGACGCCCTCAACACGACGCTCGAGGTGCTCCTCTTCGCCGGCTCGCAGAACATGGGACAGGGCTGGAAGACGGTCGCGACGCTCTTCGCCTCGCTCCTGACCTTCTACGTGCAGACCTGGGACGAGTATCACACCAAGACCCTCACGCTGGGCATCGTCAACGGGCCCGTCGAAGGCATCCTCGTGCTCGTCGGCGTGTACGCCCTGACGGGCTTCATGGGCGGCGCCCACTTCTGGCAGCAGGGCATGCTCCCAACCGTCGGGATTCCCCGGCCTGCCGCCGTCCCGCAGGCCGTCTACGCCCTGAGCTTCACCGAGTGGTACCTCGTCCTCGGCACCTTGGTGCTGGTCTACAACACGGTCGAGTCGGCGCGCAACGTCGTCCGGGCCCGGCGCGCCCGCGGCAACCAGAGCCGCGTCGCCCTCCTCGGCCTGCTGCCCTTCTTCGCGACCTGGGCCCTCGTCGTCGCCTACCTGATCCTGCAGCCCGACATCCTGCACCTCCACCTCGTCCCCTTCGCCCTCTTCGTCGGCATCGTCAACGCGTACTCGGTCGGCCGCATCATCACCGCCCACCTGGCGGGCCTCGACTTCCCCTACGCAAACGTCCTCGTCCTGCCCCTCGCCTACGCCGTCGCCGACTCCCTCGGCCCCTTCCTCCAGTACGAGACCAACCACTCCTGGCTCGGCTGGCCCAGCGCCCTCGGCCGCGGCGTCTACCAGGTCGCCTTCGTCTTCTGCATGCTCGGCGCCGCCGTCGGCGTCTACGGCAGCTTCGTCGTCGACGTCATCGTCACCATCTGCGACTACCTAGACATCTGGTGCCTGACCATCAAGCACCCCTGGGACCCATCGGCGCAGCCACTGCAGCCGGCGGACGGGAAGGAGCAGAGCGCCCAGATCGCGCACGGGAAGAAGACGGCCTGAACTTGGGTGTGGTTTTGGATGATATGACCGGGGAGGACGGTGTGGGTTCCTGGCCCCGGATCCGGTGGGAGGGAGGGCGGAGGATCTAATAAATGCTGCTGGGTTCGACGAATCATTCGAAGAGACGAGAACCAGCGTATATGTGCCACATATGGATAGGAGGACAAGGGACCGCAACATATAATCATAGAGTTGGGTGGAGTTTTGGCGCAACGATCTCAGGGACGAGATTGGCTGTTCGGTCGATGCGACCGGTCTGGTAGGCTCATTGTTCTTCCACGCGAGAGATACCAGCTATATATATATAAGTTTAATGGTGGGGAGAGATGGGTTGAGTTCGCGCAGCTTTGAGGCAGAAACTTCATCAGCCAGAGGACTGTCGCTAGCATCCATGGATATTCCAAGGGGGTGAACATGTCTCGGGGATCCTCGCGGCTGCCAAGATTAGGTTCCGATATAGGAAGACGGACGATAATATACTCCTACCTAGCCACTTAATTATCGAGCACATCTCCATGTGGTGCGAAAAGCAGAGCTGCCGTGCAAGCACAAACTCCTGAGGCGGACATGGACTGCCCTGGAAAATACCTCGCTGACCTGATACAACTCCTGACCCGAAGACGTGGAGAACAGCAAAACAATGTCCGTTCCCCTTCCCTCCCCCATTATACCACCCACCGAATTGCCTTCCCAATACCCGTTACTTCCGAGACTTGGACTTCCTGGCAGAAGGCCATCTGCGACAGTGGAAGCCTCTCTATCTCCCCCGGCAGATTTTATCTAAGTCCGGCACTGTTAGGCGCCTCATCTTCGTGGATCATCCATCCATGCACGCCAGGAATGCCAGAAATACAAAGACAAAACTCATCCGTACACCTCCCAAAGTGTTCATCAACTCATATCGAGCCACTCCGCGCCGAGCAGTCTCCCCTGTGACTCTCTGGCTGGCACAGCCAGTCATCCACTGGGGGTTATTGTTTCTCGAGCGTCCCCGACGAAGGGCGCATTTCATCCTTCGGTGCCAAGTCAAATAAAGAAAGTCGCTGGTGTGCCTTGTCTCGGGCTTTGTGCTTTTTTTTTTTTTTTTTTTGCAACGTTTCGAATAGGGCATGGTGAACGTATTCGCTCCTTTTCGCTGTTGTTTCGCCCTTTTAATTCTTTACAATAACGCGTCGCTGCCGCTGGCAGCGCTCTGCTCGATGGCCTCGATGATAGCACGTTCCTCGAAGACGGGCCCCTGACCATCGCACTTAGCCTGATGCTTGAGACGTTCGCTGACATCTGCGATGTCAACCAGGCCCCGCTTGAACATATCGTGGCTGACGATCAGATCCCAGGTAGCACCAGCGGCAAGGAGCTTCTCGCCATCATCGCTCATCACGACGCGGTGGCTCGGCGTCTTGTTGTCGTGGTTTTGCAGGACGTTGGAGTAGAAATCAGTAGGGTTATACGACATTGGGCCTGTGGTAACGGGGGCGGCGCCATTGGAACCTGGTGACCCGGCAGCTTGCATAGATGATGTTGCCCGGAGGATCTCATTCTCGGTGCTAATCTTCTGGAGATCACGCTTCAGCCGCTCATTTTCGGTGGCTGTATGCTGCTGTGCTGCCTCCAAGTCGGCGAGCTTGGCCTCCAGGTCCTTGACATGGCGTTCCTTCCGTTCCCGGAAGGCGCGCTGACTACATTTGAGAAGTGTTCGTTAGCGGAGGCTGCAGTGATGGGAGCGGATGGCACTGGATAATAAACGACAACGGCTAGGAGCGAGGACGGGGTGGATTTGTGACATACGCAGCGCGGTTCTGGGCTTTCCGCCTCGATTGGGCGGGCGTCAGGTCGTCTTCCTCCGAGTTGGACCCTTGCCTGCGGCTCTGAGCCAGCTCTTCCGGGGTCTCTTCCTTGGAAATGGAAAGGACATCGGCGCCGGTGTGAGCCTTGACAGCGCCGCCATTCATGCCTTGGGGCGGCTGCGGTTGGCTGTGGATGCCTGCATGCTGGTTTGGGGGGGTCGGAGGACCGGGAAAGGCGTGGCTCTGGCTGTATTGTGCATAGTTATCGAAGCTCTGGAATTGGTCCTGGGGCAGACCGTTGGGGAATTGGTCGAAACCCTCCTGAGTAATGATTTTGTAAGCCTCTTGGTCATCAATGGTGATTGCGCGTTAGGCTGGGGCACCGAAGACGAGCATGCGGCAATAGCGGAGTTGGGGGACCACGAGGGAGGAGCGACAAATGAATATTTAAAGAGCTGAGGCGCCTGCCTGCTTGCAGTTTTCTGCTGACACCGGCGGGCTTCCATGTTCTGAACGCAAATCAACTAGGAGGGGCAACCTACTACCGGTGGTGAGGTGGTGTTGAAGTCATCCGAGGCAGCCGAGTTGGAGTGCGAAGGCGTGAGTGGAGGAATGCCCACGAACTGGTATGGCTGGGTTCCGCCAAAGTAGGCAGCATGTGAGAAGTCCATGGCGCAAGTCGTGTGTTTCTCCCGTGGCCAGCTCTTAGCACTCGGTGGCGAGGTCGACAACGATGCTTTCTTCCACGGCTCTTCCTCTTTCGGATATGGTTTGACTAGGTGGTGGTGGGCTGGCTGGAATTGGAAGATGGGGATAGGAAGATTTGGAGGCGGATGGAGGCGGATGAAGGTGGTGTCCGGTGAAGAAATAACAAGCGTACAATGGGGGTCCAAGTGCAGCGAGAGGGGCCGTTGGCTTGGAGCGGTGCGGCGTGTTGGACGGGAGGCAACTGCATGGGCAGGCGGTTAACCACACCTTGCGAATGCGGGCACATTCACAGCTACCTACCTAATTAACCTAGGAATACATGGCAAAAAACCTACCTAGGCACCCGCGATATGCGACCTTTACAGAAGCAGCGCTGCCAGCCTTCTATGGGGTCTCCTTCCTGCGGGAACAGCCCAGATACCTACCTACTTGAATTATTAGATCCCTACCCACAGTCGGGCTGCATACCTTCCAGGTTACTTCCATACGGGGTACTGCGTACCTAGGTAGGGACGGGAGGTAGGTTGGTCTAAGGGGAGGGACCTCTTAATTAGTCATCCAGGGATCCATGTCAGGTGGCCTGCAGCCGAGAAGGATTGAGCCCCACCTCTAGCGTAGTTCGCTGCGGACTGTTTCTGGTAGGACCGTTCTGGGCCCCTGTTACTTCCCAGTTCCTCCTTCCCAAACCATCTTCTCAATGTACTGTACCAGATCTATTTTTGCTGCCGCACGCACTGGGGGCAGGCGGGACGGGAGCTTGATCAGCTTCTAGCTTTGCAGACCAAGTGGTCGATAACTGCTAGTTCCATGTTAGATACAGTAGAGGTATCTTATGGCTCCCAAACCTACGGCTACGGTAGGTAGGTAGGTAGCTGTCTCATCCCCATTGGAAACAGCGATTCATCCTTTTCCGTGTATCGATGCCCTCCACTGCGTACCTATGCTAGAGATTCCTCGGTTCAGCCCAGAACATATCGGCAATATGCAGAATGCTCAGTACAAGACGGGGATTTATTCACCGTCGAAACAACACATCCACTGAGGTACGGAACAGGTGGTTGGTTCAACTGGCTTTCAGCAAGCATAAGTTGGCACCCCATCGTTTGCCGAGACTCTCTTTCTACCAAGACCCGAGATGCTTGCGGGGTCTGGGTGTTTACTTTCAGGTGTTTCCATATAGAGCAATGTGACATGTCGCCGGGGTTGGCCTTGACCATGGCATCCTCGTTGTGAGGAATCTACCTACCTAAGTTTAGTTTGTATTGCGTTCGTGGAGGCTTAACCATCATTGCGGTCCAAATGGATGCCCTCTCCTCACTACACTCCCCTGGATTCATCTGCCGTCGGGGCAGCTACCGTCCCTAATCACATACTATTGATCTCTAGGGAACCTCCTGCTGTTCAATGGCACCTACCTAGGTACCTGGCTAGGTAGGTATTCACTGCTTTCGCACTCATTTCCGTCAAACCATAATGTTAACCAACGGACTCTAACAGGGCTCTGAAGTTTATTGCTTCTAGTAGGAACCTTCTCCAGGGCAAACCCTCGTTTTAATATATACTTGTCAATTTAAGTTCCTATCCTGCAACAGACAAGATTGGTGACGTGGTTCAGGTCTTGTTGGAAGGAAGGGCAATACGGCCTGATAGATCTGGCTGAGTTGGCAGGAAAGCCATGAAGTTGGTTCGTGGGCATGGCCTGGCTGAAAATCAGACATTGTGAACAAATTTGCATCTCTATATAATTGCCTGTCGAATTGGTGGTAGCGGAAGTTCGTTGAAAAGGGGCAATGGTAGTGAATATGGCACTGTTGCAACCAACCTTCCAGTCATGAAGGGGCAAACGTCAAACAAGTTATGCTAAGTTTCCCTACCCTTGCCTCATTTACTAGCTACGGCCTAAAGTTTGTTGTTTTTACTTTCTCTTGTCAGTTGGAGAAAATCAGACCGTGGCCAAGTTGTGGATATTTGTGGCCAGGGCTGACCATACTCACCACTTTCAAATCCTCCCTAGGCGTGGCAGCCTGACCCAGAGGAAGTCTTGATTTTTGACATTTTCAGAAGTCAGCCCGTGGTCGTGCCTGCAGTGAATCTTGCAGGTGTGGTCGGCTTGGGTAGTGACTACTTCGAACCCGAGCCACCAACTCCTTCCCTCTTCATCGAATGCTGGCCGGACCCGCCCAGTCGCCAACATCGGGTTCATTCTCAGGACATCGAAGCCGGGTTGTTACAACATCCTGACAATGGTCCATCATTAAGGTATACTGGGTCTTTTCATCTACTTTCCCTTTTCCCTATCGCCCTTCTTTCTCCCAGGGCCCTTCTTGACCTCCTCATCGCCACCTTCTTCCTTACCCACCTCATTTCATCCATCCAAATCGGAGAAACAAAACACACTGAATAGCAGCCAGATACTTGTTATTTACCTCCCTGACCGAGTCACCTCCATTGCCGAGTCGACGCGTGATTCAGCGCTTCCCTGAGTAGACCTTCCTCACCTTCAGACTCACCTTTTCCGTCAAGAGTGCCACTCTTTCATCCACACCTCTCCGCGACAGCCTCAGATTTATGAGAAACTTTTGATCCGACCATCTTCTCTTCTTCCCTCCGTCTGAAAATTCCGATACTTGCTAGCCGGAAGATCCACCATGGACAACCTCTCACCTCCATCCTTCAACTTACCAACAATGCCATCTACAGCCGCAAAAGAAAAGAAAACGCCCACATATACAACAGTGGGTTCGATCTACAACCCACAGGCTGCTACTCCTCTTCACCCTCCAGCCCGGCGAGGTCGCACTTTTCGATATCCACCTCCCTATCAATCCCCAACTGGTACTGGTATTGGCACCGGTCTTGGTCTTCCAAAGTCCCAGTCGGCACTGGCCCTGCAGGAGACATTGGCGACAGACTTTCCGGTTGGAGGAAATAGTATTCAGAAGTATTCTCCGCTCCAGCAGAATTACGACCGTGCAGTCAGCCCCATGCCAGATCACGACATGGTGGCCACCCCCTTAGGACTAGGAATAGAGATTCCAGGCATGCGAGAGGGCAATGCACTCCGTCCGCCCCCGGGATTCACCACTGCCGGAAAGCTCACCGACACCAACTCTGAGGACAACAATGACGTGGATGAGGGGAACACTCTTACAACTCTGTTCAACGTGAAAGGCCTTACCAACTTGGCTTCTTACCCGAACCCGATGCAAAAGAGGGCTCAGAAAGCACTGGCCAAGGGGCGCAATTCCAACCTCACTCGTCCCGACACCCCGTCTTCATTCGCCCATACTTCTTCAGATATTGGAAAGGAGCACTTTATGTCTCCAGGCCCCTCTCATCCAGGTCCGCAAAACCCACAGATTGAGCCGAGAGCTAAGTTGGAGTCGAACGGAGCTCCCAGATTTCCAGCACAGAGAGCCACCTTACAGGACTCGACGAGCTTTCCCATGAGGGGCGGTAGCTTCAGCATCCTCTCCACTGGCCCCGGAGCGCCACGGCCCTTGACAGCCGGTCCACCTGGTCAGCGTCAGTACAGGGCATCAACCTTCGAAGCTACCCTGAAGGCACTGCACAGCAATAATCAGACTGGCCAATTCGGATCTCAGGTCGAGTCAGCGGAATACCAGTCATCTTCTGCCTCGAGCTTTTATATACCGCATTCCGCCACGCAGCCTACAGCTAGCCGCGGCAGGCCGACTACAGGACAGCAATTCACTCTGGCTGGTGACAGCTCCGCCCTCGAGGAGCATTTGTCTATCTCGGAACTCGAATCCGAACCGTTCGACGAAATCAAGGTGTCGCGTTGCAAAATCATCGAGACACTCACACCAGATGCCGCCAGAAAATACTTTCCCAATGGTCTCCCACCTGACTACTACGGCCGATACAAGTTTCTTCCCCCCGACTGGCTCGAAGCGTACCCTCTACACCGCCAAAACTCGCGCCCATGGACAGCCGAACAGTTAGCTCGGCGGCAGACCAAGATCGACCAATCCTTCTATGCGGGTACCGATAGGCTCGGTAAGAGTATGGAAGAGGCATTCCAGGAACTTCGGCGACGACGGTTTGAAGCAACGATGGGCGTCATTGGGGAGCAACGAGTGCCAGCCAGGCGTCTCCTCCTCCAAGCGGCTGGCAAGGACGAGAAGGTAACCTACCCGCCGATGACGGTCGAGGAAGCCAATGGTCAAGACGATGCAGCACATATCGAGCCTTTTCTGAGCATGACATTTGCGACGTTCCTGAGTTATGCCGAGGAATACGACAAGGATGAAAAGGATAGGGGTTGGCGAAGTGGTTTTGTCACGCCAGACGAACGCCTCATTGACGACACAGACGAGGGAAACAAGAGCTTCTTCACAGAGTACAAGAAGCCGAAGAAGAATAGGAGGGCGAGAAGGGGATACTAGAGAGCTCTTGGCTGCCACACCGGACCTGTCTGTGTCTCCCCAACATGGGTGAAGAATTGAGAGGGAGTGGGAGGGCTACAGCTGCAAGTCCTCATCGGCCCAGAACCGAGGCAATAGGTGTTGCGAAAAGGGCGGATGTATCTGGGAAATGTGTCTGTGCTAATCCATTGGGCTCTGTTGATGGAAAACGGTGTTCGCTCTGCTGCTTTTGGAGAGCGACGCGGGAAGGGCCGAGGATATACATTTTGGCGTCTCTCAAGCCAACCACGGCTTTGTATCTTTAAAGCTCACTTGATAGCTCTTTTGCACAGATGTCTAATCATGTAATAGTCTCTCTCCCCATTCGAAAGGCCTAGAGATATGACATGGCTGGTCGTCTGGTACGGTTACCATGGCGACAGAACTCACTGCAAAGACATGGTCTGGAGCGCAGACGTCCATTCCATGGAGAATGCGATATATTTCTTCCCCATTCGCAACTCTAGACTACGGACGAAAACCTGGCACTGGTGGGACGCAAGTCGTTCTGATCATGTCCGGCAAACCCCGGCCCCCCACCCCACCCTTTCCTCCAGCGCTGCCCCTGACCCGAGGCAGATCCAATGACCGTCCACTTTCCCGGCTAGCCAATCACTACCCAACACAAATCGGGCTTTCCCGCAGCGGAGGTACACCGGCACATCCTCGAAGTGAGATATCGGGGTGGGGGCAGCATAAGCCCCGGCAGGGGCGGGTTCCCGCCAGTTAAGTAATAATGAAAAAGGACGAAAAGAAAAGGGGAATAGGAGTGTGTGTGCTTTGGAAGGGGGAGGTTAGGTGCCGCACACCCGGGTATATATTTATGCGATGGTTGATGATTAGGGAGGGATGTTGATATTGGTAGTCGGAAGACGTTTAGGAGATGGTTGATGGTGGCGGGCAGGACCGTGAGATTGGATATCAGGTGGTACAACGTGCTGGCTTCTTCCAGCACGCGAGCTGCTGTTCAGAGACAGGACATGTATTTTATGTGGCACCCATTTCTGTCAAGCAAAAGTCCTGAAAATCGACAAGATATGCCGGGCTTGGTCATGGAGATGAGCCGAAGTCTATACATTGGGGTGATGAGGTATATCCTTGGCCGGCGTAAACCGCCACAAGGGGCCACCAAGGTTGGGCATGCCCAGCTGAAGAGGACGAAGAGCAAACAATAAACAGGGAAAGGGAACTGGGGGTTCCCGTGCCATTTATAGAGGACCGGCAGGATATGCACTGCCCGGAATCATCCCTGAGCCTGCCCTTGGCTGGATATTCCGCGGTGCCGGGAGCTCGAAGTCGGGATTCGACTTGAGCAGCACGTCATTGCGGTTCAAGGCCCGACGGGGTGCAATGTTCTGGCCGTAGCCCTGTGCCATGGGTTGGGGCATGGGCGGGGGCGGGTTCCACCTGGGGTTTATGCCTCGCTGGGATATGGATGTAAAGTTTGACCGTTCAGATTCTGCGGGGCTCCGTTCCCCAAGCGGGATATCCTCGTAGGAGTTAGTGGTTTGGATAGGTGGGGGAGTCGGTCTTTGGGTAGTGGAGGGCTCCGCGAAGCGCGGATCCACGTCCTCGTAGTACTCACCAGCCTGAGGGGGCTGCTGTGGACCCGGGCTTCCGCGGTTGGCGAGCTCTGGGGCTCGGCTCGGCACATTCAACGGGGAGGGCATCCTCGGCGAGCTTCTTCCGGCTCCTTGGTTCCATGCCTGCCGCGGGGGTACATAGGCGGGTCTGGAGGTGCCATGTTAGCTTCAACTCGACAGAGGAGCCCTTGGGACCGAGAACAGAAATACTTACTCCTCCTGGCTATATCTGCTATCTCCGCTTATGTACGCCTCTTGGCGTCGAGGCGAGGTTGCCCTCGCCTGCTGAAGAGCAAGCATGCCGGCGACATCAGTATCGCTCTCTCTGATGCCAAACTGGCCGTAGCCTTGTGGCGGGTGTGAGGGGCTGCCGCTCGCCGCATCTAGCTCTACTGCTTGGGCAGCATTGCCTCCTGTTGGAAGAGGAGGCGGTGACTCTGCCCGCGGTAAGCTGCCCCGCTCCGGGTTGTACGCGTCATAGCTAAGAGTCGAAATACTGGGGTTGGATGGATCCATGTAGCCGGGAGCTGACGGCGGTCCGGGAGACGCCTGTCTGCCATAGGGTCCTGTATATCCTCTCCGGTCATACGGTCCGGGTCCATCTTGGTATCCTGGCGGCGGCGGCCTCCCCCCCCTCATTCCCGCTCCCCCGTAGCTTCTTGGCGGTGGGCCGTATCCACCTCTTGCACCTGGTGGAGGTCCGTACCCTCCCCGTTGCTGAGACCCGTATCCGCCCCGTCCTCCGTTTGGTGGCGGCCCGTAGCCATCATACCCGCCTCTTCCGGGCCCTGGGCTACGATAACCTCCTCGACCACGGTAACCCCCTGGTGGCATCCCTCCCCCTCTACCTCTTGAATTCATCCCCTCAAAAGACGGTCCCCTCCTCACTCCGTACCCATCTGGGGGCCCCTGGATAGGATTCCCAAACTGATCGAACTGGACGGGGGGAGCTGAGTTGGATCGATGGGGGGGACTATGCATGCCAGGCCCGTTGGGGGGCAGATCGGTCGCGTTGACAGCGAGATCACTGGCTAGGTTGTTGGGCGACCTCTGTGAAGGACTGCGCGCTGTCAAAGGCACTCTCTCATCGCTGCTTCTGTCATCCTTCTTCCCGAAAGATGCAAACTCTGGGAGTCTGTCTCCACCAGGCTCCCCCGCACCATTGGCGCCGCTTAGAACAGGAACGGTGGGCTGCATTGTCACAGTTGACGCCGCCGCAGCCTGTTGGGCCTCTTGAGCCTGCCTGTTGAAGAAGTTCTCGCCGCTCATCTCGGCATTTTGTGCAATGCGCTTCTGCCTCGTCTTCCTGCTCACGACGGTTCTCCGCATGGCACATGACACCAGGCTGCTTAAAGCAACCATGATGGTAGCAGCCAGCACAAGGTATGATCCCCAGGCCATGTGTGGAACAAATAGAAGAACGTCGATGAGGAAGGCCAGCAGGCAGAGGAGGAAGTCCAACAAACTGACGATGAAGACCAGGAGGAGATACCTCGCAGAGTGTGAAGCCGAATGGAAGTGGGCGACAACAGCGAGAACAAACATGGCCAGAGTGAAGAAAGCAGCGACCGGGTGGATAATAAGAATGGCCGAGAGAGTTGTTCGCGCAGAGGAGGGGAGGTCGAAGGTTGCCGAGTCAGCTGGTGTGAAGATTTGAGCTGCCGGTCATTGTGTTAGCAACCCCTCGTTATAGTGTCCAGCAGGGAAAATGGAAGATTGCTCACAAGTGTCATATCCGATTTCAATAGCACTGCAGCCATCCGGCTTGCAGAAACCAAAGACGCCAAAGTTGACACCTCTGAACGTGCCCAGGGGGATTGGCTCTATGATCGGAGTGGACAGCACAGATATCAGAAGTAAGGCGAATGCTGCAAAAAGCAGCACTGCCAAGGGCGTTGCCGGGCGCAACATGGTGGGCGCAATCCAAATCTGTGTCGCGATCCGGGAGGTGGACTGGTGTTGGTGTAGCCAGCGTCCTCAAGACGCGGCAAGATGAAGTAGGCGCAACCCAGTCAGCGAAGGCCAAATGAGTCCCCGTCCCTGCCTATTCTAGCAGTGGCGATCGGATCTCGGACGAAATGTAGGAAGTAAAACGAGTGTGGTGGTTGTCTTCGACATAGGTGGTCTTGAGGAGGAGTCGACAGCTGTTAATCTTCAACCGCATTGAAGCCACCAAACTCGAGAACAATTTCGATTACTTCATTCGCTCTACAGCCTGTGAGAAATTGGAAAATCCCCGAGTCCGAGTCAATCGATCGAGAGAGGCGCCAATCAGGTCGAGTCGCGCGATTTCGCTCGGAAGAAGCGATATTTGGTCTTGATGCGATCGAGTTGGTCGCAGGAGCGGGATGGATAGAGGGAGGCACTGTACGGAGGTTGTGTGTAGGTCTTATCCGTAGGGAGATTGGGGAATTGGGAGGAACGGAGACAGGTACCTAGCCCAGGTACAGTACATGAGCGGGGGCCGGTTGAGTGGGGACCTGCTTGTCCTGCAGAACAGAACTGCCTAACGCAGCTAGGTTGGCTCTAGTGGAAGTGTAAAGGTCTGGCTGGAGCTTTTACGATAGTACGCACGTGCAGAGAGTGGGTTAACAGGGGTGGGAGTCCAGGGTAGTGGAACTGAGGGAGTTGATGTATCGAGAATGGAAGTTCTCACGTCTCAAGTTTAAATCTTGCCATTACTGCGCACATACGAGCAGGGAAACTCTCTTGCAAATCTTGACTCTACATTTCAATGCTGTAATGGCTGCTAAAAAGCCGCCTGGCAGTGGCAAAATGGACAATAGGCAATTAGAAACTAGGATTAAATAAAATACAATAACGTATAAAATACGGACGTAGGTAGCTTGTCGGTTGTCTAGGTGGCTGCTTCCACGGGAGAGCAGGCTAAATAAAGCAAAGGGCGGAGAAGGCAGTCCGACGCTCCGAGCCGGGCCATCGCCCGTAGCCATGGGCCACAATGAAGAACCCCCTAATAAGCCGCAATTTGAACAACTATTCTCGGCTCTTAACCCAATCTTTGGGAAGGCATTGTTGGCAGCCCGTTTCCGAGGCGGGCTGGGTCTTACTTGAACTGCCTACGGAATTCATCCTTACCTAAGACGCGTTCCGAAGCTCCCCTGCAATGGTGACAGGGGTAGACATGAACTACAGGGCCAGACGTTGTCTCACGATCCGTTGGGATCTTGGTTCTACCACAGCACCAACCTACTTGCTCCTCCCAAAGCGGTGCCATGCCATGCAAGAATCCACTGATGTCACTCGCTGTACGAGAAAAGAGAGAGGGAGGACTGACTTTACACTACTGTGTAATTAGTACGTATCGAACGTGAAGGTTTTAGGTAGGTTCCTAGTCTACCTGCCAACCCCCAATGTACCTAGTTACTGATTGCATAATCTGTGTCGATTGGTCGCTACCTATTTTGTTTGATTGTTCCGGCAAGAATGAGCCTACAAGAGGACCAGCAGACGAGATACCCAGGTAATACAGTTGGATGTTGACGAGCCGGAGCAAGCGAGAGGGGTACAGTCGCACTATGTAAGCAGCAGCAGCCCGGTTTTGTATATCTGTAGCTGTGATGATAGGACAAAAATGCATGTGGGGAATTTTAATAATGGCGATATGCGGACTATCAACACCGGGGGGCTGGTAATTGGGTTTTGGATGAGAGTTCGTCGCTATTTTGGTGCAGGTGATATTTTGGGTTTGAGGAGCCATGCACACTGACGATCGGCCGAACCTAACAAAACCTTCTCCTGAACCTGGAATGAATTGGAATATCTGACGTGAGAAGTTGGTGGCAGGTTGAACAAGCAGCACACTACCTAAAGTACCTACCTCCTACCTACCAACCCCGAACTAAAGAAATTTAGTGCGAGAGTAGTGCGGCCGAAGGAACCAGTTCTATCTAGATCCTGGGCCAGGGGCTCGGCGCACCGCCATACGTGGCGCAAACGATGGACCTGCCCCGGTCGGCCGGGCCCGAAACGCCCCGCGGTGGCCCAGTATCTCCGAGCATCATCCATCCCTCATCCCTTTGAAGCACCAGCAATCCATCTTAAACCCGTGTTGGATATAGTTGGTTTCTATACTACAGCTTCAATGAGTCCAAAATCTCGTTTGATTCAATTTTTTCCGCTGTAAACATATCGGATCATCGATTTGCTTCGAAACACAAAACCCGGAGGTGCCTCCAGTTAAGTCCAGTCCAGTACCCTGTTTTAGTGGGCTGATTAATGATAAGCTCCACTATCGGATTTCGCTGATCCTCCTGGAGATATCGGATTGCGTCGCTACTCGCTAGTCCTCCACCAGGCTCTTCATCGCTTACCATATAAATACCAACACCGCCCGCCTGTGTTACGTTGCTACCGCTCCCTTGGTGTTTTACGATGAGCACAGGGAAGACCTAGCATAACCGCAACCGGAGCTGGTAGCTATGATTCTGCAGGGTGTAGCAAGCCGGGGGTGGCGGCATGCGACCCCCTGGGCAGCAGCTGCCACTAGATTATCTCGATCCGTTGCATTACGACCTGCACCATGTAGGCCAACCTTCGCCTCGCGCCCGGCAGCGAGAGCGATTTCGAAGCTCCTCCCCGCCCGCCGTCTCCTAACGACTACCTCCGCCCCCCGCATCCAGTCTCCCGGCGGACCTTTCCGACCGGTCATTCCCCCGTCCCCGGCATCTCTCGGCGCACCGCGGGCCGCCCGCACCTACACCCGCACGCGCAAGTGGTTGCGCCGGCTGCTCGTCCTGTCGGCCGTGCTGGGCGGCATCTACGCCGTCGACCGGCGCGTGTACGCGTCGGGCATCGCGCGGTCGCTGCGCACGTTCGGGTTCGGCCTCCTCGCGGCGCTGGACTACAAGATCAACTTCCGCCCGGAGCCGCTGCCGCTGATCGGCTCCGCCGGCGGCGTCTCGGACCTGCACCGCCGCAACGCCGAGCGCCTGTTCGACCTGCTGCGGAGCAACGGCGGGCTCTACCTCAAGATCGGCCAGGCCATCGCCATGCAGACGGCGGTGCTGCCGCCCGAGTTCGCGCGCATGTTTGCCCGCATGTTCGACGACGCGCCCCAGGACTCGTGGGAGGAGGTCGAGAAGGTGATCCGCGAGGACTTTGGCGGCAGGGGCGTCGAGGAGGTCTTTGGCGTCAGCTTCGCGGGGAGGGAGGGGCTGGGCGTCATGGAACGGACGGCGAGGGCGAGCGCCAGCGTTGCCCAGGTGCACTGGGCGAAGTTGGCGGACGGGAGGGAGGTTGCCATCAAGATACAGAAGCCGGAGATTGCGAAGCAGATTGGCTGGGACCTGTGGGCTTTCAAGTGAGTCGTGTGCTGTGTTCGTCCTCTCCGATTCGCCGTTGAAATTGTTTCTAACCCGATACTTCCCTCCCTAGAGTCGTAACTAAGGCCTACACCGCGCTGTTCGACCTGCCGCTTTACAGCTTGATACCCTTCATCACGGAGCGTCTGATGCTCGAGACGGACTTCGAAAACGAGGCCAGAAACTCGGAGCTGATGCGCCAGCTGGTCAGCGAGGAGCCAAGCCTACGTGGGCGGGTCTATATCCCCTCGGTTTATCCCGAACTATCGTCTAAGAGGGTGCTTACGGCGGAGTGGATCGAGGGCGTGCGACTCTGGGACCGGGAAGCAATGACAGCACCGTGGCTAGGTGGATACGGAGCCGGTTCTCCAGGCATCCGCCAAACACCCCTCAGCTCACCGGATATGGACGCCCTGCGGAGAGAACTACGCGAGAATCCCAACACCGACAAGCTGAAGCCGGAACGTACTGAGTGGAGGGGATCGCGAGGGAAGGGAGGCTTGGGCGTGTCGACTAAAGATGTCATGACGACCATGGTCGACTTGTTCTCGGCTCAGATCTTCAAATGGGGTGTGGTGCACTGCGACCCGCACCCCGGCAACATCTTCATCCGCCGGCTGCCCAGCGGTCGCGCCGAGCTCGTTCTGATCGACCACGGCCTCTACGTGTACATGACGCCCAAGTTCCGGCACGAATATAGCGTATTCTGGAAGGCGCTGATGACCTTCGACAACAAGACCATCTCCAAGATAACCCAGGAATGGGGGATGAAGGCGGCAGACCTGTTCGCGTCGGCAACGTTGATGCGTCCTTACGAAGGTGGCCAGTTTAGCAAGGACATGCTGGCCGACTTGGACGGCATGACTCCGAGTGAACGCCACTACGAGATGCAGCAGCGCATGAAGCAGGGCATCCGCGACATGCTCAGCGACGAGGACAAGCTGCCCAAGGAGCTGATCTTCATCGGGCGCAACATGCGCATCGTCCAGGCTGACAACCAGTACATGGGCTCGCCGGTCAACCGGGTCAAGATGATGGGCGAGTGGGCCAGCCGAAGCCTCTTCCAGGATCCAAACCTCCCGTGGCCTGAGCGGGCGAGTAACGCGTGGCGGCACGTGCTGTTCAAGACGGTGATGGTGGCGTCTGATATCCTGTTCTACTTCTTCAAGGTCCGCCAGATCCTGGGCTTCGGCGGGGGTATGGAGGATGAGATGGAGGCCAGGATGAAGGATATGGCCAAGGAATTTGGGGTGGAGCTGCAGCACGAAGTCTTCGAGGGCTGAATCACATCTCTGTAAAAAACTAAGCTGGGCGGTCTAGGGTCATAGAGCTTATCTTGGTCATGTATGTACAATATCATGGTTTGCACAGGTCCATAGGATAGAGGGATGGATGCCATAGAGAGGTAGACGGGGAGTTTGGCCAGTGGGTTTGGCCTGTCGATGAGGGTTGGGATACTCCATACTCGCTCTACACTGTATGTGTACTTCATAATCCCCCTTGAAATACCTACCTCAGATAATCAAGTCTTAAAGTTCTGAATATGTGAAGGAGGCAAGAGACGGGTCTGCCATTAATGGGCTGAAACGGACCAAGCTGGTAATTACGGGGGTTTTCATCAAAGCTTCTTTGTACTGGACCCTTCTCTGTTTCTATCCACGCGACTTACCGTTCTTCGAGACGCTCCTTTCCGAGATTGGGCTGGGCGGTTTCTCTAAATTCCAACGGATCCCTACGGGGTAGGGTAGGGAGCGCCCGGCCCATACGCGTACACCTAGAGAAGGGTAGGCGCCTGGACCTGTGACACGTTCCCAACTTCCCACAGCGGAAGAGAGAAGAGGTGGACCATATGCAGCCCTGGGTCGTGCCATTTTGAGCTGCTAGGAGCCGTTCGGGGAAACATGAAAGATGAATCGGAAGAATTCTCTGGACCAGATGGATCGGAGGATGTCATCTGTGGATTACGAAGCTTGACTGAGCGCGGCTCCTGGTTGGCTGGCGGTTTCTGCAACGCTAATTTGATTCAGGGGCTCTGGAGACGAGAAGCTGACCGAACCAGAGCGAGGGGAAGTCGTAATGTGGAACCGCGCGCCCACTCATCACGGAAGGGGCCACCTGGGGAAAATGGTGAGTACTGCCTACCTATCCGTCTTTGCTGCTGTCTACTATGTACGCCGCTAACGGCGTTACGGGGAATCCCACACGTACCTGCCTGGATAAATCTCTATGTACCTCTGCGTAAATTACTCCTTTTTGAATGCAGCTCATTTTAACAGCTAGCGTGGTACGAGGTGTTAGATTTCACGTGGCACCCAGCAACAACAGGCAAGCTCCAAACTTCCATGTGTGTGAGACAGGCCGAGCCGTGTGGCTTCCATTCCGTGACTCTGATTCTTGATCTTCGCTATGGTACTGCGCATGACGATAATAGACTGATAACCTTGGTAACTTCCTGACTCTTGATCCCCGTCCCCAGCTGTGAAGTACCCTTTGCAGGTAGGTACACTGGAACTAGCTGTATGTAGGTAGAGGAATAAGTACTCCATAATCCATTATGCTTGCCAAATAGCGTTAGTAGCGTCGCGCTCAGGGTCCCGCGGTCTGCACCGGGTTTTTCTGCTCCTCATTGTAATCTACGACCCCTGGATCCCTTCTCGAAGACTTTGTCAGATCTACCTATCCTTGGGGAGTTGGGAAGGACATCGCCGATTAATAACTCTCATTACCTCACCGAAGCTGCATCCTCCCGGTGGTGCTGCTGCGTGTCCCCTTCGTTGGCGACAGCTGCTTGCTCAGGCCCTTTCTCATATCGATTTACCCTCCCACTTCTCTCATTACCCTCACTGTGGACTCTGGGATGCCCTGCTGTCCGATCTAGTTCGTTTGGATTCCGCATCGACACTCCCATTTCGATTCTACTTTCGCTTCACGAGACTGCCTCCTGATTCCAGCCTTCGAACTATCCGCATATTCCTCGAGATAATCTTCAAAGGTACGCGCTTTTCCATCCTGGTTCTATTCCCCTGAGTCCGCGATCCCATGGATCTTTTTGGATGCGGGAGCTAGCCGCCTCGGATAAACTGGCATTTTCCTTGCAGCTTGTCGCCAGGACGAGAGTTGGAAAGAGGAGCCTTTCCGACGGTATTCACCCAGCCATATTGGTTTATTTGGCCATTGGCCTGCATCACATCGGGGATCTGAATAGCATTTGACACTCTGGGCGATCACAGGCTAACAGCGCATGTTGCAGAACACGAGCTGAAGTCTCCTGCTCTTTGACCACCTTCAAACCACCTACATTCTACGCCTACCTCTACTACTCACCTTTCTCACCTTTACCCGGTGTTCCAACCCTTTTTCTCCTCGACAAAGACCGCCTGACGTCAACATCTGAAGAAGGCGCCAATCGCGTTCTCCCTCGCTCGGTACATCCAATAAGGGGCGCGACGAGCAACCGGAAAGAAGGAAAGGTGCTTACCCAATATTCACGACTGGAGCAGCCCGTTTCTCGACCCGCTCTCACTCTGACACAAACCTTGACCCCCATCTGCGCAGCGAGCCCGCCGGTTTTGGAAGCTTAAAACATCCAGACATTCATGACCAGTAGCTGTCGAGTTTACCTTAGGTCCTTGCTTGAGAAATGAGCCTTCCCCCTCGCCGCTCTAGTCTCGGCATGCTGCTCCGACGGAGTAAAAGTGGCGACTTGAGGAAGCAGCAGGCCTTGAGGGAGCAGGAGCTCCAGCGCCAACGCGATGCTTCCGTATCCAAGTCGCCCCCGCGTCTTCCCCAGCTCTATAATGGCGCACCCCCCACCCAGCTTTTCACCGGCGAAGATCGTTCCGACTCCCTGAACATCATCGCTGGTGGACAAGCCGATTACCACGCCTCATCCACTCCGCGCCCATCAATGGAACCTGCATACTCGATCGTCAGTGTGCCTCCTCCTCTCCCGACCGGTGCTTGGGTTGACCCCTACGCTCGCACGGAGAGTATGACCCATCGCGGCCGATACAGCTATGCGAGCAGCGCAATCAGCACCATAAACAGCCCTAGGAGGGTCCGGAGAAGGAAAGACCCCACGCCGTTCAAGTAAGTTCCTATCAGGCCTGGTTCCCAGTCAGCCCCATGCTGACTATTTCCAGCATCCTCATCATTGGCACCCGTAACGCCGGGAAGACCTCATTTCTCGAGTTCCTAAAGATGTCTCTCGCGTTGCCCGCGAAGAAACGATCCAAGATGACCGTCGACCACGATGATTTTGTTCCCAAAGCCCCGCCTTCGGGCAACTTCATTCCGCACTACCTCGAAACCGAGATTGACGGTGAGCGTATTGGCTTGACGCTGTGGGATTCCGAGGGCCTGGAGAAGAATGTCGTGGATTTGCAGCTCCGGGAGATGTCGTCGTTCTTGGAAAGCAAATTTGAAGAGACATTCGCAGAGGAGATGAAGGTCGTACGGTCGCCTGGCGTACAAGACACCCACATTCATGCCGCCTTCCTAGTCCTCGATCCGGCCCGTCTGGACAGGAATATTGCGGCGAGCAAGGCGGCTACGGCCAACGGCCAGCAGAACGGGGGCCACCATTTTCCCGCTCGCGTTCTCGGGGGTCTAGACGAAGATCTCGACTTACAAGTCCTGCGGACACTCCAGGCCAAGACCACTGTCATCCCTGTGATCTCCAAGGCTGACACCATCACAACCAAGCACATGAATGTGCTGAAGAAGACAGTCTGGGAGAGTCTGAAGAAGGCGAATCTTGACCCGTTGGAGGCTCTCGGATTGGACGACGAGGACCATGGCACCCCGGATTCTAGTAGGATCGAGGAGGAAGAAGAGGAATTAGAGGACGTCGACTCGGGACACAGCGACGGCGATGGTCCCGCGGACGACGAGCTTCCAATCCAAGGACGCTATTCGTCCATGACCCCGAAGTCGAAGCGGCAGTCAACTGGCTCTGTTCAGCGCAACAAGATCTCTGATGACAAACCGAAGGAGGACGAGATTCCCTACGTCCCGATGTCAATCATCAGCCCAGACATCTACGAGCCCGGTGTTGTTGGCCGTCAATTCCCCTGGGGCTTCGCTGATCCATACGACCAGAATCACTGCGACTTTCTTCGTCTCAAGGACGCCGTTTTCAGCGAATGGCGTGGCGAGCTTCGTGAGGCCAGCCGGGAGCAATGGTACGAGGGCTGGAGAACAAGTCGGCTGAAGCAGCGTGACGACTTCAAGGTTCGACGATAAGCACCGCGGAAACTCCCGAATAGTATTTGCACAAGGCTCAGCCCTCCGTTCAGCAATCGACCAGATGGCGTTTTGCTCCTTTTTCCTTTTTCCATTTGCAACTCCCTGGCTAGCCAGGCGCGAGTTGACTCGCGAGACTCCGCATCCTGTTTCGACTCGCAAAACTCGCGATCCACCTCGAATGATCGCGTCCTTTTCTTTTGTTTTGTCGTGTTATCATCAACAAGTCCAGCTAGCAGCATACCCGATTCACCCAATTTTCTTACTCTTCTCTTTATCGACTTCTGCGACCTCGTCTTTTACGGTCCTCCAGGTGTACAATGTCAAAGTTTTATTAGGGGTCTTGGCGATGGATCCCCGCAACTCAGGTCGGACATGGCAGCGCAGCCACGAACTTTGCGATCGACCTATGGTTATACCCCGATAGCAAGAGCGCAGCTTTCTCTTCCCATGTACCATTTTATCATAGGGTTGCCTAGGCATGTTGGCCTTGGCCCCTCCTCTTTTTAGACCAAAAGTGGGATGAGATAAAAAGTTGACTTGTATCAGGGTTCGTCGTGCTGCGGACTTGACTCTACCACCTCACTTGTCCACTTTTATGATATCCCGTCTGAGCCGAGAGCTGGAGAGTCTTGGGCACCGGTTTCCTTTTTCCTTGAGTTCCTTGTAGGATTCCCCAGAAACAGATGGACGAGATTCCCTCCAATATAAAATGTTCTTAGCACGTTAGGGGTGTGGACCATCTTGCTCAGGCTGATAACGGACACGGGTGTTGACAGTGGAGACGGGGTTCGGTGACAGTGTGTGCGGCAGACTGTATACGGATGCGATGCCGTCCATCATCATAGGGTAGTAGTGTCAAAATGTCACAAGGTTTTTTCTTTTAAAATTCCATTTCCCTAACCTTCATCCACGAAGCTGCTCAGCATCAGAATAGGGGCATCTATGGCCAAAACTCCCCGAGCATCTTATCGACCGTTTCCCAACTCTGTTGAGTCTATCGAGGGCACCATGAATGCCTTGGGTCCTTCCAAGGGAGGCTTGTTGTGAGGATGTTGATCACTGCCGAGTTTGGAGTGGTATGGAGTGGGTTCTCCCTTCCCAATCCAACTCTGTCTGGGTGCTGTCTCTGCAGTTGGAATTTTGATGTAGCCGACAATTTCCGACAAATCGTCAACCAAAATGGCTGGACCAGTCTGTTTCTTCTTTTCTAAGCATGTACATGGTATCTAGTATATATGTCGGTTGGGCTGAGTTTACATGTGGCAATACATAAACCATCCGGCTATATAGTTGTTGCTCGCGTCCCATGCAGTCCACATCCAGGTTCGTCCTAGAATAGGTGGCTTCCCAACACATGTTGTGGCAGATGCTGGATTCGCCTAGCCCTTGTAAGGCTTGGGCCCGACCATGAGCTCTGGCTTGACCAGAGCATCGAACTCCTCGCTGGTCAGCGCCTCGAGCTCCAAGGCGCTCTGCTTGAGAGTCAGGCCCTTCTTGTGAGCATTCTTGGCGACCTTGCTCGCCATATCGTAGCCGATCTTGGGGTTAAGGCAGGTAACAAGCATGAGCCTGCAAGATTGTAAGCCAAACCAGTCATGTCCTGGAGACAAGGGGGTGGGGGGGGTAAGGGGTAGAAGCAGGTAAGACTTACGACTCCTTCATGATGCTAGCGATCTTCTCCTCATTTGCCTGCAGACCCTTTACAAGGTTCTGCTCAAAGCTCCGCATGCCGTCCGAAAGTAGGCGGATACTATGCAGCAGATTGCGGATTATCAGGGGTTTGTAGACGTTCAACTCGAACTGGCCGTTCATGCCACCGATCGTGCACGCGACGTGGTTGCCCATGACCTGGGCGCACACCATGGTCAGCGCCTCGCATTGCGTCGGGTTGACCTTGCCTGGCATGATGGAGCTGCCCGGCTCATTCTCGGGCAGGTTAAGCTCTCCAAGCCCGCATCTCGGCCCACTGCCAAGGTACCGGATGTCCTGCGCAATCTTGGTGAGAGATGTGGCAAGCGTGTTCAGGGTGCCTGACGCCTGGACAACAGCGTCGTGTGCAGCAAGGGCCTCGAATTTGTTCGGCGCCGTCTTAAACTCGGTGCCGGTCATCTTGGTCACCTCCTCCGCAATAGCCTCGGCAAAGCCCTCGAATGAATTGATGCCTGTGCCGACAGCTGTGCCGCCCTGGGCCAGGAGGCGCAGGTCGGGCACCGAGCCCTCAACACGCTTGATGCCAAACTCTAGCTGGGCGACGTAGCCGCTGAACTCTTGCGCCAGTGTAAGGGGTGTAGCATCCTGGAGGTGTGTCCGGCCGATCTTGATAATCTTCTTGGCCTCAAAGTCGTCAACCTTGGTCTGTAGGGCGTCGCGCAGGCTGTGCAAGGCAGGAAGAAGCTCGTTCTCGATCTCAAGAACAGCAGCAATGTGCATAACAGTCGGGAAGGTGTCGTTGGAAGAGGCGGACCGGTTGACGTGGTCGTTCGGGTGGACAGGCTTCTTGCTGCCCATAGTGCCGCCAAGAATCTCAATCGCACGATTGCTGATGACCTCGTTGGCGTTCATGTTGGACTGAGTGCCAGACCCAGTCTGCCAGACGACCAGAGGGAAGTGGTCGATCAGCTTGAGGTCAGCGACCTCCTTTGCGGCCTGCTGGATGGCCTGGCCGATTTTAGCATCTAGCCCATAGCGCATGTTGACCGTTGCCGCAGCGCCCTTCAAAATTCCAAATGCCTTGACAATCGGCGGAGGCATGCGGTCCTGGGGCTGGTTGATGCGGAAGTTGGACAGCGAGCGCTCCGTCTGGGCGCCCCAGTACTTGTCGCCGGGGACCTGGATCTCGCCGAACGCATCGCTCTCGGTTCTCGTGTTGGCGGCCATTCTTGTTGTTGTCAGGTGGAAGAATCTCAGATGTTGGGTGGAGGTCTGAGGTTTGGAATTGAGCGGAGTCAGCATTGCCCGAGTCCTACAAGAACTCAAGCATGTGCTGAGTGCCCTTGTGCTCGGCTTCGGCCCAACCAGGCAGCTTAAGGCGGGCCTAGAGGCCGGAGATCGCACCGATCGAAACATGATTTGGAAAAAGCAGGTCTAAAACGTTTGTTCCTGGTCACCTGGCAGGCCAATTGGGACGAGGCAAATAAGCTTCCCGAGTTTAACTACTGCAAAGATGCTTCAAGCGAGCGAGATTCCTGTCTTTTGTCTTTGCGATGGAGAGCCACGGCGAAGATGGGAGAGCATCCGTATTCCCCCGGCGAGAAAAAGTTTCCGGTTGCCGGGGAACCTCCTCTCAACGGGCCAACGGCAGATGCTGTGCTATGGTGCAAAAGTACCTATTACCCTGCCGGGTCCTGGAAAGGGGCCTTGCTGCGCGTCTGTGCATCACAGGTAGTGGCAGGCCGGCAAGATTTCTAGCAGGTGGTCGTAAAATTTCCCGGCCCGTCACCACCTGCGGCGCACAGACCCCAGGCGTGGGTAGCAAACTAGGCGCGCGCAGCAGAAAATGCGCTAAGCAAGGTGGTGAGAGGAGAGAAATACATGGACCTACAGTGAAACTTACCCCACCACTGTAAGTACCTAGGTAGCCAAGCTAGCACATATTCAAGGTTTTCTAAGGTGAGTGGAAAGGAAAAAAAGTGCGATAACAGCCATGAGTCACACCGTATGTAAAGGAGTGGAAGCTTAGTTTGCGCTCCTTCTCGGTCGAAGGCAGTTGGAAAATACGTACCTCTGAGGGTAGATGTTGGGTTCCAAACCAAATGCACTAAGCGAGCCCAAACCATCGCCACCCTGTGGGCAGCAGGGAGACAGAAAACATGTGCCATTGAGGGGCGCATTCTGGCCGTACAATAAAACACCCAGAGAAGTTCTAGCAGTACCCAAATAAAGATCTGGTCCTCGAGAAGGTAAATGGCAAGCTCGCGATGTACAAGATACCTAGCTCGGCCTTCAAGTTCGCAGGTCCAACCTTGCACTTACCAGGGTCCAACCTCCTTCCCTGGCGGCAAAAAGTGAATGCGACCAACAGGGAAAGAGTGAATTAGGTAGGTATGTACGGATACGTACCTTGGTAGTCATGCCGCGAGGGGCTTTAACCCCGCCAGCCTCAAATCTTTTTTTTCACTCTGCCCCACCAAACAAATCGCCCCTCCCCCCCCAGCCACGAGTACAAAACTCGAAACTGCCCCTCACCTCTTCTTCCTTCTTCCTTTCAAAAGGTGTCTCCATACCTAGATTCTTAAGCAGTCTTGTCTGGTAAACAAGTAAGTCTCCGGCACGAAAACTTCATCAAATCCTTCGTCAGACATCTAACAAGTATCTCAAGACCTTTATCCCCTTCACCAAACCACCACCGTTATTGAAATCCTCGCAATACCGTCAACATGGGGTAAGCAGCCATCCACAAGAGGCGGCGACGCGTTCGATCGCAGCGCTCTCCCTCATCGTCTTCATTATTTCTGACATATTTGCTAACATCTCAATAGAAAGGACGAGCGCCCTCACATTAACCTCGTCGTCATCGGGTTTGTCCTCCCATCACACTGACTACGAAAGGTTTTGCAGACAAACTAACATGGGCGTCCAGCCACGTCGACTCTGGCAAGTCCACGACGGTAAGCATCATCCCAAATCCCTCGGTGCCGCCCGATTCCACCTTCGGTCGGCATCGGGCAATATCAGAGAGACGAGCCAAGCTGACAACCACGATAGACCGGCCATTTGATCTACCAGTGCGGTGGTATCGACAAGCGTACCATTGAGAAGTTCGAGAAGGTCAGTCATTCCGATCGATTTACTCTACACATCTACTCTACACCTCCATATATGTCCTTTGTTTTCCTCCCATCCACATTTGCTCGATTTCGAATACTCTGAATTGTGTGCGGGGCGATCAGCAGTGGGAGTCCAACGACCCCGCAGTCGCCTCGCCACAAAGTCACAAAAAGCCCGAAAATTTTTACCCATCATTGGGTCATTCTGAGCACGGACCATTCTATAAAAAAAATCCATGCCCAACGTCTTGTTGCCGCCTGTTACCTAGCAACCACTGACTCCGATGACAGGAAGCCGCTGAGCTTGGCAAGGGCTCCTTCAAGTATGCCTGGGTTTTGGACAAACTGAAGGCCGAGCGTGAGCGTGGTATCACCATTGATATCGCCCTCTGGAAGTTCGAGACTCCCAAGTACCATGTCACCGTCATCGGTATGTCCCTCAAGACCTTCCTCACAAGCCCATCGGTCATACTAACAGACATCTCCTCCCAGATGCCCCGGGTCATCGTGACTTCATCAAGAACATGATTACTGGTACTTCCCAGGCCGATTGCGCTATCCTCATCATTGCCGCCGGTACTGGTGAGTTCGAGGCTGGTATCTCCAAGGATGGCCAGACTCGTGAGCACGCTCTGCTTGCCTACACCCTCGGTGTTAAGCAGCTTATCGTCGCCATCAACAAGATGGACACTGCCAAGTGGGCTGAGGAGCGGTACAACGAAATCATCAAGGAGACCTCCAACTTCATCAAGAAGGTTGGTTACAACCCTAAGCAGGTTCCGTTCGTTCCCATCTCGGGCTTCAACGGCGACAACATGCTTGCTGCCTCCACCAACTGCCCGTGGTACAAGGGCTGGAAGAAGGAGATCAAGGGTGGCAACGAGGTCACCGGCAAGACCCTTCTCGAGGCCATCGATGCCATCGAGCCCCCCAAGCGTCCCACCGACAAGCCCCTTCGTCTTCCCCTTCAGGATGTCTACAAGATTGGCGGTATTGGAACAGTGCCCGTCGGCCGTATCGAGACTGGTATCATCAAGCCCGGCATGGTCGTCACTTTCGCCCCCTCCAACGTCACCACTGAAGTCAAGTCTGTGGAGATGCACCACGAGCAGCTCGCTGAGGGTCTCCCCGGTGACAACGTCGGCTTCAACGTGAAGAACGTCTCTGTCAAGGAAATCCGCCGTGGCAACGTTGCTGGTGACTCCAAGAACGATCCTCCCATGGGCGCTGCTTCCTTCACCGCCCAGGTCATCGTCCTCAACCACCCCGGCCAGGTCGGTGCCGGCTACGCCCCCGTCCTCGACTGCCACACTGCCCACATCGCTTGCAAGTTCTCCGAGATCCTCGAGAAGATCGACCGCCGTACTGGTAAGTCGGTTGAGAACAACCCCAAGTTCATCAAGTCCGGCGACGCTGCCATCGTCAAGATGGTTCCGTCCAAGCCCATGTGCGTCGAGGCCTTCACCGACTACCCTCCTCTCGGTCGTTTCGCCGTCCGTGACATGCGTCAGACCGTCGCTGTCGGTGTCATCAAGGCCGTCGAGAAGGCCGTTGCCGGTTCCGGCAAGGTCACCAAGTCCGCTGCCAAGGCCGCCAAGAAATAAATCCTCTAGGCGCGATACTCCCCTCCGCGACGGGCTCCAGTCAACTCTCCAGCCCGTCGAGGATCACCTGTCGCAGGGTTTGCGAGCACGCACCACGAATCTCCTTTGCACGAGCACTCGGCAATTTTGTTTTGCGGCACATTTTTGAGAGGGAAGGGTCTGGGCTTTCTGCGAATCAAAACTTCTCACATGTGCTTTAGTACAAAATAGAGTTCTCTTAGAAGTGATCACCGAAACAGGGTTCCCTTTCCTCCCAGTCGTGATACGTATTTATGATCCTTTATGTGTGAGAAAGTGAATTGCATGATGGCAATGTTTAGATATCGTTTCCCAGCTTACCCCTTACTTTACTTCACGTCGCCCTTGCAGACCACCCAATCTCTATCGAACTCTCTATTTTGTTACATGCCCAATCTTATCACTATAATACGGTAGTTGTAGCGAGGACAAATGCCCTTCCTTCCCTTCAAAATCTTGCCCATGGTACATCAGTTATTGTCACCGTACCACTGGAACTCGCCACCAAGCGCCATTCTGGCCAAGACGGCCAGGTACGCGGGCGTGTCATGCGGCTTGTTCAGTGTCCCCTCTGCAGCAACCTCCGACGCAGGGACGGCCTCGAGCGCGAGCTCGGCGCGGCGCCCGCCACCCTGCCCAGCCTCGACGGTCGTGTAGATGAGGCGCCAGCCGTCGTATTCGGCGGCAAGGGAGCGGCGCAGCTCGAGGCCGGCGAAGAGGTAGTCGACGAGGAGCGGCTGCTGCACCGCCGAGCCGGGGCCCGAGCCGAAGATTGGGACGGCGACGCAGCGCAGGCGGGCGGGGGTGACGAGGCGGCCTGCCGAGGGGCGCAGGTCGGCGGCCTCGAGGAAGGCGAGGAGCGGGTCGGCGTGGCGGGGGTCGGCGGCGATGGCGGGGCCCAGGAGCTCGTGGAAGAGGGAGCGGGCGAGGCGGACGTCGACGGGGCCCGAGGGGACGAGGATGTCGTGGGTTGTGGCGCGGGTGATGGCGCGCAGGGAGGAGATGCCGCTCACCTCTGTGTCGGAGGCTTCGAGGCGGAGCTCGAGGGGTGGGGCGGAGGAGACGAGGGCGGGGTCCTGCTCCGGGTCGGGGAGGAAGCGCATGAGGATGGTGGAGGAGGGGTGGGATTGCGGTTGTTGGATGGCCTTGGGGAAGGCGAGGCTGGAGAGCGGGGGGATGACCGGGGAGATTATCGCCGCTTGGGAGAGGTCGAGCTTCCCTGGGTGCTTGGGAGGGTATCGATGGAGGATGTGTCCAAAGACTGCACGGGTTGATCTCTGCAAGGGCCCTGGCCAGCCTGTCGAAGCGAGACTAGACTCATCGCGTGGTTGAGAAGCCTCTAGCTCCGTGGAAGAATCAAACGCGGCAAGGATGTTATCCAGTTTCTCGTTTCCTGTAGGCTTGGCACCTCGTGGTGTTGCCATGACCCATCGTGCCCACTGGCTGGTTCGGTCCTTCCATGACCACTTCTTCTTGCTGTAGTAGTCGACGAGGAACCTTCCTCCTTTCGCATCGTCCTCGGGGACCACAGTTATATTGCCGGCGGCATGGTAGTCATGTCGGGAGGCGGAGAGCAGGAGTCGGAATACTACATCACCAAGGTTCTCAAGGACATCGCCCGCCTCGGTGGGGGGGATCCAATGGACAAGAATCTAACGGTAGGAGCACGGTCAGTAACCATGGCAACTTGAGCAAGACGCCCTCATTCAGGCATACATACCTTCTGGTTTGGCTCGTCGAGCTGAACTACAGTATTGGTAATTCTGCCAACTTCTTCCAGCGACGAGGGGGACAGGCATCCAGGCGATAGGAGCTTGACCTCGATGGATCGAGTCTCCAGCTTGCCGAGGACGTTGTTGATCTCCCCGAGGATTACTTCAGCTGTTGGCTTCGAGGCCACAATCCTGACAACCTTCTCGGGCCGGATGACTTCGATTTGTTTGCCCGGCGCTAAGAGAGAATGGGATATGTCTTCAAGCCGTTGTCCGTTTCCAACTATGATGAGACCCGGTGTCAGCTTGGGCAAGGCTAATAATCAAGACAAACATGATTGCAGGGGATACGAACTTAGTAGGAGAGCAAACTCGAGATCTCGCAACCTGACATCAAGGTACCCTTGCCCGTTCTCGACTTCTTGTGTTGAGACTGCCCAACATTCGCGCATCAATCGGACGGCCAACTGATCCTTGGGCGACATGGATGCGTGCAAATACCCATCAAGTACTGGGTCAGACACCTTGCCCATGACCGCCGCATCTGGCACCCATGGCCACTGTTCCAACACCCATGGAGCACCACTGGAACTGTGGGGAGCTTTCGGGGACTCGGTCTCGGGTTGATGGCGAACCATGTAGGCTGCTAGCTGCGCCTTTGTAAACCCCTGAACAAGAACATCTCTCAGAGAGTCGAAGTCTCGTTGCGGAATTGGTCTCGATTGGCTTGGCCGTAGCTCATGAATATTCAGAAGCACCTCATCTGAAGTAGAGACACCGGCCTGTTGCTTGAGGACATCGGACAGGTTGACCGGTTCTGAGTCATTTTCCGCTTCTGTCTGCGGTATGTTGTATTTATTCTTCGATGAGCCAATGTCTTTCATGACAATCGCATGTGCTGGTCTTCCCAGGATGTCTATCGAGAGAGCTTCCGCCTTTGGTCGAACCCGCTGACCCCTGGAGCGATAGACCTCCGGTTGAGGACGGGGACGGTGGAAAGACTGCCGCTTGCCCTTCCCCTTCTGTTTGTGATTGACTCGCCGAAACGCTTCGCCATCGTCTGTGAGATTCTTCAGATCTTGTTCAAACTTGGCGGGTGAGATCGCATCGCTGTAGGATCGCCTGAGCGCATTGTGACAAACCGACAAAGAAAACCGGCTGCCTACAGGAACAGCGTTGGTCAATCGGCAGCTCAAGCACACAAACCCAACCGGCGCCCGTCTTGAGAGCATGTGGACTAAATGATGGCCCACGTGCAGCCCAGAAATATCTATAATTCTCTTTCCGACCTCTCTATTGTAGCACCAGGAGCTATCGATAATGGACCTGGACGACTCGATGGTGCTAGGCCCAGGCATTTTTAGGTGGGTAATCGTATTTCCGCACCGAGACGCGGTCCGGGCCTGCGCAAGTCGCGTTAAGAGCATGGCCCACCCAAGGACAAAGGCGACTTACACGAGAGAAAGACCTGTACTTTCCTGATCTTATTAAAATACCGACAGCACTAATTTATCCCTCTCCAGCCAACTGGCGCAAGCTATTTACACAAGGCGAAAAAATATGCCGCCGCCTCAGCGAAGGCGGGGTGTGGTAGGTTTACCCCTCCATCTTGCCCATCGGGTCGAGGCTGACTCTCCCAAGCCCGCAGAAGACGATGAGGAAATGGAGAACCCACAGCGTGGCGCCGGTAGTGGACCAGAGAGCCAGGATGAAGAGGAATCAGACGGAGGCGATCCTATGAACGGCGTCCGAAGGGACACGGCGACCGAAGAGCAGCTCGTCAAGAGGCTGGTGCGCTATGCGCTAGCTTGCGAATACTCCAGGACACCGATTCGGAGAGAGGGCATCAAAGAAAAAGGTGTGTTGTTTCACTCACCTGACCCCAGATCCTAGTTGACCATGTGACTCTCAGTGTTGGGGCCGAATGGTAGGGCCTTCAGGAAAGTGTTTGCCGGGGCCCAGAAGCAGCTAATCGCCGCCTTCGGGATGGAGATGGTAGAATTGCCGGCGAAGGACAGGTCCGTCATGTCGCTTGATCAGAAGAGGAAAGGTCGGTGGTATACCCTCTGAATCTAAGCTGTGCCGGTTGCCTTGCTGACAGAGGAGGTCTTAACAGCTGGCAAATCCCAGACGCAGGGGCAGACCTCGTCGAATGCGTACATACTCGTCTCGACACTTCCAGCGGCGTACCGGGTCCCGGCAATCATCGCGCCATCCAAGGCTCAGTCGCAAGAGGGCGAGGCCTCCTACGTCGGCCTGTACTCGACCATAGTTGCGATCATCACCCTCAGCGGTGGAGAGCTCAGCGATGCCCGAATGCGGAGGCACTTGCAGCGCCTTGTGGTGGACAAGAACATGCCCAGCCTCAACCCGAACGATGGGAATCGCGCGACGGAGAATACGGAACTGGTACTGCAGAGAATGATCAAGCAGGGATACCTCGTCAAGACATCGGAGAGTAAGATGCAGGGCGACGACGACACGATCACATGGCACGTCGGGCCCAGGGGGAAGGTGGAGGTCACGAACGAGGCGATCGCCGGCATAGTCCGGATGGTTTATGGGGGTTCTTCGCCGGAGCTGGAGAAGAAGCTGCAGGGGACTCTGAAGGTTGCCGAGCGAGCAGATGCTGACGAGTCCGAGCCGGTCGAAGACGTCGCGGATCAGAGCCGGAACGATGGACACGCCGAGGCAGGGCCAAGCGCCGTGCGGAGGAGCAGAAGGAGGGCGGCGGCACATGATGACGACGATGAATAGGTAGTCCTGTATTATACTGTCATGGGTATCATGAGAGTCGTCCTGTATTATACTGTCATGGGTATCATGAGAGTCGGCCTTGAATCACAGGTCGACATGCGTAACGAGCATATAATGACACAACACTTGTATCCCTTGGTATTCCTAGCATCCAGCCCTTGAGATGTCCTTTGCAAGTGTGGAACTTCCGCGTATTCCCTCAAATGCCCGAATACAGTGTAGTTGTCGGTAGCTGTGGCTGGCTGCGCAGGGAACATCTCAGTCCCTCCAGGCGCCCACTCAAGCCGTCCCACTCCAGCTCATAACACGCGCCCACGCCCCTCGCGACCGGGCGCCTTCTCAAGGCAGGCGCATGGGCTCTTCGCCCTCCCGCGGCGGCGGCGGACCGCACGGTTGGACCATTTTCTGCATCACAAAGTTCACCCATTGTCAGCTACTCTCGTCGGCAGAGGCATGCATAGTCTATGGAGGGAGGGGGGGTTAAACTCACCCGGATCAGCTGCGCGCGGACTTTGGCGACGGGCTCGTTCTGGGCCAGCGCGAGGTACGCGGCGTGGGGCGGATGCCCGATGATGCTCGAGTACGTGTCGCGGAAGATGTTGGTTTTCCACTCCCAGCTCGTCGTGTCGGGGTGGCCGGTGCCGATGTACTTGGCCTGGAGCCGCTCGAGCTCCTGCTGGGTTCGAAGCTTGTCGGCCTGGAAGAGGGAGCAGGTGGGTCAGCGTATTGTGGCCACTTGAGAGGTGGAGGGGAGACTTACCATGTTTGTAGTTTGGAATTCCCTAGGAAAGTCGCTACTTCATGGGCGGCGGCAAGGTGTCGAGGCAAAAAAGGATGGAGGATGGACCCGCTGTCACCGAGGTGTGCCGGAAAGCCTTTTTCGGTGGCCGCGACCACTAGCGCGGATTTGCCCACCTAGGTGAGGACCATCTTCAAAAGTCCAGGCCGCTTATGAAACCTCGTCTCATACAAGATTGTTAAGAAGCCTTTGCCCTACCACTCATCCTATATCAGTTTAATGATACCCATACAAAGTGAGCCTTTCTTCTGAGTTGTTACACACATTTTGAGAGAAACATCCTACGATCACCATTCTCAACGCGTGTTTTGGGGCAGTTCTTGAGCCTGTTATAGATACAAACTCACATCTGCTGCGGACCTTCCCTTTGATACAGATACAGAAAGGCACTTAGTCATGACGGAGGTCTGGGATCAGTTAGGCTATCTGCAGAGCAGGCGTCAGCTCTGCATGGATGACGCCCAGCAGATCCGCCAGCCATGCACCCAGGACCACGAGAAGCAGACCGTATTCGAATGCGACGAATGTTATGGGAGGCTCATCGGGAGGCTGAGAAGCCGGTATCTAGACTCGTCAGATCCGGAGTGGTTCACCGGGAGGCGCGCGTTCCTGCAGGATCTCGAGGCCCTCTTCTCGGCGGCGGAGCGGCGCGAAATAGATCCGCGGGACATCGAGGCCCGCATCCAGGAGGAGAAGAGGAGTTGGTACCGAGAGAGTGTCAGGAACACCGCTAACCGGCTCATGGTGGACGACACTTCCAGCCGAGATGGCGTCTTGGACAAGCTCCACGATCGAGACCTGGCGTTCGAGGACCTCGTGAGGGACGTCGGAGATGCCGTGGGCAGAGCGGCCGCGTCGTCGTCTTCGGATATCGGAGACCTGGTCCGACGGATCGTTGCCGCCAAGGAGCCGCTGGATCGGTTCGAGATCTACAGGGAGGCCTTCTTCCCCGGAGAGCAGGGCAGCCAGAAGTACCTCGACATGCTGAAAAGTGGCATGGCGATGGAGCTGGTCGCCCTGCGGGTCCTGGAAGACCGCCAGGCGAGCACCGGCGCCCGGCTGCAGAAGGAAAAGCACATCCGGAGGTTGGAGGAGCTGCGGCGCGGCAGGACGGCCCACGAGATGCAGAAGACAAAGAACCGCGAGAGGTTCGCCGACGCTCGGGTCGCCAAGGAGTTCTACGAGTTGCCGCCATGCAATGTCTGTTCGACGGCCCCGGACACGGGCGACTTCCTGTCTTGTTGCCTGTGCCAGGTGTTGGCTGGTCAGGGCGTCAAACAGCAATCTACGGTATACTGCTCGAACAAGTGCTTTGCTCAAGGTCATGTAAGTGGTTAAGGGTGACCCAAATTACGTTTTTTTCTGCCCCTTTACAATGGGATGGTAGGATTGACACAGTCAGGATTCTCACGTCGAGCAAACGCACCTCTGTGTTTCCGGAGACAAGTGCATCATCTTGAATGACGAGGACGTCAACATGGATGCCGTCAGCTCCGACACCTTCCTTTGCAAAGAATGCATCAGCTTGTTATCGAAGCCCTCCGTATTCTGCTCGGCAAGATGTGCAGATCTAAATTTCCAGACTCATCGGGAGCAGATCCACCTCCCAGCACGGCGGGAAAGGCCAGGGGTTGTCTTCGACGATTCCAGTAAATTGGTTTTCGACGACGCGGAAAAGTCCAAGTATCATGCGGGTAATATCGAGGAGCACATTGTTTCCGTTGGAGAAGCATTGCAGGAGTTCGAAAAGAAGACTGGGATAGTCGTGTCAATAATCGACTGAGACATGGATGGTGGGATGGGCGCTATGGGATGGGTGGTATTGCCATGGTGATTTGTGATTTCTGGAGTCTATTTTCCTCATACGACGACGTGAGCGCAGATTTTCGGGTAGTTTTTAGAATCAAGTTGGTATGCCTGAGGTATTATCCGCTACCCCATCCTAATTGCCAATGCCCCGTCAACCAACGCCTTTCTTTATCCTCGCAGCAGGCTTCAACAAGCGGCGTGCTGTCAAAGATAGGCGCCCAAACATCTCATGACTGCAAATCCTAACGGAGTTAGGCTATATATGGTGGCTCCCACGGTAGCCCCTAGACGCTCTCGATGCTCTCTTTAGTCCCATCGCAGACAGATAGCCGCCGCCCCCTCCATGGGCTGGTCCTGTCACCATCTATGTCACCAACTTTCCGACTCGAAGTGATCGAAGCCACACCTCCCTCGTCACGGTATCATGTAGGTGCCCCTCCTTGCCCAATTCCGCGCCCCCCGCAGAGGTATCAGGTTATTTTGGCCGGCCTCCTCGGTTGGGCCGCCAGGGGGTTGAGGTTCGGCCGCAAAACAGTTGTTTGAACTGGCCAAGTGCCTCCAATTTTCCCGTTCGGCATCAGCCTGCTGCTTTGGTGACAGTTTTTCGTGCAGATGGCGACCTTGCAGGGCGATCACGATAGAGTGTGGATCTGATCTGTTAAAGACGAGGCCAAAGTATGATCGGCGGGCGCGTAATTCCTCAAAAATGGCGAAGATGTAACTGGCCGGATGCGCTGGGCAGACTAGCTCGACGCTCTGGCAGGTCGGAGATGGACGGTCACTAGACGACACCTCGTTATTCTGCCCCACGCTGCCGCCGTTCACGGTCCACGAGCCGAGATCTATCAACTGGTCAGTATGTATCGACGGACACGAGGACGGAAAGACAGCATCGTCACCATTAACCCCCCATAGGCGGAAGTGTTCACAGTTGTCGCGATGAAGTTGGAATTCAATGACATGACCGGCACTGGCCCACCCAGTATCTGGCAGCGCGGTGCCAGACATGAGAAGAGCCGAGGGATCTCCCTGAGGGTGGTGCAGGCGGATCTGACCGTTTGCTCTGTTGTAGGCGAGGAGGCGATGGTGAATTTCTGCCAGGATTCCCCTCTTGGCTTGTTGTGTAGCGGATTTGCTGCTTCCAATGTCATCATGAGTCGCCTGGACCAGTTGCACACCGTCGAGATAGTCATCAGCGAGAAGGTCGAACAACTTTGTGAATAACGTGTACACAGCGTGGAATATTACGTCAGGCTCCTTCCACTGTGGCGGTATTTCGAGGTCCGCCATGACTCGGTCCTTGACCAGCCATGTATTGGGTATCTTTACACGCTGCGATTCGTGGTCGAAAGACAACTCGGGATCGAAGCCGGTACCTCGGACGAAGTCAACTCTGTATTCTGTCACGGAATGGCAGAGCTTGAGGCAGGCTTGCGACAGTCGGGACATCTCCATTGCAAAGGGAGAAGCCGTCAGTTCCCAGTCTGGCACGGTGGACTCAGTCCGCTGGCGCTTGAGCAACTCGTGCTCGGCTGTGTTCAGGAGTCCATGCTTGCTCATTATCGACCAGTAACGTCGTGTCAATTCCCTCCCCTCGCACCCCAGACGTTCGATTATATCGTGTAGGTCCGGATTCTTTACAAAGTTAACAGACAGGACTTCGACGCCAGGTAGAGCAGACCCACCTTGGCTTTCTCTTCGGCCGTGTAGTACCATAATTTTTTGGACGCATCTCCAAGCAAATGCCTCCGTAGAAGACGGGCAACGTCGTAGGTGAGGTGGTTCTCGGCACCTGCGATGTCGCCATAATCTAACGCCGTACTATTGAGCATGGCGCTCAGCTCGGCGGCAAGCATTGGGCGAACAGCCAATACGTCGTTCCAGATATCGATGATGGCTCTCGCCTGGTCGCCGGCGGAAAGTACGGGCCCCTCCTTGACGAATTTACACGTCCGTGGCAGATTATAGGCGAATCTCAGTGGCCGTTTCGTGCTCTTGTTCGGGTCTTGGCGAGGCAGAAGGAGGCTGTCATAGTAGAGTAGACCGGAGAAGCGATCATCCAGAATTATCTCCCCAGTCGATGTCATCGATTTGCCCCCGTCACTAAGGTCCCAGAAGAAAAGCCCCACTCTGGCCCATCTCCTGAAGTCACACTCTCGGACCTGAGACCTTGTCGTTGGGTTACCATGTTCGTCCTGGCCCTTGCCAGGCTCCCCGAAGATGAACTGCGTGTCTTGCCCCAGCACAGCATCCGAACACAGCCCGTCTGAGCGTTGGATGTCTTCGGTAGCCTCATTGATGTCTTGTGTCATCTCTGGCGCAATGTTATGCTGCATGGCGAAGAGATTTCCGTGCTTGTTGAAGTTGAATCGCCAATCAAACAGGCGACTTCTCAAGCGGACCTTGTGATTCTGCGGGGACATCATGAAGACAAGAATGGCAGTCTCAAGGCTCTCATCGGGGATCTTAGCCTCAATGGGGCCACGGCTGTTTGGATCTGACCAACCCATGTCGAGCTTGAGTCCTTGGGTGAGGATATCCACGGTACCTTGGCCTTTCGTCCCGCTGTACCTGATATGGCCGAGAAACTTCTTGGGCTCACTACCGAGCTTGAATACTCGATAGCAGATTGACAGGTTGTCGTCGTAGTCTCCTCTCTCCTCTTGACGAAAGACGGCAAAATTCTCCTCAGGCATACCACTGAGATGAATGATATCCTCTCGCCTAGGCCCAGGTTAGGGTTTCTGCATCATGCACATCTCTGGGCGTTTTACGATTACCATCTTTTGACGATCTCCCGGAACGCTTCGTCCGGGCCCCAGCGATGGGTGCTGTTGTTAGGCCTATAACGGAAATTGATAGTGCGCGGCTTATTGGGGTTACTGGGCGCCCGAGACGGCACGGAGGGGTGTTTTTTGGCCGTCTCAACATTGGATGATGGGGGCTTGTGGCGCGCACGTTTGGTGGGCGGTGGGCTCGCCATGTCATCCTGACGGTTTGCGCGAGCTTGCTAAACGATGAGATCTTATCGATTGAAAGCAAACATTGGATGAAGGGCGCGTTGTGGAGGGCGTTTTGGCCAGCATATGAGGCACAAGGTAGATCACACCAACGACGGAGTTCCTTAGGTAATCTCCCACCCTCAAGCAAGCATTCGAGATCTGGGCAAGAATAGAGGGCTAGTCCATCGCTCTCCCGATGTTTGGACACATGCTGTTATGCCGTACATGTGTTCAAGCCCATGTTTCTTTGCGGCTGATAGGCCCGTGGGGAATCAAGGAGGGCATGAATTGAACGTCAAAAGTCGCGTGTAAGTCGTTGTGGGGTGGTTTTTTACTCATGCATAGGTACTCCTGTACCTCCACTAAGGTTGGGTACAGTACATGCATGATTACCTAAGTACGGATTACCTGCTAGCCCATTTCCTAAAATAAAGCGCGGCTAAATCCCCGTGAGCTGCATATCTACCTTGCCCGTTACCTCCGAGCTGACCGATTCCTATTCCGTCATATCTAGTAGCCTCTTTCCCTCCCATCATTCTCTTGACTCTCTGCCACCCACCATTCTTCGATCAAGAGAGCGATTACCATGTCGGTCACAACAGCCCTCAAGGGCAATTCAGCACAGCAGGCCCGGTCATTAGTATGTGCTCTCTCTCCCTGGCTTTGTGCGCTATTGGGTATTCCATTCTCTTTGCCAGCCGTCGCATCGTGGCAAAGATCGGGCTTGCCCAGAAAATAGTTAATGCTTGACCAGACATTCCTAACAATTTATGGGTAACAGTACCGGCAACTACTACGACAGGGAGAGCAGTTCTCCGCGTACAATTTCAGAGAATATGCAAAACGGCGAACAAGAGATGCCTTCCGAGAGAACAAAACCGTCGACGACCCCCGGCGAGTGCAGGAGTTAATACAGAAGGGCTTGAAGGAGTTACAAGTGCTCAAGGTACATTGGGATCAATCTGCCCCATCTTCAAATATCCCCATTGTCAGCTCCGGGTTGAGGGTTTGGAGTGCTAACTGAAGATGCAGCGCCAGACAGTTATCAGTCAGTTTTATCAGCTGGATCGCTTGGTCGTTGAGGGGGGATTATCGGTGCGTGATTTCCTGGCAAACGCAGGGCGATCGATGCTAACCCGCGGACAGGGCAAGGAGACGGGTAACAAGGGGGATATTCTCAGGCAAAAGGATACCGGGTAAGTCGGTCTAAGGCGCGCACTGTTCAGGATACTAATGCAACTGGTAGATTGGACTGAATCTAGCCGATCCCTGGTCATTAACGTGCTATCACGTCCCGACTATACCATGACTATTTCCTGGACAGCGGGAATGAGCGAACTTTGACTCGACTCATACAGTTGTATATTACAAGAGGGTGCGATTGGGATTAATGGCGGGAGGATGTCTATGCATGAGGAGGATGGAACGTCTGGCCAATCTGCCGCAATACCTATGGGTTGGTGCTTGGGGGATTGCAGACACAGAAGATCACCGAATAGGCCTAGGTATCTCCCAATTTTATGAAATGCCCACTTCAATATTCGTATGCAGTGGCAGTCGGGGTGGAGCACCCAATGAAAGTTTCGATCCATGTATATGTACCCAGTTATTGCGTTGGGAATTGTTATTTCCATAACCGGTATATCTGTTTATACGCATATCATTTTCAGGCTAGCCAGCCGCCCAGTGAGCAGGTCGATGCGACGGCACATCCACGCATTGACAGAACCTCAATCGCGACGACGCTGAACTCCACCACAACCATACGCGCGCCGTTTTCTCTTGGCTACACACTTAAGAGCTTGCCCATTTTCTATGCGATAGTATTGCAATATTTGGATCTTCTGCGTTGCTTGACGCAATTGTCCCTTGAGAGTTACATTCGTTTAACCTTGTTTGACACGGGCCCTTGAAAAGCTACCCAGATGGCGCCCGGTGTAAGTTGTCAATCCCCATCTACGTATTAGGGGGCGGCTAACCCAAGGGATGTCAAAGTATCGGACTGCAACCCAAACTCGCCGGGGTAACCGAAGTGGTTTCCCAGAACACGATGACTTCGAAGGTGCGAACACTCTAGACTGCTCGTCCAGTCTCAAACCACTGACTCTTCCGTTTGCTAGGGTTGCCTGTGCGACAATGGCGCCAGGAGTGGGTGAACATCGCCCCCCCTCCTCCACTCGAGGCCACTCAACAGAACGATCGCTGGGCCGTCGAGCTTCCACACCGCATGCCAAAGGACTGGCAGCTGCTTCCTCCGCACAGCCAGGAGCTCCTTCGCGCAGCTCGCTCCGGACGTTTGTATAAGCGGCCTGCTCCAGCAGAAGAGGAAGAAGCCGAGGTTGAGGGCGTCGAAAAGGCAGAGAAGAAAGAGGACCCTGCCACTGTTGGCTTCGCGGTCAAACTCTGGAAGCAGATTCCGCGCAACGTCGAAGGACCTGCTATCTCGCATCTCGCAAAACGGCATAAACATACCGTTACACTGTCCTCCAAAGCTGTCACTACACAGCTTACTGGCCGAACGGTGACAAGGGCAACGGTTCGCCGTATAGATGCTGCTGGTAACCCTTATGACCAGACCGTCACGCTAGTCGATGGACAACAGGTTGAAGGCGAGATCATCTCCACAACGGTTGTTCCGGCGCCCTCAGCTCTTGGTGGCGGTGCCGCGCTCCAACAGCCAACTCCTGTCAGGAGAAGACCTCCTCCTCCCAAGAGAAAGGCCAAAGGTCCAGGTCGTGGTCGCAAGAAGGGCAAACTGCCTCTTCCTCCTAGTACCCGCCCGGCACAGGAAGAGACGGGTCTTGAAAAGGCTGCGGATATAAAGGTAGAGTCTACTGGGCTCGATGTGAGTGATGTCTATTGCTATAGGCTCGTAAGGTTCAGACAGGTGCTGACAGAATCTCAGGGAGTCAAGACCGAAAATAACGACGACACCGTGAACCAGGACAGTGAGATGGCGGATAACTCAGCCATGCAGTCGGATGACGAGGAGGGTGATGAAAGAGAAGGCGACGAAGGCGAAGAAGGAGAGGCTGAAGAAGGCGAAAGAGACGCCGGCGGTGACGACGAGGGGCGCGACGAGACCTCCATGATGGAAACTAGCATCGATCAAGAGCAGCAAGAAGACCGCGACCAGGAGATGGAAGATTCGGATGTGCCCGGCCCGATTCAGCCAACGGTCGCGGAGCCTGGTGAGGAGGCTATTCGGCAGGAAGACCATCTAGACGCCAAGCTCCAGCCAACCTCAGAGACCTCGCTAAACCTTGGTCCACCGATGCATCTTGCGTTGCAGAGGCACGAGGGTAGTCCGCTGAAAAACGTGGTTCTTCAATCACCAACAGACCCCTCGCCAATGATTTCACCGGCCGCGCAGTCCATGGGGGTCCTTGGGTTTCCCAATGCCCATATTTCTCCAGAAGTTGGTGAAGGAGCCAGCCAGTCTGGAGGTGCAGAAAATGAGACATTCCTTGCAGAAACAACGGCGGCAAGCAGCGTTGAGGATCCGCCGATGGACTTAGATGCCAACGGATTCTCCGTCATGGATACAGATTTCGCCCCTCAACCGCTCTCTCCCAACGGAGAGGTCAGCGGAAATTTGTCTGAGACACCCCTTTCAGGCATGTTTGGGGCGGAAGAACTCGGTGTGTCGGCTGAACCCCAAATTGCGGATACTCTGCCTGAGAGTCCTGGTATAGGGCCCGTGATAGGATCCAACTCCGAACAGCAAACTAAATCTCCTACGCCCGCACTCCAGGAAACTCCAGCGACAGAACAGCTAGCAGCTGATGCGCTTCCCGCGACTGAACCAGAAGTGCCTCCCTCTGTGGAACAGCCGGAAATATCAGAACCACAACCTAGTCCGGGTGAGAAAGCCGGTCCTTCACCGCCAGCAACCGCAGGTGAGGACGATGGGCTGGACTTGCTCGGCGGCTTAGAGCGCGAGCTAGATCGTCAAGCAGCAGTTTCCAGCGAGGATGCGACACCCGCTGCAACTGCAACCGCGGCAGCTGATCCGGAAACCGAACCTGGTGAAGAAACTCGAGGCCCGGAAGAAATACCCTCGACCCCTGTCGGTGGTGATTTTGAGGCCACAGCCGTGGAGGATTCGGGCATTGATGAGCAGAGCAACGATAACAATGCCGAGCAGTAACGTTATTGTATTCGTAGGCGTACGGTTCTTTGGGTATTGGGCACAACATGGCCTAGTCTTGGGTCATATGGAAACTTAGGTAGGTAGGTAGTTGGGTACATAGGTAACTTGGATAGGACACATGTATTTTCCCATGTCCTTCGGTCTGCACCACAAATCTCAGTGTATCCAACCCCGCTAGGAAAGCCGGAGATATGTGCCTTCCTGCCCGATGCATACGAGCCGTAAACCCCTATACGTGAAATAACAAAGCCGATAACTCACATTCCTCAGCCTCCATTTCTGAGATTCCCTCGGGGAGGAGTCGCTCGCCCCGTGGAACGGATGGGCTCCAATCGGGACAGTTCGCCCAAAAAAGAGGGAGGCCCATTTCATGGCCCAAAGCCGTGGACAAACGTGGGCAAGCGCGACACAAATCCCATGCAGTCCTTTGGGCAGTGAGGGGGGTGGCAGGTCGGATCTGCCCGCATACCATCGATCGACCGTGTTGGAAAAAGATCAACGGGTAACCCGGCAGTCGACGGGAGAGACCCGATCGGGAGAGAAAGTGATCGGATGACCCAAAGAAAGGGGCCGTTACTCGAGGGTGGGTGGCCAATCAGAGGCTTAGTACCCCTCAGTGAGGTGAACGTGGGTTGAGGTTGTTAATTGGGCGATCAAGTTGCGGCTCAAGGAAGCTGTGGACTGCAATCCGATCCCCAAGCTTCAAGACCGCCAACGTCGATGTCGGTAGCAAAATATTCGAGGATGCAGAGCCCAGCCTGGTTCGACTGAGGCAGGCCGCCGGGGCCAAATGCCCGTGCTCGAACTTGCTCTTTTGTCGTTGAGCGCAATTCGTGACTGCATCCGCGTCTCCACAGTCCACAAAACAACCATCACTTTCAGCGAGCCCCAGGCCTCTGTTTTTGAACTCTGTCAATTAACTCTGCAACCTGTCTATGCCTAGGATGCAACAAAATGCCGATACTTATCGTGGCATGATGGAGAAAGGGCGACCATCTCGTGCGAGGCCGCCCAGAACGCCAGCCTCCCTAGCGCCAATGAATGGATCAACTCGCCGCCAAACCAAACCGATGTAAATGCAAGCATCATCGCCCCATAAAGTCGTCAAATCCCGAACTCCCTCCCATGCGATCGAAACCCTCCACGATTCTCACTGTGACACCTCGACCTCGATCCTCCGTTCCTGCTCGACCTGGCCAAGGGCAGCGCTGAGTTGCTCTCCCTGCTCCCTGGCGGCCATCTCCTCCAGGAACTGTGCGTATCTGCTCTTCTTGTTGTGGATGCCGCACTCGGTCTTGGACTGGCCCTTCCAGCGGCCGGCGCGCTCGTCCTCGCCCTCGGAGACGGGGCTGGTCGAGTGCCAGTCGCCGACGGACTTGTACCCCCTATCCAGCAGGGCGTTGTAGGGGACCTTGTGCTCGCGGACGTACCCCTGGACCTGCTGGAAGGACCAGTTGACCATGGGGTTGATCTTGATGATGCCCCGCTCGTCGTCGACCTCGATGACGGGGATCTCGCCGCGCTGGCCGCCCTGCGAGCGCCGCCGGCCGGTGAGCACCGCCGCCACGTTGAGCTCGGTGTAGGCGCGCTGCTGCGGCTCGACCTTGGCGATCCAGTCGTACAGCTCCTCGGACGTCTCGTACAGCCGCTCGCCGTACAGGTTGTCGAACTCGGCGGCGGTGTCGACGCCGTCGGGCCTGAAGATGTGGAGCTGCACGTTGGGGTACCGGGCCTTGACGTCGTCGATCAGGTCGTACGTCTCCTTGAAGTGGAATAGGGTGTCGAGGAAGATGAGGTCCACCGGCTTCGACGACGGGTTCTCGTCGTCGATCTTGGAGAGCATGTCGAGGGTCACGAGGCCGGTCAGACCGAACGCGGTCGATTGGTAGAGGTTGGGGAAGAGAACCTTGACGAAGCGGAGGATGTCCGCCGGGTGCATGTTCTCCAGTTGCTTGTTGAGGTGGTTGATATGTGCCTTGGTGAGCGCCACCTGCGGCAGGGATGGGGTCGAGGACGAAGCGGAAGCGAATCCTGAGTCGACCGAGTCATTGTCGTCCGACTTGGTGTCAGCCACCGGCCTCAAGCGAGGGGATGAGCTCTGGGAGGACGTCTGAGTCCGGAGTGTTGAATCCATATTGGAATGGGTTACAAGACGCTGAGGGGAAGTTGACCCTGGACGTTTCAAGCAAGCAGTCTTGTCTTGAAGGTGAAAATGGCTCAACCGGTACGATTAGGGGGGCAGCTTGAGAGTAGGGAGGGAGGGGGTTGGACGTCAAATAAAGGGAGGATTTGAGGAGTAAGAGCACGGCGGGAACGGACGAGCGCCTTACAAATGCAGAAGGGCAAGCGGGCAAGCGTATCAACTACTTCGACGAGTTTCGGCAGCGGGCTCAAGGAGAATGCTTAGGCAACGGTTATGATCTATCTACGGAGACGATGGAGCAGAGACTATAACCCAGGCTCTCTATTGGTTCTCTAATTCGCACGGAATCGGGCCAGAAAGGCATAACCTGGTCGGGGAGGAGTTTCAAAGCATTGCGGCGATTGCGCAATTTGCCAATCCGCTCTGGACCTTTGGTGTTGATGAGGAATACTGATCACGACATCCGCGCTAATCTGTCTTGGGTCATCGAAGGCCCCTTCTGATTGGTCAATCGAAAATTTTGCGTGCTTGAAGGTGAGTAACGCCGGGACCACAGATGTAAGTAGATGTGACGGTGTCAGTGGCGACGTCCACAGCGTCTTGGCCTGTATCGAGGACCTGGGAGTGATGGTCGTACAGGAAATCGCAAGATCTATCCAAGATCTGTCGTCATTGTCAGGGTGAAGGGCGTGCGGCTCTCTGAAGAGGCTCCAGGATGATAGAAGATAACCTTGCGAAACAAGTAAAAAATGGCAGACGATAAGACGCGCCTTAGGTAATGTCAGAGATGCTAGTGTGGAGAAGGTACCTGCATGCCTAGAGGAACCTACCCAGCAAGTTAGAACTTATTGAGCGAAGAAGTATCATGGTCCGGCGTTAGACACGTAAAGTGGCTCCGCCGAGATCCCACGAGTGCCGACCCTCTCTCCGTCTCCGTCTCCCTATTCCGAGAACCTTGGAAAACCGTAGGCGCTTCTCTTGAGAAGGCACTCACATCTCGCAAGACATTTATGAAGCTTATCCTTTGGAACACGACTGCTGGTCCATGTTCGTGTTGCTCAGGCTCCAAGTTTTGCGAAAGATCGTAACGCAGGAAACGACTAGACATAACACCAGGCTCTTCTCACTTTTAAGTGGACTCAGCCTTACCGACAACTAGCCGCCGATTACCACCGACAACCGCCGACAGATCCATAAGCTTGATTATAACATGGCAATTCATTATTTGGACCAGGGTTTGTGCCAGCAGCCCCTCTGCCTTCCACGAAGTAATGCAACAACAAAATAGACTGTACAAATGATGAATGTGTTTTGTATGTAATCCATAGAGAGGTTTCTTCGCTGGTGACTGACCCTATCACGTGATCAGACCAGACCCTCCTCCATCCAGGGTTAGGGTTAGGGTTATCCAGCGGCTCACGGCACTCCGTGTAACCCTAACCCTAAGAGCTGTGCGAGTTCACGCGGGCCAAATAAAGTGGGCGTGGCACGGGTTCTATCCTGCAATCGATGTCATGTTGGAAGATGTGATTTCGCGGTCTCAGGGCAGATGAGTAGAATGGCAATGTGCTCAGGGCGACCAGAAAGTATTTGCGTCTCGAAAGTATAAGGCGGCGCACTGCCAGCACGACTGACGATGCAAACGAGGAACTTGGAGGCTGTTCCTACTGCAGCTTGACGCGTCACTACATTTTTGAGGTTGTCTCCGCGGGCAGGGGCATTTAGCTATTCGGGCAGGGGCATTCAGCTTTCGGGCAAGGGCATTCAGCTATTCGGGCAAGGGCGGTTAGGTATTCGGGCAGGGACATTTAACTGTTTAGTCGTAGGGGAGGAGGTTTTGGCCAAATAATTTTAGGAGCAGAGAGGGTCACCAACTTTAACAACATGTCGTCTGCCAATGTGAAAGTTTTTGGCATAGCGCAAGTATGACCAATAGGTACTTTGCCTAGAAGGTCTACCGGTATAACCTCAAGGTTGCAGCATTCTTTGCCCGAAATCGACCTGTTATGTACCTAGGTGGAGATGCGCCCTGATGAAGATTTGGGACTCTTCATCCCATACAGATTGATCCGTCATATCAGTAACATGAAGCAGCTCCTTGACCTGCCAGCGCCCAAGATGTTTGCCTTCTAATTAGGAGATTGAGGTATGCAGTGCCTTTTGTTCTCTTTCCGTTAGTCAGTTCTCAACTAACAATCCGCTAGGCAACGCAAGATTCTCACATGGGTTTGCACAAAGGGTCTACAGTTTGCGCATGGATAACAGATAGAGATACAGAGAATGCTGTTTTCTGATTCCTGAATTCGCCCCACGTGACCCACGGTCTCCTCCAATCAGAAGCTTCCTTCTGGGACCCATTTTGTTCCTTGAATCAGGGCAGCTTGCGGAGCTAGCAGTACCAGAACCCTCACTACTTACATCTAGGGAACTTCAGGCAGGATCCGGGCCAGAACAAGGTCAATTATCTCGGCTTCTTAGAGTCCTGTCGTTTTCTGATCCCGTGCGAAGTAGGGTCTCGTGAGAAACACCGCAGCCCATCATGGCTCAAGACACTGGCGCGGCGAAGCACGGCTCCGTCCGCCCGACACTGAGTTCCTGCGGGAGAAGCAGTTCGTATCTTAGCGACCACCAACAGTACCGGCCACCCCATCAACCCGAGAACCACTATGGAATTGATACCGTCGTTGAGGATTTACGAGCCTCTACCATTACGTCGCCGAAGCCGAACCTGGTCTCCTCGTTCATCGGTATTCCGTCGCCCGAGAATCCCCCCACGATTGTCGAGAGCGGACTGAACCATGACCTGTCGCACCCCAACTGCTCACCCGCGCCTGGCACCAAGACGAACAGGATCATAGCCACCCTGTTCTACAAGTCAACGTCTCCTCGAGCCTCTAACTCGATACCCTCGCCGCAGAAAATACCGTCCCCCAAGCAGTCGACATCGGATCTATCCGACATGCCCGCGAACATGGCACCCGGCAGCGACCTCGACGCCTTCCCCCTTGAACCACCAACAGCTGACCCAGAGCCCCTGGATCACCTCTACGGCTCCTATATCTCGCCGTTGTGCGTCACTTCCTTCCTACACCTCATGTCCAGCTTCCCCCTCCCACCAGGAGCCACGAACCCGACCTCGGCGCACCGCTGCCTCGACAACGCCACGCACCCCGCCGTCGTCGAGCTGACCCTCTCCCCGGCCCCGTCCCCGTCCTACCTCCCCCTCACCGACCTGCGCAAGCACGAGCTGATCTACCGGTTTGAGCGCGAATGGAACGTCGACGTGGCGCTGCAGCCCGACACGCTGTGGCGCCGGTACCCGCGACTGGTGGTGTTCGACATGGACAGCACGCTCATCACGCAGGAGGTGATCGACCTGCTGGCGGCCACCATCACGGACCCGCCCGACCTGGCCGCCCGCGTGGCCCACATCACGCACCGCGCCATGCTCGGCGAGCTCGAGTTCGACGCCGCGTTCCGCGAGCGCGTCGCCCTGCTCAAGGGCCTGCCGGCGGCCATCTTCGAGGGCCTCCGGCCCGTGCTCGACGTCACCGAGGGGGTGAGGCCGCTGCTGCGCGCGCTCAAGAGGCTCGGCATCAGGACGGCGGTGCTGTCGGGCGGGTTCCTGCCGCTGACGAGCTGGTTGGCTGGGGAGCTGGGCATCGACCACGCGCACGCGAACGAGGTGGTGATCGGGGAGGACGGGAGGCTGACTGGAGAGGTGAAGGGGCTGATCGTGGGGAAGGAGAGGAAGAGGGACCTGCTGGTGGAGATTGCCGGGAAGGAGGGCATTGCGCTGGATCAGACCATTGCGGTCGGGGACGGCGCCAACGACCTGCTCATGATGGACGCGGCTGGGCTAGGCGTGGCGTGGAACGCGAAGCCGAGGGTCCAGATGGAGGCCGGTGCGAGGCTTAACGGCAACAGCTTGCTGGACTTGCTGTATCTTTTCGGCTTCACGCGCGAGGAGATTGAGATTCTCTCTGCGTGAGCAGATTTTATGGCGGTATGAGAACAGCCTTCAACAAGTATTCGGATTGTGGATATGTTTACTTTTTTTGGGGAGGGGGAGGGATCCTGCTTTGGGGGGAAAGGGCCAATGTGGAAAGGAGGGGGGGAAGTCGGGCAAGCCACAGCAGGTCTCAGACCGAATTGGTGGCCTTTTGGATGCTTGCTGTCTGTACATACTTACTCAACTAGGTTGACCTACTGGGTGCGATGACATGGCCAGAATCTGCACCCCGAACAAGGCTAGAAATGTCTATACTCCCTTCCGAAACTTAGCACTCCCCTGACAATTTCGTAGTTGATCCATTCTGAGAGGGGGAAAGGTAGGATAATCAACCTTATCGAGGCAGTTTCATGCGCCGTATCTAGGAAGCTAACTACCTACAGGCCCAAGCATCATAATAACTAGGCTAATGCCTAAGTAATAGGAGCTATATTGCTTTTCCAAGTATTTACTGCAGATGTCAGGCCATATCTCGTGAAAAAGTCGTCCGTGGTGAGGCTGAGGCGGGGTTCGGACTACTGCGAGCACCGGGGCTCGCGCGTTCCCCACATGTAGATGCCGCCGGCAACCGCATGTTGTAGTAACCAGGAAAACAATAAACGATCGACGTAACAATTGTCGGCGGCATCCCCTCCTGCGGTGCTACGGCACGGTCACAATGGACGTGGGTATCAACTCGTCGCTGTCAGCCTCTCCACGCAGCCCAACCACGTCGGTGCAGAATGCAGGCGCGCCCGTCATCAAGCGCCGGGCCCCAATCGCCTGCCGGAGGTGAGATTCGCGTCCGCCGGATTGCCTTGGCCCACCGCCTGCCGCCGAATTCCCCTGACTGATCAACTCGAAACTCGTGTATGTGATGTAGATGCCGCCGCATGAGAAGCAAATGTCTCCATGACAGGGGACAACCGCCCTGTCAAGCTTGCCACGCTGCCGGACTCGGCGCCTCAGACTGGTGAATTCCCTACCCGTTCCTTGCCTTCCGCCGCCATGGCATTGGGTCCCGTCGCTTGTCGATGCTAACCGATCGTCAAGCGTGTTCCCGGTCCGTGGCCAGCCAGACCAGGACCGCGAGTATCGGCACCCTCGAATGAGGCAAGACAAGAATGGCAAGCGGGATCCGACCAAGACCCGCAGCGGTTCCCTTGAAGCCCCTATTGCCCGATTGCTGTCTCACTCAACCTCGTCTAAGAACATCAGACCCGCAGATGAATGGGACTTGCTGCCGCCGCTGCCTGAAATCATCGAGGCCGTCAACATGTTCACTCGTCATTATTTCCAGCTGGGATTCATTCCGAAGCAAGCCTTCCCGGAGAGCCTGAGGACGAACCACCGATCTGTCAGCGTGTTCTTGGTCCTCGGGATTCTCAGCATCTCAGCTCGCTTTATGCCGTCTTTGGTCGAACGCTATGGCAGTGGCGTGAAGGCCGCCGAGGTGTTTATGGAACACGCATCGGCCGTTGCCCTGGACGAGCTGTACAGAGGCCCGGATCTAGCGAGGTGTCAAGCGTTCTACCTGCTAAGCATTGCACAGCAAGGGAGCGGGCTGAAGAGCCAGAGCTCGGTAAGCCGCCTTCTTTTGTGCCTCACCAGTTGAGACGTCTTCCTGACTGTCACCCAGATCAACATGGCTATCGCCCTGCGAATGGCCACCCTGATGCGCCTCCATCGGGAAGAGACCTACACTCTTATTAACCCCACGAAAGAGCTGGTCATCAAGGCAGAGTCTGCACGCCGCACACTAGTAAGCCGCTCCAGCTGGTTATCACCTCGGAGGTCGAGCCAGGACGTCTATCTTCACTAAGTTGGTGTTATGATGCTGACGCCTCGGCCTAGTGGATGCTGCACAGTCAAGACAATATCCATTCAGGACCTGCATCTCCTGTATCTCTTGTGGCATCTGATATCACCGCTCTACTCCCATGCAACGAAGAAGACTTTGCCAATGGCATGGAACCTCAATCGCGAGCAGCACTTGAAGACACCCCGCCCGCTGTAGAGAACCCGAGATTGATAACTGACCAAGGAAGATCTCTGTTTGCCACTTTAATTCAGTCGCATTACCTGTGGGGTACCATTTCTCGGCGAGCCATGAGCCGGGATAAAAGCACGCGTCCATGGGAACTAAATAGCGAGTACGGTAAGATGGAAATCAAATTGAGAGAGTGGGAGGGCGGGCTGCCACATGGGTGCCAGTGGAGCAACGTCCTTCTCAAAGGGTACAAGGCAGGCGGGGAGGACTTGGTATGCCAGCATCATCCAATGACAGTTTACTTGGGCATCGACTGACCTCACGAACTAGGCATATCTAGGTGTCTCGATGATTACCCGCCTCTGCAATATTGTACTGCGGAAGGCCTATCTCGACGAGTAAGCCCCAACTTTCTGTTGTAAAGAAACCTCCTGCTTACACACTCCCACTAGAATCGTAGCCTCGGCCTCGGGCAAGTCAGAACCTACCTTGCAACCGTTCTGGGCCAACATGTCGTACGAGCTCTTCAATAACGTAAGAATGTTGCATGAGCAAATCGAGACCCAGTTCAAAGTAAGGACCAATGACGACGGGAAAGGCGTCCAGATGGCGGCTTTCTGCGTCTACAGCTGCGGTTTCTTCGCCTGCTACCTATGCAAATGTCCGAATAGTAAGGGGCCTGGAAACTTCAATATTCTATTCATAGGATGCTAACAGCAGTCCTAGTCTGCCCAGACCCTGCCATCACCCGGGAAGGCCCAGCCATGGTACAGCGCTGCGTCACAATTCTGACAGAGAGCCAAGATCTATGGCCCCTGGCCTCACGATGGCTTGATGGGCTTATAAAGTTCAGAGACCAGAAGTGTGCTGCCGCAGGTGTAGAAGGCAGCATGGCCGATGGGGTAAGTCCCCAGTGTCACACACCCTAATGAGGTCTTTCATCTCTGCCGTTCACACTGCTAATTGTGCCTCTATAGAGGGAACCCATCCCCCATGTGCTGCACCAAGCACCCGAGCCACCTGCCACAAAACCCATCCAGCAATCAATACTTACTACTATTGCCCCTCTTCCTCCCCATCCACATCCGCCCATGGACGACCAGCACAACAGGCAGGCACACAGCCCTGGCACACCAATGCCCCCTCTCCTGCAAACGAACCCCCTACCACAGACATATATCGACCCCAACCTGCGACTGCCCGCACCACAATCACAACAGGAGCCAATGCACCCCCAGCACGCCCACCCCCACGTCCACGCACACACCCAACCAGCAGCTCCCGCCCACGACCACCACCAACAGGGCCGCCCATCAACCGACGGCCTCGGCCTCCTGATCGAGGCATTCGACACCCACCAAAACCACAACCACAACCACCACCACCACCACCCTCAGGCCGCCGGCGCCGACAGCCTACAGATACCGGTTCCCGACGTCGCCTACGACCCGCCGCCGCCACACCACCCACACCCGCACGAGTGCTATCCCGTGACGGCGGCGGCGCCGGGGGGCCCCGGGGGGGTGCCGACCAACGACGGGTACGAGAACGAGCTGCAGTTCTACATGTCCGACGGGATGCCCATCATATCGCAGGGGTGGGTTACTGGGGATATGTATGGGTTTTGAGATGGGGGGGTTTGGGGAGGAGGGGGGAAGGAGGGCGGGGGAAGGGAAATGAGGGAAAGGGAAAGGAACGGAAAGAAAAAGGGGCATGGATGGGATTCGGAGTTGGCTGGCGGTTCTTTCACATGTGTTCCGTTTCTGCTGGGAATACCAGGCCTCACTCAGGTCAGGTCAGGTCTATCTTCTTATATATATACACGATCCGGGCCTTTTCATGTTCAACTAAGCATTCATGTATGTTCTCGATCCGAAATAACCCCGTCACTTCGCGTCCTTGTCGAGCGGAGCCATGTCGCCTATTGGTGGGAGTAGTAGTAGGTTCTAGATGGATGATTTATAGAAGGACGGGCAGAATGAGCTCTGGGTGCTAAGCTAGAACAAGTTGTTTATGGCAGTTCGGGAGGAAACCCCATCATATACAACTTCACCAGTTGCAGAATGATTGCGAAGCGAGCAGCATATCAACAAGTGACACCCATCAGACCACAAAAACTAGAAGCCGTTGTTTGGCCAGAAGCGTTTTGGTGGTTGTTTCCTTTTTAGGGGGGGGAGATACGCGGATGTATTTCGACTATCTACGTAACATCTGGCCTTTCCATCGACCACGGCCACTCGGCCGGGTCGGGGGGGGCGAAGCTTGTGAGACATGGAATGCCAAGGGTTCTTGCCCGCATTCTCTCAGTCGGAAATGGCGGACGAGTTCTCTAGGCTTTTCTGCCAAACAAATGTGCTTTCCGTCTGGTTCCATCAGCTCAAAAAGGAGGCTTTGGCAGTGAGTGCCCGTCTACCGTTTAACCCTCTTTGTCTTCGAGAACTCCAGGACCAAAAAAATTACAGGTTCCCTCTCTGTCCGCCGGGAACGTATCCGAAACTCCTATAATCCGGTTCACTTGAACAGGACTACGTTTCCAACTCGGCCGCCGTGTGCTTTCGTTACGTCCCGGCCTTCCATCCCCGGAATCTACATGATTTTGGGTGGCTACATGCTTCGTGGACGAGGCATGCAGCTATACATGATTTATCTCTTTCTATCGTGGGCCCGTGAAAGAGTATTTGGAAAATTGCAAACTGGTGGTAGCGGCGTTAGGGGTAGGGGGGAAGGTGCAAGGTAATGTGATGCAGTGTCAAGGGGTATGGTGCTGGGTGGTGTCCGATAAAATAATGCGATAGGGGTTTATATACACCTGACCTAGGCATCTCCGCGATACCAGCCGTAGTGTACTTGTGTCGTGTCGTGTTGCGTCTAGGGCTAAGGGGGCAGGCAGTGCTGGATTGGTTGAGACCAGGGTCCGATCCTCCTTCCCGTGCAACTGCGTGTTCAGAAGCTGAAATTCAACGCAGGTAGTCGGTCGGAAGGGGTGCGGGTTCGCCTAGGAGGCCGAGTATATGGGCGGGAGCAGATGCCGCGCTCAACTCTGCTGCATCACGTTCGCTGTACCCCCAATCTGGCGCTTGACTTGCTCGCGAGCCCATCGGGCGGTCTCAATAGTCCGGGGTTGGAAATCACGGTTGACCCGCGTCTCCTTGATCAGGGCAGTAAGCCAATCTTGGCGGAAGGCCTCGACCAATTCTCCGTTTGGATATGCATCGGCAAGGTCACTAAACAGGGGTTAGTGGTGAACTGACCAACAAGAGGCGGGGATCCCTTACCCAATGACACCCATCGAAGCCCTCATCAAGGCCTCGCTACGGTTCGCATCGCCAGAAATGCTGCTAAGCAACTCGAAGATCGACTGCACGTACGGCTGGAGGACTTGGGCTGCGCGGAAAACAGTCAGTTAGAAAGACGAGACAAGTCAAAACATTGCGGCAAACTTACTCTTGGAGCTGGTCTTCATAGCACCAATAATGCCACCCCAGGCATCCATAATGCCTTCTCGCAGGGAGACGACATAGTCGAACATCTCGTACGAGCCTTCGGGTGTCGCGGAGACAGTGGCAGCTTGTTGGAGCACCTGGGCAACAACAGAAAGATACGTCTCAAAATGACCACCGATGGCACCAGCAATATCTCCAAAACATTGAAGGATAGCCGGCTTAAACTGGTTGGAAAGCGTGGTACTCTAGATGCGGTGTTAGAGGACAAGCAGATACTATGGTGTGATTATGGGGTGGGTGGCAGGAGAAGATCAAAAGCAGAAGAAGATGATGGACGAACCCTGAGATTGTTGAGAAGATAGTTCATGAAGTTGTCGCAGTAAGGCTGGCTGCGCTCTCCCATGGACCGGGTGATATCGCTGACGAGGCCAATAGCCATCGAGCACAAACTGGGCTCCTCCTGATTGCCGAGGGCATTGTAAAGGAAGGGGCTGAAGGCGTCCATGTACTTGATGAACTCCTCCTCCATGGCATTCGAGAGGCTGCTGATAGTTGCAAAGACGGCTTCCGGCACAGTAGACTTTCCAGCCACGGTGGCAAGGACCTGGAGCAGAACCTGCATGATCACGTCGCCTTGGGGTGTAATCTCCTTGTCCAGTCGCTGGATGATTGCTTGAAGGACAGCACAGAGGCTGGTCTGGATGTCTTCGAGGGTGATCTTGTCCTCAACGCTGACGACCTGAGTCTGCATGGGGATGGTCTCCTCGAGTCGCTTGATGATGACGTCCGAGAGCGAGGCGATCGAGGCAAGGCTCTCATTCGCCGAGCTCTGGACAAAGACGTTGAGAACCTCGTAGGCAGCCGTTCGGATGGCGGTGTCACACTCGGGACGGGCGGTCACGGTAAGAAGATTGCTCACGGCCTCGTTGAAGTGAGGAGTGATGGGGTTCTGCTGGACGCCGGGTTCGCCAGCAAAGCGCTCAGCAAGGTTCATCAAGGCCCAGCAGCAGGAAGCGCCCATCTTGGGGCTGTTCAAGAGACCAGCAAACAGGGATCTTAGCAGGGGCTCGAGGTGTTGACCGGGGTCGACGGCATCGGAACAGGCCTCGGTTATGCGGCCAAGAGCATAGGCGGTCGAGTCCCTGACGTGGATCGAGGGGTCATCCATCATGCTGATCAGTGGCTGCATGCCGGACTTGACGATCGGCTCCAGGACCTTCTCTTCGGGACCGTCCATAATGGCACCAAATGCCGAGACGGCAGCGTCGCGGTTATGCCAGTCGTCGGATCGCAGGTTCGCCTCGACAAACTGAATGACGGGCGGGATAACGGCTGAGCCGACAGCCTGGGCATACAGTTGCAGGCACTGGTATGCGGCACGAGAGATGTTATACTCATCGTCGGTGGCATCCTCATCCTGCTTCGTAAGAAGGCTGAGGAGGACTGGTACCACCTCATTTGCGGCAACACGAGCGAAATTGTAGAATGGCCGCATCTGCTCGGAGCTCTCCACCTGGGCATTGTCATCTTCGATGGCGATCTCCTCCTCGCAGACGGTGCTCCAGAACTCTACTGCGAGCTTCGCGACATCCTCATCGGTGCTCTTCATGCCGAGAATCGTGAGGCCGAATAGCGCCTTCTCCATGTAGAAGCGCATGTTCTCGTAGTACAAGCCCATAATGCGGTTGAGGCAGCCGAAAGCGCCCTGTTGGATGCGCGAGTCTTCGGCCTGGGTAGCCTCGCAGACGACCTGCATGATGTAGTTCCTCTCTCCCTCGTGCTTGAAGTTGTTCCCAACGAACTCGAGCGAGTCGCCGAGGGCGGTGATGGCCGCCAAACGGACCTCGCCGTTAGGCTCCTCCTTCCGTGCGCCCTGCACGACGGCCGTCAGGATGGCGTTGGAGTGTGTGATCAAGGCAGTACGGAGCTCCGGGTCCTGGCCTTCGCAGATGAAGCCGATGGCGGTCAGCGACGACTGCTTCTGGTGCTCATCCCCCTCGCTGACATTCCGGACCAAGGCGTGCATCAGGTCCGGCCATTGGTCCCGAGGAAGCTCTATGGAGGCGATGGCGGCCACGACCTGCGCCGCCGCCTGACCGGCCTGGCTGTTGGCGGAAGAGAGGGTCTGCAGGGCGAGCTGTTTGACGCGCGTCTTGGTATCTTGGTCGGTCTGCTGAAGCCATTTCGCGTGCAACTGGGCTTGCCGGGAGAATTCGCGGGCGGTGAAGGCGTTCTTCAAGGCGAGGCCGGCAGCCAAGCGAATCTGACCCTGGGCACTCTCATTTGCCAGTTCTTGGACGAGGGTCGCGAGGTATAATGACTGTGATCGAGGGTCTGGATTAGCGCTGAAGAATATTGGTGCCAATTCGGGGGCCCACTTACGAAGTTCGTCTCCGCAGCTTGGGTGAGTTGCTGTTCGGCGGCATGGCGATGAGTCGCATCTGTGAAGGGGGGGAGAGAAGTCGGTCAGCAACCTAGTCACGGCAGTGGCGGAGTTCGACGCGATTCCGCACGTGCAATGCGAGGGGACTAACCGGGAGACAGCGAATTAGTGAGGACAGTGTTAATGTCCGGTGCTGAAGAAGCGCCCTCCATAACGGGTGGTTTATGAAGAGAACGAGATCTGGACGAGTGGTTGTGTGGTGTGGTTGTTCAGATCGATGGGCAACAGCGCGGGAGGCAGCTCGTTGTGTTGGAAGGTTTGAAGGTTTCAAGGTAGGTTCGTTGCACGTGGAAGACTAGTCTCTGCCTGGCTGGGAACAAGCGGGGAGGCTCAGTCGCAGCAGCCACTTCTCAGTGAGTGACAAGGGCTTGTTTTGGTTACGCTTCTTTTGTGCGAGGCGAAACGTATTTCCAGAGTGACCAAGGGTTTTGGTGGTGAGCAAAATGTCAAGCTGAGGTTGACGTGCGGGTCTCTATTTTTTTCAATTTTTTTGTTGACAATCACGAGCCCCGGCAGGTCGATATGCGGCCCTGGTGGTGCCTGCTGCTTGCACGACTGGGTCGGGACTAAATTAGAGAGGGGCACTCTCGCTAAACGGGCCTGGAAATGAACGTGGAGAAGAGGAGCGGGTACAGGCGACTGCGACCGTGTGTTCTGAGGCTGCTTAAGAGATTTCTGGAATAGTCGACGTCCAAGAGGCAAGGTTGGAAGGGTGGAAGGCTCCAGTCACAGGTAGAGTTCAGGAGTTGGAAGTCTCAGTCAGTCAGGCTGGCTCACGAGCGGGAAACTCACCTTTGATCGGCCTGGTGGAAAAATTGCACTGTGCAACGCCAATTTGGGGGGAAATCAGTGGCCTTCTCAGCAGCTCATTGGCCGTACGTGGGTGCCCGACAATGACTAATCAGGAGTTCATGGCATGCCTGCCAATCATCACCCGGAAACGGAGCGCCATCAAAGGAAGCTCTCCAACCAACAGGTCCCATTAGGGGTACCCCAGATTCAAACTCCTTTTTTGATGACGTCCTCTAGGTTTACTCCCTCTAGGCAGGCAACTAGCAACCGACACCTCCGAGAAGAGCGAAATTCGTACAGCAAGCAAGCGCAATTACGTAGATACGAGAATTGACCAGAATATGACAGAGATCCACATTAGTTCAGTCTTTTTGCACGCCGCCACGCGGATTCCCGTGGTATACGGATGCTCAAATGGGGGGGATGGAGGTTGATAAGGACACGATGGGGGATCTAAGGAGAGGGACAGCCGCAGGTTGGACTGCCTGGCGAAATTGTTTCGTACTCGATGTCATTGACGTCGACTATGTACGAAAGGAGGGCTGTCCCCCTCTCGATTATGAGAGGGCGCCACAAGGAGTTTCGCTAAGATATTTACTTGAATCTGCCCATGAAAAGCATCTCGTTCCGCCTGGTTGAGGCTTCGTCCTATACGCCGGGAACTCTAGCAGTTTCCATCTTCCATCCCCCTTCCCAATGCTCCATCTATCCGCGATGTTCAATGCAGTCGTAGAAGCCACAAAGAATTGATAAGTACGCCCAATGCCATAAGAGAGAAGATAAAAAAGCAAAAAGCAAACACCGGCTTCGCTTTCATGTTTAGGTATGAGGTGATGGCAGTGTCCAGCCCAGCGGCCGTTTCCGATATCAAGTCCACGAGCCATTGCCGGGGTATTTACCAGGTAAAGCTTTCCTCGATGAAATCCACCACCTGGCGCTCGTCCTGGACCATCCTCGCAGCAGATCTCACGTCGTCGGCCAAACCGCCGGGCCCGCAGACAGACACGCACATGGCGCCCACCTGCTCATGAACCTCCCTCCTCAGCAGCATCGGGATGTTCGGCCGCCCGGGAAATATCCGGACCGTGTTCGACGCGCTGCCAATCTCGCGCGAGTTCTTCGGCCGCGTGATGAAGAGCTTGATCTGCAATATCTCTTTCCTGTTGGGGAGGCGCAGGATCGTATCCATCCACGGCCGCACCCACTCGAGCGCCTCATAGTCGCGGATGATCCAGACGAGGGTTATGCGACGTGTCGCGACGACACCCGTGTTGTAGCCGTCGATCAGGTGCTTCAGATAGCTGATTTGGTGCGTGATACCGGTCGCACCGGCGAAGAGTACGACGTGCCCGTAACTGTCCAGGCAGTGGTGGCCTGCATAGGGGCCTTCGAATGCTGCACGTAGCCTCACGGCCGGCGATTGGGCCATGATGGCGGTGTCGTAGAGTTTGCGGGTGAAGCCGGTCTGGGCCCCGATGACGAAGGAGACGCTGGTCGTCGTGGGTCTTTCCAGCGTGGCGAGGTCCTTCTCGTTAGTGGGGAGCGCAGGATGACCGGCGTGCTCCACCCACGCGATGGAGAATGGGTGGTTCTCCCAAGCATTGACTCCTGCGAAGCGGAGGTATGCGTGAGTACCTGGCTTGATGTTGATGTATTGTGGCAGACAAAGTGTCACCCGGCACGTCTCACCGGGCATGGGCTCAACAACCGCCTCGGTATATCCCCTTTCTGACCAGTTGCAGTACGCCAGGCGGACCATGCGGGCCAGTCGCTCGGCGAACCAGAGGAGCATGATGGCGATAATCCAGGGAAGCTGAGGGAGCCCCCCGGGGATCGATGCCGACACGCAGTGGACCAAGGTGCAGACGAAGGTGATAAATGCCAGGATTATGTGGGTGGAGAGAAACGTCTCGTAGAAGGCGTGCCTGAGGGGCGACACGGACAGGATCAAAAGGAATATCATGGCTAGGGTACCGACCGAGCCGGAGGCAATAAATCGATTGTGCAACATCTTGGCGTGTACACTCTCCCATCCGCCGTCCGCAACTTGAACGATGGCCCACGCGATAGTGTGAATCAGGGCTTCGATAACCACGACGCGACCCATCCATCGGTGAAGGAGATTGTATGTGTCGAAGCTGATCTGCAAGATCGAGATCAAGGGGTTGTTCCGGCCGGCGAGGATGATCAGAGGGACCATATTCACCAATGCCAGCATCCCTGACCGGCCTCGAAGCTCGGCACAGAATGCATACTTGTTCTGATTCTGCCAATTCAACAGAAACATGTAGGCCAGGTTGCTGGCCAGGTAGAGTCCGAGCAGCAGACTGTGAAACCGAGACGGTAGGGTGCCCATGTTGACGGCCGATGAGAGGCGGAATTCTCGGTTATGGCGCTTCCTCCACAGGGGCGCGTAGATCAGCCTTCTCTTTATGCCGGGCATCCAATCCCACTGCTTGATTTTCCAAAAGCCTTGTTTATCCCCTGGTACGTGCATTGCCGTGACCTGGCGAAATTTTGCCCACACCAGCTCCGTTATCCTGATGATGAGTACACACAGGCCAGCGATGCCCAAGGTCCACCATAGGAGATCCCTGACGAGGTAGTTGCCTGATTGGTTGACCCCGTTCAGCCCGGTGTCATACGGTGCGATGGTGGAGCCCGGCAGGGCCGGAGTCTCTGTTAATGTTGCTGTCAAGTCCAGGTGAGCATCTCTGGGAGGTATGGCGGGCGTCGACAAGAGTGGCTGAAGCGCAACGGCGAGCCTGCGCCGCTGGAAGTCCATCGAGGCCGAGAACAAGGTCAAGAACGAGAGAAGGGGTCGGGTTAGGTGGGTGTATGGGTGTGTGGGCGCGTGGGTGTGTCCTTGGAATGGTCTTGGAGGCCTAGCCAGTGACTGAGTCTGGGCCGGGGCTGCAAAGGGTTCTATAGTGGAATCCTTCCGGCCAGACAGCTTCGCTGTCTGTAGAATCGTTCGAGGACAATTGTCGATGTTATTATTGAGGACCAACTGGGCTGGGCAACAATAACATTGTAATGGACGGACAAAGGCAGCAACACCAAGTAAACCAGGACACAATGCTTGCTCCAGAAAGTCTTTGGGCAACACTTGTCTCGGACGAACCAAGCTTTGTAGAGTGGCGAGGGCGGCTTAGACAAAGGAGGTGGTGGGTGGTGTTCTTCCTCGACCAAGACAGTCCTTGTCAAGCGGCAGTTGAGCCCGAACAAGGAGATACCCCAGACACAAGGGAAAGAATAATGAGTTTAGTTCCAGGACGGCGAGATATTGGAGCTGATGACGAGGGTGGGGCCAGTCACAGGCAAGAATTGCTCGGAGGATGTGAACGCCGCGTGGTGAGAATTGAGTCCTCACTTGTATAAGCCGAACTGGTGTTTATCAATAGCGGAATTGAAATTCGGGTTATCGTGATCGTGCAAGCGTGCCCAGCAGCTGGATACTGTCGTTATATGGGGGAAATAACATTAAAAAGGGATACGATAATAATAAAGAATGATGGTTGATTCGACTGCGAACCAGATGCTTCCTAATGAGGGTAGGGTGGGAGACAGAGTGAGGGTAAAGTGACGTATCGTTGTGTTGTTGACTCTCGCCAGTGTTGCCAGTCACATACACTTACTTACTCACAAGGTGTAAGTGATGCAACATTAACAGGAGAAAGGAGGAAGACCTGTACTTAAAAAAAATGCCGGTAGCTCTGTCTCACCAGGAAGAGTGGTGGCGTTGAGCTATCCTGCCTCCCCCTTCCATTCTCACCGTTGCATCTATTCTGCCCTGGGCTCTGTTACCAGTCGTAGCTAGCTCACAGGTATGTTGGATTCCCGCTTGCTGTTCTGGCCCTATCATGGACCACGGAGGCGGCCTCCACCAGACCTAGTGGCCCTATCACCCATCGGCCGACTCAGCCCAAGGGATTGAGTCAGGGGCAGCAAAGGGCGCAGGAAGAAGAAAATTGGTGTTCGATGAAATCTATAGGCCAAGAGATCTGGAATGGCGTTGCAGCGGATTTCAAAACTGGGGGACATGGGGATAAATACGCAATTTGATTGGCCCAATATCCTGCGCCTCCACCTCAGGTACCGTACCTTTTCAAGGGGCACGACTCAGACCATTGGCCTGGCGAGCCTGGGCCCTTTTACTCGGAGGAACCCGTCACCTCTTTAAGTATCATTCGAACAGCGTTCGTCGGGTATAGGCCCCGACCTCCCTCTAAAGTTTTCAAGCTTCTGGTCTGACTCTACCCCCTGTCTCGGCAGCATCCGGATCTCCCATCCCTGTTTCCAACTCTTGGGTATCATCTTAGGGAAACCGGATGTCTTCCGGATGACTGATATCTTAGTGAGGCAAAGGTGTGAGAATGTCTGAACAACGAGCTCTATGTGGACCGGTGCCTGGTTTAGAAAGGGGTGCCCAAGCTGTGAAGATAACCATCCATGCTTCTTCCCAGAACTGACGATGTGCCACGTGGGGAGTTGTCGACACAATATCCGTATCTGGCTCTGTCTTGAACCCCGGTGATGCCCCTCTGGGGAGGGAGCGAGACTGGGACTCGACGTCACATCAGGGAAGGAGGTTGGGTCACCCTTTCTTCCTAGTGTCCCTCCTTGGCAACTTTATTCTCAAAGCCAGCAGCAGCATCCACGAGATTGTGTACCTAGCTTAGGTAGTTCTCGAGCTCAGAGGGGGGTGGACCAAGTCCGTTTTAGATCCCGGAGCCCATTCCTAGAATTGTACGGATTATCGAGGTCATATTGTCTTCTATCGGTGGAGAATATGATGGCCACTGATAGATAGCACCCACGCTTGTAGTTGGCAGTTAGTAGCGGTGAACAACTTGGATGACATGTACAACAGAGAGACAAGGATAGCCAGATCAACCTCGGTTTATAGGGCTGAAGACAAGAGATCTTGGGGGGATCCTGGTGTATCGAGTGTCAATGAAGTTTGCAGCTCCGGATAGGTGGACATTGCGTCGCGTGTGATCCGTTGTGTTGTTCAACGGGACCACGGTGATATTACGAACTTCACACTGTCCAGGATACACGGTGCCTCGCGGGCTTTGCCGTTGCCGGGCCGGATATCGTGCCGGAATTTTCCAGATTGACCGAGACCGTCATAGCGAAGGCCTTTGGAAATCGAGACCTCAACTCACAACGGCGACTGTAACCAGCCATTGACGAGCTTCACAATGGGCTCCAGCTCGTCCAAACCATCGTCCGCATCCCCTCCACACGTATGGAAAGGGTACGTGAATCCAAACCCTCTAATCGAGCCCTGCCAGCTCTTCTTGGGCCCCGACTAACCCTCACTGCCCAGGTCGTCACCAACAAGCGTGTCGCAGGACATAGTCGAGTCCCTCCAATCGAGCAATGAGGTACGGCCCACCACCCAACGAAACAAACCCCATTGAACCCCGCGAGAGCACACCCAGCTAACCGTCCCACCCTTCCCATTACCAGACCGACGTATCCCGCGCCCAAACAGTCGAGCTCCAGATCCAGGCCCGCGTAGCCGAGGAGCTGCGGCGCCTACAGGCCAAGGAAGCCGCCGCCCTGAAGGAGACGCAGGAGCAGCTCTCGGCGACGACGGACGGCTCGGCACCCGACCCCGAGAAGTCGCCGAGCAGGTACACGGTGTCCAAGGAGGTGGAGGCGCTGCGGGCGCGACTGGAGGGCCGGAAGAAGGTGAGGGGGATCCCCGACTCGGTGGAGGCGGCGCGCGGTGAGGTCGTGCGGTGTCTACGCGAGCACGACCGGCGGCCGCTGGACTGCTGGCGGGAGGTGGAAGCCTTTAGGGAGGAGGTTAGGAGGTTGGAGCGGGGGTGGGTTGAGAAGGTTGTGAGCTAGGAGGGGCCTGGGGGTCCGCGAATCGTCTGTCTGCCCTGTCTGGCTGGCTCGGGTGGTTGGCCTGTGGCCTGGAAAGAGAACGGGGTGCGCTGATACGCGCGGGGGTGTACTATACGAGGGAGTCCGTCTGTGTGTGAGGCTACGATAGAACGATATAGAGACGTACGTGCACAAAGAGGGAATTGGAACCGATATGAGACCTAAGGGAGCAGATGTGGTTAGAAGAAGTTTGGTTCTAGTAGGATTTCTGCCTCGTCCGGTGGCCGCTGGCGTTCTTTTCCGAGTTCCTCCTGCCTCCTCAGACCCTCGGCCTTTTTGGTTTCCCTCCTTACATCCCGTTCTAATCTGGGTTCTTCCCGAGACTCCGCCTTCTGCCCATCCAGGGCAGCTTGTAGCGCTGTCCAAAACCTCTCTATTCTCTTCTCATTCTCCCCAAACCTCTCGTTGGCTATCTGGACGAGCATCTTGAGATACTCTAGTGAAACAATACAGCGCCTGCGGCCATCGCTTTCGACCCCTATCAAGGACTCGAGCGACAGCCCCATGGATCTTATGGCGACCATGGGATTCGCATTTTCGGCATCCAGTTTCCCCTCGAGCAGGTTGATGGCTCCGCTCTCTCGATAGCCGGCCTGCAGGCCACACTTCAGCACCAGCTGGGCATGGCTTGGCGAGGCGGTCAGGATATGTAGAATCTAAAGCCAAGGTATATGAGCGCTGGCTCGACGTGGAGATGAATACAAATTAGGGAGTGGGGGACGGTGTATTCGCCGCTGGGAGGTCGCCCAGGCCAGAAATTCGAAGCCAACAGAGTACGAGAACAGGTCTTACCATGGGCTCGAATTTGAAGTGTATCAGCCTCAAAGGCGCCTGGCCCGCATCCTCAAGCCCCCGTGCTTGATCCGCCGGGATCTCAAGCCCAAACAAACCGGCCACATCCCGGCCACCAGGGTCATCACATCCCCCAAGATCGACCGGGTCGTGCGACACGAACAGCCAAGACCCACCACCTCCCTTCCCCCCGGCCGTGCTCGCGGGTTTGTCCGGCCGCAGCCGCGCCGCCTTCACAGATGAGGGTTGATCTGCCTCTTCCGGGGCGGCGACAACCCCCTTCCGGCCCTCGACGAAGACGCTAACGCGGCCCGCGCAGCTGCTCGTCGTCACAAGCCCATCGTGGCTGTTTATCCCGTCGATGAGCTCTCGTATGCCCTCATCAACGGACCCCTTTGGCGAGGAATCCGTGTACTCGGACGCGGGCACGGAGAGCTGCTCTAGGATTTTAGCCTTCTTTCTCGTGAAGCCCGGGTGTGGAGATGGCAGGGGTTTCATGGCTGCCTTGTACTCTTGCTGGAAACGTGGGGGAGGCATGGTTGGAAACGGTGTGATATCGTCACAGTTGCTGGGAAAGGGTATCACGTGCATCGAGTTTGGGATTTTTGTCGAATGTAGTAGCTCAATACACCAAAAAGGTGCCTACCTGGCTTGGTAGCAATGAAAGCCATGGCACGGACAAGCACAAGATATAGATGAGGCAAGAGATTGAAATACATTTTACTAATTCGATTATATACATCTGCAGAATACACGACATTGTTTAAATGTCGTCATTGGCTCCCCCGTGATACAGGTGAGAGCCTCCACGCCCTCAGGGGTAAGCTCTGCAAGTGCCGTACCTTCGGCTGGATATATGTTACAAATGTCACCACCCCGAATATCACGCAGAGTATGTTGACGATGTAGTATCCATCGCGGACTATATCGCATGTGCCGCCACCGGCGAGACACCGCGCCTTTTCCGACTGAACGGCGCAAGAGAAAGGCGCCGTCACGAGAGGGCCCGAGAGCCCCGCGGGGTCAGTTTTGCCCGGGTTGCAGGTTGCCGTGGTGAAGGCGTCGACTAGGCGCAGGACGAAGAAGCGTGGGAATGTACCGCCCAGGTTGCAGACCCTGGATAATATGTTAGGACTGCATGACTGGGAAAGAAGGGGCAGGGGTTGGGGTGAGAACTTACGTCGCAAGAAGAGTCATGTAGGTACCACCAATGACAGGGTCCGAGATCCTGGCGTGGAAGGCCGACACGGCGACGAACATGACTGTGTTCGTAAATGTCGAGAAGACGTGTTCCCCGATGACAACCAAAAGGTACCAGGACGTCACCCCTTGGGCAGGGAAAATGACGACGGTCAGCTGCGCGAGAATGGCAGCAACGAGACGACCCATAAACGCCCAGCACCAGAGCTTCATTGGCGTGAACTCCTGCGACCATTTCCCGGCGTAATAACCCAGCCCTATTTCAAAGGGGAAATCGATCAAGACGGCGAGAGCCATGTTGTCGGTGCCAAATCCCTTGTCAAGCAACTTCAAGTTCGTGACAGCATCGTTCGCCTGGAAGCCAATCTTCGCGATGAGATGAACGACGATGATGGTCTGGATATTCTTCAACTTCAACACGCCCCACATGATCTTGTAGACATCCCAGATACCATCCTCATTCTTGCTCCGTTCCTCTTTCTTGAACAGCGCCAATGCAACGGTCACGGCGATGTACGCCCAGCCCCAGAAGGTCAGGAACCCGCCCAAGCTCACCAAACCATGGTCCAGGGGTATGGCTCGGAACCATTTGTTTGCGAAGTCCTTGGAGTAGAAGGCGAGGAAGACGGTGTATGAAAGGAAATGGCCCGCGGTGAGGCCGACCGTTTGCGCCGTAGATGCGTAAGAAATATTCCCCGGGGTCAGGAGCGTCAGTGCCCAGCCATCCACGGCAATATCTTGCGTCGCGCACATGAGTACTAGGAAGAACCACCAGCCGGTGAAGCCCCAAACCGTCTGCCCGCCAGCCTTGCCCGTCGAGGACATCATTTCGTCTACCGTCGATCCCAGCCATAGCATACCGAAGCCCGAGAGAAACTGGATAGGCAGGATCCAACTCTTTCTTCGGCCGACTTTGGGGTTCCACACTGCGTCGACGATCGGACTCCAAAAGAGCTTCAGGGAGTATGGGTAAGAGGCCAGGCTGAAGACGCCGATCTCGCTGTATGACATGTGGTTCTTGAGGAGAAACGGCACCGAGCCTGTCGCGAGGCCCAACGGGACACCTTGAAGGAAGTAGAGCAGGACGAGGATGCCGAAGTTCCTTTGGTCATGCCTGGGCAGATCCAAGAAGCCGTGGTTATTTAAAATCGGCGTCTTCGGGACATGGTCGTCAAGAGAGAAGGACTCGCGCGACATGAGGTTCGCTGTGACAGTATCGGAGGAATCCTGCGGAGTATTCTTCCGCCTCAGCCCCATGTTATTCATTTTGCCGTTGGCGGAGCCGTCCGCGGAGCCGTCCGTCTCGTCCTGTCTCGACGTTACGATGGACAACCCGTTCTGCTTGGGATTATTTCCGCGCCGAGCTCGAGGACCCATAGGCATATATGTGTTGGGGATAATCTCAATAGAGAGGGCTGGTCTGGCAAACACCTCAGTCTACACGTTGAGCGCGGGGACAATATCTGACTTTCCCGCCGGTAAGCTAGTGTTCAACTTGCACAGACTGGTAGATTAAGTTCACCTATGTCGTTGGACTTTGTGGGACCGCAAATACGGATGGTGGACGGAAAGAGATGTAATGTTGGAGAGTAAGATGGCAAGACAAGTCTCTTCAAACAACACTTGGATCCATAGAATACGGGATGCCGCTAGAGAGAAAACTTGTTGTCCTCTTCGGACACCTTAGTAATAAGGGGCCGTATCGTCAAGCCGGAACGGCCGTCTTCCTTCGCGCCCTAGCTCGAGGTTTTGGCTACCGTGGCCTCTGGATATCCAATTGGCAATAGGTGAAGTGGCAAAGAGTGTACTGGCTTCATGGAGCCATGGGGCAAATTTCTCACACGGCCATAAAGCTGACAAGAAAAAGGCCAAGGATTGGCTACTAGAAAGAGCGATCAAGAAACTAATACCCTCCGACAGAATGGAATATTGAAAAGTCGACGTTATCGATCCTTCACATTCTTGCCCCAATTCCATCTTTGTCAGCCACAGCCCGACTCAGGCACGCTATTGCATGGGCAGCCAATCGGCAGTCATGAGGCGCCCCACGACACAAGTCTAGCCAAACGCCTAATCACGTGCCAATAATTTCATGTGTCGCAGTGGGGGCCTCTGTTCAACTGCGCATCGATTCCACAAGACTGTCGCCAATCAGACACCTGCTACCTGGACTGACTGGCACCTACCGTCAAGAGTGCACCGCGCTGTGCCTCATCTTTACAAGAGGTGTTAAAGAGTTCTCGATCAATATGCATTTGTCCTGGTAAGTAAGTATTCATGTTGATCATAAAACACGATGTATGCAGGGCAAAAAAATTAAGACGGGCTGAAGCTCATCAAAACCCCTAGAAACCATCAGGGAACCAGAAATGGGCCAGCTTGTCAGCCTCTGAGCCCCCAATAAGGATAACTCTACGTAGGACGTCAACCACTCTGATATGCCCTTGTCTCTGCTCCCATCATGACCCCATGATAACGTGGCTGGCCAAGGTCCCCGACGCTGCCAACGCTCAGATCGGGGCCAACCTTGACTTCTTCAAGATCCCTGAAGGGAACGACTCTGCCGAAGGGCGCGCTGCAATCTGGCTACAGGTCTGGCACTACTGGCTCGTCCCCGGTTAGTCCAAGCTCCTTTAGTCTCTCGGCCCTCCGCTCCAGGAAGGCTGCGTATGGAGTCTTAGGGATCCTCTTTTCTGTGTCCTCCCAAATCTCATACCCGACCTCATCCCATACCTTTAGCTGCTCCTACCTTTCGCTGCTCCTTGAAGTTGCTGTTTGGCCTGATCTTCCGCTTCTCCTCGACGAAAGCTAAAGCAGTGTCAAAGCTCCACCGATGAGTCCGCATGAGATAGGCGATGGTGACCGTGGCAGACCGCGAGACACCCATCTCACAATGAACAAGGACGCCATGAACAAGGACGAGGATGCGGTGGTTGTAATGAGACCAGTTCTGCCATCGGAAGGACTATGATATCGATGACGGTCGATGAAGCCACAGATTTCAGCTAAGTCGGGAAGCATGTCGTGCGTCTTGCTATCCTGGCAAGGTATGTATAAGTGACGGTCCTCGAGGACTATCTGCCTGTTCAAAGGGCGCCGACAGTGGGCCAATCCTCCAGCAGTGACCGAAACCATAGCAGAGATGTTGTGGGCCTGGAGGATCCTGACTCGATGTGAGCTTTCAATATCCCCAAGATAGAGGCCGTCCTCAATCTTAGAGATTGGCGGATTCGGGCTGGGCCGTGAAAACATCGTGGCGTGCGCAAGGAGAGGCGAAGGTGCGCGTAGGGACGATGTGTAGACTTGAAAAACTGTTCCAGAAACGGACTAGCATCCTAAAGCGCTCGGTTCATGTCATCCTAGTACAGATTCAATCCGTAAGGGCTTTTGGTACCTGTCATTTAACTTTTGAGAAAGTTGCGTTAAATAGGTAGGTACTTTTCGAGCGTGGTTGGGTATGTCGAAAATCGTGGGCGGGGTCAGCCAACGGCACATCTCCAAATTCAGGACGCGTCGCGTCAATAAGTCCCGTCAACAACTACCTACCAACTCAGTATTCAGTGATCCGAAGATGGCGGCGACTTTAGATGATGAGATCGCAACTCTTAGTGCGCGAGGTAGGAATTGTCCGACTACGAATATGTTGATTTAACCAACTAATTCCCTGTCAGTGGATGCGCTGCGAAACCAAGTAAAGATCCAAGCATCAACTCTCCTATCGGCCCCGTCAACACACAAGCTCCTCCTCACCAGTCCCACCGCCGCACTCACCCTTCCGGGCCCCAACAAGAGCACCACCGAGCCCTCCGCCCACCAACAACTCCTCACCCAGGCGGCAGCCCAGCAAGCCCACAACCAGCAATGTCTCTACCGGGCCTGCGCCTCCATCACCACCTTCCTAGCCCGCGACCCAGACCCGCACGCCGCCGACGGCGGCTCCGTACTGGGCATCCGCCTCGAGGTGATGCGACGCGGCCGCTTCTTACGGCCGTACTACGTGCTCCTGAACCGGCCCTACCCGGAGCAGCAGCAAAACGACGACAACCACAGGGGGAACCCCCGCCGCCGCCCCCGCTACCTCCGCGTCCACCGCCACACCATCCCGGCAAGCATCCCGCTCGCGGGCCTGGCCGCGCGGTACCTACCTCCGCCTCCCCGGCCGCGGACAGGTAACGACGACGACAACGCCCGCCCGGCGGCAAGGCAGCAGGACCTGTCGCGGTTCGCGCGCGCCCTGCGGAGGGAGCTGGTGCGGTACCACAGCCGCATGGCCGCGGTCGCGGACCTGCGGAAGGCGGCCGGGCTGGGGCGGCGGCGGCGGCGCGAAGGGGAGGAGGATGCGGCGGCGGCGCAGATGAGAGAAGATGGCGGTGGCAGTGGCAGGCACGGGCTCGTCGACATCAGCCCCGCGGACGCCGAGGCGAGGCAGATCAAGGTCGAGTGGGCGGACGGGCGGAACGGGCGGCTAGTCGTGGACGAGGACGGCGAGGTCGTCAGGTTTGTTGTGTTTGGTGAGGGGGGCCGCGATCGGGCCGCGGAGCGGGAGCTGCTCGGCGGGTCGACGCGGCTGGAGGATGTAGCGAGGAGGTTGGCTGCGGAGCGGCAGCAACAGCAGGCGGGCTAGGACCGGCACTGTGGTAGGCCCCGCGGTTCGGCGGGCCCTTGCTTACACTGTTCTCCCCTACGTTCTGGCTGGTTTGAATGGGATAGCCTATTGCTCTCTATCTGAAGGCACTGCAGGGGTAGAAGCCGGATATGAGGGACCTTTCAGTCTTAGGGGCTCAATCTCCATACGGGGCCCAATTCGTGCTACAATCTCGATTTCAGGAACAGCCCGCCCTCGCCTTACCTTGCCGCCGCCTTCTACCCTACAACGTTCCCTCTGTTTTCCATTGTTCCGCGCCTCTATTAGCGGGGGTCCTCTACGGGGGCTTATAGTCCTTCCTCGGGGGGAATCCGGAGTCGCGACGAGATTGGGATCCCAGCATGGCCCCCAACAATAAGCCCGGCTTTTGGCCGACATCACTGTTCGGCAGTCGGGCGCCTCATCAGGATGATAGAGGTTGGGAAAGCGGCAAGGAATCCTATTGGCCCTGTTGGAGAGTATTTGAGGTCGCACAAGGAGAGGCTCCGAGGCCCAAGACCCGACATGAAATTGTGCTTCATTTCTCGGTACTCTCCAGGGTCCAAATACCCTCATGATCGGCCATCAAGAGCCCGGCGTGGGGAAGAAATCGAGCCGCGTTTACTCTGGAAGTTCCCCTTTTCTGGGGCGTGTTCAAATATTTTAGGAACCGCGTGAAAGGAAGGATTCCCCGGTCAATATGGAATGTCATGCGACGCGCCTGTATGTACCAATCGGTTGGAACTGGGGGAGATGACCCAGGTTTTGGTTATAAGGGGAACGAGTATTATGCGGGGTGGCGGATAATATGTGGAAGAAAAAAATCAAAGGCGAAATGGCCAGGTTCCCCCCCTCCCCCCTTTTATTCTAGCAGAAATTCAGGGACCTCTCAGTATGGAGCTCTTCGTATACCCCTGAACCAGTGCGCTCGAAGCAAAACTCACAAAGTTTGTCGCTTTTACACTCAAGTTTGCCACAACGTCGGAGCAGCTCGAAACAGAAATCACAAAATAAGGAGGTAGATAGGCAAAGTAGCAATCCACGTATATTATCCCAGACTATTAAACAGCGCGAGGCAAGTCCCGAGGCGGTCTCCTATCAAGTCAAGGAGACCGAACCGGAAACTTAACCCGGCAGCAACACAAGTGACAAAGAGACAGCCGTGACTCGCTCTCAGCCAGAAAAAAAAGTGACATGAGGTAGCAGAGTCACGGCCTTTCCATTTCCTCTCCAATCAACCCTTCTAAGCGCAACTCCCTCCTGAACAGGCACCGTTCCCCGAAACCAAAGCAGCTTCCCTAGATCAGGGCAGCGGCCAGGGCAACGACGGCGAGAGCGCCACCAGCACGCTGGATGTTCTGGGCAGCACCGGCAGTGACAACGGCGAAGGTGGCGCTGCTGGTCCCGCTGGGGATGGTGATGGTGCCGACGGACGACTCAACGGGGGTGGGGGCAACGACGGCGGGGACGGAGGCCTCGCTGGATGCCGGAGGCGGGGGAGGCGGGGGCGGCACGAGGCTGCCCGTGGATGGGACAGCAGTCGGGTAGCCGGAGGGGGAGCCAATGATGATGCTGACCGACGATGGCGGGGGAGGGGGCGCACTCCAGGTCTGCGCGGGCGGGGGCGGGAGCTCCGAGGTCACGGGGCAGACCGTGGTCCTGACGGGCACGGTGACCGTGGTGAGAACGGTGCTGTGTGCCGGGCAGGAGGTCACGGTGGGGTGGCAGCTGATGATAGTCTTGGTCGTCGTGCTGTACACGGTGCTAGTGGTGTACTTCTGAGGCTGGGGACGGAAAGTTAGCGTGTGCCGTCTTGGGGTGGGAGACTCGTCTCTGTGGTCACTTACCGGCGACGGCGGCGAGAAGGTCCAGTTATCCTCATCGGCCATGACAGCGGCCACGATGGCAAGAAGGGCGGCAGCGGAGAGCTTCATCTTGATGACGGTTCGTTAGGTAAGGCGTAAGTTAAGCCGGGTCGGATAGTTGCGGATGGGAGTGTGGAATTGCGGAAGAGTCAGAAGAACGAGTGGACTGGTATCAGGAGACACTGAAGAGAAGACGAGAGAAAGATCTTCGAGGTCAAGGGGGAGGCGCGCCTTTTGAGGACGTCCTGGTGACAGGGGTGCGTCATGCAACAGGACGCTTCGCAAGCCACTGGGCAGCAGGGATACGCCACAGGCTGAACTGCCATGGTAAGATGAACTCTGCTGGAATCAGAGGGCAAGTGAGTCAGTGGCGAGAACTGGGGTCCGAGAATAGACGAATGTAAAATGCTGACTGGCAGGTTGGACATGCAACCATTCACGGCTAAAGGGGAAGAACAGGGCCGCAATCACAACCAATTCTCGGCCGCTCACAACCCATTGGTTGTGGAGCCATGGTATATACGACTTGTACCTGCGGAGAGCCACGAATGCGGCAGCCGTCGTTAGCTGCATTGCCGCAACACTTTTGAGGAAATAGGTAGGGAGGTTGGTTGGTGCGCCTGCGATATTGCGGGTGGAAGGACGTAGTCTACGCTGTAGCACTGCCCCAATGTCGACCGTAAGGACCAGATCGGTGGTTGCCCAGATCGATGGTCGCTCCGCATCCAGCCACGAGAGAGAAATGACCCAAGAGCGATATGTTCCTGCATGAGTCCTGTGCTTTCAAATTGTAGCGCAACCGTCCCCAAGTCTCACTAGAGAGCTGGCAGGTCCCTCCTCTCTCCTGATCTCCCATCGAAGGTGGTGCGTCATATTCAATATCGGTAGTCAAGAAAACTAGTCGTCAACTCAAGCGATGATCGCCGGGCTGTGATCCCAACACCTGGTTTCGATGTCAAAGACCACGGCAGGTTGTCCTGGAGATCAAGAAACACCCACCGCACCCGCTTGGCTGTGCAGGCACTCGAGTCGACCGGGTGGCAAAAAAAAACAGCAAAAGGCACAAAGAAAGGTCCATTTCTGAAGAATGAACAAGGAACTCAGCCGAAATAAATTGATCCCAATTATCCGTCGTGTTATTGGGTTAGTCCGGCTGCGGCAACTCATCCAAAGTGAGCGAGCCGCCCCCCCTTGGGCGATGCTCGGCCCTTTCGTGTTTTTAATCGACGTCACTATGGCTCTGTCACTCGTCAATGCCCATGGCTAACGGCAGGGGGTCATGGCGATTGATGATGGATGAGAAGGCCAGACCCTGGCTAGATTCCTGGCAGAGGATCCGGCCGCCCATCCGAGTCCCTGTTCCATGGCCTGTCCCGAGCCTGTTTCCTTCCAGTCGGTGAGATTTACTGCATAGTAGAGGGTAGCTGACGTTGGCAACGTGACACCTGGGTAGTTATGGGTGAAGCAACTTGGCAGCGTAGGGGTTGGTAGGATGACGAGGTGAACTTGTTTGCTTCTTCCTGGCTTTATCGAACAAATGAGTGAGGAGGTAGATGCATCGTGGTCAGTCATGCGAGCGGATAGTCCGCGAGGTCAGAGAGCTGGGCGTCTGCGAACATGAATGCTATGGCCTGTCGTTCGTAGGGCTGAGAGCATGCAGCTCATACACCATACATATCATGGCATTTCCAAGGCAGTGGGGTCGTATAGATACACATAGACAAGTGTCGTGAAATGCGAATATCCGACTGACTAATCACACGCGTTGCCCCTGTTACAGCAGAGGAATCGGTGGGTAGGGGAGTGGACCAATCACGCGAAACATAAACACGATCAGTTAGTGACGGCGCAGAGCCTCCAAAGGATCTCACTGGGGCCATGTCTGGGCAGCCCAAGTATCCTAAATAGTCTTGATCTGTGATCTGTATGTGTCCGTCGAATTGTGACAATACTCTCTCTAAAAACGTCTACTCGATGATTTCTCGAGGTTCGGATCTCTAGGTTGTTGCCTCAGGCAGGTATCCCAGTACCTCAAACGAAAGCTGTCCCAAAGTATCAGCTTAAGCTTTGACTTGATGATGTGACACTGGCTCTTTGCCAGTTACTTTTGCAACCGCTTTTCTTTTCGTTCTTCTTCACGGCACCTGTGCTTGACTCGAAATTAGCCAGCGCAGCATCCTCTTTGTTTTACGAAACTGTCAGCATTGTAATTTGTTGCAGGTTAGGTTGGCCAAAGGCGCCGGAACCATGGCATCAACCGTGGACGTCACAACCAGGAAGAGGGTGTTGAAAGTTATATTCGTTTCTCTACTATTGGATTTGGTATGTCCTGGGTACCGCCATATTTCCTGGCTCCGTCTCTGTAGACCCTTTGGGATGGCACTAATCCCTGCTCGCTAGATATCCTTTACCTTCATCCTCCCCCTATTTCCCAGGCTACTCGAATTCTATCGCAACCTCGAAGCACCCGAAACAGCGTCCGGCGAGCAGTCGCCATCCCTGCTATCGAATATATTGGGCCACCTCAATACCTACAAGGCTGCGTTTGCGCGCCCCATCGACTCGAGATATGACATAGTTCTGCTCGGCGGAGCGTTGGGGAGCCTCTTCTCGTATGTGTGCTACGGAAACCCCCCTTGCCCCGGTATACCCGCCGTCTGACCCTTGCCGTAGTCTTCTCCAAGCAGCCGCGTCCCCATTCATCGGCCACCTGTCGGACCGTTATGGGCGCCGAACCGCGCTTCTTGCCAGCATGGCCGGCAACATCCTCTCCGTGCTCCTCTGGGTCATGGCCGTCGATTTCCGTACCTTCCTCGCGTCGCGCGTAGTCGGGGGCCTGTCCGAAGGCAATGTCCAGCTGGCGACTGCCATCGCCACCGATATATCGGACGAAACGAGCCGCGGCTCGACCATGGCCCTCATCGGCGTCTGCTTCTCCATCGCTTTCACCTTCGGCCCGGCGCTGGGCGCTTGGCTGAGCTCCATCGCCACCGTCGCCACGAACCCCTTTGCGACTGCCGCGGGGTTCTCGCTCTTCCTCATCGTGACCGAGACGGTGTATCTATACCTCTACCTCCCGGAGACCCTGCCTTCCCTGACCAAGGCGGCACGCAAGACGGGTGACCCGGCCCCTTCCAAGGCTAAACAGGTAGTGCGGACGAATTCGCACATTCTGCTCAACTTTATCCATCTGGCATTCCTGCTCTTCTTCTCTGGCATGGAATTCTCCCTGCCCTTCATGACCTGGGACCTCTTCGAGTATACCTCGGCGAAGAACGGGAGATTACTCGGCTTTGTCGGCCTTGTGGCGTCCATCCTCCAGGGCGGCGTCACCCGCCGTCTTTCTCCCCTGCTCTCCGTCCGGATAGGGGTCATCGCATGCATGATCGCCTTCATCCTCCTGGGACGCCTCTCCTCTGTGGCTGGTCTGTATGTCGCCGCGGCCTGCCTAGCCACGACATCCGCCACGGTCGTGACTGGCCTCAACGCCCTTAGCAGCTTTGAGGCTAATGAGGGGGAACGCGGTGGCAAGCTTGGGATGCTGAGAAGTTGGGGCCAGCTCGGGAGGGGGCTTGGTCCTATTCTCTTTACGAGTGTTTACTGGTGGGCTGGGCGAGAAGTCGCATATGGCATAGGAGCTCTGGGCATTGCGGGCGTCAGCCTCCTGGTCTTATTCGGGCTTAAGATGCCTGCCTCGTCGGAGCAGTTGAAATCCGCACCTGTTCAGGATGAGAAGAAGGAGCTATGATATTGGACTCGTGGGCATTGAGCATGTATGTGGTTATTGACTCAAGCATGGTTGGAGGTTGGTTGTAAGTCTAGGGCTGTCCTGTCTGCATTTTTGGATAGATGTTGGGAGAGTTGCCCTGGATATTTAGCATATGGTTGCTGTACGAATAACGTGGTACAGGAACCTGGATACACAAAGAGATTCACGCGATGCGATTTTCTGTTGATATATGTGCATCCCTTAGGAGGGGACGATGTCTCGTTATATTCTGCTAGCATCCAGGGGTAACTCCTTCGAGGTCATCCCTCATGGTCAAACTGAAAGCAAAGAAAAAGAGGCCAAAAAAAAGGCCACACAGTATATCCATGATTTTGTGCAAATCAACAGCAGGTCCCATATACCTTGAGACATACAAAGGCATATCACGCTGTATCGGGTATCCCCAAGGAAGAATAAAAGGCTAGTTGGAACCAGAAGTCACCTAGCATACATGGTCAAAGTGTGTATCTTGGGGAAAGGATAGGAATAATGGCAAAAAGAAGACCAAAGAAAAAGAGCATATCGACCCAGACGGGACTTGCACCCGCAATCTTCGGCTTTCTTAAAGTTGATAGGAATCCGACGAGTTGCTATTACTCTACTGGGCCGTCGATGTGAACCGCTCGGCCAGGTTGCCGTCAGTTTGTCTGTCACTTTCAGGCCGTATTTGTTACGATATAGGGTGCCTCAGACACCGCTCTGCCAGCCCTATCCCTGGCCTGGAGCCCTCAAGGCGGAAGCACGCATCTCACCACTAGTCTCCCAGTTTTCCCTGAAGATATCTACTCGTCGTATTTGCGGCACGCCGGCATGGCGCCAGAGTGCGGATACCTGCGTTCAGGGTAGCTGCCCTCACTCCACCAGGCAGGGAGGTCCAGATCATCATAAAGTAGACCGCAGGTGCTTCCCTTCCCAACCCAAAATCGGTCCCTTTGCAATACTCAAGAACCAAGAGTTGCGAAGGATATCTAGTCGTGCCTAGGGTCCAGCTTTCAGAAACCAGGCTAGCAATGTAAGGCATAGATACCCAACAGATTGTCATTATCTTACCGTCATGCCAAACATCAGTCCAGGGCTATTCTCCTTCCAATCCTCCACGTCTTAAGTTCCAGAACGATGAACTAACTTGGGTTAGGGGTGGTATATGTGGAAACTGCCACGTCTGGACATGGGGATACTGAAGCAGGAGGGAAATAAGACACATAGGGTCCCCCCTTGCTAGCACAGCTTCTGACTTCATCAAACAGGGCAAAACACCGGGAATAAATGACGAAACATAAGAAATAGAGACCAAACTCCACTAAGAGCCTGGCGACATCCTTATATCACATCATCCACAGTTCCACACTGGGACGAGGCCGCGAAGTTGCCTCTAGGCACATCGCTCGCAACCTGGCCTTAGATCTTGGTGTTTCCCCTGCGCCCGGAATCCGGCGTCATTCAGACATCGCTCGGAAAGATGGTGGTGAGGATTCTAGTCAAGACATTCAATTGTTTAAGGGATGTTGTCCAGGTGTCCTAACGATTAAGATCTCGGCAACTGGGTAGACTCCACTTTGCGAATCCAACCCATCAATAGGTGGTTTCCATCGCTCGAGAGTCATCCACAATCCGTGCCCGAGGGTAGATCTTGAAGCTGCGGTTTGGGAAAGCTGAGAAGATGATAGGACTCGGGCATCTTCGCTGGTGGTCTAAGGAAGCCCTCGCTCTGATCAGTCTGCTCGTCTCGGCGGGATCCCCGCTCTCGACCGACTCATTTGACGTGCGAGAGGCCACCATTGACGGAGTTCACGATGTGCTCTTCACAGGACTCCATTCGTGCCGCGAGATAGTCTCCTCGTTTATTTCTAGGGTTGAGGAGTTCAATCCCACAGTGAATGCTGTCATCAGCTTAAATCCCGACGCGCTCTCGATCGCAGACCAGATGGATGCTCAGATAGCCTCGGGCAATGCCACCGGCTCCTTGTTTTGCATCCCAACCTTGCTGAAAGACAATTTCGATGCCATTGGAATGAACACGACTGGAGGATGCCTAGGTCTGGCTGGCAATCGGCCGACTACCGATGCTCGAGTGGTAGAAGCTCTCAAGAAAGAGGGAGCCATCATCCTGGGGAAGGCTAACCTTCATGAATTCGCCCTCGAGGGCTTGACGGTGTCATCTCTTGGAGGACAGACGGTTAACCCATATGACCTCACTCGAACCCCGGGAGGCAGCAGTGGCGGGACCGGGGCAGCAATCGCGGCCAACTTCGCCATCCTCGGGACGGGGACAGACACTGTCAATAGCCTGCGCAGCCCGGCCAGTGCCAACTCCCTCTTCAGCTTTCGCCCGACAAGGGGTCTAATCACGAGGGCAGGAGTCATTCCAGTCAGCTACACCCAGGACACCGTTGGCTGCATGGCTCGAAATCTCAAGGATCTGGCCGTTGCCCTCAACGTCATGGCGAGTGCCGGCCTCGATCCCGCAGACAATGCCACAACCCTGGCTCCTCCTGAGATCAGGATCAAAGATTATACGGCTGCCCTGGACGGAGGAAGCCTCAAAGGCCTTCGCCTCGGTCTTCTGAATGGCTTTTTCAACCTCACGGCCTCGGAGGAAACAACGCCCGTTAACAACATCCTGGCCCACATTGTGTCGACCTTTGAATCTGCAGGTGCAGAGGTCATCAATATCACCGAGTCCATATACAACGCCACCGCCATATCTGCCGCCCTTGACGTCCAAACCTCAGAGTACCGGGAGTCCCTGAATAGCTATCTCTCCGAACCCAGTATCACCAGCGACCGCCCGGCCGACTTTGCAGACCTATACGCCAGCGGCAGGTTCCTGGTCATCCCCGCCCAGCACAGCTACATCAACACTGCCCTGACCTCCTCGACAAGCGACGCGGGATACCGCCTCAAGCAGCAGGGGATCCGAGACCTGACATCGGCGCTGCACGCGACCTTCGCCGCCAGCCGCCTCGACGCCCTCGTCTACCCGGAGCAGAAGAACCTGGTGGTCAGGCTCGGCTCGCCGTCGCAGAGCGGGCGCAACGGCATCCTGGCCGCCCTGACGGGGAGCCCCGTCGTGACGGTCCCGGCCGGCCTGTCGCCGCCATCGGCGGAGGCGCCGGCCGGCGTGCCCGTAGGCCTCGAGATCCTGGGCCTGCCGTGGACCGAGGACAGGCTGCTGAACATCGCCAGGCACGTCAGCGAACTCGTGCCCGTGCGGAGGATGCCGCCGTTTGCGAATGCGAGCGTCGAGACGAGGGGCTATGCTGCGGTCCCGGTCATTAGGCCTGATACTGATGGCATACCGGCTGCGTATCCGGTCGGAGTGTTCTAGGCGCACACTTTGGTTTGATCTGGGGCGCTATCTCGGTCGCAGTCACTGATGTGGCGAAAGAAAGAAGACGGGTAAATTGACCCTGCGTTCATCTCACACCATGGAATGCGCCTCCACAGGGGCAATGGCAGATAAGGCAGGATATCATCTCGATTCAAGGGGTATAAGAACCCTCCCTATGCCTCCGCAAATAATATCGCCGATCATACAATTAGGCAGATAAATAAATCCAAACGCCACGGAACCACCCAATCGCAATTAGATACAGAGACGGGCAGTGGAACATCCATCCCACCCCGTGCGCCACCAGAAGCAGGCAACACCCAACCCAAGACGGCCCTCACCCCCAGCCAGACACCCCTCGCCCTCGCACCACCTCTCCCACCGCCCCCGGCACGAACCGCCTATACAGATCCCGGCCCACAATACGGATCGGCGCTGTGGCTCGGGACATACGTCGCCTGCATATACGCCCCCTGCGTCCAAGGGGGCACGGGAGCGGGAGCGGGAGCGGGAGCGTGAGCGTACGACGACGCCGGCGGCGGAGGAGGAGGAGGGGTATAGGTGACCTGTGCCGGGGGCGTAGGAGCCGGCGTCGGCGCCTGCTTCGGAGGCGGATAGGACGATGCTGTCTCAGGGTAGTACCCCGCCTGCGGCGCCGCGGGCACGGTGTAGGACGGCGGCGGTGGCCCGGGGGTGTCAGGGGCGTAGTATGCCGTTGCCGCTGCCGGTGCCGGGCCGTTCATGGGGTTGTGGTGCTGGTGGACGCCGGCGCCGGCCGCCCCCGCGTACGCTATCGGCTCGAACTTTCCCGCCGCCGCCGCGTAGTCAGTGCCGCCCGCGCCGTACGGGGCCGGCGCCGCTGCTGCGGGGGCGGGGGTGGAGGAGCCGCACCACGCGCTGTTGACGGCGCCGCCCGCGCCCGCACCGCCGCCCTGGTACTCGCCGATTCGGGCGTAGCTGCCGGCGTTGCCGTTCTGGCGTCGCCTGTTGCCGCCTCCGCAGCAGCACTTGTAGATGCCGATGGGGATCCACAGGAACAGGGCGATCTTGAGGGCGCTCCAGATGACGCCGCCTAGGCGGAAGGGGTGGCCTTGTCGCTTGCGTCTGTTTTCTATGGGACGGAGAGGAGACGAGTTAGTGATACGTCGGGAATGCTGGTGGCAGCAGACTTCTCATATCTCACCTTTGACGCAGTAGAATACCAGAGACCAGAAGAACAAGGATGTCATGAGCAGGAAGACGGAGATGAAGACGTAAAGCCAGATCGGCCAGAGATATCTCGTGTCATGGTCGTCGTCGTAGTCGTTATTACTACCGCCGCCGCCGACGACGATGTGGCCTCGCGGACTCCGGATCTCAATCGGAAGATACCCCATCGTGTTTGGAAGAGAGGTGATCCGTGACCGAGACACAGACACTCGGGGCGCCGCGATACATTTTTTTAAGGACGGACGGGGAGATAATAGGGGAAACACCGCGTTGCTTGACTTGCATACCTTTTTCTATTTTAAACACCCCGAGTGATCTGCACCACAGCTGAACCCCGACCCAGCTGTTAGCACAGGCGTAGTCGATTGCCCAATCTCGGATTCCGCCCGTATCTGCAGGAGACGACGTGGGTGGCCTATCAGAGTTCGCTGCTGGCTCGTGCGCCCTTTTCATTGACAGGTATGTCCCCTGCCCTTACATCTTTGCAAGGCTGAATCGAGTACCTGGGCCGACTGGGATAAGCATATTCACGATCCAACGGTGTAGGTGCCGAAGCATATTTCCCATCGTCTCATGGTGTTGACTCGCTGAGTGGAGTGGAAAGGGGGGACAAAAAGCTTGACTATCAGTTCTCTCCGGGGTGAGAAAGCGGAAACGCCGCCGGGGACCATGATACTGCCTCACACTTCGTCTCCAGAGCTCCAGCGCTTGGGCGATAGAAAGACGAGGAAGAGCGGGCTCGCATTCACCACCAGCCATGAACTCGCACACATCAACCCGCCCAGGGACCCCGACCATCTTCACTCACGTGCCCCGAACTTGAACGATGCATGGCCTTATCGTCTTGTTGTCCCTGACTGGCGGGGGAGCTTCTCTTCCCTAGACGAGCATCACAATCCCAACGCTGCGTCAGTGCAGTCCCGGCTATCCCCGCCCCGCCGGGTCAGGTAGGGTAGGGTACCGGTGGAAGGCGGACGGGATCAGCAAACCGAGGCCGTTGATAGCAACTCCGTGACTCCCCGGCCCACGGAAGGAATAGGACGGGATGTGTCCCCCGGTTACCCCTCCGGAACCGGGCACCCACCACATCAGAGATCGGCGATCGACTTATGCGTAAGTGTGCGGTCATTTACTTTGTTTCATGAGACTCGGAAGAGAGATGTCTGGTTCTTGCGTGGCGGAGCCAGCACCACTCTGCAGGGCCTGCTGGACGACGGCTAGGAGGGGAAGTCCATACGAGGTTCAAGATCAGGAGTCTGCCGGTTGAGGTGCGAGTGCTGTGAGGTCTATGCCGACGAATACGTCCTGGGCATTTGTCCCTGATGGATGCGCGCAACGGGCCATGGGGATGTTACCTGTACATGGAGTTTGTCTTTGGCGATGCATATACCGAAACGATTACGAAGCAGCATGTCCTCCATGCTTTTGATGTGACGTGGTATGATGCGATCGAGGTGGCTCGCAGTATCCAAGCTCCTGCACTCACCCCAAGGCATATATGGGATTACTCGGTTCATAGGGCGGCGGGATGGTCTACCTTGGGAAACATCGAGTCCCAACTTACCCCCACTCGGCATGACGATCTACCCACCTATTGATCGCACCACGGAGATTGTATGGAGTACACCGAATCCAAACCAGCATCTGGCAGGCAAATGTCAAGCAACAACATGTGAGCAAGTTGCCCCCGAAGTAACAATCTGCAAACCAGATACGAAGACAGGCGGTGATGACCTGGATACGTCGTGGATTAAGTTTCCGTGCTCTCGAACGTTTCTGGATAAAAGCCAACGGGAGGGGGCCGGCGAGGAGTCAGCCGGCTTCGTCGGAATCCTTCGACGCCCCCCTCACCTCGTGCACCGTCAGACCAGGCCCTTGCACAACACAGCATACTCCTTCTACAGGTAGGCAGGTTGCCCCGTGATCGATACTTGTGCCTGCTCGTCGTACCCATACAGGCCCACAACCGGGCGGTCGGTAGATCTGTTCCGATCAAACATCGCAAAAAGAATGAAGCTGCCCAGGCCGACGCGATGGTAAGACGGGGAGACGGTGACCCGCCTAGCCAGTGAGCGACTCGGCAGAGGGCACAGCGCGTAGAACGAAGGACATACATCCTCTCCGTGGAGCCAGCCCATGCAGAAAAGCGTAGGCAGGGCGTGGAGGTGCGTGTTAGGCAGGATCTACTCCACACTGGCATCCGAACTCCTGCAAACTTCGCCAAAGGCGAGGGCATCCCCTTGGCCTTGCTCACGTGAGGGAACAGACTCACCTGTCAGCTCCGTGAAGAGAGCCGGGATTTGGGGGGAGGCGGTTTCAGCTAGCGCTTGATACGTGAACCAAGTAGTCATCGTTCAGGGCTCACTCACCTATAGGCACGAGCCCTTGTTGATTAGGCCTGGCCTGTGGATAACTTACTTTAAATGAACATCTGTAGATACGCTCGGGACTTGCTGGATCCACGTACGGCGCATGCCTAGATAGGGATGAGCCGGGAGCATGTCTCTCGCGAGACCTAGTACCGGCTGCTTAACCTCTTGCTGGGGCCAAGTCCACATTCACGAAGGATGTACCATCGTGAATGCGGCGTGGAGGCGTGAGTGTGGTGGGCCTAGTCGTCGTGGCAAACGGAGCCAAGGGAATTGTCAGTCGAGAGAACAGATGATACACCATCGAAGATTGGCCACACCCTATTCCGGTTCATCTAGATTTTTTTTTCATAATTAGCGCATGAATTAGGCGGCGATGGTTGAGGGCTCAATCAAAACCGTTGTTGCCCTCCGCGATAGGACCGTTAGCCCCCCTTGCCCCCCTTCCAAGTGTGAGTCATTCGGTGGTGCGGCACCACTGGGCGCCCAGGACAAGGGCCAAAACAAAGACAGTCCATATGTTCCGGAAAAGGTCAAGGCGCAGCGGAAATAGTAGCACGAGATCCCAAGCAGCCAGCTCGTCAGCGATGTCGGGATTCCAAATCCGACAAGGGCTGTTGGGAGCGATCATGCCTTTCGAGATCGAGATTCGCGTCGCGAGCCGCGCCGCCAAACGGTTCAACCAACGTCTAGGTAGGTTGGTAGGTAACGTGATCTGATCGATACATCGCATCAAACCTCTCGAGTGCAAGGCCGTGTGATCGCGACTCTTTGAATAGGCTGGTAGCCGGTAAATATTTTGCTAGTAGCTTTGCTATCGTAAAGTCGACCATCCTGGAATCCAGTCGTCCAAGGCAGGTCCGTCTGGATAAGGATCATTGAACTCCGGTCGATGCAATAGCGCCCCCCCAAGGAAGGGTAACAAGAGCGAGAGGTTCCTGGGTTTCTCTGCTACTTGATCCCCTTCCAATTAATTTCCCAAGGTACTCACTCCCCGGGACTCGCCATTCAGATATTGTTTGCTCAACATCTTCTCCATCGTACATTGACAACTTCAAACAACAGCCACCCAGCTAAGTCATCGCCGTCGCATTCGATCCATCCCAATGCCATTTCAGATACTGGACAATGCATGTAAAAGACGCGCGCTTTTCGCTCCCGCTTCCCCTGGCCGCCATCTAATTTGTCTAACTAGATGTCTTCCAAGGTTTTTGGTATCAAAAGCCCTTCAAAATGACCATCGCCCGGCCCCCCCCCGCTCCTGCCTTGCCTGTTTGACAAAGGAAAAGGTGAAGTATTGTCACAAGAGGGTCGACGTACACCGGATCGCTAGTGGAGCGACCCGATGATCACCGCTTGGGTAGGTAGTTAGGTGGCTGATTAATTGAGGATCCCTCCCCACATGCCAGGTCCTCCAAAGCCTCCCATGCCGGGGTGCAGAGACGACATGGCAAAGCGATCCACTGCCTCCGTTGAGCAGCAAACTCGCTTGCGCCCGCCCTGGAGGGTCGCGTGGATCGGCACCTGCTCTGACGCAGATGGGTACTGTGGGCGGACCAACGTATCGGACCAAGCAGCGTCGCCAGCAGCGTATCTTCCGGCCAACATCTCGCGGACTTCGCCCTGGAGCGGGTTGTCAATCGACGCCGTCCGGCTTCGTTTGGAGCCCGCCTTGACTGGTGCCGAGGTCGGGAGAATTGCGCCGTGTCTGTAGTTTTGCAGCTCGTGCAGAGCCCGAGCGGCATCGTTTACAGAGTCCCGAGCAACGTCGTCCACGTCGTATTCTTGTCGCGCCAGAGGAGTCTCGATCGACAGGTCGCACAGATCCTTACCAACCGGGCCGGTGTAAGATTCTGGCGATGCCGTGATCCGATTCTCATCATAATCCTCGGGGACCGAAGCGATGGTCGGTCTCAGGCTCATCCTCTCGCTATACAGCTTCGCGTAACGGCATCGCGCCTGAACATCCAACTTGGTGGAGGGCGCGCTGACCAATGACGAAGCTGACGAGATTGAGGAAGAGCGTGAGGTCCGGGACGAATCCGAGACCATCGACTCGGGGGAAGACGCAGTCGACACAGTGTTGGCGAGTGACGAGCGGCGAGTTGCAAAGTAGCTCTGGGGGGACGTGGTCGAAACGGGCCACCGATCGAGAGACTGGGCGGTAGAAGATGTATTTACCTGTGCCATGGCGAGGGACATGGAGGATGTCTTTCCTAGCAGATGAGATGCGGCACTCGCTGCAGGAGTGCTGAATCCGCTCGGCTGAGGGGTTAATCGGGGTGTTGGCAGAAGCCCCAATGCTGGAGCCAGCCGGCCGGGAATATATACAGAGGCCGGCGTGGGTTCCATAACGGCGGGCATGCCGAACGCCTTCTGCGCTGGTGTTGCAAGACCACCGCCGAAGGCCCCAGGACAGTTCCGTTCCTGGGTAGGAGTGTAGAGCGATCTCGGGGACGTGGCTGGAACATGCTGGGACCGACATTTGGAAGGAGATCCAGGGAGGATGTCGTCCAAGTTATCAAGCTCCGGGGTGAGGTTCAAGATGATGGTCTTGAAATCTTCACACTGGCGCTCAAACACGCGCTGCTGGGCACTGCCCCCCGGGGACGGCGGCAGCGACGGCGTGTGCTTCATGACGCAATCGGTCCAGCGGTTGTATACCTCGTCGGTGATGTGGAGCTTCCAGTTCACGGCCGTGACAAAGGCCATCTCGTTCTGGTTGATCTCCTGTGTATTGAGGCCCGAGATCTTGCTCCAGGCGCGCGCCGAGTAGTTCCGGTCCTGTAGATACTTGGAGGCCAGGATGAGCGCAGCCAGGAACATCCGGCGGCCGCATTGCAGCGCTCGGCTCGCATGGCTGTCTTCTAGTTGCTCCATGGTGAAGTCGTGGTTCGGAACGTGAGACTTGATCAGTACGAGGTAATAGAGCGCAACTTGCAGAGTAGAGTAGCTGGTGCGCGATCGACGCAACGTTTCTTGGATGAAGGTTCGAAGCGGCAAAACGCCGCTGTTCCCATTCTCATTGCGGCAAACCACCGAGGAGGTAGGCCAAACCGCCTCTACGATCTGAGTCGACGAATCTGGATTGAAGGTTGAGCGCGGGGACTGGGGGATCGGATCTGAGTCGTAATCTTACCAACGAGGTTGTCGACGAAGTTGACCTTGCGATCGCACTGCCTGACCAAGGAAGGAGGGCAGCCTGCGCGCGAGGTCGAGGTCCGTCGGGGATTCTGTCGCAGCTCGGGTGGGACTTCCACCTGAGGCTGCAGATGCGGTTTTGCCCATGTGTTGGTGAGCTCAACCGACAAGGTTGAGGTTTGCGAAGGGTTATTCTGCCTCGAGAGACTGTAGGGATCGCACGAGTCGGAGTCGGAGTCGGAAGTGGGGGCAGAAATGGATGTGTCGTCGGAGTTCTGAGACGAAGCATCGGACCAGACCGAGGTCGAGGAAACCGATGCCGAAGTAGCTAGTGAGGGGCTGTATGGCGCATTGTGGAGGGTAAGGTCGATGAAGGCAGGCGAATTCACTTCGTCGCACTTCATCTTGGGTTATGAGGGGGACAGAGGTCTCTCCAAAAAAGCTACCTCCAGTCGCCGTCAAGCAGTGTCAAACCGATTATACCGTGGAGTACTGAACAGGTAGTGGTAAACCTTTTTCGAAAAGTGAAACTTCGCGACAAACCATATAGGCTGGTCGCAAAGCTGCAGATGCCGAGTGAGGTCGTCGAAGGGCCTAAACTAGGATGTCTAGAACCAACTTTCCACAAATGATCAGACCGGTAGACAGAGCAGGGACGGCGACTGGAGTAGAAACAGTGCTCGCAAGAGGCATTGTGTGGCACTTTCGTCTCGAGAGTGGGACGGGAGGGTGGGATATGGTAGTTAGACGTCTACCATGGAGGAGGAAAGACAGGCACGGGTTGTGGTCGGAGGTTGAGGTGTGGTTCCTGAGTCGGAGGTGGTGGAAATATGCAGGTACAACAGGTGAGGTGTGTGGCTGGAGGTTGGAGCCTCTTTATGTGAAAAAGGAACGACGTTGAGGCGACGACCAGGTGAGTGGTGGAGTGACTCTTTCTCGCCTGTCTTCAGATCAGGGGCGAAACCAACGTCGCGGTAGGCGCACAGCTGGCCTTAACAGGAGCAGGTGGCACGGTGGCACGCAAGGTGGTTGGCCTCGATGACTCTTTTCCGTTGATAAGAGTGGCGAGGGTGGACGTGACTGATTTATTGGCGCTAGGCCAGGTGGCTCCAACTGGCAATTTTGGCCGGTAGTGGTGTGTCACCTATAATCTGGGGCGGAAGCCTGGAAATGGGTCCTTAGGCGTGGCAAGTGACAATTCGAGCTCTGAATCACCTTTCAGGCTTCAGTCTTTGAGCTGTGGCACTTTTTATTTTCCCTTTTCCCTGTTGTTGGTTTTTGGCGCAATGGACGGAATCTGTCGGCACGAGAGAAGAGAGGCAAGGGTGGGTTTTGCTGGGATGGTAGGCTGTTCTGCTGGGTAGGCGGTTTTCCTTTGTCGCAAGTGCAAGTGAATGCAGCGCGACGGCGAGAGGAAATTTGCTAAGCAAACAGGGGAACGGTCATTAGAGAGGAAAGAAATTGGTCGGATAGGAAATGGGTATGTATGGAAATGGAAAATGGAAAAAGTGGCAAGAGAAAATGGAGAACCAAGAGATGCAAAGAGAAGTAATACACAGATCTCTCAAGCAGACTGCAATGAGTCGCTATCCTCTTAGACCTTGTAACCGAACATGGCTGCTGCTCTGCTCGATGAGGGGGGAAGGAGGAGGGGAGTGGAGGCAAGGTCTCGAGGATGCCGCCAGTTTTGAATGGGACAGAGTTTCCGGATGGGGATCTCCAGAGTTGGTGGACACTCCTCGAGTGGAGGAACAACCGGGAGCTGCCAAAACAGCCTGCAGCAGCCAGCATGGTCTGCCCAGACAAACTCGACATGGGGCTTGCACACACACAGCGGTTTCAATTGCGCGATGAGCGGGCTTCGGCTGCTGGGGTGTGTGGAATTGGCATCCCATTGATTGGCTGCTCGTCTGCAAGGCGGCGGGGACAAAATATGGCCACCCAGTGTCCATCGACCTGTGTGGCCAGGTCATTCTAACAACACAGCACCACCAGCAAATCGGGTTTAGCCTCCTTTGCGTGTACCTCCTAGTACCTACTCCGGGTCCATCCACCTCTTCCCATTCTTTCCGAGTACATCCGTATCTACAGAAAGGAAAGGCAGACGGGCAGGGAGGCAGGCAGGCAGGCAGTTGCCAGAACCTACCTTGGTGTCTCAACCCGAGAGTTGGTTAGCTCGACTAGGAAGGCACTTGTGAACTCCTGACGTTGAATCTTTGCAGGAAGAGGGGGCGACCTCCCAACTCACGGGGGGCTGTACAAGCCGGCTGGGTGAGTGGTACATACCTGAAGAGTGAACACCGCTTAACAGACAGGGGTCCCCAACCCCGAACAGTCAGCCGCCTCCTCATGAGTCCTGAGCCACAGCGACGCTAGAATCGCCACCAACAGTTACCTGGGAGTGATTCATTCTCGAGCCCGTTTTCAGTGTCCGAATCGGGTCCATAAAGCGACGCACTTGGGCTTAAATTGACGTGTGACGCCCCGTGTAAATTTCTGAGACAGTTGGTCAAGGCTCTACCTAGTCAGCACTGCCAGCCTTTTTGCCATAGTACCAAAGTACGGCTGTTATTGTACGGATAGAAAGGCGGGCCAGCTGGGCTGTGGCGCGTCTTGCTCAATGTCTCAACCTCACTGGAGAAGCCAATTTGTCGTAGCAGCACTTCTCTTTCAATCGTAGGCACAGCCAGCCTTACCTGCGTCCAAGCAACGAAGACATGGTGCATCTAGCTTTCCGGATTCGAAACGGAACCAATCATCGCTTGTTAGGGTGGCCCTGTTGCCATCTCGAGTGTGGTGTAGGGCTAATTTGACCCAGTTGGAGTGGAGGGATGACCGTAAAAAGAGAATGCCTCTTTGAGACAGTCAGTGCCTTACGCAGTACTCCGTACACATCGTGAAGGTGCCCCTATCCTCCTACGCTGACTGGTGGTTACTTAGGTATTTGATCATGATACACCTCACCGTCGATCACCTCGGTGTCACCCAGGGAACAGGCACCCAAAATGTGGCGCCACAGCCATCTGGATCAGCCAGTTCCTTGTAGTAGTACCACGGACACTGCCATCCTGCGTGTTAATGTGAAATCTGCTATTCCGTACAACATCGTGGTCAACACAGGCAACCAGTCTCTTTTTACACTAGCATGCGTGCTTGGTATGATAGATGATGATAATATGGCAGTCGAACGAGACGGAAGTTACTGAACCCCTCACTCTCCTGGCGGCGTTTCTGCCTCAGGCAGCGACACATTTTCCTGAATCTTCATGTACTGGACTCTAGCGCCCACCATACAGTCCGACGTGTAACCTAAAGTATGTACTTTGTACCATCGGGCCGGCAATCATCTCGTCAGGTTGTGATCGTTCCCTCGCTCCCTTTCATTGTACCCTCGGCGAGCCAGAATCTTCGCGAAGCCCATCACTAGCACTCCCTTCAGATTATAGGTAACGAATAAGATATTTGGGATGCGTTTATCCGCCTCTCTGGAGATGCGTAAAAATCACCGACTCGCCGGCAGAGACGGACAGGTGGAGACTAGAGTTGGGTATGACCTCTGTAGCACACAGCTGCCGGTTTCCCAGGCGATGAAGGCCCCCCAATCTAGGCTGCTGCCGGCCTGGTGGGTGGCCTTGGTGGCCTGCCTCGCCGATTTAAAATACGTGGCAACGAATACGTTTGTTTTCGACCACGATGGATCGATGCGAGTACATGGTAACTCCCGAGGCAGAACCGCCGTGTTTCACTTGTTGGTGTACGTGTCTGGGCTCCCTTGACGAACCGCCGAGCTCGCATCTCGACGGCTTTCAAGCGACCCTCCATCGAGGGGGTTCGAATGAGTCGAATGGTCGAATGGGGCAGGGATGTCGCCTCCAGCTCAGGTGTTGAGTTTAGCCAATCAACCGGACATGACGGCCCACTGATGACGATGACTCAACCCGCGATCTCCTGAGCCTCGTCCATGGACCATAGCGCGCCGAATCAGGATCGAGGAAGAACAAAGGGCAGTAACATGGAAAATTAGACTGCCCCATGGTTCCAAGTTGCCACAGCTCAGACCAGTTATGATCCAGGACAGCATGAAAAAGCATGCATGACCAGAAGTGCGGTGATTCGGAGTCGACGACGACCGAAAGTGGTTCGCAGAAAATCATCCCTTGGTACTGCACAATACAATCATACCGCGTACACGGCGTCGGGATACTGACGGTGACGCAAACCTTCAATTCTACGCAACATCGATCTCGTAAAAAGTAGAAAGAGATGGAATCTTCCTCAAGAGGCTGGTTCAGGAATATGTTGGTGGGATCCTTCCAGAATCCAACACACACACATATTTTCATGTACCTAATTCGGATGGTTACCCTTCCGTCCAATAATAGTGCTGTATCTCTGTGTAAGCATGAGTAATTGTGCACCGCCAACCTGACCCTGACCACATCCCGGAAGAGGAAAAACGAGAGTGCAAGCCCCGATCTCGAGCTACCAGGCTTCGATTCATCTTAGTGTAGGGCGAAGGTAGCAGCCTGAGATTTTACAGCCTCAGGGGGGAACAAGACTTGCCATTTTTAGCTCGACCCCAACTCCGCCATCCCGAGTCAGCGAGCCGTAGGCTGCCAGCCTAGATCAACCTCCCTCTCCCCCGACATTGCCGAGCTCGGAAAGGCAAAAAAGCATTGCACGGCTTGGCCCTGCTCTCATTAGATGGTTACTAATATTCTAGCCCCTCGTTCCGGAATAAGCGTGAGATAGGCAGGCGTTTCCTTTCTTTTCAGGTGGAGGGCTAGGTCAGCCTGCCGGCTTGCGGCTCATGCCACTCGTAAGCATCTCAGCGAACGAGCGTACCTGGATTACCAAGGTGTAATCCCGCCAGCCCGGGTGACTCGATGATAGTCTGGCCTCCTTGTCTCGCCCCTCTGCGAGGTCCGGTGGTTGAGAGACATAGGATACAATCAATGGCCTTCTCCACACCCTTGCCGTTCTCGCCAAGGTCAGCCCAAGAGAAACTCGGCCTCCAGGTAATCTATCGCAGTAGATGACAAACAAAAAACTGATGTAGATGATGACGATCCCTGACGGATGAGACCAAGGTGATCAACTTGGGGTGGCCAAGCCCCGAGCCCTTTTCCCAAGCCCCAAGCCTCTCCGAAAGCCGCCAGGATGACAGACTAGAGCCCATCCCCAGCAACGACGGGTGATGGATGGCTATTGCCGGCGTGGCGGATTCTAGGCAGACACGTCGCCCGCCCAGAGGAATAATGGTCGCGCCAAAAGTGTCATCCCGGGACGTGACCCTTTCGTTTTCTCGCTCCGCCTTCCCTTAATTGTGTAAGTCACGATATAGTCACGGGTCTGGGGGGAGATGGTCAGCTCCGAAAGACATTCCGCTCAGCCCTGGAGTCTGTATGGGGCAAGCAGAAGAACCAAGCAGCCCGACACCGTAAGCAAGAACCGGCCATGTATTGATATGACCAAGTCGAGTCAGAGTGGCATGCCTGCTGATCGCCACATTGCTACCTGGCGCGACCAGCAAGCTCGAGGGTCACATATGCTTTGCTTGTCTGCCTGGCTGGCCGGCAAGAGGGAAAATAAACTCCCACATCCACATCCGGACTGATGGGAGCCACGACCGGGAAGGCCGGTAACCACGTCCTCGTCGAGGGCCCAGTGATGACTGCAAGTCGGGACGAGAATGAATATGTGGTGTAGTAATGGGCAGTAACACACGTTCGCGTTCGTCATGACAGTACTCCCACGGCAAGCTTCGACGAAAGCGGTGTCACCTGTCTGTGTGCCCTTACCTGCTTGATATGGACCCTCGTCCTCTTCAACTCTGCAGCCGAGCGTCTACTGATGACTTGCTGCCCAGCAACGTCCACTCCACGGCGAAGATAGTTATGAGTGAGTATCTCTTACGGTCGTGCCTCGCTGCGAGTCCGAAATTAACCAGGTATTTGTGTCGTTTGCAATGGAACTCTTCCCGACCAGGATAGAGTGACCAGACATCGAACCTTCGATATCACCTCTCTTGATTGCGCCGTCCCGTCCCGATTACGAGGATTGTTGTCCGACAGGGCCAACGGTATCGATCACAGCCAAATAGCCACGGACGACCTAGCCTCATGTCCAGCCAGCACTACCCCTATAGCCCAATGGAAGTATTGTTCCAACAATAGTGTCACCTGGGCGGAGGCTGCGTGTACCCTCCCTCGCTGCCATCTCCCTTTGCTATTCCCAAGCTTCACGTATTCGAATATGTGTGGCGCCATAGATGTAGCAAACACACATGTCAATTTTGTTCCTGAATCTGTTCCGCTCCCGGGCGATGAGTCGACACCCCTTCACTCCCGAGAGACGCGATATGGTCTGTGAAGAAACAAGCAGGGCCCCAAAAACCAGTCTCCTACAACTTGCAAATGGTCCGGCCGTCTGGGACTGGCGCTCCCAGAGCAAAAGCCGACCCAGCGAACGATCCTCGGCCATACCTAAAGACCCCTTCTTGGCCACACCACAAGTCACCTCCAAACGACCAGCCCAGAAAATTCCACGTTAAGAGACTTCAGGGGACCGCCAATACCACTCATCGTAATTCTACATGACCGTTTTTACAATCCGGTTCGTCGCAAGCTTTAAACCCCCCAGATTTTCCGTTTTATCCTTCAAGCCGTTGCACGTATTGAGACAACTGAAGAGGCAGAGGGAGGCAGAGGCCGCGAGGCCGCGAGGCCGCGGAGTCATGGAGCGCTTAGGATGCCATGTATGTCGAGGCATCAATTCCCTCCTTGGGGAACTCACTAGATATAGTGTCAGCAAAGAATTCTCATCGCAGAGTGGCGGGTAGAGGGAGACATACGGAAGGGCGACTTCGAAACGCTTCTCAATGGACTTCAACACCTCCTTATCCTGGTCGGTGGTAACAAAGGAGATGGCCAGACCCTTGGTACCGAAACGACCGGCACGACCGACACGATGGAGATAGGAGTCAGCCTCAGATGGCAGATCGTAATTGATCGCCAAGTTGATTCGCTCGATGTCGATACCACGACCGAAGACGTCGGTGGCGACGCAGATGCGCTTGTTGAACTCCTTGAACTCCTTGTACCGCCGAATGCTGTCAAATAGTTAGCACAGGCACTAGCGTATGCATGGAGGGCCTGAGCCATCGACATACCGTTCCTCCTGGCTGACACCAGAGTGCACTGCAATAGAGGGGAAGTTGCATTCCCGAAGGAGCTTGTCCAACTCGGTGGCACGGAGAGTGCTCTTCACGAAGATGATGACCTGGTTGAACTGCAGCTCGTCAAGAAGCTCGTTGAGCTTACGATTCTTCTCCCGTTCCTCCAGCGGGATGTAGTACTGCTGGAGGCCGTGCAGAGTCAACTTGGTATCCTCATCGACGTAGTGCTCCGTTGGGTTCTGCATGAACTTGCGGCAGATAGGCTTGATCTCGTCCGACAGAGTTGCCGAAAACATCATCACCTGCTTCTGCTGGGGAGTAGCACGGAAAATCTCCTGCACGTCCCGACGCATGTCTAGGTTGGGTCAGCTATAAAGCCCAGATTTTCAGTGATAGGGGGCCTTCCGTCTTCATTTTACATACCAATCTGGTCGAGCATCTTATCGCACTCATCGAGCACGAAGATGCGAACACTGCCAAGACGGAGGTTCTTGTCACGGACCAGGGCATTCAGGCGACCCGGGGTGCCGACGATGATGTGCGGGTGGGTCTCCTTGTTCTTGAGGATCTCGGCATCCTTCTGGATGGGGGTGCCGCCGTAGAAGACTCCGGTCTTGATGTCGGGCATGTACTTGCTGAACCGGTTGTACTCGTTGCGGATCTGGAAAGCCAGCTCACGAGTGTGGCACATGACCAGAACAGAGCACTCGCCAGCAACGGGCTCGACTTGCTGGAGAGTGGTGAGGACGAAGACAGCAGTTTTACCCAGACCAGATTTGGCCTGGCAGATGATGTCACCGCCGAGCATGGCTTGGGGAATGCATGTCTGCTGAACTGTATTCGAGGATCGCGAGTTAGAATGGGCCACGAAAAACGGAACGGAACGGAGGATGAAGAGGGCCGTCGGGAGCGGGTCCATCCATCGTCGCAGCAAAAGCCCTCGTCAGCCTGCGTTCGAACACAGAAACGCCCAAAAAGTACGCCCGTCATACGCGGCCAAGGTAAGACCACGAGTGCCGTCGACCGGCCACAACAAGCGGAAACCGGGGTGCCCACTCAAGTCACCATGCCCGAGGGGTCAAGGATCATCCGAGTGTTGTAGAAAACAGCCAGTCCGAGCATCATGACCAGTGATTCTCGACAGGTGCTTAGAACATGAAGGTGACGATATTGCGCCACTTCCCGACGAGCAGGCGAATCTAAGGACAATCTTGTGGAAGATATCTACCTCGGAGACGCGCTGCTGTCGTGCGATAATGCCAAAGGCGGCCGGTTTGACACAGATCGAGAGCATCGCCGATTTGAGACGACTATGACGGTCCCCCAACCCGGGACGCCATAAAGTGATATCGCCAAAAAACATTTCTTTGCGTGTTCGCACTTCTCCTTGCGAGGCTTCTTTGTAGGCTTGCTTGCGCGATGGACGGACCCATGAGATGGAGGAGGGGCAACGATGAGCTGGGGGATGAGATTATCTAGACTGACCCTCCGAGGGATGTTCGAAGCCGCAATCGGCAATGGCGCGGAGAAGTTCTGGCTTCAAGAGGAAATCCCGGAATCCAGTCGAGTGAATGCCGACATAGCTGCCTTTCTTATCGACACCGTTGCCGGCACCAGCAAGATCACCTTCCTTGGCACCCGCGGCGGGAGCGGCGGCCTCGTTGGTGTTGAGCTCGTCGTCGGAGTAGTCGATGAGTTCGTCTTCGGCAGACATCTTGGCAGGTGGTCGAGATGGAGACGCGTGAGATCAGGTGTTGATGGAAGGGAGGACGAGGCGAAGAGCTGAGCGGATGTGCGACAGTACGCGCGTAACGAATATGTGTCTCGATGGAAACAATACAATCGTGGATCGAAAAGGTTATTTCACGCCTTGGGAAGTCGAACGTTGATACTCGGCAAGACTGCTGAGGATCAAATATTGGCGCGCTGAGCTGATTATGATGGAGGTTGAAAATTCCGGGAGGATGGGGGAAGGAGCAAATAACAAGGTTGATAACCTGAGGCGGGACTGCGCCTCGACTAGCGCTAGCCTATTAGGGCCTAGCAGTGAAGCTTGGTTATATGCACGGGCCACAAGGCTGCCCTACATGCCTTCCTCATTTTCGGAACTTCTGCAATATTCAACTAGGTACCTACCTACCTATTTATATGGTAGCTTTCTGAACCACAAATAGTTGGAAAGCATCATCCCATCCGAGCAGGTGGACCTGGACATGGCAAAAGGGAAACAGGGAGTCGGCGTGCAAAATCGCCCTCTCTACTCGCGTATTTCTTTCCTCCATCAAGCTGCCACACAACTGGCCCTTCCCAAGCAGCCATCGGAAGATTTTAGCTCCGCCGAACCTATACCGGGCCATGAGAAGCCTCATACACCGCTGGCGGGCATGGCTCGACGGCTGGCTACTGATCTTCGTTCTGTCTCCTTGAAGACAAGGATACGCCTGAGCCCTGCTCTGAAGCAATCTGTTTGCAAGTATTGCGATACGGTGCAAATCGAAGGGCAGTCCTGCACCTCGGTTGTCGAGAACAAAAGCAAAGGCGGGAAGAAGCCGTGGGCAGATATCCTTGTGCGGAAGTGCAAAACGTGTGGGAGGGAGAAAAGGTACCCAGTCAACTCACCGAGATCTAAAAGGAAATCTCTACGGGGAGCGGGGAGCACGGACGAGCAGGGCAAGAAGGATTGAGTAGATTATTCATTCTCTACCGCCTTTCGTTGATTGCGAGCTGGGTCGGGAGGCGACGAGAGCTGATTCTAAAAATCAGCCAGAGCAGATCACGCCTCGCTCTATGTCGCTGCTGCAGGCTGCCGAGACCAACCCAGGAATCTACGAGCGAGAGGAAGCTCTGGCGCCAGTCTGGAATAGACATCTTTGCTGGCTGATTGCCACAGTCGTCCGTTGGCTAGCAGTCGAAATCAGGCCCTAGGGAAGAGTACGAGCTGTCGGGAACGGCCGCGAAGCTCTTCGCTTAGACCAGGAGGTTAATTAAGGGTATCAATGAATTGCGGCAAGCCTCTCGCCAGGACTTCCTGCTGTCGCTACGGCCTCCCGACTCCGACGCACCACTCTCGACGCCGTGTCGCTATGTTCCACGTCTCACGTCTTACGAAAACTTTATCATAACGGACATAATCAACCACGGATTTGGCACCACTTTACAACCCTTGCGCCCAGCCATACAGACTGGAAGGCACTTGTGCGCCTTGCACGCGAGCCCTGCCCTGCATATCCCAGATACCCCTCGGATGAACTTTCCGACCACTCCTCTGCATACCGTCACTTCTGTCCACCGTTGCCCGGCTGCTGCGTCTGCTCCTTGACAGACTCCTCGCCAAGGACCTTACTCGCGGCCATGAACCTGGAGTGGACAACTATCAGCCGATCTATCACTTCAACCTGGCATACCCCTCGGGGACTCTGCAGACGGCTACCTCCTATCGGAGCCGCCCCCCGGTAGAGAGCTACCATGCAGAACCCCAAGGTCACCACGGGTAGTACCCAAGGATGGGGGAAGTCCTAGAAGAGGAGGAAGAAGGGATGGGAGGCGGGGGGAGATGGCAAACTCACAATCCGCCATGCCAACTCCCCAGGCCGCGCATGCACTCGGCCTGCACGCTAGTCATCCGCAGGAGGTTCTCTGTGTCGGCGAGGTTGGCCGACAGTTGCGCGAGCTGGGAATGGAGATGTGTCTATGACCGGGAAAGACGAGGTTATGGTTAGCTAAAGCCGGGCTCTTGTGTATATGTATGTATATGTATATGCACCATGCACCACCGCCACCAATCAACGCCATAGGCACCGGAAAATGAGACCAAGAAAATGGCTAGCCGAAATAATAAAAATAATAATCAGAATGAGTGAGTACTTGCCAGCTGGCGCGCCTTGACAGCACTACCAGATGTCGCCATGGAATGGCGCGCTGTTGTGTGGGTGTTTGTGGAATTCATTGTTGATATCTGGGATTTCCGGGATCTTGCGCCCGTGTTTGCTGCGCGAAGACAAACCTCACCGGGCCAGGGTTGCGCGGCGATGTCTTTGTAGCGCACGGAGCATACAGAAACAGCTGGGACAACTGCGAGAGGGGCCTTGGCTTTCGGCTGCAGTTTCTGTTGATGCCTGAAGGGGCCGGCGCCGAGCTGAGGACGCGGGGGAAGATGGCGGGGGCCGTGTTGATGCGCGGTCCTTGAAGCTGGATGGATGTGGCTGCCAAACTGTCCATCCAATTCCTGCAGCACCGTATGGAAATACCCTAAACCAGTGCGACGCTGGTATCGGTACGTACTAGCCAATGTTACGTGTAACGGTCAAGGGGCCGGCGAAGTTGGATTCCGTGTCGGGGCTCGGCAAGGAACCTGGAAGGAAGGTGTGGTCTGACCCATTTTCGCGATCCGGTCCGTGCGTAGGTGCCGTGCCCACAGACCCAGATCCCGACATACAGGCTCGAGCTCTGCTTTTCTGACATCCAAATCTACCTGTAAAGACATACGACACTGCCGAGCCATGAAGATCTCCAAGCCATCGCCAAAAGCCTCAGGAAGCACGAGTCACAGAAGCAAGATCGGCCGGGAAAAGAGGGCGAGTTCGTCCCAGCATTGCTACTTCGCAATGCCCTATTATGTCTCAACATTCGTGATCTGTATGGACCTGTCTTATTGCCAACCAATCTAACCAGCCCAGCCCAGCCCAGCCTTGCCTTTGCCTTTCCGTTTGCTTTTCTGCCTTTGCCGGACCTCGCTCTTCGCCGTTGGAAGGGAAGGGCCCATATCTAAATTATGATGAAGAAAGAAAAAAGACTCGTTTCATCCTTCCTGCTCAGCTAAGTTCCAACAACATCAACACCCCCCCTACCGGCCGTTTGGAAAGATGAATGCGCCCTTTTCTCCCCTTCTCCTTCGCCTTCTGACAATCAGTCGGTACGTAAAACACTAGGAGAACCAGAAAATGGGGAGAGAAGAAAAAAAGGAAATGGAGAATAAAGGAAAATGAAAACACACGCATGGGCAAAGACATAGACAGGGCCAAGATGATATACAGACTGCTGCAATGCTCCAAAACCTGCACCACGCCCACCCCAAGTCCCATTCAAATCCATCCAAATCTTGGCTTCCATCACCCAAGCTCGAAATCTTCTCTCGCGGTGGGAGGTGCAAGCCACAGCACATAGGATGTTTGGGGACTGGAGACTGGGGACTGACGAACGCCAAGGGGCTCAGTTTTTTCCAAGCAGATGCCGAGATAATCGTATAGCAGAGGTGTTCGATTATTTGCTATGCCGACAAGGCTCGCGGTTTCCTCGTGTCCCCAATGCAGAATTACCAGAAGATAAATAAAAGAAAAAAGGGACGTGATGTTGGCCGCACAAAAGAGACCACCTATGTACCGAGCCCCTTCGCTTGTGTCAAGAGTTACTAAAATTATGTGTTACGCCATGTTGAAAGAATAACCAAAGGAATCTCTTTCTAAGCCCTGTGTGTGATGCATGTGTTTCGAAAACCCTTTTTTTGACTCCCTGGCTCCCGAGAGTCCAGCAGCGATGCCAATATTCCCCAATAGGCACCAATTATCGCGTGATGAGAGTCCGTAGAGGAAATTTAAGAAATGTGGGATGTGATCTGCCCGTGAGACGGTGATAGGACGTCGATCGAAATACGGCTAGCAGCTCACAGGCTCGACAGGACAGCTTGTTGCTTTGGCTGTCAGGTTTGCTCCGTGCCCCCTGATTGATTAGGGGTTGGTCGAGTCAGGGATGGAGGGATGTCATTCTTCCAAGGCGCTGCTCGCACTCAAACAGGATGATGGCGAGGACTGAGGCTGCTTTGGCTGCTATGCGCTGATGGTTCCGAATCGATATGGTTGGATTCACCACTGCCCGCGCTGGCGCTCGCACTACCGGTCAGACTTCGCACATTTTTTGCCTTTGGAGGTTGGAGGGCGCTCACCCCAGCGTGTTGTTCGACCTGTTGCGGCGCGACAGCATTGCCGTGACCGGGAGGATATCGCGGAACAGGCTGCCGCATTCCGTCAGGGGGTGACGGCCGCCCATTCATCTGGGGTCCCGGGTATCCGTCTGGGGGCGAAGGCCGCCCATTCCCCATCCCGCGGACCGACGGACTGTATGGATTCCCCGGGGATTGACTCGACCGCCTCGGGAACGGCCCATTCATGCCCATGGAGGGCGGGCCTTGGTTGTACTGTAGCTCGTCTAGCCGCACCGACGTCAGTGAGTTGGCCCTCGAGTCTGCGTGCATTTGGCCCCGGTCCACGTTGGCATATCGGTTTGAAGAGTAGGACATGAGGGGATCGTCCATGATGTTGTCGTGCAGGCCGGGAACTTGGCTCATGACCTGGCTGGATCGGTTCCTTCCAAAGCTCGGCCGAAACCTGCTGCCTCGGGATGAGCGGGAGTCGTATTCCGGATTCTTGCGGAACTGAGATGCGCTCGGGACTTTGCGGTTCTTCCGCGAGGTGACACTCATCATGTCGAAAGTGTCGGGGTCGATTACAGCTGCGGGTGGCGTCGAGGTCGGGTCGACAAAATCGTCTTCATCATCCTCGTCATCGTACAGAGCGCCGCCACCGCTGCGGGCGGGAGGGGGCCCCCTCCGGGGACCGGGACCGGGACCGAGAGGTCCACGTCTCAGCCTCATCTCTTGCTCCCGCAATGCCAGTTCTTTTTGCCTCAGCTGAAATTCGCGTTCCCTCAGTGCCATATCCTGCGGTAGTGGGGCGTAGTCGGCCTCGCCACCCTCGGGGATGTCGTCATAGAGAACCAGGTGGCTGAATTCTTCCAAGTCCGCCCCTTCCATTGAGCCGCGTCTCGAAGGTTGGCGGGATCCCGCGTATCCATTGGGCAGCCCGCCATTCATCGGGGGGCGACCATAGCCGTTTGTAGGGAACCCGTTCATCGATGGGGGGCCACGGCGCATTCCGGGGGGAGGAGGTCCCATCGACGGGCCTCTAGGTCGCGAGCGCGGAGGTGGCACGCCGTTGCCATTAACCATACCGTTCGACATGGGTCTCATGGGTCCCTGAGAGGACATTCTCGGGAGGGGGGGAGCACCGGGGTTCGGCGAACCCGTTGGCGGCGGCGCAGCGGCCTCGATCTTGGGCTTCTGGCGGTTGGTGACGTTCAGATTGTGCAGAACCGCGTAAAGGGTCTCGATCCGTGGCAGACGAACGCCGGTCTCCTGGGATAACCGTATGGGGGAACCCAGGTACGTCTCGACCTCCATAGGGCGCCTAGCGATGTAGTCTTGCCACATTATGCTCTCGGGTGACTTTGACATGTCGTCAATGGTCTTCTGCTTGAAATCCGGCGGAAACTTGCAGCCCTGTGCTACAGCCAATGCGAGTAATTCATCTAATATGTCAGATATGAGTGATCGCACTCCAATCTTCTCAAGAAGAGCAGGAATGTGGGGAGTTTCGAAGACCACGCTGACGGGGTGGAATGCGATTGGGCTAGAAGGGGGTTAGCAGGTCCAGAATACAGACGGCACCACAAGACACTATGCATACCCAATTACTCGCTCGTATTGCTGCTGCCGAATATTGCTCGAGACCTTGCAGTCGACCTGGCCGGTGCTAAGGGTCATAGCCAAAGCCTGTGCCATATCTTCCTGTATCGTGGCCGGGATGTTCGCGTTCTTGTTCGCCGGCCCAACCCACATCTCGGTTGACCCCTTGTGTTCGAATTCGCTCCCGCCCAGTTGAATGATTTCGGCGCCGCAGACGAGTGAAAGGACGACATTGGTCGGAAAGCGTTCCTCGATGGCGGACTCGAGGCCAAGCGAATGGGTGGTATTAATAAGGATGCAAGTGTGTTGGGGAGTAACGACGGAGTCGATCACCGAAGCGAGGTCGTAGATATCTGGGAGGGCTTTTATCGAGAGGATGACATAGTCAAATGCACCCTCTTTGCGGGTTGCCGCATCTTCTGGCGCCCGGACGACTATAATGTCCCAACAGATCAGCATAGACACATGGCAGAGCAATCCAAAGAAGACAACATACCATGCCGAGGCTTGAAGCGCTCGTTGCCGTAGGCGGGCGACCTGTAGACAAGCATTGTTAGCCAACCACCTTCCCAAAGGCGAGAGGAGGGCGTGGGGCAACAAACTTGAACGATATCCCGTATTGCGACACATGTTCGAATCCGGTCTTCCACACTAGAGTGACATCGCAAGCATTGGTCGCTTGCAATCTCCATGACAAGAAAGCGGAAACGGCATTCCCACCAACTGCGAGAATATTCATTAGTTCATAGTCTTCTTCCATGACTGAGGTGCCAATGGCCGAGGCATATGCAGCAGATCCCCCCCCCTTGGCCGAGGAATTGTAACAAAAAAAAAAGAGGGTCCTGATGAGTGATGGTAGTAGGGCGGAGGTCGGGGGTGTGTGTAAGGCGACAAGAAGGTTTATAGACAAGATGCAGAGGCGCAGAACTCGAGTGTAGGGCGAAAGTAGCTTCGAGAGCGACAGCGCAGAACAACGCAGAAAAAATGCGTTTACACAATAACTAGGGCAGTGGGATGAGCATACCTGACAGGATCTTGAGTCGGGGAGGCATGGGCCCCATTCTCGAAGCCCAAACAAGGTTTAGCGGAAGCAGTCCAGTTTCGAGGCTGCTGCACGAAGAGGTACAGGTACCCCCTGCCTTTTTGATCGTCTCCTCGCTTTGTGGCGCGTTGCCGATTGACCACTCTGGTCCCCTAGCCTGCGTTGTCGACGAACTATTGGCAGCAGGAAGCAAGTCTGTATCTGGGGTTGCCGAACAGGCCGGGGGGCTGGGCCGCCGATCGTGTGAAGTTGGGAGTGGGATAGACAGATCAGGTTCCGATTCGGTAATAGCTGGAGTGACCAGGCTGTGATGCACACTCGGTCGACGTGAAGGGTATCGTATCAGGTAGGTAATGCGGTGGCGTCGAATCTAAGCCGGGAGCACAGGCATGCAGCAAGTACTTTTGGTTCGGTGGAAGCGAGCGAGATTGAGGCTAACGGGATAAGGAGCGTGACGCCTTGACAGGACAGGACGAGCGGGTAGGAGGGAGGCGGCGTCCTCGGCGGCCCTTAAAGAGGCGTGGGGATTTGACAATAGGACGCCGTGGCTGTAGCTGGCAGCGTTTGGGGTTTTGTGTCGTGAAATGGGGATGATAGGTCCAGAGTTAAAAGCAGGCGTTCCTTTTTCCCTTTCGTCTAGCTGTGCTCTTGTTTTTTTCCCTGGCCCTTTTTTCCCCAACCTGCGACGGGGGGATGCAAAAGGTAGCGGCGGTGGGCGTGGCGTGGCGTGCTTCGACGTGGCGGCAGTGGAGAATCGGGTAACGAGCGGATGAAGCAGCAGCCAAAAGGGACGAGAGACTACGCTACCGCGCTAAATGGCTGGCCAATACGTCTTTTCCATAGACTGGAAGAGTGCCGACGGCGATGAGGGGGGATAGATGGGAATCCGTAGGGCAACGAAAACCAAGTTCGTGCAAAGGACAGGAAAGTTTAGGATTAGGATTAGATACGGCAGGCATGGGACGAAAAGAAAAGTGCAAAAAGCGAGTGGAGATGCGACAAAAGGCTGGTCTGGTTGCTTGTTTCTCCGGCCTTGCCTTGTAGTGAGATGGAATTGGCGGGTCTGCGAAGGGGGTACGTCACACGCGGTAGGAGAGACCACTGAATGAGAGGTACCTCGCTCGTTTCCCGGTCAGAGTGGATGAGCCTGTGAGGCAGCCCAATTAAGCGGGCATCCGGTGTCTGTATTTGCGGATATGTATGAAGCAAGGTAGGTAGCAAGCAGAGAGCATTGTTACGTCACCAGATGCAGTGAATGCGAGGTGACTTCAGCATCGAAACTTGAGTCGGTGCTACGCAGTATGGTGCTGCAAAGTACTATGGTACCTGGTAGGGAATAGCCCCTAGTGTGGTTTTTTTTTTTTAAATAAAAAATAAATAAAAAAAAAAAAGTACATGTAAGTATGAGCTGGCTGGTGCCCCCGAATACGACTTTTTGTACCAAGGGGGAAAGGCGGGAATCCAGGGGTCGTGGGATGGCGAAGGAAGCTGCGGAATGACATGAAGGAATAGTACGGATACCTAAAACAAGAGCTGATATTATGTCTCGAGCAAGATGCGTTGCCCAGATGATCGAAACAGCGGCGTAAAAACTGCGGTTTGGACTGCAAATTACCTGCTCCTCTTCTTTAGGTACAGGTAGGCTTATGCTTATTAGGTTTGCATATGTATTGCCGTTGTTCCACTTCTCTTGTCTTTCTCTCTTCAGATAATTCTGTTTTATTATCACCCCAAATCTCTCTCCCAATTCCCCAGCGCATGCCCTCGCACCATCGGTCCGTCTAGACTGAGCGAAAGAAACTTCTGCCACGAACCATGCATGGCTGCAATAGGTTGCATGGCATCCCGCATCTGCCAACAAGGAAAGAACTGGGGCTTTCCCGAGAGTCCACTTAGACTTTCGCTCCCTACTGGCCCGTGCTAGAATTTGGATCCTTCCCCCAACCCGACTGACCCAATGGCTTGTAAAATGTTTTCTCTTCTTTAAATCCACTGTCTGCCGCCTCTTCCCGTCGAAGTAGGAAGGTCGCCGTATCTCCTGATGTCGTTGGTTATCTTCCTGGAAATGATCAGTCCCATCTCTCCTGTGTCCTCTCCCTCAGGGGGTGATAATGGACTGCGGATAAGTTACCGACCAACTTGCTGTTACACAGTACATGCGAGCCGTCTCGAGCGCTCTACGAATATAAATCTACATTATCCCATAATTGCCGCCTCTTGGAATCCGGGACGGACGAAAGCGGCGACAGGGAACGCCCGTGCAGTGCGGCCGAGGAGCTTGTGATAAAAGCTTCTTCTCTCCAGGTCTCGCGGCGTGAAGGTCGGATGCATCCTCTTCCGTACATACCTACCAATAGCTGCTGTAGGTAGGTACACACTGGAAGGAACGAAGTTGAATTAGGTAGCAAGCTCCGCATTTGTCAGCGATCCATAGGTAGGTATTTAGCCTCCATCCTCGTGGATCGCCAGGAGCACTTGCACCGCGAAGGTACGGATGGCCAAAAACTTGGAGTGGGAAATTGGCAATGGCATATCGCTAGGTGACCATGGCCAATGCATAATCAACCTTGTCTCTATGACACTGTCCCTGCTAATATGTTGTATGTTGTAATGCCTGGTGGTGATGGTGGGTGGTGCCTTGCTAGGCCTTGCTGGCCCTTGCTTTGCTTGCAAGCTTCCTGAACCAACTGAATCAAGCTTGCTACGCACATTGCCTTGACTAGATTGCCCCGCAGAATCTTGCTTCGAGTTGATTCTCTTGCCCCTGGTTCCTGTCCACTCCGCTTGATAGGCCGGTTGCTCCGCCACAATTTAGTGTACCTACCTACTGCGTACTTACGGCTTACCAAGGAATCCACCCCAACTCTATGGGGCTCCTCCAGATGTTGCTACTACATAGCCTGCCTTGCGCACTGATGTCGCGTTGGAACCGATCACGGTCTGGAAAAAAAAAACCGGCACTGCAAACAGTATCGACCAAGCAAGCTGGGGAATACTAGGTTAGATTAAGCCAGGAAAAGATCATTTAATAGGTAGAGACGATCCCATTGCAATCACAAAGCTGTGTTACGTTGGAAGGCGCCTGGTAAGCATTTTTGGGGCTGCAATTACAGTTAGAATGGTGCTATTTTAGAGTGGTGTTGTGGTTTGCGGTGCCGGTTTTTTTTTCCTGACCGAGCCGATTTTCCCATCTTTTGCGATAACATGGCCTATCGAAGGTACAGGTACCAGGCAAGCCAGGGAACGTATCTAATGGCTTGGCGGGAGAGGCGGAGAGCCATCGCCGGCCGTGCGACTTGCATATAACCCCTGTCCAGCGCAGAAGGAATCCACTTGAGACCCGCCTGCGGAATCCACCCGTTCCCACGAGAAAAGCTGAATGACGCACTTGATGGAACTCAAAATCCAGACCACACCCCAGCCCTGCTTCGGGTCTCAACCGCGACGGGCTCAGATAAACGCGTACGCGTTCCGCAAATTCCCCAGGTGGCTGGCCTTTAGCTGCCAATCTCCGGAGGCTCCCCCCCACTCGACAGAACGTCAACATCCCGATCCCAACCCCGTCGAAGTCTAGATTGCTGACCATCATCCTTTGCCAAGCTAAGTTGTTTTGGTTGTTTTGTCGCTCTTGCTAGGAGTACACATACATTCATAATTTTATCCTGCCCCTGTATAACTCGCTCCCGCCCCCCAAAGCACGCAGAGACCACATGGGAACAAGTTGTTCTCCCGTTGCATTCGTACCTTGTAGTTACACAGATATAAACGTGTGGCTATTATAAGCCTGTTATCGCACATTTTACCGGAGGCTCGCTCGTCCAACCAGGCGACCAACATGTCACTTTTTGGCCGCGTCGACGCCTCTCGAGGGTCGTATCGGGCCCTTTCGCTTGGCAGGGCGAGATGCCAAATACCAAGTTGGCTTGCCCAGGAAAATGGAGCTTCTTCTGGGCTGCACTGTACTACATACACTATGAGATCATTGCTGACCAGCCGCCTGACACTCCATCAACATCAGTACGCTAATGAAGGGCCAACTGGGTACGTAACAGCGAGACCCCCTACCTTTCAAATACATAGCTTCTGGCTCTCGTCGCCCAATCTGATATGCTTCTCCCCTTTCTAGACTCCACACTGCTACTACGCAAAACTACTAAATATATAGCTCTGCCACAATGCAATATTGAGCGCTTGAAAACCTCCACGCCAATTGAATGGCAAGGGGCTTCCAGGGAGCAAGATGAGGGAACGGGGGACTTCCTATTCAGGGTTGCCCCTGCGTTTGCAATATTGGGATGAAAGAAAGCATCTCGGTGGCAAACATGGGCCTCTTGAGTACAGACGGACAGGGTCAACCCAGCAACACAGTGTGGATGCTTCCCCAGCTCTGTCTCAGCCTCTGATTAGAGCGGATGCAGTTCTGACTTGAGGATGACTTAGATCCTGGGGCACGTCTGACCCGTGTGGGTAGACTCGTCTATGCGCATGCATCTATCTGCCGTTGGAGAGGAATTCGCTTGCCAAAGAGAGCAGTTGTCCTCATGCAGGTACGAAGTATTGTACTGTACTGTACGAAATACAGCCTTGATATCGTCAACAACCTGATTGTTTCCGGTGCAGGAGTAGAAGCTCAAGCTAATACTAACCTAACATAACTCTAACTCCAACCAATGCAAAACCCACCTAGAGCCAAGACGGCATATAATGCCGATCAACGGTAGTCCTACAGCGTATAGACATCGTTGTCGGAGCCACCTGTTATTCCCTTGGACCGTAAGGCCTGACTGAGCCCCAAGAGGGGGGGGGGGGGGCGGTGATCAGATGTCGAACCCGAAGAGGAACGCAGCGGCCGGGGCATTGCTCAATTGTTCCCAGACAGCCGTTCCCGCCCTGCATCTCGCCCGCGTCCTTGTGTCACTCCCACCGAAGACGGGCTGGTCGCCGCAGACGCTGAGGAACGTCCGTGTCGCACAGGATCAGAAACAATGGTCCAAAGCCCTCGGGTTTAATTTTGGCAATTCTTTCTTTCCACCCCGTCGAGGGCCCAATACGGATATCTGCTGGTCTTGTCTCCTGCCTCATTCGGGTGCGAGCCTCCAACGACATGTTCCTCCGGTTATTCTGATAGGGATAGACAGGGACTGGCAAAAACGTCTCCTCGATGGACGTCATAAAGACGGCACGGATAATATATTTGACCAAGGTCAACTTGTTTTCCACTCCCGGGCCTCGGACGGGTCTGAATTATTCACCCGGCAACCATGGAAAACCTGGAAACCGCTGGCTAACATGAACCGCACTCACTAGACACTCTGACCCCCACCTTCCTTATTTACATTTGCACCGGATCTTCATAAACGACGGCAGATCGGCCGGCTGATATGCCTGAAGCTGCTGATATGCCTGGAGCACGCAACTTATGGATGATAGAACGGCGGTGGGATACCGGTCTCCAGTCGAGAGGGAAACAGATGACACCCGTAGCTCCCACCTTGACGACGGGACACTGGAAACTCCAGAACCAGGTAAGGCGTTGGGGATCACTCGCCTTCTCTTGCAAGTGCCTAGTCACCCGTGTCATAAGGGGTCAATCGAATCACAATACCACCCAGGAGTCGGCCTGCTTGACGACATATCGTGGCTGCCTGTCTGTCCCTCGGGGCTCCCCCCTCTCGGACGATAAGTGGGGGGGGGGGGAGCAAAAAGAAAAGAAGAAGAATAAAAGCACACTGGACGACCCCTGACTATCAGTTCCCGGCTCCCACCGCCCCCAATAATCCGCACAAACTGACAGAAACGAAACCCCTAGCCTCACATAAAAAAAAAGCCTCTCCGGGCGAGGCTTGAGAAGTGGCGGAGAGGGCCTGCCCTTGCCGATTCGTAGGCGCCTGCGCGTGGCGCCAAAAAAGGGAGGGGTGGAAAGGGACAAGGGGACAGGAGAGATCGTGCATATGTAGAGATCCCGAGCTGTGGGCACTAGGAAGTAGGAAGGCACTCAGGACGATCGTCTCATACGACAGCCTCTCTGCATTGGAGTTCATGTGATGGGTTGGGGTCCAAGATGGCCTCGAAATTCGCCTCTCAGGAGGTGCCTTTGGCAACCAATAATCACACCGTATTACGTAGCCGTTCAATCCCGTTCGTCATGCCCAATGAAGCGAGAGAAAAAGGAGCGTGTCCTGTAAAGCGAGGGGGTATATGAGATGAGACCAAAACCGACGCCATGGTTTAGATTCTACCCTTAGCAGCCCAACCTAGTCTATCCGAACCCACTTCGGATACCTACCTACCACACCCATCCCACGGAAGATGACCAGTACCATACCATGTAAAAGATTCCCACCGAGTCGCCACCCAACGCCCCTCGAGTAACAGCGCCCCCTTTCCCTTTTACGCCCCGGCCGGAGCGACCAGGCGTCTCTGTATCTTGGCGCAGCGGGCGAGGTCGAGCATCTTGCCGTCTTGCGGCATGTGCTCGCCGCTGGCGATGCAGAGGACCGTCATGCGCTCGTCGTAGCGCAGGCCCGAGAGGAGCTTGGGCGTGATGAGGAAGTACTGGCTGGTGTGCTCGCGGCACGCGATCTCGACCATGCGCTCGTGCACCATGCGCTCGTTGCGCGGGTCCATGCCCTGGTTGATCTCGTCCACGACCCGGAACGGCGCCTGCGCCATCGACTGCAGCGACATGAGGTAGAAGATGGTCGACACGGCCCGCTCGCCGCCTGACTGCCGGTGCTGGTCGAGCTTCTGGAGCGTTTCGTTTTCGCTGTGGGGCGACGACCGTTAATGGCATGTCCTCGTTTTCTCCGGGACGTATTACGGTCCAGGGTGGGAAGCTGGCCAAAAGGAGAATGGAAGACGATATAAAAATAAAAATAAAAAGGGGGGGAGGGGACATACCGAAACTTGACCTTGATGTCGATAGCCCACTTGTCAAAGTCCTCGTCCTTGTGAATACCCACCTCGCCGGCACAGCTGATCTGCTCAAAGTTGTAGCTGAACGCATCGTTGATACGCCCGACCAGCTCGTCGACCCGGGGCTCCCATCTTCCTCGGAGTTCTTCGATTTCGCCGTTCAGGGTCTTGAGCTCCTGCTCTCGCCGCCCCTTCTGCCGTCCCAATCGCTCAATCTCCGTGGCACGCTTCTCAAACTCGTCCAGGGCATGGGGATTTCCGGCCTCGATAACGTCGAGCCTGGTCGTCTCGGCGCGAATGTCACTGTCGATGTCTTCGATAGACTTGCCTCTCCCCATCTCTATGAGTTTTGTTCGGTCCCAAGTCTCCTCCGGGATCGCCTCGGCGTCCTCCAAAGCTCTCTGCGCCTTATTTTTGAGCTCCCCCATGCTCTTTTCTATCTCCCTCAGGGATCGCTTCTCATCTTCGAGACGCTGGTGGATCTCCGTGTTTCTCTCTGTCAGGGATTGTACTTCCGACTTTGCCTCAATCAGGCGAACTTGAGCCTCAAGCAATGCTAGGTGGGCAGCCCGAATGGCCGAGACCTTTTCCTTATGACGGAGCACGATATTGGCCTTTTGGATTGCTGCTTCGTCTCTCCGTCCCTCAAGGGCCACGATGCGAGCCTTCGTCCCATCAAGCTCTTCTCGCTTCTCAGCGAGGGTCTTATTTTCCATTTCTGCCTCATAGTCAGCCACACCATGCCGCTAGAATGTCGACGGTTATTATAGGGAGCAATTTACCAATCTTGTTTGGCAATGCCAGCCACCTATTATGCTCTTGTTGAAGCTCGCTCTTTTGCCTCCTCAATTCCTCCTGGATACATTGTTAGAAGGGCAAAGCGAGATGAAGATAGAGAGGGTGAGAGGGTGAGAGGGTGAGAGGGTGAGAGAGGAGAGAGAGAAAAAGAGCATCCCAGGTATTGGTACTTACAAGCTTATTCTTCAATTCATCCCGAGTTTGCTCGAGGTCTTTATCCTTTTGCTGAAATTCGCCGAGCTGGGTCTTGAGCTGGTCAATCTCGTCCCTGACCTCTGCTAATTTCTGGTTCAACTCGGTTTTCTCGGCCATGTCGATGGGCTGATCAGTCCAGAATCGGCCTTGCTCGATCTGCCTAACTCGCGTTGACGTGGCAGAGGGGCCGTATTCCTTTCGGCGGGTGACCCGGTACGACTGTCTACCGGTCGCGAACTGATTGATAGCCGCACCCGCCAAGATCTGTTCGTACTGTTCTTCGTTGACATCCTTCAGAGCAATGGCCGAGGCGTGCAGCCGCTTTTCGGCGCACAGCATGGCCAGAACCGGGTCCGGGCCTTCGATATAGTCGATGACGTATCCGTCGAGGCCGAGTCTGGTCAGATCTTGGTGCGGTAGGGAAGGGCGGAACGAGGCAAGAGGCATTAGACATGTGCGGACGGTGACAGAAAGCGACATCTCCTTGTACAGCTGGTTGCTGAGCTTCTTGTGGTCTTCGCGGGTCTGGGTGGTGAAGCAGAAGAAGTCGTCGGATTGGAGAAGAGACTGGACGAGATCAGAATACCTCTCGTCCTTGACGGAGCAGCTAAGCATGGGCGGCCCGAAGACTTCCTTGTCAAACTGGTCCTGGTTCTGTTTGATCCACTCCCAGCCCCTGGCAACGTCGGGATTCATCTTTCTCAGCCGAGTCAGCAGTTGACCCTGTTGGGATTCTAGTTGCGCAAGATCTTGAACGAGCTTCTTCGCCAATGATTGCTTCTCATTTCCCTGTTTCTTGATATCCGCTATCTCGTCATGGACTTCCTGCCGTGCAGCACTGTTCTCGCGCTGCAGATGTTCTTGTTCCCTCTGAAGCGACGTATTAGCGTGGGTAGGTAAAGAAGCCAGCTAAACATTTTCCTTACGATCTTGGTGTTCCATTCTGGGGCATTGAACTGCCTCGGAGACTGTTTCAGGCTCGCCTCTAAATCGGTGATTTTCCTCCGGATACTTGCGAGCTCTCTTCGTTTGGCCTGGTATGCCCCGTTCTCGGCATCTCCCTTGTTCACAAGATCTTGGATCTTGTTGATAACGGCATCAAGCTCTCCAAGGATCTCGTCGGCAGCGGCTTCGGCATCTCTCAGTGCTCTTTGCCTCTGTTGGAATACTTGCTCGATACGTTTCTGGTATTCTTGTTTGTCGTTGACCGCCTGGATTGACGGCGCAAAGCTGTCCTGGAGCTTCTTCAGCTCCACCTGAGCCTCCTTCTTCCGTTTCTTGGCGGTAGTGTACTCTCTTCGCGCCTGTTCGTAGACGACCATGATGCGGGCCATCTGGAGTTCCTCGATGACATGCTTTATCTTTTCTCGCTCCCTAAGCTTCTGGACATCGGCCTGTAGGGACTCTTGACGGCTCTCGAGGCGACTTAGATGCTCGGCATCGGCGGAAACAAGACCTTCGGCATCCTTTTGCTGGCTAAAGAGACTCTTCAGCTCCTCCTGCCATCTTATTACCTCCTCGGGTGCGGCTGCTTGTAGTGTCTTGGTGAGCAAGTCGACCGCATTCAGACCAGCAAATTCGGCGACTTTGTCCTGGGGCAGGAACTGGCAGAGGTTGTCGATCTGGATGCGCAGAGACTGGGTGAGCTTCTGGACTCCCTTGTGGGTGCTCTCCTTCCCGTTGACCCAAAACTTTCGGCTGTTGTCCTCCCGAGTAAGGCGAAGGCGGACGATGATGTTCTGGGGGTCCTCGGGCCGCTTTTGTAGTTCGATCTCGACAACTGCGTGGTCCTTTCCGTGCTTCACAAACTCGCCAAATGCGCTGGCCCGGCCCAACACGTTGGAATGGTAACCCAGACCCAAGCAAATCGCGCAGACGAGCGAGCTCTTGCCCGTACCATTTGGTCCAATCACCATATTCAGGTTCGGTCCAGGGAAGAAATCAGCAGCTTCGTACGTGACAAAGTTCTCGACGCTGACACGCACGATAGAGCCAGGATGGAAGCCCGGTTTGACTCTGCTGCCGTTGGGCTTTCGTGACTCGCTAACACGAGGTGGTGGGCTTGACTGTGTTTCCTCAGAATCCTGATCCTCTTGGTCAAATTCGTGGTCCCCATCTCCACCGCGCAGTCTTAGTCTTTTGAAAGTATCTGAAGATTCCGAGGGGGACCTGTCGCCGAGCCTGACAGCGTCGGCTTCGCCATCGCTTTCGATGTGGGACCTCGGCCGGCGACGCGAAGGTTCATTGGCCATGGTGGATACCACGCAACCTTGGGGTTCGCAAACGGAAAGCCGCGGTGCGCAGCCGCTTCCGAAAATGTCGTAAAATGTTCGAAATATGGCTCGGGTTGAGAGAGAACGGAAGACAAAGCCGTTGGCGTGGGAGCCACGATGTTGGGCGACCGCGAGACGCGTCTGGTAGTGGGGCTAATTTAGCTAAATTTGAGGTTCCCATTTATGGGGAGTCGGGGACGCACGTTGTAAAGTAACCCATTTTGGAGGGGTTACCTGTATATGTCGCTAGTGTAGTACTTATTAGGTCAGGCAGCGAATCAGGTGTAAGGGACCTAGGTATCTATCAGCCTCATTGTCGGTGACCTCACTTCTCCAGAATGCTCTAGATGATCCGTTCCAGCATTGCTGCGGCTACTACGGGTATGAAATGAAACAGATTCCTCTCCGTCTGATCCTCATATCCGCATTTTTCATGTCTCTAGTCCCTTCACACCCACATCTTTGGTCTAATTCGAGGCCGCCATGAAATCGCGGTAGAAGAAGGGGTTGCAAGGGAGGCTCCCATCAGATATCGATCCAACTTCATTTTGAGATGGCTAATCTATAACGACATGCACGCTGTTTTGTAAAACAGACCTTTAGGAATAAGAGATGGAGATCTGGGCCTGGACTTGCCACACTGCCTTCAGTCTTCCGTGATGCATATGTGGCTGCTATATGCGAGGAGCCATGGCGATGTGGAATCTCCCCTTCTCTCCTTGTGTTGTCTGTTTTGACTGTTGCTCATGTTTGTGCCATCATCTCAAGGAGATGTGGCTCTTTTGGGGGGGATTTTGTTGGGAAAACCTGGCCTTTCAGGGGTGTTGCTAGGAGCAAAGGCGACTTTTAGTATCAAGATACTTGAGATACCTAGGTAGGTAGGTAGGGTGAGAGTGAGGATTTGTGAGTCTGGCTAGAGAGGTGTTGTTTTCATTATATACTTATCTATCTGAACTCACCTGTTGTTTATCGTGCTGGCCAACCACACGATCCCGAGTCCTCTCCAAACCCCAATCTCGGCCTCCCTTTCTTAAAAATTCCTTCCCTCTCATCCCAGACATCGCATTCCAGATACCTTGCACAAGCACCGAGATCAACCGTGGAACGATCTTTTCCGTTCCCACTTGATTCACTCACTTGTACGTCGCCGAGCCAGGCCACTTTGGCCTTTTTCCTCCTTTCCTTTCCCTCTCCCAATCCTCTCACTCCAGTCCCTTCCTTGGGCAATCTACCTACCAAGGTAGCGCTGTGCCTCGAGCAACATCCCATAATCCCTCCTGCTTACCAGCTTCGCTCCTTCTTGATATTCCCATGTCCTTGGGGCAATAGAAACACGCAATCCTTTTGTGTTGCGCGCCCTACACCTGCACCCCCTGTGCTCCCACGTTCATTCGCGTCCTCTTTGCGTTCCCTCTGCGTTCCCCGCGTACCCTATCCCTGTCCTTTCCCGTCCCAATTGCCATGCGTCAGGCACAAACACCTGCTCACCATGGAGAAACAACGCAGTTCTAGGGTTTCCAATCATCGGCAGCCCCTAGGTGACGCGACTTCGAGAGTAAACAACTCTGGCACAGACAAGGGCACTGGTCCTCGGCAGCAGGCACAGGGCCAAACTGACCCAATGCTGAAGAGCAAGCAAGCGCCGAGGGGCCATTCGACTCCCCTGCCTGTAGCACGACCTGCCCAATCTGAGATTCCGGAACCTTCTATGGTTGAACCTGGCCATGCCGACAAGCGACATTCGGCCATGACCCAGGATTCCTACACCACCGTCGAGGGAAAACGGGCATCTAAGGTCTCCAATGCTTCGTCTGCAGCTTCGAGTGTCCGGCCACGGAAGACACATATCGGACCTTGGCAACTCGGAAAGACACTGGGCAAGGGCTCTTCAGCCCGCGTTCGCGCTGCCCGGCATCGAGTTACTCACCAGTTCGCTGCCGTCAAGATTGTTGCCAAGAGCACGGCACATCTCACCCAAGCCGGGAGCTTGGCACAGCTGGACAAGATCGAGAGCAGCCAGCCAGTCGCTGCAGATGGAGTGCGACGCATGCCTCTGGCAATCGAGCGGGAGGTGGCTGTCCTGAAACTCATCGAGCATCCAAATATCGTGAAGCTGTACGACATCTGGGAGAACCGAGAGGAAATGTAACCCACGTCCCTCTCCCACTCTGCTGCTAGTGCCTGACTGACGGAATCCCCAGCTACCTAGTGCTCGAATATGTCGAGAAGGGAGACCTTTTCGAGTTCATCAATTGGCAAGGCCGTCTGAGGGAGGAAGAGGCCATCTACTACTTTCGGCAAATTATGAGTGCCATTCAGTACTGTCACTCTCTCAACATCTGCCATCGCGACCTGAAGCCCGAGAATATTCTCCTGTGTGCTGATGGACAGGTCAAGGTCGCCGACTTCGGCATGGCTGCTCTACACCAGAGCCCGTCGCATCATCTCCACACTGCCTGTGGGAGCCCGCACTATGCTGCCCCAGAACTCCTGAAGCAGCTGCCGTACAAGGGAGAGAGTACAGACCTCTGGAGCATGGGTGTCATCCTCTTTGCCCTGCTTGCTGGTCGCCTCCCCTTTGACGAGCCACGCCTCCAAGATATGCTCGCCAAAGCCAAAGATGCTGACTATGAAATGCCCGACTTCCTGAGTCTGGAGGCCCAGGATCTCATCGACCGGATCCTCCAGGTAGAGCCGCATCACCGTATCTCCATGGCTCAGATGTGGAGGCATGCTCTGATCAGGAAGTACGATTATCTCGATGACCTCAACAAAAATGGCGGGCAGCCCCCGGACATTCGACGCGATGCACATCTCACCGCTCTGGGCGAGGCAGAAATCGACCCCCAGATCTTGAGACAGCTAAGATCCGTTTGGCATGCCTTCACAGAGGAACAGCTGAAGGCCAAACTTCTCAGCCATAGGTCCGTCACGCCCCAAACCCTATTATGATGTTGTCAATGCAGACGAATACTGACCGATGTGCTAGGCCCAATGACGAGAAGCTGTTCTACCGGCTCCTGCACGAGTACAGGGAAGCTCAGATGGAGAACTATAATAATACCACCAGCACCAACATGGTCCACTCCAAGAGCGACTTCCATCATCTCAAACCCCCCAACTTGGGGAAGCGGATCTCAACCTGCCAGTTCACGCAAGCCGGCAGAAAGGGACACGTGAGAAACGTGTCGCGCTTCACGGTCATCTCGAATGTTGCTGAAACCGAATCCGGCACCGTCCAGAGCTACGATCCTTATAATGCCTCTCGAGTCTTGCACCCCTGCAATTCGCAGGCTAGCCATGCTAAGATCACCATCCACCGGAACAGCCCCGAGCCCGGCGCTCAAGCGGAACCCAGTGTGGTGTCGCACTCGTACCGCTCGTACAAGACAGCAGTCGCCGGGTCTCCGCAGCCGAGAAAGGCGATGAACTCGCAGCAGTCAGGAACGGCAAACCAGCTATACTCGCCCCCCGGGACCATGAGCTCTCTCCAGAGCAGCCGTGTGGGCGCAGGTACCCCTCGTGTCCGCCCAACTTCTCGTCACAAACGGGGCGTCGACTTCTCGGCGGTGAGAAAGCGCCCCAATGAGGCCCGTCGTCGAAGCAGCGACCGCAGTCGGAAGGCTCCGGCAAGCATCGCCGGTGATAATACAACCTATGGCCGAGACAATCTCTCCCCGTCAAGCCCGCAGAAGAAGAAGCCCGAACCGCTCAATGTCACGACTTCTAAGACCATGGCTGAAGTGATGAAGCCTAGAGATGACAGTGTCATCTGGAACGAAGAGCTAAAACAGCTGGGCCACAAAATCGCCGAGCATTGCGACGAGGCGTTCCGGAGCTCCCTCCTGAGTTCCGCTTCGGGTGAAGAATTCGACGGCCGGCGCGAGGCGACTCCACTCTCCTTTACGTTGGAGTCCTCGCCTGCTATGCAGAGTCCCAGAACTCCTCCTACCACCGTCAGCCCTCCTCCGCGGCATAGTTCTCGCCATTGGGAATCCCGTCCTCTGCCGCCGATCCCGCGGGAAGCCGCGCCCACCCCGGAACCAAAGGCGTTCAGGAACTTCTTCAACGGAAAGCACAGCAGAGCATATGCAGGTGCCGAGGGTGCCAACTCCCAGCAGGCGCCAGACCGCCGGGTTGTTTCCGCGCCGGTCCATTCTCGGCACGGCGGAGGCGTGAGCCAGCTTCCTTCGATTTACGAGAACACGCCAGATGGTCGCAAGCCGAATGATAGCAGCAAGGGCCGAATCGTCTCTGCACCGGCAGATTCGCCCGCTGGTATGCCCAACCCGCACGATAATCGGGGTCTGGACTACCTGGCGAGGGTTGAGACCAGCATCCGGGTGGTGAACTCCCCGACAGATGTGAAGACGTACGGCACATACGACCCTGTCCAGGCACCGCAGCCACTCAACGTCCGGAAGAAGTACTCTAGAGGTGTCTCGGAGCCGCAAGACTCGAGTGGAAGGTGCTCTAGGTTGGAGATGCGCGAGCCCTCTAGCCTTGACCGATACCAAGAAAGCAATGTGGGTGATGGTGGGAGTCGTACGCCTTCTCAGGGTAGCGAAGCCCTGGGTGGATCGAAGAAGAAGCGGCCTACTTCGTGGTTCAAGCGATCCTCCAAGGAGAGCGTAAACGAACCCAGCAGCTCTGCGGGAGAGAAGACTTCCCGGTTCAAGGAAGGCAGCTTCTTTACCAATGCCAACCACGCCAACCGGTCCAGCTCACAAACCACCAGCGAGACTCTAGTTCCCCCGTCGAGCAAGAAGAAGGGCTTTAGCCTGTCGTCATTCTGGAAGACCAATAAGCCCGAGCCCACGATGTCACTGGCAGGTAAGTTGCATCATCCCCCCTCCCCCCCTCTGTCATAAGTGACGCAGCAAGTACTGATTTACCTCTAGGTCCTGCCCTGCCGGACACACCAAGCCCAGAGTCCAGGCTCCGGGTCAAGGCCCAGGCGTCTCGAACTGCGGCCACTCACGGAACGATTGCGAATCCGTTTGACGATGTTGACACCAGCGGCAGAAAGATCGAGGTCCATCAGAGCTGGCTGGCCCGCTTCTTCCGAGTGAAGCCTGCCACCAGACACCTGTGCTTCACGATTCCCCGCCGTCGTGCCCGGCAAGAGATTGCGATCTTACTGAGAGGGTGGCGGAAATACGGCATGAGAAATATCGCTGTCGACAAGGCCCGGGACATTGTGTTTGGCCGCATTGGGCCCAAAAACTGTCAGTTATCTCCCCCGATAGGAACACACCCTTGACATAAGATGGAACCCCTTGCTGACTGCTGCTGCCATGCACGCACACCAGACCTTAATATCAAGGAGGTGGCCTTTGCTGCCGAGATCATGACTGTCATTGAGCACGGCAAGCGAAATCACCTGAGCATTGTCCGCTTCACCCAGGAGAAGGGAGCTGCCAGCAGCTTCCACAAGGTTGTCGACACCATGAACACGGTGTTCGGCAGCCGCAATCTCCTCGTGACTGACGAGCGGAAGGCTAAGATGATGATCAAGACCCTTAACTCTTGAGGGTCATGCACTTGGGGCCTACGGGAGCCCCTTTTAGTCGTCTTGTTATACTGCTGTCTGCCAATGCCGCGGTGTTGGTTTCTTCTTCTCTACTTGTTTCTCTGATTCATTGTGGTACAACGGCCTTTGTTCTGGGACTATTCCCGAGGTCAGTTGCTTTTGCTCTATTCATGCCCGAACATCATGTCCATACATCCGTCCATGCCTCTGTTGTTTCCCTGAAGACTTGTTTCTCCTTCGCTACCTACTAATACAATGGATCATATGTAATCCATCTGTGGTTGGGGACCCCAGGCACAGAGACCAAAATGGATACAACAAGCTGGAATAATGACGTTGGTCTACAGTTGATTGATGGTTTATTGTACAATATTTTATTTTCCCCCTTCGAGCTCTGGGAGGACGACTGTGACCGGCCTGGCTTCCCTGATGGCCATCGCCAAGGCTTGGGAGGACCTCCATCGATGCGATGTACAAAGTAACTGTCATGGGGGCTCTCTTGGGGAAGAGGACTTGCGTATCTTAGCATCTCTCGTAGCTACAACCCAAGATTGTCCCTCAACATGTGCCGTGCCTTGTCCTTCCGGTGACATGGTGACAAAGCTGAGAAACTATAGGGTTCGGTGTTCCCGTTTACAGGGAAACGGGCAACGCCGAGCACCCTACTTGAGTTATTTGGCCCTTTATTTTATTTTTCAATCATTCACACTGGAGCAGTTCAACTACTCAAAATCCCGTGCTCTACCAAAAAGCATACGGGCCACCCACCCTCGAAAACTTGAGGTTGTCCTTTTAAAACGGAGCCTTACGGAGGAGTGGCACACAAAAAAGTGATACTATCCGCGCTCGGGTGGTTTCGGCTCAGTAGGTGACGCTGGTTAAGGAAGAAGGGGGGGAGACCTCGGCTTTGGGCCCGGTCGATCGGAGCGCCTTGGTCAAAGCAAACATATGGCAATTGCCCCGGCTCGACTCGGCCAACGTCCGAGGCCGCCAAGTAGAGCAGAACGATGATATCGGGCGGAAATAAAGACTTTCGAGCATCAATTGCCTCTTTCGAATGCCATCAGACCAGTCCTCAGTTTGTACCTGCTGTGCAATTGCGTTGTCGATCCTGGTGAAGCTCTACATTCCTACCCATACGTAGGGTGCTGGCGCGGGGTTCCTCCCAATGACCTCACACCCCAATTGCGGACCCCTCCTCAGCTCACATGTGAAGGTGCGGCCGGCAGCAGCTTCCCCACAGGCTGCCAAGCCTGGGCCCGCGGTCCATTCGTCCTCTCCCGAACGCCCGAAGCATTGTAAACCGCCACAGGTGTGGGGCTGGATAGCGAGCTTCCTTACTTGTCACCACATGTAATTGCCGAGACTGGCTCTGTCTTATCGTGTTTTCGTCATGACCCTTCAACTCTCGGGAACTAGGACGATCGAGCCCCCCATGGTAGGCTGGTAGCTCTGGTACAGTCATAAGAATGTCGAGTGGCTTTAAGCTTTATCATCCCTCCCTCTCCCACGCTTCGTGACACAACACCCTTCGATCCCTTTTATCGTTACTTTCCCTTCCCTTCAGACAGCCGATTCCGTTCTTGAAGGTCAAAAAGTGTAGGACGTAGATCGAGACTCGAACCTTGAACATACATATACGAACGCTACTGCTGGCACAGTTCAAGAGCCAGTTCCATCCCCATCGCCATCCCTAGAACAACCCCGGCTAGACGACTACCTACTCATCGCCTGCTCACCATGGCTTCCACCGACGCCATTCTCCAGGGAGTCGACGTCCTGGGCGCCATCCAAGAGCAGCACAGGAAAATCCTCACGCCCCAGGCGCTCGCCTTCCTCGCGCTCCTCCACCGGTCCTTCAACGCCACGCGCAAGGACCTAATCGAGCGGCGCAAGGACCGCCAGGCCGAACTGGACAGGGGCGGCCTGCCAGATTTCCTCCCCGAGACCAGGCACATCCGCGAGAACCCAACCTGGAAGGGCGCCCCGCCCGCCCCGGGGCTCGTCGACCGCCGCGTCGAGATCACGGGTCCCACCGACCGCAAAATGGTCGTCAACGCCCTGAACTCGGACGTGTGGACGTACATGGCCGATTTTGAGGGTGTGTTGCTCTCCCCACCCCCCGAGAAATGAGAGAGATGAGATGAGAATAGAACGAGCCGAAGCTGACTGATTCCGAACAGACTCCACCGCCCCGACCTGGGACAACATGATCAACGGGCAGGTGAACCTGTACGACGCCGTGCGGCGCCAGGTGGACTTCAAGCAGGGGCCCAAGGAGTACAAGCTGCGGACCGACCGGCCGCTGCCGACGCTGATTGTGCGGCCGCGCGGCTGGCACCTGGAGGAGAAGCACATCACGGTCGACGGCGAGCCCATCTCGGGCTCGCTGTTCGACTTTGGCCTGTACTTCTTCCACAACGGCCACGAGGCGGTCAAGCGCGGCTTCGGGCCTTACTTCTACCTGCCCAAGATGGAGTCGCACCTCGAGGCGCGGCTGTGGAACGACGCGTTCAACCTCGCCCAGGACTTTGTCGGCCTCCCGAGGGGCACCATCCGCGGCACCGTGCTGATCGAGACCATCATGGCCGCCTTCGAGATGGACGAGATCATCTACGAGCTGAGGGACCATAGCTCCGGCCTCAACTGTGGCCGCTGGGACTACATCTTCAGCACCATCAAGAGGTTCAGGCAGAACTCAAACTTTGTGCTCCCCGACCGCGCTTGCGTTACCATGACGGTGCCGTTTATGGATGCTTATGTATGCCTGCGCTGCTTCTTCTTCCCCCTTCCCCCCCCCACACCCCCCCCTTCTGAGTTAGTGACTAACCCATCATGCGACCTCCACAGGTTAAACTCCTGATCCAGACCTGCCACAAGCGGGGAGTCCACGCCATGGGGGGCATGGCTGCCCAGATCCCCATCAAGGACGACAAGGCGGCCAACGACAAGGCTATGGACGGTGTGCGGGCCGACAAGCTGCGCGAGGTCAAGGCCGGCCACGACGGGTATGTTATCCACCATTACAATCTCCGCTGCTCTGTAACCTCATCGGCAGAAGAAGCCGGATGAGGGGAATGACGATATGCAGTGCAGGGCCAAGGAGACGTGAGCTAATCTGAGAGGGCAGGACATGGGTTGCCCATCCAGCCTTGGCCGCCATCGCGTCCGAGGTCTTCAACAAGCACATGCCGACGCCGAACCAGCTGTTTGTGCGGCGCGAGGACGTCAAGATCGGCCAGAACGACCTTCTCAACATGAACGTCCCCGGCAAGGTCACCGAGGAGGGCATCCGGAAGAACCTCAACATCGGCCTGGGGTACATGGAGGCGTGGATCCGCGGCGTCGGTTGCGTCCCTATCAACTATCTCATGTGAGTTACCTTGCTTTGGCTTGACTCCCTCTCAACGCGCCCCCCCCCCCCTCTTTGAATTCTAAAGGAAACCTACACCCCGCCTCTTCTTCCCTTTTGGCTAACCGGTTCCCCAAAAACAGGGAGGACGCCGCGACGGCCGAGGTGTCTCGCTCGCAGCTGTGGCAGTGGGTACGGCATGGCGTGACCACGGCCGAGGGCAGGAGGGTCGACAAGGGCTACGCGCTCAAGCTGCTCAAAGAGACGGCCGACGGGCTCGCCGCCAAGGCCCCCAAGGGCAACAAGTACCACCTCGCCGCGCAGTACTTTGCCGGCCAGGTCACCGGCGAGGACTATGCTGAGTTCCTCACCACGTGAGTTGGATTCTTGCCCCCCGCCCCCCCCCTTTTTTTTTTCTCTCTCCGCTGCCCCTGTTTAGGGCGCGGTGGGTATAAATGTTGTTCTTGTTCAAGAGGTGCTGATGATTGCTCTTTGTTCTGCAGGCTCCTTTACGACGAGATCACCGCTGCAGGCAGCCCGTCTCCGGCGGCGAAGCTTTGAGATGGGGGACGTGGGAGAGTTTGGACAGTTTTGTTTTGGAATCTCGTTTTCCAAAGGAGGGAGAACAGAATCGCATTCATCTAATCTAGCTTTGGGGAGATTGGAGGTACTGGGGGGGTTTGTGAGTATGGATTTCCCATCAACCACCCGAGGACTCTTGAACTAGGAAACGGGCTCCATGTGGGCTGGGTCTGCCCGGTAGTTAATTGTAAGAAGCCACGATGGTATTTGACCGGCTAGTTAGGTCCGGAAGACAAACTGGTTGTCCCGAACTGCAGTGCCCACAGCCGGTGACATGGTCTCCTTAATCGAGGGGATAAACGTAGATCGTAGGATAACATAACGCCAGAAATGGGAGAAGTCCGAGGAGAAGCCTCATGTCCGGAGGTGCTTCTAATCCCTGCACAACTCATGCCCGCCGATCTGATCTGACCATCACCAAAAGGTAGTCCCAGGACATGATCGACAAACGGTGTTACCACCTTGGCTCTCGAGTCGAATCCTCGCCCGAACGAACACCCGCCCGTCATCTGTGGGACAATACCATACGTGGACAGCCCGGGGCTGGGGCCCCGAATGCTCACATTCCCCTGCGCCCTGACGGAGTCGATGTCCTTGGCAGGCCCCGGCCATTGCGTTGGTCTTGGGGGAGGGGGGAGTGAAACCCGCACAAGGGATCCGGAGTGCCGCGGTCTAGCATACCATGGGGACTGGCGGGGAACTGGTCTTGGCCGTCACCTATGCTCGGTCGGATTTACGTGACGGTCGGTTCCGAAGTTCGAGGAGAGCGGTGACCTGGGAATCAACATCCGTGACACACGGCTAGTCCCTGTGGCAACGATACTTCTCGACAACGAAACGAAGGATCAAGATCATGCACACAGAGGGGACATCCATGCCCAGAGAGAAACCATTGTCACTGTGCAATGGCAGAGACATCAACTGGAACATATTCGACTTCTCGGTGGCAGAAGCATTTTTAGAGGAACGAATAGCGGACGGGATATAAAGCCCCCCCATCGGCTCGAGGCGCCAAAACGGGGGCTAATGCTGCTCAAGACATGGCGAAACACACACGCCATGTGCCCATACGATGCAAGGGGGACGTCAACCAACAGTTGTGCCAGGACAAGGACAACGAGGCGGGGAGGAGGCAGCGAGGGTGTTTTTGATGTGAAGTATCCCCCCCGGGGGCTAGCGAACGTACAGGACCGTCGACTTATAGGAATGTGTGCCGGTTCACCTATCTGCAAGGCCCCTTGTCTAGCTGAGATGAGAGACCGAACATGTCTTAGACGAGAGTCGAGTAATGGTGAGTAGGGAACGGGGTTGGGTGTTATGCAGGGAGATGGAAAGGGAAGAGGGTGATGCTGTTTTGGTGGTGATGGGTGATGGGTGGGAGCCAGGATCTTGCCTTGTCATGAGATGGTGGCGGCGGCTCGGCGATCAATATAGGTGGTATTTGGTGGTGGTGGTGGTGGTTAGATCTACAATTCAACCACGTTAATGGTTGACCACTCCGTAAGCCTCCACAGTTACTTACGGTTAAGGTTATTTTGATCGGCACAAGGATCTCGGGATTTGTGACGAGTCGATACTCCGGCTCACCGCCCACAGGGCAAAGACACGAAGGGAAGAAAAGAGAAAGACGGGGTAGAAACCAGCTCTAAAAGCATATTTCACAGATTGGATCGATCATGGGATGTGTTGACCAACCAAGCAGCAATCAGCCGTCGGGGGACTGACTGGTGGAGGGGAGGCGGGTGGCCAGCAAACTGCGTTGGCGGTGTGTCTCGAACGCATACGCATCTATTCGCGATAGCCTTTAGCAGGAAAGGTCTTGCCAGGCGAGCGAAAAGGAACGAGATTGTGACGAGCGAGTTATTAGCTGGTGAATCACAAGGTTCCATTCCATTGGATGTGATGTGGTTTTCCTTCTTCTTGAGTCCGGCACCAACCAGGAACGCCAACCAGCAACAACACCACTACAAGCGCCGCGCAGGGATATGTGGCGCCGCCTCATCCCGCCGCCGTCGGCATTTTCGGTGGATCGATCGGCACTCCCACTTGCCAATCTGCGCCAGTCCAATCTCTCGACGACTCGGCCGCGTCGTTTCCGTTAGGAGCTAGTTAGCCCTACGTGGAGGGCCTGGCCTGCAATTTGACAGCGGGACACTGGGAAGTGGAAATACCGTTATAACTTGTAAATGGAATCCCATCTCCCCCTTTGTCACCTTCTGGAATTGGTCGTTGGGGCGAGGCGGGCAGAATGGGGGCTGACAGTTGACAACCATGAGCCACTAGGACAGGGGGCACAGTGAAAATGTGAATATATCTTGGCATCAGCAGTGTTGCCCCAGCTTTGTGCCACTTGACGACCGTATCTGGGAACGGATCTGGGCAATACTTGGAATCTTTCTTCCTGCGCACCTATCCACTTAGGACCCCTTGACCAGGTTGGCTTCCCAATTGGAAGAGATGCAGATGCGAGATGGTCTACCTGGGCAAGGTAGTCTGTCCTGTTCGGTTTTCCGAGGCTGCATTAGCTGCAACCCCTGTCCTGCGCCGTTGTACTGGCTGTACCTGATGGCGCAAAGGAGACAAGACAAGAGAGACAAGACAAGAGAAGGCGGGCCTACTGGCGATCGGGCAGGACCTACCGGTTTTCGTGTATGGATAGGTATGTGCCTGACCACGAGATTTGACCACGAGATTTGTCTGCTGCAGTTGATCCCACACTCAAGATTGGTGGTCCCCGTGCCGCGGAGAACTCGATTCTCCTCCGGGGACCATGGTATTACGGAACTGGGAAAGACAAAGAGAGAGAGACTGGGGTGGGATTCTGGGTCCCCCACCATCCATGTCCGCCGGACCCTGCGCTCCTCCCGGACGGGAAATCTGGGTTTGATAATTGCAATTTCAACTTGCATCGATTATTGACACGACGACAGCTGTGGTCAGGATTGACAGCACCAGAGCAGAGCATGACAATCTCAATACGATGTACGTCTGACAAACATCGCAATCTACCTCGCCGCTTAGGGTGTGCGATCAGTGGGTTATTTTTGGTTATTTTTGACAACCACCTAGCCTGGTTAGTGGAACCATTATTGCTCCATCTACGCATTATACATACCTTCATACTTTTGGAGATTTATCATTTGGCGGGCCGCTCGGCTTCCAAGAAGAGAATTACGTAGACTTTTCCTTCTTTTTTCTTCTTCCACCTCGATAGCGTCCGCCATGTTCCACCCTTGTTGGGATGGCAAGCATGGGGTGTGTGGTGAGATCGGCATGCCGAGATGGAGGCATCCCGCCGGTTGAGCAGCAGATCACGGTTACTTGAGCCGTCCTTGGTTGAGCACACTAACCTTGTTTGACGCCATGCAGCTATCTAGCAGTAGTGCGTGCCATGGGTCAAGTTCATTAGGTAGCCGGGGAGGCTGTGATAGAAAGTTGGCGGCTACTGTACATACCAGCATGGGTGGTCCCTTCTCGCCCAATCGGGTATGCCTCAAAACCAGGTGTTCCCTGCAAAGGAGACTCGCTGCTCATCTCGACAACGAATGTGCCAATCGTGTGGAAGCAATGCTTTATCTGGTAAAATGGGCTTCACAGGACGACCAGGCCGGCAATGCTCGTGTCAGGAAAACCTACTACAATAGGTGGCATTGGGAGGTTGATGCGACAGAAACGCTGGGAAAGAGAATGAGAATCGATCATCAAATATCACAATGAATTTGATGATCCAAGCAGTCGGAAAGATGGAGGCTTGGGGGAGGCGAGCTAATAATAGTGCGGAATGGGATTGGGGGGACACAGATCCACAAAAAGGGGCTGCGACCTGCCCTGTCGCCGTAAATTTGCGTGGGAGAAAAGTCCCCCGCGGTTGGCGCTAATGATGGATCAACGTTCTATTGGTTGGATGACCTAGAGGTATCCTCAGGGTACCTCCAGCTCTACATCCAGCCTGGGAGGACCAGCAGAGACGACAATTGGTCTTTGGCTCTTTGGCTCGTCAAAAATTCCCGAATGGAGAATGGACCATGTTCCGAGCTCCATGCCATGTTTCCAGCTGGATCTTTGAAATGCGCCGTACATAACAACAGAGACAGAACCCCGTTCAAAAACCCTCCACCAAAGCTTTGGCCCATGGGGTCGATAGGCCTGGCTAGAACGAAACGGGAGGGGTGGAAAATATCGCTTATATACCTAAGCAACCCATTTTTCTGGGCTCGTTGCATCGGGCCATACCTATCGAATGGGCCACCCCGGAAGCCGGGGATGCGATTTATTATCATGAAATTTGTACATACATGTACTTACGAGTCACCAATCCGCGCCGCGAAGATTCCCTGTGCTCGTCCCAGCGCGGCGTACGACCCCTGCGTTCGTGCTGCTGCCGCAAAAGCATAATCAACTTCTAGCTTAATAGATCAGACGGCACACTTTGCAGGTTCCTTTAGCAGGTGGGTTATAACCAAGCCACAACGTATCCCGAGCCGAAACCAGCTTTGTCTATGCCTATTCTGTATCTGCCACGGAGCGGGATGGTGGGGAACTGCCATATGGCTGAGAGCGCGGTCGACCGTCTCGCATCCTGTCTCTCCCGAAAGAAGCAACCTTGGAACCTGTCATAAAATCATACTCATAATTTACTGCTACAATGCCTATTCGTAGTGTACATATGTACTACCCGTACCTACTAAGGTACCTAGCAGTGGGAGAAACTCCGCACGCCGCCATCTCGTCTCGTCTCGCACGCGAATTTTGGCATCCGGGATGATCCCTGCGGATTCTCTGGCCATCCACTGGCTGATTCTCGGGCTAGGATCAAGCCAACGGACCTCCTGTAATCTCGAAGCTTCAGCTGTACATAGATTTGCGAGACCGGTCGAGCCTTCCGGAATGTCGAGATGGACTTTGCTTTAACCTGAATCGCACTAGGCGGCCGGGTAACAGAAGTGTGACGGCGCGAGGCTTTGACGATCGAAATGACATCGAATCGGTACTCCGATCGGCTGACAACGACCAGGTCCCAACCAGCAACCTACGGGTTGATAGATCGTAAGAACTTGCCCGGAAGTTGTGCCAACTGAGAGTTGTGCCAAGGGGGTTTAGGCAGGAATGTACAGAGTAGTGAAGTACAAGGCCATCTCCAAACCTGCCCTTCAAGCAGCGTTTACGAACACAACATCAATGACAGGAAGCCAGGTAGTGCAACTCGCTCGAGGCCCGCGCTCCCTCATCAAAGAAGCATCCTGGCCCCTGGAGACGCCACGGGCCACGGGCCCTGGGCCATGAGCCATTTGGGGGGGAAGGGGGGAGGCGTCGATCTGGTTGCATTGCCATTGCCGTGTGCGGCTACTCCCATGGCCCAACATGAGTCTTTCTTCGCATTCTGAGTTGTTAATGATGGGCTGCCGGTATTGCTTCTTCTGGCCGGGGGGGAGTTTTGCCATAATAAGCACAGGGAAAATCAATAAGGGGATTGCGGATTGCGGATTACGGAACTGCGCGCTACTGCAATTGAAAAAAAGGGAAAAAATAAAAATAGTCACAGTAGGGAGGCTGATCAATATCAATTCCCACATTGCTGGAAGGGCCTAGCCCGAATCGAGGCGGGAATCACAGTGCGGAGGGTCGCCAAGAAGCAATATAGCGCAGGCAAACATGGGATATTGGGTGACGGCGGAGTGGCCCATACGTACATTGCAAGGGTAGCCCGGGGGACGGGGGTGTCATCCAGCACCACCACACAACTCCGTGCTGAGGTGTGGGTACGTACCCTACGCTAATGAGCACCCTTAGCTGCAATGCGTCGGCGCGGGCTGGGTTCCCTCGTACCATATTTATTTCCCTATGATTCGCACGTCGCTTTTGCTTTGTGCACGCGCTTGTGGGCGTGAGAAGATGACCAGTGACCAGTTGACCCGAGCCACAGATGCCTCCTCCTGCTCCTACTGCTGCTACTGGCGTTAGTCAATCCCGCGGGCTGGTAAGTAATAATCGGGCATCGTCACCGAATAGGCACTCCTCCTACATAGTACATATATGCGTCTTGGTGTATAATCGGCAATGCCATGGGGCCAAAAAGTGTCATGGATTTTTGCGGCTGTCCAAGTGCACCCACCAATGGATGCTGACTGCCCGGGGACTCCCATGCTCACAAAGTCACTCCAAGGTTAGGGGCTTGTGAGTTGAGGGTTGTGGGGAGGCTGGGCGTGATCCCGGAAACTTGGTGCATGCGAGCCTGCGAGAGCGAGATGGGTTGCTGGGTTTTCTCACTGTAACCTTGGGGTGTCTGACCAGATCCGAGTGCTAGCCTTGCCCTGGCCTGGCCTGGCCTGGGCCACTCCTTGTCTGGGTATATCCCATGTACCTTCACTCCAGACCAGGAGTGCCTATTCGTACCCGACTCAGAACTGCGAACAGCTACGTTAGCAGCCCACGGACACAACCTAGAGCCGCCTTGCCAACTTTAAGGCTCGTTTTGACATAGTACTGGTGTGGAAATACCCTTGCATCCGCCCAATTTTGAACAACAGCAGCTGATAACTGACTCTTACTGGACTGCGTAGTAGTCTTGGGTCCCCCCAACACCAGCCGGCGCCTCATCAAGGAGCCAAACACAAGCCAACCCCGGTTGACGTGCTGCACCCTTCAAGCTAGCTGCTGCGTAGTCGCTACCTTATCCTAGCTAAGTACTACTTACAAAGTACTGGCACCGCACTAGAAAAAGAGGCTACGCGCCACTCCCATTGACCAGGGGAGTTACATACCACTTGAAAGCCGCCTCACCCAGCTTCCCATGCATGCCTCCCCAGATCTGTGCACCACAGGTCGGGTCCAAGTTTCTTGTTTGAACGCAGACTTTCGTCTTTCTTTTCCATGAGGGAGTCGAGATACTGACTGCGTACGTGCTGCTTATCTTTCCTCTCATCTCTCTCTGCTGCTCTCTCTGTCGACTAGCTTCGATCGGCACCGAGGGAGAAGAGCAGAGACAGATATTCTCAGTGCGCTGTGCTGGCTTCGGCATCTTTTGATACGACTGCTGCTTTACGGGAGACGGCTGAGGCTGGTGCCACTGTTGCTCCCAAGGCATTGTCACAGGGACTGCCTGCACTTTGGGGAACCCCACGATACATTCCTCCAGTCCAGCCCACCAGCAAGCCAACAAACCCTGTCTTAGGCTCGGGTGGCAGATTGGGTGGCTTCTTCCGCACACCCAGCTCCTTTCAGCCCTCCCAGACTAGGACCTCGCCAGTCTGAGCCAAATCAAAACCACCCGTCGTTGGGGCTTGCAAAGGCCTCCTCTGCGAGATCTGAGAGGCTGACTTGCTGGTCCCTGCTTCCCTGCTTCCACATACACCCTTGAACCCTGGCCGACCCCCAAAGGGGCCCTGGACCACCAATAATTTGGCCCTTCCGTGCCATCCCATATAACTCAGGCGGACGCCTCCGCGGCAGCCATACGGCGGCGATCGGCACCCCACCTCTCTCTGTGTCAATTCTGAAGACCTAGCACCACCTCGCCAAACCTATAAGACAAAAACAGAGCCTTGCCGCCTCCGCGTGTCTTCCTCTCTGCTGGCTTTTATCTTCCACCACTTCCCCAAGCCATACGCCAACTGTAGGGGCGAACACTCCCTTCCCTGTGCCCCTGCCTCCCCGGTCGCCACATCCAAGTCCCAAGGCGGACTTGTCCAGTCAATACTCCCGCGAGAACCCCGGGTGTGCTGCAGCCCCCACGAGAACCCCAGCCGCGAAGCCCCTCCGACCTCTCAGCCAAGGAGACACTGAGCTCCAAGCCGCCGGCCGGAGTCACTCCCCGGCACCGGTTGGGACAGCGACGGAGAGCACAAAACACCTCTCGCGCGGCACCCCCCCTGGGCGTGCCGACCGGACTTGGCGAGTTGAGATGGAGGCACCGAGTTTCGCGTCCCGGCGGCCAGCGGCAACCTCGCTGCCAGCCTTTAGCCTCCCACCGCCGGACATCCCAAGTACGAGATACCCTGCTTCCTCTCCTAGGCCGACGGCGCCCACCAGCGGTTCCAGTGCTCAACATAATCACCTGACTTCATCGTCACTCTCTTCTCCACCTGCCTCGCAATCCCAAGCCCCTCCACCCTTTCCCACTCTCTCCAGTGTTCTGACTCCTCCCTCAGGGGTAACTACCGACGGACTAAGCCCCCTCTCTGCAGGCGTCCATAGTGGGAGTTCCCAGAGCTCACAGCCCGCCTCAACCCCCGGAATGTACTACTCGCACGTGGCGTCGACCTGGGCCACTCCCGGTGCTTCGTCCTCCCCTTACGGGTTTTCTAGCAACGGTGCGAACCACTCCGGCAACTCTTCCCTTGTGCAGCCGCCGTATCCCTCCCGTCAAATGTACCAGACAGCCTCTCCCTCGGTGCAGCAGCACTTCGGGCGTACAGCCGCATCTCCGGCCACCACAGATGGTTTGGCGACCCCCTCGTATGCGGAATCATCGAACCTCCTCAACCCAGCCTCGGGCGGGGGCGCCCCTCAGCAGTCACAGGGTCCGCAACAACAACAGCAGCAGCAGCAGCAACAACAACAACAGCAGCAGCAGCAGCAGCAGCAGCAGCAGGTCTCAGCCCCTCAAAACACGCCCACTAGTGGGCCACCCCCCGCGGATAACAGCTATCGGCCGCCGCATCCATCGGGGTCGTATTATCCCCCCTCGACGGCGGCCCAGCAGCAGCCGGCCTATTCCGGCTTCGCGACGAACCCGGGCGCGCAACACTCCCCAAACGTCTCTTCAGCGCCAGCATCGAGCGCGGCGCCACGCACGGCACCGATTCCAGGACACCCGGGCTCGCTCTCCGGCATGGCCCCGCCAATCGGCTATGGGGCCCCTGATCGACCTCACCAATCTTCCTACACCGGATACCACATGCCAGGGAACCCGGTGTTGTCCAACATGCACCACCCGGGAACTCCGTTGGCCATGGTAAGCGGAGTCGGTAGTATGGGCATGCCTCACGGATATAGCCCGCACGGGCACCACCACTCCATGGGCATGTACGGGCATAGCCACAGCCACGGCCACGCGCAGCCGGCCCCGCAGCAGGACCGTCCCTTCAAGTGCGACCAGTGCCCGCAGAGCTTTAACAGGAATCACGACCTCAAGAGGCACAAGCGCATCCACCTCGCGGTGAAGCCGTTCCCCTGTACCTTCTGCGAGAAGAGCTTCTCGAGGAAGGACGCGTTGAAGGTGCGTGACCGTCACAAATGGGGAGGAATGCAACAATTCACATCGCGCGGGACATTGCTGACACTTTCTAACGAACAGAGGCATCGGCTCGTCAAGGGCTGCGGCGAGAAGCAATCGCCGAGTGACGGCGCAAGTTCGGGGACAGGCGCCACCGAAAGCTCGCCGCCGGACAAGTCCGAGGCCATGAGCGACGACACGGAGGGAAGCCCGAGAATGGAAAAGAAGGAGAAGAGGCAGTAGTAACTCTTGGTTGGCCGACGACGACGACGACAAGGGAGTGCAACTCGGAGACACTGTCCAGCGGCGTTTCCTACTCCCCCAAAGTTCGAACTACCTCTGCGAGTCGCCAAGCGATTTTCCACGGTTCGAGGAATCGTCGTCTACAATGTTTTATCCGTCGCGAAGCAACAACTGATCGCACCTGTTGGGGAGTTTGGTAAATCCGGAATTGACATGGGGAAGAAATCATCATGATAAAAAATGGGTTCAGGAAGGGTCATGCGGCGTCAAATCGGCTTCTGGTCCACGACAAAACCTCCCCGATAGAATATGCCTGCAACAGCAACAACAGCAGCAGCAACAACCGAATGTTCGCGCGTGGGATACCGTTTTTTCTCGCCATTTACTTCACTTATCTACGGACAGGGAGCAAAGCTATGGGACGTTCGCAACATTATGATACCAATTTTCTCTCTTTTTTCTTCTTCGTTTTTTCTCTCTCGTTTATCTTCTAAACCTCGTCACCCCCGCGACTGCATATAATTTGCGCATTCTATCGCCGATCGGCTTACCTTTCACTTCGTCGATCTACGGACATTTTAGGGTATCTTTGGGGGGCTTTAGAAAAGGGTTTCCGTTCTAACTGCTATCGTTCTATTTACTGTATTCTAGGTTTCTTTATTTTGGAGACTTTCGCTCAAGGAGTTCTGTCGGAAAGGGAAACGGGAAAGAAGAACACCAAAAGGACGGGGAAGGCAGGGATAGTTGCGAAAGAGGGCCACCCTGGGTGTACGAGAGAAAACTACGCTGACGACGACCAACCTGTTCTTGTTTGGGACGCCTCTCTCCCCCCCCCCCCCCTCCCCCCGGAAGGTCCGACGATGCCGAACTCGGCAGCCGAGGACCTCGGGCATGCTTGGTTGGCGCTTGCCTTGGGCGGCTCGGGGGTATTTTCACCGAGTTTGGATAACACTCATACAAAGGGCCGGGACTCGTTGGGTAACTGGGCGAAGAATTGCTGACTTGGTACTTACCAAGCGAGGATTGAAAGGGCCGAGGCGGCTGAGGGCGTTATATTTTGGCTGTTCCTGGCGTCTACTCGTATGATACCCATTTGGAATGCATTCGAGAGATAATCAATGGGGAAACGGACGGGCTGTGTACGATGAAATAATTGCGTGTATCATTTTTTAATCCTTGGGCTAAGCTGACAAGACAAGACATGAACATGACTACCAGAGTAATTAATTAATTCTGACCTGAGAACGACGTCGGGCGAACGATCAGGGGGCGGTAACATACCTGCTCAGCCCAAGAAAGCCAAGGATATCGGTCAAGCCAGTGCCGTGTGCCCCCTGAAATCCTTGTTTTTCTGGAGGTCTACGGAGACCTCCAATTCGTTCCTAGCTCCAACGTCCCGGTCGAAACGACGAAGCCACTTTTGAGCCACCAACACCACAAAAGCTTCACCCCGGACCCTTGACAACTAGCCAACCTAGCGATGGATTTACCAATGAAACCAGTGACAACTCCGCTTATGGCAACTGACTACGGACGTATCTATGTACTGATTCAAACCCAAAGACGAGATCGACGGCAGGGGACACCTTCACTAGGAGTTCCCCGAGACACGCATACTAACAGCCCGACCATGCCATTCCAGGTGTATGTATGTACAGGTATTCCTGCCCCCAACAAGAACAGCGAAGAGGGAGAGAGAGCCCACACAGCCCCTGCCTCACATCCTAGTGCATGGAATGTCGCAAGGCCTGCGTACATATATGCTCAATAGTCTCCTGCGGCTGAGAGGAAAACCCACAAGGGGCTGTGAGACCGGTCCGTCTGGGTAGCAAACGCCAGCCAGCCCCATGCCCCTGGCTGGCGCTGCTGCTGCTTTTTCTGGTCTAGTACATGTTAACAGCAAACGGTCATTTGTGATAAACGATACATGACACTTGGTAATTCGATCGTATCGGTGGACGGACACCACCACCAAAGGCAGGGAAGACCAGGGAAGAACCGGACACGGCATGACAAGGGACGCCCTCCATGAGGCCATGTCATCGGAGAAGGACATCCCAATCTGCTGCAGAGGCTAAATAACAGGTCCTCGGCGTGATTTGGTTAGCGCACAGGGGAACACCCCCAGAGATTGACGAAGCGGTAACGCAGCGAGCACAGCGCTCGATACCCTACACCACAGTCCCGTGTTACCTACTACTCCACCGCCTGCTCTAGATGCTGGATACTGAATGCGCAGCGCCGCAGATCTTCGTGTAGCCTCATCTCTAATAAATCGCATCTCATCTCGCACCTTAACGGGAGACAAGGGGGGAATAGACACCTAAGGCGCTGCCCTGTCTGTCCCCACCTCTACCTTCCTAGCCTAGGCCCGCCTTCTCCTCAGCCCTAAGAGGAGTTTCTGCGCACTTAACTTAACTGATAACCGGAACCGAGACAGAAACCTATCTATCCCTCTCCCACGCCAAATATGGTGCAATTCCTACCGGTATGACTTGGCACCTAGGGGAGCGAGCGAGCGAGAGAGGGGCGGTGGGGCTTGATGGGGGGCGGGGAGTCTGAGCCTGGAAAGCCACCTCCGTGTGTATATACTGCAGGTAGGTAGGTAAAAGTACCGGAGGCGTTGCTTGTCACCCACTAGGCCGCGTAGTCCTCCCCCCTTCCCATGGACAGATTAGATACCCAACTACCTAAACCAACCCCGCGAGCACAAGAGCTGATGCTGGTGACACTGTGACGAACTAGAAGGCGTGACAGACATATCGTCGAACATACATAGAGGGGGGAAGGGGTGCGTGTGGTGACGGCGAAAGTCGCCATTGGGCCCCCGCCGTGACCTGTGGGCCATGCAATGCATGGGTGGGGATGGTTGCTGGTTGCTGGTTACTCGTCCCATTGCGTTGTTTGACTTGGTCTTTTTCTTTTCCTTGTTTCGCCACTCGTTCCGACGGCCTAATGATTGGTGCGTTGCACATGCAACAGTCGACGATGTGCCATGTAGAGTCTAAGGGGGTAAACTCGATATAGGGGGATTGGGGAGACTTGGCCTCTAGTTAGGGAGATTGGTCTAGATTCAACTTCTAAAGACTAGAGAAGCTCTACTAGCAGGCTAGGTCCGCGACGGCGCGTATCATGGGGAAACGGGCTGCTTCAAATGCGGAGGTGACATGTTTGTTCCCGTCGACCCTCCCCTCCTCGTCCGCCTCCGCCCCATCCTCTTGAGCGCTAGCTCAACTAGTGACCAGACGGGCGATACGCCGGCTGTTGGCAATCCTCCTCGCCGCCACCCTGCCGCGCTTCCAGCCTCTCTGGTGGGTATGTGGGTTGGCCCCCTTGTCGGATCTGTACGGCGTGTGCTCTTCTGTGCTGTGGCGTTGGATTGGGTGACAGTGAAAGAAGGGCACATACGGACTATCCAAAGGGCCATTCAAAGGGCCAGGCGGATTATCCATTCCTCGGCTTTGGTGGACTTCTAACTTCATTACCACAGTCTGCGAAGCGCGTATGCCATTATTGAGTTATTGAATTGAATCAATTCCTTCTGGAGCATTTTCCTAGTCACTCCAGCCCTTATTTCCGCGGCAGAGGAATGCGAGCGAGGCTACTGACTGGTGGCGAGGAGGTCGTCGCTCATCGCATCCCTCGCCCGAGAGGGGCTTCGCCTTGACGGTGACCAAAATGTCGATCGCCCCTACAGTCCATCCAGATCATGTTTCGACGGGGAGAAGGAGGCAGCTTGGTGCAGCCCGTCCACCTCCGGGTTTCTCCGCCTGTCTCCTCTTCGTCCGTCGTCGGGATTGGTCACGACAGCAGAAATTCCCGGCTTACCTGGATCAGCGCTACCAGGGTTGAGTGACATGCAGTCAGACGTATGAGCATGGAACTGGCGACGAGTGTTGTCACTTCTTCCTCGAAACCCTGAACAGCCTATGGACCAACGGGGCTTGTAGCGCGCCGGGGACACAGTCATACAAGTTGTTTGATAATCAACTCATGTGTGTCCTTTCCGCTCCATCTCGCTCCGCTGGGGCATCATGGGATAGGTATGCTTCGTTCAACGGTGACATCTGCGATACCCGCATCCTTTGACGTCGATATCCACCCGGGAAGTTTCAGCAGCCTCAGCCTCGGGTGAGCAGCACACGTCACATGCTGCTGAGGGCCCCTATCCCAGTCGGAGTTGCACCTAGTTGCGCCAATTCTGATAGTTCAGGTCCCTTGGGTCTACTTCTGGGCATCTCGTGAAACCCCAATTTGCCAGACCGCAATTGTCGATCTCTGAGCTGACCTCAGAATAGGTAAAATGACATCCACGAAATGGCTGCAGAGGCGATCCTTCCAGGGAGAAACACACCACCGCATATCCACGCCTTGTGACTCCTAGGGTGTTGGCATCAGGGCCGCACAACAGCAAACTTGAAGCTGCGTGGCTTGTCGTCGAATTAACCTCGCCCGCGATGTCGAGGGGATCCCGGCCCATTGGTTTAGGTTGGCTGCAGTTGTATCCACTTTCCCCAGCAGGAGCCCTAGTGCACTGCCTACACTTGCGACCCGTCATGCAAGTTCCCATCAGGCTATATGATATCCGCCCCCTCCCCCCTGTCGAGAGGCCAGGTTTGGGAGGGGGGAGGGGGCCCCCGGGAACTGCAGTGCAGCATTGCTGATCGACATCTCGCCGGTTAATTTCACCCTACCGGTACCAAGCATGCAATGCGCGCGGACTGCTAGACGGGCTGTGCCTCGCCCATCTCACGGGTGGACAGCATAGGCATAACCGCCTCCTCCTGCTGGTTGCTCAAAATCGTCACTCGCGCTCCGCCTCTCAACGTCGGAGATCAGATATTCGGCCCCCGCCCCCCTGCTAGAAGCCCTTCTGATTGCAAGATCTTGAAAAGCACCTCAGGCAATTTGCCAAGTTGGCTCTTGCTTGACTTGCGATGGAATTAAAACTAGCCTTATCCGGTATCGAGCCGAACGGAGAAAGCCGAGCTCGGCTTTCTTACCGCTGCCGCTGCCGCTATCCACGGCTCTGCATTATCTTGGTGTAATAGGAGAATCTATTCTCGTCCGTCATTGTAGCCACCCCCTGTGCGGCACCGAAGTGCGAAACAGCAGGCAAGGCTGGGGAACAGCTACGGTGGAATAAAACAATCCACCCTTTGGCTTCTCCCATATCACCCTTTTCATGGGGTGGAAGGGGGTGGAGAGGGGAGGATGAGACGGGGGAGTGATACGGAGAAGAAAGGACTACTCTGCCCTTCTGTTCCGAAGTCCCTGGAGTATATGCCCATCCCCAGTTTTCTGCAGCGACAGAAACACCTTGATGGACGCATGGCTTAGGACGGCCTGGGGTCTCTGCGAAAGGGGACCAGGCCCGAGGGAGAAGAGAGTACCAACCCCCTGGCCGGCCAACCGGAGAAGTAATAACTGCGCCGAGATATCCCACGTCCAAGAATATGTCCCCAGATGATCCTGCTTGCATCACCATCATTCAAAACTCGACCTCTTCTAATATTCGGGTACTCCCGATATTCGCCTAGAATCGTCGCCGCCGGCTCCGCCACGACTTGAGTTGCCGTCACGGGGATAGAGGATAACATTGGCCTCGGTTCCAACCATGCCCCCCCCCCCCCCCCAAAATACCGACCTGCCGCGATATAGGCCCCAATCCGGTGTATTCGGTGAAGTCATTGTGCTCAGTGCAACAGCGAGTGAAGGTCCACAGTTAGCCAAAGGTCTTAATCTCGGTATCTCGACACTCCAGGATCTGAATTCTCGAGCCATCATCGATCGGCCCTCAGTCTCGACAGAAGGCGGACCATCAGCTCCGGGCTCGTTGATAATAACACACTCTCAAGCTGACTCAAGGTAGGACATATTCGCAGTGGCGGGTGCCGCATACAACTCCCACCAGGCCCTGATAAATCAGGGGCAACGTCGTGCAACACTGGCACAAATCATGCTTATAGACGAATTTAGAACCTATGTTTCTAAGATGAATCTAGATCCAGGCCCGTGGAGTGCGAACACCGGATGCGCAGGCGAGAGAAAGGGGTGGCTGGAAATAGCCATGCTCGGCGGGTTCACGACCGTCAGCCAAGCAGGCGTGGATCGAGGCTCAACAACTCATCAGTCAGTCTTGGCCATTACAGTGTTAGAAGCACATTGGTCGAGGACTCTGCTAAACAGTCGTCCTTCGCGTGTCCTGCTGACCTGATGGTCTCTATAGGGACGAGTTGGAGCGCCGAAGAGCTCGTGATACTCTTAAGGGGATCATGCATGGAGGATGGCCGCCTTCGCGGCCCTGTCAGGACAACATATGTATCGCCTGAGAGAAAAGAGCCTGAGGAATCCGAGTTTTGCTGGAATCGGGCTTGGTCTTGTGTAAACCACAACAGAGACGATGGCCCTCGAATTGGACAATCGGGTCAGCATGTTCATGATATCTCGTCTTTCCTTACTTGAAGTATGGATTGGACTCGACTCTGAACAACCGATGGCTACATCACATCGACCCTCATTCTGGTCGTGACATGGCCCTTTCTCCAGCAAACAATGTCCAATCAGCAGGGATTGATCAATATATATCGAACCCCAATGTAGATGCGAATACTGGAAAATGGCTAGGTAGTGGGGATCTCCCTTGGAAACAAACACACGTCGCCGCCCCAGGTCTCATCACGTCGACGACATTTGAGCCGAGACGGTTTCGCATTGCTGCGGAGAAGGAAGAGCGCTCCCGACCTGGCGCTATTGTCTCCATGTTGCGGTATTTTAAATCAGGCTGCCGAGAGAGTCCCATAACCAAGTCGAGCATGATGTGGACAGGAGTTTGCAAAAAAGTGAAGCAGTGAATAAGTTTGACAGAAGCCTGGATTCATGCCCCGAGGGCATTTACAGGTGAGGTTCCGTTCTTGGTAGGTGAGCATGTTTGCGCTCTGTTGCAGAGCAAGTATCGGTACTTCCAGGGGGCATGGCGCTATCGATTCTTGAAATGCCCTAATTGGAAGGAGAGCCTGGAGATCAACAAGGGTCAGACACCCATCCACTGGAAACAAGCAACTGGACCGTCTTGCTGGTAACAATGCGGCCGACTGGGTAAGAGGTAGATAGTAACATTCAGCCCAACTTAAATTTCCTACATATTGTGCGTCTTCCGTACCTACAGCGGGATTTATTTTGGTACGCTTCTAGGTCACTTTGTATGTACCTCGGCAGGCAATGCAACGCTTTTCCCTTCGTTAGTGACTGGAAACGCAGACCGCCAAGAACTTACACCCCCACATGAGCACGTTTCTGGGTCTCACGAACCTGCTCATAATCCAACAAAAAGGACCTCCATGACCCCTCAAGTTTGTGCAGACAGTTGTTGGTTCCAGTCTTCAGTCTTTTCAATGCGAATGCATTTGGTATCTTGCGCAAACCCGCTCGAGCCACAGTCAACTTGAGGATATATAGAATTGCACGCCACGGCCATCGCAACTCCCACGGCTAAACTGGACTTTTTAATATACGGACGAAAGGGCTAGACCACTCAAGCTGAGCGCACTGAGAACCGGAGCCTCCTTCGCGTCACCCAACGACCACATACCTATTTCACTCCTGCCGAGACTTAAAAGTCTCCCCCTGGCTTCTCGTCTCATCCCCTCGAGGGGCCCAACGCTCCTTCAGGAATTGAGTATCCGCCCAACTTAGGGGGGTTCAAGTTCGAGGAGGCCGCAACCACAGCCAGCAACATGGCTCACTCACACGGCGGGTCCGATGGCATGGCCGGCATGGATGGCATGGGCAGCACAGACGGGTCGACCGGATCGGCCGACTCAATGGTGATGACCATGATGGCAGTCTTCCAGACCAACATCGCAACCTCCCTCTTCTCGACGCTATGGACGCCGGCCAACGTGGGCGCCTACGCGGGCACGTGCATCTTCCTCATCGTGCTGGCGACCATCATGCGCGGCCTGCTGGCCGTCAAGGGCTGGACGGAGGAGCGCTGGCTGGACCGGGAGCTCAAGCGCCGCTACGTCGTCGTCCAGGGCCGACCCGCCCTGTCCGACGGCCTCGCGCGCGACTCCCTCTCCAAGCGCATGGTTCTCAGCGAGAACGGCGTCGAGGAGGACGTCATGGTCGTCGAGAAGCACAAATACCACCAACGGCCGTGGCGCTTCAGCGTCGACCCGGTGAGAGCACTTCTGGACACTATCATTGCTGGAGTCGGCTATCTCCTGTGAGTCCTTGAATCGCGAAAGCACATGCGCGTTGGGTGGCGCTATTTGCTAACTCGGATTCTCCTTCTAGCATGTTGGCTGTCATGACCATGAACGTTGGCTACTTCATGTCTATTCTCGGGGGCACGTTCCTGGGGAGCGTACTCTTCGGCAGATACAACCTCACCTCGGCACATTAAAGTCCTGGGTGCCAGGGCATGATATTGATCAGTTTATTCATTTTACGAGCGTGTTAGCCACCATTTGTTTTATTGGAGTATTGTTTGGTCTCTGTGGATATCAATTGGGTGCTGGAATGCATCGCATGGTATCACTGTGCTGGTGGGGAGGAGAGATAGAATTGAGTATGGATACCCCCATGGAGAAACAGATGGGCTACGATCAAGGAGGCATAAATGACATCTGCTGCATTGGTCGGACGAGAGTTGAGAGCCTGACCATATCTTCTCCCATGTTCTCTCACGAACCTGAACTCTGGCCCGCCTCGATCACCTTACTTCTCACCGCATTCGAAGCTTTTTTGGTAGTGCGCGGGAAGTACGAAGTACCAGTACCTGGTGCGGGAATGGCCCGTGCAGAAATCTGCTCAAACCCGCGCAAGCCAACCAGGCCCTGGCTGGTTGCCCCACGCCTCGCCCCACCAAGACCCAACTCCTTGGTGCTCACTCAATTTCGAGCGAGGGAGCCGCATCATGATTGCGCATAATACGTTCTGCAACGATTGGCTTGTGTCCTGACCTGTCTTTATCTATTTTGGTCTCCCAGACCTCTGTCTGATGTAAGCTCTCGACTCCCCGTGAATGCCCTGGGGCTTCGATATAATGTTTCGTCGACTCGCTTTTTGCCGGGCCTCGAGATGATAGTCCACGAAGATTTGGTTTCCTGTCGTTTATGGAGGAAGTATCCTTTCCCTTACCTTTCCAGTCCTTTTCGCCTCTATCTCCCATTTGCAGCAATATCTCTGCACTACTGGATTGTCCTGCTCGCCAGTCGCGGTTGCATAGACATCCATGGTCGATGGAAGCTGTCATCGCTCCCCATATGATCTCTAGGGGCACGGGGATGTCTACTAGTTACCGGATGGGACTGCTCCCACAGCAGTCCTAGAGTCGAGTTTGGCAGGTGGTACAACGGCCGTTCTTCCAGTGGGAGATGCGCATGTTGACAGATGACCTTGAGAAGAGGATCCATTCAGGCCCTGACCCTCCAGCGAGACCCTTCCAGCAGTTCTCCGGGTAAGTGACGATAGGTTCAGGAGTTGAAATCCTCAACGGTGCGTGGCCAAGCTCAACCGGTTTGCGTTTCATTGTCGGCCACAACGGCTGAAGGTGCAGAAGTCAGATCCGAATCTCTTTATGGTGCCCGATTATACGGAACCCCTTGGTCAGTCTTCGGCCGAGATGATTTCTTCTTTCCCCGTTGGGAAAGGAGAAAGACTCGACTTCTACGACTGTCCCATGTTTCGGTATACACGCTGTACCATCCTGACGCAAGCACGCATTGGAGCCTTCGGAGAGATTCCAAGCATAGCCCACTCTGGCAGCCGTTCTTATTCAGTCAGACGCACAACTTTGTACCACGCATTATCGGCAAATATTGCGGGAGTCAAGCTGATGTTGGCTCGTGGGCAACTTGATACCTCGCTGTCTACCAACTCATGTGCATGGCTTGGCATGTAGCAGACCTTCTGGACGACAGACGGCGGCTCAAATAGATTGCCGCCCGAGATGCCTAGCTCGCGCCAAGGTACAGTCACTCCATCCGCACTTCACATAAATTACTTTGCTCCTGCGAGAAGTTCGAAGTCGATCCGTTCCGTGAACCCCATTGTCAGAAGAGAACCGATACTTGGAGCCTCAATTCCAAGAGTGACCCGTTCCCTCCAACCAGTCAAATGCAGGAGGTGACAGACTGCTACCAACCCTACGGACGCAGTTATTGCCGAGTGGTGTATTTTTTCATAGGATATGTACACGTAGGTGAAGCCTCCAAACCGGATAGTCAGTCATATAGTTAGAAAGAAGCGTATTTCTCCACACTTGACCACTCTGCTCAGACAAGTTACTGGCTTTCGGGCCATTTAGCTCCAACGTCCGGGCGACATCATCGTGCCGCCCATCAACGAGGCGGCACAGCCGCGGCCGCAGTAGCTGCCGCGGTCAGGTGCTCCTGTGTGCGTGACGGCCGGTCCCAGGCGCGACACAATCCGATCTACCTATGCAACGATTCCAGCCTCACGGTCGGAACGCGGGGCGACCTGCCTTACCAGGCAAGGCGTGCGGAGCCCAGATCTGGGGAAAAAGAAGCTTTTGGCGGCCGTTTTATTTTTATTTTTACAAAACGTTCTGTCCGTCATGGGAGAAAAGAGAAAAGAACCTCCCGCGCGGCTGCTCCCGTCGGCGCCGCGCCGGTCTGCGCCCCTCCCCGGGAAGCTTTGTCTAAAGTTCGTGCATCTCTTCAATCCGGATCTGTACAAGATCGGAAAACCTTTTTTTTTTTCTATTCTTCATAGGGCAAAGCGCCGGGGGTTTGAAAATCGCTTTCCCTGGCCTAAACCGAGTTGAGCTAGGGCGCGCCTACCCTACACCACACTATTTACCCCGTGCCATACCTACCTGGATTAGGTAGGTAGGTAGCAGGGTAGGTAACAGAAACGCCGGGAGTGGAGAACTTCGGTGGATCGAGAGGTATCGAGGATGGATCTCGCCGATCGCACGCTCGCTCGATCATACCCATCGAAAGTGGCAGGGCAGATCTCGGGCCTCGGGGAGTGCCGTCGTCAGGGCTCCTGCCGTAGAAGGCGGCGGAAGCGCAACAGAACACACGACATTTTTGACATAAAAAACAGCAAGGGGGGACCTGTGTATTTTAGGAACGTTTCATTACGAGTATGACTTGTCGTCTATGGGAAAGGATGCCTGCCATCTATCATACAAAGTGCCGAGGTATGGTATCTTCAGTTCCCCCATCTTGCAGATGTCGGAACGATCGCGGGCGACGTGCAGGAGACGGTGAAGTGAGCTGGACGAGTGAGCCATTAAAATCTTGGGCGGACCGCGAAGATGAGACTGAGCTGCGTGCCGCAAACGAGCCCTACTGAATTAGCCTGCCAGCTCGAAAAGTTGAAATAATCGTGCCTCGCAAAACCATGGAGCCCCCCAAACCCTAACCGTCCACCTGAACCCTCAATATCGTGACTTCATGCCTGCCGTCCTAGCTCTCCAGTTTTCAGACGATTAAAGGAGGCCACAGGAAAGCCCGCCACCCAGATATGCGAACCACTAAAACACCTCCCATCACACGTTGGGGTATGCGCAGACGAGTCGCCTCCGTAACCAGCCGCTGGGAGAACGCTCATTCCGTCTGAATCCCATCGCACGAGCTCTCCCCTCGAAAACCCCCTTTATATCCCTCGCTGCCCAGAAGCGGCGATGGCTGAAATGCAACGGCGCACGCTGCTGAGCAGGCCAGAAACAGCGCGCCACCGTCCAGAAACCGCCCGTTGGTTACCTCCAGGAGTAGGATATGCACGAAATTGAGTGCATATAGAACCAGATGATCGCCAAGAAGAGTAAGAACGAGTAAGGACCGGGTAAATGTTATAAAAGGATGGAACGTGCACCTAATACCGCATCGAAACGCCTGGCCACCAAAGCCTCGCAGATTATGGGGCGTCAAAGACGATGCCCAGATAGAGTAAACGTTGTCTCACGAACGCATTAAGCTGGGTATCAGCGCGTAAGGCAAAGCCACGGCAGAAGTGGGACATTATGACTGGTGAGATGTGTGTTGCTGGAGGCCTGGCTGGGGCATCGAGTACTGCGGCGCGCCTCGAGTTTGTTGCACGTAATTCGAGTACGCAAGCGGATCCATGGGAACATTTGCCATGTAGTTGGGAGGCATATGGTTCGGCGGCATGCCCGGCCGTGTCTGTTGAGGAGGGAGATGCGCGTTGGCGGGCTCTTCGGGTGACTCGACCTGATTCGAATCGTCGACACCATTCTCATTCCCTGCGGCTGGCTCCGGGGCGTTAAGGCAAGCCTGACGCGCGCAATTAGATCCCAGAATCCGACATCGACAACACTCGCGACACAATGCGCATACCTGAATGAGATTTTTGCCCTCGGCCTTCGTGACAAGCGGCTGGAGCTTGGGTGTCGTAAACGTGTAGACCAGACCAGTCTCCGACACGACGAGAAGTAGGACTTGTGTGCCCGTGAGAACAGACAGCTCGTAAGCCTACGTGGACAGGGAAAAGACCATGTCAGCAACTGCCGTGTTGAGGTCGCGACCGGGAAGAGCCACAAGACGAATCGCGGAATGTATTGTTGACAACGCGCCAACGTACCTTCTTCATGATGCCGGCTTTCCGCTTGGAGAAAGTGATGTGCCGACGCGACTTGTCGCTGATGAACTTGATCTCAATCTTGCGGCGCTCGCGGCCGCCCTTCTCATCATCGTCGTCGTCATCGTCGGCAGTGCTTGGCCGCTGGCGCTTTATGCCGCGATTCTCGGGGGCGGCGGCGGGATTGCCATTGCCTTGCGACTCGTCGAGTTCGGTCGGTGATGTTTGGTCGTGCTGATCTGTGATGTCGGCCATTTTTCAGGTGCCACAAATATCGAAAAAAGGCAAGAGGTGGTGGAGATGCTGTTTTGAGCGTTGTGCCGATGGCCTATACTTGATCTGGAGGTGAGCGGAGGCTCTGTTCTGTAGTTGCCTCTTGTCGCAGAAACCTGGTTGGGCGTTGTCTGTATTGAGTCTGGTGTGCCGACGGAAGGAAGCGAGGAATCAGGTTTAATTTTTTTTTTACTTACCTACCTATTTGCTTTGTTTGACTCGGGGGACGGGCCAGGTATTTCGCGTGTGGTATGCACTGGACTGGGGCTGTACGGAGGTACCGATGGAGCAGGGGAATCTATCGGCAAAACCTAGAAATGTGATACGCCCAAATTCGAGATCACTCGTGGCGCGGAAGTTGAAAGTGATTATTTAGGTCAAGGGCGATCGACTGAATCTGAATGTGTCAAATACGCTTTTGGGTCGCAATTCCCTGATCAAGAAAAGGCAGCGAGACTCAGTTAGGGGTGGAGAGGCTAGGTGACCACAAAATGATTGAAAAGAGGATAGTGAGATGGTGGTAACACACCAGGCGTGGGACACAACCAAAGTGTTAAAAAGGGAAGGCGGGGGGGGGAGGTGGCGGTCTTGGCCTAGGATGGAAGTTCAAGGGGGGGGAAAGAGGAGAGGAGGTTGGTGCTTTGGAGATGGGAAGGAGGGCTAGAGATGTATTGTCCCACACGAGGGCTACCATCAACACCACTAGATCTACGGTGTAGCGGGAGGTCATTTAGCATCATAGTCTACTTAGCACAGTGTCTAAACCACACTAAGACTGCTGTTGTGCTAGTGGTGGCTGCAGTTGACACTGTCACGTCCCACAACCTCCTGGGTTCCAGACGCCGGATTATGGGGACTTGTTTCGAGCACTCAGGCAGGGTTCTGAGTAGTTGGTACACTACTATGTACTCGTGTAGGGAACCGAGGTAGGGAGGAGTGACCTTCACTATGATCTAAATGCCTGCTGAGGTGCTGCGCTTCCAACTGATGCTCGCAATGCCTTTTGTTCCCTTGAGTAAGGGAACTTGTACGTATTGTCAGAGTTTGCGCAGCCGTCAGTCGCGAGTTGCGACTTGGCGCCGTTCCGTTGCCTGAAGTCCTGGCAAGTAGTGGAAACGGTGTTGGCGGTTTGGCCAATTTTAGCTACTCCAAGGAGCAGGGATGACAGAGGTATAGCAGACAAACGATATTACCAAGCGACCCACAGGGGGCCAAAGAGGGGGCAAATGATAAATGGTCAATGGGCAGAGTGGGGCAAAATATGGCCCAGAGATCACGAAACGCCCCGATGCAATTGGAGGCGTCACGAAGCTGACCACCTTGGTGGAGAGGCAGGGTCAGGTACCTAGGTACCTACTAGGCTAGGTATTTATGTACCTCTGTATATTAGGTAGGTGAGGTGCATTACCAAGTGCATCTCCATGCTGGCCACAGCAACCTGTTCGGATGATAGCTGGGAAATTATGGATTCAGAGCTATCTGGTTGTGTGCATGTTGTAAAGTCTCCGGCAGAGCTCTTGCGCCTGCGAACTGCGGCAACGGAATGTGGGTGTGGTGGCGCACTGTTCCGACGGCACTGCCAACGGCAGCAAGGCTACGAATGCACAACAAATCATCGTCCCCGTCTTTGTGCAGATAGACGGGGGTCGGAGCTCAGAGCCAGCCCCGCGTACCCACCTGTACTACATAGTAAGTGCACCTAGTGCAGCGTAATTAAATCCGAGCTGAAGACGGTGTAGTACGGGGTAAGGAAGTACCTACCTCGCGAGTCGCGTTCTTGAACGCCTGGTGCGGGGGTTGGCGAAGCCATAACCAGAACTGCGAATATTGGGGTTGTCGGCAATGCTTGTTGTTACCGTCAGTCTATACGTACGCAGCAATTATATCAGTAATGAAATGAATGTGCCTGCCACATGGACTGCTGAGCTAACTGACCGAGGCTAAGGCGGAAGGCTCATCCTTCGCATTAAAGATTGGTTCTTTGCAGGGGACCAAAGCGGGGGGTGAACCATGGACGAGATGAGGGGAGGGGCCCTTGGACTGGCGTGAGGGAACGGGAACTCAGCAGCGCTTGCGTTCAGGCCACTGAGATGGGAAATGAGACGACCTAGGTCTCTAGCCTTTCATGGGCGTAGCCCATACCAAATGGGAACTGCTGCCGACACGAGGATGTTGGTGGAACTGACGGGTCTTCTTCCACTTTGCGGTACCTTAGTCAATCGTAATGACGCGAACAGAATGGGCGATCTCGTGCAGTGAGCCCTAGAATCAAACGGAACCTGAGATAAAATTCCCCGCCGCTTCCTCAGAGGGGAAAGGCGCGTCAGTTTGCCTCAAACGGGGGGTACTTGCCCTCCAAGTACCTTACAGTGAGTGCATATGGATTAGGTACCTAGGTACTGCCTGCTTACCTACTCCGCAAACCCGGGCAGCCCCGATCAATGATCTCGACATGAGGATTGTCCCTTTATTTTCAACGGTTTATGAGAAGCTACATCTTTAAGTCCACAGTTCGCTTGTAACGAGTAGGTCGCAAGAATACGGCGCCTTGCCAGAAAAAGGGCAAGTGCAATTTGCTGAACGAGTAACTGGTGGGGAGCTTTCTTCTTATGGAATGTTGCCGCGTTTTCATTCGCTGATACAATTCCTTCGGCTGCCTCGGCCAAAGTCAAAAGCATGGGGCTTCATGGGTGTTGGAATGTGCTGTGGTGCACTAAAATTGGGAGAGCCATTCCGGAAACAGAAGTGGTTGTCACATGGCGGACACTTTGGGCAGGGCAGTGTCGAACTTACCATAGGAATCCCGTACAGCTGTCGGACTGAGTGCCAGTCTGACATGGTTGGGCACGGGGTGTCTTCATCTTGGGAAGCTCAGGAGTTGTCCTCGATACGCCAACGTACACGCAGGCGTCGAGAGGGTCCCCCCTTCTATCAGACTACTCAGTCGGAGGTAGTCATGATTTCTAGATTTTCATTCTCGCTTGACTGGTTTCCGACTTCTGGTCCCACGGACCGAGTGCCATGACCTTTGCGTCTGTCTTCGGCGGTTGTCCTCGGATCTCGATTTATGTTTGGCTTTGCCAATAGGTTGTGAGGCTGATATCAATAGTTAACCGACATCATGATAGATAGCATGGAGCCCAAGGACTAGGTAGCTGGTAGCTACCTAGGAAGGTCCCAGCAAGCATTCACCGGCGTGGATTCCAGGAAGAACATGGCGGGAAACAATGGAGAATCGCTTTATTTTTGACCAGGTACCATGGCAGCTTTAGGACAACAATTGCTAAGCACATATTAAGCCCTCTGGGTGAGGCTCAAGTCCAACTTGATTCGAGACTTGAAGAGTCGAGTTGATCTTCAAAATCGTTCGATTTTGAAAGTGCATGTGACGTCTGATTGGCTGAGACAAGCTGATCCCCAGACTGGGGGCTGGCACTGCTCGCCTCTTGGCTCGTGCGCGTCTCGAGGCTTCGTTAACTGTAGCCGCATCACCATGTCTCCCGACATGATCTGAAACGACATCTGTCGGAGATCGTCAATCTTGACGAACTGGGAGCCCTTTGAAGCTTTCCTGCGACTCCTGGTGCAAGGCTTCGCATCGCTCTGGTGGGGCATTCATTGGTTTCTGCTTCGTTTCTCTTACCCTTGCTGGAAAGGGGTTAAGCGTGCTTCTCGTTCCACACTCTTTCTCACCTCATACCTTCTCCTTCCTCCCCCTCTGGCTTCAACTGTGTTGGAATAGGATAGCTGTGGTTTGTGTGCCTGGGCGCTTCCAGCCTTGCATCTTCTTCTTCGCTTCGTCTTCTGCCCTTCTTCCCTTCGAATATTCTGCCACTCCGGTAACCTTTACTCTGTAATCCGAGTTATCGTTCCTTTCCTTTTCGCATAACCCCTTCGTCCGTTGCCTCTGGTGTGGGGATTACGAGGTCGGTCTCGCTCCCTTGGTCCGCTCACGCCTCTCGACGAGTCCCCGCCGCATTTCGATTCGAACTCCGCCCAAACAAAGACGCCGGTCGTCGAAAACTGCATGCATATCGTATTTTCTTAATTCAAGAGGAGGAAGAGGCTATTTCCAGGTGGAATCCGGGAGGGGCAGCCGAGTCTCTCGAGGCAGAAAACAACATTTTGGGTTCTAGGCTGCTCATCAAAGCACGGACGAGATGGCAAACAAGGTGTTACTGGCATATGTGGTGGCCGATGGCCTCTTCGTCATCATGGGAGCCATCATGCTAGGGTTCTCAATTGTCGTCCAGAATACCATGTTTGAGACGCCAACCGCAGGCGGCCAGGCAGCGCGAAATCTGCTGTACCAGAGATTCCCTCTCACAGGTTCGTCATGACCCACGGCGTGTATTCGGCCAGACGCACGCAAAGGGGATGGTGTTGGCCCCGAACGAGACTAACAACTGAACGCAGCTGGCATCGCCAACGCCGCCTTCATATTCGTCACCTTCCTGCTCACGATTCCCGCTGTTACCATGCCCACACGGGGCTGGCTTAAGGTGGGCGGTGGAATGGTTACGATCTCCGCTTTGTTCAGCCTGGTCATCGGCCTGTATTTGTGGATCCTCACCCTGAAGACGAAGCAGGACATGTCTGCTCTGTGGATCGCGCAGTCGGCCGAGGTCCAGGAGTTGATGCAAACCCAATTCAAGTGCTGTGGCTACTTCAACAGCTCGTCACCTGCCTTCGTCACCAACCCTACATGCCCCAGCCCCGCCGCGGCAGCACTCATGCCCGGGTGCTCGACCCCGCTCACGTCCTTCGCCAACATCTTTATCGACAACATCTTCACTGCCGTCTTCGGTGTTGTTGGTATGTACGGGGATTTTGTATCCCCCCCTTCGTTATGGTTGACCTAGTTGAAGTTTCTAACCAAGAGTGCGCTAGGCATCGACTTTGTCTTCGTCATGGCAACCGCGTGCCTGCTCAAGGACCGCAAGGAAAGGGAACGCTTCCGCCATATCGATGAGAAGGCTGGGCCCATCGGTACTCTGTAAGGGGCCCTGCAGCCCTTCTGACCATGTGTGGGGAAGGTCTACGCAGTTTCTTTCCAACATGAAGAAAGAGAGCAAGCATGAGGGATACAGTTTCGGGATGCTTGACTGTTTATCTGTCGGATGTCGACAGAAATTTATTGGAGCGTTTTGGATATGCAGGACCCCTCCACCTATCCGGACGTCTCGCGGGTGGCCAAGTCGTGTGCTCGCTGGTATTCTGTGTTCGCTAGATGGATTCGAGTTCTGTAGTGAAGGCTTCTGAGCATTGTCCGTTTCGCTTTCCCCCCATTTTCTTGTCATATTCACTTATTATTGCTCCCACTGCTCTGTATCCCAGCTGAGCATAGCCCTGTTAGACACGGAGGTATAGAGTGCGTATATATATTTTCTGCAATGGACATGATCACAGTCACAGATGACACCGGTAGTCTGCGGCGTTTTCTGTTCTTCGATTGTGAAACCAACCTGTTCACAGTCGCAGTGTTGAAGACCGACATCCACAGTGATGAACTATCCTAGCTCTCTCCTGCGTTATATTATTGTGTCCTCGACTGTGTATACGCTACCGATGCGTGTAAATGGTAATGAAGCCAACATTAGCAAACCGATAAAACACAAGCCATCATGTACACCCAAGCGTGCTCGCTCTTATACAGGGGAATCACCATTAACGCTTCGGCTCCTCGAGCCCCCGCTACCACTCCCACCCCCACCGCTCCCGCTCCCGCTCCCACCCCCGTACCGCGCCTGCCCCGGTCTCCGGCCCGGCGACAACTCCACCTCCGGCCTCGGGAGATCAGCGACAGCGCTCCCGGCCTGGCCCGCCGAGGCCTCGGGGTCGTCGTCGTCGCCTACCCTATTCTGCTGCTGCTGCTGCTGCTGCTGCCGCTGCCACCACCGCAGCCTCCAGAGGCCGCCCAGGGCGTCGTGGAGCACGCCGCCGCCGGCCCCGGCGCTGCTCTTCCGCCGCGTCGCCTTGCGCGCCGTGAACCCCGGGAAGCCGGTGGACTTCCTCCTGCGGCGGAACGCCTTGCGCGCGGCGGGCGGTCCTTGTTGGTCGGCCTCCGCGGTCTCGGGGACGGATGGGGGCATGAGGCTGCCACCGCTCGTGCCTCGGCGGGGGTGGAGGAGGAGCGGGGTGGACTCGCTCCGTGCTGATGGCAGTGCGCTGGACCATCTCCTGTTGATGGTGGGTGAGGGCGAGTCCGGGGTGTCTCTGTCCTCGAGCTCGCCGAGGATCTCGGCCCTCTCCGTCCATCTGGGGGTGGATACCTTCATCGACGGGACCATCGACTTCTTCCTTGCCGGGCCCATTGGAGATGCGTCTTCGCCGTTCTCTGTCCGGCCAAATGTGCTGTACGAGTACTGCGTTGGGAGCAGGTTATCCTCGTCGCCTATGTTGGAGCTGAGGAGGAGCTCCTCCTCTTCCTCCTCGCCCTCAGTGTCCTCCACAAGACCGAGGCCGGGGGTGAGGGTTGACTGGCCTACGGCAGGGGGGTGCTGCTCGTCGCTGAGGCGCCAGGATAGCGCGAGGACGCCAGATAGGAGGATGACGGTTCCAAGGGTAATGAGGCATGCTCGAAGCGGGGAGATGAGGTCGGTCTGGTGGAAGTAGATGAGTCCGTCGAGGATAGCGATGATGTTGTAAATGCAGAAAACAAGGGGGTATAACACAGATGTCGAAACCAGCTTTAGACCTCGATGCAGGTAGTAGAGCTGTATGAGCGCCAAAATAACCAAGCCAAGAACCAGCATCCAGGATTCCCAATGGACGAACTGGTTGTCGCGGTCTGTTATTGTCCTCATAACCAGCTCTACTGCTGACTTGGCAAGGAGCAGCGCGTGGGCTGACAAGATGCCGCTGATAGAGCCGTAGGCCAGCCCCCGAGCTAGGCGGAAGCGCGGGTTCTGAGAGTGTTTTGTGAAACGGTTGGTGAGATCAGTGGCCACAGCTATCCCGACCACCAACACAGCTTGGAATGACATCCACAGCACGAACGACCGCCGGCCCAGTAGCTCCAGGAGCTCCTCCAGCTTATGCGCTGGGGAGGGAATCGCCCCAAACACGGCGATCAGCACAGCCCCGCCGCAGACCAATAGCGTCCCCCATAGCGACCATCTCGTGAACGGCTCTCCGAGTATGAGGGTTGCGCATATTGAGTTGAACACCAGACCAGACGCTTGCAGCGTTGACAGGACCGGTAGAGGGAGCATGGATATCTGCACGGTGCTCCCCAGGAGATTGGCGACTATGAACATGCCCATGCCAAGCTGCCACCTCCTCCGTCGATGTGGCGGTCGGCGGACATCGTGCGGGTCTTTTTCGTCTTCGAGGATATGCGACTTGCGCTGGAGGGTGAGGCCGAGGCTCTGGACGCTGGTGGAAACGAGGCCGACTATGATCCCAAGCTGTTCGTCGTCCCACGATCAACGATTAGCAAGGCTGCATCCCATCTTTGAGAGAGGAGATTGGGCGTGTCGTGGCTTACGGCAATGCTTCCTCCGGGAGACAAGCCGCCAAGGGTGCCCATTGCGCCGCCAGAAGAGCGGTCATCTGGCGAAGCTAGAAGCTTTGTTCTCCGTATGCCCCCAGCTATTCCATCCAAGATCCAGACTGCTGTGTATGTTTATTTCTTACGAGTGGGCTAAATAAGTTGGTCAAGTGGTCGTCGAGCGAACTTGTTTGGGCTGCTAGGATCCTTGGTGTCGATGACGGCACTTCGGGCGGCGCTTCGAGGTTACAGTCTCTGGAATGTGTAGCGGGCAGGCGCAAACGTCATGAAACAAGCCGGCACCATCGGTCGTCGCCGCTGGGGGTTTGTAATCCCAGTGAGAGTTGCTAAAAGATATATACAAGTAGCAATCTCCAGAATGTTTGAAACGTGCACGGGATGCTAGGTATCTTGGGCCATGCAGGGATACCGGAGAGATACTTGGCTCTCGAAGCGACGAAGTGACCGCTGGCTGAACGACGTGGTCAGCTGACAAGCCGCTCCCGCCTCAAGTTTGGCAAGTGGCAGCCCCCCCTGTCACCCGACCACACTGGAGGACGGATCACCTCCGTATTACTATGGTTGACTACGACATTGCGTTGGCCCCGATAAGTATTTCAAAATAATCAAATTGAGGTTATGAAAGTTTTGTTGATGCATTTCTTCAGGCGCAAAGAAGTTGACATCAGTGGGGTTAGCTTCATTTTTAGGCACCTACAACTGATTGCCTCTCCTCCCCTGACACTCAGAGATGTCAAAAAGAAAAAAAGCACAGCCAGGGCCTCAGTCCATGCTCGCCCAGCACCCTTCCTGGTCTCCGGTCCGACAAGCACTCATGACCTGCGGTATCGGCTACGAAGGGTTAACTGTGGAACTGAGATCGCAATGTCGAAAACTTGCGGCGAGCAGGAACACAGTGCATGGAAGAGGAGACTCCTCCATGCTAAGCGATAGACGCGCGCTCTGACACTCTACCTAGTACCCGTAGCCAAGCCACTGGGGTTAAGGATCCCGTCTACTACCTGCCCCAGGAACCCTCTCCGTCCCGCGTTGAGGCAGAGTTCGCCGTGAAAATGGTGCCGAGCATGGACTAAGCGACTGGGCGTTGTACACGTCGCGATGCCCTGGAGCTCAAGGCTAATGACACAGGTGCCTCACGACGGCTCGGCCTTTCGAAGCTGCATTTCGTTGTTGATGGATTCCGTTATCCGAGGTGCATAACAGCGACGGCCGACCTTCGTACATTGAGAGTCCGATAGTACGACCCTTCCTGCTAACCCGTTACAAAGCCAAGTCAACGACTTCTTCGTCAACCGCCCTTTCGCCGCCTAGGCCGATTCTTCTTTGACACCCCTTTTGGTTTGGACGCGTCCAATGCGCCGCGGCTCTTGAGTCCTCTCTTCGTCGCCGTCGAGGGTTTTGTGTCTTCTGCAGATGGAAGAGGCATTGGCAGTCCCCCAGGCTTCGCGTGTGACCTCGAGAGGGACCCTAGTCGAGAAGTTTGGGGTGCGAGGGTCATCGCAGGAGCATTTCGGCACGCCGCAAGACGTGCGCTGCGACGAGGTCCTGGAGACATTGTCCGAGAGGTATCTACTGACCGAACTACACCTCTGGCTGGAGACGTTTCAGTCTTGGAACCATGGGCTTCGTGTTGGTCGATCGCGAAGTTGGGTTCCGTACGCGTCTCCCTGGTCTCTGCCAGGACGTCTGTGCTGCTGCCTGATGTCGAGGCCAACTCCCGATGTTTCGAGTTTCTGCTTTTTGAGGCTTCGCTTCTCCTCGTGGTCTTCGTCAGTGGCGAGCCTCTTTTTCCTCGTGGCTCCATCGGGCCCGGTCTTGTCCGTCTCGCGCTTGGTCATCTCGGCCTCGATCAAGGGAGCTTGCTCCAGGACCCATTGCAGGAGAATGGTGTGGCGGGCAGCATCCCTCTTTGCACCCGTGTATCCGAATGTTCCTCGAATAAAATTTACGATGAGATTGTACCGTCTTTTGAGCGACTCCAACCGATCTTTTGCCGAAAACAATTTGGCCGTAGCATCGTCTATCATCGATATGCGTCGACCTGGAGAAGCGCGAGCGCCCTGGTTCCTTCTGCGTCAGGGTGTAGACCCTTAGGGCCTCCGATTTCGCCCTCTGCACCGCGTTCTTGGCCTGTTCCTTTTCTGCCTCCCCCCGCATCGCAGATGCGTCGGTGCGTATGGACTCATTGGTCTCACCAGGTCGCAACACCTTCAGGTCCACAAGGTCTTGCCAGGCCTTGTCGTGATCTGGCTTCAGGCGCTGGATAGTCCTAGTATACCGGTCGAGCCACCAGCACTCGAAGTTGAGGTATTCGATCCATGTCGTTAACTTGTCCTGTTGCGTAGGATCTTCGTGCAGTTGGAACGGCCGAGTGAAGTTGTGTTGTGCTAGGCGGCGCCTCACCGCCTCCACGTAGTCAGGGAACCCGTCACACCCATGTTCTCTGCAAAAGTATCGCTGCCGTTGCCGTTGCGCTTGCTCAAGTTCCCATGCCCACTTGAGGGATGACGGGTCAGCTTCAACCTCAGCTAACCATTTAGCATACCCATGCTCCATATATACTTTTCTTTCCTCAAGTTTTGTCCGCTCGACATACGATGGGAAGCCGCCATCATCTTCTTCAAGACCCCGGTTATCGTTTTGCCATTTGCGGAAATCCCGCCACCTCCTCAACTGCCTGTGGAACACCTCCCAGGGCTTCCTTGCTTCAAGAGGGTTTTGCCAAGGCCGCAGCATCTCGCGATACTCCTCTGCGGCCCTAGAAACCTGCCCAAGGAGATCTATCGGGTATAATGGGCGACCACCATCATTGACAAGGTCACTGTAAGCCTCAGACTCGATCTCTCTGCACACAACATCGTCGTCGAGGCCCGGAGTAGTGTTACCTGATCTCTCAAAGAATCGTGTTCGAGCTTGCGGCAAGGCACCGCTGCTCTCGGATACGTCACGTAGACGTGCGTCGAGCTTGTCGAGATCGAGCGGACGGGAACAAGCCGTAGAACTCTGGGCCAGGGCTCGTTGTTGGGCCCTAGAACATCATCAGCGAACAATAGGAGACGAAAAGTTGCACTGAGTGAGCAAGGGATGAGTGGCTCACTTCAGTCTTTCTCCGGGCTGGGTTCGCTCATTCTTCGACAGTTTATCCCAGCCGTTAACGGGAAGATCGTAGCCGCCGCCGGGGCGTCGGTTCTCTTTCATGAACTTGGCGAGCTCCGCATCGCTGAGGCAGCGATGTCATCCACAGACAACGTCGCAGGAGTCGGTTCTAGGGAAGCCATGTTGCCGTCGATTAGATCGGATCAGGCGCAAACGCATGACACGGACCGACGCCTGCGCTTGGGTAGGCAGGAAGAATGGCGGGCATTTTGAGGATGTTGGGCGACACAGTGGTCGACGATCCTCAGGCAGTAAACCAAACAGTGGTGGGGAACCTGCATGTTCCAACTTCCCAAGTGACTCAGGCGCTACACGGATCAATCAAATTATGCCTCCAACCGCTTCGTTGCCTGCAAATATAGCTTCGTTGGATATGGGTTGCTTGTTGGTATTGATGGAGGTTGCGGGCGAGGCTGTAGCCTCTGTCATGTCTACAATGCAATAGTAGGCTCATGCGCAGTTCCAGCTAGCACAATGTCCAACTTCTCTCCTCGGCCTCATCTTCCTACACCAGGTTGTCGACATGGAAGACATGGAAGACGTGGACCTCATTGCCCGTGTGTACCCCGACGCAAACATTCATTCGAATGCAACAAGGGCAATCAAGTCAAGTTCGCGCTATGTTGCATCGCAGCTTCGGGCTCCCAGGGTCCAATATGGCCGTCGTGACCGCGAGACAACAGAGCCGCTAGAGCAGACCAACGCACCGGCGTACTCTCACTTGCCTTGTCTTGAGCTGAGGTCAGCGACATCCCACGAACTGGCCGCGGAATCATCTTTGGACCGGGTCCGAGAAGTGACGTCGTTATGCCCGACAAGAGCATCAGCTACTGCCATTCCAGCCTCACGTTTGATGAAGACAAACGCCTCGTTGTCAAGGATTGGGGCTCTCTTGAGGGGACGGAGGTCACATACAATGGTGAAGGACAGGGCAAGCGAAGGAAATTCCAATGGATCGTTAGCGGTCATGGCGTTATCGAGGAGAAGGACAGCATTATCATCAACGTAAACCCGTTCATGTCGTTCCAGATCGTCGTCGCCAAACATGACATATCGTCTCAGGCATACATTGATAAGGTTGACTGGTTCTGTCAGGGCACAGCAACTACCGAAGACCTTTTGGGCGATCTCAACTTTCCAGACCGTGGAACCGAGCGGCCTACTGGAACCCACACCCCTGACACAGGAGCAATCCATCTAAGGAAGAGGCTTGGCGAAGGGAGTTTCGGCGTGGTCACTCATTTCTGGAACGTTAGTGATGGGAGCGAGTATGCCCTGAAGGAGCCTTCCGCGAAGGCTATTCGAAAGCGAAAGGTCAATGTTGATGCGTGGGCGAGGGAGGCTCGCATCATGGGTCAGATTTCGCATGTTTGTCTGGCCCCTGCCTCTCTACACCCTCTGTTCTCCAATGCCCCCAGCAGGACAATGTTGTGAAACTCCTCAATTACTTCTCGACACCACATCCCCAACTACTTCTGGAATATATGCCATGTGGGTCTTTGGAGGACCAGGAGAACATATCGGCTGACGAGTGTCTGTCGATTCGCTGGCAAGGCTTATGTGCCTTGACATACCTGCACAGCCACGAGCCGCCAATAGTGCATCGCGATATCAAGCCGGACAATATTCTCGTCCAGCACCGATTCCCAGGCGACATCTTTGTCAAGTTTGGGGACTTTGGGCTGCCACGGGACAGTTGCGACTTGTCGACCGTCTGCGGCTCCCAACACTACCTTGCGCCCGAGATTTACTGCAGATGGCAGTATATCAACTCTGGCGGCAAAGAGAGAACAAGCTATACTCCGGCTGTTGATGTCTGGTCTCTCGGCGTGGTAGCGTATTAGCTTATGTGCGACCTTTCACCATACCAGGAAAGGTATACAGATGCTGGGACCACTTGGTGCAAGAAGGTCGTTAAGAGATTCAAAGAGGACTGCAAGCAACGGCCCGACAGGCTGAGACGATTCCTGTTGGACGCCATGGTGGTTATATCGTCGGACTTGCGGTGCTCGGCCCAGGTCTGCTCTGACCAAGTCGCACTCCCGACCAGTGCAGCTGAGGATGGCTGTCAGACGCCGACGCCGGCTTCGTACGCCTACGGCGAGGAGCAGACGTCCCGGTACAATCCGGAGGACCGAGTTGCCGAGAACCAAGAGACCGTGCTCTGGCAGCAGGCCAGCCCTTCTGTGGACAACCATTCGACCACATCGACCGACACTAGCAGACCCATCAGATCAGACGCACCAACCCCCAAGTCACGTCCATCGGCCTCGAAGGCGACTCGAAAGAGGGCAGCGGCTATAAAGACATCATCATCGTCGTCGTCGTCGTCGGCAAGACGACAAACCAAGCGCCGAGAAAGTCGTAGCGGTCTAAGCGAGTCTATCCCTAGGCAGAAGCCGGAGCTGGCATGTTTTCTCGAGAACTACTCGGCAGATCCGTTAAATACGCTTTACGTCGGATAATCCCTAGTGTCATGGGGAGGTGAAGAGGAGCCAGAGAGTTGGGCAAACCAATCCTCGCACGCGGTGCAGAATCAGCCAGAAGACCTGGATGTGCAGACCGATCGAGGCTCAAGATTGGCGTCTCCTCGAGATAGGTCGAGCCTGCCACGAAGCCACGGTGATGACTGGCGTTTTGCGAATGGGGATCTTTATCGCTGGGGGAGGCGATTCGGACCCTTTGTTGGACTTGTATGCTGATGAAGAAATGACAAGGGCGGCAATAATGCTCCAGGCCATTGGCCAGGATTTAGGGCAGTATAGGCACGACGCTCCTGGTCGTGGAGACTTGACTTGAGAAGCTTAGGCCACGTATTTACTTAGTGTTTCAACGTGACATTAACACCGACGTTCTGTTTTTGGATGTGTAACTTGAGTTAGCCAACTCTTCCTACCATACAGATTTCCGGTACCTTGATTGAAATGTTCCCAGCATCCATATTCTGCCATAAATACCTAGGTACCTAGGTGTGGATCCGGTCGGCGGGATGGCGCACAGGCCGAGTTGCACCGGGCACGTGACGAGAATTGGCCCCTCCGTCACCTCAAGCTACCTGCGTAGGTACCTACCCAGGAGGTAGGAAGTTGAGCAATCGCCGAAGCATCCCAACAAAGAGAGTCCCGAGTCTCTTGCGACACGACCTTTAACTTCCCCCCGACCTGATCTACATGATCCGAGCTGCTCGGCTTCTCTTCATCGGCCGCTTGTTCTGGACCTGGACGCCGGCCCTCAAGCTCCGTTGATACCAGATAGTTCACAGCTCCCGCCATCATCATGTCGCAAGTCCACGCATTGTCCGACGACCAGGTAGGTGGAATAACTTGCCATGCACCCGCTGGAGCTTCCACAACCATCCTATCCAGCTCCATGAACCCCACATCCATCCATCTCGGTGCAGAGTGCTAACAAACCACCTCCCCCCTCCTTTCCCAGGTCGGACAAGAGCTCCGCAAGATGACGGCTTTCATCAAGCAGGAGGCGACGGAGAAGGCGCGCGAGATTGAGATCAAAGCCAACGAGGAGTTCGCCATCGAGAAGTCGCGGCTCGTGCAGCAGGAGACGGACGCCATCGACGGCAGCTACGAGAAGAAGTTCAAGCAGGCGACCATGTCGCAGCAGATCACGCGCTCGACCGTGGCCAACAAGACGCGCCTCCGCGTCCTCGCCGCCCGCCAGGCCCTGCTCGAGGACATCTTCGACGCCGCCGAGGCCCAGCTCGGCGACGCCGTCAAGGACAAGCGCCGCCACCGCTCCGTCCTCGCCGCCCTCGTCCTCGAGGCCGCATACGCCATGGACGAGCCCGCCATCCTGGTCCGCGCCCGGAAGCAGGACTACGACGTCGTGCGCAAGGCCATCGACGAAGCGACCAAGGAATATAGCAAGGCGCTGGGCAGGGACCTCAGTGCCACCATTGACGAGGACAACCCCTTGCCCGAGGGATGGTGAGTCTTTTGTTTTATTATTTCTATCTTTTATCCTATCCCCCGGTTTCCCAGTTCTACCATTGCTGCTATTATCCCTTCCCCTCTCAAACATCTATGGATTACATGGAGCTAACCAGCCCCTCAAAAAGCCCTGGAGGAGTGTCGATTGTCGGGGGTGGAGGCAAGATTGAGATCGACAACACATTCGAAGCTCGGATGCGGCTCCTGAAGGACAGCGCCCTACCCGCGGTTCGAGAGTCCCTGTTCGGCAAGAACCCGAACCGCAGATTTTACGACTGAATGTTGCGTTTCCTTCTCACGGCTTCGTAGATTCGGGCCAATGATATGTTCATCATCAGCATGGGTTGGACTGGCTGCTGGGAGTGTGCCTTGATTCTGGTGCATTTGCGATAACCGCCCGCTTGAATTGGGTGCGTCATTTTAGAATTTGTATGTTATATGTTGCCACACACGGTAATGAAGTCTTCCAAACACCCTGAACACCGCCCAATGCTTGAAGCATGGCGGCTGAGGATAAGCGATCGATATCGCCAGAGTGATGTCTGATTCAAGACCCCTATACAGGCTGTGCGACAGGCAAGTCCTTCTTGAAGAACTTGGTCATGAATTTTCGTTGCCTGGGCTGGAACGGATCCTCCCTGTCTTTGGGCAGGTCGAGGATTCCCGTCTTGGGCGGTGGGCGCGTCCGCACCACATGTGGCAGCTGGTGCTCGAGGGTTTGCCAGGCCGTCCTCGCCTCGAGTCTGGAAACATATGCGGCCCCGCCGGTATCGATGGCGGACCAGACCCTCTTTATCTTCTTGCATAGCCTGTCGACCTCCTCGTCAAATTGCGCGACAACTCTCGGGTCGTCCGAGGGAGCAGGTGCGCAGCCATCGCCAAGGGCTATGCCGAGGATCGAGGCACGCGCTGCCAGCTCGTAGTAGTCTGTCTTGCGGGCGACGACGAACTCGTCGTCCTCGAGGCGGTCGCTTACGGCGGGGATGTCGAGGTTGTCGTCGGGGTGTTGGCTGCCTCGTCCAGGGTCATTGAAGAAGCACACAAGTGCCAGTCTCCGGCGAAGCTCCACAAGCCTCGGCCTGCCTGCCGGCAGAACAGCCAAGGCATGCCACCATAACGAGGCTTCGTTTACAGCAAAGTAAAACGAGAGGCAGACTTCTCCGCACTGCCAGGGGTTAGTATAAAACACTCCGAGGGACTGTCTGGGCAAGCAGCGCTCACAAATTTGTCCCAAGACTTTATAGGGACGGCCAATACCAGCTTCTCAGTGGCTTCCGAGAAGTCTTTCCGGATAGCAATGTTTTCAGTAACTACGGTGTCAATACCGAGCCGAAGGAGAATTGACACTGCGTGGGTGAGCGATGTGAGGGTCATTGCGTTAGACGTCCGACTCAGGAGGACGAGAACGGATTGTAACATGGACCAGTTCCGTTCTGAATAAGGGGGCGTTTGCTCAATAACGCCTGATATCTTGGCAGCCGAGTCGAGGGCTTCTTCACGCGCCCCGAGTTCCCGGAACAAACGATCGAGTCGGTCCCCGTCGAAGAATTTATAGACTTGCTGGGTGCAGACACCAAGCAGGCGGCAGTATTCTTGTCTGAGCGACTCGGATTTCTCGTAGGATATCTCGTCTAGGACCCATAGCACAATCTCGTCCGGGAGATCGCGCCTCCTTGTTTGTATCGTGTAAGTCAAGCCGTCGCCGAAGACGTGCTGCCTAGTCTTGGGGTCCGCCAAAAACCTCCACCCACCTCTGGCAGCATCTTTTGGGAAGGGGGCGCGGGCAGGTACGCAGCTGTCGCTGAGCTCCTGGTCAAAGAACCGCCAGTGCTTTCGATCCACCGACGCCTCGGTCCGCTTCACGGCCCGAAGTAGCTTGTCTCGTTCGGCCTCATTATCTTCGCCTTCCGCATCCGATAAAACGTCCATCATGGTCTCGTATAGAGTCGCGGCCGGCTTAGCAGCCGGTGCGGACTCGGCAGCAGCATCTCGGTCGGAGAGGATGTTAGACATGCGTTGCGCGCTGGCTTCAGCGGCGTCATGAGTCTTGGCATGGTTCAGGAGCGCCTTCATATCAAACTTGTGCTTCGGCATGAAGGCCAAAGGCGAAGAGTGGAAAGATATTGCGGTCCTCTTTGCCTTGGGGGTAACACATGGGTTGGACTCCCTATTTGCTCGGACTGGGACTGCATTGGTCCGCGGCTTCGCAAATAGGTTGGGGAGATCATCATCGGAAGAGAGGGAGTCATCGTCCTCGTCATCCGAACCCTTGATGACCGCATCTATGCGTCGTGGGCTTTTTTCATCTTGTTCCGGAAGAGGAGAGGAGGGCAGGGGAGGAGTCGACGATGGTTGAGCAGGGATGGAAACCGAGGCCTGAGAGCTCGGGTCCTGCAAGCCCAGGTCATGCGAGCCTTGTGAGCTTTGAGAATGCTTCGGCACACGCTTAAAGAAACTCAGTAGGTTGCCGTTCTTCGCCATGTTGAAAATTTGGGCCGAAAATTAAACCCGTGGCAACAATACCAACCTAAAAATTGGTTGGCATGGCCATCCTCAGGATTCCTTCAACCACCAAGAAGCATGGTATGTCATGGTGTCATGTCTGGCAGGTATGCAGTGGCACCGCGTTTAGGCACGTCAAGGCACGTGCATCGCGAATTTTCGTGTCAGGTTTTGTAAGTGGAGATTAATAAAGATTATTGGACGCCATACTAGTACAGTACTTTAACGGGGCTTAGCACAAAATGACGATGTTTCGATTTTCAGCCAAGGATCGAGGCTCAACTCCTTGACCTTTTCCCATCAAACGCGGGCAGGGACCAGGGGTCAGGGTGATGCACCTCAAGTTCTGCAAGGAGGTTCTTGAGGAACCCCTGGGTTGCTCTTTCAGCATTCCGTTCCTTTCCCCTATGTCTCCCTTTACGAAGTATCTCTCTACCTACATACCTAGGTAGGTATTTAGGGAGGCAATTAAGTAGGTGGGGAGCAATGGAAAATATTGCAAATCCAGCACAAAGCTGCTCTTTACTGTATGTATCCTTCGCCTGTAAACCATGGTATTATAGGCGTGGTACGTCGTAGAAGAAGATAAGATGGCGTTTCCGTCCTGGAAATGGGTGGGAAATTTTAACCTTATTCAGTCTTGACATGATCCTCATCGGACGGGAACACTTGGTACCTACCTAACCTACCTATAAGAGACCAGAAACGTCGGCATGTGGTGGCTAAAAGGAAAATGGGCTCGTGGGTAACTAACCGTAGGGGCCAATGCGTCTTTGCCCCTCGATTTCGCAAGGCTGAGAGGCGAGGGACAGATCGTAATCAAGTTGCCCCTGGATGTGATGGAAGCCAAGAGTTTCCGTTTCGCATTTTTCGCATTGGTCAGCGCCATCCACGTACATTCAAGGCAAGGATGCCTCGGACTTTGGCAGTCTTTAGCCACAGTCCGAGGTAGTCTTTAGCAATCCTGGCTGCCTGATCATACGCAGTAGTACTATACCGTATTAAGACGCGGGCCATCGAATAATCGATCCTTTAGCTCCTCCTGCGTCCTTTGCGACTAGCTCCTTTAAGAACTAGGCTGGGTCCGAAGTCGGTACCGGCCCTACCGGGCTTCGAGACCTGGATCTGGTTCTTCAATTTGCTGAGCAGTGGCCGCCGGAGCCGTGCTCCACCAGCTAGCAGTTGGCAACGCCTTCATTTGTTCACCCCGCTGGAGCTTGAATCGTCACGGCTCCCGAACAGTCCGTGTGAAATTTTCTGATCCACCAATGTGTCCGTTTATATCCGGGGTCTCCAAAATACGCAGTATACGTAGGTTCTTTTCCGGATTCGTAGATACCTTACCCATCTCAGGTACCCCGAAGTATCGAGTAAGGATCCTGATTTCATGAGGCGTCTGGTAGAAGCTGTCGCGCCATTTTCTAGAGGCCACGCAATAAAGCGCAAAGCCATGAGGCGTCGGATGGGGCTGTGAGGCTGTACAACATACGTACTGTGGTAGGAAGGAAAGATGGTAATTCGAAGAGAACAGGTTCGGTTGATCGCCAATTAATAGGGGTCTGGAGTAACAAGCGACCCCCTTGGGTTCCCGCTGTGTCATTGGGCAAATTACAGTGAAAGTGGGTGCTTTCTGGGTCGCCCTGCTCCAATTTTCCCTTCTTGGCCCGCCATGCATTTTCAGGCTCTCTCGCTCTTTGCAAAACCCCGGCTTATCCGACATTAACATCAAAAGTTACAATTCCCTCCCGCCCCCCAATTCTGGCCTCCCCATCAACCACCCGCCGTCACCGGTTCGAAGTTGACAATTCACACTCGACACTCGTTTTGGCCCGGCTCTGGCTCTGGTTTCTGGCCCCGCACGTCATCTGTCAGCACTCGACGCCAGCCACTCCGACAACCTGCCTGCCTCGCCTAGCGACGCCTGTCCAAATCCCCCCCAACCGGGCAATTCGACGATAGCTTCAATTGTGAAGGCTGCCAAAGCGGCGAATCGGCGAATCAGCGAGCGATCTGGCCAATCCCAGGCAAAGCTTGGCAGACAACTGGGGCTGATCGGGCTCTGCCCGCGACTCCCTTGTGATGGCGCCTCTAAAGGGCGGAGGCGACGACGGCCTGGACCCTGAGAACAACCTGGCTACAACGCGGTCAAGATGGGCAACCCGGAAGTTGACCGTCAAGAGTAGCAACATCAAGCGCCTGTCATTAATGGGGAGGAAACACCACCGCAGCGCGTCTAACGAGAAGAAGAGGACATCCGGCGCCTCCGGCTCCCTCAAACAACAGGACGATAGTAATACCGTAGCCGGTGACGGTCCTCCCCCGGGTGCCAGCCCAAGGACATTGTTTTTCAATCTCGCCCTTCCCGTCGAACACACGGATGAGCATGGCAACCCGGCACAGCCATACGCTCGCAACAAGATCCGCACAGCCAAGTACACTCCGCTGTCTTTCGTCCCCAAGAACCTATGGTTCCAATTCCACAACATTGCCAACATCCTCTTCCTCTTCCTCGTTATCCTAGTTGTAGGTTCTCCCCGCTGCTGCTACTGATGCCATGTAAGAAGAAGAGGCTTGCTCACTCTTTCCCAGATTTTCCCTATATTCGGCGGTGTCAACCCCGGATTAAACGCAGTTCCCTTAATTGTCATTATTACAATTACCGCTTTCAAGGATGCCATCGAGGATTACCGACGAACAGCCCTCGACAACGTCCTAAACAACGCACCCGTCCACCGCCTCTGCGGCTGGAGCAACGTCAACGTCCAGGAAGACAATGTGTCGACGTGGAGGAAGATCAAGAAGGCCACTTCGAAATTCTTCGGCACAATGTGGCATGGGATAGAGCGGCTGTGGAAGAGGGATGTGAAGACACACAACTCTGCGACTTACGACAATCCTCGAATGTCTATCGAGTCCCGGGTTACCCGTCCCGAGTCATTGATTATCTCGCCTCATTCCCGTCAATCCTTCGTATCGGCCCAGGAGGACATTCAGATGACCCCGGTGCCATCGCCCCTTCCGCGGGAGACAAATCGCTTGGAACTACCGCCGGATCCAACCAAGTCCTTGTCCTTCCCCGCGGACGACGAGACCATCTTGCGGACAATCAAGGGCGACGTGATCAATCACGAGGTGCCAGCACCAGGAAAGGCTCGATTCCACAAGGACGCGTGGAAGAACTTGCAAGTCGGCGATTTCGTCCGTCTCTACAACGACGACGAACTTCCCGCCGATGTCATCATCCTGTCGACTTCGGATCCCGATGGATCCTGCTACGTGGAAACCAAGAATCTAGACGGTGAGACAAACTTAAAAGTTCGTTCCGCCCTTCGATGCGGGCGGTCAATCAAGCATGCTCGAGACTGCGAGCGAGCCCAGTTCGTGATCGACAGCGAGGCGCCCCAGCCGAACCTGTACAAGTATAACGGCGCAATCAAGTGGCGGCAGAGGCTGCCACACGACCCCGATGGTGAGCCGAGGGACATGTCCGAGCCGATCAGCATCGATAACGTGCTTCTGCGCGGCTGTAACCTGAGGAACACCGAGTGGGCTCTTGGGATAGTTGTCTTTACCGGGCACGACACCAAGATCATGATGAACGCCGGCATAACCCCAAGCAAGCGCGCTCGTATCGCGCGTGAGATGAACTTCACCGTCATCTGCAATTTCGGCATCCTTCTCATCATGTGCCTGATTTCTGCAATCGCGTCTGGTGTAGCATGGAGTAAAACGGACGCCTCGTTGTCTTGGTTCGATTTCGGCTCAATCGGCGGATCCGCCCCCCTGAGTGGCTTCATCACCTTCTGGGCTGCCCTCATCGTTTACCAGAACTTGGTGCCCATCTCGCTCTATATCTCGCTCGAGATCGTCCGGACGCTGCAGGCCATCTTCATCTACAGCGATGTTGCGATGTACTACGAGAAACTCGATCAGCCCTGCATTCCCAAGTCGTGGAACATTTCGGATGACGTTGGCCAGATCGAGTACATCTTCTCCGACAAGACTGGCACCCTCACTCAGAACGTCATGGAGTTCAAGAAGGCGACGGTCAATGGCCAGCCGTACGGCGAGGCCTACACGGAGGCCCAGGCTGGCATGCAGAAGAGACTCGGCATCGATGTGGAGAAGGAAGCCGTGAAGATCAGAGCCGAGATTGACCAGGCCAAAGTCCGTGCCCTCGAGGGTCTTCGAGCACTGGACAACAACCCCTACCTCCATGACGAGGACATAACCTTCATTGCTCCCGACTTTGTCGACGATTTGGCTGGCAAGCATGGGGACGAGCAGCAGCGGGCAAATGAGCATTTCATGCTCGCCCTCGCTCTTTGCCACACAGTCATCGCCGAGAAGCAGCTGGGCGATCAGCCAAAGATTATCTTCAAGGCCCAGAGTCCCGATGAAGCGGCGCTCGTTGCCACCGCCCGCGACATGGGCTTTACCGTTCTCGGGTCGTCCAATGACGGCATCAACGTGAACGTCATGGGCGAGGAGAGGCATTACCCCATCCTCAACACCATCGAATTCAACTCTAGCAGGAAACGCATGAGTGCGATCGTGAGGATGCCGGACGGGAGGATTGTGCTCTTCTGCAAGGGCGCCGACAGTGTCATCTATTCGCGACTCAAGCGCGGTCAGCAGCCGGAACTTCGCAAGGAGACGGCCACGCACCTCGAGATGTTTGCCAGAGAAGGCCTGCGCACTCTATGCATCGCCGAGAAAGTGCTCGATGAGGAGGAATATTATGCATGGAAGAAGGAGCATGACATGGCGGCAACAGCTCTAGACAATCGCGAGGAAAGGCTCGAGGAAGTTGCCGATCGGATCGAGCAGGACCTGACTCTGCTCGGGGGGACGGCCATTGAAGACCGTCTCCAAGACGGAGTTCCCGACACCATCGCCCTCCTTGGCGATGCTGGTGTCAAGCTCTGGGTGCTTACCGGAGACAAGGTCGAGACGGCCATCAACATCGGCTTCTCCTGCAACCTCCTCAACAACGACATGGAGCTCATTCGGCTCCAGGTCGAAGAGGACGAGACCGGGGAGACCCCTGAAGAGGTGTACCTACGTAGCCTCGACGAAGCGCTCGACAAGCACTTGCAGGCGTTCGGCATGACGGGCAGCGATGAGGAGCTGAAGTACGCCAGAAAGGACCACGAGCCCCCCGCGCCGACACACGCTCTCGTCATCGACGGTTTCACATTGCGATGGGTCCTCGACGATGCGCTCAAGCAGAAGTTCCTGTTGCTCTGCAAGCAATGCAAGTCTGTACTCTGCTGTCGAGTCAGTCCCGCACAAAAGGCTGCCGTCGTATCCATGGTGAAGAGCGGCCTCGATGTCATGACGCTGTCCGTCGGTGACGGTGCCAACGACGTCGCCATGATCCAGGAAGCCGACGTCGGTGTCGGTATCGCCGGTGAGGAGGGTCGCCAGGCTGTCATGTCGTCGGACTACGCCATCGGCCAGTTCCGGTTCCTGCAGCGCCTCGTCCTCGTCCACGGGAGATGGTCCTACCGTCGGTTAGCAGAGATGATCAGCAACTTCTTCTACAAGAATATGGTGTGGACATTCGCCATCTTCTGGTACCAGATGTACTGCGACTTCGACATCACGTACATCTTCGAGTACACGTACATTCTCATGTTCAACCTGTTCTTCACCTCGATCCCTGTTATTCTCATGGGAGTCCTGGATCAGGATGTTGATGATGCCATCTCACTCGCCGTGCCCCAGCTCTACCGTCGCGGTATCGAACGGCTGGAGTGGAGCCAGACAAAGTTCTGGTGAGTTTTTTCTTCTTTTCCCCCCCTCTTATCCTTCCTACGTTTGCTGGATCAAGTTGCTGACCATTTCCACAGGCTGTACATGCTCGATGGCTTTTACCAATCCGTAATGGCCTTCTTCATACCCTATCTTGCCGTAGCCGGCGCAACTTTCGTCTCTGGGAACGGTCTAGATGTGACGGACAGACTGCGGTTGGGCTTCTATATCCTTCATCCCGCCGTGATCACGATCAACCTCTACATCCTGATTAACACTTACCGATGGGATTGGCTGATGCTGTTGGTGGTCGTGCTCAGCGATCTCTTCGTCTTCTTCTGGACCGGGGTGTACTCGTCCACTACCTTTTCGCAATTCCTCTACCAGGCCGCCCCGCAAGTGTACGGAGAACTCACGTTCTGGCTTGTACTCCTTATCACTCCGGTTGTCTGCATATTCCCCCGATTCGTTATCAAGGCACTCCAGAAGGTGTACTTCCCCTACGACGTCGACGTCGTTCGGGAACAGATCACCATGGGCCTCTTTAAGGATGTCAAGACTCAAGGAGACACGGGTGCGGACGAATCGCTCAAGGGGACAGAAGCATCGTCTGGGTCGTCTGGGTCAGCTGGGAGAAGAAAGCACACTCACTTTGCGAGCGTCGACGAAGACAGGCGACCCATCTATCCTCCCTCGGTTGCGACCCATAATACGCGCACCCAGAATGGGAGTGACGGCTCAAACTACACGTATCCCCGCCAATCGATGGATATGGTATCTGAGATGCAGGTCCGGTCATCAATAGACCGAACCAGGCCATCGTATGACCGGGTACGTGCGTCAATGGATCGTGTCAGGGCGAGCTTCGAGGCCAGTAGCGACTTTACTTCGGCAGCACGGCTCAGTAGGATTGAGTCGTCGCACTCGGAAAACCAGCATCCACACCAGCGCCGGTTTAACCTGACGACGGTCCGGAAGCGCGGCCTGTCTGCCTTCTCAAAGAAGAGCGTCAACGACCCGTGACGAGACGAGCAACCTAGCCGTTCCCAACCCCGTTCCTAAGCTTGACCTCACATCGTTTCCATTCCGCCCACTGTATAATATACCGGTCTACGCCGCGCCGTAGGCCATCTCCATTGGACCTGTTGATATCCGGAGCGCTCATGCACTGATGAATCGCATGATCTGATCCACGAAACCGGGTTAAAACCTTGGTGGCTACTGTTCTACTGTTTCCTGGAATGTATCCTTTTTGGGTTTACTTTTTATCTCCTTTTCCTACCCTTTTCTTTCAAGCCGGCGTTGGGGTTCGACACATCATTGCCTGTGTCGGGAGAAGGGCACTGTACGAGAGGCTTTTGCGCTGGTTCTGAGACCTTCTTGCATACAAACTACCTACCTACTACCTAGCATCCTAGATCCGAGAGTTCATCATTCCTTATTCCGCTTTGCTCGCAAAATACCTATGGAAAACTGTGCTCACTCGAGGTACTTTTCTTTTTTTTCCTTTTTTTTTTTTTTTTTGTTTTTGATTGCACACCGTTTCCTGATTTAAACTCTGTTATCTGATTATCTCGATCACTTCCCATGGGGTACTGCCCATTTTTCATTGTATCGCCGGCGTTATGGGGAGATTATAGCATCCTGACAGAGGGGTCTGGACCACTGGGCAGAGGCAGAAAGGGGGCCGGGGGAGAAGGGGGGAAGAAGGGCTTTTTGGCATGTCGGGTTTGCATCTCCCAGTGTATATACGAAGACGAGTGCTAGAGGACGAGGTAATAGTCAGCAGACTAGAGGAGAATAGGGAAAAAAGCTCTTGTCAGTAGGTTTGTGTTGCTCTTGCATCCAAATATCTATCGATGACTCGTGACTGCACTGAGGCTCTCCTGCCTCTGCCAAGAGGAGTTGGTCTGATGTTTCCTCAAGCGGCATGTCGTAGACCCACAACACCGGGAAAGCTTGCATGGGTGGAAAGGGGCATTGGCCAATCAGCAGAGCTTTGCCCAGGGCGATCATGCGCAATCAACCTCAACTGCGCCGGACTGCTTCTCAGGACGATCCAAGATCCCCCGATACCTACCTCTATGTTGTGAGCCCTCAGCCTAGGCTCCAGCCTCGCTCGTTTCCCCCTTTGATTTTAGCGACTAGTCTCAGCCACTGCTAGTGTGATGGCGTCGGAAGCTCTGGACGGGTTGCTTCAGCAACTTCGTTCCGTCTTGGAACTCGTACCGTACGTTTTCGCTATTTTAAGCCGGACATTCTCCAGCTCGAGCTTGGTTTTGCTAACAGGGGCTAACTTCCAGATTAGTCGACGTCCCTGACGTCCCGTCATTCGTCTGGAAAGCCCTATTTACGGCTTTTGCTGCTCTGGCGTTATGGATCACGTTAGGGGGAGAGAGGGACCAACCTATCCGTTACAAGGTGCCTTCCCCAAAGCTACCAGAGAAAGTTGAATTCCTCGATCAGCCGAGCATCAAGGTAGGTGTCTTATACAACCCCGGCATGCGGTGGTCGTTCAACGTGGCTAACGTTCTTATGCAGAAATCCGGCACCACGGCCATCCAGTGTTACGCCCCCGCGACGGGCCAGTTCCTGGGATTCGTCAACCCATCGACGCCAGCCGCGATCGACCGCGCAGTCGAGCAGGCGCATGCGGCGCAGGCGACTTGGTGCAGGACGACGTTCCGCGACCGCCGCGCGGTGCTCCGCAGCATCCTACAATACGTTCTCGACAACCAGGAGGAGATATGCCGCGTCGCCTGCCTAGATTCGGGCAAGACTATGGTTGACGCCCAGCTGGGCGAGATCCTGGTCACGGTCGAGAAGCTACAGTGGACGATCAAGCACGGCGAGAAGGCTTTGCGCCCTTCAAGGAGGCCCACAAACCTGCTGATGATGTACAAGCGGAATACTGTGCACTACGAGCCCCTCGGCTTGGTGGCCGCCCTGGTGTCGTGGAACTACCCCTTCCACAACTTCATCGGCCCCGTGATCAGCGCCATCTTCGCCGGGAACGCCATCCTCGTCAAGGTCTCGGAGCAGACCGCCTGGAGCGCCGCATTCTTCACCAGCATCGCGCGCGGCGCCCTGATCGCCCACGGGCACGACCCGACTCTGATCCAGACGGTAGTGTGCTGGCCGCAGACGGCCGGCCACATCACGGCGCACCCGGGCATCTCGCACATCACCTTCATCGGGTCCCGCGCCGTCTGCCACAAGGTGGCCGCCTCCGCGGCCAAGGCGCTGACCCCGCTCGTCGCCGAGCTGGGCGGCAAGGACCCCTGCCTCGTGCTGGACTCGGCGGCCGGCGACCTGCCGCGCATCGTCGAGATCCTCCTCCGCGGCACCTTCCAGGCCAGCGGCCAGAACTGCATCGGCATCGAGCGCATCATCGCCGGCCCCGCCATCTACGACCGGCTCGTCGCGCTCCTCGAGCCGCGCGTGCGCGCCCTGCGCCTCGGCCCCGACGCCGACGTCGGCGCCATGATCTCGGACGCCTCCTTTGCAGGGCTGGAGTCCCTTCTCGACGACGCCGCTCTCCTCGGCGCGAGGGTCCTCGTGGGCGGGAGGCGCTTCGCCCACCCGGACCACCCGTCCGGCCACTACTTCTCGCCGACGCTCGTCGCAGACGTCACGCCGCACATGGCGATCGCGCGGGAGGAGTGCTTCGGTCCTATCATGTGCCTGATGCGCGCCCCAGACGCGTCGGCGGCGTCGGCCGTGGCGATGGCGAACGCGGCGCCCTTCGGGCTGGGCGCGGCCGTGTTCGGGGCCGAGCGTGACCCCGCGGTCCGCGAGGTGGCGCGCGGCCTGCGCGCCGGCATGGTGGCGGTCAACGACTTCGCGGCCTTCTACGCCGTGCAGCTCCCGTTCGGCGGGGCGGGCGGGTCCGGGTACGGCCGGTTCGCGGGCGACGAGGGGCTCAGGGGCCTGTGCAACGTAAAGGCCGTGTGCGAAGACCGCCTGTGGTGGGCGGGCGCGCGGACGGCCATCCCGCCGCCTATCCGGTACCCCGTCGGCGATCAGGAGAGGAGCTGGCGGTTCGCCAGGGGCGTCGTGGAGGTTGGGTATGGGGCCTCGTTGGGGAGAAAGGCGCGCGGGTTGGTGGGGATACTGAGGAATAGCTAAGGGGTGTGTGTGTGTCTGGTCAGGTCTGTATTGTTAAAGATATTGTAATAGCAAACCCGGAAATTGCACGACTTGGAATCGATATCCTTTTTTTTTTTACTCTCGGCGGCGATGTTCCCCCGTCGCCCCTTGGCTCCCCCCCCTGGCAAACACACTCTCGGAATTTACTGAGGGCCTGACCGTGGTACATGCTTCGACTCTTTAATCATATTGGACTGTATCAGTCAGCCTCCCAACTTGTTCTCATGCGTTGCTGGTCACTTCATAGCGGTCCCCTGGCACTATCACGACACTATGTATCACTCCTGGTGGCTCTTCTCAGCCACCACCAAACCACGGGAACGAATTCAGCAACACATGACGTCCATTATGAATCCTGAATTTATATATTATAAAAAATCCGATCTATTGCCCGATCCCCTACAACCGCCCCGCCATACACCGCGACAAGACCCTGAACACAAACCCGCACGCCATCGGGAGCCTGTTCCCCGGATCGCGGAGCCGCGCCTCGAGGCCGACCAGGACCTCCTCCTGGACGTGCTCGGGCCAGTCCCCGGCGAAGACGTCCCAGCTCTCGTACAGCCTCGCCAGGCACAGGGCCAGCGCGTCGTCGTCGAGGCGCATCATGCCGTCAAACCCCTGCCTGGTCAGCTCCCAGCAGCAGGCCTCGCCGGGCGCGAGCGCCGCGCCGGCGCCGCGCAGCCAGAACAGCCGCCGCGCCTTCTCCCAGTCGAAGGGCCCCGCGACGGCGTCCTCGGGCAGGCGGGCGCGCGGATGGACGCCCAGGTGCGTCGTCGCCCAGGTCGGCGTCCGACAGTCGTGCCGGGCCGCGAAGAGCTGCCAGTCTGCCTCGAAGCAGGCGTGGATCGATTTGACGTGGTCGAACCCTCCCGGGTGGGGTTCATGGAGGGGTGGGCAGGGAATGGGGAGCGGAGGTCCTGGCGTCCACGGTTGGCATTGGAGACTCACGTGTTCGTAGTACCGGCCGCGGCCGTGCCGCCCGTACCAGATTTGCAAGGCGTCGAGGATCCGGGGGAGCGTGGCCCATGGGCAGGCGAGAACATCGCTCTGCACGAAGGGAGAGGTACAGTCAGCTTACACATATATACATGCATGCATACATACATGCAAGGCCTAACTTTCAGCGTCGAAAGCATTCCTCACCTGCAAGTCAGGGTCGCCCCCTATCCTCCGCTCGTCCGTATCGTAGCCGTAGTACGACTGAAGCCGCCCCTCGGGCCCGCGCGTGCAGCCGAACCAGACGTCCCAGGTGGGCGCGAAGGCGGAGACCAGCAGCTCGAGGAGGAATGAGCGGGCCGAGAGGTGATAGCCGATCCGCAGGCTGGCACGGGGGAGGCTGAGGTTCGATGACAGGTGAAAGATGCGCTCCAGGATCTCGAGGGGGAGCCGTTCTATCGGGGTGGCCGCCCTTGCCTTCCTTTTGCGTCTCTTCGGCGTAGTTGTCGTAGCCCCGCCGGATAGTGGTTGTTTTCTCTTTGGTTGGGGCGGCCTGAATCCTTTCTTCCGTGGACCTTTCCCCCGGATCTTGATGGGCGTTAATTCCATTTGGATAGCTCGGTGGGTAGAAAACACGAAGTGACAGAGAGATGCCTTGGTGTTGTGTCCAGAAACTGGACCTTCAACTCTCCGAATACGGTGATATGAATTCTCTGCAAGAGAATTCGTGCAAACCCCGCCGTCTAATGGCAGTCATAGCAGCAGAATAGGTGGATGGCCACCTGTGAGACCAGAATTGGGTAATCAAGTTTGCCAGGTGAGGACTTACGTTCGTCCAAGAAGTTATCAGATAATCGTGTGCGGTACGTAGAAAGTTGGCGCCAATAATGGCACTAACAGTGGAGCATCATCAATTAACAAATACCATAGCGCGCGGCTAGGGAGACTGTAATAGGGCTTAGCCTATAGCCGTGGTGCAGCGGTCAAATGCGCAGGCAGACCTCGCTGCTGGTGAATAGCGAGGTAGTCGGCGGCACCAGCGCGCTCTCTAGGAGTCTCTACCCGTGAATCACGCCATTGGACCAGACTCCACCCAACCGTCGATAACTTCTTTGAATCCCAGCTCGGCCAACTTGCGGGCAACCAAGCGACGCCAGTCCGACTTCCAGCTCTCCTCCCCACTGGGAAAGTCCATTCCAGACGACAAGTGAAACTTGGTTCTTATCCATTCTCTCGGGACATAGCCAGCGGTTTCCCAGTCGATAATACCCAAGGCGCGTGTAGCGGGATCGACAAGTATGTTTGTTGGGCCCAGATCGCTGTGATAGAAAACAAGCTTGGACGAGGTATTCATGCCCATCCTGGCGCAGTGTTCGAGCAGACGCTGCGGGGCGAAAGACTCTGGGGTGTCATTTCTCGCTAGAATAGCGTCCGCTAACTCCCTCCCGTCAACGCCGGAAATAGCGTCCCCCTTCCATTCAGCCATCTCCTTGCAGATCTCGGCGACACGGCCGATGCAATACTGCCGCAGGGTCTCATCCATGGTAGGCCATGCCTCGGCGAGAGTCTGGCCGGGCACACGGCCGAGGACGATATAGTACCGGTTATCCCACTCAGCCTGGTAAAGGACATTGGGGATATCGAAGCCTAGGGGTTGTTGGTCTTTCTTGGCATGAATAAACTCCAGAGTGGTGTGCTCTCTCGTAATATTTGCCCGGTCGCTGCCGATAAAACGGACCTTGATAAAGGTGTCTCCAGCGCGCCATACAGCTGCTGAGCTGCCAGCAGAATAGACTAAGCTGATGGGGTGGGAGAGCGGTGCAAACCGAAGGCCTTGGGGTTGGAAGTTGGGTGTATCTTCCGGAAGTGGCTGTGAGTCTGGCACTGGATCATGGGCGTCTGAGAGGATAAAGAATGCCCCTTTTCCATCAGCCCATGATGGACGATCGAGTGATGGGGAGGACTAGCGGGATAGCACAAGCTTTCCCCCGATTAACCAAGAGCAGCTATCAATCTCCCGAATACTGCCTATAACGCGATTGGCTAGAGCCGGTATGCTGTCTGCGATGCTAAGTTACTGATTTGTTGGTACGGGAGAGCGACCAATCCGAAGGCCCTAGGATGGAAATAAAAACGAAAGTTTGAAGGGTAGAAACGGAATCGAAGCAGCATGTAGAGTGGAGGGGGCAGTCTGGAGACTCACTTTGGAAGGGACCTGATGAGCAGAAGAGATGAGCGAGCGACATGGCTATGTGTCTAGGAAGGCGGCGCGCCACCTACCCACTCTACCACAGTATCGGGACAGGCAGTGAGATATCATTGGATTGAGCCGGTCCTATGTACGACTCCAAGCACGCAGCGGATGAGTGAGGGGAAGCGCATGGGTTTGAAGGAATATGATTGGCCAGTTAGTCGCTGTCACTGCCAGGGCCAGATAGAGCATGTGTGTAATCCGTACTACGCAGTATATTCACACAAGTAGAGAGAGTCTCTGCCTAATCAATAGACTCCAATCCAATTTCTTATGTTTGGCATAAGGCATGTGCCCTACCTCCACCATACTGACTTCGAACCACTTTGGCAGCCAGACTTATTCTCCCGCATGACCCTGAGCATCCCAACCATCATCCCCAGCCGGACAAGCCGCTCAGGATCCAATTAAGTGGCTTGAACGAGACGATCAACCAAGTGTTTGGTGACGGTACCAAAATGTCAGAACATTTGACGTCTATGGTTGACTTCGACGAGGCAGGACTTCGGTTCGCCAAGATGGCATTCAAGCAACTCTACGGCCGCGATGCAAACCCACAACATGCATCTGACTTCGTTCCACTGTACCAGTACAATACATTCCGCGGAAAATACGGCGAGTGCGAGCCGTGGGAGCATACGTGCGTCAGTCGCCCTCTATCCAATGAATCCACGCTAACGTTGAGCAGCGTCGACGGGTATGGCATCACCTTCGATCATCTTGTCAGCCCTGCCGACGACGATGACCCCGAGACCCTCATGATAAATACTTGCGATCCTTCCAACCCCGATGCGGCTAGGTACTTGAAGTTGGACCTTGGTCGATACAGTGCTGGCCCGGAACCGGTCGTGCTGCTCGTTCCGCGATGCTGTCAGTTGCGGCGGGGAACTACTGACCGCGAGAGAATTAATAATCAGGCCAAGGAGGCGAGAGAATATCTTTGCAGACAGGCAGCTAGCTCATAAGCACTCAATCCTACCAACTCAATACTCACGGGTCTTCAAACCAACATTGGGTCTGCAAGGTTAGACAAGGTACAATGGGACCTCGACAATGGCTGGTCGTGTACAAAAGCGGATAAGAGCGCCCTGGTCACGCGGGTTTCAATATGGCGGCGGAGCACTCCTCGTCACCTAGGGGCCACTCTTGGAAAACTGCCGCCTTTGGCTGGGCCAGGCTGGCGCCGCATCCGATATAAGTGTGGGTGAGCGGCAGGACCCGTCAGGGCCGGCGGTTGGTTGGGCTGCGTGGCTTTGCCGCGTCTTCGCCTTTAGCTTCCCAGACCTCGTTGTCCAGACAGCCTTGTCGTCTCGCCCATGGATTGTCACCAGAAGACAGCAGCCAAGAATCTGTCGTGGTCTGCCTTAAGCTGGGCTGCTGGGGTCGACCGAGAAACGCGGCACGTGATAGTAGAAGCAGATGGAGTTGGCGCCAAGAATTTTGCATTGCCTTGATTGGTGGGTGATTTAGACCAATGAAGAAGCACATATGTAGGGAGCGTCCGGCGAGGTTTTTCTCCACGTGACTCTCCTCCTCCAAATTTGTAGGCGTGTACGCATCATTATCACTAAATGCGGAAGCTTTTGACGTTCTTTTCCTGCAGATTCTCCTTCCTCTCCTGTGGAGCATGAGCTTAGTGACAGCATCGCCTGAGTCGCTACAGCAATGCCAGGGGCGTTGAGCACCCCGGCACCCTCACCTTCCCTCCTCCGGTTCCTTCGTGCTCAATCCCAAGGTTTATCCTTCTTCGATACAAACCATGGCGTTAAGTGCACTCTCCGCGCCAGCTCCGGTGCCCTTCTCCAGCAGCCTCCCTGCAACATGGCCAGGCAATCAAGGCAATGGACAAGGACCCTGTGTACTTCCAAGCCGAAGAAGAGTGCGGTAATGCAAGCCGGACTCTGGGACCTCGATGCGATTCTTCCAAAGTCATTTCAAAAGCAGCGCTCCCCGGTCGACAGGGCGAAGACGTCGAGGGTTCCGAACACACAGCGATATCTGTCCTCGGACCGCATGCCAAGCGCAATATGCAGACCGTCGTGGCGCGAGATGCTCTGGGGTCGAGCAACTGGGAAGCCGAGGCCGCTGAACCCGGAAGACCTACCGTCGCGAGACGAGAGAGGAGGCCCGGGCTCCATATTCAGTCCCAGCCGTACACAGGCTGCTAAGGCCGCCCTGGAGCCTCGTTTACGGTGCACTGAGGTTGACGAGAACGGGGAGGTAATCCTGACTGATGGCGAGTTCAAGAAGAGCGAGCTTATTGCTAAGGTATGGGGAAAGGGGGTATATCGAGCACGACCCGACGGTGCTGACAAGCTTGATAGTATGGCCTCCTGCCCCGCGACCTCCGCAAAATCGACGCATCCAATCTCCCGCATATTCTTGTCCGACCCTCCGTCATTCTCCTCAACCTCCTCCATCTGAAAGTCCTGATTAAGTCCGACCGCGTCCTTCTCTTCGATGTCTTTGGGACCAGGACCTCGTACCCGCAGTCGGCCTTCATGTACGATTTACAAGGGAAGCTACAGCAGAAGCAGGCACCTAGTGCCGGCGGGCTTCCGTACGAATTCCGAGCTCTCGAGGCCGTTCTCACATCCGTAACAACAGAACTCGAGGCCGAATTCGAGACTGTGCAGGCGCCGGTCATCCGTATTCTCAGCGAGCTCGAGGACGATATCGACCGGGACAAGCTCAGGATCCTACTCGTGCTCTCCAAGAAGGTCAGCACCTTCGAGCAGAAAGCCAAGCTCGTACGCGATGCCATAGAAGAGTTGCTAGAGGCCGACGACGATCTCGCAGATATGTACCTCACCGAGAAGACTCATGATCTATATCGTGGAGAGGATGACCACACTGAGATTGAGATGCTCCTAGAGTCCTACAATAAGATTTGCGACGAGGTTGCCCAGGAAGCCAGTAATCTGGTGTCAAGCATCAGGAATACCGAAGAAATGTAGGCATCTAACTGGGGGACCCCTTTTCCCGACATTGCCATTAACCTCTCCGTGTTAGTATTCGTGCCATTCTAGACGCCAACCGGAATTCCCTCATGCTGCTAGAGCTCAAGTTCAGCATCGGCACCTTGGGGCTGGCTATGGGGACCTTCCTGGCGGGACTCTACGGCATGAACCTCGAAAACTTCATCGAGGAGAAGAACTGGGGCTTCGGCACCGTCTCGGGAGTGTCTGCCATCATGTCCATCGTCATCTGTTGGTATGGCCTGGTGAAGCTGCGCAAGGTGCAGCGGGTCAAAATGGGCGGTTCTATGCGGACACAGGACCGAAACCACTGGTACGCCGACGACGGGACCGGCGGCTTGCTGGATGCGAGGAACAGGGAGAAGCTGCGCCAGATCAACATGCTGAAGGCGGCGTCGACTAAGCCAACGAAGAAGTGGTTTTGAAGCCTTGTCTAATGTAATGGCCTTTTCTTCTTGTTTGGGTATCGAGCATGGCGGCGTTATTGGTTGTCTCTCTCAAACTCGGGCACTGCATTGCATATAGACCGGCGTTAAGTTACATCTGGCGGCAGAACAGCCGGATAGTGATTGCGTCATATTGTATGTACATGTACGGATATATACATATATGTATGTACATAATGTTCCATATTCCAGATGGGATAGGTGGATCTCCTCTCGTCAAACGACCTTTCTGTAATAAGTCAATGATGTAAACAACGAGAACTGGAATGGGAGCCTTCGTCACTCGGTTGGGGTCACAGGCACTGGGGAGCTCAGGCCTTAAACCGGTTGAAAAGTGGCCCCGTACCGCCAACCTGTCACCAACCGTTTGGGTCCCGCAGAGCCTCAAATTTCGGGGTATGCATTAAGCCGTCAACGACGTCATCATAGCTACTTACCTCATCGCATGCATGGTTCCAAAGAGTTTTCCTCATGCCATGAAACATGCTTGGGTGCAAGACCCAATCTGGCCCATTTACGCTTGGGGGTAATCTTACTGACGAGTCACAGTCCTTCCCACCCACACTTTCGCTACACTATACATAGTAAAGAACATGGTTGGCCAGGCCGGTCCATTGGTGATTCTCTCTTGACGTCATTGTCCATGTTTGGTAGTTCCTGCAATCCAGCATTCAACAGGTATTCGTCGCACAGCGTAATAGATCATGACCTTATTTAAGAGAGCGAGTTGCCCTCTCCCTCTGCTATTGAATCTACTCCTATAACACAAAGCATCATAAACACATCTGCAAACTTCACTGATAACTCCTGATCTCACATCTCGACACCACTTTACACCACCACACTCCAAATCAAACCAACAACAAACTGCCAAAATGGGCGCCGTCGTCTCTTGCGTAAGTCCTCTTCACCATCTCATCACCTCCAGACAGATCAGACCCCCAGACTAACACCCCCCGTAGATCACTGGCCTGTTCCGCGCCGTCGGCTCGTGCATCATGGCCGTCATCAGCGGCATTGGTGGCATCCTGCACGCCATCATCAGCGGCGTCGTCAGCTTCCTCGAGATCCTCGTCAGCTGCCTGACCTGCGGCTACTGCGGCGGCTCGCGACGGAGCTCGGGGGGCATGGGGAGGAGACATCGCGCAGTGGTATAAAGAAGCGGGGGCGCAGTCCTATGATGGACAGATGGGATGATCTGCTTCTTTTTTTCCATTGACGTGTTGCCTTTTTTTCTTTTTTTCTTCTTTTTAAATGGGACGAAACCCTCGAGATACCCCCCCGGCTCAAAAAGCACTACCACAGCATTACGAGGAAACGAATGGCTTTGCTTATGGGATTGTCATGACAGGGATGGCGGGTTGAATGATAGACAGACAGATAAAGCTGTAAATCTTCACAATGGATGTGCTACTATCCACCATATGGTTCAATATTGTGATGGTTGCAGAGTTGCGGCACCTCACTCTGAAACAGGAGGGAGGCATTGCCAGATTATCTCATCTGATTGCAATCAATCTGCAATCAATCTCTGCAATCAATCTTACAAGATCCCGTGACACACAGACCCATCGACTGGACGGAGTCTGCCATGCACCCGTCCTGGTGGTAACTTGAGAGAAGAACAGAGATATCCAGAAGTGGAACTGCTCGATCTTGAACCCCGACCAAGCATGTAGCTCCCAGTACATGAATTGCCCCTAAACTCTTTATCTAGTGGTACATCGAGGTATTCATTCCACCCCGTGTCATCACTTGTCATCAAGGCACTCAAAAAACCCATGGCCCATCAAGGTAAACCCACTCAATTCATTCCACCCCGTGTCATCACTTGTCATCAAGGCACTCAAAAAACCCATGGCCCATCAAGGTAAACCCACTCAATCGTCATCCTCAATCAAATCCTTATTGAAGAACCCATGTATCTGCCTCGCCGCCTCGCGCCCGACAAGCGGCTCCAGCTCCTCGACCGCCATGTTAGCCACCTCCTTGACGTTCTCCGTCTCGAGCGTCAGGTTCGCCACGTTCTTGGGCGTGACCCCCGGCACCGCGGCCAGCATCTCGCGCGGCTCCATGTTGAACGGCTGCTCGTCGACTGCCATGGCCGCAGCCCCCCCACCGAGGCCGGCCTGCACCGCCGCGATGGGATCCGGCTCCGGCTCCTGGGCCTTGAGGCGCTCAAAGATCTCGGCCGTCTCGTACGGCGAGCTGGACCAGATGACGCGCAGCCGCGGGAAGGCCAGGGTCAGCAGCACGAGCTTGCTCTGCAGGTCCGACGCGCCCGGGTTGGCGGCGCTGACGCTGCTGAGGGAGCCCGACAGGTCGGCGAACGGCTCGAGCGTGAACGACTTGTTCTGGTCGAACTCGATGAGCAGCATCGGCGACTTGTAGTGCTGGAACATGGTCTCGGCCTGGCTGTAGAGCCGCCCGTCCTTGAAGGAGCTGATGAGGTCGCTGACCGACTTGCGCTCGATGCAGATGCTCGGGCTGAGGATATAGTCGCCCACCGTCAGCATGCACGGCACGATGACCATCGACCGGCCGTGGAGCAGGGACGGCAGCGACGAGCGGAACTCGCGCACGTCCACCACCACACGCGGCGGCTGCGCGGTTGCCGCCAGTCGGCCGCCACCCGCGATGCGCGTGTTGACTGTCCGGAGGAAGGCCTCTTGCGGGTCCTCGACGCCGTGAGCGTCCAGCGTCATCACGAGCGACATGCTTGCCCGTTCCTTGATCAGCTTGGTGAACGAGTCCTTCTCCCTCCGAACGGTCGACAGGTACCGCTGCTCCTCGACGGATCCCCCGTAGTACATGAAATAGACCTTGACGTTCCTGTCGTTGTGCGAGGACCGGTAGACCTCTACGCGCCTGATGAACGATGCGTCGGGCTCGTACATGATGATGTACTTTGGCTTGACCTCCTCGAGCACATGTTCGTCTTGGTCCCCGTCGTAGGCGTGGATGACGACAAGGTCCTTCATCTCGTACATCTGGTAGTAATCGTCCATGTCCTCAAGGGGATCGGCGACAATGTCCTCCTTTTGCTTCGCTTCTTCCTCTGTGATTTGCACCTCGGCGATGAGATCTGCCACCTCGCCCGGCTTCTCAAAGTACTGCGCAAGGCTGCCGTTATCCAGGCGAGCCGAGCCACCGCCCACCATTCCGCCACCCCTTACTCGGCGCCTCTTGTTTGCCGGCGCCCGTCCCCTTGCCTGCCCAGTCCGCGGATCGATGGCACCGCTCAGAGCCCTCTGGTTTTCTGTGAACAAAGTTGCGCTGACCTGTGCAAACTCTCGCTTCCACTTCAGATAGTTGCGGAGCTTCCTACGCATCATGAAAGCGGCAGACGGCTTATCCTCTTCTGGGTCGTGGAACTCCTCTACTACCTTGTCTGTCCTTGGCCGCACGTGCATGGTTTGTAAATAGTCGCGGAGCTGCCTGCATGTGTTCGTATCCGAGCACATGATGAGAATCGTGCCGTTCGAGTCATCCCGAGCGACGGGCTCGAAATACAGGTCGCGATCAATTTCTTCAAGGACTTCGCCTAGGACAGCCCACTTGGGCTGCTCCTCCAGCACTGGTCGTAAGGAGTCGATATTCGTATCTGGCCCGGCCTTCTGCTTCCCTGTATAGACCCGCCGTTTTGCGGTATCGAATATGGTCTGTGCCGCATCAAGGAACAGCCACGGGGACTGAGTTTGCCTGGTAGACCCCGGTTGAGGGGAATGTGCGGCGTGGATAGTGTCGAGTTGTTGGAGGAACGAGACAGCATCCAGGGCCACGATAGACTGAAGAATAGCTCGGAGAACTGTCAAGTCGTTGACAATTTGTTTGGTCTTCCAGCTAACTCGATGCCAGTTAGGGTCGAGCTGTCTTCGGACAATAACGTCAAAGTTCTTCAACAGAGCACTATCCAGATTCCAATCGTCCATTTCTAAACCACTGTTTCCCTTCTTCAGTTCGTGGATGCTGACTTCCACGCATTCCATAACTGCGGTCTGGATCTCCTTCATGGCATCGGTCATGGGTACTTCCAGCTCGATGACCTCGGCCTTCTTCTTGCCCTCCAATGACTGTGCGACAGTCATGTGGAAGCGAGGCCACAGGGATGCCTTCCGAAGGAACAAATTCCTCATCATGGTAGCCAGGGGCGAGAATCCCGTCGTGAATGGGTCTGGGTTGTCCGAGAGAGCTTTCAGAAAGCCATCCTTGTTCTTCTGCCTGTATATCCTCAAGATGAATGCTTCGAGAGATGTAGTAACGACTCGGTCCGCATGCAGAAGAATGACGCCGGTGATCGTCACAGGGTCCAGGAGATTCGTGAGGAGGTCGACGACTAAGATGCGGGATGTGATGCTGAATATCCCCCCCTGCGCATACATCTTCTCTCGGGCGCCGACACTCGTGAAATCGGTATTGACGACTGTCAACCCTCGCGCCTTGGGGGACATGCTGATGGCGGCATGTTCGGCAAGGGCTTCTCCGATCCATGCGTTTTCTCGATCTTCCGCGTTAACTATGACGATCAGGTTGTTGCCGGCCGCATCGTAGGAGTGTAGGAGGTTCGTGACGAGCCGCATGAGGCCGAGGCCTCGCGCAAGGATGACGAGCTCATCCTCGGCCCTAAGCTCTTGAAAGAGGTGTTGTTGATACTCCTGCCATTGAGCGAGTCAGAGGGGCATTGGCTTGGAAACCAGGACGCGCGACGATCGCTCAGGGTGGTCTTACAAGCGGTAGTGATAGCTTCACTGGCTGAGGTCCGTTGGTGGCGGACATGCGGGGCACCGTGCTCTGCGTGGGGATAGGGAAAATGTCGAGGGAATAGCATGGCCAGTAAGGCCCATGCTATGTACGGGTATGTACAGTATGGCGAGGCTGCGAATTCCACCACTGGAGTTTCATAAGCAGAGAGCTATTGGTTGGGCGAACGGGTTTGCTGGTGGCGAATGTGACGAATGGGTGCGTCCCGTCATGGAGAATAATTAGTCTCCAATCACGATAACCCGTGATCGCGACGTCATCGAACTCCAGGAGGTAGGAACACTGGAAGGTACGTAATTGTAGTCGTACAAGCAAAACCGCCATCCAGGTACATAAAGTTGGACAGTAGACGCCTCATCCATAATGACTTCCACCTTCCATCTCCTCAGATATAAGCCCGCCCACGCAGAATCCTAGCATAACCTTGAACCACTGCCCCAAACCCAACCTACTACACCACTTAGACAGATCAAGAATGGATTCCTCAAAGAACACCCAGCAGCAGGAGAAGAAGCCGGAACAGCAAGTAAGTTTGACCCTTGGCGTCAATGGGAACATACATCAGGTGCTGACTATTGAGCAGCCTGGCGATAGCGCTCGTTCTAAGGTTCAAGAGGGAGTCGAGAGTGTCTTCGAGCATCACAAGGCGGCCCCGGGGCCAGCAGTGCCCAAGGACTTCAATGTTGCCCAGGAAGGCACCAAAGAGGAGCGAAAAGCCAAGGCTCAAGAGTTGAACAAATAGCCGAGCTATCTATCTTCTCTGCTGCATTGCTCGTTGTAGTCTGGGTGGGAGGACTTGATTGACTACATGCGTATTCAGCCCTAACATTCTTCAGCATAGTAAAAAGCCAATAAACTTCTATCCTAAGCCGTGTCATTTGTGCCTTTCCACCTCCCCCGAGTTCCTGGCCGTGTTTTGTAACCCAGTCCAGCTGTGGAGCAACGCCCTGGGGAGGAATGTTGTCGCCGTAGACGCGGAGGGAGAGTGACTTGAAACTGCTTCTACTGGAATGCGTAAGCATGTACGCAGCAGGCCCCGCAACTTGACAACCTAGCTATGTACACCCGCAATAGGAACCTAGATGACAAGGTAAGTTAGATAAGGGGGATTTTTTCTAAAGAAAAGAAAAGAGAACCTGGTTTCAAGATAATCATCTCTTATTTCCTCCTCATTTTGCAAACTTAAGAGACGGGAGCCTACCTATCTATAGGGAGTGTACATTCGCTATATGCACACACAGTATTTCTTATCTGCACAGCGGGGTGGCTTACCGCGGTGACGCTATGAATGACTTGCTGGGCTACGCAAGCCCGTAGCTTCGTAATTCCGTCAAAGGTGCTGAGGCAACCTGGTTACCCTTGCCGCAATTCTTTCCGAACTCCGTAACGATTCCTACCTTTCCGAAAGACAGAAAGCTATCGATAATCCCCCCCAAACGGCCTAATAACTAGGTCGGTACCCAATAATCGCTTGCCTCCGCACACGCCGGCCAACGACCAGCCTAGGGACATCGGCGAGAAGAACCACGAACAATCGCAACCCCCAAACTAGCGCCCCCAAACCTCGCTCCATGTGTGCTTTTGCGCGTCTAGCTTGAGAGGGAGTGCCAAGCGAGGATCGACTTCTTTTCGCACCTCCGCTTCTTCTCTCCATCGCCCTCAGGATGCCGTCCATCCTCAATGAAGACGACAAGGAGACTGTCAAACGCTGCGTGCCCAAGCAGACAAACAAGATCCAAGCTGTCGCCGTAGCGAGGCTTTACGTCGCCTATCCCAACCGCTCAAAATGGACCTATACTGGATTGCAAGGGGCCGTGGTCTTGGCCAACGACCTCGTAGGCAACACCTACTGGATCAAGATGGTGGATATCTCGGTAAGTCGAGTCACATTGCGAGGGCAGCGCTGAGTCCTTGGACTGCTTGGACCTGACATGTTTGTAGCCGGCGAATCGAGGCGTCGTCTGGGACCAGGAGATCTATGAGGCCTGGAATTACAATCAAGATCGGATCTTCTTCCATACCTTCGAGCTCGAAGACTGTCTCGCCGGCCTGTCCTTTGTCGACGAGAAGGAAGCCAAGCAGTTCTTGAAGAAGATGAACGACAGGGAGAAGAACGCAAGCAAAGCGACCAGGGGCACGCCCTTCGGCGGAGCAGCACCGACAAGCGGCGGCCATCATAAGCATAGCTTGCTAGGAGGCATCTTTGGCCATAGGCATTCATCGGCTCCCACTCCGCCCGAGTCCCCGAGAACCAATCTCCCTCCTCCGCCAAACTCGCACCACTCGAGACTGTCATCGGGCAGCATAAACGACGGTCACAGCCCGCCCAGGGCTGTGTCGGAGTTTGCCTTGCTGGAAGCCTTTGATCCGTTCTGGAGGGAGCATTTTGGAGATGACTTAAAGTCAAAAGGCCTTACCGACGACTTCATCCGGGAGAACCAGGACTTCATCGTTACCTGGCTGAAAGAGGAGCAAGGACAGCAGCAGGAGCAGAGTAGACAAGCCGCTCCCCCTCCGCCGCCGCCAGCCCCCACGAATGGGACAGGAGGAGGCATGAGAGCTCCTCCACCACCCCCTCCTCCTGCTGGTGCAGCCCAGCGTCCGCATGCCGATGCCACCCTTAATGCCCCTCCTCCCCCACCAGCTCCACGGAAATCGGCAGCACCTCCACCTCCTCCGGCCCCGAGAAGGTCGGCCAAACTCGAGCCAATAGTGCACCAGGAGAGCCCACCTCGACAGGAGTCGCCTCCCGAGCCTGCACGACCAAGATACGCAGTGCCTCCACCTATATCCGATGCCGGGAAATATGCTCGCACCGAAGCTCTGGGCAGAGCCGTCCCAGCTGTCCCGGCAGCTCCGGGGCCACCGCCGCCTCCGAGGCCACCGAAGACTCCGATAGAGGACACCCCAGACGCACCAGCGCACAGGTTTGGAGTACCCCCGCCTTTCACTGGGCAGAGAAATGTCCCGCCAGCACCTCCAAGCCGCGGAGCCGGTCCCCCTCCTCCACCGGCCCGAGAGCGCGCCCCCTCGCATACCATACCAGTCGGAATGCCGCCTCCATTACCGCCCAAGACGGCGCCCGCGCCGGTCGCGCCGCCCCTCCCGCCACCGAGCTCGCGGCCTCCACCAATTCTGCCGACCAGGAACCAGGGGCCGCCACAACCGCCCCCGTTCCCAGCATCAAACGCCCCGCTGCCACCCCCCCTCCCCTCCTCGAGCGCACCGCCCCCGCCTCCCCTCCCGTCCTCAGGCGCACTCCCCGCTCCACCACCTCTCCCACCACCAAACACCGGCGGCGGTCCACCCCCACCCCCGCCACCGCCACCGGGTGGTCCCGGCGGCATCCCGCCTCCGCCGCCCCTGCTGCCGAACCGCGACTCGGGCTACTCGTCGGGCGTGCCGCCCCAGCTGGCGGCAGCCGCGCCGCCGGCGCGCTCGGCCGTGCTGGACGGCATCCAAAAGGCCGGCGGCATCGGGTCGCTCAAGAAGGTCGACCGCACGCAGATCCGCGACCGCAGCAGCGCCCAGGTGGGCGGCGCTGCCGCCGCCGATACGGGCCCGCACGGGAGTGGGCTGCCGCCCGCGGGGGTTGCACCTGGGGCTGGTGGCGGAGGTGGGATGGCGGATGCGCTGGCTGCGGCGTTGCAGAAGCGGAAGGAGAAGGTTAGCCGGAGTGGTGAGTTTTCCCCCTCTTTGTTCCCCCCTTTTGCGATCGGCTTTTTTCCTCTTCTCTCGCTGTCTATTTTCTGCTGCTGACCCGGTTTTTCAACTAGATGACGAAGATGATGATGATGACTGGTGAGATGGGAACTTGTTCGGGGAGGTTCGTTCGGGAGAGTTGTGTGTGTCTGGGTGGGAACGATGAAGCGTGGAGACGTAACGATTGGGAGGTTCTACGGGCTTGCCTGGCCGCGGTTTTGGATTTTGGAGTGATCACCTCTATTATTCGTCTTCAGTCGCCCTTCCATCGAGAGCGGCTGTTACCTTTTTGGGGGAATGGGTTTCTATTACACGTCCGCTATGCACCGGCATGTGCAGTGGGACTTGCCGTGTATTGGGAGTGCCCTGGCTGGCCTGACGTTACCGTTGATGACCAGTGCCCGGTGCTTTAGGCCAGGAGAGAAGTAGCTTCTGGGCTTTCACGAGCTCACAAATGTGCAGAATGGACACAGTAGTAGAGTTAGAAGACGTTTGGGGGGCCAAAAAGCATTTCATTACGCGTCATCTGTCTATGGAAACTGGCGTGCCCAGACACCAAACGCGTAGCTAAAGATGCCTCCACTCCTCTTTTCACAGGATAAAATGCAGGATCAAAAAGTAAAATAAACTGAGCGAAGTCAAGTTGCGTCGTCCCCAGAGGAGATTAACAAGCCACGACGTCCCTCCCATCATGACCGTCGCCCTCCATGCGATACCAGCTGACGAGCCACCAACTGTCGGGGAACCCCGGTGCCTGTTTGCGAACCAGGCGGTGGGGGTTTGAGAGAGAAGACAGTTTTGTGCTTCCCTTGGCAGGATGAGCTCTAGGGAGATATACCACCCCATAACCAGCAGATGTTGGTTACGAGGAGAAACACTCGTCCTTAGAGCCAGAAGAGAAGGGCAGCGGCGCTGTACATTTTTGCCAGGCTTAAATGTCGTCGATCTCGATCTCCTTGCCGTCGGTGCCGACGGCAACGTCCGAGTCCTCGCTGTCGCGGTCCTCGTCGAACTCGAAGCCACAGTCACCATCGGCGTCGCCGAAGGTGTCGGTCTCGTTGATCTTGGCGCTCTCGGGCAGCTCGCCGTAGGCCTTGAGGGTACGGGCCTCGTCGGCGGTGTACTTGAGGATGACGTCGCCCTTCTCGTCCTGGTATTCGCGCAGCGAGAGCAGGATGATGTCGCCCTGGTTGATCCAGACCTTCTTGCGCAGCTTGCCGCGGATGTGGGCGAGGCGCTTCACGCCGTCGAAGCACATGGACTCGAGGCGGCCGTTGCCGAGCATCCTGACAACTTGGGCATATTCTGTTGGTGGAGTGAGTTAGCGCCGGTCAGGAAGGGGAACAAAGAGTTCCTTTCTGCTCGGGTGGTTGCTTGTCAAACATACCTTGGCCCTCTTCCTTGAAGGTAAGCTCACGCTTCTCCTTGTCCGACTCGTTCTTTCCCCTTCTGCGGTTTTTACCACCCTGGGATGGGATGTTAACATGACGATCTTGAGGGTGTCGCTTATCGAAGTGCAGAGGCGGGGTAAACAAGATGTGGGCTCACCTTTCCCTTGTTCTTCGGCATACTGGTTAGATAAACTTCTCAGTAGACTTGTGATAAAAATTCGAGAGGATAGAGTACTCTCGGGGAATACTCTCAAATGTTCAACGACCCTTTTAAATGTGAGGTCGAGTTGTAGTGATTTTTGTGGTTGTAGGAAAGAGTTTGTGACGAGGGGCAATGATTAAAGGCGAGGGGCAAGGGCGCTTTTGTCCTCTGACTCAACCTATCTCTGGGGGCAAGTGGCGGTGCAAAGTTGCATTAGTGTTTAACTAGGGTACCGGGTTTAAGCATTCCCGTCCGGGGGATATGGAGATGATATATGCAATTAAAAGGACTACAACCAAGAAACTGGACTAGTGTGGGTTCTAAATCTCTACAGAGTACATAAATAACTTCTCAGGGCATCGACGTCTTACTGCCCAACCATTGTCTTTCCCCTGGATTGGCAGAGGTGGCTATGACAAGGTGTATAGTTAAGCGCCCGTCGGAACCCACCTGGTCGCCATGATCATACGGCGCTTAGCGACGTATCGACCAGCGCTTCTGCCACCATCCCGCAACCTCCAACAACGGAGTCAGCAATACATCGGCATTCACAATGGAGCAAAGGCTCGCGTTCCGCCCGCTCCTTCGTTTCGGGAAGCTCCACATCCCGGGTCGGCACTACTGAGTTCGGATGCCATGGCTGTGGCCGTGAAGGGCAACATCGGTGTCCCTAATGAAGTCAAGTACTTTAGGCCTCAAAACCCCGACGAATTCCTGGTGGAAATCAAAGTCTGCAAGCGGCACACATTCTCGCCCTTGCACATGAAGTATCTCGAAAAGAGAGGCCACGCTCTGGCAGATATGTTCCTCTCCCTCTACTCGGCCAAACGAGAGCCCCTATGGTGGCTCTCTTTGGCCACCATGGACGGGAGCAAGGCCATCGTACGCAGAAAAGCAATCGCCCGGGCCAAGAATGCATTCAAGGTGGCACTCTCTCAGAACGGCTATGACAGATTCGGACGGAGGCTTGCGGTGGAGAGGAAGACCGACGACTCTGGGTCGGCAGGGGCGGCGGGCGTTTCCGATGACGGAGGTGCCAAGGCTATGGAGCTCTATGGGACTGTGGTATTCAGGGTCAAGGATTGCCGGGGCTTCATGAAGCTGGAATTGTCGACGGTAGTGGGATACTTCAGCGAATTTGTCCAACGTATTAAACCGCTGCTTGGGCAGAAAGGCTCAGAGCAGGATGGCCCACGGGATTTTCGCTGGTAGGGGACAGCGGCGTAATAAGGCTTCATATGAGGACCTGTTGTATATGGCTAGAATTGATACCCCCTATGAAATCGTGTAAATCATACCACATACTTTACTTTATGGACCAATTTTTGAGGATGCTGAAGCCGGGGCATATCCAAGGTGAGCAAAAAGGGCTAGCGTGTTCTGGGAAGGTAAGGAGGTGAGACCCGCCCAATCAATTTCTCGACATCTCACTGCGTTGCCAGCTGTCATAGCTCCCTGTCTCAGCCTCGCAACGGTGTCTGCAGCGCAATAGCGACTACCCGACTTTGACCCTATATCGAAAATCTTGCAATATAACATATCATCGAAGCCGATTGCGCGCGTTTCACCAACCACCGCGACCATGCTCGTGTCCTTGACAGTCGGCAAGGTCGATGCCGGCGTCACCGTCCTCCTAACCCCGGATAAGCGACTCGTACGTTCATCCCAGCTCCCGAGCGAGCTCTTAGGCCCTGCCATGGGAAAGGAGTTGCCACTAGCCAAACTCCCGAGCTGACCAACTTCGCCGCAGATCGAGTTCCCGTCCATCCTCCTCCCTCCAGACATCTCGTCGGGCTCGATAGTCGACATCACAGTCGGGCGAAACAAGGCGTCCGAGTCGGCGGCGGAGCGGGCGTTCCGCGCGCTACAGGACCAGATCTTCGCAGCCTTTGGCTCAGCCGAGCCGTCCACGCCGGTGCTGCGGTGCCGCAACGCGACGCAGACCAGCGTGGTGCTGGAGTGGGACCCGGTGCAGCTGGCAACAGCAGACCTGATCTCGCTGGCGCTGTTCCGCAACGGGCAAAAGGCCGGCAACATCCCGCGGCCGCTGGCGATGCACAGCACCAAGATCAGCGGCCTCGCCGTCGACACCGAGTACTCGTTCCACCTGGTGCTGCGCACGACGGCAGGGACCCTGGCCAGCGACCGCGTCACCGTTCGCACCCACAAGATGACGGACCTCAGCGGCGTCACCATCACGACGGGGATCCTGCCGCCGGCCGTGCGCGAGGGGCTCGCGCGCGCCGTCGCCCGCATCGGCGCCAAGCTCGTCGACGGCGTCCGCATCGACACCACGCACTTCGTCACCACCGAGGGCCGCGGCGTCCAGTGGGAGAAGGCCGTCGAGATGAACATACCCGTCGTCCGCCCCGAGTGGGTCGACGCCTGCGAGTCCAACGGCCGCATCCTCGGCGTCACCAGGTTCTACCTCGACGCTCTCCGCCCCGGGCCCGGGGAGGATGGCGCGCTTCCGGTGCAGCCCGCCGCCCAGCAGAAGGAGCTGCCCGAGACGCCGGCTGTGCAGAATGGGGATAGCCACGGTGGGGAGGCCGCCACCGGTGCGGCAACCCAGAGGAAGGAAGAGGGTGGTGACGACAACGAGTCGGATACAAGCGAGGATGAGCAGGAGGACAAGGTCAGGTCTGGCGGCCAGGACGAGCAGAAGGTCAGGGCAGAGGAGAGGGATCAGCAGAAGATGGCACTACGACCGGGGCAGTCGTCTCCTCAGCAAGCAACGGTCGAGGATGATGATGATGATGACGACGAAGATGATGATGAAGATGCCTCGCAGGAGAAGGGGGGCAAATCGCCTGGTGACGGATCCTCTTTCCAAGATGTGAAGCTTTAGATGCCCCCCCCCCCGTTTGCCATGGAACTCGTTCGGAGTTGGGAGGGTTAGACGGGAATTTCTACGTCCCCTTGTACCATTATCCATTCCAATGCTTTTATCACTGCGAGGCCATTTTTAGCGGGATAGATGGTCATCGGGGTTGCTTCGAAATAGGTACATGCTAATGGATTACGGACGTCGACTTCATACTCCCTACGCGTTTACTGCCATCCCGATCTTGGCCCTTTGTTGCTATATTTGCCCCCATTGCAGCAGAGGATACTATCGCAAGGAGCTCATCTTGAATGCCTTGGTTGTGTATCCTTGTAGCCCCTGAATCAAACTAATGGCAGAGAGGTAAGATCAGGATTAGGACTGGGGCAATCCCATTTGCTTTCCAATCGAATGTCCATATCAACCAAAGGGCTACAACTACCTAACCTAACGCCACATGTGCAGTACCATACAACTCCAACCTGCGAATCCATGAACCATTAAAGCCTCAGAAGTCCTCAAAAAGCCGCTGAAAGTTATCCCCCGACTCAGATCCTTCTCCCCCACCCTTACGACCGGCCCCCGTCCCCGTCCCCGAGACGAGCGAGCCATCAGAAAAGCCACCCAGCTCCGCCTCCCCGCCCTCCCCACCCCTACCATGCCGCCTCATCCCAATGCTCGTCTCAACCTCCCTCTCCTCCAAGTTCTGCCTCCTCCTAAGCTCCTCAAACCCAGTCTTCCGCACACCCCCCGTCACCCCGCGGTAGTGGAACAGCCCAGGCGGCGGCACCGCCGCCCAAGACCCCCCTTCCGAGCCGAGACCATGTTCCTCTCCCTCCTCCTCCCCTGTCTGCCCCTGTTCCTGTTCCCGACCTCCTCCACCTGCCCACCTCCCACGCCAGTCACCAGGTCCCCCTCCCCCGCGCGGCGGCGGCGACCACCCCGCCGCCCCGGCCTCGGACATCCGCGCCAGGCTCCGGTCGATGTTCTCGAGCAGCGGGATGATGGCGCCCAGCCACGCGTCTCCGCTCCCGCCGCCGCCAGCGCTGCGCCTCTCGAGGCGCGCCAGCCGCACCTCGAAATCGCGCTCTCGCTCCGCTTTCTCCGCCGCCTCCTCTTCGTCCTCGACGTGCGGCGCCCGGCGGCGTCGTTGCGAGCGGGAGGGGATACGATCCAGCGGCTGGGGCGGCGGGGGTTCGGTGGGGGCGGTCGACAGCGGCTCCATCTCGGCGACCACCCTCACAGGGCTGAGCTGCAGGTGGTCCGACAGGACGGACGCGCGGCGCGACCTCTCGGCCTGCTGCTGCCATGCGGCGGGCGGGGCGTCGGCCTCGCTCACGAGCGTCGGGCGGCGGGCCGGCGAGGGCCGGAGGCGCGGGGGCGGGCTGGGCGGCGGGGGTGTCGTCGTTGGCTTGTTCTTCTTCGTCTTCTTCTTCTTTTGGTGGTCGTCTTGCGATGTCCTGAGGGGCAGGATGTTCATTAGCGGGCCTGTCCCTGTGCCGCGGCGGTAGTGGGAGAGTTGGCGCTCTAGGGGGCCCTCGGGGGCGCTGGTGACGGAGTTTGTGTCGTCTTCGTCGTTGTTGTCGTCTTCTCTGTTCTTGTTGTCGCTGCTGCGGGATGCGGTTGGGGAGGACTCTTTGGGTAGTTCCGCGACCGGGGCGAAGACGACAGTGTCTGGGTTGGTGATGCTGGGTTCCTTGTTCGTGTCCGCCTCGGACGCGGCCAGGGGCACGTATCTCTGTGCCGTCGTGGCGTCGACGATGACCGGCTCGCTGCCGTTGGTGAGGACACTCTCCGCAATGGACGCTCGTGTCGCCATGTTCGACTCCGACGAAGTATCCCTGCGGTGACGGGGAATCATGGCGCTGTCCACGGACCCGCGACGACTTGAAGAGGGCGGCCCTACACCCAGACTCGACCGCCGCCGGGGCGAGGGGGTCATGTACGGAGTGAGAAACCCCGATGTTGAGCTTGACGACGAGGACTTCTGCTTCTGATGCTGGAAAATACTCTTCCGCGTGGATGGCGGCGCCGGGGCCCCGGCTACTTCTCCCTGTCGAGGTCTGCTCGTCGCTGGTCCGGGCGACGGACTCGTCGGGGACACTGGCGGAGTCATGGCAGCCGCGCGGGAACGGGGTTGCCCGCTTCGCTGAACTCGCATTAGGTTTTCGGAGGACTCGCGGTCTTCCACCACCGGCCTCAGGACTGTGACGACCCCGCGGTCGGAGGTGAGAGTCTTTGGGAGGCCGGTTCTTGGCTCGGCAGTTTTAGGAGGAGGACTTGGGTCCTCTGCGGCCTCGCGTAGAGGCGGCGGTGTTCCGGGGTAATCTCCCGACTCGTTCTTGGCTCGTAACTCTGGGTGGTCGTACTCGGTGGGAATCGAGATCGCGATATAGCGGTGTCCGTCAGTCGTAGTCCCAGCGACTGCCGAGTCCGGGAGCTTGATTAGCATCGGCCGAGATTTTCGGCAACGACTGGACTTCCTGCGCCACCCAAACAAGTTGAGGCGTGCCCATTTCACTTGCTCGGATGAGCACGATGACAGGGAGTAGGTTTCTGGAATGGACATGTAGTTCTCCGGTGGCGGCGTCGTATTCCGAAGGAAGTCGACCAGGTCTTGGGGGGGATTTTTCTCGTTATCCTTCTGGATCTTGTGTTGGATCTTGTCCTCGCCGACGTCGGGGTGCCGGAAGATGTCGCTTATGATGCTGGTCGAGTCCGACACCCTCCTGAAGGCCGGCGGCCGTTGAGAGGTGCGGGAACTGCACTCAACGGTTGGCTTCATTGGCTTGGGCTTCGAGCTGCCCGTCGCTTTGGTTGATGTCATTGATATTATCTGATACCGTCGTATTCCGTTCTCGCTTTGAGACATGCCACTGTTCAAACAACACCCTAGGTGCGAGTACCCTAAAGCCCCTCACGCTATTCCACCGAGGAGTGACGTCTGGAAAAGGGACGTGTTGGAGGCTTGCCTGGGCAGTGTACACTGCAAATCTGAAGATATCGCGAGAAAGAGCTAAGCCAAGAACTGGGGTATCGAAGATCGATACTGGAACAAATCAGCGGTGACGTGACGCCATTAAGAAGGTAGAAGCAGGGGCCATGGAACCACAACCAAGGGGTGGAGGGGGGGCGCTGTGAACCTCTGGTATCAAGAGCTGGGATGCATGATGAAGGCGACTCACTGGAGTCAACCCGATATGAAACTCACTTCCCGGTTGGGCATTGTGGACCGGGCGGTACTGCATGGCTGAGCAGTACAGAGCAACCGCGCTGGTGATGGTGGGCTACTCGATTCAGTGATCTAGAAGTTTAAGGTATGCTGTTCATGCCCTGGGCGCCAATCACGTCTGTCTTCTGGACGTTTCGAGGGTACGAGTGAGCAACGACTTATAAGGTTCACTAGTCCGACGGAGGGGGCCTCTGTGCTGAGTAGAGCAAAGGATCAACCGATCCGGTCCCGTCCGGGAGGCAGTCGAGTCAGTTGCTTGCCTTGCTTGGTGGGACGAACAGGCAGAGTCCTTGTAAGCTTCACACCAGAGGCCCATTCCTCAAGCAGTGACAGCCCTAAAAAACCGTTGCCGCTATCCCCAGCTTATTGCCTAGCTCACTTGAGCCGTTGCCAAGGAGGGACGACCAAGCTTGATGTCGTCGTTTCGTGCCTTACGCATTCGAGGTACCTCTAGGAGTGAGTGATATTGAAGCTTCTTGCTTGGACCAGCACATCTCCAGAGCAAGCCCCAGGTAGGCTTTGGGTAGGTGCGATCAGTAGGTAGGTTCCTATGGGCGTCGACAACTTGCAGAAATACCTAGGTAGTATCTACCTTACTGTGGGTCAGGGAGCTCTGAGGTTCTGGAGCCCTCGCCCATGACATCACGAGCATATAACGCAGCAAGCCGGAGTGTGGGAGTGAGTGAGTGAAGCAACGCTTGGGTATCCGCATTCCTGTCATCACCTGAATTTACAAGCCAGCTGATAAATCAGGTTTTGTCCGATAAGCCATGGGCACAGCTGTCATCCCACTGAAAGAGAAGGAGCAGAATCGGACGGTTAGGCGAGGCGTCTTGTCGAGTTTGCTCGAGGAAGCTGATGATGGTGATGAACCTTGTACCTACCTCATGTATTCAAGGCCTGAAATTCCCGGCCAATCAGAGGTGTCAGGACAGATACGAATAGGGGGTCCGAATAGGGGTGAGCACGTAGCAGCGGCTCACGTCTCAGAATCTGGCCAATTTTACGAGGCGCAAGCAATCACCACGGAACCATTAGCAGTAGCACCTGCTCTCCCATGAGCCATCTGCACCACCGGTCTAGTACCAAGTCGTTTTTCGAGGTACCATACCGAGTGGGGGGAGGGGGAAAAGCCTAAATAGGGGGCGACATGCGTCGCGTCAAACTCTCTCTCTGTCCAGGTCCCACGGATGCAAAAGGCAAAACGCGAGCCAAAGAGAAGAAAAACAACAGGCAAAAACGCCTCCAAATGCCACCGGAATATCGTCTGGTGCTTGGTCGTCCCCAAGGCCCTGGCCAGATATACGGAAAAAAAGGGAATATGCCATCCGTGCCCTGACCAACTTCTAAGGAATCTCGCCGTGATTCCATGCTGATGAAACGAACCGAACTGACTTGCTTTTCCCTTGTCCGTTTGTTGACCTGCAAAGCCTTCAACGCCATCTCTGTGCTGTGCTGCGTGACTGACCAAATTATGGCCATGCAAAAAGATATGCTGAATAGGATTTTGAAATGCCATCCGCCTCTTATGAGACACAAAGTAAACGCCTCGCCTATGCATCATAGCAAGGGATATCCGTAGTCGTACATTGGAACAATAGGTTGTACAAAGGGGGGTCCTCGGTATAATTACCGCTTATTAGGTTTCTTCCTGATGAATGGATCCGCAGCCGGTTTCTTATGGGGACCGTTGGGTCTCTGTTTCCAATGTCAGGCCGCCAGTGTCACGTTGCGGGACAGACGAATGCCGCCAACTAACCTTCGGTGGGTTGGGATGGGGTCCCGGTCTCTCTGGATGTGTTGAAGAGGGCCCGCGTTGTTGGTTATTGGCGGGGCCTCTAGGGGGAACCCGAGGAGGGGGTGGGGCAGAGGGAGGGGGTGGGGGCCGTTGCGGAGGAACCAAGCCCAAGACTTCCATCGCAGATGGATCGGTGGGCGGTGGAGGAGGCCTATAGGCCTTGGGGGCTCTTGGAGCCCTCTGAGCTCCTCGCAGAATCGAGGGCGCGTTGAGCATCTACGGTTTCCAATTTAGTCATTCCCAAGTGCTGGCAGTCGATTATTCAAAGCCTTGACCTACTCTCTTCGCCGCCGGGTGAGTATTATCACTGGCGTCCAGGGGCCGCTTCTTCCCGGCGCTGGAACCCGGTTCCGGTGCCCGCGAGGCGTGCACAACGGGACGGTCAACCTCATGTGGGGTGACGGGTATGGCCTGCCCATTAGCATCGAAGCCTCCAATGATTGGTGCCCCGTATGAGGAGTGTGGTCTTCGAGGTCCTGGTTTCTCGACGGCTCGATGTGCAGCCGGAGCTTCAGGAGGCTGGATGGATTGTCGTGACGGAGGTCGCTGGGGAAGGTTAGGAGCATCGGTCATCTCTACCGATTGCCGACGCCCAGGAGGCGGAATGGATTGTCGTGATGGTGGTCGCTGGTGAGGGCCAGGAGCATTGGCCGTCTGCAGCGGAGTGGTGGACCGAGACGGGATAGAATTTTGCGACGGTGGTCGCTGGGGAGGGTCAGAAGTATTGCCCATCTGCACATCAAGAGGAGTAGCAGACCGCCGAGGCTGAGGAGCCTGCCGAGACTGGTTAGCATAGGGCGATGCAGTCGGAGGAGGTAGGGAGCCTCGTACTTGTGCATCCGGCTGCTTCAACAGTGCCATAACGTCGCCGTTCGTATAGAGATTACGGTGCTTTGCATCTGTGATCAACTTTGCCCAGAACTCGCCCTGGACGAGGGCGCGCGAGTCTCCAAGAATCCACAAGGACGACTTCGCTCGAGTCAGTCCGACGTTCATCCGGCGGATGTCCGTCATAAAACCGATGCCTCCGGTTGGACTGGCCCGGACGCAGGAGAATATGATGATCTCGCACTCGCGGCCCTGGAACGCGTCCGTGGTGTTGAACTCGATCTGCTCCGTGATGCCCTCGCCGTATCTGTCCGTGAAGCGCTGGCGCAGTGCGAATAGTTGCGCCTTGTATGGAGTGATGATGCCGATCTTCCCTTTGAGGTCGAGCTTACTATAGTCGATACGGAATCGGTCGTAGAGTTGCATTGCAACCTTGAGTTCCTCGGCGTTGACCAGAGACTGGCCCCTGTTGCCTCGTTCCTGGACGCCTCGGACATCGAAGAACCTGTAGGGCCCCAGAAGACCGCTCTGGTGCCACGGCTGCGCCCGTAGCTGCGCCATATCGGCGCCGTCTTCCAGACGACCCTCGTAGAATTCCTGACTAGGGAATCGACTGATCTCTGGGTGCATGCGGTACTGCCGGTCGAGTAGATGGACTTCGTCCGGATGATTTTGTTGCATCCGGACGAACAAACTCTGATCGTATCCAAAACGAGCGGCAGACTGCGAGAGGACGGTGGGCGGCAACTGCTTGGGATCTCCGACGAGGATACATTTCGAGCAGCCGTATTTGAGAGGGATGAGCGCACTTAGTTCCACGCACTGCGCCGCCTCGTCAATGATGACTGTCTCAAACTCGACGTTCAGATTCTTGAACATCTCGTGCCCGCTGCCGCTTAGGGTGGCGCATAGCACCTGGGCCTTATCCAGGACCTCTTGTTGGATCTGGCGACGCTTAATCTCGACCTCTCGTGCGTAGGTATTGCCATTGTCCTTGGCGGCGTCGATCCTGGCGCCGATGTGCGCCTGTCGCCGCTTGAGCTCGTCGAATTCCCGCTGCAGCTTGAGACACGAGCCCCTATCCGTGCTCTCTCTGGCAGCCTCGAGCTGAGGTCGCAGATCGGCGAGCTTCTGCTTGACCTCGGCGGCTTCCTGATGCATCCGCTCCCTGTCGCTGACGTTGCCGTTCTTTTCCATCTCGGCGCTCATCCTAGCTTTGACCAATTCGTCCAGGGTGACGTCTTTGACCGCGGCGTTGATGGCCTCGCTACGCCCGAGGCGGATGACTTCGAGTTTATGGAACGAGCCGTTCATGGTCTTGACGCCGGCCTTGAGACGGACAACGAGTTCGTCCACGGCGGCATTGGAAGGTGCGCAGACGAGGAGCTTCTTCGAAGGGCTCCGATTTGATGGGCTAGGGCCTCCCAACGGGCCAGCCCCCGGGCGAGTGATGGCCACTGCGTCGTTGGGAGACTTGAGCACGCCGGTCATCAGCGCGCCGACCATGGCAACGATTGTCTTTGTCTTGCCCGTTCCGGGAGGTCCCTGGACGAGCGTGAAGCCGTCGTTCTCTTTTGCGTTCAGAATCGCCTTTGCCTGACCCGGGTTGACGTGATAGTTCTTCACGACATCCTCAACCGCCTGGCTTCCGAAGCGAAGGATCGGAGACGGTTCGGCTTTCAGGACTTCGTCCATGAGATCATAGTACTGCAGACTCTCGAGGGACGCATACTCTCGCTCGATGGTTATCATGTTGGTGATCTTGACGGCGTAGAAGTCGGCCCCAGGGAGCAGGACGGGAAGGATCTGGTTGTTCTTGCCGATTAGGCGGTACACGACCTCGACCGACTCCTTTTTGTAGGTCGTCTTCCAGATACGGGCAAGGCAATGAGGAAGATCGCTCTGCCGGAGCGGATCCTGTCCTTTGGAGAGGAGGATGATGTCGCCCTCTCCCAAGCTTCGGTCCCTGGTTGGCGTGAGGGGCATGGATGTGGTGACCTCTAGGAATCTGTCGACGGACATGCGATTGACCACCTTGATGCCGAACGGTCTCGACGTGGACTCGTCCTTGGACGTCACAAACGAACGCCAGGCCTCGTAGATGAGGAGGGGTAGGAACGTCTGCTTGTACTCGTGGGGGCTCAAGTAAGCATTAGCAACGTTGGAGCATTGAACACCGTTGGGTGGGTCGTTGCCCGTGTGGAAGATGTCCCATTGCAGGATGGCCTCGTGCAGGACATCCATGGGCGGGATGAGGCGAGCACGCATATCCTTCGCAGACCGTTGCAGCTTGGTCTTCTTGACAGGACGTTTCTCTGCGAGCATCGCTCGTTGCTGACGACGAGCAGCTTCATCCATCATCTTCTGGCCGGCCCTGCCCTGGTTGAGCAACGCGGCATCATCGTCCGACTCGTCCTCGTCCTCAGACGAGCTGCCGACCATGATCTGGTCCTTCTGACCGCCTTGCGAATGATCCTTGCCCCTGACGCCGGCGATGCCCTGGAGTCCAGAGCCCTCGCCCGGAACGATCTTAGGGGGTGCACGCAGGGCTTTCGCTTTGGCGATTGCTTCGGCATCTCTCTTGGCCTTCTCTGCTTTCTCCTTAAGTCTAGCTTCCTTAATCGAGGCTTGAGTTGCGAGCAATAGCCTCTGGTCGGGCTTGGACGCCTGGCGAGCCTTGATCTTATCAAGGGTTGGCCGGTACTTGTCGACCGAGCTGGTCAAGTCGACAACGTCTTCTCGGTTGGTGCGAAGGGCAGACCTGCTCGACTCGGCGGCCTTTGAGAAATCAAGCCTGCTCTGCCTCTTCACCTTTTCCTTGTCCTGTGATTTGGGGGGCGCTCTGCCGAGATATTGGAGCTCGTCATCTTCGTCCTCAACGTCTGCCCCGAAGGCTTTCAAGATCTCGACCCGCTGGGTATCGTTCAAGTTCGTCTTCGACGCATATTCCCCCTTCTCCGTCATCTTGCAGCTGTTCAGGATCATGGCAGTCGGCTGATGCGGCAGTACCATTTTCTGCTCCCGCAACCGCCGAAGCAGCTTGACGAGGACGCTGACCGTCATGGAGACCAGATACGGATCGCGAATCTGCAGCATGCCCACTATTCCGATCGAACAGACCCGGGGTGGCTCAAGCACATCTCCCAGAGCTGCGGCGGTTGCATCGCCGCGCGAATGAGCCGTGTTGCTAGTTCTGTCTAGGCGGCTAAAGACTGATGCCATGAGACCGTCTTGGTCGAGGAACTTGTCAGCAAGTTCCATCGCCGTGCGGAAAAAGTCCTCCAGCGTCCTCTTATCATTCCGCTCATGCCATGTTTTAATGGTCCTAAACGAATGGTTCAGGCAATGCCATTCGGACTGCCACCAGCGTCTAAGCGCCCCGAGCTCTCCCTGCGTCAAGGTCCTTGATCTCAGTAGGCCTACGGACGGGTCGCACAGACCGTTCATGATATCTGCGCTAAGTTGCAGAGTGGGCGGAACGGGAGTAAAAGGATTGTTGGAGTCTTTGTCGATGGTAACGGTCTTCACCGCCCCCGAAAAGGCGTCCAAGAAGGGACTGAAATACTCTTCGAGCATCTTGTTCACGGCATTGGAACGCGAGGCTTCACCAGTGATGGCCTTGAGCAGGTCTATACCGGCCTCCCTGATGACGTCCTCGCCGTGAATGAGGGATGCCACAATGGGGTAGATTGTCCGGCCGGGAATCTCGGCACAGAACATGTGCAGATCACCAGGGTTGAAGTCAGACAACCGCCGGAGCATCGTCCCTATTGCTGCCGTAGCCTTCTGGAATCTCTGGTTGAACTGCTTCTTAGGACCGTCGTCCAACCTTTCGCCCCTGGGCGGCTTGAACTGCTCGATACTCCGCAGAGGCATGATTGCCATGAGCATGGCCCTGGCTAACTCAACCCTACCCGGCCAGAGCATCTCGGTGAAGGACTCCCATAATTGGCCGGATCGCCTCTCCAGGGTCTGCTGCGCCCCGCCCGTCTCGTGGATCGCATTCCACTCGACCCGGATGGCCTTCGAGTCGAGTGCGAGAGCCGAGTGGATGGTGGCAACGGCCGTGCTGGACAGGCCGACATCGTACCTATCGCCCGGGCGCCGCTCGGCAGAGCTAACTATGACCTCGTTGTACTTGACGACGAGGTTGATGAGCGTGTTGATGTATATGAGAGAGGTTCCGGAATCCACTCTTGCGCTGGGATCGAGGAAGCCCTCCAGGGTCACATGGAGGGCCTTCAGGCCGGCCAGAGTGCAAGTGGCTTGACCGTCCGGAGTGCAAGTCGGATCGACCCTGAACTTGTCGAAGAGATGGCGCAGGAGATATTCGCAGAGCTCGGTTCTGCGGCTTATGGGAAGCGACTTGACCGAGGCTTCCACCCACGCTGCCAGCGCCGGCGTGGCATTATCACCCTCTTGGACCATCATTTCGGGCGCCAAAGACTGAGCGAGCAACGGCCGGAAAGCAGGGCTCACAAATATCGTTTCTGCGAGCTGGTTAGGTGTCACTTGGTCATATGCGGCCCAGAAGGCCTTGGGCGACTTCTCCATCAGAGCACGGAGTCCCTTCATGACAAGTGCGAGCGCCTGGTCCGAGTCAGTCCTAGTGTGGTCCAGGGCGAGATGATAGACACTCGGCTGCACTTCCATGGCCCGGAGCGAGTGTACAACCCGTTCTTCGCTCAGGGCATTCAGGATAAGGAGGAACCCTTGCCAGAACGTTGATATTTTCTCCGCGGTGGGCGTCCCTCTTGCGTAAGACGCATCTGTTATGGCTTCCACCAAGTTGTCATGCACCGCCCAGTCCCACACTTGTTGGGAAACGGACCCAGGCGCAAGAATCTCCCATCCCGTCCTGGCGAACATGTTCCGATAGTAGTCCTTGTCGAAGAGGAAGTATGTCATGGTGGGGATAAGGCCTCCCTGCGTTCGGAGCGGCTTCTTCTGCTGCATTTTCTCGAACACGAAGTTGAACTTTACGCGGTTCTCTGGGTTGCTCAGATATGGCATGTTGCATAATGACTCGAAGAGCGCGATGACGGCTGAGATGCTGAAACGAGCCATTCTGGTCGCGTTCAGCGGCCCATGCTCCTTGATGAGTCGTTCCGCTTCCTCGACGCCAGCGTCTATCCGGACCTTGTCGAAATGGTTGAGCTTCTCCTCCATGACACCGCGGATATCATCGTCGAAAAGGCTGGAAATATGTTAGCTACAACATTCGCCTCGGGATGGTGGCGGGTGGCCACATACTCCATGGTGAGCTTCAGGAATGGCTCTCGACCCAGGTGCCAGCTTCTCACGCAGCGGTCGCACCTGGTGAGAAATCCTTCGAGGCGCTTAGCCCAGACCTCTATCCAAGTACTTCCCTGCTCTTCGCTGAGGCCCATCAGGAAACATAACCGGTAGGTGATTTCGTGTCGCTTCTTAGCGTCCTCGAGCCTCCGTTTTTTCTCCTCCGCTGAGATGTCTCCAGGGTCGTCAAGGTCATCGTAATTTTCGCAATCGTCATCATCTACCTTGGGGCAGAGTAGGTGTGCTTCCGGTGGTATTTCTTCCAGCTTATGGTAGTCCTCCATAATCATGCTGTACAGCTCGGCCGGGGGCAGCATCTTGGCGGGGCGCAGGTCATGCCGTGAGGCGATGACGTCGGGAAAGCGCTCTTGAGACTCCGATTAGGGAAGTTGGCGGAAGGTGAGGGAACCAGCTGGTCAGCGTGGGAGGGTTCGGCGTGGGGTCGGTTGGAGTGGGAGGAAATCGATGGTGAGAGGGGTGAAACCGTGAAAGAAGTGAGAGGCAGAGAACAACGAGGTGATTCTCCGGCCATGTAACCGGGAATCTACCTAGTTCCTCCCACAATACTGCAACTTTTATTTCGCCTCTCTGGAAGAAAATGCAAGAATGGAAAAGATTTGGATTTATAGGAGGAAGTCTGGGTCCGGCCAGTGGAGGTTCGGCAGACAGGATCCCGGTCAGGTCGCGTTATGGAAAATGCTCGGCACGAGCACGCGTCGGAGAAATCTATCAAGATCCCTGCACACTCGACTTTCTTCAGTGATAGTGGGGTATTTGCAGCTGTGCGCAGCTGCCACGGAACCCAAAGAGCTAAGGTATCTGACCTTCCTCAACCTCTCCCTCTCTACAGATCCGTACAATGGAATCAAGGATCTGTCCTGGGATGGCAGAGATTAAAAAAGCTAAGAATCAGGAACCAGATCTGAGCAGAGTGGAGTGAATTTTCTAAGTCGCCAAAACTAGGTACCTAGGTAGGTAGGTATCTTCTTTATAATCTCCTAATCTGGCAGGTCAGAATTTGAGATCCCAGGCACCTTGTCACAAGCAAGCAAGCCATACTCCATTCTCCTCCTAGGGCGGCTACTCCTCCAACGTCTCGGGTGTTCCTTCCATATCCTTGTCTCTGTCCTTGCTTCTGTCAAGCAGGTGCTCAAGGGGGCAGTCTGGCGCCTCATTCCAGTCGCTTGTGCCCGGCTTGGTTGCCTTTCGGCACTTGAAGCATTGTTGGCCATGGCGGATAAAGAGCTGGTGCAACCCGTACTTCAAGTGGTCTGGGACTTTGAACTCGCCGTGGTTGAAGCTGTCCAGTTCAGTGGCTTTTGCGGGGACCCATTCTAGCCATTGGCAGAACCTGTGGACGTGGGTGTCGACTGCAAAGCAGGGGATACGCAAGCAAAAGAGAATGACGCATGCAGCTGTCTTGACTCCGATACCTGGATATTTCAGGAATCCAGCCATGGCATCCTCTCTGTTCATGCTGTGGTAATGATCAAGAGAGAGGATGCTTTGGCTTGCCTTCTCCACCTCCAACGCCTTCTGGCCTTCAGACTCGTTCTCCGCGCCTGCCACAGGGGCGTCTGTCTCCGTGGCCTTGGCTTCCATGTGTGCCTCTGCCCGTGCCATATTCTCCTCATGGACCATGTCCAGAATTGCCTTGATCTGCCCCCCCTTAACCTGTGCGCATCCAGCTGGTTTGATAGCGCCAACGAGATCCTCCAGTGAGGAGAGTCGGACCTTGTTCCAATTGATGCTACCAGCGCCGATGCCATCCTCGAGAATACCGAATTTCTTCACCAACCCTCTAATAGCCTCGTCAGCTCTGGCCATCAGAGTGTTGCCGCTTATGAGCGTTCGCAGCAAGGCATCTAGCACCGAGGGCACTTCACCACACCCAGCAACCTCGAGTGATGGGGCTGGGGCCTTTCGTGGTTGAGTCACATGGCCATGAAGCTCGGTCAGGATTGTGTGGACTTTCTCGCATGCTTCGGGAGTAGGTCCTGATCGGTGTGGGTAAGGTGAGTATCCAGGGGTCAACCCATACGGATTACCAGCGCCCCTTTTGACTCTCATTCTGAAATCGGGATCAGGCTGAGGAACAATCGTAATCTCGGAGGGCTCATCCTTGTTTGATTTGTTGCTTCCCACAGCTGTGGCACACTTCACATTGCTGACACTCGGAGCTTCCGTCTCCTGGTTAACAAGGGCTGTATATTGAGCTGCTTTAGTCGCAGCTCTGGTGATCCTCCGGCGTTTGGCATGACGGCCATCTTCGCCCCCTTCCCCTTCCCCTTCCCCTCCCGTAGGATGTACCTCCTCCTTATCCTCATTTTTGAGCTTCTCACTACCGGTGGCAGCAATTTCTGCGACTGAGCTGCCTTTGGTAGGGGCGTCTTCTTCCTTTGGAGTCTGCGCAGCAACCTTTGTGACCCTCAGGACTAAGCGAGCCTGGCGTGTGGGGCCACCGCCTGTCGTCTTTGTCGCCTTTGCTGTCTCAGCCACCCGGATAGAGCTGGTATCTCGGACATTGGCCGTATCCAAATCATGAGAAGCCTGGGGATGGCCAGTCGCAATCCCAGCTGTAGGCAGTGTGCCCATGCCATGGGGAAGAACATCCCATCCCCCCTTCACTGGTTGAGTGGTTGAGGGAGTTGACCGTTTTCTCTTCGGTCTTGGGGGAGGTTTGGGGCCGTTGACAGCTGGTTTTGGGTCCAGGGGGCTCATGATGGTTGGGCCGATTGCAGCATCTTCAGCGGCAACCTCGGTTGCTTTGTGAGCAGCTGAGCGAGTCCGCATCTTGATGAACACGTGGATAAAGATAGTCGTCTCAGTCTGTTGGAGCAGATATTGTGGACATTGAAGTATAGCCACCAGCACTCAGATGCTGAAGAAGAGGATAAGAGTGGAAGAAGCAGCTCCCAAATAGAGGAGGGGAAATGTGTCTAGGGGATAGAAGAGAACACGGCTCTTCAGATTTCGCCACCTCAAGCTTCCAGTGAATAATAGCCTTCAGGTTGTCTTGAACTGTGATGAATCACGCGGGCAGGGACATCTATGGCCCCGGCAAGTGAGTATGCGAGGGAGGGGTCGATGTGAGGGTTATCAGATTGTCCAGTGTGGAAGGAACGAAGAGGAGTAAAACAGGCAAATAGACGAGACGTATCCCGCGGAAATCGTCACAAACTGCTGTGGCTCAAGGCCCCCGAGGTCACAGCTGTTGCTGTCTATGTCCACGTCTTTGCTTTGAAGATCAGTTGGTGTCATGTTGAGGAATTCCAACTTGCGATTGTGTGCCATGCCTACCTGCAAGGTAGGTGCAAGCTGCGTGTGTGGGGTGTGGCATGAAACCTAAAGTGGAAGGTTCGAGGGGTATGATTGCTTTTGTGGTTGAAGAAGAAAAAAAACTTAAACCTGGGTGACCCAAGATATTGGTATGTACAGTACATACATAGAAACACTTGGAAGGATCAGCTCACTCTAAGGAACCTTCCAAGCTGTCCTGCGGGCCGTGTTCTCTTCCACACTTCCCTAGCCCCTGAGACTCGGATTTTTTTTTTTTTTTTTTTTTTTTTGGGATTGGTGGGGTCAAGACTTCACAACAGTCGGATCTCAAATGGAATATCAGTTTTCAATATGACCGTTTTGCTCTTTATCTGTTTCATTGTTTGCTACCTAATCATCAATCTAACCCTCGCTCTCATCATTGACAAGACAGCGTTGGGAAAGGTTTTCCTTGGCTACGATAGCATGCAGTAGTTAGGTGGTATCTAGGGATCAACCCCAAGCGTCCTGGAATTTCCCCCTTCACTTCGACAGCACCTGTCCCACTTAGAACACGGCGAGGGCAATGAAATGTCGGCTAGGAGGTGTGGATGATGATAATACGGTCGCTCGTTCCCTTACCTACGCATCTTAAGGAGCGTGCCATAGAGGATTGATGTGCTGTACAGTGCAAGGGAATTAGCTAGGACACGGCTGCCATCGAGTCACATTGGCAGTGCTGAGTTGACAGTTCACGGCCAAGAGCGCTGGACTTCAGTATGGACTTCAGTACTGCCGGATAATTCCCCTGAGAATCTCCCCAGAGACCTTGCAAACCCTTGATAGGTATCTCCAACGTAGCCTGCAGAGCAGAAAAGAGCGTTAGCCAACGTTCAGCAAAACGTCTTTCAAGGTAATGGCATTAGGGAGGGTATTTTGAAATCAGTTATTCGTTTTTCCGCAGCAGAATGCTAGGAAGTCGAGGTTATTGACAGTGAAAGGTCATCATTCTCAGTGGGTCGGGGGATAATCGACTGTAGGGGAGCCGCAAATTATTGAATACCGTACCTTTGGGATAATACTTGATTCTGAGCTAGCAGTACGCGGTTTATGATGACGGTAGACGCATGCCAGAGCTGAATCAATGATGAACGAATCAGCCATCCACTGGTCGTCAGAGTGGATAGATGTTTTCGCCGAGAAGACCATCTCCTTGAAGTTATTCTCGAAAATGACCCCGTCGTTGAGCTTGGCTAGGGCAATGTCAGTCTCGCCCATCCAACGCGCTGCAAGCCCAACAGGTGTGCCTGGGTCGCCTTGGACAGCCACGAACGTTCGGGAGGCCTTATCATCTGCCTGGCCAAATTTGTTGGAGTGCTTTTGGTGATGATCCTCCCAGTTAGGGTACCAGCAGGTCAGCCTCTGCTCCCCATGTTCCTCAATAGCACAACATCTGTGACTAAGGAGTAATGTTTCCAGTCCTATCAGTAGAGCTGATCATGGTTCCTGGGGCAAATTTCCCATGACTTCACATGTTCTTCTCCATCGTCGGGCGTTGGAGTTGACGTTGTGTTCGACATGATGAAGGAAAATGAGGAAACAAGGTGGACATGGGCAGATCAAGGGAAAATTTTCGTTACCCACAGCAAAAACCCCACCACGTGACCCAACCCCCTGACAAGTGACAAGGATCATCTAATTGGTATCACCAGTAATTAGTCCGTAAAGGGACGCCTGTTCGTCCTCGCAAGCCTGAAGACAAACTAACCATCCTCGCAACGCCCGTAAAGAAAGGAGACGGCGTGACTGGCAATATTTACAGGGCCACCGCTTCGGCTTCGCGAGTCTCGCGCTCCTTCTGCACTTCCGCAAGCCGTCTCTCCGTGGCCTCGCGAGCCTCGCGCTCCTTCCGCACTTCCGCAAGCCGCCTCTCCATTACCATCCCCAGGTTCCGGAACATGCGCGCCGTCCGCGCCATCTCGCGCTCTGTCATTCCGGGCAGCATTGCAGCCAGTACCCGGGCCTCGTTGACCATGGTGTCGTCTGCTGGGTCGTGATGCGGGACAGCTGCACCTGCTTCCGGTACAGCTGCACCAGCTTTCGGGACAGTTGCGCCAGCCTTTCTCTTTTTGGCGGGAGGCAGGATAGGGGCACTAGAGGCAGCTGCAACAGGTTCGGGATCAAGGCTAGAAAATTGGCCTAGCGGCGAGGGCGTATACGTATTTAGGTACGGCATTACGGCATCCCGTACGGATACATGGGCATCGGCATGTATGGGGTGTATCCCATATTCGGGCCGCTCATCATGCCGCCCATCGGGCCGTTCATGTAGGTGTCCAGGCGCACGGCCGTACTCAGGAGGGCAGTGTGGAGATAGATTTGTGATCTCTCTCCTGAGTCCTGATCGACTTATAATCGACCATATGCAAGCGTCCACTGTCAAGGCCAGCCTCAAACTATGGCATGGGTACCTTGATGCGATGATCATATCATTAATCCCACGAAAGTCATGGACAGTCCGGATGCTCCCTGGGACGAAGGAGAGCCAGGAAAACCCAATTTGAATCGCAGCAGGCAACCAACCACTTCAGCGATTTCCATGGGAATGAGAATCCGATTAAGCCAACCTGTTCGAGACAGCTGACTTGGCAACGTCTTCTTTGTTTCTCTTAGCTTGGCAATTCTTCAGGTCTCAGGTCTATCCTAGAATTCTGGCAGTACGCAAGCAAGGTAGCACTTGAAGAGTAATGTGACTTCAGGCCTCCTCTTTCAAGAGGGAAAGGGGGGGAGCGGGAGAGATTTACTCACCCACCACTCAACAGGTAGCCATTTCAACGCCTGGAAATCCTCTTTGGCTTTCTGACAGCTATGGCGCTCATGGTCCCAAACTCATCCATCCTATAGCCAGTCGGAGACAGTGTGATCTGGAGTTTCTTAAGGTTTGGATAATGCCCCGCTACTGCCTGGGATGGGAGGCTCTGCGTACCACCATGCAAATGGAGTCTTTGCAGATCAGGGACTTGCTTCTCTATAATCGACTTTACTAGGACTCCAGCCGTCTGAAGCCGAAATAGTATGACCCCGTTCCACGGCTCAGCATCTCGAAGCTGCTGCCCCATTGCAGTGCCTTGCAGAGCAACCAGCTGACAGAGCCCCAGATCGACATAGCGCAGTCCTGTCATAAGCGAGATTGATATAACGATACGTTTGGGTAGTAACTGGTTGGGCTGGAAGCTATTTGTGTGGCTCTGTTTGACCTGCAGGATGTCTTCTCTACTTTACACCCCTGATGATTGTCTAGGTGCATTTGCTTGGCCATTTCACCACAACAACAAACTGCTTGCATGATCTCTCTACTTTATATCTGGTTTTTCATGGCCATCTTCCTCTCATTTGTCCGGTATTTGTTGACATCTCCCCCTTCCTGCCTTCCAATATCATCCGCGCCTCCCCTTTCTTTGATCCTTCAGTAGCATATCTAGCCACGCGTTCCAATGGCGCCTGAAGACTTCGGCTTTCCCTCTCCATGTTAAGTCGGGCTGACTCTATCGCCTCATCCCGTGAGCCTCCTGACAGGGATCGAATCCGGTCGTTCTTTCCCGTGCAACCTACAACTTTCGATTGTTCGACCCTCTAACTGTCTAAGCCCTGTGCTGTGGCCCTTTATCGTCAGTGACATACCATCCATTGACGACAACATTCTAGTTTATCGCCCATTTGCCAGCAACAGCTTCTTTACCCCTGAGGCATCTCTCTATCTTGACAGCGTCCTCATCTCGTAGCTGGCCCTAGTAATAGCTTTCTCATTATTCTACCAGCCCAGCGGCTAGTTCTTTGCCGTGCAGTGACAACTTTCCCACTTCTCCACTACCTCTGACAACTGCTTCCTCATATCCTCTTCAGACTCTTGCCATCCCTGGTGACAGTCTTCTCTCTCTTCCCTAATCTTGGCAACTACGTTGGTGCTTATCGCTTCACAGTCGTGACTGACTGCTTCGTCGCTTCCTCACTGATCCCAGCAACAGCTTTCTCATCTCTTCGCCGAATCCAGTAACAACTTTCTCACCCCTTCGCCGAATCTAGTAACTGGTTCCTCATCTTGCTGGGGCTGGTAACTAGGTACTTAGCTACCTCCCGAGGTATATCTTCACCGCCGGGCGACATTTTTCTCACCCTGTCACTGATCACCGGAATCGGTCAGGTACGAATCTCTTGCCCGCCGTGCCTGCCTACGACTACCTTATCATATGCTCACTGACCACAGTGACCAGGTAGGTATGTATGTCTTCACCGCTTACCGGCGGATTTTTCCATCTCCCTCCTAATCCCGGCGGCTGGGTTTTCACCTCCTTACTGAACCCGTCGCAGCTTCCTCTTTGTTTTCCCCTAGCTTCCCCCTCCCCAATCCTCCATCGTGAGGTGAGCCGATTGTACTCTCCTGAAGCCAGACAGTTTTCCCCCTTGGTCATTTGTCAGTGGCGTCCCTGTTTCATATCATCTGCTGTCTCAGGAGACTTCTCTCTCCCGCCCCTGTCTTCGTCTGTCCTCCACCCCCTTCCCGCCAGCGGATCCAGATTATGTCTATTTCTGAACCCAAAGAAGAAGCAAATAATCATTTTCATAGCACTGAGGTTTCCCTTACAGTTCGATACCTTCATCACTGATCTCACAAAGAAGACTGACCAGCTTTCGGAAGATGACCTCAAGAAATATCGACTCCTGCCTGGGCTTCCTTTGAGCCGCAATATTGAAAGGCAAGTAGCTCAAGAGTTGTACCCTCATTTTCCATTCCTCCTCGGAGTGACGATGCGGATATTTATACAGGAGGCTCCCTTCCTGGATCCCTATTCATCCACCATCAGTCCAATTTACCGACCGTTGCACTTTAGATACTGACAGTCCCAAGATAACAGCCCACGAGCGAAGAGGCTCTAATTCCCATCCAACCCTCCCAGCTATCTTGAAAGCTCAAACACGATGGGCGACTCCAAACCCCTGGGGGCGCACCCAGACACCGCAATCGCGGTTGACGACGAGGATGACCTCCAGACCGACAAGGATCGCCAAGTCAACATCATCCAGAGGGCAAGGAAGATCCACGCGGCCCAGCAGCCGGCCTCCCGGAAGAGCCGCAAGGTGAAGAAGGAAGAGGTCGACGCCGAAGACTACGAACAGTCGATGCTGGCCGAAGCGGACCTCGTCAAGGAGATAATGTATGTTGACCTGACCGACGATGGCCCTACCCGCCCACCTCGCGCGCGGAATGCCTCGATTCCCGGCGCTGCTCCTCATGCCCCTGCTGCCGCTGCGCAATCGCCATCGATTCAACTCCACAACTTTGAGTTGGAGATGCCACGTCTCGCCCTGCAAAGTGGGGTGGTGGTGACGAAGGATTCCATCGTCGTGCTCAAGGAGCCGCTCGGCCGGTTCCGAATCCAGTTCCTCAAAGTCCAGGTCATTATCAAGAACAGGCTGAACGGGCGGGTCAGAGTCCGAGGATGGCCCTACACCCGCGCCAGGAACCTCGACGGCCAGCTTATGCGGAAGCTGAACGAGGTGTGCCTGGTCGGCCACATCGACGAGGAGGACCCGAGACCGTGGCTGGAGCAGGCCATCATCGATGTCTACGAGAGCGACATCGAGGGCCTCCGTGTCGGGGGACTGAGGACGACCAATGCGCCCTTCCCCCAGTTCCGCTTTGGCGACGCCGCCTACAGGCTCAAGGGCAAGAGATGGGTTGAGCACCACGAAGTCCTGGTGTGCCGCTACCACCACTATCTGGTCTATCGAGACGTGATCAAGAAGAAGCTGGAGAAGGCCCACCAGTGGGTCCTCATCCACGCCAACGAGGACATGTCAGATGCCGAGTACAAGGTCCGGGACATGGCCAAGACGAACGACTGGCGAGGAGGCAATATCCCGGGGGGTTCGTTCTGCCCGCTGGGCTTCGATCCCGAGGTCATCAGCATCGACGACGACGACGATGAAGACAATAAGGTCACCCTCGACAGGAATGGCAGCGATGCCACCAAGGCCGACGGCCCCAACATGCGCAAGCCGGGCCAGAAGTACACAGTTGGCGACTTGTTCTCCGGTGCCGGCGGCGCGTCTCGGGGCATCCAACAAGCCGGGTTCAAGCTCGTCTTTGCCGTCGACCACTGGAGCGTCGCAGTCACGACGTACCGGGCAAACTTCCCCGAGGTCGACTGCCACCTCATGGAGGTGGACGACTTCACCAAGGATTCGGACATCAACTATCGGGTCGACATCCTGCACCTCTCCCCGCCCTGCCAGGTCTGGTCACCGGCCCATACTATCGCCGGGCAGAACGACGACAAGAACATGGCGGCGCTCATGTCGTGCACCGAAGTAATCGAGCAGATCCGCCCCAGGCTCTTCACGCTGGAGCAGACCTTCGGCATGCTGCACACGCGCTTTGAGCTCTACTTCAACGGCCTCGTCGGCGGCTTCACGGACCACGGTTACTCCGTTCGCTGGGGAGTCATCAACTTCAACACCTGGGGCCTATGCCAGCCGCGGCGCCGGCTCGTCATGGTGGGCGCCTGCCCGGGCCAGGCGCTCCCCGACTTCCCCTCCGCGACGCACAGCCAGGACGGCGCGGGCGGCCTCCTCCCCTTCACGACGTCGCGCGAGGCGCTCGCGCACCTCCGCGCCGGCGACGACCTGCACGACGTGGCGGACATGCCTCGCCTGTGGAACGCGCGCTCCTGGGACCCGGACGCGCCGCTGCCGCACACCATCACGTGCTCGGGCGGGCAGAACCACCACTGGGGCGGGCAGCGCGACTTCACGGCCCGCGAGTACGCCAGCCTGCAGGGGTTCCCCGTCCGGCACCGCTTCCGCGGCGCGTACCTCAAGCGGCAGATCGGCAACGCCTTCCCCCCGAGCATGGCGCGCCGCCTGTTCGGCCACCTGCGGGACTTCCTCGAGCGGGAGGACCGCATGGTCGGGCCGAGGGAGGCGGAGCACGAGTATGTGGAGGGCCGGGAGGTCATTGACCTCGACGACGATGACGACGGAGGTGATAATAGAAGGGATAAGGGGGCGGGCATTGCAAGGCCGGAGAGCGGTGTCGAGGATAGGACGAGCGTCAAGCCGGAGCAAACGCCCAAACCAAGGGCCGGATCAAAGGCAACTGAACTTAGCAGCGACTCGGACGAATCACTACAATTCGTTTCCCAGAGCCGCCGTCGCCGCTCGACTCGGGACCACCGCCGCCGCCCACCGCCCGGCCGCCGGAGCGACAACCCGATCGCCCTGGACGAAGACGAGGACGCCCCCGTTCCCTCCCCCGTCCCGCTAGCAGCCAGAAATATGAAAGTCCAATCTCCCAAACCGGGAGTCCGGACGGAGGAGAGCATCCCCGGCCCAGCCCAACAGAACAGACTCCAATCCGCGAGCCCAGTTGCCGAGACTGCTGCCGTGGCCAGGCAGGCCAGCGACCCCATCATGGACTGGCAGGCACATATCCTATCCCTGGACCCACGAGTCCAGTTCGCAAACGAGGGGACCCCAGGAGGTCCTAGCCCAGCTGGGCATATGCCGTCCCAACCTCCGGCCCCAAGGACCAAAATGACGGATGAAGACACCAGCGACCCTGGCCCGGCCACGCCGGCACCAGGCCGCTCTGTCGATCCAGGGGCAGAGAGGGTGGCCCGCGAGAACGGCGCCCACTCCCCGGCATGGGAGGCGCGAGCCTATTCCGTCGGTACGGCAGCGGAGATGGCCGTCCAGGGGAGCAGAGCCTCCTCTGCAGCCCACCAGGAGAGAGTCCAGTCGGTGGACGAATGGGTGGATATGGTGGTCCAGGAGGATGGCGCCGCTCACACAGCCCCCCCAACCCGCCAGGCGCGAGCCAACCCCGTCGATCTGGGAGTTGACATTGCTGATGAGGTGTCAGACTCTGAGACTGTCCGGGGTGAGGAGTTGGTGTCGGACAGTATGGAAATCGATAGCGGCACCCGCTAAGGGAGGGAGGGGCACAAGAAAGAGCACCGGGGTAATTGCGTCAGACGAGTTCGGACAAGCTATGCTGCCCGGCGCAGCCCAAGTGTCAGAGTCTTGAATGTGACTGTTTGAGTTGAGAACGGGAAGATTAATATTTCGTCCGTAGGCAGACGCCCCGGTGAACAAGTCGTTTGTAGTCGCCCGAAAAAGATCGGTAGGGCGGTGTCGACAAATTCGTAAAGGGAGCCCTTTGGTGTCTCTTTTGTCCGGCTGGTGGCCCGTCTGTGTCTCATTGGTGTCCCATCACCCCATCATCTCGTCTTCCTGTCGTCGTCCCGTCATTGCGCCATTCACTTCTGTTTCGATAGTTCTAGGGGGTCATAACCAAAATGTAATACCTACAGCCTCTGACATGCCCTCTGTTATTAGCCCTTCCTCAGCTTGATGGCGCTTGTGATTGGGTGAGCATTTGGGAAAGGATATCTCTAGACTGCCTGCGGCAACCATGACTTCGTTCAATCTCCCCTCGAACCCCTCTACCCCTTACTCAGCCAGCATACGCCAGTCCCCTCGAATACAGAGCATATTCGTTCCGAAGGTCAAAGCGAAGTTCGCTTTCGTGTCATCCTGGGCCACGTAGAATAGTCCCAGCTGCGGGTCGGGTTAGGCGTCCTTCTCTGCATCACTTGTATGTCTGAGCCGGGGCCGAACTGCACTAAAGCCAAGGTAAACCACGCTCGTGGAAGTGGAGATGAAGTCTAGCATCTCGGCCCCGGATACTGAGGCAAGGCTCGAAACGGCGGACCCAAGGCCCATGACAGAGAGAGATGCGGGGAGGAGCTGTGGTTGACGTGCATAGTCTATGCCACCTTTGCCGCACCTATCATAGCTGGGACCCTGGCCGTGGAACGGGGAGAATGTATCACGAATGCTGTTAGCTAGGCATGGGCATATCCCAAACTGGGGGTAAGCGGCAACGGGTAAGGCTAGCCTGGGAGGGGAGTAGATAGTATATCAATAGTAGAGGAGGGTAGGAGGAACTACCTAGTTAGGCTTGTTCAATTTTCCGCGAAGGAGAATCCACAGGCGGGTATTTCTCCGGGAGGGGGGGGGCGGTGGAGGACAACTTTAAAGATGGAGAAGCGCAATGGCCCCTGAGAAGATCACACTACGTACCTCGGTACCTTCTTAGTGTTTGTTTGTCTGTTGGAGAATGGGGTATTCCCACAAGCGGGAAGGTAGGTTCCATGTGGATTAGGTTGGGGAGGTTGGGTACTCCGCACCTATCCAACGAGGGAACCTGCCACTAAGCAGGTATCCCCATTCCCCATGCTCCACAAGAGTTCGAACTGCCAAGGGACCACCATGTTCAGGGCAGGCATCCAGGGTAGGAACACTAGCGACCAAGACTGTACACTAGACGACCGTCTCCTCGCCGAGCTCCTCACTGACGGAAAAATTCGTCTCCATGGCGCCAACCCGTCGATAGTCTAGGTACACTACCTGCATCGTCTCCGCAGACACGCCCCAACTACATGGGTAGGGAGGCTGGTGATGACGATGTTGAGCGAGGATGAGAGCCTCAGAGATGTGTCTCGCCCATGCCTTTAATACGACCATGGCAGCCGCCCCAGAGACGTGGCCATGAGGTGAGGAACTGCACACCTGTAAACACCTACCTCCATTTGCCATGTTCCAACCCTCGAGTGCTCTCGCCGTCGCCTGTCTGGCCGCAGCGGCCAATGCGGTCATCAGCCCCTTCAAGGGTCTGCCGGTCATCGAGCGTCCCGAAGTCAAGGCGTGGCCTCTCAGTCCTGGAAAGCCACACGCCGTGTCGCCCCCCCGGGATCCCAACAGGTACTGCTTCGTCAGGCCGAGCTGCAAAGCCGGCAACGACGACGCGCCCAAGATCCTGAGGGCATTCCACGAGTGCAACAATGGCGGCACCGTGGTCCTCGACGCCACCTACACCATCGCGTCTCCTCTCGACTTGACCTTCCTGGACAGCGTCGACATGGTTATCTCGGGCACCATCAACTTCAGCAGCGACGTGAACTACTGGGTCGAGCACACTTTCAAGTATCCCTTCCAGGACTCCTCGTCCATGTGGAGGATCGGCGGCAGGGACGTCAACATCTACGGCGGCGGGGTCGGCCTGATCAACGGGAACGGCCAGAACTGGTATGACGCCTTTGCCAAGAACCCGACCCTGCTGAGGCCCATTCTCCTTGTTCTGGATGGCCTTCACGGCGGCTCCGTGTCTGGTCTGCGCATGGTCAACTCGCCAAACGTGAGTGGTCCTGCGAGTCGTTGTAGACGGAGGTAGATTCCCAACTCTGACACCTTGCCAGTGGTTCAACATCATTGCGAACAGCACAGATATCATCGTCAGTGATCTCGATATCAACGTCAAGGTAAGAAGAAAAACCCCCCCTTTGCCGTCTCGAACGGTCACAAAGACACCAACTAAGACCAGCCCGGCAGAGCACAAGCTCCAATCCAGCCAAGAACACGGACGGATGGGACACGTACCGGTCCGACTCGGTGGTGATCCAGAACTCCGTCGTCCACAACGGCGACGACTGCGTGTCCTTCAAGCCCAACAGCACCAACGTCGTGATCCAGGGGCTCCAGTGCTTCGGCTCGCACGGCATCTCAGTCGGGTCTCTGGGCCAGTACATCGACTCGTTCGACATCGTGGAGAACTTGTACATCTACAACATCTCCATGTCCGACGCCTCGGACGGCGCGCGCATCAAGGTCTGGCCGGGCATCGACTCCGACTTCCAGCCGGGCCTCTCGGGCGGCGGCGGCTCCGGCTACGTCCGTAACGTCACCTACGACGGCATGAAAAACACCAACAACGAGTGGGCCATCGAGCTCACCCAGTGCTACGGCCAGAAGAACCAGACCCTGTGCAACATGTATCCGGTATGTTATGTCGCTCCCTCCGACTAACCCTCTTGGAGAGAAGACACATCACCCCTCTGACAGAAAGGATGCTCTGCTAGGCGAACTTGACCATCTCGGACATCACGTTCAAGAACTTCTGGGGAACCGCGTCGAAGAAGCACGACCCCAAGGTCGGGACCCTGGTCTGCAGCAGCCCGGATGTAAGTTTCCTGCCCCCCCCTGGCCCCCTAGCAGGATATATAGCCACAGCTCGAACTGACCCCCGGACCAGAGATGCTGGGACATCCGAGCCCAGAACATCACCGTCACTCCTCCCAGCGGCAAGACGGCTCAGTGGGAGTGCATCAACATGGACAAGTCGCAGCTTGATATCAACTGTGTGTAAAGCCACAAAAGAACAGACCCAACCGGGGAGAAAGACATGAGAGGTCCAAAAAAAATTCGTCAATTCCTCTGCTCTCTCTAGTTATCTAGATAGTCGTAATTCATAGTGCCTATTCCAATATGCTGTATAGGTGGCAATCGTAACCTGCTCTCCCTCCAGCAGCTCGCTATCTGTCATAATTTTAAGCCAAAGAAGCTGTTCCATCCAGAACAAGCCAATGCATCAAACGCCAAGATATCCCCCGACCCCAGTCTGTAGAACAGGCGGATTACATGGGGTGATAAATAGGATGAATGTAATCCAGGCCGGTATTCTGTAATAGTTGGTCGTTACCCTGGACCAAAAAGTCATCCCCCAACTCCGGCTACAACCGTGACACTCGTGTTCTTGGAATAAAGAGAAGATGAGAAGGGAAAAAAAGGAGCGAAAGAAGAAAAACAAAGTTAGAGCCAAGAAAAAGGGACAGAAGCCATTCGAACCCACCCCACAGGCCGTGCTCAATCCTCCTCGCTGACCGAGCTCTCCGAGTCGATATCCATGCCGCCGCTCGCCTTCTGGAACTCCCTCTCCAGCTCGGCCTCCAGGTCCGCCTCCAGGTCGGCGTCGGCGTCCGCATCCGCATCGGCGCCGTACGGAGCGGCGGCGTACGGCTGGTACTGCTGCTGCTGCCCGCCGAACTGCTGCATCCCCAGCCCGCTCTGCTGCTGCTGCTGCTGCAGCGTCTGGGTGCCAGGATTCGCCGGGCTGGGCAGCGCAAACGCGCCGATGCGGGCGCCCTGCCCGGCCCCGCGACCGTCTTGGTCATCGTTGTCGTCCTCCTCTTCCTCCTCGTCATCCTCGACATCGCCCAGGGCATCGTCCTCGAACTCGGCATCCGCATCCGCGTCCGCATCGGCATCTGCGTCAGCGTCGCCATCGGCATCCTCGTCCTCGTCGACGCCGCGAACAAAGTCGCTGAACCGCCGCCCGATCATCTGCGCCGGGAACGCGGGGCTGAAGTCGGTCGTCGACGGCGGCGCGCCGCCGGGGTACTCGATCGTCAGCCCGCCGTCGTCGTCCTCCTCCTCCTCTTCGTCGTCGGGATCCGGCTCGCGGCCGCGGGGCTTGGGCGGTGGCGGTGGCGGTGGTGCCGCGGCCGCCTTGGGCGTTGGTACCGGGAGGGTCAGCGAGACGGTCTTTGCCTTGTCGGGCTTGCGCGCCGCCGTGTCCTTGGGGTTGCGGAGCGCCGAGGTCGGCTTCGCCTTGTTGGCCTTTGCCGCCGCCGGCGTGGGTTTGCCGTCGCCCTTGTCGAGGGGACTCTTCTGGGATTTGCTGGTGCTGCTGCTGCTAGCGGTGCTGCTTGTCTGGGGGACTTCGAGGGGCGGGAACTCCTTCCGGAGGCTCTCTGTGTCCGAATTGGTAGGCGTCCGGGTCACGTTCATGTGGAACATTGAGTCGAGGCGGTGCAGCACCAGGACCTTGCGGGCTGGGTCGAAGACGAGGACGTACTGTCCGTCGTTGGTGGTGCGTGCGCCATTGAAGGCGTACTTGTCGCCCTTGTCGTCGAACCCGAGGTTGAAGGATCCATCTTTGGCCGACTGCTTTAACCGCGCAGTGCTTGGGGCGATGTCTGAGGAGAGGGCGGGTTTGTGGTTGTCTGTACCATTTTGCATCAGTCAGCCTCGTGATCAGCTCGGAGTGGAAAAAGCCTCGATCGGCAATTGCTTACACCTGATGCCAGTGTAGGACTCCTTGGAGGGCTTCCCGAGAAGGGCATCGCTGAGGACTATAGGGTATTTGCCCGGTTTTGTGGGATCGATGATCCCCTGCGCCGTCGACGCAGACATGGCAGAGAGGATCGTTTGGATCGGTTGTATAGCAACTGGTTGGTAGCTGAGGTGGAGTTGGGAAAGCTGAGCTGCTGGGCAGAGAGGGGGAGATGATTGCCAATGGTTGTTGGTTGAAAAGGTGTGGAGGCAGGACAATGGGCACTGAATTGCAGGCGGCAGATCGCCCTCGCTAGGGGGGTACTGCATGTGCTACAGCCACCTTTGTGACCAACGCCCCAGCACAGGCCACAGGGTCCAGTTCATGTCGGTATCCGTAAATATTTACAACCGTATCTATTCCGTACTCCGTACATACCTACGCATGGTGGACAGCAACATGGACTTCTCCAATGCCTTTCCTGCTTTGCTCCGACATGTATTATACATTACAATACAGACGGACTACGGATTTCATATTCTCTCTGTAATTCTTCAGTTTTGCGGGCTAACCCCAAGTAAGGTTCCCGGGTTATTCGGGGTTTTTGGTTTGACACCGTCACGCACGATCACAGACGCAGGAAAGAGCGACACTCAGCATGGGAAGGCTAACCTTCTACGCATGTAGAAGCTAAGAATCGACCCCGATCTGGTTCGTAACTGCACAGATCGGTCAGTAGAGCGAACTCTATATCGACCGTTGCTTCCGAGAATTCCGCCGTACTAAATGCTGTAGCCGTTGCCCGCCCAAGGGTCGGCCCAAAACCATGGTTTGCGCCATTAAAGCTCCCACTCTAGCTTCGGGTTGGACTGCTGGAAGGCAGGTTTCTCTCGTCATATTCTGGGCCTTTCGCCTCCAATTGACCCACACTAGTAGTGGTCGAGACCGTATGTAGTCACCCAAAAACTCCCAACCCGCTGCTCCAGTCGAGCTGCTGCCGTGGTGACATCAACTCTCCAGTTCCGCTGCCCGCTAGGTGACCTGGTTCCACAGCTCGCAAAGGGCGGCCTTGTTGGCGGCTCCTTTTAGACTCTCTCTTCTCTTGTGTTCTTCGGTTTCTCTCTTGCATTCATTTTGCAACTCATGCTCCTGCTCATGTTCATGCTCTTGTCCTGATCGATCGAGGACCCTTCAACCCTTCGACCCTTGGTACAGTTGCATCACCCCTCCTTTCCGATAATGTGGGGTTGGGCCCGAATCGCCGGCGCAGCCGTATGGGCTCTCGGGCTCCTGGCTACCACCCAAAATGCCGCCGTGGCCTATAATTTGGATGTCGGCTCTCCAGGTGAGCCTCCTGTTCTAAGCCTCCGGATGCCTCGGCTTTGTCGATTTATTTTGGGTCAGAGTTGTGTTGTGTTGATCGAAGCTGATCGCCTGCAGATTCCCTCAAAAGTACGGCCAAGTCCATGGCCCAGGATATGATGTCATTCTATAGTGGAAACGAGCCGGGGGGTACACCGGGTCTATTACCCCAGCCGTACTACTGTAGGTTTCCGTTCCCGAATGTCACCCCCCCGTAAAATCGGGCCAGGGCATTTTTTGTCATTTATTAACCAACACGGTGCTTCGCAGGGTGGGAGGCTGGTGCCCTCATGGGCGCCCTAGTCGATTACTGGTATTACACGGGGGATGACACATACAACGATGTGACGCAGCAGGGCTTGCTCTTCCAGGTCGGCCCCGGGAACGATTATATGCCGCCAAATCAGAGCTTGACCGAGGGGAACGACGATCAGGGGTTCTGGGGCATGGCCGTCATGACGGCGGCCGAGTACAACTTCCAAGACCCGCCGCCAGACCAGCCGCAGTGGCTGGCCCTCGCCCAGGCCGTCTTCAACACCCAGGCCGCCCGCTGGGACACGACCGAGTGCGGCGGCGGCCTGCGGTGGCAGATCTTCACGTGGAACAACGGCTACGACTACAAGAACTCCATCTCTCAGGCCTGCTTCTTCAACCTCGCTGCCCGCCTCGCCCGTTACACGGGGAACCAGTCGTACGCTGACTGGGCCGACAAGACGTGGGACTGGATGGTCGACACGGGCCTGATCGATGTGAGCACCTACGACATAGTTGATGGTATGCACGTCAACAACTGCTCCCAGTTCACGCCCTACCAGTGGTCCTACAACGTCGGCGGCTTCCTCATTGGCGCCGCCGCCATGTACAACTTCACCGAGGGCAGCGAGCGTGAGACGTGGCGGGACCGCGTCGACGGCCTTCTCAACGGTACAAACGTCTTCTTCAAGAACGGCGTCATGACCGAGGTTGCCTGCGAGCCCGTCAACCTCTGCAACATCGACCAGCAGAGCTTCAAGGCCTACCTGTCGCGCTGGATGGCCGCCACCACCAAGTGGGCCCCTTGGACCTACGACCGCGTCAAGCCGCTGATGGCGACGTCGGCCGTCGCCGCCGCCTCGCAGTGCCTGGGCGGCTCCAACGGCCGCATGTGCGGGCTCAAATGGACCGACAATGGCAAGTACGACGGCTCGACCGGCGTGGGCCAGCAGATGTCCGCCATGGAGATCGTCCTGGCCAACCTGGTCACCGACTCGTCCCCGCCCGTCACCAACAGTACCGGCGGCACGAGCCAGGGCGACCCCTCCGCCGGCGGCTCCGACGTCGGCCGCACAGACCCCTTAAGCACCTTCCCGCCCATCACGACGGGCGACCGCGCCGGCGCCTGGATCCTCACCCTCGTCGTGATCGCCGCCCTCGTCGCCGGCTGCATCTTTGTCCTCCTCGACGAGACGAGCCCCAAGACCGTCCGCCAGCGGTGGGCAGGGCTCCCGCCCATGATGACGACCACCGCCGCCGGCCTGCTGCGGAAACGGCCCGGGAGGAGGCCGCCGCCGCCATCGTCGCCGTCGGGTCTGGCTGGTGCCGGCTTTGAGGACACCAAGGAGATTGAGCGGTCGGACAGCGACGACCGCAGCTCTGGGTCGCAGGTGGGGTGGGCCATGGCGACGCCCGAACCCGAGCCGCGCGCCGGCGCCCCCGTGGAGGAGCTGTCGTCGTACTACCAGCACCGCAGCGCGAGGGCGGCGGGGCCCGGGCCGATCGAGCGGCCCGCCGCCCTCCGGCTGCCGCCGATGGTGGCGAGGGACCACAGGGCGTCGTACCCGGGGACCAGGGCGAGGAAGCCGCTGCGGAAGAGGCTGGCGTCGGATGTGAGGGTTGGCGTTACGGGCGTGAACGGCCGTGTTTAGATGTATCAGTATTAATCATGTCTACTACACTGGGAATGGGGGTTAGGGTTTCACGGAATGGCATGGGTTCTTGGGGGGAAAGAGGTGTCTTGATATTTCGGCGGCGTTCGTTGGGAAAGGGGTTTCAAAAGGCTGACCATCTCTGGGCGGTGGGATTATCGGCATCCTTTGGGGAACTCATGATTCATTGGTTCATACGGGTTCGGTTGGGTGGGCTTGTCCCTGGTTTTTCTACACAGCATTGGTCCTGGTTACATCATGATCCATACGACAACGGAAAATGGAAAAAGGGGGTCTGGGATGGGAACTCGGCTTGGGGCGCCGTTGTGTATAGATTACATACATTGATAGACTGTATCAATGGGTCGCCGCCTATCTATATTTTGCAAGCCAGTCCTCCTTCTGTTTGATGGCTCGCCGGTTGGTGACAGTACGGGTGCGATATTGACTAAGGGGTAAGTTGCGTCACTCGCTCGGCAGTATGAGCGCCGTTACTTGCATAACCTACCGAGGTGGATGTCGTGCGTCATGTCGGCGGCCCATGTCTGTCACGACTGTAACCCCGCTTCTTCTGTGTGAATCAGTTGAGATGCTCTTTAGACATGTGATCTCTTGACCTTACCTTCAATAGTACACCAAAGTAACCAGGGGTTAGGGTTGGATTTCTGTAGGTTTATCCCATGATGGCGGTATTTGTTCGTCTTGCATTCCTTGCTCCAGTAGGACGATTAAACTCCAACTCGAGACTGATGAAATATGGAGGGATATCTGTTGGTGGCCTCAAGTCACGGTTCCAAGTGTTTTGGTGATGGGCAAGCTGGGCTGTACAAACTCCATAGGTACAGTACCTTACCTATCAGCCAGTGCCTCGGAAACCCCACGTCCAATACGACGATCCCGGGTTGTAAATGGAGGGTGAGGAGGCAGACGTCCTCCCTTTTCGAACCTCTTTCGTATATTCCACCTATCGCTCCCCTTGTCATCGTCGGTCCGTCTTGACCTTGTATGAAGTGGTGTTCTTACTAACGGCTTCAACTGGTTCTCTCGGGAAAAGTGCCGTGACAGTCAGCTTCTGAAAAGAGAATGATGATTCTGCTTCTCATCAAGCAGAATCACCGATCACGAACCTTCTCTCTGTTGTAGGCATTCAACAGCCTACATCCTTCTCTCGCATTTGTTGGCGCATCCGCCCTCGATATGGATCACGCAACGCAATACCTCTGCTTGGCAGTCCTGACGCTGCCCCTAACTGTCTGGTCTCTATACCAGACTTGGGGCGTCCTGCAAAGGCCTGACTTATCCCTCACCTCTCTCATGCTACGCTTGGGCCTCGTCGTCGCCACCAGCAAGCTCTCGCTCACCCTCATCAACAAGTTCCGCTTCCACCTCCGGGCCCGGTCTCTAGGCTGCGGCTCCGCACCCGTCTGCCGCTCCCGGGACCCCATCCTAGGCCTAGGCCATTTCCTGGAGTCCCTGCGCGCTAACAGGCGAAACAAGCTCCTCGAGCTGCTGGCGGCGCGCTTCGAGCGCCACGGCGCCACGTACTACTTCCTCGCCCTCGGGCGCTGGCTGCTGCTGACCAACGAGCCCGAGAACGTAAAGGCCATCCTCGCCACCCGCATGGACGACTGGCCCATCGCGGGGCCCCGCCTGCTCGCCGTGCTGCCCGTGCTCGGCGCCCGGAGCGTCTTCTCCAGCAACGGCGCCGAGTGGCGCCACGCGCGCGCCATGATACGCCCCGCGTTTGTGCGCGACCAGGTCGCGGACCTGCGGTGCTTCGAGCGGCACGTCGGGAACCTGGTTGGGAAGATGCCCGGGGATGGGGCCACGTTCGATCTGCAGAAGCTGCTGCTGGACATGACGATGGATTCGTCGACAGATTTCATGCTGGGGTATTCGACGAACATGCTTACGGACCCGTCGCCCGAGGCGCGTCAGTTCATTGAGGATTTCGAGTTCGCGAGCCACGAGAGTGCCCGGAGGGCAAGGCTGGGGCAGATCCTGACCCGGCTGCCTCACAGGCGGCTGGACGAGAGCGTCGAGCGGCTGAAGAGGTTTGTCCGGTTCTATCTGGCGAAGGCGGTTGCCGAGGGCAGCGAGAAGAGAGCAGAAGCAAAGGCCCGGGACTATGTCTTTCTGGACGAGCTGCTCAAGTCCGGGGCCTCGGAGCAGTTCATCGTCGACCAGATACTCTCCATCATCGTCGCCGGGCGGGACACGACTGCAAATGCCATGACTGCGGTTTTCTGGTATCTCGCCCGCAACCCGGATGCTGTCGCGAAGATGAGGGGGGAGATCGCAGATGTGGGTGAGGAGAATCCCACCTGGGAGCAGCTCAGGGGGATGAGGTATCTGAACAATATCATCAAGGAAGGTACGTGGCCGGGCCCACCGCCATTGTTAACTTCATATTCCAGTTGAACCTAGGACGGGTATCTAGTTGATAGGTAACCTCGCTTACTGTGTTACGTTCGCAGCTCTTCGCCTCTGCCCTCCCGTGGCCACAAACGCGCGAACTGCGAATAAAGACACCGTCCTCCCCCGAGGCGGCGGGCCAGACGGGCAGCAACCCATCCTTGTCCCCAAGGGGACATCCGTTCGCTGGTCATTGTACAGCATGCACAGACGCAAGGACATCTATGGGCCGGATGCTGAAGAGTTCCGGCCCGAGAGATGGGACTCTGATTTGCGAGTTGGGTAAGACGTCGCTTCCTTTCCAGGCCGGATCCTCTGGATATCACTCCTTTTCTTTAGTCGTGGCCTTGAGGGTGGATTTTCCGTGTTTGCTGCCCAGTCCACAACCGCTGATCGCTAATCATGTACTACGCTTCACAGGTGGGAGTACATCCCCTTCCATGGCGGGCCGCGCATCTGCCTTGGCCAGCAGTTCGCCCTCACCCAGATGGCGTACACTCTCTATCGCGTATTTCAGCGTTTCAAGGCTATTGAGGCGCGGGATAGGCGGCCGATGAGACTGCAGCTGAGCCTCACTGCTTCATTCGCATATGGTTGCTTGGTTGGGATGACGCTGGCTTGAGGATGATCTCGTCGAGTATTCTCCTTTTCTCCTCGTCATCATCAGCTGGATTTTTGTCTCGGCTCTTGGGCGCTCTAGTTTTGATCATAGCTCTGATTCCCGTTTTCTGTTTCCCGTCGGTGTTTAAATGGAGAGCGGACATGCGACCTGCCTGGTCAGGGCAGAGATGTCATCATTAACCTAGGTACCAAGTTCACAGCGGAACTTTCTCTCTGCAGGTACCCGATGTGTCTTCATTGAGTACCCCTTATATCCTATCCTCCAGTTGAGCCTCCTTCACAGGAGTACAGGGCGCATCTCTGGGGCTAACTATGATGATATTTGCTTTGTTTGCACTTCCTCCTATCAGGTGTCTCTCAACCTCACAAGTAGGATAATCCGACCGGCAGGAAGATGGCTGGAACGCTTCGATTACCAGGGCAACTGTAGCTGTGATATTACCTGTGAGATTCAGTTGTTGCAGCTGGTGAAGAACACTGAGCACTATTCAGGTGAATAAACCCTTAAACATCCATACCTAATACCGTGTTCTGTCCAGGTATGTGTATCTCACCTAGGAATGGCTTTCCCTAATATACCCCTGAGGTGAATCTGAGATGAATCTGAAAATCACACAAATATGAAGAGAAAATGAAAAATACTGAGGTACCTTCAGAACCTACTCCTAGCATAGAAACCGCCGTGCTCCTGGCTAACTTACCTAGTGACAACAATCTCGGCGCGCCTCCATCACCAAACCTCCACACACAACCTCCTCCTTCGGCTGGACCGTCACCGCACCACATCGCCTACAAGGAGGAGTGTAACACGTCTTGCCTCAAAGGTTAGTATATTTCTGGAATTATCAGTTACCTCTGCCTTTGTAAGGAAGGCAGCGGCGTCCCTCTCCGCTACCTGCTTCCTTCTCCTGACTCCTTCATTCCTGCTGGGATTTCAAGTGGGAGAGAGATCACTTCCGCTACCTATCTCCCTTTGACCCTCACAAGCAGCCTACTGTTCATCATCAAAGCATGAGAAAAAAGAAATAGCATTGTCTAACCAATTGCAGTCACCCAGACCATAAGCTTCGCCGCGTCAGCACGCGTTACCCTACCCCTTTCGAAGCACGTAGGCACACCGCAGCAGCTACTATTTGAGGCAAGCAACAGATACATCAAGATGTCCTCGAACAACAGCGTCATTGAAAGTGCCACCACTGCGAATGCCGCCGCTACGGCAGCTGGGGACACTCTAAACCCCGACTGGATCCATTATGGCCTCACCGGGATGCAGATCCTCACCATCTTCTCCGTGATCATGGGCTGCAGCGTGGCCCTATACCTGGCCTTCCACCTGCTTCGCGTGCACTACACTCGGCGGACCTGGGTGAAAAAACCCCCCGTGGCCCAGGGGCCAGGACTCATCCCCTATGAGCTCGCCGAGATCCGCATCCCCGGGCCATTCATCGTTCAGGAGATTCCCCCGCCGCCTCCCCTGGCCTACTATAGGCCTCACAAATGCCGCTGCTGAAAGCCTTCACTATGGGGTATATGAGCCGGGCATATCGAGTGGATTGCCTTGGATATGTGGCTGGCCACAATCCCGTCAGTGGAATATTTTTCCAACTTAGGGGTATGTATGTATGCTCCTTGCTCCTCACTGGCACCTCCTATCTTCTCCTCAACCCTTTCTACTCACCCTCTCTTTATTTTATTGTCCCTTTCAGCGGCTCCGTATCTCTCCCAGGTTCCGACTCAAGCCCCTGGATTGGAGCCACTGCGGCTGAGCACAACTCGGCCTGAATAAGACATGTCAATTTCACGGCAAGCGTCCCGATTTGAGAAAATATTGATACTGATACTCCGTTGGACAGGCAACCTGGCTGGCTGCATGACCCAACGGAGACGCTAGAGAGAGACACCCGTTGCATCATATTCCTAGCTTCTGTAAGCATCGACCCCTCCCCAACCAGAGATACCAGCTACTGACATCGTCATATAGGGCAGGAGAGCAGGGCATGGCAATGAGAGGGAGACGCACGAGTTTTCCTATCTTTGATTTTCCAGTTTTTGCGAATAAGGGCACTGGTAGTTTGACTTCAGGTTAAGGGGGGGCTACACCTAACGAATGAATTTCCAGGGATGGTTAGACAAATAACCTTTTTGCCTAGGGTTTGATATCGTTGCATCTGGCGTATCTGGCGTTGCTTTTAGATCCTCCCTACATGGGTTGAGATAATCTGATAAATGCCAACACGATACATACCCACAGACTAGGACTTGACTGCGACCGAGTCTCGGCAAGCTGCTTGATATGCTCCACCTCCAGCCGTGGGATGGCAACCGCTTAGCGTTTGCTATATGTGGCTTGCTGCAATGGGTCCTGATCCGCGGATATGTAAAGAGGTGACATGGACTAACTTCCCTCTATCAACTACAGTCGCTGAATACCTTCAAGAAGACATCCGAATATAGCTCTTGGGTTATAAATGACAGCTTCCAGTTACGGCTGCTAAATAATCGTGTGCTTGATAGATCATGCCATGTGCGCTGATCAAGGTCGCCAGGGACCAGCTGTCGTGGGTGAGTATGGCATATGGCGTGAGCAGAACGCCTTCCCTTCCCTTGAACTTGGGTTGGATGGTCAAAACGATATGAGCTAACTTCATGTGTAGAGCCTGGAGATCCTGGTGCAGCACGGCATGATGCCAGAATATGAGATGCAATCCATTCGTTCAAACATCGACCTACGGCTCTCGTTGTCGCCTCACTCAGCCGCCAGACGAGAAGCACATGCTCCTCCCACCGACCAGCTCATAGACCTTCAAGATGGCCCCCTCTACCCAGTCGACGACGAGGGGTAGGCATTCTTTCCATCCCCCATGACCCTATTCGCCGTCTCCAATATTCCTGCGTACCAAAACACTCCCCGAGACTAACGACCTTCCCAAGACACTCTCTCCGAGCCGCCTCAGAAACAGACGCATCACAACCCAACAACATCCCCCGGACGAGACCCGAACGCTGCAGACTTTGGCATCAAGTCAACCCATACACTACAGAGGAAGAGCCTGCCCGAAGCCGAGACACCCTCGACCCGGCGTTCCGGGAACCAGTCCCGCCACCACAACCACAACCACAGCCAGCACCACCCCCGCCTGCCGCCCGCGTCCTCGCCTCAATCCCACAACTGACACCAGCAGCCTCGCTGGTCCAGACGACCGACCCGGCAGGCAACGTGAGTTTGTTTCATTCCCATCCCCTTTCCCATCCCCTGAACCCGCCCCACGTGAAGGGGAAAAAATACACAGAGAGTCTGACATCTCCGGATGGAACGTACAGCCCACCAAACCGCCCTCCCCGATCGGCCCCAGCCCGCATCGCCCGTTCTCGCGGTGGCCCCGGGGGGTATCCTCCTAGGTGCGGCGCGTCACCCGCCCTGACGCCTCCTGCTTACGGGTGGGTGAGGATGGTGATTGTGCGGCGGGGAGGAAAGACGTGCGAGGGAGGGAGAATGGAGAAGGCGGGGAGAGAGTGAGGGGGTTGCTTCGAGACGGATGGTACAGGCCGTGGGGCAGTCTGCACAAGCTCCCGAGGGGAAGTTAGTGGCACCCCGGACGGGTTCACGCTGATCGATCGAGCGATTCGGCGATCGTGGAACGTGGGACAGATGGTTTGCGGGTGCGACCCTGAGGGGTTGGAGTTGTCATTACTCGAAAGACTTGTACTGTACTTTCTGTCTGTATTGGAACCACGGCCTGGGTTGTGCATCCCTCGAACACTGCGAGATACCGTTGAAGACTGAATTAAGAGCTACAGTCTAATCGCTAACCGACCACCAGGTCGTGGTGGATTTATGGAATACAAAACGCTGATTGATAATCCAAATACTTGTCCTGGGCGCCATAAAGCCAGGAACTCCGGCAATGCAATCCCCCCAGTATGCCCCTGTTGCAATCTCTGTTCGATTCATGAGTCGTATCACGTAAAATGACGTTAAGAAAGCGAGTAAGCGATGGCAGCCCAGGCTGCCTAAGGTTTATCAGACTTTGGCAGATAGCGACTCCTAATAGCCTGGCTTATGGTGCTCATTTTGCTGCCGATGGTACCTCCGTCTTGCATCTTACTTGCCAGGGCTTCCTCTAGCGCCGACTGAGTGACCGATGCATCTGTGACTTGTCAGTCCGGTCAAGCTAATCACCAACGGTCGACAGGGAACAGGGAGTTGTATTATGCGCTCACCATCGAGGTCGCTGAAACTGCTACCCATACTTGGGGTGCCGTCGCTTCCGTCCCTCGAGTAACCTTTGCCCTTGGCACCCGTGCTGCGGCCTGACAGTTCAGCAGGCCGCCGCGGCGAGAGTGGTCCTGGTGGTTTACGGTCGTCGGTTGGCCGACGCGATACCATGGCAGTCGAGCTGGTCGACGAGTCTGACGTCTGCGACTGGTGAACCTTCTCCTTACCCCGGCCCTTTGCCAGTCTCGGAGCAAAATCTCGTTGGTCACCCCGCAGGGTCGCGCCGAGGTCCTGGGTGTTGTGGCCGCTGCTTGAAGCCCCCGAAGCCTGAGGTTGGAAGGGAAGGAAGGCAGGCTCTGCCTCGTCCTCGTCTGCAAACGATCCAAGGCCGTCCTGTGCTTGGAAACGAGGCGGCCGCCGCATTATCCTGCTTTCGACCGGACTCGATGATGACGACGAAGAAGAGGAGCTAGAGAGGGCAGGCTCGGGGGAGGCTAGACCCGGGCTGGACTCCGGCGCGGTAGCAGCGGCCTGGGCCGGGATTGGAAAAGAGGAGAGTCGGTGGCGCTGTGAGCGCGGCGATCCAGGCCGAGCGATGTTCTTGGCACCGGTCGGGTTCTGGGCTAGCACGGTTGTGTTGGAAGACGAGTTCCGTGAGGCTTTAGGGCGTGAGGCAAGCGAAGTCTTTAGCGGTGTTTCGAGCATGCCTCCGTCGTTCTTAGAGAGTAGATAATCCTTCCGAACGGAGAGAGATGACGGAGCCCGACCACTCCCCGATCCCGTTCGCCTCATCGCCTCGGCGGTACCGGGTCCGGCCCCAGCGCCGGCTGGCTCCGAACCGGGTATGGGAGAGGGCGCGGCGCTGGAACCTTTAGTCGCCGTAGCCTTCCGCATTTGAGCCCGGAGCTGGGAAGTGTGGTGTTCGGTCAAACAAGAGGCCATCTGAAGAAGGAACTCAACCGTGACGCCGAATTCTGATGCCCTGTGGTACGCAAAGTCAGCAGACTTGTCTTAGCTGGGGAGACATGGTTGCCTCACAGCTCAGTCCCTGGGAATTAACTGTTAGCATGGATCCACGGGCAAATCGAGTAAACGACCAGATCATTCTTACAATCAATCTCCGTCTTCGCAACTCCAGATATGATATTCCATAGGGCCTCCGACTTGGTTTCATCCCAGTTTACCTGCGCGGTTCAGTGCTAATTCCCGTTATTGGTTGCGGGTCGGCAGCGACTTACTGGTGGAGGATCTACAAAATCCCCCCGATTGAATGGGAGCCGGACATACAGGTGGTACTTTGGCTCCTTCTCCTTCTCCTTCGGAGGCTCTTTTCCCTGATTCGCGGCCATTTCTTGAAGATCTTCGATTTCAAGAAGGAACTCGAGTGCTTGGCGTTGTTCAACAGAATGTCTCTTAGCTGTATGTCTCTTGGATGGAGCAGCTTCTCCCGAAGCTGGCCCAGCCGGCCGCTCCATCCTTATCAGGGCCTCGGAGTACATAGCAACAGGGATGCTGATTAGCGATTAGCGCCGCACGGGATACAAACAGTTCTCGGGGGTTTCCACAAAAACGGGGAGGGTACCCAAGTTAGGTACCGGGGATATGTATTTATCCAGCAGTAGCCTGCCTGAGCTGTGTGGTTGCTGGGGAAGAATTTAGATCGCGTCGCATCTCGTATTTTTATGAAGAACATCCAGAACCTTTTTTTCCGTTTCCCTCTCTGAAGGTTCTCCGGCAGACTTTTAGCACCCCGGTAAATCTTATTATCACTAGTAGCTTCTGGAACTGCCTGGCGCCGTTATCATGGCACCCCTTATACTCCACAATGTTCCGGACGAGGAGCTCTACGTCGGCGACGACGGCATTAGACGCCCCTATGCCATGGTCTTTCCACAGTCAGTCTCCACGCCCTCGGTAGCAAATTGTCTTGAACACGGCACGACTGAACACTAACGCTATGCAATCTAGACAAGATAGCCATCAAGTAAGCGGACGCTCTAGGAGAGCGGTCGCGGAAACCGGCTCATTTGGTAAATCGAATCGGAGATCACGATCCAAGACTGGCACCCCGGTGAGGCGCGAAGATCCGAACATAGCCGTTGCCGACAAGGTCTTCACCACGTGGATTCAGAACCAGAACCAATCATCCGCACCCGCAAGCTCCACGACGACATCCCAAAGGAAACAAAGCATTGTCGCAAGCTCCTCCCAGCCCAACCTCTTGTCCCAGACCGCCGACGAGACCAGTGCGCCCACACAATCGCGCTTCGTCCAAAAACAAGTCCCTACCGAGGTGATTCTCAGGGGATATCGGTCATCGCAGCAACAATATGCTGCCATCAACCGCTTCGAGCAGATCGGAGGCCGGATTTGCGAGGATTACCCGCGGGACCCCCCGGCCGAGAATCGGCGATACAAATCTGAGCTGCGGGATCCAGCCTTTACGAGGCGGCGCGCCCTGACGCTGGAGGAACGAGCCAAGGTCAACAGGGCGGATGGCGGAGAGCATTGGGTGAAAGTGACTTTCGAGTCGGGCGAGGCGGCAGACATGGCCATCTACTCTTCGCCTCAGAGCATTCTCGGCCACCTCGTGTACGCAGAACCGTATCACGGCATAGCCCCGGCTCGCGACGAGGCGATTGTGGAAACATCAAACGACGACAATGGACTTGATGACCGGTTTAGGTCGCCGTCGAGGAGGACGCGACGGCACGGGAAAACCGGGTCCATCTCGGCACTGCCGCGCAGTTTCTCGAATCCCGTCCTTGGTGACGGCCTGGACTCGTCTCCTGACCGATCCCAGATCTCCTCGCGGACTGCCGACACTACGACTATGACCTCTGCGACCGAGTCTGCAACGGCAACATCATCATCGTCCGGAACGGTTAATGGGGCTGTCACGACCGGTGCAGATGTGACGCATAGGGCCGTTCCGGACAGCGACTTCTGTAGGGCTATTCCTACGGCACGGAAGGTTAGGCTCCTTCCTGCCGAGCAAGCCCTTCTACCGCAGCCGTCCTATACCCAGCGGGTTCTCAATCGGATCCCCTTCCTGAGATGGTTTAGCGGCTCCATGATCGGAAACGAGGTGCCCCGGACCGAGACCGGCGAGTTCGACTGGGACAAGGCCAGTCTCTACTGGAAGTTCATATGCTGGCTCGACTCCGCATTTGGCCTCTTTGGCGGGGAGATTCTCAACGCGGACAAGGACGATTAAATGGCCACTCATCCGCGTTGTGGCTTGAGGCTCCGGCTACCTTCCTATCTCACTACTAGAATAGCATCTGCTTCGTATGGTTGGTTGGAATACCGCAGCAGCGCCTGTGGCAGGCGTTTAAGGGGCGTGCAACTCGCAGGCATATCGACCTGGGAAGGAGGAGAGACAGATAAAAGCATGCTGTATGGCCGTTATAGAAATTGTACAGATATGCAAGACACAACTAGGCCGTCTAATAGCCCATGGGATAACACCATTCCATGCAAAAATGCAAAATAGAGAGAAAGACCCCTTAAATATAAGTGTACACAACCCGTTCGAATGGAGGGCATCAAAGGTGATGCAAGGCAGGTGCTGAAGATCGCCTGCCCTCCCTCCTTCTCTTACCATCGACCTCCCCCAAAACTCCACTTCCGGTTCGGTTGCTGCGAGCTCTCCAGGCTCGCGCTCGGCGTGTCACCGTCTTTTGACCCCCCCAGACCTTCCTCCAGCCACGGCTGATCCTGACTCTCCTCTTTTTCCTCCCCCTCCGCACCCCTTTCGTCTTCCTCATCCTCGTCCTCTGTCTCAACTTCCCTGCCCGCGACTGATTCCAGCGTCAACGACATGCTGCCGAGATCCGGCTCCCTCGACCCGGCCGCCTTCGCGGCAGAGGGCTCCCCGTCGTCGCCATCACCGTCATCATCACCGTTCTGATTGTCAGCCCTCTCCTCCGTCTCCGTCTTATCCGGACTGCCGACGATCAACGTATCCGGGTTTAGCCTCACCGGCTGCGGTGGCGGCGAGAACGGCCTAACACCACCACCCCTAGGCCGGTTAGGGTCGAAGGAAGCAGCTTCGCGGCCGCGAGCCGGACCCGGACTCGGACCCGTCACGCTTACCGCGCCCACCAAGCTCTGGTAAGGGTCGTCGTGGTTGTCAGCGACGGCATAGCGAGCAGTCGAGTCTGAGGCAGGAGACGAGGCGGCGCCGGCGGCAGTGGAAGAATCCGCAAGGATGCTCTTGGGCGGCAGGATGCTGAACAGCTTGCCCCCGCCGCCGCCCTCACCGCCGCCCGGCCCCGTCCCAGCCCCGCCACCGCCGCCGGCGCCATCGTGTCCGCCGCCGGCGTCGTCGGCGGCGAAGAGGTCGACGCCCTTCTCAAGGAGGTCCTCCAGCCCGCCTCCCGTCCAGCCCTTGCGCGCGAGGCCCTCGAAGATGTCGACCTCGGCCCGCACTAGGCTGCAGCTGGCGTCGAGGATCCGGGCGCTCGTGTCCTGGCTCTCGCGCAGCAGTGTGCGCGCGTGTCCCGCGTGCAGGGCCGTCAAGCCGTCGAGGCGGCCCGTGAGCTGGACGAGGTGCTCCCTGAAGGCGGCGACGTCGCGGCGGCGCTGCTGGCGGTGCATCTTCATGCCCTCCTTCTCCATGCGCCTGATGTCGCGGCTCTGGGCCCGCACCGCCCGGCCGTAGGCCTCCTGCTCGTCGTCGACGGCGGCCCGCCACTTGTCCAGCTCGTGCAGCAGCGGCACCTCGAAGGCGCGGTACACGGCCTCGGACAGGATCTGCTGGTGGTTGGCCACCAGGTGCTGCAGGCCCGACGCCGCCAGCAGGCCGTCCGCCGTGCACGTGCCCTTGGCGTTGAAGCTGTTGCTCATGCCCGTCATCATCATCGCGTTCGCCGCCGCGGCCGGCGGGGAGATGGCGTCGGCGCGGGCCTCCTTGAGGCGGGCGCACGACTCGAGCGCCGAGCCGAACGCCGACGCGGCGCTGGAGAGCGCCGCCAGCGCTAGCCGGTATGCCTTGGCCGATGTGAGGAGGTCGCCGTACGCCGCCTGCGAGTGCTCGAGGTCCGCCTTGGTGAGCACGGCGTGCGCCGGCCGCGGCGGCGGTGGGAGGGGGAGGTTGTACTGCGAGAGGGGGTTCGCCGTCGATGCGTAGGAGTAGGTCGGGCTCGTGGGGACCGGGGGAAGCTGCGATGGGGTGGGAGACGGCGGTGGGTTTGCCATGGTGGCAGGCCCCGGAGGGGTGTGGGTGGGTGCGACTTTGCGCGGCGTGCGCGAACGGAGTCCGGGTTGTTTGCGGTTCGGGGGTTCAAGGGGGTTTGTTTACTTCGGATGCTACTCTGTTGTTGTCGGCACAGTTGAGGAGGAAGAAAGTAGCTGCGGAGGGCGGTCGCTCACTTCCTAGAGGTTGAAGGCGGATGAGAATCTCATTGATAAAATCTACCAAACGTAAAGCAATCTAGGCCCTCTATTGCAGGCAGATCAAGGCTTAAGGTTGCGATAGCGTGTGACTTTCCGCGCAGGTGCCGCCGCGCGTGTCTTCTGACCCATGTCTTGCTCCGTTTCCTCCCCGGGACCCACCGAGCACTTCCAATCAGATGCCGGCGACTAGGCCGAGCCTCAATATCCCATCACCAACGCCAACGTTCCTTGATATGTGCACTGCTGCAAGACATTATGCCGTCTACTCGTCCTGCACCGCAACTCGGCCTTTAGGACAGCCATAAACTTGGTGCAGATGTAGGCATCGGTATTGGAAAGCATAGTCACCAGTTTAGCTGTCGCCTGTCTGCGCGAACTCAGCCAAGGGAGCTCCGCAGCATGCGCAACAGGCAAACTTTTGTTCAACAGAGCTTAGTCTACAGAAGATGGGTTTGGCTCGATTGAAACGGAACTCTGACGCCTTGATGCCTTGACAAGCGCGCTCACCTGGACTTTGATGGGCGAAGTATGATTCCCTTCGCTCTTCTCTGTAGACTGACGAACACTTCTGCATAGTACTGCTTGTAAATATGGCTAGATGACGTTAATCACTGTTTCTAGAGACCCCCCTCGCTATATCACCACAAGAGCCGGTAGGAGGCGGGAAGACTTTTGTAACTGCACAAGTCGTGAAAACCGAGGCGAGAAAGCTTCAAGCAGACAGCTGGGAAATATCATGTTGATTGTCCCAAGCGAGACCATTTTCTAACCCTCTCTACACAAATGCAGTGCAACATTGTCAAACTCCCTTCTAGCCCCACCAAATCTAGCTTTGAAAAGCTGAGCTTCATTAGCCCCAAGTCTGCGCAGATATATGCACGTTATGGGCTTTTGCAGTTGGAAACGTTGCATTTTACGCCCTCCATTCCATGATTTTGAACATGTTCAAGATTTTGATTGCTAGACTCACACTCTCATACAGCAGATTAGGCCTGTTTTCGACTCCTTATTGCACCCATCTAAGATCATCCTCCCGTTCTGTCCTTCTTGGCTAAGCCTTACATATGGCCGTTCCGGAGGCGGAGGTGCAGCGAGATGGGGAGCTTTGAAGCGCCTCAAGAGGCTAATAAGACTAAGAATATGAGCCAGCGGGCCACGGAGCGGTGGTAACATGGCCATTTGAATACTCTAACCACGCCCTAACACCGGTCCTAAACCCCCTCACCCTTTCAAACCTTCGCGAGTTCGTCTCTCTCAGCTAGGCACATCCCCAAAGCGGTACTGCGCCCACCCGAACCCACCCTCCTGCATGGTCCAGACCTGCTCCGCCGCGTCCGCGCCCGCGGCCCCAGCGGTGACGTAGATGGGCATGAGGTGGTCCATGGTGGGGTGGGACATCCTCGCGTCGGGGCGGCGGACCAGCTCCGCCATGCGCCCCCGGCGCTCGGGGGACGGGCCGACGACTGCGTCCCGGAGGGCCTCGTCGAAGCTGACGGCCCAGGGCTGGGGCCGCGGGTCGAGGTGCATGGAGCGCAGGGCGTGCAGGTTGTGCACGGACATGCCGGCGCCGACGATGAGGACGCCCTCGGAGCGCAGCGGGGCCACGGCCTCGCCGAGGCGGAAGTGCGCTTCTGGGTCTTCGTTATCGAATAGGCTTACCTGCACGAGGGGGACGTTTAGGGGGTTCGTCTTGGGGTTGAAGGCTGTGTGGTTGTGTAAGCATGTGAACGACGGGTGGTTGGTTCATCTTTGATTGAACGAGTCGACTCACCGACGTTGAAGCCGGACCATACGCCATGGTCGAGGCCTCGCTTTACCCCTTTGGCCTTGATGCCGCTCTTGGAAAGGAGGTCCGTGATCTTGCTGGCAAGCTCTGGGCTGCCCTTGCTTGGGTAGGTGGCTTCATAATATGACTTTGGGAAGCCATAGAAACTGGGGGGAAAGGAGTCAGTTCATCGCATCTTTGACACTGGAGTGCCCACTTACTCGTATATGAGGTCTGTGTCCACGGCGTTGTTCAGCTCGATGGACTTCGGCCCCCCCTGCCAGTGAGCAGAGAAGACCACCACTGCGGTTGGTTTCACTTTTTGGGTGATCTCTTTCCCGAGGCGCTGAAGCACGGGATACACTGGATGCTTGGTATCATATTGGATATTTGGCTGGGCGTATGGGCGTCAGTGAATGAGACTGGAAAAAGGGGGCCAGAATACTTACACCGCCATGGCTGACAAAGTATATTGGGGTTCTGGGTGCCATGTTTGACGAGTCGGTTGAGCTGCTGGCTCTGGAGAAGACGGAAAACTTTCTTAGGCTGTTTAGAGAGATGGATGCTCTCGCTGACTGAGACGACTGAAGAAAAGCCAGGATGCCAACTAGAATTGCAATGACCACTAAGAAGGTCCGAGATAATGTTGGCCAGCCCATGAGCAGTGAGTGTTCCTCCAGTTCTCAGCACCCCATTAAACGCACCTCACATATCGATCTATTTGTACATACACCATAGCCAAATGTGCCTTAGTCAGACAAACGGGGCGACTTACATAGGCATTACACATTATATGTAATCCCGAGGGAATTGTAGAGAATGGGGCCCACTTTGGCGCCTCACCAAACAGCGCCAGCCGCGTTCACCCGAGAGGTGCAAAGCAACCTAATTAGCACTGGAAGTTAGCATCGCATGACAACCCACCTTCCTTAGCACCTACCTAACGCTCTCCGACGTGTCCCCCTTCCAGGTCGCCTCTCAACGATCCGACCCCCCGGCTGTAAGTTGCCCCCCCCCACGTCAAGTCGCCTCTGCCTACCATGTCCCGCGCCCCACTCCGTTTCCCGGCCACTGCCCGGCACACGGCGACCGTCATCTTCGTCCATGGGCTCGGTGACTCGGGCCATGGCTGGGCTGCTGCTGTTGAGAACTGGCGCCGCCGCCAGCGGCTAGACGAGGTCAAGTTTATCCTGCCTCATGCCCCGTCAATCCCCATCACGATTAACGGAGGCATGAAGATGCCAGGCTGGTATGACATTGTAAGTTATCCTGAGCAACGTCACCCTCCCGTTGCGATATACCACGGGGCCCACTTTCTTCCCTTTTTTTCGGCCCCCTTAAACATGGTAACAATGATGATGGAAAAACAAACCCCCCACTCACACTGAAAACCCCCCTTCCCACAGGTCGACCTCGGAGGCAGCCTCGACGCGATGCGCCGGAGCGAAGACGCGGCGGGCATCGTCAGGAGCCAGGAGTACCTCCACTCGCTGATCCAGCAGGAGATGGACGCGGGCATCCCCGCGGAGCGCATCGTGCTGGGCGGCTTCAGCCAGGGCGGGGCCATGAGCCTCTTCGCGGGCCTGACGGCGCGGGTCAGGCTGGCCGGCATCGTCGCCATGTCGTCGTACCTGCTGCTCGGCTCCAAGCTGGGCGACTACCTGCCCAGCCCCGAGCTCAACAGGGCCACGCCCATCCTCATGGCCCACGGCACCGCCGACGCCGTCGTCGGCTTTCCGGTGGGCCGCATGAGCTACGAGATGGTCAAGCAGAGGGGCTACAATGTGACCATGAAGATCTACGAGTTGAGTCTACACCCCAAAACACCTCGTTGGTACCCGCTTTGCTTTTCTTGGCTGACTATTTCTGCGAAGGGGTATGGGTCATGATGCTTGCCCGGAGGAGCTAGATGATATCGAGGCTTTCTTGAGGGAGCGGCTGCCCGCTCTGGACCAGAGCACGGGAAAGGCTGAGCTATGAGTCATTGCCCCGGGTCTGGCTAGGTTGTCTGGGTTAGGGCCAGCTGATGGCTATTATTCCTCATTAGGGGACTCCGCTTGTTGTCTCATGGAAGCAATGCCTGCTGGTTAGGAATATCTCGTAGGAATTACCACCTGATAGACCCATTCCATCCTGGCAAAAGTGACATATAGTGTGGCTCCAACGCCGCTTTCAATCTCATTTTCCCGTCGTCAAAGAGGTGGAGAATATGTCTATGTTGGGGGGACAATAATCCAGAGATTGGTGTGATGACGTTGTGCGCCCAACCTTACCAACTACCCACTGGCCTTCTACTTGTGACCAGGGTCTTACTTTGACGCTCGATCTTCCTTCACTCTGTACTTGACAAAGTCCCTGACATCAAGCAACGGAGGTTCCATGGAAGCGCCATGGAGCCACCATGGGCAGACCATGGAGGCTCCTTAGGAGAATTCTTGTACGAGAGTGCTGAGACAGATGTGACAAGTACAGACTGTCCCTTTTATATATCTGTCTGGATCTTATTGGGGTGCCCTGTGAAGTGAATACTAGGTAACAGGATTTTCAATGAGCTTCGAATATTGGGAGGTGGCTTGGGACCTCTGCCGGTTACAGTCTAATCACTATACCAAGAGAGGTAGACAAATTCCTTTCACTCGCCGGCACAGGATACAGGTAGCCGCGCCGGGATTTAACTCTCAGCCAAGATGTATTAGAAAATAGAGTGCCTCCCGGTCAGAGGATGTAGTCAGCTAGTAGAGCAGACGTAGGCTCCCCCCCTTGGTGTGGGCAGGGTCGACCTTCTGCCCTTAGATAGATATAGATACCGTTGGATATATAAAGTACAAGAGCGCATATGGACATAGTTCAGTAGATAGCCCAGGGAAAGAAAGAGCCACCCATGGTATCTCTCCCCACACTCAACGCCATCCCATCCATAAGTGGTTACCCCTTAATTCCCCCCAAACTCTCCGAAACCCCGTCGATGTTCAGCCGCCCGTAAGCCACGTCGATGCTTAGGGGCTCCTTTCACGGCCAGTACAAGTACACCGGCTTGGAAATCAGTATTCCCAAGCCCTCCCGCTCACAACGCATAATTCTCCGTATGCAAGAAAATCTCCTCGAGCTGATCATCCCCCCAGATCTCCGCCTGCAGCCTCGCGACCGTGTTCGCGACGCCGACGCGCATGCTCGGCGGCCCGCACACGAAGACGGCCGTCCTCCGGCCCAGGATGCCGCGCCCGTCCGCGCCCCCCGTGGCCCACTCCCTCAGCATGTACCCGAGGTCGGGCCGCCCGTACTCGACGCTCCACCCGCCGTCGATCTGGTGCGGCACGGGGAACGCGAACCGCATCAGGCTCTTCTGGAAGTCGGTCGGCGTCTCAGGGAACCCAAACTCGAAACCCGAGGGGGGCCCGAACGTACTCGTCGGCCGCGGCCGCTCCGGGATGATGCGCCCGACGTCTGTCCTGAGGTGGGCCAGCTCCGGCGCGCGGACGGGGAGATCGACCTGGGCTTGTGCTTGTTGTGCTTCTGAGTGGGCCTCTAGCCACTGGCTGTATCGCTGCTTGTGCTGGGCGGCGGCGGCCGGCGGCGCGTAGTTGAAGTGCGGGGCGTTTTCGGGGCGGGGTTTTGGGAGAGGCAGGCGGAATTCCTGCGGCTTGCTGCCGTCGCCGCTATCTGTTGAGGCGCCGTGGCTGTGCTTCGGATGGTCGCGGCCTTCGAGCTTGCGGAGTGACTCGTCGGCTGCTGACACGCGGAGGTTTGGTGGTGGGCCCGGAGGCGGCGGTGGGAAAGTGTGGGGTTGGAGGTACTTCTGCTGCGGCAGCGCTGTGATGCGATCTTCGTCCTCGGCGCGGAGCTCGCGCTCGCGGTCGGCATCGCCTTGTGCCTCGGACATGATGAGGGTGGAGTTGCGCTTCGAGGCGATCCCCGCGACAAAGCCGTCGAGCTTGTCGTGGAACATGTTGCTGAGCGGCCGAGGCGCGCGCTGGCTGATGCCCATGTGCTGTTCCCGGACGGCGGCGGTGACGAAGAACTTGCAGGTGACGCTCTCGGGGGGTGCGGCCTCGCGGCAGATCCGCAGCTCTTCGCGGAACCAGTCCATCGCCTCGAGACGCTTCAGGGACCAAACGACGACGATCTTCTTGGTGATCGCCTTGCCATCGCGCATTCGCTTGATGAGGTTCAGTAACTGCGACATTAGCGACGTGACGCCGCTTCCACCGGCAATCAAGATGCACGTGTCAAAGGCAGCGAGGTCCCGCCGCATACCGCCGTACGGCCCGTCAAGGAAGGCCCGGTATGTGTGGTATGGACCCTTCTCAATGGCTGTCTCCAAGACCTTGCGGGTGAAGCCTCCATACGGCCGGAAGACCAGGACACAATCCCGGTACTGCTCTCCGTACTCGGACGGGAAGTCCTCACTGCAGAGAGAGGAGATTGTGAAGGGGTGGTTCTCGAAGAACGAGATGCCCGGCATGCGTAGGTAGACATACTGGCCCGGCTGCCACCTCATCTGCGTCGGGATCGTGATCTTGATGGCGTTCTCGGTCATGATGTTGATGGCAGCCTCGTCTCCGACCATGAAGGACATGCGCCACGGCCGGATCCAGTTCAGTTTGAAAACCCGCAGTAAGTAGCAGAAAACGAGGATGGCAACCGTCGCGTAAAGGTAAGTCCAGGACATGAGGAAATTCTTGGTATGCCAGAAGAGGACACCGACGTATAGCAGGCCCACTGGCCAATGCAGTACTACGAACACCTCGTAGGCCTTCCTCCTGATGATGGGCAACGAAGCAACGCAAAGCCAGACGAGCGGCACCAGGCAGGCGATGCCACTGCCGTAAATGATGCCACTGCCTGGGGGGAAGAGTGTCTGGAACACCTCCATTCCGCCGTCCTCCCAAACTGGCTGAATATAGAAGGGAATGGCGTGAACCAGCGATAGGAACAGGCACAGATAGCCTGCCCAACGGTGAATGACATTAAGTCGCTCCGGGCCAATTCCGGTGATGATAGTGAGAATGTTGGCTTTAGTGCTCGTCGCGATTATCCAGGGGGTCATGGCAACCGCAATCATTCCGGACCGGATAGACAAGGGGGGAGACCCGAACCGGATGCTCTGCCAGTAGAGAGGCTGGAGTAGGAAGCAGTAGATGGTGACGAATGCCAGCGCGACAATACCGCAGGCCAAGACAGCCAGCGAAGAGAAGGTAAATCGGTGCTTCCGCCAAACGATATCGGGAATCGGCCGGTAGAATATCCATCTAAACAGCGCGAGGGTGCCGTTGACAACTCCAATTGACGAGAAGTGCGCCTTTGGTCGAAACGGCGTCTCCTCCTTGCCCTCCTCGGGGAAGAAATGCATCCCCGATGCGTTGCCTGTCGCCAAGGCGGCCGACCTGTCCCATTCGGGCTCCAGGCTGTAAAGATTCCGGTAGTGCTCTTCCACTTGTTGTTTGTAGATTGCCTGACGGATTTTATCTTGCCAGAAATGCCAGAACCGCACGAACAGAACCATCCCCATCAGAGTCAATGCGAAGTATGTCCAACCACGACCATACTGGCCCGACTTTACCCAAGGGTCCACCGTGTTTGCTTCTACCAAGCCTGCTGGGCTCGTAGGCGTCAGGGGGATGGATATGCGTTTGGCGAGTTGCGCAAGACTCTGCGAATCCGGGCCTGCCACCCCGTGAGTCCCTGGCGGAGCCTGGAAAGCCATCTCGTCACGTTGTTGCCTCTGCCTTAGACTTCGGATATCATCAAGACGCTCTATATATATATATATATATATATATGGCGGCAGGTTTCGCCGTCCCTGGTGGCGTCTGAGGATCCGAGGTATGGTGGGCTTGGGCGTGCAGTTGTCTATGCCTCTGGGAGAGCGGAAAGCGAAAGATAGAAAGGTACACCCCGCGACCGACGTCGTATAAGTGATGCGAAGGTAGTGAAGGAAAGCAGACGGTGTCGGCGATTGACCGAAGCGAGGAATGCCTGACTCCCCGATTAGAGATTAGAGACCAATGGCCTGGAAGGGGTCCTGGCCATGCGACAGTGGGCCAGATATATGGTTGGCGTTGCTAATGTTCGGGGTCGGTCGGTGGGTGAGAAGATGTGATCAGTCTTCTATGTTCTGCTTGCGCGCCAGGTCCTCGCTTCCTAGCCAGACAAGCTGTGACCAGGCACTTGGAATTGCCAATGGTACGTTGTTGTCCCCCCGAGCCGCCGACGTTAATCGATAAAAGGAGCTAGGGCGACGAGGGCGGAGAGCATGCGAGATTGCTCCTCGTGGGAGCATGCAGTCTTTTGGCGCCGCCAACGATGAGGACTCAGTCTGACGAAAGCTCGGAATGGTGGGATGCGACCAGGTGGCAAGGGTCAGCGGTTGAGGATACTTTAATATTGGCTGGCCTGGGATTGTGGCCGCTCCCCGCTGCTGCAAGTCACACAAACTGACAGAAGTAGAAGAGTAACGGCAAGGCGGGCGCTAGCTTCGACCTGTTTAAGCATGTGGTGGGTGGGTGCGCCGGAGGGGAGAGAGAGCAAACCTGCAAGGTGTTGCGGTGGAGGGTGACGGTGTGATGGGATGTAAGCCACGACGGCACGTCAGTGGTCAACTGCACGGGAGCGCTGCAGCTTCTTCGGCAAACAAGCGTTTTGACTGCTGGGAAGGAAGCCGAATAGCGGCAAGTCACCATCACATCCTCTCCTTAATGTGGTAGAGCGAGAAAAGGCGCAAAGCCAACAGAAACGTGCAGTTGGTCGAGACTGGCCCAGGAGAATTATCGCATTATCACGCATTCCATCTAGTTGTGATGGGCAATCTGGCGGCAGATGCGGGCCCCAACATGAACGGCCCGTACATGATATGGGCATGATAAGGAACCCTGCACAGATCGCCTTGGATGTACGTATAGTGTACGAATAATAACGGCGCGAAGAAACGTGGAGGCGGGAGCTTAGGTAGGTACGGATGGCGTGGGAGGATTTGCAGAAGATGCAACCCCCCAATTGAGTCAACGAAAGCACCCACCCGTCAAGCGGAATTCCTGCGTCTGCTCCGAGTCCGAGCCAGTGGCATTGATCAATTGCAATTGCTCTATCAGTGTACAGAACAGAACACAACTTGCCGAATCGATGGCCGCCCAGTTGGCGGCCGCCTGCAGTTGCAGTTGGTAATCTCCCCCGCGAAGAGTCGATGCGAGTCGTGCGACTTCCCAATGTGAATGTGACCAGGTGCTCGCTCTGGCTTTCCTCCAGCCCAGCTGTTGGCCCATTGCGCATTTTTGCACTCTGGGGTTGACCATGGTCGCTGTCGAATCGCATTTGAGAAATGCGGTGACGGAACTCACAGATCGCATGGCAGGGGGTGATGGACCAAAGCGAGGACGAGCGAATGGGGAGCTGGCAGACTGCGAAGCTAGGTCGGGCGGCAACATGGCCTTTCTGATTCGCTGCATGATCCTGTTTGGCTCCTCATCGCTCGCATCCGGGGGACAGGGGGGGCCTACCTCTAGTGGTCATAGCACCCCACGTCCGAATTAACTGGGGAACCGGGAAAACCCCTTGAAGAAATCAAGCCTTGGATCCATCCTCGTGATCCACCTCTTCGGACCATTTTTAATGGCGAATGAAATCTTTCCAGAGGCGGGCTGCGCGGGCTACGGTGCCGGAGAGTTTCTCGGGGCACGGACCCGTTCTCTGAGCAGGGCACGGAGCCCGGGGAGACCAGAGAAGATACGGCAGAACGATTACTTGTCCCAAGGTTAATATATATGTGGCAATGACATTGACGATATTTTTATTATCTTGCATCACTAGAGGAACCCATATCCACGCAAAGCAGAACTCCGCACTTGCTCTCCAGCTGTCACAGTCCCAAGGCACTGACATCCGCACTTAGAGTCCGTCCCTGCGCCATCTCGGCCAGGACCATGCCCGTCCCCAGGCTGAGGCTGATGCCCCACGGACCATGCCCGGCCGCGACATAGACCCCGCCGTCCGCCCCGGCCCTAGTGTTGACTCCAATACCAAGGTGTTCATCCGGGATCCGCGAGATGATGGGCTTCCCGGACGGTGTCACCGGGCGGAAACATAGCCCTTCTCTCAAAATCTCGAGATCGTCGTGGCCGGCGTCTGAGCCCAACAACTCATTGGCACTCTGCTTCAGGCGGGCTATGGATGCCTCCTGGGCCTTGGCCGGGCCCGCGGGTTCGGGCAGGGGGATGGCCGAAGAGTTCAGCCCGGCAATATAAATGTTGCCTCCGATCCTGGAGACGATCTCGGGCGAATACCCTGGGCCACTGGTCGTGAAGACGGCATGGCATCCCGCGTCCTCAAGCTCCTTGGTCCATCGCGGGGAAGCAACGACCAAGGAATGCCCAGCCAAGCTCAAGATCGGGAGCTTGAGTTGGGAATGGCGGAAAAGGGTCTCGAACACCTGCGCCGACCAGGCCCCCGCCGCGATGATAACCCTAGTGCACGGAATGTCCGTCTCGGTGGACGACTGGGTGGCGGCGATGCGGATGCTCGCCAGTTCGCCGCGGACGGCGTCTGTCCTGACAGATAGCGCTGTCGCTGGGTGGTGTAGCTGCACGCCACTATTGAGGCATTCCTGGAGTAGGAACTGCGATAGTTCAAGGGGATCTAACTGAGCGGTTGTCCCATCCTTGCCGAGCATCTCGATGCAATCACCCGCCTTCCTCCGGAGCCAAGGGGGAGACCTCCCGGCAAGGTCATCGACGACTGCCGTAGCGGTCTCGGCGCGGCTTGCCCCGCGTCGAAGCCAGTCATCGACTCTCGCTTTGGAGACCCCGTCCCTGGTAGCTGCGGTGTAACCGACCGAGGTGCTCGTCGAATACCCCCATTTCTGTCTTCCGCCTCTGCTCTCTGCTAGTTTCCGGTGTTGCTGAAAGCTTAGCGCGCCCAGGGAAGCTACAGCAGGGGAGAACCAGTCTTCAGCTAAGAAACCGCCTGCAAACCCAGAGGCAGATGAGAACAGCTTGGGGGAAGGATCAACCAAGTGAACACTCGACGGGGGCTGATGCTCGGAGAGGTAGTAAGCAGTTGATACACCGATGATACCGGCACCGAGGATCACGGTAGCGGACATCCTGGCGGGACCGGTAGTGATCGCGACACTTGTAAAAGCGAGTCCGTTGACTGCGCAAGGAACATGGCCCCATAATTTAGGTAGGTAGGACAGACGGAGACATTGATGTCATAGGTGAGAGGTGAGGCAGCAGGGTAGGTCTCAACAGTAAACTTACTAAGCAGAGCTGTCCCCCACTTCCATATTTTCTGAGAAGATTTCGGCATATAAATTTGTGATCCAATCAATGCATTCAGGATACAATTTTCTAGCAAATCAGAACTCCAAGATGGCTTCAAAAGTGATTATTGTGACTGGGGCGAGTCGTGGAATTGGTCTGGCTGTTGCTAAGTACCTGCTGGATGCCTCCCATAAAGTTGTCCTTGTGTCGAGGACACAGAAGGAGCTTGAAGCCATCAAGGCTCAATACCCTTCACAGGTTCAGTTCCTGGCAGCTGATCTGACAGACACCGAGGTGGGTGTTTCTGCCGTCTTCATATTAGTTGCCCAAGCCAAAGCAGGGCGTTGCTCCTGCCTCCTCCCGCGACACCTTGCCAGCATGACACTTGGTAGTAGCAGGAGTGTAGGGATACGCGCTAACCTGACCATAGGTAGCGCCGAAGATAACAGAGCTTGCTGTCCAATCTTTTGGCCGACTCGACGGCATCGTCATCAACCACGGCGTGCTCATGCCCATGCGACGTATCGCGGACTCAACCGTGGAGGAATGGAAGAAGATCTACGATGCGAACCTGTTCAGCGCACTTGCCCTGGTAGGTGAACATTGCTTGCCCAGTTGCACCCCAATGCTTACAGCCGCAGGTGAAAGCGGCAATCCCGCTCTTGCGGACATCCAACGGGCGTGTCGTCTTCACATCCTCTGGAGCAGCACTCGGTGGCTATACTGCCTGGGGCGCATATGGGTCATCCAAGGCTGCCCTGAACTCTCTGGCACTGCACATTGCGGTGGAGGAACCCGATATCGCCGTGGTCTCGGTTGGCCCCGGTAGGGTTGACACCGAGATGCAAAGGGAGATCCGCGAGCAGGGTGCTCCCGGTACTGCCATGTCAACCAAGGATCATGAATCCTTCGTCGCCGAGTTCGAGGGCGGCAAGCTCAATAAACCAGAGTGGCCGGGGAAGGTCATCGCCAAACTGGCCCTGGAAGCAAAGCCCGAACTTGCGGGGAAATACTTCAGGTTTGTGGCCCAACCCTCATCGAGACCCAGACTCTCTAACCAAACCTAGGTGGAACGGGCCAGAATTGGCCGAGTATCAGGAACAATCTTGAGTCAGGCGGCATACTAGTTATTGTCTGGTCAGCATGGTTTCCTCGTGGAGAACAAGAAAAACAGACAGGCTTGACAAGGTAGGCTTCAGTCGAAAGATGAAAAGGCTTTATGAATTTCCACATGGGGATTCAGTATTAGCATGGAATAAAGTATCGCATCACGAGCCACCTTGAAACACTGCATATAATGTGAGAAAGCACCAACCTTACAGAGCTGTATGGAATCCCTGTTTGAAGTCGAGTGAGGCCGAGGCATTTCTGTCCGACTTGTGCCACACATAATTTTCGACTCCACATCAGTAGCCATGATGCGCAGGGCATGTATAAATTTTGTTCCATCGCGCCTTGTCGGTATTTGGTCGCCCATGGTTTTAAACATGACCAAGTTTTGCTTCGGTCGAGACAAGATACCCCAGGTCCGAGTACATGGTCGCGTTCCGAACAAGTCCTGCAATGCAAAGTTACCAGATCAGTACATTGCCCAGCCAGTAATGTGTTAAATATTGGAGAATAGGCTGACGATCAGAGACGTCCGTTTGGAAAGACTAGTGTCAATCACCATATGGTTGTGTATGCCTGGGGCGACAGGATGCTCATCATGTTAAAACCAGCAAGGGAAGACTCTTCTCACGAACCTTTCAAAGTGTCCCGGAAAGAAACGCAAGGGACGAAATAATAAATCTGACAAGTTTGGAAGTATGTAGCAAATTCAAGGCACAATCGCGTTGGCGTTGTGTGATGCGTGGGAAAGAAAGTAGAAAGATGTTTCGAGTTTTCCGTTCAGCGAAACTTTTTTTTAAATAGGTCCGTAGGTCTGCCTTGCTGTGGCTGGTGACATGGAGCCTTGCTCGAATTAGCAATTCTATTCGTGCACGCCACACTAGCAGTAGCCTTGGGAAAAGCCACACGAGGCAAACACGGTGCTCATGGAACTTCTCACTTACCTCCTTTTCTAAGTACATACTCATCGTCTCAAAATGCTTCAGCCTCGCGTGCTATAAGCTTCATACGCTCACGAGAAACCGTCGTTCTAAAACACAGTTGGAAGCAGTGAATCATCGTTCATCTGTAGACTGTACAACATGTCTGACCATGAGTTTGGTGGTAAGTTGCCTGTTCGCTTGGTCTTTGTTATCAGTGACTAGGCTACAAGATGCCTGTCCAGTCGTCCTTTCCTCGTCTCAATCACTTCCTGTTCACTTCTCGTTCACTTCTACTTCACTCTAAGAGAGATTCTGCTCTGTCACTCTGTACACCATAAGTATGGATCTCCATCCCAACCAGCCCTGTTTACGTACATCGTGCCCCAAAAAGATTACCCCGTCACCCTTTGATGCTCAACGCCGGCTTGGCCTCCTGCACCATATCGTCTACCACTGAGTTGTAACCCCATTCGGCTACTTCTATTACCACCATGGTTAAAAAGCCTGCCAGTGTCAAGTACTGGGAAAGGATCGATAATCCACCAAGTATTCGGTTTCAGGGCTACAGTTTTCGGAAAGAATATACTAACTTTTGCGTCCAGGCAACGATGATCTTTCTTTGCCCAAAGGTATTAAATCCCCGTTTCCTTACTCCTAACCCCTACCCTTATTCATCCTGCCAGACTGGGCAATGAATCTGTCCCTGTCTGCCCCATGGGGGTGTGACAGCAGGAAGGCTTGGGGTGGACAACTTGGCTTTTTGTCAAGGCCAGGTCTTGTCCACACCCTCCAGCCTTACTAGCTCCTGTGTCGAATCTTGATGAAGGTGATCCATTCGACAGGCTGCTCCCCATCCGATGCGACTCTCCATCCGATGTACGGCTCTCGATCAGTATCTGCGAATGGCCTATCTATTTTGGTTCGGATTACACGCAAGCAGCATCTCAAGACGCCAACATTGTCCTTTCTTTCCCAGTCCTGCGCCGCTTGGCTTTCTGCATCCCAGGCTTATCTTTCCCTTCTTTTTTGGAGGAAAAAAGGAGAAAACACGATGTGCCGTGTAACTGACATCTCTACGTGCGAATAGCCACCGTCCAGAAGATAGTCACCGAGATCTTGCCACCGTCAGGCGGTGTCGCATTCTCCAAGGAGGCTCGAGACTTGCTCATTGAATGCTGCGTCGAGTTCATCTCCCTCGTCTCCTCTGAGGCAAACGAGATCTCGGAGAAGGAGGCAAAAAAGACGATCGCCTGCGACCATATCACCAAGGCCTTGGAACACCTCGGCTTCTCGGAATATGTCCCTGCAGTGCTCGAGGCGGCAGCAGAACACAAGGAAGTCCAAAAGGTAGGCGATCCCCCTCGCCGTTTGCCCACGCGTGGTTTGCTGACCAAACGTAGGGACGAGAGAAGAAATCGAACAAGTTCGAGCAAAGCGGTATGACCTTGGAGGAACTGGAACGGCTCCAACAGGAGCAGTTCGCGGCGGCGGCAGCTCGGCATAATTGATGTTTGAGCCTTGGAAGGATCGATATGGCCTCCGCCATTGATGATATTCGCATTTGTTTGGCGTTGGTCTTGTCAGAGACCGGGGGTTTGAGTTTATATGGATGTGAATAGGCGCGTCGAATCTGCGGTTGCTGTATCAAATTGACTGCACCACGATATATCGCTGGGTTGTTGCATGGTATACCTTTGATGTCGGACCATCGCAACGAATCGTCGTACGCCTGTTAAAAAGGATTGGGGGAGCTTAGGTTGTTTTTCAAGGAATAGAGAGACAGGCGAACATGTTTGGTTCAGCGAACCATGCCTGCTCGGGTCAGGCAATATCGCCGTCGTCCTTCCAATCGAGTGCACCGCAACCCTGACTTTGCAACTTCTCGCTCCTCTCCTTTGGGATTCACAGACTATGTCATGGACGGCTTTTTAGACCTTTCGGTATGGGGAACATCATCCCTGGCTGTGGCCCGATCAAGAGTGGCGGTGGAATGGGGGAAGGTCATGTTGCATCCCTATCTGTTGCATGCTCTCGATCGGAAATCATTCTACGCCGCCGAACCAACATGGCCAAACTATATGGAAGTAGGAGATGGCTACGCGGGATATTCGGAAACCACTAAAACGTGTCGAAAACTCTCGGCAGGTGTTGACAAGCCGGTAGAGATATGGTGCTTGCCTGGCAGAGGGGTTTCGTTGAGAGAACATGCACAACGCAAATGGTGCACGGGGGTCTCACAAAAGTCTCTTCGAGTTATACAGGTCCCAACAAGTCCCCAGATGGTAAACCAGTCTATCTACAGAGCCATCCAAATCTCGGTTCCAATCCCCCTTCGCCATTTTGTCTCGTCCTAGAGTCTAGTAGCCATCCTTGCCCCATTTGTTGTACTTGTCATGAAGATTCTGCGCCCTGCGTTAGCAAACGTTCTCGCATGTTGATAGGGAAGCATAGTCGCCCAGAATTGCGGGAGATGCACAGGCGTACCTTGGGAAGGTTGACATCCGGGACCACGACGACGTTGATAGCACTCGGGGCATCCTTGGGAGCCGCGTTGACGTCGCCCTGAGGGTGGTATTTGTATTTGCCCTCGGCACCGTCGGTCTCCCAGGGCATGCCAGCCTTGGAAATGGAAACGGCCGACTCGGATGTTGATGTTGTGGGAGATCGCCCTGGCCGGTGGTCAGTCTCAAGGCTAGGTAGGATTGTGATGGGGGAATCTATGTCAGGGCCGCACCGAAGTAAAAACCGGCGCCAGCCAATGCGGCTACCATAACACCACCGAGGATCTGTACGAAAAGGCGTCAGTTCTAGCCCAGCCCAGGTCAATACTCCCTCCCCCTTTGACCAAGAGGCCAATTTGGGGCTTGGAGATGGATCGAGATATGACGCACCATGATCTCGGGGTTGCGCTTGGACTCCTGCCTCAGGGCATCCTCGCTCGACCCAAGCCGGCGGGCGGTTGTAGAGAAAGCTCTGCGAGCAATGAAGGATGCCATTGTTTCGTTTCGCAGGTTCGATATGGGTCTCGAGGGTGGGTTGACGTTGAAGGCCGACTTCAGTTGTGGTGTTCAGGCGTTGCTTGAATCTCGTATGATGGAAATGGAAGCGAAGCTCTGACGTTCAAGATCAAAAGAAGCCGTGATTGGATGAAACGCCCGAGCACCCAATTGGCCAATCAATGGGAGTTTGTCAAAACCTGCAGGGTTGGTGCCTTACAAAGTTTGATGGCGTCCTCAGGCAGGCACGGGTACGTTGTGAAACCCCAGGCACTAGGGCAATGCTCATCATGTCGGCAAGTCACAAACCATGGGTAGCTACTTTCTAGGTAAGGGTCAAATGAATCTACAAGCTTAACTTTGGGGCTTAAACTGGTATCCAGACTCTACCTACCTAGGTAGGTAGTTATTTGGGCCACCATGAAAAGCATTTTGTGTTTTGTCACCCTGTGGTGGGCTTTGTGAGCTGGGAAAAAGAAATGAGCCCCCTTATGGCTCGCTGACAGGGATGTATGACACTGACCCCAGAGCCCATTATTCTCCCGTCCGTGCCTTGTCTGGTGCCCCTTGCTTGGTGTCGACCACAATTCTCCCTCTGGACATCGAACTTCCCGTCTTTCCTTCGCCTCTTTTCGCCTTGATAATTCCCCCCAGAGTGTCTCCTTTCTTCTACAACACCAACTCGAGCCATGCAGGCGTGATTTTTTCCAAAACCAAAATCCTGAGCTCGATCCTCACGACTACCGCCTTGCTAGCGTCGGACTGAGCGAGCCTGTGGATTGCACGATATGTTATAACGAACAACACCAAACCGAGAGAAATTCCACTCCAATCCGAAGCCTTCGGCGTTTCGCAGCGATAAGATGGCGGGTCGAGACGGCGGCCCCAGGGCGACTTCACCGACGGACGAAGACGATAGCTTTCCTCAGTTTCCACGCCAAATTCCGGGACCTCCGAGTATAATCTCGTCGCGAATGACGGATATCGCTTCCGATGATGGAGAGGAGGACGACCCGCAGAGGAGTACTACCAGCCACCGCAGGAGTGGGATTGCGTCCGAAACCTTGTCGCGACCGGAAACTGCAAGAACGGGCCGGTCATCGAGGGGTGCATGGCCACAATCCCAGCCATTACGGAGAGGGCTATCCGGTAAACGCAAGAGTGTGGCCGGCAGCACGACTGGTTCCGTTGCAGCAGGTCGACCGCCCAGCTCGACCAGCAGAAGCCATGTACCGTCCCTTACTTCCCACGCCTTCTTTCGCCCTATGAGCTCGCAGAAGTTGCAAGCCCAGCGAGGGGCTTCAAGACCGGTAGCCGTGGCCCGGCAGCAAAGGACATCCGACGATTCCGCGCCAGAGAGTGGCACGAACACTGCGCGGCAGAGCATCATCTCAAACCCCGTTGCCAAGCTAGCTCGCGAGCTTACCGACGAGGGCGAGATGCGCCCGCCTCCATCCAGAGGAACGGAAATGACCGAGCAGGAGACGGTCGACCGTATCACCGCCAACACCAGTCCGACGCATGGGCATTATGCAGCGGCAAGCCTGTCCGAGAGCGTGCGGCCGCTCCAGAAGAAGAAGGCTGAGATCAAGGGACTAAGCGTCAATACGGATAGGAGCTACCTCGGCGGTGGCGGAAACCAGGCGACGCCCATGAAGTCGCCCCGTTCTTTCAGATCAAGCTTTCTCTTACCGTCAAGGAATGACTCGAGCCAAAATAGCGAAAACAGACGAATGCATGGAGGAGAAAAGCTGGAGTCCGTTGCCTCGTCGCCGCAGCTGACTCCTACTAACGCCGGCCCAAAGTCAAACCTTCCAAGAACGAATGCTAAAAAGCTCGGCTACAACTACGAGTATTTCGAGGGAAACACGGCATTTTGCATTGGAGGTCGCCTTCAGAACACTCGACATCGACCCGTCAACATCGCAACGGGGGCCATGGTCGTCGCCCCAGCCGCCCTGTTCTTCGTTTTCTCGGCCCCATGGTTATGGTTCAACATCTCACCCGCCATCCCGATTGTCTTCGCCTATATCTTTTACATCTGCGTCTCCTCCTTCCTACATGCCTCTGGCTCGGACCCTGGGGTATGAATCCGGCCCCCATCCTTTCCCCCTCCCAAACATGCCGGGACTCAATCACTAACAAAAGGCCTAGATCTTACCTAGGAACCTACACCGTTTTCCGCCGGCCCACGAAAACGAGGACCCGTTAAGACTGAGTCCTCCAACTAACGACTGGACCTTGGTCAAGTCGGCCGAGAAATCTGCGGCGGCCATGGAGGTTCCTACAAAGTACTGCAGGACATGCAATCTCTGGCGGCCCCCCAGGGCTCATCACTGCCGGCTATGTGACAACTGCATCGAGACTCAGGATCACCACTGTGTCTGGCTGAATAACTGCGTTGGTAGGCGCAACTACCGCTTTTTCTTTACCTTTGTTACCTCGGCAACCGTACTGGCGGCCTACCTCCTTGGGGCGTCACTCGCCCAGATTCTCGTCTACATGAATCGAGAAGGCGTGTCGTTTGGCGACGCGATAAACCACTTCCGCGTTCCCTTCGCCATGGTAATCTACGGCTTCATCGGCTTTCTTTATCCGGCGGCACTTATGGGCTACCACCTCTTCCTCATGGCCAGGGGCGAGACGACGCGAGAGTACCTCAACTCCCACAAGTTCCTCAAGAAGGACCGGTATCGGGCCTTTACGCAGGGAAACTGGCCCAAAAACTGGTTTGTCGTGCTCTGCCGGCCACGGCCGCCGACGTATTATCGGTTCAAGAGCAGGTATTCCGGAGGGGACCAGCGCCTTGGATCGAAACCCGACACGAGGAAGGCCGACTCGAAAGATGGCTTGGAAATGCAAAACGTCAAGCCGCAGCAGCAACAGCAGCCGGAATTCCATGGCCCCGTCGAGTTGCGAAATTCTGAGCAGACCTCGGCGGCATGATTTCCCAATCCTGCAGCGCAAACGCCCGAAAACTCTCTGTTTTATTGTGCTAATCCACCACTATTCACCTCGACGGGTCAAAACTCATATTTCTTTAATACTCTATAAAAGGAGTCGGGGCGAGCTGTGGTGCTGGATACCTCCCCCTGTTCTTATGTATGTAATGTATGGTCCTATTATACCCCCTCACCTACGCCCCCGGCGCCATAAAGCGACATGATTAGCTAGTTGTATTGTACGTACCATGTCCTTTGCTTTCCTTTGTTTTCGAGGTTATCTTGGCGGATCTTGGTGTTGGTATCGTCAGGGCTAGCGAATCGAGAGACTATTCTATCCAAAACTGCGCGACTTGACATCAAAACATCCGCATCATTCATGGCAGAGTCCCAAGATGGCGACAGGGCAATGAAGATATCTAAGTTCCCGTTCGATGCGGGCGTTCCTTCGGGTTACCTGGCTTGGGCTCATGTGAGATACTATCATCCTGGAGTGGTGATGGGAGGGCTAGGTAGGGTGATAGATGAGAGTAGAAAGGGATTATTAGTTGGACCATCTTGCAGCATAAAGGACAGTCACCCTTTTTGTGGCACTCTCAAACCTGTAGCCAACCCACATAGCAACGCGAATAGGTTCACTCATGTAACTTACAGCGGGCGACCTGATTCGTTTTGGAGACAAAGTATACTGACTGTTAACTGCTTTATCCATTACTTGGATACGTCTGCGAAAGTACTCGAACCCGGTGTCATCTTGCAATTCCGCCCATGTAAAATGAAGGCTTCCCAGAACCACAACCACCTATCCTGCGTCCTGCACTGACTCGCTAGTGGTATCATATCCGAGAGACAAAGAAAACATGCGTGTCGGCGTCCAACCCTTACCATCCGTACTCCTCATTACAAGGCGCACATCACTCATAGACCCATAGCCACATAATCGACAAAGGAGAATAAAACCGCGTCAGGCGGGCTGGATAAGCATCACCTTATCCCCCCAAGCTCATCCTGGCGAGGCCCACTGCCCTCCACCCAACATCCGTATCACACCCCCACCCCCTATTCGTTCCGATTAGCTTCAAAAACCGCCCTGACCCCCTTCGACCCATGATACGGGATAGGGATGAAGTAATCGCTCGCCATCTCGCAGTCCCGGACGGTAGTCTCAAACACCCCGACGACGCCCACGTCCCCCGGCAGCCGCGCGTCGTCGTCCCCCCGGCCCCCCCAGACGCGGAACAGCTTGGCCACCATCAGAAACAGCTCCGCCTGCGCGAGCGCCATGCCCAGGCACGACCGGCTGCCCGCCCCGAAGACGGTGAGGTACCTGTCGAGGCGCTCCTCCTCGTCGCCGGCGGCGGAGAGCCAGCGGCCCGGGCGGAAGCTGAACGGGTCCGTGAAGATGTCTGGGTCCGTCACCGTCTTGTACGTCGTCATCGACACGGCTGTGCCCGGCGGGATGGCGTATTTCTTCTTCTGGTCGCCATCGCCGGCGTGGTGGGTGTACGTCAGCGTCTCGTCGGGGCACACGCGCGCTAGGCGGCCGCTGGTGCCGAAGCCGAGGCGGAGCGATTCCTTGATCACGGCGCGGAGGTGGGGCAACTGCTCGAGCTCGGCCAGGGGCACGACGGCGTGTGGGTCGGGGATGGCCTTGAAGAGCTCGTCGCGGAGCTGCCGGAGGGTGTCGGGCTGGTTCAGCAGGTGGAAGGTGCAGAGGGTGAGGACCCACGAGGTGGTCAGCGTGCCGCCCTGCACCAGGATCTGGCCCTCCTGGCCGAGTCTCTTGATGGTCTTTTCTTGCGGCGGGAGGATCTTGGACGAGAGCATTTCGTGGAAGATGGTTGGGTGGGAGACGTCGAACTCCCACTTCGCGGTGTTTTCGGTTGCTTTGATATCCGAGATCTGACGGAGGATGTCCTTCTTCATCTTGAGGAACCCGCTCCAGCCTTGGAATGGTCAATCTGAGCTGTTGTTATGCAGGGGATTGGCTGACAGGCGAACCTGGGACGAAATTCGCCGAGATGATCTCCGGGAGAGCATTGATGAATTTCAGAATGACCTCCACGTGCTGAACCCATTTACTTCAAAGCGAGTTAGCTGGGCGGTTTGAGTGCTTGCGTAGGCTCTTCGGCCAAACTCACCCATAATGCGTCCCCGTAAGGAGGTTATCCGTGACGGCCTGTCCGAAATCTGGGTCCTCGACTTGGAAAGGGTAAGATATAAGGCCGATACAGAACAGTAGCGACAGAACTTACTCAGATGATCGCTCTTGGCAAAGGCGTACTCATTGATCACATCTGGACTTGGTTAGCGGGTTGACGAGGGGGTAGTCTCGGTTACTGACCATTTGTGAATGCAGAGAACGGATACATCAAGTTTATGGGCTTCTGTGGAAGGTTGCGAAGCCTGTCTAACAAGGCATCGACTCGCTCCTCGATCGCTGGCTGGAGTTTCCTGACACTCTGCATAGAGAAGAAAGGGTTTATGGCGGCCCTTCGGAGTTTGTGCAGATCGTGGTCTATGGTGGCGAGGGCACTCTCTATTGGAGGTTGGTTTAGTATCTGTATCACTTGGACACTCCTGACTTACATACCGTCGGCACCGAACTGCGAGCGTTATCATTAGCATGAGTATTCCAGTCAAAGACAGCTTGCATGACATACCTGTTTCGTGAAGAACCTCCACTTCTCTAGTCGACGATTCGTTCCGAGGTACAGGACGGGATAGAAGTCTGGGTCTCCCACGTGGACCTCTTCCGGGTTAATCCTAATGATGGGTCCATATTTCTTGTGTAGTTCGATGATCTTGAAGGTGTACTGGCCTCCGAGAACAATATCGTAGTAGAATTCGTAAGCCCAGGTCAAAGCCGCAAGCTTTGGCCCGGGAATATGAGAGATGGGACTGAAGTACAGCCGCCATACTCCGAGCCAGAGAGAATGCAATAACAGGAAGCCCAAAAGGGCTCCCCCTATCTGGACGTAGGAGAACGACAAGACTAGGTCCAGGAACGCCATTGCGTCCCCAACCAAATCCTCCCAGCAAATGCCAGGAGGAAGGAGATGGATGAGCGAGGAGAGCTAAGAGAAAGTAAGAAGGCGGTCGCAGTTCGCTTTTAAGATGGCGGGCTGGACACGAAGTGGGACGCTGACGAGTGTGACATGGGGAAAGGGGATATCGTGGAGAAGTGGAGGACGGCCACACCGACTCTCTGAGAACAAGAAGCGAGACCAAAGACGACCACTCGGCCGTCAATCAAGTGAATGTACGGATCCGTAAACGCCATGACTATACGCAATAGTATGCAAGCTGGCGACAGCTCATTCACTAGCCGGGAAGTTGTCTTCACTTAGCTTAGTGCGGGCAGGGGTGGGGAGCACTGGGCATCCGCTCAAGCCAGTCAGATGTGGGCCAAAAATCATGAAGCTGTGGGATGAAGCCATCCACGTCAAGTCTGAGTGGATTCCTATGCCTGCAGGATATCCCAGCTTGTTTTTACCCATCTGGAGGGGTTTGGGAGGGAAAATCGTGACTAATAGGCAGGCTTGGAGTAGAAAGAATTGCCGGAAAGGGAGCGATTTCACAGGACTACCATTCACAGACGAGGAACCCGCCATGCAGGGCCATGCAGATTATGCAGGCCATGCAGCCATTCCGAGAAGCCGTCCCACGAAACTTTCCCGAGTGGCATGGTTCATCCATAAGTGTGGCCTCCCCAACCCCCGCGATAAGCAGCCCGAAGCGTGGGGCAACATCCAAAACCAGGCGCCTCGAGACTCACAGTCCCGAAGGTCGACGCTCAACAGGTATGTCCTCGGCATCTAAGGATACTCGAGAAGGTAGATGGTATTACGTACAGTTACATACAGACTTACCTGCCTACTCGAATATGCTCCTCGGTTTATTTGAGGGTATCTACAGAATTATATACATGTATCCGTTTTGCAATCGTTCACATACATGTGCGTCTGGCCATCAGAACTTCGCCCATGGTCGCCACCCGACTGCAGCCACCTTGGCAGCTATGAACGCAACCAGTGACACGCAGTAGATGACTCCGGTGGTGACGATCAACCCCCAGTACTCGCCGTCGTTCGCGTTCAAAATCTTCCCTCCGATAGGGATCCCAATAAGGCAGGCAATGGAGACGATCGTGTAGCAGGTCGCATAATACCTGCCGTAGTCCTGCGTCTTGCACAGCCGGCCAATCGAGACGGGGATCAGGCTAATGTTGCTGCCGCTGGTGAAGCCGAACAGCAGCGAGAAGATGACTACGCCGGCCGTGGTATGCCCCGCGGGCAGCCAGATGCCGAAGCAGGCGATGATAGATATGACGATCGAGATGATGTTGGCGTTGAACGGCCCGATCTTGTCGGCGTACCAGCCCGGCAGGATCCGCCCTACGAAGGAGCCCGCGTTCAGGATGGTCGGCAGCCGCAGGGAGAACTCCTCGCCGAAGCCCTTGCTGATGGCGTAGCTCGAGATGAACGTCAGCGGGATGAAGAGCGCGAACTCGAGGAAGAAGACGGCGACGGTCGTCAGCAGGAAGGTCCTGTCCTTGAAGATGCGGAAGTTTGGGTGCGGGCTCGCGTTCGCGGCCGGGGGCAGCCGGGACCGGATCAGGAAGTTGGCGGCGATCGTGAGAGTCAGACACAGGAAGCCCAGGATGCGGATCGCCCAGCCCCAGCCGACGCTCTCGAAGAGGCTCGGCAGCATCAGGGGGAACACGACACCGCCCAGCGACCCGGCAGTGGATGCAATGCCGGTGGCGAGGCCACGACGCTCAAAGAAGAAGTGACCGACCGCTGCAATGGACGGCGTAAATAGGAGAGAGGTGGCAAACCCACAGAGGATGCCAAATACGAGGAGGAACTGCCAGTATTCTAGGGGTTGAGTTAGCAGAGGCACGAAAGATATTTGACGTTGGTGGGTGGCTGAGTTACGGGAACAGATGCTAAGAAGCATGAGACTTATGGCCAGGCTCACAGTGCCGGCGAATATCAACCATCGTGGGCCGTACTTGTCGAATATGGGCCCGATATAGATGCCCAGGAAGAAACAGAGGAACGTATATACAGAGAATATCCACCCGGTGGTGCCATCGTCATGGCCGGCTAGTTGATGGGTTGTGATATAAGCCTGGAACGTTGCCAGGATATTCATCAGGCCCAGAGAGGAGAACAGGGCAAGCCAGCTGCCCAGGACAACGAGCCACGCCCTTCGACCGCCTTCAGGATACGTTTCCTGGGGCCCGTGAGAGGATGCAGCAGCTGATGCAGCGATTGAGACTGCCTCGGAGCTTGACAGGGCATCTGGGGCGGGAACAAACGGGGGCGGACCGATAATTGATTTCTCTAGAGTTGTCGATTCAGTTTGGGGAACTTGATCAACAGATCCGTTGCCGCCAACACGACTCAAAGATGTCTTCCGTTCGTCCATCCTGAGCTCGACACAATACTTGACATAACATGCCTTTCTTTCCCACAGTTATTCAGAACCCATCATGAAGTGAAAAATTCTCCCAGACACGGCCATTGCCCAGATGCAGACTCAGTGGTGGGTCATTTCTTCCAAGGCGGCCCCTCCCCTCACTCGGAAGGTCCGAGTCGGAACGCTTTTCGGGAATAACTATGAGTAATTCGGCGAGCAACTTAGGTAATAGTAGCTGATTAATCATGCATCAAAATGGTATTTTGGATTCATAAAGGGAAGGTGGCAAAAATGAGTTGAAAGACTTCGGCTGTCCTGACAGACAGGTTGGATAGGTAGAATTCTGTGGCATTTGATACGCCTCAAAAGCGGCTGTATGTAGTAGACCTCCTGCAAATGGTGGCATTGTGCCTACGGATGATACTCCGTCATTTAGGCCGTTCAAGGCCCCGTTTTAGGGCCCAAAATTTGTTGACGGGGCCGGGAGGGGCGCCTCCTCCTCAGGTTCAGTGGACTTGGTTGTGTTGTCCCAGGGAATTATCTATCATCCTGTGTCAGCACGCAGTGCATATGGAGTCCATCCCCCGTAATCCAGGTAATTAGGAACTTTACCTCGAGAGACCACTCCAAATACGTTGGGATGGGTTGGTACAGCTCTAGGGCGTTTGTTGCACTCAGTCTGCACAGATGCCCAATAGCTTCAGCCTTCATCATCCTCCACCTCCTCCATCATGACCGCTCGTGGCCCCCTTTGCTCTCCAACCTGCGCATTGCTGGATGTGGAAACCTCAACTTCTCCAACTTCTCCAACCCCTCCCGAAGCTTTCATATAGCCTTCTCTCTCAAGATTGTCCGCCTCTTCGGGTTCCAACAGGCCACCCTGACCCTTGCCCTTGTCCAGCTTCAACCGTACAGTCGTAGGCACGAAGGCGCTGACGGCTTCCTTTCTCAGGTCTCGCACCATAGGTTTGGCTTCATATACTGTCTTTGCTTCGACAACCGGCACTGGTGACTTTTCAGAAGTTTCCCTTTGGAAACGTTCCTTGCCTCCTCCAAGCGGCTCCAGATTTGCATTGGTATTTGCGTTCCGGCGTGATCTCCGCTTGGCATACCATTCATCCAGTATCTCCTTCGGGATAGGGGGTGGCGTGTCTCGCGGCATGGGAATATTCTTGACGTCTTCTGGCACATCGCTGTCGCTGCTGGAAGCATCATCGGCACCTCTCCGTCGCTTGCCTAGAACTCCACCCCTACCCTCCCCATCTTGTCGCGGTCCCCCACGGCCAAACACAGGCGCCTTGTCCCCCAAGGCTTCTCGGGCCTTCTTGACGACCCTCAGATCCCTCTCGAGAGCCTCGAGTACTTGCTCCTCGTGTTTGCTGAGTTTCCCCCCACCCTCAACGATAGCCTTCAGATCATCGATTTCTTTCTGTATCCTGTCTGGGTTCCGCTTTGCAAGCCTCTCATTGCGCTGTGACTGGACTGCTGCCTTTCCTATAAGATGGATATGTTAGTTCCCCTCCCGAACCGGTGTACAATTTGACAAAAAGGGAGGTAGGCAAACCTTTTTTGACGGCCTTTGCCTTGTCAGCCTTCCGCTGGGCTTGGACAGGATTGAAATTTCGTTCTTTTGGCATGGTGCAGAGCTCAGTGTGTCGATACTGTCTCTTCCTCGTGGCTTAGATTCTGGGCAAACCTAATACGGCTGTAGAGGTCGGGTTATTGACGTGAAATGGCCGTGTTCAACTTTCTTGGTATCTTCGTACCTTGTCAAGTAGGTAACTGTATTGACCATGTGCTCAAACACGTGCTGATAAGCAGAATTGGCATTGGGAGGTTCAAGCTCAGAACCCCACCATTGTTGCTACCGCAACCCGCTGTTGTTGATTTACACCCCACCTTCCAGGTTGTATCCATGTAAGTTGGGCTGTGGTCGCAGCCATATGTATATCCGTATCTCACCGATCAAACCTTTTGCATCCACCGGCGCCTTTCCCTGCATCATCGCAACCCCACAAGGTGATCTCGGTCGAGTTCTTCACTTTCATCCACCACAAATCTCCAGTATCCAGTATCCCCTTGCCTACCTAGCCTTAATCACTATCCTTGCCTCTCCGCTGCTGGCTGCAGTGCCGAGAAAAGGCTGCCCGTCCCTTTGAAGCCAAGATTGCTTGATTGTCAGCAGCACCACTCAACAACAACAACAATGGCGGGCTTCATGTCCAATCTGTTCCCAGGGGCCAGCAAGCAGGATAAGGCTGATCTTGAGCCGCCCCCGGTTACGCCCACCACGAACAGCTTCACCACCCCGGCCAGCACGCCCCAGGGCAGCCCCAGCAAGAAGATGGCACCTCCCGGAGCAAATGAGCTTCCTGTGGTTTTTGACAATCTGAAGCTCTCATCCACAAATGCCCTCGAGAGCCCGTTGAAACTTAGCCGTCCCCAGAGCAGTGGAACACCTCTCGCCCCAGGGAAGACCAACATTCAAAACTTTGACGAGAGCTTTGCCGACGAGAGCACAATCCACAAGGGATTCTCAAGTGGTGGCGGCTCTCCACAGAGGGCGACGGGACAGGAGAACACGCCCCCCTCTCGAGGGAACCCCGCCAGTGCCGCCAATGCCTCGTTTCAAACGAGCCATGCCGCTCTCTCTCGCCAGGGGCTTTACCACTTGAAGGAGAGACCGACAACCCCTGCCAAGAAATTCAACACCTCGAGAGGGCTTACTCCCGAAGAGCGCGAGATCCTACAGAAGCCCAACGTGAAGCGGCTCGTCAATGTTACACAGCTGTGTAGGTTTTCGTTGCCCATCGCCTTCCTGATGACCCAATGCTGACACGAAGCTAGACTTCCTCGACTATTACTTCGACCTTCTCACATACGTTGGATCGAGACAGAATCGACTTAACGCCTTCAAGGCAGATAATCCGGAGCCCCAGACGGAGGAAGAGCAGAAGGCCTATACTCAGATGTGGAAGCAGTACACGGGCCGAGAGCGGGCCAATCTCCGCAAGCGGCGAGTCAAGCTCCGCCAAGGCGACTTCCAGATCCTCACACAGGTCGGCCAGGGCGGCTACGGCCAGGTCTTCCTTGCCCAGAAGAAGGACACAAGGGAGGTCTGCGCGCTCAAGGTCATGAGCAAGCAACTGCTCTTCAAGCTCGACGAGATCCGGCACGTTTTGACCGAAAGAGACATCCTCACCACGGCCAAGAGCGAGTGGCTAGTTCGCCTCCTGTACTCTTTCCAGGACGACAAGAGCATTTATCTCGCCATGGAATATGTGGCGGGCGGGGATTTCCGAACCTTGCTCAATAACACTGGCGTCTTGTCCAACCGCCATGCTCGGTTCTATGCTGCCGAGATGTTCTGCTCCGTCGATGCTCTTCACCAGCTGGGCTATATCCACCGAGACCTCAAGCCCGAGAACTTCCTGGTCGACTCGACCGGCCACGTCAAGCTGACCGATTTTGGACTGGCTGCTGGGTTCTTGGCCCCTTCCAAGATCGAATCGATGCGCGTGCGCCTGGAGAAGGCATCGGAGACTCCCGTTCCCTTCGGAAAGCCAATGGACCAGCGAACAGTTGCCGAGCGTCGCGAGGGTTACCTCTCGATGCGGGAGAGAGATGTGAACTACGCAAAGTCAGTCGTGGGATCCCCTGATTACATGGCACCAGAAGTCCTCCGCGGAGAGGAGTACGACTTTACTGTCGACTACTGGAGCCTGGGCTGCATGCTGTTCGAAGCCTTGACCGGATTCCCTCCCTTCGCCGGTGCCAATCCTGATGAGACTTGGCGGAATCTGAAGCACTGGAAAGAGGTTCTGCGGCGACCAGTCTGGGAGGACCCAAACTACTTCCTGAGCAACAGGACTTGGAACTTCATCACGACGTAAGGACTCACTCATCTCGCAGTATCACTCCCCAAACCATCCGCCACTTGTGCTGACACAGACTAGCTGCATCAACTCGCGGAGCAGGCGGTTCTCGAACATTCAGGACATCTACAGCCATCACTACTTTGCAGAGGTGGCGTGGGACACGCTGCGCGAAACCAAGCCGCCATTCGTCCCTCAGCTTGACTCTGAGACTGACGCCGGCTACTTCGATGACTTCACTAACGAGGAAGACATGGCCAAATACAAGGAGGTGCACGAGAAGCAGATGGCTCTAGAGACCATGGCGGAGCGCGAGGAGGAAATGGGCAAGAGCCTGTTTGTCGGATTTACCTTCCGACACCGAAAGACGGCGACTGAAGAGGGCAGTCCGCGTAAGCCCATACCGTTGGACGGGACTTTTGGCACCATGCTGTAGGGGCAGCGACGGGCAAGAAAAGGGTCCGGCCACCGGCGGTATCCGTTCCAGGGGCGACCTCGAGGCATGAGGGACTGGGAGTGGGTGTACGTGCGCAGGGGGCATTTGTTGGGTTCCTAATTACCTACGCATTACGCGGCGCGGCGTAGTTGCTGCTGCTGATGCTGATGTCGGGTTTGGCTGGTGAGTTCTGGGTTGTGCAGCACATTGTATATCTCCTTGCTTCTTTTGTTTTACTTTCCATTCCTGGCATTGGTCTCTCTCGTGTCTTCTGATCACACGCGCATGTTGAGTTTCGGAGTTTGGAGGAGCTGGCTAGGGGGCATGGAATGGAGAGAGCATGCCGTGCGAGGCCTCCTCTCGGCCTCGTGGGTGACCGAATTGGAAGGATCTGGGAGTCTGTACTTGTAGAGTAAGGGGTCTTTTCTGGTCGGCCGAATGGAGTTTTTACAGATGATCAGATGCTTAGTGTTAATCCTGTCTTGTTTCGTTGAGAGCATTCGCCTCCCAATGGCAAGGCGGACAATGAGACTCGTATCGATGGATCAATGCCCCAGGCGTCGATCATTCCCGCCGAAGCAACGTCATTTCTCATTTCTCAACAACCTGGAACGGCACGGGAGGGGGATACATACCTCAACTAATAATATCGAAACATGGGCTCCAAATAAGCATAAGCCAACCTCAGCCCTACTTGGTTGTTTCACGAACGCGTGTCGTCCTCAATTAGCATCGGACCGCGCAGAATCGACTGCCCGAAGGTGGGACAGCACATTTCTGCGGTAGGGAGAGACGTTGGTGAGTTCGTTTCATCGGTCGGCTTCCACTCGAGTTCGTCTCTTGCACGACGCCAGCCTGTCCCGCCACAAGCCTTGCTTTGGTTGGTGCGCCGGACATTCCCCAAGCAACGTCAACTCTGAGAGCCACGCCGCCAATGAGTGACGCCGCTCCATGTCGCTCAACGGGCCAGGACACGTAATCGAGCCGCAAAGCATCTGTGCCCTTCGGTCCCGAAGCCCTCGTATGCCAAGCACACTGGGGCTTTTTTCTGGAATCCCGGTCTCACTCCCTTCTCTTCTATGGCTCTCTTCACCAACCCGTCACTACTACCCCTCCCTTCTCGGTGCTTTCGGCTCATGCACCTCCATCGCCTAGAGGACGACGACGACTCTCCTGCTCCACAGGCGCATAGCTAGACACAACTTACACAAACTGTAATCGCCGAGACTTGGTCTTGGTGACACCGCAGCAGTAAGACATGATATGGCTCACCGGCCACAGCCACTCCTCGAGGCAGGGCCGCGCGGCATTTGTCTCTGCTGCCCCGCCGCTCCGGGAGTCGGTGCGAGACAGGACGATCGACTGGCGTTTCCGGGAAGGAAGGGAGGACGGGCTGGGGCTGTTGCTCTTTGGTTTAAGCTCGAGCTACCACCGGGCTTATCCACACATACCTCAGGGAACGCCAGGCTTACATGATATCCCTACGTGCTCCTTGGCTGATATAAATAATAACGGGCGTCACTGGCGCAGCTGCCGTACATATCCTCTCAACCCTCTCCCGTTCCACATCCTGGGGTACCATTGAGCTACCCGAAGAGTAATAAATATCATTGATCCTAGCTCTTATTATAACCCTCTTGCGGAACCTTTTCTCGGAGGAATTGGAGCATATGACCCATCCGACATTCCCCTCAGCTTAAGGAGACTCCTGCCACTATCTACTTATTATATCTCTGGGAGACCATATAGCCTCTCTCACATACCGACCACAGTGACTCAGCTTCAACTACACAGCACAAAGATCGCACCGCATCCATGAGGTTCCGCACAACCATCTCGGCCTTGTTGGCACCTGCCATTGCCCAGGCGCAATGGTGGGGAGGCGCTCCTAATTGCGCGGTAAGCCGTCCCTTTCCCATCCTCTCCCAACCCGCCCCCGGAATAGCTCCTAACTAAGAATCTCCCCTCCGCAGCACTCCTGCTTCTCCTCCTTCTTCACCTCAGCCACCGACTGGCCCTCCCCCTCCAACTACTGCGACTCCAGCCAGGGCGCCTCCGTATCAAGCTGCCTATCCTCCGCCTGTTCCGCCACGCCGACGGCCCAGACGTCCTACTCCTCCCTGTCCTCGTCCCTCTGCTCCCGCTGGGCGTCCTGCTCCTCGGCCGGCAGCACCGGCGTCTTCACCGCCACTTTCCCAACCATAACCGGCCACCACGGCGGTCCATGGGGCAACGGAGACGGGCCCTGGACAGGCGGGCCGTACACGGTCACGGGGTGCGAGTGGGACGGTTCTCCGTGGGCGGGCGGGCCCGGCGGGTGGGGCCCGGGTGGCAGGGGCGGCGGCGGCGGGCCCTGGGGCCAGTGGGGCAACGAGTGGTCGTGGGCGACGCGCACCACCACCGTCACGGTCGTGGTCACGTCGGACGGGAGCGTCGCCACCACCGTCGGCCCCGCCACGGTCGCTGTCGCGGCCAGCGGCGACGTGCGCAGCACCACCACGCTCGGCATCGTGGGCGCGGAGCAGTCGGCGCCTACGGCGAGCGACGGCGATGGCAACAAGAATGCCGGCCCGCGTGTGGCGGGGGATGTCGGCGTCAAGGCTGTCGGGGCAGTTCTGGGCGGGGTTGTTGCTGTCGTGGCTATGCTTTAGGTTTGGGTGGTTATTCGGGGGGGGGGGGGGGGGTTGCTGCCTCCTTTTTTCTTCTTTTTCTTTTGGGCACCTTCGTTCTTTTCTTTTTTTCTCTGTCCTTCTTTCTCTTCCCCGGATCTCTTTTTTCGGCAGCGGGTAACGGGTGACGGGCAACGGACTGTGGGAGGGTATGGTATTGTGAACAAGGGATAACTAAGGGGATTGGGGATGGTTCAAAATGACAGGGAGGGAAAATAAAGGAGAAGATAATAGAACAGGAGGAGTAGCTCGATTGTCCCATGACTCAGGCGGTTGGTTGAAGAGCAGGTTCGCCGGTCTCTGGTTGGGAGTCTTGGGGGATTCCTTCTGCATTTCAGTCTGTGTTAGATCTGGATCCTTCGCATCGTTTCCCCAACAATACTATGGTCACTCGTTCAAGCCTTTGCAACTTGTCAGGTAGTTAACTGTCCCTCTCGGTGAGGTCCTTGAGGTCCTTGATCGACGTAGCCCATTTGCTAGGGGGTGCCTACTCCATCTTGTCGGCGACAAGCTTGAGGCATGCACCCTCATTAAGGACATGCTCCTGGTTGAACATGGGGATATGCATGTAGCCATTGTGTTTCTGCCATTCGGTCGGCCGCAAACTGCGCTTGATCCAGGTGTTTCCGACCCGGTAATACTACCTCTCGGGTGTGACGGCGATACAATGCTCCTCGCGTTTCGCGTTGAGTTCCTGGTTGATTGGGGGGCCCATTTCAGAGTTGGTGAAGAGATGGCTGAGAGTGGGTTCCTATACTCTTCAGCGCTTCAGCTCTCTGTAAACGGTGCCATTGGCCTTGCTGCCTTGCAGCGCCCTCCCCTACGCGCCACAGGTGCTGGTTTGACAGATGTAACCCCCCAACCCGTGACAGGGAAAATTTAGAACTCAGGCGAAGAGGAGGTAGGCAAACTCTGGGACTGGCAAGAACCGCAGTGTGGTAAATCGGCTAAGAAGAGACGAACTGGCGACGCTGCTGCTGTAAAAGGCTTCCTCTCTAGCTAGCCATCCCAGACACCAGTCTCCTACCGCTAAAGGAGAGAAATGGCATGCGTTGATAGGACTAAAAAACCCAAATATAATCAGATAGTAGTCACATCGCTGATTTCATGACCTTGTTTCTAGCCAGGGTCAAGGCAAGTTGATGCCAACACTGAACGCGGTCCGACGTACAAGTTAGTGGAAATGCCGGTCACAGTCTACAGAGCAATCCCGGCCAGGATATCATGGCTTTTATGACACACCATGATATGTAGAAGACTTTCTATAGGAGGAGAGCCAGTGCTGATGGAGTTATGCCAGAAACTGAAGTACCCTTCGCTGCGGGTTCGCCAAAGCAACGACCACGCCGGAGTACCAGCCCTGGAATATAAGATAGATCAAGGCCAGATCATGTAAATATAGTTAATCCACAAGTAAACGAAAACATGAGAACTATCTCATTACTCCAGGGGACGGGGGATGATGAGGGCTGTCACATAACAGGCCACTCCGTTGCCTGAGGTGATTCGTGGCTGAACTGACGGTGTAAGAGCTGGAAAGCTAAGTTGGTGTCGAGAGAATCCTCGCCCAGCACGCCGTCGGTTTTGCATCCGTATCAGCAGGCATGCTCCGTCCGTCGTCACAAGGGCCGAAACGCTTGAAAAGGGGACACGGGAGTGATCAGGGGCAACCGAGAATACTCCTGATACAGAAAGGAGAGCGTGTGGCGACCAACCCAGCCTTATCAACCCCTGATATATGAACCAGATAGAGAGAATTAAGGTATTCGTGGTTGAAGAGGACCTGAGTGTTCAAGAAGCAAATGCTGGAGCAACTATGCTGGTTGCAATCAACCACACGCGTGTTATACCGGCATTAAGTGTATAGACAGCGTAAACTGTGCTAGTCGGGGAAGCAAAAGCAGGATGGCGCAACATCTTCATGGAAAGACGCCGTGTTTTGGAAGCGACGGAGGCACCCGACTTATATCACCATGGAGATGCTCTTCTGAAACCTGGACAAGGGGAAAGAGGTGCGATAAGGACTTTCATGGACATTTTAGAATAACAGTCCAGTCACGCCGCGGAACCAGGATGGCTTTGCGCGAGCGAATGAAATGTATGATAGGGCTCCCTGCTCGCCCTGGCCATTCATTACCTATCTCCTTTGACGAGAAACGGGATGGCGTTTTGCTCATGCCAGGCAAGAATTGCGTCTCATCACCTGATAGATCGGGACGACCTGGTTGGACAGATCTGGAGGGGAGCTGGGATATCGCAAAGATAAGCAGGATAGTGCAAGACGCCGAGCTGAGCAGATCTCCGCGGACATCTGCGCACGCCTATTTAAACTGCCGACCTCCCACCCTCTCTCAGCCGGTCTGTGATACCTCGCGAAAGATGTAAATCGACGAACGCTTCACGGACGAGCTCGAACGGCTAGGCCTGGATATCGACAACGATGGAGGCTCAGAGTGGGGGTCCGCGGGCGGGAGGAGGGGAGGAGTCGATTTCAAGAGGAGGCTTCTTTGGTGTATATCAGGGGTAAAGGTGACGGCTATTTCATGAAGTCCGATGCCCGGACGATGCCCGGACGACGCCCAAAGCATACATCAATATAATCATCGCCATGGAATCGAGAACCCGATTGAGCTCTGCTGCCGGAAAATGGCCGACAAAGATGCCCCCTATGTCATCCACCAAGATTCGGAGACGAAGCAGAACGTGGCGACGGGGATGCAGGCTTTCCAGCGTCCTCTTAGCCCCATTGCTGCTCCGGTGGCGATGTCATAGGTAGGCAGAGAAAGGTGTCTCGGATACCTACTCTGAAGCGGGCGGTCTCACCAAACCAGTCTCCAATTTGCATGTGATTCCGTGATGGATCTTCTACGGCGTATCATGATGATGCTGGATTCCCGCTATTGTCGCTAGCGAGGATGCTCCACCTATGGTCCCGTCCATATGAAGGAACAGACGACGGCCTGATCCCAGGACCAGGGGTGTTTGAAATGCCGCAAGCAGACGCAAAGCAGACGAGGTTGGAGATTGGAGGCATTGCACCTCGCATCAGTGCAGCTTGGCGCGCCGTAGGGCGAAGGCGAGGGCGACTCCGTCAACAAGACCCGGAAATCATCCGCCAGGCATATGCTTCAAGATGCTGGCGATCGAACCGACGAAAGCATCCATCCATGGCATCCCGTTCATCAATGTACTATGCGGTGTGTACTGTACAAATACCAGGTATCTGTAGGGCGAGGCGAGGCTGGGCAGATACGGAGCAGATCGGGAAAATGATCGAATTTAGCCAACGCTAGCTCGGAGCATACCGGAAGTGGGGGCCCATTTTAGCTTAAGTTTGCGGTATGACTCGCACGTCCAGACACGCCCTTTCGGGCCCAGCGGAGACACGCCGCTACGGCCCTCCTGCCTCCTCTGATTCCTTGCGGGACTTGCGCTTCTGTGTGCAACCAACCATACCGCAGTACATGCGTAGAGGCATGTTGGAACTTGAAAACGGGTCTTGAGTGGCCAAAACACTACGGGGTAGGGAATACGGAATCGTGAAGCGGTCCAAGAGTGGGGGTCACAGTGATGCATGCATGCAAGTGCTTTAAATCCCTGCTTCTGCCCTGGATGTACCCGATACTTGGCAACTCCACTTGCCCCCAATTTCTGCACGGTGATATGCTGATAGGGAGACCCGATTACTTGTTAGCAGTACTAATCGACTTGGTGATCCGTGATTAAGCTTCTCCCGAGTCTTGAACAACTGATTGTGAAACTTGGTCTTATACACGGGCATTTACACATACTCAATACATAATTGTAGTTATTCTGTCGTCCTTCACAACTATAAAATGGAAAACCTCTCAAGTGGCCAGAGTTGGAGGGCCGTCTACCAGGGCTTATCCGTCGCGGCTGTTGGCTCGCAGTGCTGTGCTCCGTAATCGTCCAGGTCGCCTTATAAATGAAGATACGTATCGTAGGTAGGAGAGATGAGTCCTCGAACCCCACCCTATCAGGCGCTCGCCCACGCAACTGCTTCGCTACTGCAGCAGGAGCAGGAGCAGCAAGGATATAGCGTCTGCCGTTCTCTTCTGGGTCTTTATAAGCTAGGTAGGTTCCCACCCGCGCGCGGCATTATTTTACGCGTGCTGAGAGCTGAGATGACGGTGGGTGTTCCACGTCTCGTTCTCTTCATCTACTAGGTAACTTGGTCCAGTTTATTAGTACCTGCTGCCTAACCTCCACTCGATCCGAGGTCGAAAACCTGGGATCAATTGGAGTTCGTGAGGACGGGAACCGAGGACCTGGGCTACCTTAATATCGACATCATCAGAGCGTGGGAGGTGGAGAACGGTTCTTTTCAGGGTCCGCATTACTTCCACTTCTTCACCTACCTCTGACGACCGTGCTGCATGGCATGTAGAATGCACGGTGAGCCGGGCTAAACACCAATCATTGCCCATTGCCACTGTTCTTGTTTTGTAGGCCGCAAGGCATCCATGCAGGATTCTAGGTGCGACGGAAAGCTGGGATTGAAATAGACCTCTCCCAGTTGGCTGTTCACCAGCAGACATGCCCCGCACCCACATGAACTTTCCTGACTTCATCGTTCAGCAGTGGATTGCATCGATCACTCTAGCCCTATCGTTGCCAGGGAAATCGGGCACTATCGTAAGGTAGGCACGTACGTATTCGGAAACCACTTACTGTAGTACTCCCCTGAGATGGAGTATGGAGCGCGGCCGCTCTGCAGCCGTCTCGACTCTCAACGTTCGTCCCGACTCAGTGCACGCTAGGGTTGCACGGTTGGACGTAGCCAAGGTGAACGCACGGTACAGCACATGGCCCCCCTGCCGCGACGAAGGGCAGGCCTGGTAGGGTGAAGCAAAAAGCGGGTGGAGAAGGTACTCGATACTTTCTCCTCCTCCACGCTTCAACCCGTTTTCCATGCCGCATTTTGTCGTGTATGCGTACAGGTGCCCCCATCCCTTCTCATCCTCCCTTCTCGTCCTGCAGCCAATTCTGCCTATGAAAGAAGCTGGTAACTTCCATACTCACGATAGCACGGCTTGAGATCTAGATGTGGAAAGCAAATCCCAGGAATCTCCTGGAGACATTTGCTCTGTTGAGTACCTGCTGAGAGGGGTCGATCTACCTACCCTTGACAGTGAAGTATAATTTTGGCCGCGCACCCATTATCCACTTCCCTCGGCGGAATTGAGGCTGGTAGGATTGGCCAGTTGACGCCAACCCCACTGATGGGATGTCTTGCTGCCAATTCCAGCCCCTGTTAGCTTTAAGCCCGCTATGGTAGTGTGCACCACCAGATATTAGCACCACCCGAAATATTCCACGGTCCACAGTGCCACACAGCCAGCAACTCCATCTCTAGTGTATGTATGTATGTACTGTCTCTCTGCTCAACTCTATCTTTGTTCCTGCCTCCGTGCGCCACCGCCCTCCCGTCTGCGTCTCTCTTCCACAAGTAGCCAAACACCACCTGAGAAACACCTGGCGGACACGGTTCCCTTCCCCAGCCGAGAGCAGCGCCAGGTAATCGTAGCTGCTTTTGTCAATTGTCTCGTTTCCCTTTCTTCCTCGAGTCTGAGGCCGGAAATCGAGAAAACCACACGCTGCTCGGCTTGTGCTTCGGGAGGCATCAACGCCTGTGCGGCGAGCCGAAAGTGGGAAAAACCCACCTTCCGGCACTTTGCCAACTCCCGCCTCCATCCTCTTGACTCCAACGCTGTTGGGCCCTATGGCAATGGCTACCAGCACAGCGACTCCAATCGCGAGGTCAAGTCCCTTGGCCCCGGTCAATCCCACTACAACAGAGCATGACTTCCGCTTCCCGAGACGGCCTCTCCACGGCGTCCCACCGCCAACCTCCAACCCCCAGACCAACCCCGGAAACCTGCGCGCGAATTTGCAGGAACTCGGACTTGGTCTCCCGACGACATACGCCAGCGGTGGCCGAGATGAATTACTGCAATCCGCCGTGTTTCCCCCTTTCCAGGACCGCATAATGGGGTCCAACCAGAGCCCTGAGGAGCTGCAGCAGCAAGATCCGTTGGCGACCCAGGTATGGCGCTTCTTTAACAGGATGAAACATCAGATGCCAAATCAGGAACGTCTGGAGAACTTGACATGGCGTATGATGCACGTGAACTTGCGCAAGACCAAGCGGGAAGAGGAGGCTCGGTGAGTGCTCCCCCTCTGGCAGACTGGGGCTTCGATTGCGACAGGGAAGAGGCTAATTGACCATTTGGCAAAGACACCTCCAACATCCATTTGGCGCCGCTATCAACGCACCCAGCGGCATTTCGCAATTGCGAAAAGCATCTGAGCAGAACCCGCCGCAATCGGAACCAATGAGCCTGGACGACTTCGTTTATTCTGATAACGTTGCTCCGCCCGCAGCTTTCGCCCTCCATGCCTCGCAAGTAACAACATCCCAGCGGGCGGACGACCGGTCGGATCACTCGGCCATCCCTGCCATCCCCATCAAGTCAAGGAGGGAATCCTCGCAGCACTTTGTTCCTCAATCCGTCCCTGTCCCACGCCACCAGCAACGCGTGCAGGACGAATTTGGCTATGTCGCCCGACATCATCGAAAGACGAGCATAGACGAGAGACGTGTAAGTTATCTGCGCCTGTTGGAACGATGGATGACACGCAGCCCCAACGCCGTCCCCGCACGCCCCCAAAGTTGCACTTGACGATGACGATATCTGACCATCTGTGCCTTTAGACTCGGAAACGTCCCGCTGACTTCTCCCCCCATGTTCCTGCCATCAACAGCAATCCTGTCGCGAACGAGCTTGGCCCTGACTCCGATCTCCATGAATATTCTCTCGATCAGTCTAGCCAGATGAACCTCACTCAGTCGCTCAATCAGCCCGGGATTTCTTTCGCGCTGGACGCCTTCACGCTTGAGAACGACCCTATAATGACGTCTTCCGGTCCCTTCCAACAGAACTTCTCGTTCTCGCCGTCTTCGTCGTCTCCATTGGTCACTCACGGGCAGTTTCCGGGCTTGTACGGGAACTCGTTGCCCGCAACAGACTACTATTCCCCTCCCGGGTCTGCCTATCAATCTACGGCTTCGACTCCGCATCCCCTAAATGAAGGCGAAAACTTCTACTTTGCGTCAATTGACCCGCGCAACCAGAGGTCGCACGCCTTCAGAACCGGGCCAAATTCAATGAACAATGCCATGGCTCAGTTCGTGTACAACGGCAACGGGAACTCGATGTTTCCCACTGCCGCTACCAGTACTGACCCCGTCTCATCGTTTGCCGGGACCAACTCCTTTGCGCACATTGACCCCGCCCATGTTTTCCAATCTGACCACACAGTTCGGTCACCCGCTGTTCCGATGATGCAGGATAACATGTTTAAGTTTGGTGCCGACTCGGACGGAGAAGACGACGAGGGAGGTGTCTTCGCCGATCGCAACATGGCAATGCCTCGAGACTTTTCTCCGGTGGTAATGGAGGATGCTGGCTTTGATATGGGCACCTCTTCTTTGCAGTGGGATCCATCACTACCTGGCCAGTTCAATACACAGGCTGCGAGATACCCTGGCGGTCCACCTCGCAAGCAGGTCACGATCGGGTCCACGACAACCGAGTTCGTAGATGTGAGCGGCGATTGGGAAGGGGGAAGCCTTGAGAGGTCGCAGTCCCAGTCCTTCGGACAAGCTGCAGATCGACACCAGGGCAAGATACCGAGGACTGCGTCCACTCCAGGCCTTGCCGGCCGAGGAATCCATGCCGATCATCCTTCTCGGTCAACGCCGAACTCGCCACCTCCTGAGCCATCTGGCCAAATGTCCGGCGTCTCCTCAGTTGCCCCGAGCCGACCATCCTCGCCGTCCGGTTCCAGGCAGGGATCAACGACCAACCTGCAAGGAGTCGCCGGCAACCAAGGTGATGGTAATGCTCCGACCACGTGCACAAACTGCTTCACACAAACCACTCCGCTGTGGCGCCGAAATCCCGAAGGCCAGCCCCTCTGCAACGCTTGTGGGTTGTTCTTGAAACTCCACGGCGTCGTCCGACCGCTCAGTCTGAAAACAGACGTCATCAAGAAACGCAACCGTGGTTCCGGTGCAAATCTGCCTGTGGGGGGAACGAGCACTCGAGCTAAGAAGAACGCCGGCGTGGGTGCTTCCGCCAATACCTCGGGAACCAACACCAGAAAGAACTCGATGCTCGCCCTCTCGTCCAGTGCCACCACTTCGACCACTCAACCCACGTCGGCACCGGTCCAGAACCGAGCCGTGAGCGTCCACGATAGCGGGGGCTCGATTGGTGGTTCAGCTTCAGGAGGGAGCACAGCGGGCAGTACCCCCACGAGCTATCACGGCAGCAGCGGGTCCACAAGCGGAGTTGTCGGCGGAAAAGGCGTCGTGCCCATTGCAGCGGCTCCACCAAAGAGCACACCCGGCCCGGGTGCCGCCATCTCTTTGCCGCGATCGGCAGCCACGGGTTCGAAACGACAACGCCGTCATAGCAAGGGTGCCGGGGAAGACCAAGCCACCGCCAGCATGGATATCGATAGCCCTGAGAACTCGACTGGATCCAACGAGGGTGCTCCGTCAGTTGGCTCTAGCAACAGCTTCATCAGTGCGTCGACGAAGCCAAGCAATCTGGGACTCGCCAGCAGCTTCGGCATGACCCAGCGATCAATTGGGTCAAGCATGACGAGCATAGCGAGTAGTCAATCCGGTGCCACCATAACTCCAGGTGGTGCCGGTGCTGGCCCACAGGAATGGGAGTGGCTGACGATGAGTCTGTGAAAAGCTTTTCGCCAGCTTTTTGAACCTCGTGTGTTCCTCCACATACCTGGGATTGATGCCTATAGCGTATCGTTTCCGCGATGGGTTAACTATTCAGAGCTACCTGCTATGGCAAGCCCGATACCAGGAAGGCCTTAAATGGTGGTGCATTTCCTCCCGAAATACCGGCCTCGAAGATGCGCGCACATGACCTTCGGTGGATAGAATGCGGCTTCGTCATCACTACCAGGCCCAGCACTTTCGTCCGTCGCTATCATGTTAATGATTTTGTTCCATTTCCTTGGGGGATTTTGCTTGCTCGGCGTTTCATATCTTAGATGGCCATTTTGTCTCTCTGTCTCTCTCTTGCGGCGATGTCTTTTTTTCTCCGGTGCTACTGCAAACTCCTTTCGATACCAAGTCTCTGTTTCTCCTGCGAGGTTTCTCTGGGGGACATTCGGCATAAACAATCGGCCTTTTCTTTTTCGACTCCAGGGATGGATGGTATTTACGTACGAGGCCGGATACGGCGCTTTTGGACCCGGGACTCTTGTAGATGGTTACAGGGGCTTCTCTCTCTCTGTCTCTCTTTTCTTCTCCTTTGCCGCTTCGTCCGGTGCACCGCAGGTTCTCTGGGTTGTTTCCACCATTCCTGGATATTCTTGCCATTTACGGGATGCATTTCCGGCTTGATTTTGGATGACGCCCGTCTCCACGCCGATATCTGTATCTCGGAGAGAGACGAAGCAGGTTCACCCATCGGGATTCTTGATATGGAATTATATTCACGGAAGATCGTGGTGGCGAGCTCATTTGGACGTACTGGCCTCTCCCTACCCAGGCTTGGGAGAAAGAGGACTCGGCGGCGAACAGGGAGAAGGGTGTGTCTATCCGGACTGATCTATTGGGACATCTATTCGGACTACTTTTTGCGCGATTTGTTACGAATTATGTGGTGGAGGACAGATGTAGACGATGGGATACCCCAGTTTGACTTTGAGGCGAGGACGGGTGGATAGTGGGATCCGGACGGACAGGCTTGGGCTACCTGCCTGTTGGATGAGGGCGTGCAGCAAGCCTGGCCCTGCGATGTTGGTTGATAAACTAGCACCCTACCCTAATGCCCGCCCACTTGAACGAAGTCGAACTATCTAACATGTCTCTTGCTTGCTACGACGTGACTGGAACCCCGTTTTTGTTGCAAACATCTGTGCTAGAGAAGCGATCATCCGGAAGGGGCCACAGTCCGCCTTGAGACCCAGATTTGGTGACGCGGCTTTTGCGACGAGTGGATCGGTGAGGGTACAAATCACGCCACTCCAACTTCTATCATACCCATGATACGGAGCCATCCCAGAGCTAGCACTCTTGGATATGTTCAACTTATATCCAATCCGTCCGATGTCGCTGAAGCACCACTGTTGGCAGTGGAAAGATCGGGGTTTGTTGTTCACGACCGAATACTAGCGTAAGTTTGGTGGGTCCGGGTCGGATCGGAAAGTTCAGGTGGGGTGAAGGTAAAGTGGGGATACTAGGTACGGAGCTATGTACTGTGCCTTAGGTTGGTAGGTAAGCAGTGATATGGAGAAACATGCACAAGGCTTCGATTCAGGGACGACCCTTTTTAAAACTGTGTTCCTTAAAAAAGAAGCCCGGCAGCTACCTGAATTCTTAAGCCTTCACTTGCCGGCCACATCAGGTGCGACAATGCAGTTGGAATAGCCATGGCCAACCGTGACAAAAACGGCTAGCCCCATCTTTAGCTTTGGTGGTGCGCCTGATCCATCCTTTGTTCCGTAGCCAATCGTCTGATCTGCCAAGAGATAACGAGAGGTAGCACTGGCTAGTGCATCACCGCAATCCAACTTCAGACAGAAGGGCGGCGGGGTGAGTTTCCGCGGAGCATGCTTTTTAGCAACTTAGCTACCTACCTTTCTTGGCTGGAATTCTGACGTATGACAGTCGCAAGATCCAACCATTCGAGCCAGTCGGACACCCCACCACGCTACTAATCCTTGGCGACTGTCTACCAAACATAACCCCCTCCTGGCTGGTCCCGGACCTCACAACCTTCCCACTGCTCTAGTCTCCTGAGCGAAGAACCCTCATCGGCCACGAAACGAGTTGAGCGTTCTCCCGAAACAGCAACAATGAAGCTCACCGTGATCCCCGCGATCCTCGCCACCTGCGGCGCAGCCGCCGCCGCGGCCGTGGCGCGGACGCCCAGCAGTGACGCCCACGACCGCTCCTCCGACCCCCTCTCCGCCCGCGGCCACCGCATCCCGACCGCCTACGAGTCCGCCGTCATGGGCCGACGCATCCTAGCCCTGAGCCCGCTCGGCACCCTCTCGACCGTGTTCCCCGAGGACAAGGAGGAGTCCGGCTCCGGCTCCGGCCCGGGAGCCGCGGAGAGGCGGCCCTCGGGCCTGGGCGGCGTCCCGCTGGGCTTGGTCGACTACGTCGCCGACTGCGAGGACGAGGGCAACCCGACGATCCTGGCCGTCGACATCGCGACGCACTTCCGCAACGTGCGCGCCGGCTCCAACATCAGCCTCGCCGTGCGGTGGGCGCCGCCGCACCCGCCGTCCAAGCGCATCTCCTCCTCCTCCTCCTCGACCTCGTCTCCTCCCTCGTTCCTGGGCCGTCTCCTGGACTACCTCTTCCCGGGCCAAGGAGACTCCGACGACTCCGACTCCGATCACCATCACCACCACGAACCAATCCCCTACTCGGCCGCCAACCTCCCGCGCTTCTCCCTAATGGGCTACCTAGAAGACATCCCCTCCCCCGCCCCCACCACCTCCACCTCCGATTCCGACATAGCCGACTGCTTCGTCGCCGCCCACCCGGACGCCCGCCACTGGCTCCCCGGCAACCGGATCCACCGGTCGCACTTCGTCCGCCTCGTCGTCACCTCGGTGTACTGGGTCGGCGGCTTCGGCGACCGCGCCTACATCGGCTGGATCCCGGCCGACGACTGGGCCGCCGTCTCCAGGGACGAGTGGGAGGCCGTCCGCCTGCCGGGCGAGAGGAAGGGGTGGGACGAGTGGGCCGCGTATGACGAGTCCCCGACCCTTGGGGGTGATGACCTGTGAGGGAGAAGAAAAAAAGGGGGGGAGGGGGGCGGTTGGAGGGGAAGGTGGAAATCGTGGGATGGATTTGCTTTTCTTTCTTTTTTGGACATAGTCCCTGAACAGACAGATTGTAGTGTCGCTCTGTTTCCAGCTCCCCTACCGTGCGGGTCTTCGTTCGCTTGGAGAAACGAGGACAGACACGCAGTGCATCTTTGATACTCGCATCCAGGTTTACCACCTCGGCTCTACAATGAACCGTCTTTGGGCTCGTATCAGTACCTAACCGTTGCCCGCTGTGTGAAGTGTTACGGCGGATCGAATGGTTCGTCAGGCTTTTAAACATTCGTGTGATCCTGCTCAAAACACCATGAAATCCCACTTCGCTCTCAATATCCGGTAATGCCAGAGTACTTGGTACTGTAAATAATCCATGACCAATGGTCGTCCTGCCCAGGGTATATTCGCTACAAACAATTTGACAATCACCAGCATTTCAATCATCCGATATGAGGCATCCCCCTGATGCCCCTTCCTTCAAGCTCCTCCTCTGACCTCTTCCTGTCGAAGTTCCCTCGCACCACTGTGTCTCATCAGTCCACCCTGATAACAACCTTCCATCCCAGCGCCCCGGCCTCCCGGATGGCACATGCCAGGCAGCCGCGTCTCCTCCGGCTGATCAAGGCGTTCCACCCCCTCTCGGCACAGAAGGCCCTGACCAAGATCTCCATGTCCGAGCCAAACTGTCTTCTTCTCGTCTCATGATGCATATTCTTCGCCGCAGTCTCAATTGGCCCCTCGAGGCCGCTGCCTGGAGCTCGAGCGGCCTCCCTCGCCGCAATGCTTTCAGTCTCGCTCATGGCTGGCGATCGGCTTCGAGAGTGCTGGAGGATGGGTGACAGGGGAATCTCATGCTCTTGGGGTAATTGGCTGAAGCCGGTGATGCAGTCGATCACGAGCACCTTGGCGGCATTACCAGGAGCTGGTGTGAGGGTAGGGCAATGAGCTGTAGTCGAGTAGTTGGCTAGCAGGGTCTCCAATGGGAAATCCTGCTTGGTCAAGAGTTCCGACAGGTGGATGGCCGTATATGTATAGTACTTATGTAGAGGGTGGCCTTCAAAATAAGTTAGTCCGACATTTCGCATTTGCAATCAAGCGAGGACAATGCTTACCGACTACGCTTGCCGTCTTTCCTACTGATCCATTGCCAGAGAGGTCGACGTGCTGGATCGTGGGACTGGATGGCGACTTCAAGATCTTGACGTACTGAGACGGGACGCACGGGTGTGCAGTTACGAAATAGACATCGTTGGAGAGGTTGTACGTATATTCTTTCGCTTCCTCGCTTCCTGCCTCGGTTACTGTAAATGAGACTGCTGCCGGGTAGGTGTGGATCTCAGGTGGCTTGCTGATTTCGGAGAAGGGCGTGGCTCCCATTTCGTTGGTCGGCGTGGTATGTACGGAATCGACGGGTGCCCAGAGACTGAGCGCCTTGAGTTCGATTGTGACGATCGGCGGCGGGTTTTCGCCATATATGTTTTCGAACGGGATGATAAAGTCGGCCGGGAGTACGGAGGAAGGATCCGTATCCCCCAGCACGTTTGACTCCCTCTCGATCGTCGCTTTGGCCCAGAGCCTGGCCTTCTTGTTGATGCACTGGGCATCCTCTGTGTGTAACGTCAACCATCTGCCTGCCGAACCACACATCACCACAACTTACCTGGAAGGTCTGTAGCCTCGATGTTTACCCAGCCCTCACCAAGACCTTGAGGCGTTATATCGCTGGATATCCATCCCATACACTCGGCAGATCCTTTCCCTGCGGCTAGAACACGGCCGACAATGCACGCGGTGCTCCAGAAGCTCTTTCCGCTGTAGACGAACCCGCCGCAAAGGTTCGCCATTGAGCCCAGACTTGCCATTGCCTCCAGGTCATTCTCCAAGAGCGTTGACATCAAGAAATGGTAGATACCCTCGCCGGGGAGCATCAGGCCGGAGACATAGCTCTTTGACAGCCAGCCCGAAGGGTGAAGTTCTGTTGACAACTTTTGTCGTCTCGATGGCGTCCTCTTGATATTCGCGTCTCCCTTGGAGCCTCCAAAATAGGAAGACCGCTGGCTACCCCGGCTGGCCGGACTGGCCAACGGCGTGTGTAAAGGGGCGCCATCCGTTACGGCCCGGCAGCTCTCTGATATTTTCGCAGCAGAAGATTCAATGCCAGGCCATTTCAGACGTCCGGCAAAATGTGTAAGCCCATCAACCTGCCGCTGGCAGTGTTTCCCCTTTATCGCATATACCGGCGTTTGATGCTGGTGATGGCCATCCTCGTGGGATAGTGATATGCGCTTCGTCAACGTAGCCAACCAACTGGAGGGCCTCTCTTGTTGCCCCTCTTGTTCTTTCTGCTCTGTCTTAACCACCTCGATATTCTCCAGCCATGCTCGAGCCAGGTGCATCGACCACCTCACTGATCCATTGGCGTCCTTCTCGAAGCGATGGATTTCGCAGGGCCTAATACTTTCCAAGCCTAGCTCATCGCCTTCCGTGATAGCGTCCAGCCTGACAAGGAGCTCGCATGCCAGTAAAATCTGCACGAGAAGCCAATATCTCTCTTCGTGGGCCTCCTTGGCTGAACTTCCGGTTTTAGTCGAAGCCCCGTCCCCAACTTCGTCTTCAGCTGCCCAGAGCAGCTGGCCTAACCTGATGCGCCACTCGACGTGGGAGAAGTCGATCCACATGCTCGGTGCTGCCAAAACCTTGACCAGTGCCTGTATCTGCACAGAGAGGCTATATGGGTCATTGTGGTCAAGCACCTTCGTTGGCGGGTGTAAGATCTGGAGGAAGAGCTCGTTGTAAAGCTCGCTTGTCACGCGGTGTTCCCGGGGGTGCGGCTCAGTGTACCTCCGACCGTTCTTGATGAGCTGCTCCAATATTGCCGTCTCGTCGAGGCGCCGTAGGCCCTCCTTGGACGCCAACATCTTCTGGCGCTGGTCGGCGACAGCGGGGTCTCTCGAGGTAATGGCCTCGAAACCCGCCTGCTCTTCCCGGAGGGCATCGGCAACCCCAAGCTCCAGGACAGCTTCGTAGCCCAAACTCCCCTTCTCGAGGCCTGCCATGCTCAGCATGTTAGGCCGCTCGCGGCAGCGCGGGTAGTAGTGGGCACGTTGTTTCTCGGGCTTGGCCGTCGCTCCCAGCTGGGCGGACTGGATGTCGCGAGTGATGTGCGGCCATGTGGTCAAGCACCTCCAAGCCTTGTGCTCGATCTGGACATGGTCGGTGAGGTCGCGGATCTGCAATTCCTCGTCCCACGGGAACGCCACAGACGGGTGAGGGGCGCCGGTGTAGTGGCCTTCGGACCGGGCAAAGTACTGCGGGGCCCCCGAGAAGAGCTTCTCGATCTCGGCGTCGGTAAGCGAGGCCATGATGCGGTCTAACTTCAGCACTGGTTTCGCCGGGGGGTCTTTGGCTTGCTCGCTTCCTGGGGGAGGCGGAGAGGGCAATGGCTTATTCGGGTTGACGGGGGACCGTGGAGATAGCGACGTCTCTGAGCCAGGAATCGGCGAGGACTAAGTACCGTTGTCAATTGAGATTATAAGTAAACCGCATGGTCTGGCAGAGAGTCCAGGGATGGAAAGGGGCAACGAGGAATGTTGGGAGGACAAGGGTCTTTGTGGGGAAATGTTGGATCTCCCCAGATTCCTCCTATAATTGAATGCAGGAACAGCCAAGCATGGGTGGTCACGCGGCAATCAGGCGATTGCCTCGTTTGGACGCAGCCTCAGTGACACCTGTCACTAGCGTGGTGCATCGACGGAGTTGGGGTGGCGGGGAATTGGTTGCAGTAAAGGAAGGAACATTCAAACGTACAGCTGCAGTGCTGCGTGGCGGCGTCGCTAGATGCGAGTCCCCCTTCCCCCGCTGAGGGGTCGAAGCGGCCGAGGCGGGTGAGGGCGCCTTCCCAATGAATAGCGAACGGCTGATTAGACCTTGGAGAAACTCTCTTTTTGAGGCCCTTCGCTCCTTCCCGGTGCCAGCCGGACCGCTGCCACTCCCGCTGCTGCCATCGTCGGCCACGGCATTATCGGGGCTGGTACGATTTCGTCCGGAATTCGGCGGCGGCTGTTGATCTTTCGGGTCGCGAGGGGCCCTTTTCAAGAGCGAAAGTGAGGGCATTGCCGGGAGACGCCGGCAGCTTGCTCAGATCATCCAAACCTTCGGATGGGAGACTGCAGCAGATGCACGTGGGTCGTGAATTCACAGTTCACAGCACCGGGGACTGTGCTTGCAGATCCTGGGGATCCGATGCCTGGGCACTACCTGGTAGCTACTGTGAGTCGGGGAAGAAAACGAATGGAGAGAAGAAGGAGGAAGGAAGAATCTGAGACGCGGGATGACATGGAGAATATAGCAGGGTGAGTTAAGGCTGACTGTCCGTCTCAGGTCTAGAGGTATCTAAGTAAATATCAATTATATCACCGTCGCAGGCCCTCTTATTTGCCCTTTGGCTGACACTGGTGACGGCACCGACAGGTTGCGTCATGTACAAGTGTGGGGCTCCCAACGCCTGTTCCATTGTAATGAATAAGGGATGGGGTGCCTGTCCTGAATCAAGGCCACATATAGCTTGTTAAGCTGCACTCTGCATCCCAAGGAAGGCTGCGATTGCAGCTGCGTATGTATGTGTACTGTACATACATACCTGCAGACGAAGCCCAAGGCCTCTGACGCAATGGCTCTCTCTTGCTGCAGCGAAGATCAGAAGAGAGGGTGAATTGGTTTACACCGGGTCATTTCGGCTCATCCACCGGCGATCCCGCCCCATACCCCATACGAAACATCTTTAAGTTTGTTGTTTCGAAATGGTGGCATTAGCGGCGCAGTGACTCCTTCGAGAGGCACTTTCGGAATTCCCGCTCTCATTTCTCCTGCGACAGGCTGAATGCCTATGAGCCTAGACCCTTATATGGCCACTATATTGCCAGGGGGGAGCCCGGGTGCCCCTCCGGAGCCGCAAATGACGTCTTCCCGCACGCCGCTGTGGTTCGAGAAGGCTTCCTGGAGGAACGGGTGGGTTTAGGCGCTCATCTAATAATCCATGGGGCGGATTGTTGTAGGCATATCCCGTTGCATGCTCTTCACTAGATCAAAGTCGAAAATTTGGTCAATTTCTTGATATTCTTAACTTTGGTCGTCTCCCTTGGCAACCCCTTGTCTTCGACCGTCCTTGTGATCGTCGCAAGTTTAAGCAAAGTCGCCGAGCCTTGCTCAATGGTGATAATTGGGGCGGCGAGTATCCACTGACTTGGAGGCAGTCACTGCGGCCCTTGCGAGCCTCCCGCACGGTATGGTCACCGGAAGTCCTTCGCGCAGCCGCATTCCACGACCGAGGTGGAACCCTAGACATAATAACTCTAACCTCCAACTGGAGTGAATAGCGAGGGGCTTTCTTGCCCTCCATGATGTACCTTACAATGGCCGTAAGTAAACCACCACTCGAGTGTTCCCGTCCAAGGTACGGATAGCCAACGAAGCGACCCCCCATCTTGCGGCGGACAGAGTTCAAGCTTCGAGACGTGGGGGGGAATCTCTTTGGCCCGCGCGAAGCCAAGGTGAAGCTGATGTGAAGCGTCGACTTCCAACGTCTCGCCGATACAGTCCATTCGAGACTTGCCGACACAGACTCGTTGCCCGTCAGCGTAGCGAGAAGCAGGCCAATTATAGGGGAATAAGTCGCTAGTTCTCGTTGGCATGGCGTGACCTCCACGACGTGTTCAAGGCTTGCAGAGGAGTAAAAGTAGTCTGCAGTACCGTGCGAGAACAGGTATGGAGACGATGTCGCCAGCAACAAGGGAGATGACCGGCGGAAGACTGGTTCTTCAACGGCAAGCCGATGAACTCCGCGAAATGAGAGGTTAAAGAATACCCGAGTCGGACTTCCTGGGAGGCTGCACAGCTGTCTCCACTTTGGCGCGTTATTCCTGTTCTCAAGACGCATCCGCGGTGACATGTACAAGGACATTGCCATCATCGTTTGTCTTCTTCTATTAGTCCTTAAGTTTTTTTTTGGAGCGTTAGCAGGATATCACAACATGTCGGGCCGCGCTTACCGTAAGACCCATACGTCCGTATTGCCTACCGCACCGGGCCCAGATATCCGAGATAAGTTCACCGGGGTCAAAAGGCATATAAACCCAAATGGCGCGACTGGAACATGCGTCAAAGTCCTTGTAGAATGCCATTTCCTCCCCGTCACGATGGGCATGAATGGTCATGAGGTGGGCCGCCCAACAGGCCGAATACCCAGTCACGGCTGGTTCATTGCAGTTAAAGGAGACCATTCGAAGGTTTTGTAGAGCTGACGAATCGGCAAACTCGGGAGAAAAGGCCAAAACCGAAGTCGCTTATCTTAGGCTGGGGGATGGGCGCGGACCACATCAAGTTTGTAGAATCAGGGTCAGACGTGGATGTAATGGACCGTAGTTTCAAGCCCTAAATCAAGCATGTGAGTACGAGTAAGCGTAGTTGAGGCAGGCAACTTACACCTGACTTTGCCTTGAGCTTCCTTGAGGTAAGAGGGACAGTCCGCCACTAGAGACCCATTCTCGGGTTGAAGGGTGGTAGTTTGTCAGGGTCTCCTTGACTGGCGAATACTAACTGTCTGATGCCTAAGTGGTCCTCCAAGACGTAAAGAACCCCGACCTTTGACGCCTTGTTGGTATCAAGAAGCTTGGTGCAGTTGCGCTTAGGATCAGCCGTGTTCGAGAGAATCGCAACATACCGAACGCCATGGATGTGGACGTACTGAGCCCATACACCCAACGAAACGTCTATATCGCCATCTGAACTCCAGCGACTACACCAGAGTTCTTGGATCGTGCTTATGGCACACTCGCGAACAGGCTCCCTTGCAACCATCAAGCAGAGTTCCACAGGCAGCCTGGCACACATCTCCTCCAGTTTCATCTCCAATAAATACTGTATCCTATTGAATCGTCTTCGATCCTCAGATGGCATAGGTTCGAAAGAATATTCGGTGGCACAGAGGAATGCATAAGAAGGATGCGATGCGAATTCGACGCATTCCACATGAAAACCAGGCGCTTGCCCGTCGTAATGATGACAGAAAGTTGAACAAGCGCGCAAATTGGCTGTATGCTATCGTCCAGATGACTGAAAAGGTCGTAAGGGAACCTAGATGACATGCGGCCGTCCATGCCTACTTCTCTTAGAATGCAGCTTTTCTGACTTCTTGACAGACAAGCTCACCTGCAACCACTATTGCGCCTTGCGCAAAGGGAAACCGGCAGAGCCGGCATCTAGGGGGGACACAATACATCTGTATATCATCGTCCGATAACTCTGCTGGTTCCATGATGTTGTTTTGTGACGATGGGGTATTTCGCACAGATACAATCAGGGTTGAAAAAGGAGACGACCTCAGCCTTAGCCTCTCGACGCTGGACCAGGGTCGCGTACCCCACCATTCCCTGTCATTCAGGACATATTTTAACCACAGAATCCGTGTTGGACAACGGAGGTTTCAAAGGGGAGAGAAGCAACTGATCGTCAGGTATCCGTTATTCCCTTTCTCGGCCGTTCCTTGGGAAATCGGTCGCTTCCATTTGGAAGGGCATAGACGCATTCAGCAAGACTTGCTGGGACAGTAACAAGGGGAAAACGAGCGGCAAATCGCAGACGTGTTGGAGCTTCCTTTAACGCCCAGCTACATGCTGAGCCCTGCCTGATATGCCCAACCTCATGCAAAACACACCGAACAAGTTCCTATTCTTGCCTCAAGGCACGGCTGAAGAAACATGCCAAGTCCAGGCTGCACTCGGGGCCGCAAGGTAGAATCGCTTGTCATTGAGAGCATCTATTAACTCACTCCCGTTTATTTATTTTACCACTCCAATCTCGGGGTATCCGATGCCAAATCATGAACGCCGATAGACTCCATTTCGCCAAGGATTCCCAATCATAGGACACATCGCCCCCCTCTAACATGTTTTCCGGGCACACCAAATCAAGCCGGAGGGGTATCGTGCACGACAATCAGCAGGTATTTCGGGTTGGGCACAACGACCAGCTCCTGCTTCTTCGTCCGGAGCCGGAGGAGTTTCATCTCGTCCTGTAATCCTCCGAGTTAGCTTGCTTGCTTGCGACCGACCGACCTAAGCTTGTGCCTCCCCTTCCCCATCTAGCCGTAGAACAAAAAAAACATACCTCTGTGTCCAGCCCCTGAACCAGGCTTCCCGCCGAGTTGACGAAATTCCACACCAGGCCCGCCAGCTCCTCCGCCGCCCCCTGGGACTCGCCGGTCTGCTGTTGCTGTTGCTGCGTAGCGGGGTTGTTCGCGTCGCCGCTCGAGAAAGACCCGGCCGTCGACGGCGTGTGGATCGACGCCATCTGGCCGCTCGACCTTAGTATCGCGCCCGACACCCTGTCGAGCACGAGGGTCGCCTTGACGCCGGACTTTTTGGAGAGGCGGCCTATTGTTTCCTCTAATGCGTCGGGACCGTTGGACTGTGTATCAATGTTTAGTATTGGTTGGGGGCAGAAGGCCCGGGAGGGGGGGAGGCCCGCGTTTCCGCTTGCTGGTTGAAAGAGAGGACGGGCAAACTTACAATAGTAGGATCTGCCATTGCGAAGATGTTGCCGAAACCGGATATCTGCGTCTGACGTCTGCTAATCCGCAAAAGAGGATGCCCATTTGGCTTGGGGGAGATCATACATCTTAACCCGTCGGGTTCCTGGGACTGCTGGGTTCTGCCGTAATTCACCGCCTAATTCTGTAGCAGAAAGGTGGGTCCGCTCCAAATACACAGCACTCACAGGTACCAGGATAATGCATGTCCCCGACAATTAGTGGTTCTAGACTTCATCTATTCATATTCAAGGGCCGGTGATTTTCCATGTTAACCAGGTGCATCAAGCTCCTGGGAGAGCTTTCTGCCTGCGTGGTGACGTGGGCCAGAGGTACAAAATAACTTCTTATAGCTCAAGGGGCATTTTATTCCCACGAGGCAAGAGCGCTTCCTGGGGTGAAAAGCCCGTGAAGATAGACAGCCAAGGGCCGGCACAGGTTGAGAGGCATCCGTGGCACGTTGCGAGCGAATGGAAGAGTACGAGTATCTGAGACTTCAAAGTATCATACTTTGTACCTCCCGATTGATCCCCCTTATTGATATGGTATCTCGAAATAATCCACCCCCCTTCCACCTAAATACACCGACGCCCAACGCTTGCGCTTGGCTGGTGGGCTCACGGTGAGCCATGTCCAGGCCATGAAAAGTGCCGTTTGTTACTTGTACAGGAAGTTACTGCTCCAAAAACTGCCCCCTCCCCTAGTCTCCTTTTCCTGGGGGCAAAGCTAAGCCCCTTCGCCCAGTCGCTGGTGAAGCACGCGAACGGGGACGGGACGGGGGCCAACCGACCGCCTGCGCGCAGCGCCTGAACTTCTCCCACCCCTTGCGCCCTTCCCGGTATCGACGCGGAAGTTGACCAGGTCGACCGAGTTGCCGTTGCCCAGCGAGACGTTCCTCGCCTGGCCGACGTCCACCCCGCCGCCGCCGCCGCCGCCGCCGCCCGCCGCCCTCCCGGCGCTGGCCGTCGAGAAGAACCTCTGCAGCGTCACCTGCGCCGACTCGGCGTCGTTCAGGCTCTTCTCCTGCAGGATGAACAGGACCGCCACTCGGGCAAAGTCCAGCGTCTCCTCCACGGCGGCGAAGGTCGCGCTCGGCCCCGGGGCCGCGCTGATGGTCGTCGTTGTCGTCGTCGTCGAGGTCCGCGTGATCTGCGGGGGGATATTGCCAAAGGATATCGTCGTGGCGAAGATGGTCGGCAATGTGTCGGGGGCAACCACGAGCGTCGTGAAGCCCGCGTCTGCCCGGGCCTTGTTGGCCCTGGGCGTGACTTGGGCTGGGTGGTAGAGAGAGGGGTCTTCCGCTGAGGGTTCCGCAGCAGCTGCTCGTTTGAGCGTGACCGTGGAACTAGCACTTATGGACACCGTGATGGTCTTGACTTCCACTCCGTCATCCACGTTGAGGGCGTTGACTGCGCCGGACGAATCCGTGACCTCGGATGAAGCGTCGCCCTGACGAGTCGGCTGGCCATCGAAGGTGACCAGGGCATTCTCGGCGGAACAGCTCAGGTTGCCAGCATTGAGCTTGGCCAGAATGGTCGTGGGAGAGAGAGAGATGGAGAAATTAGACTGAGCTGCCTGGATGAGGCGGGGGATGGCATCCCCCAGTGTGACATTATCGATATTAGTCTCGCCGGTCAAGGAGGTGGTGGTGCAGCCCGTCGCACCGGTGAGGGTGCAGTCGAATCCGGTAAATCCGCCTGTGCAGATGCAGGAGCAGACCCCTTGTTTTACCACGTTGGTGCCGCCATTCGAGCAATTCAGTTGGGCCAGGCACTTCTGCAGTGATGGTTGGGCTTCAGCTGCGTTCCGCTTCCGGAACACGAAGAATTGCAAGGGAATCACGACGGCGGCTACAACGATTATCAGAGCAATGACGAAGAGAATGATGAATCGCAACATGGTAAGGCCGCAGATCCTCCGGCGCTTGTTCGTTTGCGTGTAGGTTCCGGGGCTTGAAACATCCTCTTGGGAGGAGTCGTTGCCTCGGCCACGATTATTAGTATTAAGGGGCAGAGGCCAGGAGGCAACTTGTTGCCGTAGGCTCTCCCGAAAGCTGCGGCGGGCCCCAGGCTGGCCCGGGGGTGGGAAGGCAGCCAGCATATCCGATAGACCGGATTGATGTTTCTCGCCGTCGACTGCAGGATGAAGTCAGAATGTATATCATCATCACAGGGTGATCTGGGAAATGGCTTACCTGACAACTCCTTGTCATACCTCCCGAAGAGGTCGGCTCCTGAGGAGTCAGTGAGGTCGTCGAATCGGCTTGCTGGCCTTCGCCCCATTTCCAGGGTTGCAGCTAGCCTCGTCGCTCGGCGGATGAGGTCTGGCAGACTCGTGAGACTCGCTCGGGATTCTGTCCTTGGGGGTATGTCCGGGTCGGATTGCGGCGGTGGCCCTCTCCATATCGCTGACAGTCGGCGGCTGTACGGCCGGCCACCCCGAGGTTGCGGGGATGGGGTTGCCGTTGGTGGGTTTGACGGGTCTGTGGCACTGGCAGCGTTATACGCGTCCAGCATGCTGTCGGTGGTTATCGCTCTGGGCACTGGTGCTCTCGACATAGGCAACGTTCCTGAGGAGCTAGATGAGTTTTCCACGTATCCGGTCCCATTCTTGAACGGGTCACTTTGTATCGGTGTTGGAGCTGGCCTTTGGCTTGATTCTCCACTTTCAAAAGCCCGCGGCGTGGTCGTAGAAACGAGTGTGGGCTTTCCTCTCTTCCCTACGCTGGCACTCCTCACTAGCTGGCTCTCTTCCGCATCGTCTTCATACCCAGAGCCTCCAGCAGCTTGGTCCGCTATGATGTCCTCGTACGAAGGTTCTGGGTAGTTCGGGCTGGGGCCTGGAGATGGCGTACCCCAACTCTCCGGCATTGCAGCACTTGACGCGAACGAGACGTGTGACCGAGACCGAGGGCTCTCTTCGGGAATCGGCGACACAAACGATGCGTTGGAATAGAAAGAAGAGGCGCCACGCCTGGCGGATGGTGGTGGCCCAAGGTTCACACTTCGTCGCGGCGGTGGTGCCACAGGTATTGGTATTGGCAGGGGGAAGTCGGGTATAGATCCAACAGATGAGACGGTGGAAGGGCGAGAGAGAGATGAAGGCGTCTCGGGGACTGACGCGAGTTCTTGGCCCGATGATTCTCTCCCGGATTGCGGCCTGTACTGGAAGGATGGTGTGGGATCTTGGATCTTCGATCCGTCTAGCATTGAAGGGACGCGGCTGGGTCGGGGCGGTCGTTGTGGTGCCTGGGTTGATTTCCCTGGTGGTGGTCGGTATGGTTCTGAATCCGAAGAGCCCGAGAGAGAAGTGAGAGGACCGGGTAGGGGCCATTGCGGAACCTGCGTCGGTCGTGATATCGCCACGCCAATCTGCCCATCCTTCAGCTGCAATCCAGGCGGCGCCTGCAGTCGCGGGACTCTCGGTTGTCCAGCAGTCGGTCCAGCGACCGGTCGGCGAGTCATGGAAGGTTGGGCCATTTGCGGTTCGTCCTCCCTTGTCCTTGGAGGTTGAGATGTTTGAGAGAGATCAGTCCTTTGGAAGCCGGCTGCAACGCGCTCCCTTGCTCTCCTGACGGATTCCCCTGCCCCCGGAAGTCGGTCCATATCTCTCCCATTTTGAGAGTAACTCATTTAGAGGGGCCACCTTGACACCGGCTGAGGAGGCATCCAATTGTTCCCCAACCCTTGCCCCTTGCTCTCCCGATACTGCAGGAATCCGGTCACGAGCCTGTCCTACTATCTCGATTGCATATGCAAGAGCCCGCTCCGAATCCAACGGCTAGCCGATCAAATGGAACTTTCGCGGCGTGGTCGAGCGGAGAAGACCGGGGCGCAGGACGATGAAAACTCCTGTCTTTTTTGTAATACGAGTCGCTGCGCTGCCTCCCGTCTGTCTGGTGGCACGAGGCAAATCTCGGGAACTGGTTGAATGGCTGGGTATCGCAAACGGACGCACAACCCAACTCTAAAGGCCAAAAGGTTGTGGAACCAGGCAGATGTACGAATCCGCGACGGATGACGAAGGGAATTAACGCAATCTATGCTGATGCAAACGACAGAAAGGAGGGGAGAAGAAGAGAAGGATCGAAGGATCGTGGCCAGCCTGGAAAAAGATTGCGGAGAAGAACAATTACAAGCCAGGTCAAAGGGCGACAGGCTGTACGAAACAAGAAGGATTAGTTAGTCTAAAGATCGCAAGAGCTAGCTCCAGCGGAACAGTGGGCGCCGGGGGGGGGGGGGGAAGAGGGGAGGGGACATGGAACGAAGAAGTCAGGAGAAAGGGTCGGGATAGCACTTGGTCAACGGGTGTGGTGAACCCATTGGCGAAATTGCCTGATCCGGACCAGCCGTGGGAGGCTGGGCTGGCACGGAAAGGTCGCCTGGCCATCGGCCATGTCCAGACAAGGGACACTTAATCAGCCGGATCGCGGGTCGCAGGAGGGGCCCGTCAAGAAGGGAGATCACGTACACTTGACGTTTCGAGAACCTGGCAGGTTGCGTTGTGGCCCCAGCGGAGCCGTGCGTCGTGTTTATTTGTCCCAAAGCTCGACCCGTGAGGACCTCACCACGCATGCCAACGCAAGAGGACAAACGCTAACAGAGACAGTTCGTATAACTTGCCTCGAAAGTTGAAGCTGATAAGCCGCCACTGGAAGATAGTTAACGACGAGATTAGATCGAGGCTGTCCAGTTGGAAGAAGGGGCCAGAGAAGGTCGAAGGGGTCTTGGGTGTCGCACGACAGTGCAGTGTAAGTGTTTCAGGATTGCGGGATGCAGGACGAGTAGTGAGCGGCGGGCCAGGTTCGGTGTCTGAGGCCGAGGATCAAAAGGAGATCAAGCACAGGTTGCAGGCGTTCGCAGGAAGAGGAAGAGACAGAGGTAGAGGCAATTGCGAGGGCGAAACGTAATTCACTGGTGTCGCCGTGATCGTGTGCTTATCAGAGTCCGCGATGCTGGATTGTGGGACTGAAAACGATTGAAACGGGCAAAGTCGTCAAGACTGCTCTGAGAGGCGGCAAGATGGAACAGAAATAACGAGAGTCAAGAAGGAATCGGGCGAAAGCAGCTGCGTTCTTTGTGTCGTATACGGGGAGAGAAGCAAGACGAGAAGGGCAATTTGGTGTTGTATTCCTACTTCTATCGTTGGTGAGACACGCACCAGGGAAATGAACCCATGTCACCCAAGGAGCAAGCCACCTTCAACCAACAAGCACTGCGTCAAGTACTGCGTACACGCACTCACTGATCACTCAATTCAAAATTCATGATTCCAGCACTGACCATTGCAATTGCATTTTGGCTTTGCCATCTAAGAGAGGCTAGATGATTCGATAGCTTGCTCAATAATCCTCTCCAGTGAGCACCTGGTCGCATCAGAAGATCGAATCAGAGAGTACTGTGTAAGTGCCAGCAGAGAGTGCTTGTCTCTTCTCCCTTTTTTTGAGTGACCCCGGACGTTTGGGAAACCCCTGACAGCTCTATCGAATCAGCTGCTGAGACCACACCAATCGGAAACACTAGCGCGGTGACCTGCAGCATCCCCTTTTGTAAGAAACCCACGCGAGGAGGGCGCCCGGTCCTTCTTCGAATTACGCATAAGACCGTGCACGTACTAACCGACCACCCCCTATAACCGACCACCTTCCAGATCCGGATTTAGCCAACCTATACCCACCCAGACTACCCAAAAATGAAGCTATTTACATATATCCACCTGGAATTGAAAGCACATCTCTTCAAATACGTAATCCTCAGTATCCTCAGTGACTATACCTGACGTCTGGACTTGGATCTTGGCCTTCATGATTGCTTCGATTCCAATAAAGCGGTCATTTGGATCCATCTTAACCTTCTTCTTTTTCTGTGGCCGTAAACGTTCAATTATGGCCTGTAAAGCCTCAATTTCACGCTGCTGGCTGGCAATCTGGAAGTTCTTGTCATCAAGACTTTTCCCAGCCTTTCTAAGCAAAAGCCTGTCCTCCAAATGTGTCCTAGCCTTGGTTGGAAACCTTCGTCCATATTGCTGAATCTCTTGCCCACGACGTGGAGTTGCAATACTAATCTGGGAGTTGATTGACTGGATTGGCTGAATAGCTGGAAGCATCTGAGTATCTTGGGATGCTGTAACTAAAGCCTGGGACTTCTCTCGCTCTTTGGGAAGTAACAGCTGGCTCTGGAGTGGCTTTTGTGGGTTTCGTGGCCACAAGCCAGTAGCTTTCCACCCAGACCGAATATTCCTTGGTGTAAGAGCAAGTTTCCGGGCCTTTTCAAGGCAGATAAGGACGTTTTGCTTTCCAATTGGCGTTGAGTCTGACTGGATGGCCAGATTATGAAGCTCTTTGCGATATGCTTGCTTCAAGGGGGAGAAGATGGAAAGATCAAGTGGCTGAAGAAGATGGGAGCAGTGAGGTGGTAAGAAAACCAAATATATGGTATTCTGGAAGCAACTCCACATGAAATCATCTGTGACATGACTTCCATGGCCATCAACAATCAGAAGCCTTGCGCGAGAGACTGGTGGTTGGGATCCTGGAATGAAGATATCTTCAAGCCAGTCTAACGCAATCTGGTTGGAAGTCCAACCATTTTTCGTACTGATGAACTTCCAGCCATCAAATGGGTCCATATTGTCAGGAATCCATTGCGCTTGAACTGTCTTTCCAGAGAAGATAACCAAGGGATGTAGAAAGCTTCCATTTGCGCTGATACACTCAATAAATGAGGTCCAAATACGCTCAATCAGAGTTTTCGAGAGGATTCTCTTGAGGCTTGAGGACCCAACAACCAAGCCATTGATCCCTAGACCTTCCATAATCCCAGACTCATCCATATTCCATGTATCTTCTCCAAGAATACCTTGGATCTCTGGAATAGCCTTAATTTGGTCGAACCAAGCCTGTATTTCCTCAGCAGATGCAGCATTTGCACGCTTAGAATCCATCCGCTTACTTGGAAGCGTCTTGACTTCTGGATTTCGTTGCAAAAAGTGTTGCATCCAGTGCTTTCCAAGTGGCTGTGAGTCTCCTCCTGCGTGGAGGATCCGGCCTGCAAAATCCCGGATCTGGGCATGGCTGAGTGGAAGGCCTAATTGACCCTGGATCAGGGCCCATTTGGCTAGCTTAGCTTCCTGATCGATAGAAAGCCTCATCTTGTAAGAATTGGCATCTTTGCGTGATTCAGCCCCTTTTAATCGGTCCCCCAAAGTGGTGCGTGGAATTCCGTAATCGCGGGCAGCTTTGCGAATAGGGCAGCCATTTTGAACGGCAGAAATAGCAGCTTGGAGGTCATTTTCGGTATATTTGGCCATGGTAATCGAATTAAGGGCTTTGAATTAGCCTAGGAGTAGTCAAAGTAGGTAAATACTGGATCAAAATATGGAAGCAATACGCGTTGGAATGAAGTGGTAGGGTGGTGGTGTAAGGCGCGTTGGCCAAAAATGGGGTGGCCGGTTGTAGGGGGTGGCCGGCTAGTGGGTGCACGGACTTACAAACAAAACTTCCTCTCCGCTCGCTCTACCAAACCACAAGTTAGGAAAGCTTGGTCAGGCCAAGTACAATAAGCCGGGGTGCCCAAGGGCTCTCAGATCGCGGCAACCCCATACGCGACGTGGAGTATGAAACGAAACAAGGAGGGAAGGAAAAGAGATGGGACGGAGTGAGGGAGATCCAAAGTTGGAAATGCCCTCGTTTGTACTATTTTCACGGGTGCGGCGCGAACGTTTTGGGAAATTTTAAGCACAGCCTGCACAGCCTACTAAGTACATGCGTAATCTAGGTAGCTTTCACCTTATTCAAATTGCAGCCAATTGACTCGTTACAATTTCCAGGCAAAGCGTGAAAGCGTCAGCCCCCACCACCGCCCAATCTCGGTTTCTGCACAAACCCCCTGTGCTGTAGGACTGGCAAGATTTATATACATGAAATGGGCACACGAGATAGATGATTTGCAGTGTATCCTGCAAATCCTCCCTGTCTCGTGGATCGGCGATCATCTTTCGTTTTCGAGCCAGGTCTTTTTTTCATCCATCCCATCTCCAAGACGGGTATTACCGAAGGTCACAACACCATGTGTCGTGTTTCAGAATGCATCTGGACGGATTCCAGAAGCCCCGACAAGGCTTAAATTGGTGGGTTTTGTTTTTTCCCTTCGGCCTTCGAGACAACCGTCACCTTTACCCGCCGTCTGATACCCAACACTCCCAACCACCCGCTCGGCGGGCTCCCCGACAAGCTGGACGGGAGAGAGAGCATTTGTTTGTCCGTGACTTGAAATCATGCTTTGAAGCACGCATCACCACAACAATCACGGTCCAGCAGGTAGCCGTCCACGCAATCTGCTGGTGCCCGCCCGGCCCGCCCTCGTCATGCTTCTTTAATTATTATAAGGTCTGACATGAACAATCTTGCCCACATGGCTTTTCCATGCCTCGGCTCCAAAGTCGGGGATTCCCAGACGGACGGGCCGTGGCCACACCTTCAGACGAAGAAGGCCCGTAGCTAAATAAGGCCAAGAATGGCATAGACCGGCTTCTCGCTCCTGCGGCCGCTCCTAGACACCACTCGCCGTGAGATAGATAGATTTCCGTTCTGCTGTCTTGGCCGGGATCGGCGCTGTAGTTGCCATGCCTGATGAGGTCCTATCCAACATGGGAAAATTGTAGTATCAGTGCAATTTATTCGACGGCAACTCTGCGACCAACGAACGACGCGAGCTTTGTAAAACAACAGTAATGTCGGTTGTGACTCTGAGGCCATCTCTGTTCTCTTGTTTCTCAAGCCATCGCTCCCATATTGCCCATCATCTCTGCAGTCCCAGAAAACAAGCATACCAGTCTCCGTCCCTGATCTTCAGTGGGCTAATCAGTGGTATCTGTATCCGACTCGGTAAACCCGTACACGGAACTGGGTTGTGTTTGCAAGGCTCCTGCACTCGACCTCTGGGTCGTCGCGGTGGCCCCCAGTCCCGGCAACCGAAGACCTCATTTCCTTGCTATTGCTATGTTTGCGTTCCTCCTCTCTGTTCAGGGGAGGTGGTGGACAAAGCAAGGGGCTGGAGGGCCGCAGGGCCGCGTCGAGAAATCGGCGTTAGTTGGGGTTGTTGGCGGACGTGAGGCAGTCAAGCCAGAGCAAACTCGTTCTCGACGTCCCAGACATAGAGTGGAAGAGGGGCCTTCAAGGAGAGTAGTGACTGCGAATGGGATATGTGATCAAGGTGAGGCTGGGACAGGGAAACATATCATGGACTGTTGGATGATTGGAAGGAGTAACACCAACCGGACTCGCACCATGCTCGAGCATCTCATTCGGCCCAGCAGGAGGGAGTGCTAATTTCAGACAAGGAGATGATGGACTGGAATTTGCCCTCTATACCTATGGAGAAGCTTACTGTTTAGATTGCTGCCAACCTGTCATGTAATTGGCGTGCAGAAATCATCCCGACTGCGTCGGTTGTCATATCTTGCATCAAACAGACACCAAATTCTATACCTCATGCAATGAAGGTGGGCGCATAAATATCCCCGAGATGGTAAGTATATGAAATGGAAAGACAGAGAAGACAATAACATAATCGTCCGTGGCTTGCGCTGCGAGCGAGTACCTGGCTTTTAGTCTTTTCCTTCCGACCCCGGACAGAAACTCTCAGTTTCGAAGGCAAATAAGCAAAAATTGGGGGGAAAGCCCGGGGGGGGGGCACCCCGTCAGACCGTGTCATGAGCTGCCCGATATCGAGCGACGACGACAGCATGCAAATGCTTGTTTTTTTGCCCGTTCCTTTTTGATGGTTCATACCGCTCCATCGCGGTTGACGCAACCCAGTTAACAATGCCAAAAGAAAAACAAAACAAAACAAAACAAAACCCAAACAGGGTCATAGAATAACGCATCTGTGCTCCCGATGCTTCCTTTTCCTTCGCCGTCTTATCCCATACGGGTTGGTGCCTTCCTGTTTGTCGTAAAAGTCGTCATCGTTGGTGTTTTCGTACGTGTCATCACGGCGTAGCATCTGCCTGCAGAGGTCGACAAAGACTTCGTCGACGTTTGCTGGGAACATGAGTCAGGGGTGGAGGAACGCCAAAAGGAGCGAGTTGAGAGCTGTTTAGACCTACTCTTCGTCCTCGCACTGGTCTCGTAATACGGAGCCTCCCAGCGCTGCGAGAGGGAGAATGCCTTGGCCCGCTCGACAGCCCGCTGGTCTTCCAGGTCTGCCTTATTGCCGGCAATGACTATCGGGACACTCTCGTCGTCCTTTATGCGGATTATCTCCTCGCGAAGATTCACCAGCTCGGCGAGGGAGGATTTGGAGGTGATGCTGAAGACGAGGAGGAATCCTTGACCGGTCTTCATATAGAGATCCCTCATGGCCACTGTTCTCGTGTCAGGAGCCGTGCACGGCTCTCGGTTCTTTGGTGGACAACAAAACTTACCAAACTGATCAGTCCCAGCTGTGTCCAGACTGCACGACTTGTTGTTAGAGACGGGAGGTTCCAAAATAGGTAGGTTGGAGGGGGGCTTACATCTCCAGGACAACCTGTCGGCCCTGCGGAGGGAGTCAGTACAGTCCAACCGGGCACCCAGGGGTTAGCCACACGTACATCGATCGAGACCTGAGTCCGGTACGAGTCCTCAATTGTGGGGTCATAGCTCTCAATCCATTCATGGTGAACGAACTGGGCTGAATGGGTTGCGAGTATCAGCAGCTCATTCACGTGGTACCCATGAGATGTAGGGCCTTACCAGTTAGGCAACTCTTCCCCACGCCACCTAAACGAGGAATCAGCATGTGGTCAGAGCTTCGGGAGACGTGGGGGATGTCGGAAGAAACGACAGGGGGGTGTGGCCGAAAGGGGGGGAGGGGTTAAACGCCTGTTCAGAAAATTTGGGTGAATCTGGGTGAAAATGGCGGGGGGCGGAGTTGCTGAGAGAGACAAACCTGCGCCTAGGACGACTATGTGGAATTCACGACTGGATCCAAAAAGAATCAGCACATACGCGGGCAAAAGGGGGGATTCGGATGAGACGGTGAGAGAGAGAACAGACCAAGGCTGGTTCTGGTATCTCGACGACATGGCCGTTATGGTGTGAGGAGCATGCTCTGGAGGAGGTTATGACTGCCCAACCGGCCCAAGAGCGCCCGAAAGCCTTCGGCCGTTGTCCGGCTAACTCCTGCTGGCCAAGCTTGACGCTCCAACTCCACGGGAACGCCTAGAAGGCGGCTCAAAAGATACCAAGCCTAGAGCTCGCGGCATGCAGTTTCCTCTCTCGTGGATGATGGTTGACGATCAGCGCTTTTCGCGTTCTGATGATGATAACTATGTGAGTGGCCCACTTGGTGGATCGGCTTGTACCTCAGTTGAAGCTATTGGCGGCTGTGTGTGGGCAGGGAGCTCTTCGCGGGGCAGGCAAACTCGGGGCGATTGGGACAATTGGAGATAAAGTAGGAGCTAAGGTGCTAAGGTGCTAATAAGGTGTCGTCGCTTCCGCAGATCTCGAGATCTCGAGGCGGGCAAGGAGGGTATAAGAGTGAGGGATAAGAAAGACCTCTTCCTCTGAGCCCTGGCGTGGCTAGACGAAACAATCCCTGGGCGGTCTGGTTGGGCGATTCGTTGCCAGCAAGCAGGCCGGGCAACTAGGGGCAATCCTGGTAGCTCTGAATCGCCACAACTGAGGTCGTGGTGCAGCGTGCGCAGTGCAGAACTGTGTGCAGTGATGATGCCCTTGCGTCGTCTGCGGGTCGGCAGTGATGATTTTGCAGGGGCCGAATCTCGGGGTTTTTTGCTCTCCGCAGCCACAAAAACCAGGGTAAAAAGGAACAGGAACACGGGCACAAGACGTCGTATTGACGTGATTGAAAGAGAGAAGAGGGAGCAAGCGAGGAGAGGAGGTGAAGTATTAAAATACAATATACGAATAGATAGTCCCGCTAGATCAGAGCCTCCATGCCTGCTGCTCCTCTGCTGGCCCAGCTTGGCCAGCCTCCTTCTCCTATCGTGCTGCGTCCTGCGAAGGTAGTATATGCGCGTTCAGGAGCTCCACACAGACCTGCATGGGACTTGCCAACAGCAAGTGGACGGAGGCAGAAGCTAGGAGCGCAAATGGGGCCAGTAGAGCTGCAGGCTACTACTTCCCCGGTCATGGCGAGTAGGAGCTTACGGGCGCAGTGGTGGTCATTTTTCCCTTGTCTGTTTTGATCCTCTCCTTTCTAGTCATTTTCCCGTTCTTTTTTTGTGCCCGTCCCACTTTGACTAGTCAGACCCTGAATCCAGCTCCAATAAACAACTTTTCCAGCAGCTGCTCAAGCTGCTCTCGATATTGGATCCTCCCCCCCCAACCCCAAGGAGAGCTGGGATTGGTTCCGATGAATGATGATGCTTCATGACTCCAGATAATTCGCCGCTCGTATGTGCCCATTGCGACCCCGCAGATCCTATCCAATCGATCTACGACCGACTTCCCTTAGTATTAATTACAGTTCAGTAGTTCTAGACCAAGTGCCGAGCTCCTATTCTCTGACTGGCGGTCGGCGAACCTAGAAGACCTTGATGGTTTTGTGGTCGGGGCTAATATCGCGCCAAGCCGAGCCGTCGGCGATCTCGCCATGGCCTTGGGTTTTTGACCCATCCTTCATTCGTAAGGGACTCGCGCCCCCTACCCCTCATCCGCTTGTCTCCCCTTCCCCTGGACGATCATTGCCAGTCAACGCCTGACTTCGTGCTTTTGTATTTGTCCTATTTCAAGGATCATGAGATCACGAGATCACGAGACGAGAGATGCCACAAGAAGGGCCTTGGTTGAGAGGGCAGACCCTCAGAGGTTGCGAGCAGATTCTCAGCGACTCGTTAATCCGCAATAAATCCGTACTCGACCCTCCACTCTGTTAGGGACGCTTTAGGCCGTCGATCAGCTTTATTAGTCGATAGGGCTACCTAGTTTCTAGAGGCGTCCGGCTAAAGATGCTTGACACCAGGGAAAGCCCGGCTTTGGAGTCTGTACGCAGTACTAGTAGCTCTACCTCCACACAAGGTGGTTGGCCATCTGACTCGCCGGAACGCACTATCTCCAACTTGCAGGGAGAGCATGTCCCGTCCCCAAACTCCCCCACGACACACCCCGTCAGCGGTCAACCGCAGTAGGTCCCGGCTCGTGATCACTGGACGCCTTCGGCCCATCCAAGCCTGCACCGTCACAGCCTGCACCGTCACCCTCAGCCCTATGGCTGGCCTCGTCGTCACCCGATGGCGGCTCACTCCTCCGGCTCTTCCTCTCGGCAAACTTGAACGGAATCTCCTGGGCGTCGTGCTCAAGGGCGATGTCGTCAAATGTCCTTCCCTGTGCAGCTGCTTCCTCGCGGATCTTCCGTGTCCGAATTCGCCAGATGATGTGCGAAGCGAATATCCCTATCTCGAGAAGACAACTGAGTCTCAATTAGCCTCGGTGGCGTTCTTACAGGCCTGCCTGGGCTTACCAGATGATGTAGAGCACGCCGCCGAGGACATCAAAGGTGTCTTGGGCCACTTCGGGGTCACGTTAGCCCATCCTTGACGATCGCGGTTAACCGTATACGGCCTGGCCAGAACACTTACCGAGAGCCATGAGCGAGAAGAACGCACCGAACCAATCCATTGTGAGGAAGATCTACAGCCCCAGTCAGCACTGGCCAGCGCTCTCCCTGGCGTTGCTTTCATACCCAGTTGATGCCGACGACTCGGCCGCGGCGTTTCCACAGCTCTGCATAAGGAGGTAGCAGGCCCACTGCGAGCAAGATTGCTGCCACTATGCCAACAATTAAGATCGGCAAGCCGTTGCCCCTGCTGTAAATGGGCTTGCAGATAGATGTCAGTTCATTATCGCTCGGCTCCCCGTTTCCCCGAGAAGGCGAGTACGCACTTTTATAGTAATGATGAGTGCCGCCTCGATGCCTGCAAAGACAGCTGCAACGGCCAGGCCAAGGAGACACGCTTTCCAGGTGGGCCATTTGCTGTGAGGGCGTTAGCACCGTTTGCGGTATTTCTGGCCGGTCGCCGGTGTCTCCTCCTCCTCACCTGTGGTATACAAGGATCTGGGTCCAGCTAATCAAACACAAAGCTATGAAGATCTGGGGTTGAATTTGGATCGGCAGGTTGAAGTTCTGGACAATCGCATATACTCCAAACGGCGGGCCGCCTGAGAGCCAGCTGGTTAGAGTCTCGATACATAATTGGCCCCATCCTCCGCCAGAAGGACTTACACGCTGCCCACAAGAACATCATGGAACCAGGCAGGCCGTCCGTCTTTTTGGTTCGCCAGTTTGTCCATATCTGTGGGACCAACTGCATCACAGAGTATCAGCAGGATTGCGCAACCTACAGGCTGGGCAAGGTGGACTGACCTGGACACACCAGAGCCTTTACAAGTGAGGACTCGATGTCAGTTCAAGGACAAGACGGATCATAACATGTTGACAGAGATTGACAAGGGCCGTTCTTACACTGCGTCCCGTTAGAATTGTCAGCCAAAGGCGGTAGGTAACTCTTCTTCGAGGGCCGCGTTCATACCTGTACCTATTGTCTTCCGACACGGACGAAGTTGAGGTCAACTTTGTGTCACCCAACATGTAGCGCTTGGGGTTCCTGCACTTACACCAAGCACATTGGCAGCCTGCAGGGATGCCCCATTGTCAGAGCGTGGGACATGCAATACAACGTGTCAAGGCACTCACTATCGGTATGTGTGTCTGAGGCGCCATCGCGGACTGTGGGACACGACCCAAAAGCCCACGAACGACCCGCCAGTCGTTCCACGACAGGAGAATCGCTTAAACGATAGGGCAGACTGCCTGAACCAAAGGGCACCGAGCTCAGAAACGCCAACTAAGGCGCTGTGGGAGCGACGGGTCCTGGTTCCGGCAAGATGTCCCTGCGATCAAGATATCAGCCACGGACAGAAGCACGCACTGGGCGTATCACAATATCGTGCCCAATATTTCGAGGTGCACCGAAACGGGAGAGCTGCAGTATGTACAGCGAGTGTTGGTCTTGTGTGGACAATAAGTGCTTAAAATATAACAGGATAAGTTAGGTAGGTAGATCAGTAGGTACTGGTCAAGTCGTCATGTCGAGAGAAGTCCCAACAGACGGAGAGGGGTTTACCCCACAGCGACCCAGGAGCAAATAACCCCCACGCTCAGATAGAAATGTGATAAGACTTCTATGTGATGGACTCAGTCACACTACATATAGACAGGGGTCAAAATTGCAATGGTTCCTACGGGAATCTAGTTAGTGATATGCGGATGCACATTGAGAGCTGGAGATAGAAACAGCTCTGTGGCTTACCTAGTTGAAGCCAACCTAGGTGACCTGGAAACGATTAGGTGCATAAGTGCTTTAGGAAGTCAACAGGCACCACGCTACACTATATGGTGTGGCGCACTGTGTCATCTACACCCGCCAGGGGATTATCTGCGGTATAAGACCCGCTATTCAGAGGCAATTGCTCTGGCAATACTGTGTCAAATACAGTGTCAGACTGTCTGATTCCAGTGAAAATTTAGAGGTTTCTCAATACACATTCATGACAACTGACTGAGTTAACTACCCGTCTATACTGTTACCATTGAGAGAAACTAGAAGCTGAGGCTTGGCAAATAAGGGTTCTCCTATTCACCGTATTTGTAATCTCTCAGACCAAGATTTCGTATCCCTCACCTTTCGTTTGTGCGGTTCGCATATGAATATCAGGACAGAGACACACAAACACTTGGAGCTACGTTTCTTGAGAAGCGCAAGTCAAGCAGCAAGGATACGGCAATGGCCACCGCAGAGAAGTCCAGGAAGAGGCCTTCGAAGGACGAGGGTGGCGGCAGCAAGAAGAAGCGAAGGCGAGCCCAGGAAGACGATGCCGACATCGACACCCAGGCCGGCCTCAACAAGGCCTTTGAGCGGATGGACGGCCAGCTGCTGGCCGACCACCTCGCCCAGAAGACAAGGCGCTTCGGCACCGACCTGAGCTCGATCGAGCTGTCGGACTTGTACATTTCAGGTGAGGGACAGCAGCACACCCGCGCACGCACCCATGCCTGCTCCTTGCTTGAGAACCAACCACCCCCCCTTTTGTTGTTGTTGGAAGGCTACGGCGATGCTAATTTCTGAACCGTCGGGTTTGAAGCCAACTTCATCAAGGACACCACCTCGTGGGCGAAGCCGCGGACGCTGGAGAATCTGCCGGACTTCCTGGAGGCGTTCGTCGAGGACCCGAAGGAGCTCGGGGCAGCCCCAAAAGACAAGGGCGCCCCGCACACCATCGTCGTCACCGGGGCTGGCCTGCGCGCTGCCGAGCTTGTCAGGTATGGAGGGTTCTGCAAACATCCCCCCGCCCCTTCTTTTCGTCCGCCGTGGTCTTAACTTACCGGGCAAAATAGGTCGTTGAGGAAGTTCCAGACGAAGGGGACACCGGTGGCAAAGCTGGTGAGTTTGAAGCCAGTTCCCGCTCCGGGCTGAGGGTTTCTTGCTGACCAGAGCCAGTTTGCAAAACACATCAAGCTAGAGGAGGCTGTCTCGTTCCTCAGCAAGGCACGAACGGGCATCGCCGTCGGGACTCCCGTGCGACTGATGGATCTCCTCGACAATGGTATGTCCTCTTCCCTGGTCGGACCAGCGTTGGTATCTGACAAGCGTGCAGGCGCGCTCTCTGTAGAACACCTCAGGAGGGTCGTGATCGATGCTTCGCACGTCGATCAGAAGAAGCGCGGGGTCATGGACTCGGGAGATACCATGATCCCCCTTGCCAGATGGCTGTCTAGGAAGGAGTTCAAGGAGAGATATGCGGACCCGGAAAGTCCTGTCGATTTGATGTTCTATTGACCGTTCTGGCGGTGAGACCTGTCGTACACGCGAAGGCAATTAGTGATGTAATTGTCTATTTTGTGCCTCCGAGGGACTGGCGGATAGGGGCTAGAGAGGGGGAGAAAGCGAGGAGGGCACCTTCGCAAAGTCATCAAATTTCGATACCCGACGCCTGTCAATTCCCATCTTATTGGTGACCCTCTACATCAAAAGCCCGAGGTGAGCGATGTGACCGCGCTGCCAGGACACATCTCCATCACTTGTCCGACTCGGGCCTTGCTAGAGCCACTCCTGCCCAGCTGTGGATTGTAGCTACGATACAATGAAGCGAAGCCTCGGAAATACAGGTTCTCTTCCGTTTCAAGTTATGTCGCCATGCTCCAGTCACGTACTCGCAAGGTCTCGGGCGAAATACGTTCCTCGCCTGTCTGGGTTCAGTGGGCTTCACGGCGAGAGCTGGCCGGGATCGAGAAACTGGCATAGGACTGCGCATGTAATCATTTGCCCGAATTATCGCCGTTGTCCCAGAAGATCACAAGATCTCGGGATCTTCAGCCAAGTGGGGAGGCATTCCAAATTCTCCCTTCGTGATCTACGCCCGTTCTGGCCAGAGGGCCGACTGGTAACAATGTATCATATGGCTTTAGTCAGCCTGCCTGGTGACGCCAAGTGAACCCAGGTCTGAGGCAGGGCTACCTACTCGTTGATCGTGCCACGGGCCGTGTCAGAACCCGTTTGCCGAGCCAAATGGTCCCGTGTCATGCGTTACGTCAATCTATCGGGTCCGGGAGGGAAGGAAGCCGCAGGGGGTTTCCGCTACACTGTATACCGCCCTCTTGGACATTCTCCGAGGAGGCCTCTGAATGGGGCCATTAGCGAGGTCAAGAGTTGAACGGTGTTTCCGCATAGGAGTCTCGTATGCAATGCAACGACTCCCACATTCGACTAAGCAGGAAATCGTTAATTAGACTAAGAAAGCGAGAGGTACCTATTCTCTGGGCAAGACCTTTAGCTAAGGTTGTACACCGGAGATCGGTTCCCAAGGCGGACCTTAGATGGGTTGCGGAAAACGCCGATGGGCTCGCTACGGGTGGCCGCCGAACGGGCCGCAGCGGAATTTACTGGACCACTGCGGTGCAATGCATCCCAACCCCACTATTTGATTGTCTTCTCCGCCTTTGGAGAGCGGCAGAAAAAAAAATAGTTTAGTTCTGTCTAGACTGCCAGGCCATCTCCTCCGAGGCGACCAATTCCGTACGTTGGTCCTTTCAATTCCTCCCTCTTAGCTAGATAGAAGCTAAATAGTTTTCCTGCCAGAGAAGGAAGTCAATTCCCTTCTTATTCCGGGAAACCATACACCCGGCCATGGCTGAATCCAAGAAAACCCAGCGCCCAGAGGAAGCGGCCAATGGGGATGTGAAGCTCGCGCGGCCCTCCAAGAAGGACAAGTCTTCCAAGAAGGATAAGTCCTCAAAGAAGGACAAGGCCCCCAAGGAAAAGCTGCCCGTCGAAGCTGAGGCGACTGGAGAGGCGGAGGAGGACAAGCCTTCCAAGGAGGACAAGCCTTCGAAGGAAGAGAAGTCTTCGAAGAAGGACAAGCCTTCCAAGAGAAAGCGCCCCGTTGAAGACGAAGCCGAGCCCGAAGCCGAAGCCCAGGCGGAGCCAGCCAAGTCCTCCAAGAAGGACAAGTCTTCGAAGAAGGACAAGTCCTCCAAGAGGAAACGTTCCGCCGAGGACGAGGCCGAAACCACCGAGGCTGCCGAGCCCACCACCGCCGCCGCCTCCACCGAGAAGCGGGACAAGAAGAAGCGAAAGAAGAGCAAGAGCGCCAAGGCCGACGGCGGCACGGACAACGCCGCTCCCACGGACGGCGACAACTCGGCCGAGCAGCAACCGGAGTATGAGGGCGAAGGCGAGGGCGAGGGGAGCGTCAAGGGCACGCGCTTCATCTGCTTCGTGGGCAACCTGCCGTACACGGCGACGACGAACGCGGTGCGCGCGCACTTTGCGTCGCTGGCGCCGACCGACGTCCGCGTGCTGACGGAGCGCGACGACCCCAAGAAGTCGCGCGGCGTCGCCTTTGTCGAGTTCGGCCGCTACGACCACATGCGCACCTGCCTCGACCGATTCCACCACTCGCTCTTCTCCGACAACGTGTCGCCTGCTAGGAAGATCAATGTTGAGCTGACGTGCGTATCCCCCCCACTTCCTTCCGTGTGTCTTTTCTGTGTGGAACCCTGCAAGCTAACCCATGTCTTTCCCCTCAAACACAGTGCCGGAGGCGGCGGGAAGAAGTCCGCGGTCAGAGTTGACAAGATCAAGGAGAAGAACAAGAAGCTGAATGAGCAGCGGACGAGAAAGGCCAAGGAAGGAAAATCGGACAAGAAGGCGAAGGAGGCGACGGCAACGGAGGTGCCGGAGGCCAAGGAGGAAGACAGCATACATCCCAGCCGACGGGGTAGGGTCCCGCATCAGAAGTGATTGGTGATGTTGCCATCTTGTTATAGAGACGATTTCCGGCATGTCGAAAAGGGGATGTTGAGCAGAGATAGATGTGCTTGGCGTTTTAGGCGTTCAAGCACAGACAGGCATCACTGGTAAATGTCTTCTTACAAAGAGGTAAGAAGTTTGCTGGAACGCATGGTTGATATCGATACCCACCGATATAAAAAAGATCACGGCATAGGCAGGGAGAAGAAAAGTTGGAGCTTCGGTACTTCTTTATCAATTCCATTTCATCAAGAATAACAAAATCTCTTCGCATTCAAAGTTGTGACCGGCGTCTCTCCCGCCCGGCCCTAACTAACTCACTCATCCCTCCAGCCGGGGGGGTATGCAGAGTTATCTACAGAAAAAGCGGGATATCCTTCTTGAGACGTGATGCAGATGTACTGACTACCCTGGAAAGAAAGAGCAGCGGGAACAACCAAAGCCAAAGCCAAATACCGACACCTGTAACCTGATTTGCAGAAGGACGATGAACATGGGAGTATAGGCGGGGGAATGCAAAAAGCAAGAGAAAGGAGCGGCAGCAGCGGTGTCCTCGTGTTTATGATCTGCAAAAATCCCGGGAAATGCTGTGTTTTTGGAGTGGAAGTTGCCTCACACGGAATGCCGATGCCAAGTACTGTTCTTCTCCTGTCTCGCCGTGAGAGGCTGGCGAAAAGAAGAACATGTATCCGGAAACGCCAGCGGCCGTGGATATCAGGGCAACAAGAGAGTTGTGGGCACAGCAGAAAGGACAGCCCAGATGCCTACAATTTGCCCTAGGCGCCTTCTGCTGCTGCTTCAGCTGGAGCTGTAGGGTGACACTATTCTCTTCTACAGAATAGTGCACTTGGACTTCTTGGCCTTGATGGGTTGCGGCCGTGGGTTAAGCACAGCGCTGGAAAGAATTCAGTTAGATAGGTATGTTCCCTGGCGACGGCGATAGGCCGGAAGAGGGGGTGGTTGGAGACTTACCGGATGGCCTCATCAAAGACGCTTTTAAGATTCCGTTGAGTTAGGGCAGAGCACTCGAGGTACTTGTGTGCCTTGATCTCCTTGGCGCACATGAGGGCCTGATCATACGATACAGGCTCCATTCTCTTCTGTCGCAGCGATTCGAGGGTAGCAGGGTCCTCTCGCAGATCGAGCTTTGTGCCGACCAAGATGATGGGAATGTTCGGCGCGTGATGGTCGATTTCGGGGTACCACTGTATGTATCCGCCATCAGTTCTCATTGTTCCCATGTTGGTCCACGGTCCACGTTTCCCCAGCGTAGGATTTTACTGACCTTGGCTTTGACGTTATCGAAGGAAGGTGGGCTAACGATGGAGAAACAGATCAAGAAGACGTCGGTCTGCGGGTATGACAGTGGTCGCAAACGATCGTAGTCCTCCTGACCAGCAGTATCCCATAGACCCAGGCTGATGGGCTTGCCATCCACCATTACGCTTGCCGAGTAGTTATCGAATCTGGGTAACACAGCCGAATGTCAGGACATAGTCAAAGGGTGGCGAGATTTCTTGGGAGGCTTATCGGACGTACACTGTGGGGATATATTCGCCGGGAAAGGCATTTGTTGTGTAGGAGATGAGCAGACATGTCTATTGATTGTGTCAGTTCGGCGATTGTACTTTGCGATCAAGAAAGAAGGGATGGAAACTCTGCTCACCTTGCCGACAGCACCATCGCCAGTCACGACGCACTAACAAGGCAAAAAAAAGCTATGATTAGCTGGGGATCTTGCTTTGAGGAAAGGCAATCAGGCGGTGCTGGCAAACCTTGAGCGACTGAACCCCAGGAGCAGCCATGATGTGTTCAAAGAGAGCCCTTTGAAGCTAGTGTCTTGAGCCTTGCTGTGATTTTGTGTGATGTGGCAGGAAGCGCTCCTTTGGAATGGCCGAGGTCGGATATCGGGTAGTCGGTCGGGTTGAGGTGAGCGGTTGGTGAGCGATGGTAGAGACCAAGATGGGGGCAAGAGCTGGTGTTGGCGGAATCGCAAAATCAGATAAATACAGCCAAAACAGCTGTCCAAGTAGGAGCTAGGTGGATGCCAGCATAAAAGCCAGAAGGAGTTTTGACACAGACTGGAACGGATTGGTGCCGCAGGGGAGGGAGAACCGGGTGTCAAATGGATGGAGTTGAAGGGGGAAAATGGCACCTCGATATGCTTGGAGGTGGTGGTGGTGCACAGGTGCAGGCACCATCCGACATGTACCCCAGCTCCCTGCTGTGAGGAGGTTGGACGGCAGACCGGGCAGGCCCAAGGACGGACCTCACCCTGGATGGTACCTGCACACTACATGTACCTTAATGCCATTCCGCATTCTAACACCAACACTTCTCATCTCAACTAACTGGTCCTGAATTGCTATACAGAAAAAAGATATAAAAAGAGAAGCAGAGCAAGCAACATTATTTAGGTTAGCTTGCTAGCATATCCTCAAATATTTATCAATCCGACCCAAGCTACCTTCCTACTGTGTACTTTATGTCCTAGGTGTGTACTTTCGCCGCCGGCAAGGTGCCCGGCCCACCCTTTGCAGATCTGTAGGTACAGTACCTTACTTTGGGTACTTTGATAGCCAAGTCGGGCAAGCTCCAGAGATTCAAACTCAATCAAGGTGGAGCGATCGACTGCATATAAATCAAGAGCCCAATGCTGGTATGGTGTCTCTACTTTGTACCTCCATGGATGGCTGCCACTCTGCCTGGCAAGTGGGTGTGTGTGCTACAAGTACGCAGTAGGCTCGAAACATCGGCCTCCCTGGTGTGTCTTGGCAGTCTTTGGGAATGGGAACTTTACTGTTGGAATTGGCTAAGTTCCTTGGGATGACTTAATTGCCCGAGTGAGGCTCGTCTTAAAGTGGGAAACGGATCGCTTGCCATGGCTCCAATGGAGGCTTGTCTCAGGAGGCAGGCCGATATAAGGCGGCTGGCTGATAATGCTGATTGGGACAGATTGCCCATGTTGTCCGTGCCTTTTTCACTTGATGCTGCCATCGATTGGGTGTTGAAACAGGAAATCCAGCCCAATCAGCATTGCTACTGAACACTCCAAAAGTGGGAATAAGTTGGAGGCACGAGATGGAAATGGAGCCACTCGATGGCATCGTGGTTCGAGACCGACCTCGAGTTCAGGCGCCGTTTGATGCATGTCCTGTAACAACGCCCCTCCTATGGAACGGCCTGCGAAGACCTCGTGCAGTTGGAGCGGCCTAGGGGCTACCTAGTCAAGTCGGAAACATCCATCCCTTGATTCATCTCTTCCATAAGAGCCTGTGACAATCCTTGACTTGACGCCTGCCTGCCAGAAGGGGTGAGAAGGAGCAACGACGAAGGGCTGATCTCCTCGGTTTTTAGCCCTCCAATGTTGAACAACCCCCCGCGCCCAACCCCTCCCCCTCCTCTCCCCCTCCCCCAGCGCAGTAGACGAGGTAGGCCCTACGGATGCTTATCCGTACTCGTAGAATGCCATGTGTCTTCCCCACCCACGAGCCTTGTGCGGCAGGGGGCGAGCGAGGGCAAACAAGAGTCCGAGGGCAAGCTAGAAGAGTCAGATCCGGTTCCGTGCGTGGCACGCACATGGTTGGGCTAAGTTCCGTGACACACAGACCCAGGGTTGACCCTCAGCGACTCCCCCACCTTTGCATATGCACATGTACCGCCGGAACTGGTGGTCCTACCTAGGTACCTACTATAATCCGTACCTAGATGATATGCGATTTGCTCAGAGTGCGTTTTGCTGGTGTGTTTCTCTCACTCTGGGCGAGTACTGTCTCCCTATGTATGCGCCTCGACTCCGCGGCTCTAAACTCGAAGTCATCCTCCACTGGCTTGAAACACCATCCACGGGCCGCTCCTTACATGGATGAGGTGGTTATGCTTCCGAAGTACCTGAACTAGGTACCTAGGTACCCTAGTACCACAGCCGACTTCCATCCAATAGGTTGCTTGGATTTGGATGACATAAGCAGCTAAACCTTAGATCTCTTGGGCTCCACGCCAGTGGAGTGTGCCTATCTGTAACTCCACGTAAGCTACCTCCGACAAACGCGTCCAGCGCGTCAAGCTTCGATTCTTGATAAGCTTCAACAGCAACGGCACATCAGGGCAAATACCCAACCGTATTGTTACTGTTCTGGATTACTGCGGAGGCGCATGACCTGTAACCCATGGAGAACGACTCTCCAAACGTCGACGGCAAGACCTCGACCCCCCAGATGTCGCATTTCAACATTGTGACGCCCGGCCGGCGAGCGATAAGCGCTGAGCCCCCCAGCCGCCATTCAATCCGCACGCCGGGCAGCCAGGGGCGGAACACGGCCAACCTCCAGCGACAGGCCGGGCTCTCCGCCTCGGGGAGGAAAGTCAACGCCGCCACGACACCCCACGGCCGGGCGGCCATCCGCGCCCTGGACTCGCGGCGAGCCGCGATCTTCACCCCGCACCGCGACCGGCGGCGCAGCTTGCGGGCGCAGCGCGAGACCCCGCGCGACGACCTGCGGGGCCTCAGCAGGCTCCTGGCGAAGGAGTCGCGGCCCGTGCCCTCGTCGTCGTCGCCGCGCACCGCCGTCAAGTCCGAGAGCGCCGCCAGCGTCGTGCTCTGGGAGGACGAGGATGACGACGAGCGCCCGCTCAGGGCCCCGCGCCTGTCCCTGCCGATCGACGTCGACGACGACGATGATAGCTACCTGCGGCCGCATCGCTCCGCCGGCCTGGAGGACGACAACTTCACGATGCAGTCCATCGAGATGCCCCGCCGCGCGCTCAGCGAGCAGGCGCCTAACAGGCTGTCCCTCGCGAGCGTCCGGGTGAGCGATTTCCACGCCGAGAACGCCTTCCGCAGCGACGATGTCGGGATCGACTCGGCCTTCTTCCCGCCTCGGCATGCCATTGACGAGGATGGGATTATGTTTGATGCGCAGGAGGACGTCACATACGAAAGGTAAACACAAAAACTCCCTGCCGTGTCCCATGCCCCGGGCGTGTCCCATGCTCCGGGCTGTTGGCTGAGCCCAACTAATTTTTTTCTCTGCTAGGATTGACGAAGAAGACGCCCGGCGCGAGACAGCGCGCGAAAGCGACTTTGGCATCGCTGTACCCGTGGAGGGCAACGAGAGCACATTCGTGATTACGGCGCAAGCCGAGGAGTTACGCTCGCCGGTTCAGCAGCCTCCAGAATTTGACGACTATCCCACGGCGCACTTCGATTCTGGCGGAGAAGATGACGACGGCGACGACGACGATGTTGTTCAAGAGGACCTGCAGGAGGACGTCCAAGAGCAGTTTGAAATGGAGACGGCAACGGCAGGAGCGGATGCCGCACAGCGGAGGAAAAAGAAGAAACCGGGCGTCAAGACCTCGAAGCACGGCATCCCTTACCCGTCCCTGCCTGCTGGGGTGGTAAAGCGGCTTGCCCAGACCTTTGCGCAGTCGGGCGGGGCCAGAGGCAAGATCAGCTCCGATACCCTGGCCGCGGTGATGCAGGCGTCTGACTGGTTCTTTGAGCAACTGGGCGACGATCTGCAGGCTTACGCAAAACATGCGGGGAGGAAGACGATCGACGAGAGCGACATGCTCACGTTGATGAGAAGGTATGTTACATATATGGGTATCTTTTCGATCCGACTTAATACATGTCTGACACCCTCCTTCACCAGACAGCGCCAGATCGGCTCTTCCACAACGCCGTTTTCCCTAGCGCAACGGCACCTACCCCGGGAACTGCTACAACAGCTTCGCATGCCTCCGCCAGCGCCCCTGAAGAAGGGACGCAAGACTAAACCTTCAGAGGCGGATCAGGGCTGAGGCGTAATGTGGATTCGAGGAGAGTTGATATCCGAGGTTCCCAGCCTGTGTACCAAGACTACCAGGTCTTGTTCATCCGAACGCGCCGAGCCACGTCGGTCGGCGGCTTCTTCGCCACCATGTAGAACATTATCGATGTTGCTACAGCAAGACCGTACCTGCTTCCGTCAGCAACGAGTCCGGGCCGGGACGGAGGCGAGGGGGGCAGGGGCGGGGAAGAGTCTTGTTAATGATGGAGCGGTCATACCAGGTGAAGATATACTGCGCATGGTTATTGCGCAGGTTTACTTCTGCTGGCCTCCCGATCGGGATACCGCGATCCACATAGTCGTAGACCTGTAATATACTGGGGTCTGTGGTAGTGTCAGCCATACATCTGTGTTCTCTCTCTCCCCCCCTTTCAGGCGGCACAGGAGGTCGTCGTACGCATCGTCTGCTCGATCCACACAGGCTGGCTGCCCGTCAGGCTCGCCATCTGCTCCACATCCGGGAAGTAGAACTCGCCCTTGTCGGGCCTGTTGTCGGGCGTGAACATGTTCTTCTTCCACGGCTCCCTCAGCAGGCCCTCGACCCTCACCTCGCCCGTCGGCAGGCTGTCGGGCCGAGCCTGCTGGTCCCCCTTGTCCTTGGCGATCCACCCGCGGTTGACCAGCACGGTGCTCCCGCCGTCGTCGCGCTCCAGCGGCGTCACCACCATGTACCCGGCCTCGCCGTCGCGCATGCGCGGCCCGATCAGCATCTCCCGGTCGTACCGGAAGCGGCCGGTCGCGAGGACGCGGCGGTAGTCGAAGTCGGCGACGGCGGACGGGTCGATCTGCGGGGGCAGCGGCAGGGGCGGTCGGGATAGTCGGTCCTCGCACTTGGCGATCAGGTCGGTCTTCCACTTTAGGCGCTGGACTTGCCAGCTGCCGAGGACGAAGGCCGTCAGGGGGATGATGGCTGGGGGGGAGGGCGTACGCGAGTTAGTGAGAGGCTAGGATTCCGGGTGCTTGGCTTTGGATTGGGAGGGGGGAAGGGGGATGTACCGAGGATGATGAGACCGGGACCGTGGCGGCGGCCGGAGCGGACGAGTTCGGGGGGGTTGTCAACGATCGAGGAGAAGCTGGGATCGTCGGCGGCTTGCTTCACGCTTCGCCGCGGGGAGCTTGTGATGGTGCGGCATGGCCGGACGGTAGGTGTATACGCAAAAGGTTTCGACACCCGGCTGCGGAGGAAGTTTGTCGTCCGTTGCCTCTGAAGAGATCTGAAAAGCTCGCCAACTAACTTCATCTTTGCCTGAACCTAGGCACTCGATACCGGGCCTTCAATTGCAGCTTTTGATAATGGCGTTGTTCAACAAAGTGGAAGCCCGAGCTTTGCTGCGTACAAGGTCGCATCCAACTACGAAGCTAGTTGGGTGGGCTGGCTCATGATTGGTTGGCAATCCTAACCTAAATCATTGCAAGGGGTGGTGGCCTTACGAGCCAGAGCCACAACAGTCCGACATGTGGACAGCTTTCTGAGGACCCATCCTAACCTGCACTTATACCACTGTAAAGAAGCTCTCTCTGTGTATAACGTACACTTACAACACTCGAAGTTCATATATCCTGCAATTTGCCAACTTCCACAAAGTGTCACTGAAACGCTTTAGCCTCGTTAACCTCGTGCATCTTGCTCGGTTCCACTATACTGAATATGACTGAGACCATGTTCTTCCAAGGGACTCTTCAGGAAGGCATCTCGGCGGCTCTTCAGCAATCCAAGTCCGTGGTTTGCTTCGTCACAGGTAGGTACTGTGTATGATAGCTGAGGGCAACTCAAACTCATGTGTTTACCTAGACGACCAGGCCGAGAGTCAACGATGGGAGTCGGAGTTCCTTGCCGATGAATCTGTAAGTTGCGGCAAATTGATGCGATCAATAGCGGGCTCCGGACCTAACAAAACTGCAGTTGAAAGTCCCTCTAGAAGACCAGGCTATCACCCTTCGCCTACAAGCTGGCTCTACTGAGGCTGGGTATCTCGCCGCAATCTTTCCACTGCCCAAGACTCCTACTGTCGTTATCATCAAGTAAGAACTGAACTCTGCAGTTACCGGTGGATATCAAGGAGTGCTGGACTGATACGGTGCTAGAAATGGCCAGTTGAAAGAGTACATCGCTCCCGAGGTGTCCAAGGAGGACTTTGTGGCAAGAGCGCGCACCGCGCTGTCAGCGGCAGCCGATGATTCGGCCCAGGCACCGTCTTCTGGAGGGGGTGTCCCTTCCCAGGTACCGGACAGTGCACAGCCAACTGGCAACACTTCCACGGAGAGTTCCGGCCAGGCCACGCCCTCGTCAGCGACGGAGCAAGAACCCAGCACCGTGCAGACTCTCCTCTCTGAACGAGCCGCGAGGCTGGAGGCGCAGCGGAAGAAGGAAGCCGAAGAGGCCAAGCTGCGCCGCAAAGCCAAAGCGGCGGAGGGGGAGAAGCCGAGAGGCTCTGAGGCCCAGACCAAGCATGCGGAGTCGCTGAAGCGGAGGCAAAAGGAGGCGCGAGAAGAGCGGCAGCGGATTCTCCAGGCCATTGAGGACGACAAGGCCGCGCGCAAGGCCCGCCAGTCCGAGAAGGAAGCGGAGAGGAAGCTGGCCTTGGAGGCTCAGAACCAAGACAAGCAGACCGCTTCCCCGGCACTGTCGAGCACGCTGCCCGCAACCACGAGATCCAGCGAGCATTGTTTCCTCCAGGTCCGGCTCTTTGATGGTTCCACCTTACGAAATCGCTTCCCCAGCGGTAGCCGCCTCGGGGCCGACGTCAGGAAATGGGTCGACGAAAACCGCGGGGATGACAAGCATCCCTATACCTTCAAGGTGGTGCTGACCCCGCTGCCTAACAAGAACATCGATATCACAGAAGAGGACTCCTCACTACAGGACCTGGGGCTGACGCCGTCCTCGACGCTGATCCTTGTCCCGGCATCCAAGACTGCGGTGGCGGCATATGCCGCGTCAGGGGGAAACCCGGTGTCGAGGTTCATTGCCTTCATCCTAGCATTAATCAATGGCTTCATTGCCAATGTCATCGCATTCTTCACCACCATGTTCAGCACCAGCGGGCCGCCCCGTCAACATCCTGCACCGGAGGCCGGTCGCGAACAGACCGCCGTGGCGTCTGGCCTTGACGAGGCCCGGATCAAGGAGCTCAGGACCCTGAGAGAACGGCGGAACGAACAGCAGTTTTACAACGGCAACTCGGTATGTTGCAGACCCTGGGCCATCGTTCCTCTCCACGCGTTTGTTCAGATCAGCATTGCTAACCTTGGGCGCGCAGACTAACTTCGAACCGAGGAAGGACGACGTGGAAGAGGATTAGAAGCTTGAAGTGAAGAAGATCAGGAGCCTGAAAGGAACATGGGAGTTTTGGTGGAAAATATTATCAAGCATGCCATGACTATAGAGTGGAAATGGTGCCACCTGCTGTATTCTACAATAATTCTGATGCTATGCATTCCTATCGCCAACCCAATGCATCGATGCTTGATGAGTGTGGTATTGTCTTCGAATCATCATACACGCCGCCAACCTTCCCCCCAAGCAAACCTACCTACTCCGTGCTTAGTACGGGCTAGCAGCAGCCTGGCAAGCTTTCTGTATCCAGGTCGTCAGCGCAATTTCCGAAAATCCGAAGGGGTTCGAAACATACCAGCTGGTCCAGGTACCAGTTGCAGATCTGCATGTTGCCGCCATGCTCGTCCAAGCACTTTGTGAACTGCTGGGTGACGCCCGCGCAGTTGTTGGTGGCGCCCCCCCAGCTCTGCTGCTGGCTCTGCGCCGAGACGCTGTCCTGCTGCGCCGGCTCGGCTGCCGCGGAGCTGGAGCCGCCGCCGAAGAAGCCGCCGATGGCGTGGCCGATCGAGGAGCCGATTGCGACACCGCTAGAAGGGGGAGATAAGGCGTCAGTATATATATATAACTGGAAGTCTTGTGGGAAGGAAGAAAGAGGGGAAGGAAGGAGATCGGGGAAGGGAATGGGACGGGTTTACTCACGCTGCGGTGCTGGCCATCTGGCCCATGAGCCCCGGGCCCTGGGACGCCGGTGCTTGCGCCGCGGCGGGTTGCTGCGTCGGGGCGTAGGTGGTGGCCGGCCGGGTCTGCTGCTGCTGTGTGGGCGCTGGGGTCGAGCGGGCGGGAACGCTGGGGCGGCGAGGAGGAGCCCTGCCGGCTGATCTCTGGCGAGCCATTGTGATTGGTAGTTGTGGGAGGTTTTGACGGGGGAGTTGAGGTGCGGTTCGAGGGCGGGGAGGAATCGATTGATGCGAATGTGGTGAGAAGGGGAGAGACCGGAGGTGAAAGATCTCGGCTTCAAGTTTGGATTTGGAAAAGAAGCCAATAGAATGCGGGCGGCGACGCGCAGGGCCCCGTCCCGAGCTCGGCAAGGAAGAACTAGGGCGCCCGACACCCAATAAGAGGATGGTAAATGATAATGGCTCGGTCTGGATATGTGGGGCATCAAGCACGCGAATTGCTGCAAAGACGGCGGACGATGATACTTCTATGGCACTTGGAACCAAGTAAATGTCCCACCAGAGGAGGGGGGTTCATCTTAATGAATTATATATATTCTACTCGGTTGCGCTGTGAATAGACTCCCATTGCACAGCCAGACTTCGACAGGCTGCATCTCTCATCGAGACATGAGTTTGCGTCGCTGCCTGTGTATGCACACTCCCGCCATTAATACGGAAGTGGGCTCTTCATGATCTAGCCCAACGCTCGGTAATGCCACTCTTTCGGGTGTCTTGCAGAGTTGGGTACCGAGGCAAGATCGGTCCAGCTCTTGATCTCCTCTTAGCCATCCTGAATGGGTATCTTCCAACCACGGTGAGACTCAGAAAGCCGCCTGAACTACCCTATGGGCTTCGGCCAAGGAGACGAGGTTGGCAACCTTGAAGTTCGTAACTCGGGAGAGTTAGGCCTTCGTCTCTGGGTGAACTGGATTGTAGTGCAATGCCAACGTCGCTCATTTCCCCTTGGAACCATTGTGCCTGGGTCTCTTGGGTAGTGCTCCCCTGGGTTGGTTGCCCTGATTTGCTGCTGGTTCAGATTCAGATCCTGCTGCATCGTCCGCTGGCCGTTTCCTGGCCACCTTGGACGTTTTCAGCATCGCCTTTGCGCGCTCCTTGGCAAGCTGCTCCGAAAGCTTATCCTTCAGTTCTTTGTTACCAGCCTAAATATATTAGTATCACTACATTTGCACGCGCAGTTAGACGAGAACTTACGAGATCAGAGCGGATGAAGCGAATGGCAGCCTGGGTATCTACGGTAGCCTCGCGCTCAGGGGTGGGTGTTTCTATCTTCTTGATCTTGTCAAAGTATTGCTTGACTCGGGTCAGCTCGGCGAAGATAGCATGGTTCTTTGTGTCAATGCCGTTGAGACGTAGTGAAGCTGTAGGAGCGTGTCAGTACGTCGGGAAAGCTAGATGGTTCGAGGTCTGGCGTACAGAATAGAAGTGACTCGATGGTATAAGACGTCAATACATAGAGCTTTGCCTTGTCCAACAACGGGAGTTTGGATGAGGCAGCACCAAGATCTCCCAATAGAGGTCCCAAGTCAGTCTCAAGCTGATCAAGATCAACAACTAGTTGATCCAGCGCCGGTGAAATATCCGTGATGTCCATGATCAGAGAATATGGCGGTGAATTTTCTGATCCGGACCTTCTAGTCTGCTTGTCAAAGTTTGATGGGGAGAACAAGCAGCAGCAGGTCAACTCAAGGCTTGAACGCGATTGCAGTCCAAATTCGGCTTTTTCGCACGTGCATGCGCTGCAGCGGGCAAGTTTCCTGCGATCCACTTCCTGCAGGTCGCCCAGCCAATCACCGTCGACCTAAATCCCTTAAAATCCCGGCTGTCAAAAGAGCAAGCTTATTATTCGCATCGCGCCTCGAAAATTCAGCAATATAGAATTATCGCCGTGATTCAAACTTCATCGCCCCAGTGCCCCAAGAAGGGTCCCCTTGCTAATACCCGACAGCTCGGTTTCTCATCAACCAGCTGCCCCCAAGATTCCAATCTCACTTAGTCTGGGTTCGGGCCGCCTTGTTCGCTGTAACCTTGCAGTTCTCTCTGGTTACCGCGCTCGTGTTCCAATGCTCGAACACCGATCATAAGGCCGACTTGCTCCTAGCTTGGAGGTTCCCCGACCTCGATCCTACAATACCCCCCGAGCTGCGCGCAGTGCCATGACATCTCGAGGCTTTGCGTGAACACCGCCACCCTGTTTCTCCTTCACAGAAGTCGGCCGCAATCGCGGGTGTTTGGGCGAATACCCTACAGACACATTCGATGGACTGGCGATAACACCTCGGTGGGCCGGGCGGCCAGCAAACAACTCTCCAGCCAGGCTACTCCAGTCTCTCATCCATCACCGATATGCGAATATCCTCCAACCCAGCCTTCGCCCTTCCAGAAAGCCGAAGGCCGCCTCCCCTCAACATACAGGAGTAAACCGACTGAGCGGTTGCCTACGTCGAGACCGCAAATCAGCCGTATCGATCCAGACCCCGCCCACGAGCAGCTGCCGGAGAAGGAGGATCGGGAGACCGTACAGCTTTCAACAGTGGCCGAGTCTTCAGCCCCTAATCTCGCGCCTGTCCGTGACACGGCAAAGGAACTCGGGCCGTTCTCAGACCAAATCCATATTCTGGGAAGCGATGTTCAAGGGAGATACTTCACACATGCTCTCGCGAGCTGCAAATACCTCCCCCCAGTTCGTTTCCTTCTCCACCGACGGGCCATGCAGCGGATATGGGAGGATGGTGGCCGATGTATACATCTGTACAGAGGTGAAGAATACCTACCGAATGCCCGGGCGGTTGCGGAACTGGTCCAGCACCAGGATTTCTGGTCGGGAAAAGCATTGTCAGGCCAGCCCGTGGAACACATCCACCAATTAATTATCACGGTCCCGGCTTCCAGTGTTGTGCGAGCCTTCGCGTCGATCAGGGACAGGGTTGATGCAAGAACGTCCATCTGCCTCGTCCAGGACGGGCTGGGTGTAGTCGAGGCCCTGAACGAGACGTACTTTCCTGATCCAACGAGCCGGCCTGCATATTTACTGGGCCATATGACGCATCAGTTGTATCCTGTCCAGGACAGCATGTTCTCCCTGTCCGAGGTTAAGCAAGGAAGACTCTACCTCTCGGCGTTGCGTGGCGACTTGGGGCATAGTCGAATACGCTACCACCCCCCGGTCGAACGGTGGTCGAAGCCGGGGCATTTTCTGGGCCTCCTGACATCAACGCCTGGGCTACAGGCAGGAGGCTTCCCCCTTGAGAAGTTTCTCAACTTCAAGTTGCCCTCGACCGTCTTCAAGTCTGTGGTCGATCCCCTCACGGTTATACTCGACTGCACTTACGACAAACTTGCCGGCAACACGTATGCGAGGCAAATGATGGACCAGTTATTAGGAGAAATTCTAAACGTGGTTGCTCGCCTGCCCGAGCTCAGGGGCTATGCCAAGTTCAACGATCTTCGAGGAGGAGGTCTGCGGAAGGACGTGTTTGAGCGCCTAGCTCGAAAGAAGGATGGCGACAGCAGGATGCGAAGTCTCATCCGGCGAGGCTGGGAAGGCGATATTGATTTTTTGAACGGATACTTTGTCAAGCGTGGCCGAGAAGTTGGGGTCAAGTGCCCAGCAAACGAGACGGTTATATGGATGGTCAAGGCAAGACATGCGGCACAATTGGCGCAACGCCGCGAGGAAATTGCATTCGAGAGGTGAGTGCGAACTAAGGGCATCATCGCCTCTCATGAGCGAAGAGGATTTGGCTTGGGGGTTAGTTATGCTGGTCCAGTTTTGTGCCACGGAAGAAGCATTTACATATACACCAACACTTGTACACCTAGAACTGTACCACTCTCTGTTAGCTATATTTGTACAGTACAGGAAACATACTACTAGATCGAGGCATTTCGGTATGCCCATATAGACGGAAATTGCTTTGTCACCTTCCTCCAACCTACCCAGTTCCCGATTGATATGGGTTTTTCTCCGCTGCGACTACATGCAGGTATATATGATCTAGCAACAATCTTTTATGACTCCTTGGGACTTAGGTCCTCAATCAGCAGCCTTAATTCACATCTTGAACCACTCATGCGCCAGCACCTCCTCGACACTCGGGCGCTTCTCAGCTTCGTAGCGGAACAGCCTGTACAGAAGATCCGCCATTAGCCCCTGCTCCGCCTTGGATGTGATCAACGCCTTCTGTGCCGCTCCGTTGTGATCTCCGCCTGGCTGGACAACCTCTATAGGCTTGCTTAACGCCACCTCGAGTGACCACTCTTCCTTGCCATCTCCGTCTTGGAGCCATGTCCCCTGTTCGTCAAAGAATTCCTCCCGCGCCTCCCACTTGTCCCACCACGTCTGGGGTGGTTTGCCAAAGAAACGCACCATTTCTGTCAGCAGTTCGTCCTTGTCAAAAATCATGTAGAAGAGTGGAAGCTGTTCCCGGATCTCGAACAGCGTGCACCCAAGCGCCCATAGGTCGCAGGCTGGGCCAATGGCGTTCTCCTGGCCTAGCAGTACCTCAGGCGGTAGGTAGTTTTCAGGGATGCCCAGGTCTGCTGGAGGCGACGAGATTGGGAAAGATTCGCCAAAGTCGATGACACAGATTTGGTCAGTTAGATATTCGGCATCCAATCGAGAGGTATCAGCGGGAATTGTCAGGTATCGCGGTGAGGATGCTGGAAGGTCCTCGCCAGACTCAGTGCGTACATAGGCCTTCTCAGGCTCGCCCAGGAGGGAGAGCAACTTGTCTTCAGGCAGCTGATTGAGGTTGGCCAGCTTGACAAGGATATTGGAGGGTCGGAAGTCTGGGATATTGTTAGTTTCTAGCAGGGTTGTAGATGGAGCAATGGGGTGGTATCTACCCCCGTGGCAAAAGGCCATGCTTATGCAAGAAGTTCGTAGCCAGAGCAGTCTGATGGGCCATCCCCCGGAGGACAGGCTCAGGATCTTTCAACTTTAACCATAGACGAGGCGAAACGCAAGGGCCGAGAACTGGGAATACGATGCATTGGTGCAACCCATTTGGCCCTGCAATAGAGAAGGAATCCAGCGGGATGGCAATATATTCGGCGCCAGGAGCGGATCGGTCTAATCGCGTCAAGTTAAGGTCTGGGAGAGTCTCTGGAGTCACATCTCCGGCCATGACCTTGACGGCGACATGTCCGGGATCCTGCATGTCCCGACAGAGCCACACAGTACCGAAGCCGCCGTGGCCTAGCTTGTGAATGACACGGTACCGGCCGGATGCGCCGAGCGTGTCACCAAGATGGATGGGGTGGTATCTGCCATCTTGATATTCTTCTAAAGGTTCAAGACCTTCGTTTATTCCGTCTAGATATGTGCCATGAGAAGTTGCCGGCGCGTGGTCAAGATCTCCGCCGTATTCGAATACGGCGTCATCGAGGAGCTCATCATCGATAGTACCCACATCCTCGGTACCATGGCTGGACTCGGGAATCGAGACTGACTCTTGCTGGACATGATTCTCAACATGGATCGCCCCAGGCTTCCCCCCAAAGGTCCAATACAATCATCCAGCCCCAACATACCCATCCATAAATCTTCCTGGTTGCGGATGGTCCCTGCAGGCAAGATAGTGTACATGGGTCAGAGCGCCTACCCCATCAAGAGCAAAGTGCTTCTCACGCAGCAGCTCCGCAATGGCGTTATCATGTATGTCAATGCAATATGCATCAACCCACCACCCTGACGCTGTTTTTGATCATCTGCTCATGAAACGAATACATCTGTCGCTCCCAACTAACATGCTTCTTTAGGCTGGCTGGCTGGCTAGCCAACACACATGCCATGTGGCGGCGGCGAGTATATTGCATACCAAGCCTCCTCATTATCCAAGTCAACATAAAGTTCAGGCGTGAGTAACAGGCTTGCCTTAATCTTCATCCAATCCTCATTGTCAACCTCTATTGCTTCATCAGTCGTAGAAAGCAAACCCGGCCAACCTCGGACAATACTAACATGACACTGCTTAAGTCTCTCACAGGTTGTTAGATTGCTAACCTCCCCCTTATCCACTGGCAAACTCCGTAATGCCTCCTCATCAACCTGAATAAAATAAGTATACCTTGACCCGCGACTGACACCAACAGGCATATGATCGATATCATAATTTAGGTTCTGATTTTCCTCGCGCGCCCATGCCCTATACCTACGCTTAAGCTTATCCAGCGACGCACCCTCAAGCTCTGGGTCCTGGTCGACAAACACCCATTCAAGCTGGTCGACAATCTCAGGCGCGTCAGATTGGGCAACAAATTCGCGCATCTTCTCATCAACAAGACGCTTAAAGGTCTCCCAGCGCGCAGCTAGCTCAGGTGCATAGGTGCATCGGTAAATCACCCAGCCCCAGCTGCTATCCCAGAACTTAGCAGCCACTTGATTTTGCTGGCAGGGGAGAGGTTGTCCCAGTTGTCCATTTTGGGAGATTGAGGACATTGCTCTTCTCGTGAGTTGCTAGCCCTAGATCCAGATAAAGAGGATGACGATGTGAAAGGTCGATTTGACAAGCTAATGGGGGGAGCTTTTAGGTATTGGGTTGCGGTAAGTTTGGAGGAGTGATGATATGTGAGATACAGAGATAGGGGGTGTTGTTGATAAAGGCTTGGATAGAGCTGTTGGCTGATGTTTGGAAGTGACCGTGGCGGCTGAATTTGTAGGCGTAACGTTCGTGCAGCCATGTATGGTTTGCGGAACCTGTGGAGACGGGAGTGAGATTGGCAGGTAAAGGAGGGGGAAAGCAAAGGAAGTCGTTGAAGGACGCCAGCAGGAATATATTCAATGTTTCTCTCACGTTGCATAACCACCCTCCCTCAAAACACGTGACTACCTCATTCTCAAACAAATGGTTTATTTATTCTCCAGGTAGATATCTAGACTAGGTTGCCAGGTCAATACGGGCTTTCCCTCATCCTCTTTTTTCCGGGTTCGGAGTTAGTGCAAGAAACAGATAAAGAAGTCAAGGGGGAAAAAAAAATAAAAATGGAAAGACAGAAAGAAGGAAATGGGGTAGAGTCAGTAAGTAGGCACGTACGCATCCGTCCCTGTCCTACCCGGCCAAGGTTTCTCCCTTCTCGCACCTCAGATCCCTGGCCGGTTTGCATGCGTAGTCCTTCAGGGCCTTGCAGTCCTGCCCGTTCTCGCCCTGCAAGCTCCTGGCAACGTTGTCCGACGTCATGGCCAGGGCTTTCACGCCGCCGGCGGCTGCCTGGACGTGGGAGACATTGTACCCCATCAGCCCGCTCATGGCCGAGAAATTGTCGTCATCCGTATCGACGGCCCAGATCAGACTGCTGCCGAAGCCGACCGAGTCGGCCCACTGGCGCTTGAGCTTGCAGGTGTCGGCGTCGTCGTACGAGATCCACTGGTCCTTGTCAAAGACGAGATACTTGACCGCGGCCTTCTTGTCGAACACGGGCTTCAGATTGGGGAGCTGCTTGAGGATGGCCGAGATCTCGTAGTACATCAGGATGCCGCTCGTGTCCGAGCAAGGGCCTGCGCGGGCTCCGCCCTTGAAAGGACAGCCGGGCGTCGTGCAGCTGGGGTTGGAAAGCTTGAAGGAGCGCCTGTAGAAGCTGTAGCCGAGTGTGACCTGCTCGGGCTTGACGCCCATGCGCTAGGAGGAGCTGACTTGCCAGCTGGATCTTGGTTCCAGTGGTGTTCTGTAGAACCACGTCATGTGATAGGTAGGGAAACCAGTATTACTTGACTGACGGCGGTAGCTTCATCATTGTCAACATATCTCGAGCCTCTCGAAGCGAATTGGGCTTGGTATGCACAGGAACGGACCGTCCCTGCCCGGGCATCACTCCACCTCGCCATCTCACCTTACTTTGATCTCCCCAGCTCCACCAACCGGTACCACCGCTCATGTAGATCTGCTCCCTTTTTTCCCAGGAATTTTCCATGTAAGCTTGTTGCCGCGCAGCCTCTTGTTCCTCCAGAAGCGAATCTCTCGAACTGTCCATATCCTCCCACGGTTTCTGGAAGATGCCAACCGCCTCCAACCGAGACCGGTCCCACATGACATATCCCAACTGGCGTAGACCCATGACGATTCTCTTGGTACACCCAATTCGCCCAGCTTTCTTCTTGGTGTGCCCATCGCCAGACATCCGCCGGACCGGAATCCGGATCAGCAAAGAACAGCCATTTGATATGGAGGGTTCTATCCTCCGGTGTCAAGTCATCGAGGAAGATATTGTCGTTCTGTTCGTTTGCGCCTCGCAGCCCTTCGTGGAGGAAAGAATCCGTGGCCGGCGGACAATGGCTGGAATACAGAAGACCGTACCGTTCCTCATATGTTTCTGCCCCGGCGATCTGATGTAGCTTTTCCAACCCGAGTGACAGGACATGTTGGATGAAAGGCGAGTCAACCCTGTCACCGTACTTCACATGGAATGCACCCCAAGCAATGTCATGTTCTGCGATATCATCGAAAGCTGATGTTTCTCGTGAGTTCTAGATCTTACAATAGTTCACTATGCTTGGCAACTAACCTGGTGAGACGATTTGGACAAGGAAGTCATGAATACAGTCAAGCTGTTCATTCTCCCAGGGAGCAAAATTCGCGAAGAAGAGCTGCTTTTGCTCTCCATATACACTAGATTGTGCCTTCGGAGATTCGCGGAAGAGGTTGCAGTAGATTTCAAACCGGTACAATGCGCGTTCGATGCGGCATATCTCCTGGCGTGTCGCGATAGACTTGGACCGATTTAGGGGACGTTTGGTTAAGGCCGCCATGGCGAACTTCTTGGCCAAACCGTCCATATAGACATGCAGTCGCCCAAGGCGAAGCGCTTTCCGTAGCGACCAAGATCTGGGTGGAGTCGGCCTCTGGCGGAGATTTTGGGTGACAAAGTCCACGATGACTTGCCCATTTTTTGGTTCCGTATCATGTGGGCGCAACGATGAGGATTCAGACGCTGCCATCGCTTCGGGCAACACGCTGATATCTATCTGGTTGAGCAGCACCTGCGCTGTGATTGCCGTCTCCGCCTCCAAAAACGCACGATAGAACAGTGGACACGACAAGGCCGCCGCTTGCAATGATGCGACGTCTGGCACAACTGAGAGTATCATTCGCACGAGCTCGACCGACAGGCCATCGATTGGACTCGGCCGAAACTCTCGGTCTTGGTTCATGGTGACTGTTGGGAACTACCCTTGTACTGTCAACCAAACCACAGGAAGATGGGAGAATTTCCAGGTCCCAGCTGCGATATGGCGTCAACAGCCGAAGAAAGTCACACGCTTCGCTGTGATGGCGGCACTCTCTCGCAAATGTCAAACAGCGACATCTGGAAGCCAATCTTGGCAGATACGCCTCATAAACGGTAGATACGGCAGCATGCTGGTCTATATGTTTTCTCATTCTGCCTTCTGGCTGCTGTCGTTCGGCTCGTGGCTGCCAACGTCCTGGATCCTGGCTTCTTTTTCCCACAGGGAGCTGTGCGAGCCGACCGTGCTGTGCGTGGACAGCGAGCTCTGATATAAGTACGCTGAAATTGGCGGTCCGTGCCAGCCAAAAACGGGGCCCAAAAACGGCAGCTCAGACCATTTGAACCCCGCCAAAATCCTGGCCGCGATCGTGAGGTCCCAAACAAACTACCCCACCTCACACATCACACTTCGCAAAAAGACATGGACGAGGGAGAGCTAGAACAGGTACAACTACCTACATGCTTATTATGGGAGGGTATAGTTCCGTACTGACGGCGCACATGGCAGATCCGAAAGGCGCGCCTCGAGCAGCTGAAGGCTCAGGGAGGAGGTGCAGGCGGCAAAGGCGGTAGCCCCAGCCAGGAACAACAAGCGCAACAGAGACAGTAAGTATAGACGGGTAGTCGCCATATCCCACCCACCCCCCTCTTCCTCGGCCAGTCCTAGCTAACAATATCTCTCCCCAGACAACAAGAAGGTATGCCCTGCCATTCCTAGACCCCGCCAAGGCCGAACCATCGAGAGAGAGAGAGGCCCCGGGGGAATCTTTTCGCCTACCTACCTACCTACCTAACCTATACTAACTCCGACCTGTCCTGCGACGCAGCCGAAGCGCGCCAGTCGATGCTGAACCAGATCCTGCACCCCGAGGCGGCGGACCGGCTGGGCCGCATCCGGCTCGTCAAGGAGGAGCGGGCGGCTGACGTCGAGAACCGGCTGATCATGATGGCGCGGTCGGGCCAGCTGCGGCAGAAGGTCACGGAGGAGCAGCTGAAGGAGATACTCGGCGCCGTGGCCGACAACAAGGAGGAGGAGAAGATTGTCGTGAGCAGGCGGAAGGGGTGGGGGGATGATGACGATGACGATGATCTGCTGGGCTTGTGAGGGAGGGGATGTGATGATGCGGTTGCCTCGTATTATTTTTGAGTAGTGGTTGGGATGGAGATTCACCCGGTGAACTCGGGTTCTAAGGTCTATAGGCGTGTATGATACATCTATGGTACAGCGATGGCATGGCACGGCACGAGTCCCAACTACGTATCCAGGGACAAATAAATCAAAGTCCCCCTCCCCCCCCGTCTCGTGCAGCTGCCGTGTCTCTACGTCGGCTACGCGGCGCCGGGTGCAGCCCTGGCAGCCCCCCTTTCCGCCTCCCTCCTCTTCCTCTCCTCCCGCTCCCTCTTCCTGATCGCCCTCAGGTCCGGCGGCGGCTCCACGCCGAGCTCCCGCCGCAGGTCGTCGACGTCCCTCTCCAGCTCCTCCTCCCAGTACACGTTGATGACGTCGCGGGCCCGCAGGCCGTTCCGCAGCGCCCAGGGCAGGTATATGCTCGCGAAGCGGGCGCGCTCGGCGGGCTTGAGGGTGGCGGCGGAGAAGACGCTCATGCCCGTCATGGGCAGGAGGGTGTTTGCGAACTCAAAGGCCTTGAGGGCGACCTCGCCCTCGCGGACGACGGGCAGGCCCGTCAGCGCGTGGTAGAAGTCGTGGCACTCGCGGTACCGCTGCATCACGTAGGCGCACTCGGCGTCGTCGATGTACCGCACCGCGCTGCGCGTGTCCGGCGTCACGCCCTCGCGGTCCAGCCAGGCGACGTAGGCGCGCCCCACCGAGCCGTCCGGCAGGGCGCGGAGCCGCGGGAGGTTCAGGCTCGTCGACGTCATGCGCGGCCGGTCGCGGAGGATGCGACGCCCCGTCGCGGAGGCGAGCATGGCGTCCCGGAGCCGGTAGATGAAGTAGGGCGTCGCGGTTGCCTCGGCGAACGCGGCGATGAGGTCTGTGTTTGGCGCGGGGGGTGGTGAGCTGCTGCTGCTGTCCGACGCAGACGGGGACGGGGACGGCGAGCCTTACCTCCTCGCCGGGGGTCTAGAAATGACATGATTCCGGAACCAATGGCCAGCCCGGTCCGTTCAATGCCTGTGAGAGGTACATGTCCTGGGTAATTGGGAGGTGGCCGGTTTAAGACGGAGAACGGCCTTGAATGGGACGTTGAGAGGGCAAGAAAGCGGCATGAGGAGCTGTAGCTCCTGAATGCGAGCACTGGCTGCCGCCGAAGAACAGCTTTCATCTTGGACTAGCGTCGCTGGCCTTGGTGAGCATTGTTGAGGCCTTTGGAAAGGGGAAAGTAATGGCGCGTTCCAAAGGCTTTGAACAGGTCAGGTCGAGCACGTATCGATAATACTGCTTGCCAGAGGTGGGGAATCGAATCATACACGCTAACTATTAGTGGTAGTAGCTAGGGGTTGAGATAACTTGTCTCTAAACTAATTTTCGATTGTCATGCAGCAAAAGTAGAATCGACTGACTGCAATGGTAACGGAACTTGGCGGGCGTGCCAAAATATACCGCAAGTATCTGCACCTGGCAGATAAGGTATTTGCAGTCCCGTCAACACAATAATAAAGTTGCTCGTTCACTCTCCCATAAAAACCTCAAGATATCATAGTTCAACAAACTTCAAGTGAGTCACTGCTGACCTCGCCAAAAACGGACAGAGCTTGCCCAGAGCTCGAACCACAAAACTTGGACCCTGACGTCATTCAGTAATCGGTTATTCCTTCCATCCAGACACCTCTCCCGTTTTCTGAAGACGGACTTCTTCTGCAATCCTTCTTTCCCCAACACCAAGGTCCGGCGTTCCACAAGATGGCTCCCAGGAAGAGGATCGCCATCATGACCTCGGGCGGTGACTCGCCGGGGATGAATGGTGTGGTGCGCGCCTGCGTGCGCATGGCTATCCACATGGGTTGCGATGCGCTCTGTGTCTATGAGGGCTACGAGGGGCTGGTCCGGGGCGGAGACTACATCCGCCAGATGGAGTGGCACGATGTGCGTGGATGGCTCTCGGAGGGCGGCACCCTGATCGGAACCGCTCGCTGTATGGCCTTCTTTGAGCGTGCTGGTCGCCTGAAAGCCGCCAAGAACATGGTTCTCAACGGAATCGACGCCCTGATCATCTGTGGAGGAGACGGCTCTCTCACGGGTGCAGACAGGTTCCGCGAGGAATGGCCGTCGCTGCTGCAGGAACTCGTGGCCACCGGCGAGCTGAAGCCCGCGCAGGTAGAGCCGTACCAGCATCTCAACCTCGTCGGTCTCGTGGGGTCCATCGACAACGACCTGTCGGGCACGGATGCAACAATTGGTTGTTATTCGGCCCTCTCAAGGGTCTGCGAGATGGTCGACTATATCGAGGCCACCGCCACTTCGCATTCTCGTGCCTTCGTCATTGAGGTCATGGGCCGGCACTGCGGCTGGCTCGCCCTGATGGGTGGTGTCGCAACTGGCGCCGATTCCATCTTCATCCCTGAGAAACCTAAGCGGGACGACTGGCGAGAGGAGATGCGCGCTCTAGTAGAAAAGGTTTGATTTCCCACTTCCCGCTTGGCCCACCTTGGGAGGCACAGGAGCTTACCGATATTTACAGCACCGGAAATCCGGGAAGCGCAAGACCATTGTCATCATTGCAGAGGGCGCTCAAGACCGACATGGGCACAAGATCACCCCTGAGATGGTTAAGGACCTTCTCGCAGACAAGAACGGGCTAGCACTCGATACTCGCATCACGACCCTGGGTCACGTCCAGCGGGGAGGCACCGCCGTTGCTTACGATCGGATGCTTGCGACTTTGCAGGGTGTCGAGGCGGTCAGGGCTGTGCTGGAGGCAACCCCTGAGACGAAGACGAGTTTCATCGCAATCACAGAGAACAAGATTGCCCGAAAGCCGCTCATGGAAGCCGTCCAAGAAACCAAGTCTATCGCTAAAGCGATCGAGGCCCAAGAATTTGAGAAGGCTATGACGATGCGGGACACCGAGTTTTACGATCAGTACACATCATACATGATGACCTCGGCGGTGCAGGACCAGACGATGCTGCTACCAGAGAAGGAGGTTAGTATAAAGCCCCCAGCTTTGCCACGCCTTGTCACAGGGTTTGTTTGGCTGACGCGTAGCAGCGAATGAAAATAGGTTTCATAAACGTTGGTGCGCCCGCCGGTGGCATGAATGCCGCTATGCGAGCCGGCGTCGCTTATTGCATGAGCCGAGGCCACGAAGCTGTCGCGATACATAACGGGTTCGCGGGCTTCTCCCGGCACCACGGCGATACACCTCTTGGCGCAGTCCGGCCGTTCAACTGGCTGGAAGTCGACGGGTGGGCAAGCAAGGGAGGCTCGGAAATCGGTACCAACCGGGAGCTCCCTAGCGAGTCAGGCATGGAGACGATCGCCAACTTGATCGAATTTTATCAGTTCGACGCTCTCTTCCTCATTGGTGGGTTTGAGGCTTTCCATGCCATCTCGCAACTACGGGAAGCTCGGGCACAGTACCCATCCCTCTGCATCCCCATGACGCTGCTCCCGGCGACCATCTCGAACAACGTTCCGGGTACCGAGTATTCTCTGGGCTCCGACACCTGCCTGAACGAGCTTGTCAACTACTGCGACAAGATCAAGCAGTCCGCCTCGGCCACTCGCCGCCGCGTCTTCGTGATCGAGACCCAGGGCGGCCGCTCGGGCTACGTCGCGACGCTCGCCGGCCTGGGGGTCGGCGCCACCGCCATCTACACTCCCGAGGAGGGCATCAGCCTCGATATGCTCGCGTCCGACGTGCGGCACCTCAAGGAGGTCTTCGCCAACGACAAGGGCCAGTCCCGGGCCGGGCGGCTCATCCTCGTCAACGAGAAGGCGTCTAAGGTGTACAAGGCGAAGCTCATTGCCGACATCATCCGCGAGGAGGCGCACGACCGATTTGAGGCCCGCGACAGCATTCCTGGCCACGTGCAGCAAGGCGGCGTGCCGTCGCCCATGGACCGGTGCCGCGCCGTGCGGCTGGCCATCAAGTGCATCCAGCACCTCGAGCAGTTCGGCAAGAACGCGCACAACAAGGCCAAGAAGGACCCCAACAGCGCGACTGTCATCGGCATCAAGGGCGCCGGCGTCGTCTTCACGCCCATGTCCGAGCTCGAGGAGATGGACACGGACTGGCCCAACCGCCGCGCAAAGGCCGCCTTCTGGCTGGACATGAAGGAGACGGCTGACATCCTGGGCGGCAGGCCGAAGCACCACCCCCCCGAGCGGAACCTCACCGGCCTCCGGGCCAAGGATGTCAAGCGCGGCATCAGCCCGAGCCCGGCCCCGATCCCCCGGTAGCTCCCACTTTTTTTATATTCTTCTTCTTTAGCTCGGTGGAGTTCTTGGGGATGGGTTTGATGGGTTCGGAGCGGGGGAGGGGTTTAATTAGAGACATGGGTATAGAGGTCGAGTTGCCGATTTAGATGTCCAGGTGGGACGGTTCCGCGAATACACACTCTGTGGGTCGCCGTCGTTTTACCCATCGCGTGATAGACAGCAACAGCAATAGCGGCAGACAGCGATTGCCCGCGTTGTTAACGTTGCACAGGTGAGGGAAGTCATTGGCAATATTCCTGGCATCCATCTCCCCGTGAGCGAGCTTTCGGCTTGTCGGGCACCTTTTCTATAATTTTTGGACAATTAATATCAGCCGCAACTGCTGGTCGGTGGGAGGCTCACATCCCGCCACCCGGTCGGCGGCCAGCTTGACGGGCGCCGGTAAGGGGATTAAAGTGGAACTGTCTTGCTAAGACGACTCCATGGCGTGAACCTCTCGGGAAAATCCCTTGAGCCTTCCTAACCTCTATCCATTGGTTCCCTTCCTTAACCTCCTAGAATGCGGCTGAAATGATGTCTTCTCTAAGATGTAGTGCCTATTCTCTGATATCGTCAAGCTGAATTGGGTAACCCAATAACACCATCTGCACTTCTCTCCACCTTCGGCTTCTTCTCATCTGCCCCCTTGGCTTGAGATCTAGGTGGAAAGTCACATAGCCTGACCCTGTAGCAATAACAAAATGGAAGCCCATGAAGAGCTTCTCCTCTGGGCAAAACAGAAGGGTGTCCAACTACACGGCATCGAGCCACGGAGAATGCCTGGCCGGGGAGTTGGCGTTGTTGCTACAGAACCACTTAAGGCAAGCTTCGCGGAACAAATCAACAAATGCAGCGCGGGCCTAACCTCATTCATAGCCGAACCAGGTACTGCTTGAAGTTCCTACATCATTGCTAAAGTCCCTGAGCTCTGTGCCACGATCTGTCTCCAGGAAGCTGCCCCGGGACATGAGCGTCCATGGACTCCTAGCTGCGGATCTCGCGTTGGACGAGTCCGCCACACACTCCAAGTGGGATGCCGTGATGCCTACTAAAGAAGAGGTGATGGCAAGCCTCCCTCTGGCTTGGGACCCGGACCTTCAGGAGTACTTCCCCAAGCCAGCGAGAGATTCCATCCGAAAGCAGCAGACCAGGTTCAAACGGGACTGGGACATCGTGCACGCCACGTTCCCCTCCCTCCTCGAAGAGGACTACCTGTACGCCTGGCTCCTCGTCAACACGCGGACCTTCTACTACACCACCCCCAGAACCGAGAAGCTCCCCCGCCACGACCGCATGATCCTCCAGCCGGTGGCGGACCTGCTCAACCACGCCGACGAGGGCTGCTCCGTGTCGTTCGACGGGCGCGGCTTCACGATCCGGAGCGGCCGGGCGTACGCGGCCGGCGAGGAGGTGTGCATCTGCTACGGCCGGCACGGCAACGACGTCCTGCTGGCCGAGTACGGCTTCGCCCTGGCGGCCGGCCGCAACCGCTGGGACGAGGTGTGCCTCGACGACGCCGTGCTGCCGCGCCTGTCGGCGCGCCACCGGCGGCACCTCGAGGACCGCGGCTTCCTGGGCAACTACAGGCTCGACGCCGCGACCGTGTGCTACCGCACCCAGGTCGCGCTGAGGATCCTCTGCGTGCCGCTGGGGGAGTGGCGCGACGTCGTCGACGGGCTCGACGACGGCGAGGCACAGCAGGGCGAGGTGGACCGGCTTCTGATCTTGCTGCTGCGAGAGCTTCGGGAGGGTGCGCGGGAGACGATTGCGAATATCGAGGTGGCGACGGCTGGTCTGGACCATCAGCGTCAGGCACTGAAGGACAGATGGGTGCAGATCATAGACCTGGTGTCGTCTACGATACTGAGGCTCGAATCATCAGTGGCCCAGGAATCGACATAGAAGCTATTGTGCACAGATGCTTTCCAGTGCTGGCATGTTCGGTCACGGATAACTATCACCTGTTTGGCCGTTTACCAACCATCCTCTGAGCCGGCCAACGCTCTTGGTACTAGTTGGACTTCTTGGTTATGCGAGGCAAGAAGAGGAGGACATCACATCCACACGCACCAGTCAACTTAGCAAGCTGGCTCGGGCTTCTAGAAGGTCATCAGGGGGACGCAATCCATGTATCAACTGCGTGGGATTCCTATTCATTCTGACTCGGAGTGCGACCAAAACGCAACTATACACACTGAACTGGGACTTTGACCGCGACACCATGCTCGATGATTCTGCTTATGCCCCTTCCGGAGATCGGTCAGCAATTGCGACGATGCGCCAAGCCTGTTGCGCAACTCTGAACTGGCAGATCTAAACCGCCTCTGACAGTGGAAATACCCCCCCACCCCGCCCCCGGCCTCGGTCGGCTGCTCGCGGGTCGGTATACGGAGCAGGGAGCACTCGATCCTCGATATTCAAATGGCCCTGTCGCAAGCCCGCATGATATTCGATGCTGTATGGTGGCTTGGGAGGTGCGCCTTGGTTGAACCGGAGGGGCACCATTTGGTAGAACTGGGCCGCCGGCTCGATAGCCGGTAAATTCTGCTGAGGAGGACCTGGTTGAGTCCCGGGTTGGATCTGTAACGGCGGGAGTTGGGCAGGAGAATCAAGGGCAATCATGAAATAGTCGTGGAAACTAGTTGTCGGTATGTATATATGTATGTGTGATACCAGCAGGGAACGAAACCACAACCCCTACATACCGAGCTATATTGAGCCCGCTCCCCCGGTGGCATTGGTAGGCATCTGATCCGCCGGGGAGCGACTTGGCTGTTCTGTGGTGCGATTTGCTGACGATCCATTGTTTTCGGCCTAGTTAGTGTCCCGATTGTAATGAAGCTTAGCTTAGTTTTTCTACTTTTGCTGTCGTTCCTGCCCGAGACGCTAGAGAGAGAGAGAGTTGAACACATTCTACGGCCTAGGCGAGGATACTTATTCCGGGCCTTGGTGATGGCGAATCCCTTTCGGCCGGGGTGGAAATAACGTGTCTGAACGGTAACCTTCACGCAGACATAGACAGCCAACCATCCTGCTAGTGATTGAACTACCAAGCTTCTAGCTGTGAAGAGGGGCGCTGCACGATGAGCTATGGCTGCTATGCGACTTGAAGACATGGGGACCCTTTCCAGTCTTGTTTCCTGCAACTTCCAGAGCACTCCTCCCTGCCTGGCATTCTACAACATCGCTTGTTGTCGGAATTCCTTGCCTCCCAACTCCCCGTCTGCCCAGCTCATGAATTTCTCATAATCCCACCCGGATGCCGTGAGTGTGACATGACAAGGGGCCAGAGGAAGACGCGAATAACCGGCAGAGATATCAAGATGATGGTGTCCTCCTCGACCATTCCGAACACTGGCCGGAATACTCCGCTTGTCACACGCATAGTCACGAAGTACTGGATGAACGGGTTGTCACTGTAAAGAGCATATAAAGGCATGATTTGAGTCTTATCCATTGCTAACCGAAGCATGACAACGAAAGTCTCGTGATGCGACCATCGTCAACCAGACGCCCAGATCGATAATCCCATTCTCAATCGTACAAAGCACAACGTCCCCGAGTAAAGCCATCTATCTCGACGAGATATTGCTCGATAATGTGGACGTTTTCAAGCCCACGATTTTCTCGTCCATGCCAAAGCCTCGCGTGAGTCGAGTCTCCTACGTCGGCGAATCGCTCTTAAACCGGGTGTGTCTACTACTCACCCCGGGGCCGCTTGGCGCCGTGGGGATTCTGCCATTCGTTGCCGCCGCCGGTCTGGTTGCCGCCACCGCCGAAGAAGGCAGGGTTGAAGTGAGGCTGCATGCCCTGGAAACCTGTTTGTCCATCTGTTAGCACTGGATCATCCGTCATAGCCACCGCCACCCATGTTACTGGAGCCGCGGTCGTAGCCGGGGCCGGAGGGGGTGCGGCTCTGTCCGTCCT